GAGATGTAAAATCATGTGTGTTAGGTGAGGGAATTGAGTTTGTAATGAAACAATTGGCACTTTGTATGTCGGTTAGAACCTGTTGGGGGAAGTCTCCATCATCCATTTGCGCGTTTATTAGCAACTTTGCTGCTCTATGCAGGGGTGTGGGATCCCTCTCCGCCTGAATTGTTAGAAACAAGTTTAGCAGAGTCATGATGATAGCCTCGTTGATATTATGTTCCAGTTATGTGGGCGCAATTTCATAAATTTTGAAGGAATAAGAAGGCAACAGACGAACGTAGTTGTGTGTAATGAAAGCTGGATGAAGGTACTAACTTGTCCACCATATATAAGTCCGAGCATCGCCCATGATGTTTGTACCAAATTTGTGCGGTTTCCTTCCAATGGTGTATATTTCTGCATGATAGCGCAAAAAAATGAGTGAATCGTATCATGGAAAAGGGAGGGGAGTGGTGTAGGTATCGATCACTTTACCATGCTTGGACAAGACTCGAGGCTTTCTCCCCATCCGCCTTCTTCATTCTGTGTTGACAAGATGAAGTTGACCCCTTTACGAACAGCTTCGCTATTTTCATATGTTTTCCCTGTAGCAGCTAATCCTCCCAGCACAAAGAACGTGGCGTAAATGAAACAAATTCCCCAATAGCCATACCTACATTCATTGTTTAGATTAGAAAACTGAAATCTTATGGGAAGAATGATTGCTTTTGGGGTTAAACCAAACCATGAACCGTTTGGACATTGCTTCTCTTCAAGAAATTTTAATGCCTTTGCCACGGAAACTTCTATTTCTTTTTCGCGGTGACCTGGATGCAGGCGCTTGAATGCTAGAAGAGCTTGAACAATTGAGGCAGTGCATTCGATATGCCTATATATACATGAATGATATGAGTTAGGACTTAGGAGTGTCCGCATAATTGCCGAAAGGAAGAGTTTCAGAGTATTGAATTGTAAGATCTTACTCTTGCTCCACCACTATGTCTGCAAAGAGTTCTGAGGGATTCAAAACCTGTGTCAAAATACACATGTGTGCATAAAGAAATAGCCTTGTTGCATTTTAAAAGCGGGAAAACTTTGAATTCGAAAGTTGCATACTGATCTCTAATCTATATATACATATGTATACCTGTAGATAAGGCTGCGGAATTGGGGGTTCCCAGACAGCAAATCCACCACTTATCGGACTCTTGAACAATACAACACAAGCATTTAATCACAAACTATTGATTCAAATTCAAATGATTTGGAGAATTCATAAATATATCAGCAGGACTTTTAGTTCCCATATGATTAACCTCATACTTGTAAATAAAGGAGCACATTCACAGCTTCATAAAGACGTTCAACATCAGGCTTCTCTCCCGCGATTTCATTTGGCATTTGTGAGAGTAAAAGTAGGCACTGTAAATGTATATTATCTAATCAATGTCAAGTTTCTTCATTGGGGTGTGATCTGTGACGGATGGGAGAGGAATACATACCTTAAGCGCTTCGGAAGTGCAGTCTGATACAACCCAACCCTGGTCTTGGTCAGAGAAGGTCCACGCTCCTTTAGTAGGGTGTCGATACATGCCACTGAAGTCTCCCTTTGGATTTTCTTTTATCTACACATTAATTTCATGCCCTCAAGTAAATTCAGTGCAAAGAAATCTAACAGAATTACATTTACAGTATCCAAACTTAAGTTTTCAGAAATGTGCCTGAGATTCTTTAATGTAGAAGTGTGCCTTCTCGAGACAATCTCCGTATTCCTCAACCATTCCTGTCGAAATTATTGACTGAGTGGCAAGAGTGCTGTCCCATACTTGACTTCCAAAACTCTTCAAGTAATTGTATATGCAGCAGCAGTTTCAGTATTGCATTTTTCACTTCTTACGTTATTTTGAGATTAAAAAAAGTTGTTTTCAGATAACCCTTTCTAGACATCATTTCGAAAAATATGAGTCATGATATAGTACCTGCATCTTCATGCCATCTTCGGCAAGCCACAAGTAGTCAGGCACCCTGGCTAGGTGATGTTTAAACTCATCACAATTTGGATCGTGAGCCCACCAACACATCATTTGTAAACTCTGCATCACAAAACATATCATAGTAACAAAGATTTATCTCGAGCAGAAAAAAATAAAAATAGAACTTCAAAGACTACCTACTTTTTCCACACATCCAATTGTTATATATCTGCTCTCCTCTGCTCCATAGCGCATATACTTGATTGCCTTGTTGAGGGCCCTTTGCCTGATCTTGTTCAAAGGCCATCGCCTCATCAGAGGCTCCGAGCAGTAGTTGAGAGTATCCCAAAGCAGATCTTGTACAAAGGTGTGTGGGTAGTAAAGATCATCCTGCGAAGTTAAATTATATATACATAAGCATCACAGTTCAACAAATAAAGACATCGATGGACAATATCTTGAGAACCAAACTGCCTCCCACCAACCTTACAACAATCATGCCGCGACTTGTTCCAATTGATCTGATCGTAGGGCTCGACATGAATTTCTTGCCTCAGTGATAAAACTAAACCTGTGATCGGTCCATGGTACTTTCTTCCGTAAAGATATGACATGGGCATGTACGTCGTGCGGCAATAACACCACATTTTTGCTGCAGGCATACAGTTACATGTATAAAGGTTCAAAGACCAAATGCCGAACACATGGTGTGCATCTGAACAAGAAGTTCTCTTACTTACCAGGGTGATAAGGAAAAATTGAAGGGAATAACCAGAATTCTGGGGGAAGAGGATTGCAGCCATCCCAATCATACACTCCAAGCACCTGATGGGTGCCAATTAATTCTATTTAGGTGTGCAATTTGGGGGATTTTGCCCTAGAAATTTGAATTTAATTTATATGTGGAATAAGGCGGGAATCGGTACACATACCGAGAGATACGTCTTCCCCCATGACGGAATTCCTGTAGCGCCGCCGTGATCAAGAATCCACCGGCGAGCTCTTGTGACGGCGCCGTTCCCGTCGTCAGGACCTTCTCCGAGTAACCGCAGCGCCACATAGCTGAGTGCTGAGCCTATCATCGTGCTGTGCCCTTCGATGTAAAATCCCCATCCGCCATCCTCATTCTGCAAACCACACCATGAATTTAACCGTCAATTCCATGAATCGAAGCAGATGAGATCGATGATGTTGCTGGACCTGATGATTGTAGATATAGCGGATCATCTCCTTCCTGTGTTCAGACGTCCAAATTGTGTTGATTGCTCCGCTTATATACAAGGCGATTATCTGTGCATGCACAAATTAATCCCTAAATCAGGAACGAAGACACTTCCCAGCATTCAAATAATACCTTCACTCAGTGCATTAATAATTTCTTACAAGTGGAGGAGTGAAAAACATAGGCCCTGTATTTTCCGCCGGCCAGTGTCCGTCGCTTGCCTGCACCGCCCGATTCAGCCGCAGAGCTTTCTTCACAGTAATCGTCGCTGTTTCGTACGTCACGGCGTCGTTTTCTCCAACTCTGACTGGCGGTATCCCCAGCAGATCAATTCCGCTTTCTTTCTTAAGCTATCACAGACATACAATTACGTACATACGGACACCGTGAAAAACATCTAAAATCCGAAGTTCTTGAAAATTGCAATAAAAAGAACACTAAAAATCGATCAAATTTCTAACCTGCATTCTCATGAAGAGATCCCCACAACAATGATAGCCCTTCTTCCGATTCTCAGCGAACTCTTCGCGTGCTTTCTGGAAAGCTCGAATTTCTTCCGGGGTTCCCCCATTGGGATCGAACTCCCATGTCTGTCTGCCTACGAATTTGTTGGTGCTGTACAGAAACGGGCCATGTCCTTCTGCAATCTTCAGCCTCCACATGATCTACGTACTAAAATTGCTGGCTACCAGTTGACTTGACTACATACACACAGAAGATAAACTCGTTCTGTAAGAACAAGAACAATGGCGAGGGGATCCTAATGTCTGAGTTCTCTCTCTCTCTCTCTCTCTCTCTATATATATATATATATATATATAATGAAAGTTGTGAAACATTTTATGTTGAGTTCAAAGCTAAAACAATTAAGAAATACAGGAAGCCGTTGAGGGCAGCTCCAACCGGCAACGTCCTATGAATAACTAAAATCTCCAAGTCGGTCATTTATTACATATTGAAGTCTATTAGGTTGTGTACGTGTGTGTTTGTCATTTGTCTTTAACTCACTACTAATTGTAGAATGCTGATTCTTGCAGTCCAATGATGCAATACTTAGTGGGCATGCAACAATGGGATGGTATCACCGACCCCCTCCCTCTTCACAGCCCCTTTACGCCCCGCCCACAAAGTGATATATATACAATATATGCATCAGGGCGGGATAGGGGAGGGGACAGGTGATCCCATCCCGTTAATTAGATTGATCAAATAGTTATACTTGTCCAAGAGAAGCTAATTGAGTGAGACCTCCTTCATCCCACCTATAAGAAAGTATATATTTTATATATTTCAATACGATATCATTCTTTGGTTGTAACTTTCGCTCAATTTGAGTCGAGAGTGTGTAATTCAAGTGGTTGAATTTTTCCTCTTAACATATTTGAAATTGAGGTTCAATCAAATGCATTTAAAGATGTCTCCACAATCAAATGGCATGGCAAATAGCCCAAGAAACATAATCAGAAATAGTTATCAAAATTATTTTATAAAGATGGTAGAGAGGAGAGTGACAACACGTTTAAGAATCTTTAATTTTTATTTCATCACACTAGACTCAGTTAGATGCATACAACATTTATACACCAAAAATAGACTTTCCCATGCACTTATTTAATGTAGTTCCTATTCACCATAATATTAAGCCAATAAATTTCATCATTTTCCAACAAGTTAATTATAACTCAACACAAATTTAAATCCCTCACTAATATGACACAAGTTTAATTGCTATCAGTGTCTATATATATATATATATATATTGCATGGAGAAACTAAGGAGTTGGTTGAAAAATGGAAAAGCAGATCAAAGAAACTTCAAAATGTACTCATCATAATTTTTACCTATCATGTAAATATGAAATGCACACTTGTCATTTTGTTTAATATTAAACTACAACATGGATGCTACAATACAACAACCTTGGTAATGGTATGAAGAAGTTTAAGATTCCATGGAACTATCTATATATATATATATATATATGTGTGTGTGTGTAGTTTCTAGAGGCGCTAGGAAGGCCAAATGCGTTTGCGATACTCTCCCAATGCCCATAGGGGGAAAATATTTCGATATTGCGCATAATGCAGCATGCAGTTCTTCATGTACACTCCAGTTATTTCCTGCAGGATGTAAAATCATGTGTGTTAGGTGAGGGAATTGAGTTTGTAATGAAACAATTGGCAGTTTGTATTTCGTTTAGAACCTGTTGGGGGAAGTCTCCATCATCCATTTGCGCTTTTATTAGCAACTTTGCTGCTTTATGTAGGGGTGTGGGATCCCTCTCCGCCTGAATTGTTAGAAACAAGTTTAGCAGAGTCATGATGAAAGATAGCCTCGTTGCATATTATGTTCAGGTTATGTTGGCGCAATTTCATAAATTTGAAGGAATAAGAAGGTAACAGACGAGCATAGTTGTGTGTAATGAAAGCTGGATGAAGGTACTAACTTGTCCACCATATATAAGTCCGAGCATCGCCCATGATGTTTGTACCAAATTTGTGCGGTTTCCTTCCAATGGTGTATATTTCTGCATGATAGCGTAAAAAAATGAGTGAATCCTTTCATGGAAAAGGGTGGGGAGTGGCGTAGGTATCGATCACTTTACCATGCTAGGACAAGACTCGAGGCTTTCTCCCCATCCACCTTCTTCGTTCTGTGTTGACAAGATGAAGTTGACACCTTTACGGACAGCTTGGCTATTTTCATATGTTTTCCCTGCAGCAGCTAATCCTCCCAGCACAAAGAACGTGGCGTAAATGAAACAAATTCCCCAATAGCCATACCTACATTCATTGTTTAGATTAGGAAACTGAATCTTATGGGTAGAATGTTTTGGGGTAAAACCAACCATGAACCATCTGGCCATTGCTTCTCTTCGAGAAACTTTAATGCCTTTGCCACGGAAACTTCTATTTCTTTTCCGCGGTGACCTGGATGGAGGCGTTTGAATGCTAGAAGAGCTTGTACAATTGAAGCGGTGCATTCGACATGCCTATATACACATGAACGATGGATATATGACTTAGATGTGTGAGCATAATTGTCGAAAGGAAGAGTATCTGAGTATTGAATTCTAAGATCTTACTCTTGCTCCACCACTATGTCTGCAAAGAGTTCCGAGGGATTCAAAACCTGTGTCAAAATACACAATAAATAAATATAATAGCCTTGTTGCATTTTAACAGCGCCAAAACGTTGAATTCGAAAGTTGCATACTGATCTCTAATCTATATATACATGTGAATACCTGTAGATATGGCTGCGGAATTGGGGGTTCCCAGACAGCAAATCCGCCACTTGTCGGACTCTGAACAAAACACACAACACAAGCATTTAATCACAAACTATTGGTTCAAATTCAAATGATTTGGAAAATGCATAAATATATCAATAGGACTTTTAGTTCCCATAGGATTAACATCATACTTGTAAATAAAGGAGCACGTTCACAGCTTCATAAAGACGTTCAACATCAGGCTTCTCTCCCACGATTTCATTTGGCATTTGTGAGAGTAAAAGTAGGCACTGTAAATGTATATTATCTAATCAATGTCAAGTTTCTTCATTGGGGTGTGATCTGTGACGGATGGAAGAGGATTACATACCTTAAGCGCTTCGGCAGTGCAGTCTGATACAACCCACCCCTGATCTTGGTCAGAGAAGGTCCACCCTCCTTTAGTAAAGTGACGATACATGCTTTTGAAGTCTGGCTTTGGATTTTCTTTTATCTACATATTAATTTCATGGCTTAGAGTAACCTCAGGGCAATGAAATATACCAGAATTACACTCTATAAATTCTGAATTCCAGTTTTCAGAAATGTACCTGAGATTCTTTTAGGTAGAAGTGCGCCTTCTCAAGAGAATCTCCGTATTCCTCAACCATTCCTGTCGAAATTAATGACTGAGTGGCAAGAGTGCTGTCCCATACTTGACTTCCAAAGCTCTTCAAGTGATCATATATACAACAGCAGTTTTAGTATTACCTTTTCCACTTCTTGAGTTATTTTCAGATAGATCCCTTTTTGACATCATTTCGACAAATATGAGTCAGGATATCGTACCTGCATCTTCATGCCATCTTCGGCAAGCCACAAGTAATCAGGCACCCTGGCTAGGTGATGCTTAAACTCATCACTATTAGGATCATGAGCCCACCAACACATCATTTGTAAACTCTGCATCAAAAAATATACCAGATTAACACATTTTTCTCAGGCAGAAAAAAATAAAAAGTAAAAAATGGAACTTCAATTGCGTACTTTTTCTACACATCCAATGGTTATATATCTGGTCTCCTCTCCTCCATACCGCATATATTTTATTGCCTTGTCGAGGGCCCTTTGCCTGATCTTGTTGAAAGGCCATCGCCTCATCAGGGGCTCCGAGCAGTAGTTGAGAGTATCCCAAAGCAGATCTTGTACAAAGGTGTGTGGGTAGTAAACATCATCCTGCGTCATTAAAACATATACATAAGCAACAGAATTCAACAAAGAAATACATTGATACAATGTCCATATCTCGAGGACCAAACTACCTAATGCCCACCTTACAACAATCATGCCGCGCCTTGTTCCAATCGATCCGATCGTAGAGCTCTATGTGAATTTCTTGCCTCAGTGATAACACTAAATCTGTAATCGGCCCATGGTACTTTCTTCCGTAAAGATATGACATCGGCATGTACGTTGTGCGGCAATAACACCACATTTTTGCTGCAGGCATACAGTTACATGTATAAATGGTTCAGAGACCAACTGTCGAACACATGGTGTGCATCTGAACAAGAAGTTTTCTCATTTACCAGGGTGATAAGGGAAAATTGAAGGGAATAACCAGAATTCCGGTGGAAGAGGATTGCAGCCATCCCAATCATACACTCCAAGCACCTGATGGATGCCAATTTATTCTATTTAGGTGTGCAATTTGGGGGATTTTGCCCTAGAAATTTGAATTTAATTTATATGTGGAATAAGGCGGGAATCGCTACACATACCGAGAGATACGTCTTCCCCCACGACGGAATTCCCGTAGCGCCGCCGTGATCAAGAATCCACCGGCGAGCTCTTTCGACGGCGCCGGTCCCGTCGTCAGGACCTTCTCCGAGTAACCGCAGCGCCACATAGCTGAGTGCTGAGCCTATCATCGTGCTGTGCCCTTCGATGTAAAATCCCCATCCGCCATCCTCATTCTGCAAACCACACCATGAATTTAACCGTCAATTCCTTGAATTGAATCCATTTCCCGCTCAGATGAGATCGATGCTGTTGCTGCACCTGATGATTGTAGATATAGCGGATCATCTCCTTCCGGTGTTCAGACGTCAAAATTGTGTTGATTGCTCCGCTTATATACAATGCGATTATCTGTGCATGAGCAAATTAATCCCCAAATCAGGAACGAAAACACTTCCCAATCATTCAAATAATTCTTTCACTCAGTGCATTACTAATTTCTTACAAGTGGAGGAGTGAAAAACATCGGCCCTGCATTTTCCGCCGGCCAGTGTCCGTCGCTCGCCTGCACCGCCCGATTCAGCCGCAGAGCTTTCTTCACAGCAATCGTCGCCGTTTCGTACGTCACGACGTCGTTTTCTCCAACTCTGACCGGCGGAATCCCCAGCAAATCAATTCCGCTTTCCTTCTTAAGCTGTCAGGTCACAGCCGTATTTTTTAAGTACAGTACCATGGTTCACCTTGGCGGATCGTTGTCACGGCTTTCACCGTTCCCGATACATCGCGGCATATCATTACTTTTATATAAAATTTTTTATTTTATAAAATGATAATATACACGATTAAATATATTAAAATATAAATATAATTAATTTAAAAATTATATATATAATTTGATATAAAAATAATTTTACAATTAGTTATAAGTTATTCTAAAATATCAATTTTAATGAAAATTAATTTGTATAAATTAAGTAAAAATTAAATACAATTCCAAACAATTACATTTATAAATTAAATAAACAAAATAATTAAAATAATCTAATACTAATTCCGATCCAAAGTAAACAAATTAATTTTATACTTATATTTACAAAAATGAAGTTAAATGGACTTAAATAATTATTTATGTCATTTTCCAAAATATTTTCAATCAATTATTCGCTACTAGTTCTTCCCCAACCTGCACTATCCTCTTCCCCAACCGACAATACTGCTCGATCTTCCTCCCTAATCCTCTTCTTCTTCAGCAACCTTCTTTATTCACAATGCAGCCGCACCTTCCACTAGTTCTTCATCTTACCGAATATCTTCCCTAAATTTATCCCTAAACTCACGTCTTCTCCTTTCCAAGTTTCAAATTCCAAATATGAAATTGAAGTACTTCATAAGTTCTACATATTTAATTGAAGTAATGGAAGGAGAATGATTGACAAAAACATCTCCAAAATAAAAAATAAAAAAAATAAAAATTGAGTGATTTCATGAAGATTTGGAAGAAAATCGGATTTTTTTTCAGTACCGGAACGGCCGAGTCGGACCCGAATCGGCCGATCCGGAGAACCATGTACAGTACAGTTCATACATACATTGACATGGTGATCTAAGAACAGTTAAAATATCTAACCTGCGCTCTCATGAAGAGATCCCCACAAGAATGAAATCCCTTCTTCCGATTCTCAGCGAACTCTTCGCGCGCCTTCTGGAAAGCTCGAACTTCTTCCGGGGTTCCTCCATTGGGATCGAACTCCCATATCTGTCTGCCTACAAAGTTGTTGGTGCTGTACAGATACGGGCCATTCCCTTCTGCAATCTTGAGCCTCCACATGATGTATCTACTACGCTGTCTCTTCTGCAAGTACTAAAACCGTTAGCTACCAGCTGAATACACAAATAGGAAATTAACCTCAGAATGTAATGTAAGGATGATGGCAGTGGATCGCGGTCTGGTTTCTATATTTATATTAGTGCATGCTAACTGTCTGTTGACTAGTACTGCCTTAAATTAAGCCATGCTAACTTTTCTATGGATTATATATATTTAGTAAATGAGCTGTCTTGCCAAAAATAAATTAAGCTTAAAAGATAGTACGATATAATATATATATATATATACTTTAGAAAGAAAGAAAAAAAAATTAAATATTTAATATAAAATATTATTTTTTATGTTAATAATATTTTCTTATGCTTTGCATAAAAATATTATATAAAATATTCAATAGATACTTTGGGTATATTTCTTTTATTCAAATTTTTTAAATTTTATTATTTGGATTATATGTTTTCGAAAAAACTAACTTTTTTATTCTCACAAAATATTATATTCCCTCCATCCCACATATTATGTCCGTTGCCGTTTCTGTCCGTCCCACATTCCATGTCACTTTTCTTTTTTGGAAAATAATTATACTCATTTTAAACTATTTAATTTATTTTTTTAATTTTAATTAAACTAATTAGTTATCTTAATCTTAATTTATAATTATTTATATTATAAAATAATTATTTTCACTAATACATTCTTAATTATCTACTAATTACACTGTCTACATTGTAGCATAGACAGTATGTGGAAAAGAGAAAGTATCAAATATTATATTAATATAAACTCAAACCAATTTTTTCCAAATTCAGCCAAAAAGATTTTTTTTTTTCAAATTTTACTTTTGGAATGTGCTTTTCTTGAAAAAAATCTCATAAAATATTTCATCAAATTTTATTTTAATATATAAATGTTAATATACACAGTTGTACATTGGACAAGTTGGCACACTGCTGTATATATATATAATAACACAAGAAGTAATGTTTAATAAGAGGCAAATTTTTCTCATATTTGTCTGCTTTATATTTTCCCATAATTTTTTTTTCTTTTTGCTCAGATTTTAGCATGCCCTCACCTATGTAAATCCGCAAGTTGTTTTTTTGCTGAACGAGCTCACATATATATATATATATATATATATATCTTACCTATATTTTCTTGATCTATATGCTAAAGCTAAGCTATGATCAATGTGAGCTGTTTGTCTTCCATCATAATTGCCTCCAAAATCGGCTCTTCCATGTATGTCCATTAATATTCACAAACTTAGAAATTAATATATATATTCAACACTTATATGATATTGTCAGATCAAATTCGTATATATTTATTTTTAAATTTTTTCAAAAATTCATGCTTATAGCTAGAATTATACACGGGATTTATCAAGTATTTCTTCTAATTTTTTGATATGGGACTTAAGCTTGCCATTTACTCCGCCTGTATTTCTCCATGTCCATATTGGAATGGGGTTTGGTAGTAAAGTACGTATGTATTAAGAATAGAATAATAATTAATTTGTAGGCAGGGTGGAATATTTGTCTTTGGGTTCAACTAAAAGGTGCTGAAGTTGTTCGGACATACATATATTTCTCATTTCTTGTCTGAACGAACGAGAATAAATTAAATTAACAAGATAAAACGCATAATCCAGAATGTCAAAACAACACAGCCATTGACTTTCAAATTATATATATATATATATATATATAGAAGATTGATTATTGGTCCTCATTCCTCAAAAAAAAAAAAGTCAACCGAACTTTTGGAAAAAGCAAAAGTCGCATTGTCGAAAACTAGCGTTTTCATTGGAGAGAACAAAACCCAAACCAAGCGATGGCTGGGCTGGGTCGGTTAAATGGTGGGCCCCTCAGTTTATACATCATATACATATCAACAACATATTGGACATCAACTGAAAGCACAAAGTATATATGAATGACACGTGGTTGGGCAACTTTTCTAAATGTTCATATTGATACGTATGTATGTATGTATGTATATATATGGAGTTTGGTTAAAAGCACGTATGACATACATGCAGAGGAAATCATTCTTACAAAGTGTCTGAATTCTTAATAGTTTGACAATGGAGAAGTCAGAAAAACACATCTATTCCTTTGAGAAAAAAAAAAGAAAAAAAAAGAAAACCATAAAGGAAGAGATATGTATGTTTGTTCCGGTGGTTCGAGCTTGGGTTCAAATTCGAATTGAAATAAAATTTTGATAAGCTGATGTAAATAAGTATTTGATGTGACCGTCAAAATTGAAATTAATTTCTATATTAATAAATATTTAGGGTGTGTTTATTTGTTCGGTTTTACACCTGAATCTACTATTCTGAACTTTTTTTTCCTTACAAAAATATCAAATCAAACTCTCAATTTTTATTTATTTTATTACACTAAAATCTAATTTTACATTCAAAATATCACATCAACATATATTTATATCACATCAAATAACTATTCAATTCAAAATTTTACTATTCAAAATCAAAACCCAAAACTAAAACCTCACAAGTAAACACACCCTTTTAATTCAATAATTTGAAGAAGAAAAAAAAAAAAGAAAAATCAATTTAGAATAGGCAAGGATCAGGAAGTGGGCTGGTCTTATCTGGGCCCAAAAACGTGGAAAGCAATATGTTATTTCTTTCTACTTTAGCCTGTTCATTATACTTACGTGTAATGTGAACCACATTCCCATACCTATAAAAGTTGGACGTGGATCAGTCGTATTACCAACCAAATATATATCGATCATTCGTATAACATATGCTGATCGAGTCAAATCAACTAATTTAGTCGAATCGAATCAGCACAAGATTCGCAGCCATAAAAGTTTGAACATTCACTGAGGTTGTATATGTGTTTGTTTAGAGGCACAGGGAAGGCCTGGCCAGATGCGTTTACGATACTCTCCCAGTGCCCATAAGGGGAAAATATTCCGGTATTGCGCATAATGCAGCATGCAGTTCTTCATGTACGCTCCAGTTATTTCCTGCAGAGATGTAATTAAAATCATGTGTGTTTAATTTAGGTTAGGGAGCTGAGGTTGTAAATTGTAATGAAACAATTGATACTTTGTATGTTGATAATTAAGAACCTGCTGAGGGAAATCCCCATCCTCCATCTGCGCGTTTATTAGCAACTTTGCTGCTTTATGTAGAGGTCCGGGATCCCTCTCCGCCTGAATCGTTATATTCAAGTTAACCAGAGTCGATGGGTGCAAATTTTGAATGAATAAGAAGGTAATAGAGGAGTGTTGTTGTGTGTGATGAAAGCTGGATGAAGGGTACTAACTTGTCCGCCATACATAAGCGCGAGCATCGCCCACGATGTTTGTACCAAATTCGTGCGGTTCCCTTCTAGTGGTGTGTATTTCTGTCGTGATATCACAAAAAAGAAAAAAACAAAAAAAATGAGTGAATCTTATCATGGAAAAAGGGATTGGGAGGGGCATAGGTATAGATCGGTTTACCATGCTTGGACAAGACTCGAAGCTTTCTCCCCATCCGCCTTCTTCGTTTTGTGTTGACAAAAAGAAGCTGACGCCTTTATGAACTGCTTCGCTATTTTCATATGTTTTCCCTGCCGCGGATAATCCTCTAAGCGCAAAGAATGTGGCGTAAATGAAGCAGACTCCCCAATAACCATACCTAAATTTGTTGTAGAGATTAGAAAACTGAAATATTATGTAGAACATGACTGCGTTTAGGTATAAAACAGACCATGAACCGTCTGGCCATTGTTTCTCTTCGAGATAGCTTAATGCCTTTGCCACTGAAAGTTCTATTTCCTTCTCCCGGTGACCTGGATGCAGGTGCTTGAATGCTTGAAGAGCTTGTACAATGGAAGCAGTGGTTTCGACATGTCTAGAAACATGATCAATATATGACTTAGAGTTAGGAGTGTGCACATAATTGTGGAAAAGAAGAGTTTCAGATTTTTGAATCCTAAGATCTTACTCTTGCTCGACCACTATGTCTGCAAAGAGTTCCGAGGGATTCAAAACCTGTGTGACAATACACATTAAATGAAATAGCCTCATTGTGTGAGTGAGCGCGCTTGCAGAGATATACATATATCTATAATTCCATACCTGTAGATACGGCTGTGGAATTGGGGGTTCCCAGATGCCAAATCCGCCACTTTTGGGACTCTGAACAACACACAACACAAGCATTTAGTCACAATCTATTGAAATGGCAAATGTACAAATATATCGTTTAGTTCCCATGGGACGAAACTCATACTTGTAAATAAAGGAGCACATTCACAGCTTCATACAGAAGCTCAACATCAGGCTTCTCTCCCGCGATTTCATTAGGCATTTGCGAGAGCAAAAGCAGGCACTGTAAAGTACATTATCTAGTTAGAGTCGAATTTCTTAATTGGGGCATGGAAGAATGAGGGAAGAGGAATACATACCTTCATTGCTTCGGCTGTGCAGTCCGAGACAACCCACCCCTGATCTTGGTCGGAGAAGGTCCACCCTCCTTTAGTAAAGTGACGATACATGCCTTCGAACTCTCCCTTTGGATTTTGCTTTATCTAGACATTCCAATGGATGAAGAAAATTCAGTGCAATTAAAATAGCAGAATTATATCTACTCGTCATCCGAATTATATTTTTTAGAAATGTACCTGAGATTCTTTTATGAAGAAGTGCGCCTTCTTGAGACAATCTCCGTATTCCTCAACCATGCCTGTTGATATTACCGCCTGAGTCGCAAGGGCGCTGTCCCATGTTTGACTTCCAAAACTCTTCAAGTAATCGAAAATGGTGCAGAAGTTTCAGTATCACATTTATTACACATTACGATGATCAGTATCAGCGAAGATATCATGATTCGTACCTGCATTTTCATGCCATCTTCGGCAAGCCACAAGTAATCAGGCAACCTGGCTAAGTGATGCTTAAACTCATCACCATTTGGATCGTGAGCCCACCAGCACATCATTTGTAAACTCTGCATCACAAAACATAACGTATTGGCAATTCTTTATCTCGGGCAGAAACAAAAAACAGAAAATCGAAATGTACTTTTTCCACACATCCAATGGTTATATATCTAGTTTCCTCTGCTTCATAGCGCATATATTCAATCGCCTTGTTGAGGGCCCTTTGCCTGATCTTGTTCAAAGGCCATTGCCTCATCAGGGGCTCCGAGCAGTAGTTGAGAGTATCCCAAAGCAGATCTTGTACAAAGGTGTGTGGATAGTAAAGATCATCCTGACATATATGCATAATAATTACAATTCAAAAAATAAAGACACTGATCAATAATAGCTCCATAAAGTAACTGCATAATGCCCACCTTACAACAACCATGCCGTGCCTTGTCCCAATTGATCTGATCGTAGGGCTTCGCATGAATTTCTTGTCTCAGTGATAAAACTAAATCCGTGATCGGGCCATGGTACTTTTTTCCGTAAAGATACGACATTGGCATGTATGTCGTGCGGCAATAGCACCACATTTTTGCTGCAGGCATTAGAATTATGTGTATAGAGGCTCAGAGACCAACTGTTGAACACTTGGTGTGCATTTGAGCAAAGTAAGTTCTAACGGACCTGGATGAAAAGCCATAAATGAAGGGAACAACCAGAATTCCGGGGGAAGAGGATTGCAGCCATCCCAATCATACACTCCAAGCACCTGATGGATGCCAATTTATTCTATTTAGGTGTGCAATTTGGGGAATTTTGCCCTAGAAATTCGAATACTATTTGTTCTGTTGAAAATGGCGGGAATGCGTATGCATACCGAGAGGTAGGTTTTCCCCCACGACGGAATTCCCGTAGCGCCGCCGTGATCAAGGATCCACCGGCGAGCTCTTGCGACGGCGCCGTTCCCGTCGTCAGGACCTTCTCCGAGTAACCGCAGGGCCACGTAGCTGAGTGCGGAGCCTATCATGGTGCTGTGCCCTTCTATGTGAAATCCCCACCCGCCATCCTCATTCTGCAAACCACACCATGAATTCAACCGTCAATTCCTTGAATCGAATCCATTTCCCGCTCAAATTAGATCGATGTTCTTGCTGCACCTGATGATTGTATATATAGCGGATCATCTCCGTCCTGTGTTCTGACGTTAGAACTGTGTTGATTGTTCCACTTATATACAAGACGATTATCTGTGCATGCGCAAATTAATCCCCAAATCGGAAACAGAAACACTTCCCAATAATCCCTTCAAATCGAAACTAATTGTATTAAATTACAGATTCATTTCTTACGAGTGGAGGAGTGAAAAACACAGGCCCTGTACTTTCTGCCGGCCAGTGTCCGTCGCTCGCCTGCACCGCCCGATTCAGCCACAGAGCTTTCTTCACAGCAATCGTCGCCGTTTCGTACGTCACGACGTCGTTTTCTCCAACTCTGACCGGCGGAATGCCCAGCAGATCAAGTCCACTTTCCTTCTTGAGCTAAAAACAGACACCATAAAGAAAAGCTAAAAATCGAAGCTTCTTGAAGTAAAACAAACAAAAAATCGGTCACATATCTAACCTGCGTTCTCAAGAAGAGATCTCCTGAACATTGATAACCTTTCTTCCGATTCTCAGCGAACTCTTCGCGTGCCTTCTGGAAAGCCCGAATTTCCTCCGGGGTTCCTCCATTGGGATCGAACTCCCATGTCTGTCTGCCTACAAAGTTGTTGGTGCTGTACAGAAACGGGCCATGTCCTTCTGCAATCTTCAGCTTCCACATGATCTACCCACACTGCATAAACAATCCACCAAAACTAAAATCTCTAGCTACCAGTTGGAATACACACAAGAACTTAAATCTAGCAACCCTAACAGATAGATACATACAATGTATGTATAAGCAATCATACACATAGTTATATACAGATGATGAAAGGGCAGTGGGGGAATGTACAGATGATGAAAGGGTAATGCAATTGTCTGAGTGACATAAAGAGGATCCAACAATTTCTAAAAACCATCCATGTTAGCTACTGGATGCTGCCATTGGACCACTTCTCTGCTTCTTCACTAATTTAAAGTTAAAGCCTGTGAGGAATGTTAATACTCCCTCAGTCTACTCGAACGGTATGTATCGTCATTTTTGTGGTTTAAACACAAAATATAAATTTTTTCTTTGTTTAATTATATCAAACTATCAATATCATTGCATTTAATTAAGACAAGAAGACAAAAATAGTTATATAGAATAAGTACACCTAATTTTATTAAACTTACCGCTAGAAGTAAAAACTAATAGTTATTATGTGGAAGGGATAAGTATATATATATATTTTTTGTACGAGAATCAATAAATAAATAAAAAGAGACAATAGAGTGGAATGGAATTAAATTGTAATAAATGAGTTTAGTCATATATCATATCACTCCGTTCCACATATTGCCACAATTTTTATTTTTATCTACTTCATATTTTATATTTTTAAAAATAATTACACATTTTAATTATATTTTAGATTTGTATTGTATTATAATTATTTTAAATAATATATTAATTAATAATATTTCTTTTAAATTCTAGTGTGTAGCGTAATTATAACATCGTACCTCAACTGGAAGGAGTATTTTCTCTATCAAACAATGAACATTTGAATGAAATAAATAGAGTTGTCGGTAGGCCAGCCCCCACCAAACTTAGAACATTTACTGTAGTATTATATAATACTGAGCGTGGGATTTCATTGATATTTTATTTAGCATAGCTTCAGCATAAAATTTTGGCGACAATTATTAGAAATATTTTGATACTTATATATAAATTATTTTATCAAATGAATACTTTTAAATAAGAAAAATTAAAATAATAATTAGAACAAATACATTAACTTAGTATAAAGTGAATATATGTATTGTTTTAATAGTTTAAAAAATTAATCCCCTTTCGGCAAAACACATTGCATGGAGGTTTGAATGAGCTGCAGTGGCGGTTGCCGCCGGACAATTAATACTAAAATGACACGTGGATGACGGATCCGGCAATCTCGGAAATATTATAATTATCTAATTGAGGAACTACTTCGTTAGAATTGCTGTATCTATCTGTCGTTCACAGATTTGAATTTTTTTTATTTATTTATTTTTTTTTTTGTAAATATTTTTCAGCATGGGCGTGATGGGGGTTGAATTTGGACATTGCTGAGTCAACATATTATTGGCTGGGAAAGTATATATGTGTAGGCTGCAAGTATGGGATTCATTAGTCATACTATACACAGCTAAGGAGATTAAATTATAAGGGTTTGTCTGAATTCTCTTCGCTTACAGCTGCCTGCAATGTAATGCAATGCAATGCAATGCAGAGGGAGGGATATCTAAACGACAAAATTAATTCAGTTGTTGTAGTACATAGTGTACCCTTGTATTTATTTCTGAGGTTGACAGTTCTTATACTTGTCCTATTTTCTTCAAGTGTAATCCAAATAAAAAGGATGGGAGGGGGAGGGGATTGAGGATATGTTTTTTCTTTTTTTTAATAGATACCAAGAAATTTTGATTTAAATTTAATATTAAAATAATATAATATAATATTAGGTGAGAAAAAATAATATATATATTTTATAAACATAGAATTTTAATAGTAAAAATTTAAAATTTAAAATAAAAGAAACAAATTCTGATTTTTCTCTTGCAATTTTGCAAGAGAATTGGTGATGGAACAAGGACTAGTCACAGTAAGATGGATGGATGAAATTTTAAAATATTTTTATTTTCTTATTTAATAAAAAATAATTAATTATATTCAATTCATAATAAATATATATGATATTCACATCAAGCATTCATCACAACTTATGATTTCTAAGTCATTCTAATTACATATCTGACTTACGTGTCCAAAATAAAAAAAAATTATGCAATATTGTAAAAAAATATTGAGAATGATACTTCTCAAAAAATAAATGGATATGAAAGGAATGGTGTATAAGATTTATAATTTTAAAAAATCGAGCGTCTTCCCCATTTGCGAAAGATATAGTGGGCTTTATTAAATGGGCGCAATATTTTTATGTGGACTTATTTTACAAAGTAAGCCCAATTTTAGGGTCCAATTGTGCCGCATGAATATGGAGGCTGAATCGCCAATAAATCTGTAGCCCGTAACTCTGGAAGCTTCTCGAGGGGTGACGATACTGAATATCGGAGATAAATTTCCAAATCGTTCGCAGGTTCGATTCAACGATAATTTCAGGCAGTTGGAAGAATTTTCAGTGAAAGAAAGAGAGAGATATTAGCATGGCGATCGGGGAAGATGTGGCGCTGGACCTGGAAGAATTAAGGCAGCTTCAAAGCATCGCGAAGAGGCCTCGCGTTGTTTCTCTTATTTCGTCCGAGATTCGCAATTTGGAAAAGGTTTGTCTGTGACTTTTCGCTTCCATATTTGTATGGGACTTTTTTTTTTTTTTTTTTTCACTCATAAGCCGGATTTGTTGTTTATCTGCCGTTGTGTACTCAGAAATGTAGTGCAAATAGGTATTAGATTGTGTTTTAATGCGTTCGTATTAAACTAATTTGTGCGTCAAGCTATTGGATTCGCTGTTTGTCTATGCCTTTTATAATGATACAAGATACAATTGATTCTGCAATATTGATTCTTTTCTGATAACATTCTGATTGCTGTCCACCTTTATTTTCATTTGTAGATTTTATTTTCTCCGTGAACTCCTAGATACATTTATCAGATGATAAACTTGTTAGTTTGATAGCATTTCTGCGCGAGTGATTTTATTGGTTCTCGACCGTGTGCTTATCGATTTGCTGCGGCATCTTAATGTTATTTGTATGATATTACCTTTCAGTTGTCAAGTGAAGCTGCTTCTGCACCATCTCTGGAATCATCGGCTCCAGTTTCAAGCGTTAATAAGCCAACTCCAATATCAAGTGCACCAAAGACTGCACCCGATCCAACGTTAAATTATTCTACCCTAAGTTCCTTCAGCTGGGACCAGGATAACGATCAATTGAAGGTCAGAATACCTGTTATGTTAGAGCTTTAACATGTTTTGTGCATTGATAATATAGGGAAAAAACAAGTTGAAGATTTGTTATTAAGTTGATTCATTATTTAGCAAAATTTGGTAATTACTGTGAATCCTTGCAAAATGCTTGAGAATCCATTGCTTGCTTCTGCTGTCTATTGTTCTTGTTCTCTAGCTATTTAGTTTGCTGACTATATTGATTGTATTAGCTTAGTTCCTTAACTGTTTCTGTGATGATGATAGATTCTGATCGTCTACTTGTTTGTGTTTGCGTAATTTATATTGTTACATTTCTTAGATTTATATATCATTGGAGGGGGTTGATCAAGAGAAGGTAGAAGCTGACTTCAAGCCTATGTCCTTCGATGTCAAATTCCATGATGTTCAAGGAAAGAACTACCGGTGTGCTATACCTAAGTTGAGCAAGGAGATCTTACCCGAAAAATGCAAGTTGATTGTGAAGCCTAAAAGGGTGGTTGTAACCTTAGTCAAAGCTTCCAAGGGAAATTGGTTGGATTTACACTTCAAAGAAGATAAGGTAATTTCGGAGCCCCAAAGACAAAATAAATGTGTATCAATGGAATTTGAATTAATGCATAGCATTTGGTGTCGCAGTTGAAGCCAAATTTGGACAAAGAGAAGGATCCAATGGCTGGGATTATGGACCTAATGAAGGTATGTTTATCCCATCTTTTACACGCGTCTCAATTTGTCAGTGTCTCACGGGGATTGCATTTGCAGAATATGTACGAGGAAGGCGATGATGAGATGAAGAAAACAATTGCCAAGGCATGGTCTGATGCGCGATCGGGCAAAGCAGCTGAGCCCATGAAAGGTTTTCGCTGAAGGTTAAGTTAAGTAGTCTGTCTCCCCTTGCTACACAACAGTCTAGCTGGATTATGTGTTTGGTTATGTATTCTTGGCGTTCTTCCCCTGAGGAGGAGTGTTTCATGTCTGATTTAAGTTTATTTACTACCAGCCTTGTATTTTGTGACTTTTGTCTCCGGGGATAAATATTTTGGTTTAACCTTGTGGATGAGGTATTATTTACAGTCCAAAAATTAATTTGAAAGTTCAGTTTTGTTAAATAACTGTTTCAAAAGGAATGTTTATCATTTATATATATATTAAGTATTAGGGAATCAACTCATGGAATCAATCAGCAGGTTTAGTTATCATAATTTGATGTTATTTGGATGTGCATAGTGCGATAGTTTTTCAAGAAGCTAAATTTCTTTATTCGACTTTTTGTATGCGCGTGTTTCAATCAATTCAATAGGGGAAATATATTCAAATTAATATATTTTATTTTAACTTTGTTTTTTGAATTCTTTAGTTTTATAATTAATAAAAATATTTTTTTAAATAAAATAATACATTAAAATACATTTAAATAAAAATCTTAAATACAATTAAACAAATATATATATTAATATTATGCATATTAAAACTAATTAAAAAAAATCTAAACCTAAAGAATTAATGTGTTTGTTTGTAGGATTTTGTCAAAATTCTATTATTCATTTAAATTTTTTCCCTAAAGCATCAAATCAAATACTTATTTTTTATTTTTTATATTATACTAAAAATCAATTTTACATTCAAAACATCACATCAACACCTATTTATATCACATCATAATCACATCATACAACTATTCAAATTCAAAATTTTTAATGTTCAAATTCCAATCCAAAATCTAAACCCCCAAACAAACACACCCTAGAAAGTAACTAGTACTAAAAATTATATAAAAAAATATATATATATATTATAAATATACACACATACACATGTGATGTGAGATGGTATAGATCAATTTGGTGCGTGCAGGAAATACCTTCCTAATTTAATGTTATTACCGTTGGAAACAACCGCCTTACTTAAAAACAAATAAAATAAAAGAAGCAAAACCAACAACGGCCTTACTTTCAAAACTAAACTCAAGATTGACAAGAGCTAATAATGTTAACGTTGGAAACAACCGCCTTACTTACAAAATTAATATAAAGGTCATTCAAGACGAGAGCTAATTATCATTAGTTGGTTAGTGTCCCTTGGAGAAGCAATTTCTCTCCCAACTTCTTCTCTTCGCCGACTGACAATTCAGGGTTCAGTCAATTTCCTTTCCTTCCTTCGCCGCGGCATCTTATCTTCTCGGTGGCCGTCCCTCATCATCTCAATTGGCTCTCTTAGGGGAGTCTAAGCTGGGTTGGATCGTGATGGGACGATCACATCTCTCAAGGCCGTCTGTCTTCACCCGCACGCCGAGACCCTACCCTACTCTCCACGGGAGCGCTGAAATGAAATCCATCGATCGCTTCTCAATCCGACATCGTCTTCTCCATCCATGGCCGTCGTTCATTTCCGGTTCTCCGTAGGGCAAGCGAATTGGTTTAAGTTTCCAATTATTTTTGTCAATTGCGTCAGTTCTTGAAGCATTCGGTTCGATTTTGATGATTGGGTATATGTTGCATGAACTAATTGAACGCCATTCTTGAACAGGTTCATTTATGGTTCTTCTTGTTGAAAGGGGGGAGACGAGACCGGGAACCTAATTTGCTTACTTCATGCCACTGTAAGTTATCCCCAAATTTTCAATTTTTTTTGGTCGACTGCATCTTTTCTTGAGGCATTTGGTTCGATTTGGTTGATTGGCGGTCTGTTGCAGGAATAAATCGAACGGCATTCTTGTTTAGGGTTCATTATGGTTCTTCTTGTTGAAAGAGGGGAGACCAGGAACTCTAATTTGATTTCCATGCCGCTGTAAGTTATCCCCAAATTTCCAATTATTTTTGTCGATTGCATCAGTTCTTGAAGCATTCGGCTAGATTTTGATGATTGGTGGTCAGTTGCCAGGAATAGACATAAAGCCATTCATGTTCAGTGTTCATTTATGGTTCTTCTTGTTGAGACGGGGAGACCTGGAACCCTAGTTTTTTATTATTCCATGCCGCTGTAAGTTATCCCCAATTGTCAATTATTTTGGTCAATTGCATCAGTTCTTGAAGCTTTCAGTTTGATTTTGATGATTGGCGTTCTGTTGCAGGAATAAATCGAACCCCACACTTGTTCGGGGTTCATTTATGGTTCTTCTTGAAAGATATCGCTCGTTGCATTGCCCTTCTTATGAGGTTCAATTCGACTTTTGGAAACAATGTTCCATCGTCTTCTTCTGGAAGAATTGACGTCTGGAGATGAGGTTCCATCATTTTCTTCTGGAAGCGATGTATTAAGCTTTGGCAGCAACTTTTTTGAGGTTCCAATTTTGTTTACCTGATTGCTTGCTTCATGACTACTAAAAGATTACTGGGTAAGGTTTATTTATTTATATTTTTATTTTTTTAATCTTCTGTATCTTGTTCCTAAATGATGAACTGCATTGACTGTACTTTCTTTATATTCCGTCTTAAAAGCTATTTTCATACGATTGATATCTACGACTTTGGAGATCAATCATGGCTCTGAAAGTGCAGGTGAGTTCTTTTTCTTTCTATCTATCTACTCTCCCCGTGGCGGAGATTGTTGAGCTCTTGAGATTTAAGCAAATTGTTGATATTTAAAGCATATTGTTGAGCTCTTGTTTTCGTCATATTCACAGCCTGCTTTGGGAAGATCTTTGGCATTTCTAAGGAAGCACTAACACTTGGATTCCTTATGAATACTAAAAGGTTTGGTGGAGCATATTGTTTTTAACATTGAGAAATACAGTGGGGTCAGTATATTAAATTGCATAATTCATTATCAATTGACGTTGTATGTTTCTTTGTTGACCCCAAGGTCCTCGGGAAAAGCCTGCGCCCGGACATGCACAGGCGGCAGGAATTTACAATCAAAATTGGAGAACTTCAAGAAAGAAGGATTGTTCGATTAAGTACAAGGGAAGTGTGGTGAGTGATGAAACTGAAGCAATGGAGACCACCAAGGGACACACTTGTCTCTGCAACCTATTGTGGGATGAATCCCAAAGGGATAGTTGGCTGCAACCCTGAAGAAAAAGTACTACAAGTGCCTGGAATTAGGACCGATTGGGAACCTGCTGATCTGTTTGGGCTTGTCGACAGTTGATGAGCAGAGAGATTGATCAAGTCTTTTAACTTCGAAAGTGTGTTTATTTATGTTTCTCTTCTCCTATACATATATACTATTTTTTTTTAGATGTTCAGTGAAATGGAGCATGCTTGTGGGGTTGAAGAGGAGTGCATTAAAAATTAGGATGATTTGCAACCAAAAGTAGGGCATAGGACTTAGATGTGTATTGTTTATAGTTTTGGATATAGTGTATAGTGTATAGAATTCAGTAATTTAAGGGCATACGGCATAGGATATATAGTTGAGGTTATGATTTAAGAAATAGGGCATAGGTGTATGTAGTTCAGGTTGTTCAGTGCATAATATTGTTGTCCACTACCTGCATGGGCTGGAGTTCATATAAAACTAGGATGATTTGGCAACCAAAAGTAGGGCATAGGAATTAGAAGTGTAGTGTTTATAGTTTTGGATATAGTGTATAGTGTATAAAATTTAGTGATTTAGGGCATAGGATATAAAGTTGAGGTTATGATTTAAGAAATAGGGCATTGGTGTATATAGTTTAGGGTTGGTCAGTGCATAGTAATGTTGTCCACTACCTGCATGGGCTGGAGTTCATAAAAATCAGGATGATTTGGCAAATAAAAGTAGGGCATAGGAATTACAAATATAGTGTAGTTTTGGATAGTGTATAGTGTATAGAATTTAGTGATTTAGGGGCATAGGGCATAGGATATATAGTTTAGGTTACGATTTAAGAAATAGGGCATAGGTGTATGTAGTTTTTAGATTGGTCAGTGCATAATATTGTTGTCCACTACATATACAGAGCTCTGCTATATGTTGATATTACCTGGACGTGTTGGTTATTATTATTTGATTTTTCCCTTTTATATTTCCAGTTCTGCCCCGTTTGATCAGGTGTAAAGCTAACTCTCTCTTTTGCCCAAGGTACAATTTCTTGGGATGCTGGGTCTGAGTCTGGGTTGGGTCTTGGTCTGGGGTATGCCTGGGCCTGGGTTTGTTTGGGTCTGATTCTGGTCTAGATTTGGGTCTTAGTTTGGTCCTGGTCTAAGCTGGTGTGGGTCCGGTGTATGCTAGGCTTGGTGGTTCTGTAGTGGTGTATTGTTGTTATATATTAATATTTCTTTTATATCTTTTTATTTTCATTGTTTTATATAATTGTAATCTAGCTTGTTTGATTGCAGAAATTTACAGGCTTACAGCTAACATAAAACCTTGTACATTGCTACTGTTTGATATTGGAAGGAACTGAGGAAGCCAAGCACGACTACATAAGATAGAGTGGAAAAAGAAGGGAGGAAAGTTGGATGCAGCTTCTTGTCATTGAAATGAAGCTTCAGGATGTTCATGGTATGTATTTTTGTTTTTCATATGTTCATGATAGTGTTTTGGGTTATTTATATCATCATTTTTAGAAAAATAAAATTTATTCTTATTCAAATCTTTTTCAAAATGTTATACTACCATTTATGTTTTATTTAGAGGTAAGAACTCATTTTTGCTTTGATTTATATTATTTCAACTCTTTAAAAAAAATAAAATAAAAATTGATACAGTTATTTTTTTTTTTAATGAAATAATGAACTCATTTTTCTCTTTAAGTCAAGTTCTTCCAATCCTTAAATCTGCATTTTTAAAATTTTTTGAGTAGTTTTTCCTCACCTTTCTTACTTTAGCTGAACCCATTAAGTTCTACCTTACTTTATTCTTTAATTCAAGTTAAGGATATTATGGTGACCATCTAAAGAAATGTTTTTGTTATGTTTCACCTTACTCTAAGTGTCGTGATTTCATAATTTTCACCATGTGTAGCTCTTGATTCTTTTATTGGGTTGTTATTTCTACCAAGTCTTTTGTCTAAAATCTATGCTTAAAGTACTGAACTCTGGCTAATATCGGTTAAAATTCTATTTGAATGTGTAACTTTCCTAAAATATTTTTGGAACCCTTAAAACTAAGGAAATGGTTGATTGGGTGATTCTACAAACCACACTTACGAGTAGGAATTTTGGCCATTTTTTCATTTTTTCACTATTGCCTATCATAGTTAAACAATTGAGATGTTTGAGTTTTCCCTTAAAATTGGCAAAGATGTCGAATTGGGGTGATTAATCATTCAAGGGAAATCTAAACATATGCTTAAAGTGTCGAACTCTTGCTAATATCTGTTAAAATTTTATTTTAATGTTTTAACTCTTATTCCTAAAGCATTTTTGGAACCCTTAAAGCTAAGGAAGTGATTGATTAGGTGATTTCACAAACCATTCCTATTTATTAGTAAGAGGGGAAATTTTTACAACTAAAATGTGTTTTTTCAAAAATTTTGGCCATTTTTTCATTTTCCACTATTGTCTACCATAGTTAAAGAGTTGAGATATTGAGTGCTCCCTTAAAAATGGCAAGGACGATGAATTGGGTGATTCCACAAATCATTCCTTAAAATCAAAGGAGAAATCTAAACATATGCTTTTTCAAAGAGATTGTTAAACTATTGCTAATAATAACAAATATTATTTAAATATGTTAACTATTCTTGAAGCATTTATGGAACCCTTAAAACTAAGGAAGTGGGTTGCTTGGGTGATTCACAACCACTCCTATTAGTAAGAAGGGAAATTTTTACAACTAAAATGTGCTTTTTCATAAATTTTGGCTATTTTTTCATTTTCCACTTTTGCCTACCTAGTCAAGCAGTTGAGATATTTAGTGTCCTTTAAAATGGCAAGGATGATGAATTGGGTGATTCGAAGATATTGTTGAACTATTGCTAATAATATCTGTTAAAATTTTATTTAAATATGTTAACTCTTCTTGAAGCATTTATGGAACCCTTTAAAACTAAGGAAGTGGTTTATTGGGTGATTCCACAACCACTCCTATTAGTAAGAGGGGAAATTTACAACTAAAATGTGTTTTTTCAAAAATTTTGGCCATTTTTTCATTTTTCACTGTTGTCTACCATAATTGAGCAGTTGAGATATTGAGTGTTCTCTTAAAAATGGCAAGGATGATATGAGTTGGGTGATTCCACAAATCATTCCTTAAAATCAAAATAGAAATCTAAACATATGCTTTTTTAAAGAGATTGTTGAACTATTGCTAATAATATATGTTAAAATTTTATTTAAATATGTTAACTTTTCCTGAAGCATTTATGGAACCCTTAAAACTAAAGAAGTGGTTGATTGGGTGATTCCACAACCACTCCTATTAATAAGAGGGGAATTTTTACAACTAAAATGTGTTACTTAAAAATTTTGGCTATTTTTCATTTTCCACTTTTGCCTACCTAGTTAAGCAGTTGAGATATTTAGTGTTCCCTTAAAATGGCAAGGATGATGAATTGGGTGATTCCACAAATCATTCCTTAAAGTGAAAGGGGAAATATAAACATATGTTTTTTCAAAGAGATTTTTGAAGTTTTTCATCTAAATCTACGCTTAAAGTGTTGAACTATTGCTAGTATTTGTTAAAATTTTATTTAAATGTGTTAACTCTTATTCTTAAAGCACTTTTGGAATCCTTAAAACTAAGGGAGTGTTGGGTGATTCCACAAACCACTCCTATTACTAAGAAGGGAAATATTTACAACTAAAATGTGTTTTTTCAAAAATTTTGGCCATTTTTTCCATTTTCACTGTTGTCTACCATAGTTAAGCAGTTGAGATATTGAGTGTTCCCTTAAAAATGGCAAGGATGATATGAATTTGGTGATTCCACAAATCATTCCTTAAAATCAAAGAGAAATCTAAACATATGCTTTTTCGAAGAGATCATTTAACTATTGCTAATAATATCTGTTAAAATTTTATTCAAATATGTTAACTCTCCCTGAAGCATTTATGGAACCCTTAAAACTAAAGAAGTGGTTGATTGGGAGATTCCTAAGAGGGGAAATTTTTACAACTAAAATGTGTTTTTAAAAATTTTTGGCTGTTTTTTCATTTTCCACTTTTGCCTACCTAGTTAAGCAATTGAGATATTTAGTGTTCCCTTAAAATGGCAAGGATGATGAATTGGGTGATTCCACAAATCATTCCTTAAAGTGAAAGGGGAAATTTAAACATATGTTTTTTCAAAGAGATTTCTCGGAATTATTTCATCTAAATCTACGCTTAAAGTGTTGAACTCTTGCTAATATCTGTTAAACTTTTATTTAAATGTGTTAATTCTTATTCCTAAAGCATTTTTGGAACCCTTAAAACTAAGGAAATTTTTACAACTAAAATGTGTTTCTTCAAAAAAATTTTGCCATTTTTTTATTTTCCACTGTTATCTACCATAGTTGAACAATTGTGATACTGAGTGTTCCCTTAAAAATGGCAAGGATGATATGAATTGGGTGATTCCACCAATCATTCTTTTAAATCAAAAGAGAAATCTAAACATATGCTTTTCCAAAGAGATTGTTGAACTATTGCTAATAATATCTGTTAAAGTTTTATTTAAATATGTTAACGCTTCCTGAAGCATTTATGGAACCTTTAAAACTAAGGAAGTGGTTGCTTGGGTGATTCCACAACCACTCCTAGTAAGAGGGGAAAGTTTTACAACTAAAATGTGTTTTTTCAAAACTTTTGGCCATTTTTTCATTTTCCACTGTTGTCTACCTTAAAAATGGCAAGAATGATGAATTGGGTGATTCCACAAATCATTCCTTAAAATCAAAATAAAAATTTAAACATATGCTTTTTCGAAGAGATTGTTGAACTATTGCTAATAATATCTATTAAAATTTTATTTAAATATGTTAACTCTTCCTAAAGCATTTATGGAACCCTTAAAACTAAGGAAGTGGTTGATTGGGTGATTCCACAACCACTCCTATTAGTAAGAGGGGAAATTATTACAACTAAAATGTGTTTTTTCAAAAATTTTGGCCATTTTCTCATTTTTCACTGTTGTCTACCATAGTTGAGCAGTTGAGATATTGAGTGTTCCCTTAAAAATGGCAAGGATGATATGAATTGAGTGATTCCACAAATCATTCCTTAAAGTGAAAGGGGAAATCTAAACATATGTTTTTTCAAAGAGATTTCTGAATTATTTCATCTAAGGAAGTGTTGAACTCTTGCTAATATCTGTTAAAATTTTATTTAAATGTGTTAACTCTTATTCCTAAAGCATTTTTGGAACCCTTAAAACTAAGGAAGTGGTTGATTGGGTGATTCGACAAACCACTCCTATTAGTAAGAGGAGAAATATTTACAACTAAAATGTGTTTTTTCAAAAATTTTGGCCATTTTTTCATTTTCCACTGTTGTCTACCATAGTTAAACAGTTGAGATATTGAGTGTTCCCTTAAAAATGGCAATTGGGTGATTCCACAAATCATTCCTTAAAATCAAAAGAGAAATCTAAACATATGTTTTTTCGAAGAAATTGTTGAGATTGTTGAACTATTGCTAATAATATCTGTTAAAATTTTATTCAAATGTGTTAACTCTTCCTTAAGCATTTATGGAACCCTTAAAACTAAGGAAGTGGTTGATTGGGTGATTCCACAACCACTCCTAATCCTATTAGTAAAAGGGGAAATTTTTACAACTAAAATGTGTTTTTTCAAAAATTTTGGCTATTTTTTCATTTTCCACTTTTGCCTACCTAGTTAAGTAGTTGAGATATTTAGTGTTCCCTTAAAATGGCAAGGATGATAAATTGGGTGATTCCATAAATCATTCCTTAAAGTGAAAGGGGAAATCTAAACATATGTTTTTTCGAAGAGATTTCTGAATTATTTCGTCTAAATCTAAGCTAAAGTGTTGAACTCTTGCTAATATCTGTTAAAATTTTATTTAAATGTGTGTTAACTATTCCTAAAGCATTTATGAAACCCTTAAACTAAGGAAATGGTTGATTTGGTGATTCCACAACCACTTCTATTAGTAAGAGGGGAAATTTTTACAACTAAAATGTATTTTTTCAAAACTTTTGGCCATTTTTTCATTTTTCACTACTGCCTACCATAGTTAAACAGTTGAGATGTTGAGTGTTCCCTTAAAGATGGTGAGGATGATGAATTGGGTATTCTATAAATCATTCCTTAAAGTTAAATGGGATATCTAAACATATATTTTTTCAAAGAGATTGTTGAACTATTTCGTCTAAATCTACTCTTAAAGCGTTGAACTCTTCCTAAAGCATTTTTGGAACCCTTAAAACTAAGGAAATGGTTGATTGGGTAATTCCACAAACCACTCCTATTAGTAAGAGGGGAAATTTTTACAATTAAATGTGTTTTTTCAAAAATTGTCCATTTTTTCATTTTCCATTATTGCCTACCATAGTTATACAATTGAGATATTGAATGTTTCCTTTAGAAGTATCGTAAAGAAAGTTCCTTAATTTGTACTCTTTGTTCTAAACATATAGTATTTTTGTTGACTTGATCATTGTTTCAAGATGGTGAAGGAATACATGGTATAGACTCTTTTCTGTGTTGTTCTACTTCTTTTTTATTGTACTTTCTTTATGTTTTCCAGTGTCTTGAAAGCCCTTGCCATACGTTTAATTTATAAGATCTTGAAGATCAATTACAGTGGTTTTGAAAAGTTTGCAGGCAAGTTCTTTTTCTTCTTTCCAACTCTCTCTCTTACCCACTCTGTCTATTATTCAAACTATTTACCTGATGTTGGCCTTTGACCTTAGCTCTCATTTTAATACCCCTCTTTTCTTTCCAACCAACATTTGTATGCTTTTAGTGTATGTAGTGTAGACTTCATGTTTCATTTTTGTATTATTTCTCAATGCTAATGAATGAATGGAATCCCATGAAAGGAATATCCGTATTGCACAAAGGTAATTTCCATACAAGAGATTTCCAATTTGCAGTTGTATTCTACTTTAGTTTTAACATATTTTTTCTTTCAAATTTCTGCACTTCAGTACCCGGATCAGTTTTTCAAGTAATCAAATTTTAACTTCCAACATAAGTCTCATTTCGGATATTTTATTTCTCATGCCCTAATGTGATGAAACTGAAAAAATGTTATATTACTAACCAAACATGCTACTGTATTTAATTATTGCTCTTAACTGTCGGTCATTATATTAAGTTGTCCTTGAAGGTTTCTTCACATTGAATGACTTGAGAGGTAATAAACATTTTATATCTAATTTTTTGTTTTAAAGTTACTTAACAAATATATAATTATCAGTTCTACACTTCTCTTTAGGTGTTGGCATTTAGAAAGATAATTTATGTCCAATTTCCTGCTCAGGTATTGCTGGCTGCAATACAGAAGGATGATCAATAGTTAGCGTATGTGTCAACATCTAGTGTAGGTTCTTCAATCATTGAATACTTTTTTGACTTGGCAAACAAAAATGCCAAATTCATAAGCTACAATGACTCACCAAGGAAAATTTATGGCAATCCAATGGGCAAGGGTTTTTTTTTTTTTTTTTGATCATTTATTTTCAAATACCCCAAGATGCTTCTTTATGGATTTAGGTAATGCTACACACATTTATTTTTCTGCTTGATCGGAGCACATATTAGAGAAGGTTAAGGATATTGTGGTGTTGAAATCTAGTATTTCCTCCGTTGGGTGGAATAGATAAACAGATTGATTTCAAGTATTTGGGCTTTTATTTGAACGTTTGATTTTTTAGATTTTGTGGAAAATCATCTATTTTATAGCATCTTATATTTTATTGTCAATTATCAATGTGTCTCTATTTTACTTTTGGACAATCTTGTTTATTTATCAGTTCATCATTTAGTTTGTTTAAAATAGCTAGGTGTCCTTGCCATATCTGAAAGCTGGTGAACATCATTAGAAAATCTGATTGCACCTCACAACGATTGGAGACCACACTTAATTTGTTCTAAATCATGAAAGCCTTCGGGAGGTAAATGACCAAAATTATTATATTGTCCTCTATCTCGTTTTATTTGTCTACTCACTTTTAATGATGATTTAGTAGTTATTTTATCACAGTTGTATTGACTGACAGGTGAATAATTGTGGACAGTCAATCATGCAAATTAAGTGCTACTCTCAACTTAAAGAAGCATGAGAGTGCAACCGAAGTAAGAAGATCTTTCTGTAATCTACACTACACCTTCTTTGATGTTAATTTCTCTTTGTGATTTTCCTTTCTTTATTTATTCTTTTATTGTTACGTCTTTCAGTGCAACTTTTATATATATATATATATATTTTTATCTCTAGCTTAACAATTTGACTAATGTTTCTTGAATATTATATTTTCAGCTGCATTAGAAAATACATCTCAGTTACAAATCTAATCCTCCAAACCATCTTAATGCAAATAAGTCTATAATTATGTTCATTACTTCACTCCTCTATTCATATTAATATTTTTTTTATCTTGATATGTGCATTTCTTTTTTGCTAAGGGCTGGCATACTTGAAAATTTACGTGTTTGTTTAAACTGTTTGCTATTTGTATGTTCAGTGCAGATAAGCCTGTAAGCCTACATATTTGTATGAGCAATGTACTTATTATCTATTGAGGTAACCATACGTAAGCATGCGTATTTGTAGGACTATGAACTTATTATTTATTGGGGCAGGTGTTCCAAGAAAATTTGCACATCTACTTGAACTGTGTATTTATAATATGTTGGGGGCAGTCATGCTTGAAAGTCAGCGTTTCTTTGATGATATGTTATTTTCTACTGAGTGTAGATGTGCCCAGGAGCTTAAATATTTGGTTTGCTAGAAACCTGACTAAGTGCATATTCTGTTAGGGGGAGGAATGCAATAAAACCTGCAAATGTTGTTTAATTGTGTGCTAATTATCTATTGGGAGCAAGCATGCCTGAAAGCTTGGATATATGTTTTGAGTATGTGCCCCCAAAGCTTGTTTATTTGTTTTGATTGTGCGTTTATCTTTGTGTTTGAAAGCTTGCATTTATGTTTGATTGTGTGCTTGGTATCTTCTAAAAGATGTGCTTGACTATTGACTTGCTTGTTGACATTTGGGAGGTGTGCTAGCAAAGTTGCATGTGTATGTTTGGATTATGTGTTTGCCTTTAAGCATGCACATATGTTACATTGTGTACTTACTTTTTTATTGAGGTAGGTGTTCCCATGAGTCTAAATGTCTCTTTTGATGGTGTTTATTTTCCAGTTCTGGATAACATGTCTGAGAGTTTGCATATCTATTTAGATGGTGTGCTTTTGGGGCAAATGCGGAAAGCCCGTATATCTATTTTAACTATTTGCTTGCTTGTCTACATTTTGGTGGTGTGCTAAAAAAATTGCATGTATGTTTGGATATATGTCTTTACCCGTAAATGCATATATATTGCATCACGTGCTTACTTATTATTAGGGTAGCCATGGGTCTATTTTGAGAGCTTGTTTTAACATGTGTTGTTTATTCAATTGCTATTTTGTTTATGTGTCTTTGCTTGAAGGCTCGCATACCTTTAATTGTGTGCTTATTTAATATTTATCAGGCAGGCATGCATGCCCAAAAGCTTGAAGATCTAGTGAGCCCCAAAACCTACATATTTGTTTTGACTACATGCATTAGTTTTTAGGGGTAGGTTTGCCATAAAAAACTGCACATGTGTTTTGTATAATTATTAATTTTTAGAAGCAAGCTTGCATATATGTTTTGACTATATGGTTATTGGGTTTTGGCATGCTTAAAAGATTGTTATTTGTTTTTATATGTTTAATGTTGCAAACGTGCATGAAAGCTCACATACATGTTTTGACTTTATGCTTAATGGCTTAATATAAATGCATTAAAGCTCCTTTTTTTGTGACTATTAATTTGTTGAAGATTGACGTGCTTGAAAGACTGTATTTGATTGGACTATGTGCTTGTGATCTTGAAAAAAACATATTGTATGTCGATTTTGATTTTGATTTTGATTTTGATTTTGATTTTGATTTTTATTATTATAGAAATGGGTGTACCCAATATCTCATATGATTGTTGAGTTTGCCTACATGGCCATTTGAACTGTTTACTTAGTGGTCTGGTAGTCATATTTGTGTGCTTATTTTATGTTAGGGCTAGCTAGCTATCTTTGAAACTTAGGAAAACATATTCCAAAAACTCGCTAAGCTTGAGAGTTGAGACTGAATTAGCTAAGATTATTAATCCAACAAACTCTCTTAATCTTGATCTAACTCAAATTAGTTTTATTTCTATTGTCACATATCAATGAATGGCCTTATAAACAAAGATCTCAATTAGTAGCCATATTATATGAATTGAGACCAAAGTCTTCAACTCCAAAAAATCCATAAGTTCAACATGGAATAGCTTCTTGTTAGGAACCAAAAGAAATAGTGAATGCATGGGGAATAGCTTCAATCCTATGATTCTGGCAAAAGGAATATTCAGGTTTTTTCCATCAAATAATTCTTATCATTCCTTCGAATCGATTTTTTCATTTCTTTCAAAGTAACGTTCAGATTAATGTGATTAGATTCTAGTCTTAATTCATAAATCGGTGTAAATTATTACGACTTCAACTAAATCGTTGGTGGGGAATCATTTTTGTGACTCATGCAATTAAGGAGTTTTTCATGTTAATCGTATAGAGGAATTTTAGGATCAATTAATTTTTTTTATTTTAAAAATTATATTAAATATTAATTTTATATTTCAAATTTTATATAAATTTGTATTTATATCAAAAAAATAAATAATTAAAATAATAGAAAAAATAGAGAAAAAACGGTTATCTACAAAGACTTAGAACTAAGAGTCAAAAAATTATCTGTCCAGTTGTATATATATTACAATTATTAATTTTGCTTATATCGAATTACTTTATTTTTTATTAATTTTGAATATAGTCCTATAGTATGATTCATAAAACCGACTAAGCTCAGACAACCAATACGGCTGGGCCTATTACTTTATTCTTTACATGAACATGACTGTGTTTGTCCTGTGTTTATGCCATTGATACTTTCTTGACATACCAATGTGATATTTAATGACCAATACAAATATATTATCTTCTTATACAAAATTAAATATTCAATATAAGATATATTTATATTACCAATACAAATTTTAATATATTATATATTTAAAAACTACTTCAAACAAAAATATTAAACAAGCGCACCCGAAAGAATTTGTTATGGAACTTTTGTAGTGCAACTAGAGCAGACAAAAATAGGCACGGTCTGAAAATTTGATCCGAACTTGGCACAAAAAAATTGATTGAGCCTCCAAAATTATATTCGAAAATTGTATGGGTTGTGCTTGGCCGCTCACTAATTGTTGGGACTGGGTCAACTCTTGAATTTGTTTTTGGGCTGAACCCGTACGGATTTCTTTTTGGATATTTTCCAAAAAACCTCATGCTAGTGGAGTTCAGAACTTATAAGGTATGAAGTTTTCTTCACAACTTCCGACGTGGACTTAGGTTTGCACTCGAACAGTAATGATAAAAATAAAGATATGACTTTACGATAATTATTTAACACCTTAACTAATAAAAAAAATACCCCTTTTATTTATGTTCTAAGCTTGAAGGGAGGATTTGACCATAACTATTTAGCACCTTAACTAGTGATATTATTTATATATATGTCTAAATTTGTATATATAACTGTTTATTTTATTTTATTGTACATAAATAATAATATTTAATATATAAAATAGTTGTATTAAAGATAAAAAGAGTATTTTTATGTTTGTGTTTTTTTAAATACTATCAAGTTATATTATTATTAAGTATATTGAATTTTTAAATAATTATTTAAAAAATAATTATTATATAAGGTTTTTTTTTTTTCCCTTGAACAGATGAAGTATATATAGGGTCTGTTTATGTGGGGAGTTCGGATTTTGAATTAGGATTTGAATAGTAAAAATTTTGAATTTGAATAATTGTATGATATGATATAAATAGGTGTTGAAGTGATGCTTTAAATGTAAAATTGATTTTTAGTATAATATAAAAAATAAAAAATAGGTGTTTAATTTGATGCTTTTTTGGGGAATAAAAATGAGATGAATAGTATATTTAAAATCCAATCCCCTAAACAAACACACCCATAGTATATCCTAGTATTTATTATGGCATCAAACATACTCTATCACAACCAAAACATTGTAAAACCATAATTATAAATTTGCTATTTGAAAAGCATATGGTTTCATGTGCATTTCTAATATTAGTCAAAACTCCCAATAAGGTTATCAATATAAAAAGCAACTCCCAACCTTGATTTGTAATATATTTATCATTTTATTTCTATATTAAAAACGTGTTAGAATGTCCTTTGTAATGTGTTGATTATGGTATCGATTACCCTTGAACAACGTATATATTCAAAATTCATAAATTATGCTACCTTTTATGTTTACTAAATTTATGTTTTTTATTTATAACAAATAATTTTTATACTTTTTAATTTATATAATTTAATATTATACTTATTTACATATTATGTCTCACCATTACTTAGATATTTAATTTATAAAAAATATAAAAAAAATCATAGTAATTCACTCGTATAGTTATTAAAATAATTATATTTTAAGGTACATCCAACTAATATAATATTCTCTCATTTTCATTTCTATTTGTCTTTATATACTTTAATTTTATCATAAATTTTTTAATTTATGATTTTTAAAATTTTAAATTAGACTTATCTTAATTTTAAATTATTTTTATTAAATAATAATTATTTTTATTAATACATTTTTTACTATTTATTAAATATATCCCTCTTAAATTGTTATGTCTATCATAAAAGGGACACCATAGCTGACATTGATGAAGTATTATTAATCAAAATTTATGTCAAACTCAAATAAATTTAAAAGGAGAAAATCATTTTTAGTCCTAATATCCAATGTAAAAACTTATCAATTTTGGTCCAAATATAACCAAAATTTATCATTTTTTGTTCAAATATAACCAAAACTCATCATTTTTGGTCTCAATATAATTTTTTTTTAATCAATTTTAGCCCCAATATAATCAAAACTCATCATTTTTTGTCACAATATAATCAAATCTTATCTTTTTTGGTACCGCTGTCAACAAACCGACGGAAAATGTTGACTTAAAAAGAAATCAAACATTATATTTATATTTGAAGAAATTGCACAATCTTGAAAGTCCACGTCAATATTTTCCGTCGGTTTGTTGACGGTGGGACCAAAAAAAAATAAGATTTGATTATATTTGGACAAAAAAATGACGAATTTTGGTTATATTGTGACTAAAATCGATAAAAGAATTTATATTGGGACCAAGAATGATAGTTTTGGTTATATTTGGACAAAAAATTGATAATTTTAGTTATATTGGGACTAAAATTGATAAAAAATTTATATTGGACCAAAATTGATAAATTTTGATTATATTGAAATAAAAATAATTTTTTCCCAATTCAAAATTTATGGAAGATAAAAGTATATTTTATGTGTTTATACGAAAAACGCCTATAAATAGACCACAAATTGTAATACTCCTATTTGAAAAGCATATGGCTGCATGGGCATTTGTAATAATTTGTTGAAATAATAATAATAATTATTATAATAAGGAGGTGAAATGGAATAATTGGACACAAATTGAGGACATGGTTTGATGGGGAAGATTGCGACTTTCTCAAAGCCACTTCTCTTCCAATCGAAGCTCCTCTGTATCTCACTTGTCTACCTCTTCTCCGCCCTCTTCTTCGCCGCCCATTTCACCTTCTCCGCCACCAAATGCCTTTTCCGGTGGTCGCCTTTCGACCCTGTGCAGGCGCCGCTCTTCTCCTACCCCTCCTCTTATGGGGAACACAAGCATGCCATCCCTACCACGCGCTCCTCCTGCGATTCCCCTGTTTACTTCTCAGGTATGATAATTTGGAACCGAATCGTTCGTGATTTGATTTTTTGGAGATTTTGGATTCATGAGCTCTGTTTCTTTGTTTTTAGAGTATTGGAAGGTTTTGAGGGAAATGCGGCGGATTGGTAATGATTATGGAGCCTTGAGGATGAGATATATGCAGGGGAATAATGATCGGAGTTTTGGTGGAAATCTGAGCGTGGCGAAGAGGTTTTCTTATTTTGATTTTCGTGGCGATGGAATCGAAGTTCCTTGTGGATTCTTCATACGTTTTCCGATTAGTGATTACGGTACGATCCTTTGCTTTGCGGACTGTTTTCAGAACGAAGAAATTCACTGTGTTGCAATTCGTTTTCATGTTCTTCATTTGCTGTTCTGAATTTCTCGATTGCAATCGCTGTTTTGATTTGTGTCCAGATCGGATTTCCATGGAGATGTGCGACGGACTGGTCGTAGCCTCCGCCATATTCAACGATCACGACAAAATCCGGCAGCCAAGGGGCGTTGGATCCGAAACCCTAAATTCTGCGTGTTTCTTCATGTTTGTGGACGACGCAACGCTCGATCGACTCCATTTCCACAACATGATATCAAAAACATCCACGGAATCTAAGATCGGTGCTTGGAGAATCGTCAAGGTCTCGAGCGAACAGCTATACGATGATAATCCAGCAATGAACGGAGTGATACCAAAGTACCTAATCCATCGTCTCTTCCCCAATTCAAAATACAGCATATGGATAGACGCGAAGCTGCAATTGGTAGTTGATCCATTTCTGCTGATTCATTCCCTGGTTGTGAAACAGAACGTCGATATGGCTATATCCAGGCATCCGTTCTTCACCCACACCATGGAAGAGGCCATGGCAACTGCTAGATGGAAGAAATGGTGGAATGTCAATGGAATCCAATTGCAAATGGAGACATACTGTGAGCATGGCTTGCAGCCATGGAACTCCACCAAGCCTTATCCCACAGGTACATCAAAACACTATTCCTTAATCAGCCATTAATAATGACTTTTCTTCCTTCGCACCCATTCATACTTTGCTTCCAACTGTTATACTCTGTTCCAACAAACATTAGAAGTTGAAGTGGGCCATCTGTGATTGATGGAAATATAGACAGTGCAGTTAAGACTGATGGGTAGTTTACTTACTGCTCCACATAATGATTTCTTTCCTTTTAGCTTGCTTAAACTTAAGGCCATGGCTTCATGAGTGTTCTTTAGTCCATTATCTCCAGACATTCTCCTCTCCTACTTTTTTCTAGAGTATGTTGTAAGAAAAGCTTTTTGTTCTTTTGCAATGGGGGATGTTGACACTATACATTCATTTACCTTGCAGCTTCTTGCTGGTTTCTTCTTTCAACTACTTTGTTTAGTGTTATCTGGGGAAGGAAGGGTGTATTCTTAAACAAACTTTGTATTGTATCTTGTGCAAGATATAAATGATTGTTTACAGGCATTGATTAATTCCCTTACTGTTACCAAATCTTTAAATAATAATATATTATTATTATAATCCAATTTGTTGGGCAAATGCAGATGTGCCAGACAGTGCACTAATCCTAAGGAGACACACTTTGGCAAGCAACCTGTTCTCCTGCCTGATGTTCAGTGAACTTGATGCATTCAACCACAGAGATCAACTGGCGTTTGCATTTGTGAGGGACAAAATGAAGCCCCAATTGAAGATGAACATGTTTGGGGTTGAAGTGTTTGAGCAGGTTGCGTTAGAGTACAGGCACAACCTCAAGGCAGGTGGGGCCAGCGTGGGGCCCAAGATAAAGAGGGCCCTTGACAGCCCTGATTTTCTTGGCAATGGGAAATGCGATGGCTATCTTTCAAAAATGTGGGGTGAATCCCATGATTGATTTGATGGGTAACCTTTTGTCTGATTCAGTTTTGCCTTTTTGCCCCTGCATGACAGAGACTGCTACTGACTACTGAGGTGTAACTAACAATACAGGTAAAGCTGACAACACATACCAGGTTGGCAGTGATTTCATTTATTATTAATTATATGTCCCATATGAACATCTTCTTTTGTATCCTTTTTTGGGTGTACACCATACGAATCTTGTTCATTTACATGTTCTTGTTACATGGGATGTTGGGGGAAAAAATTTATCCATGTAAAAAGAGTTATAGTAAGATAGAAACTTTTAATTTTTATAATACTAGTAATATAAAATTTATTATTATTATTATTATTATTTTTATCAGTCTTTTAAATTCATCTTATTATTAAATTTAGCAAAGTAAAAGAGCCTGCATTTAATATCATCCTCGTTCAATCTTTATTTACAATAAATATTATTAATCTTATTAAATTTTCTATTCATCTATTTTATTATTTAACTAAATGATCAAAAGTATCATTAACTTTTTCTTTTTTCTTTTTTTTTTTTATCTAAAAAATTCTGTTGTGTACTTGTATACGCTAGTGTTTTTTACCTATTTTTTTTCCATACATTCAAAAATATTTCTTTTTGCGTACATATATAAATATCAAAATTTATTTTACTTTTTTACAAAATATCAAAATAACTACAGACATCTACTGATAAATAAAATATTATTATTCTTATAATAAAAAATGTTCAATAAACAATTTATATAAAATGTGTAAATTATCATGGCCAAATATAGGTACCACAACATAATACATCAACAGATCAAAAACAGAAACTTAAAACAGCATATTTAAGCCCAATAACTGATCTTTGCATCTATGGGCTTTAGATAGATTGGGCCTTGTGTACTTTTTTAATAGTAGGCTCAATTTCTCTTTTTACCTCCTTAGTCTTGCCCCATTTTCATTTTCTCCAACACCTTATTTTTGCTGATCAGTAATCCATCCAATTGTAACTTTACGAAAACTCAAGGAAATACATAATTACAGAATTCTACAAATCACAAGCTAAAAACTCCTATTAACCATTAGAGTTACCCCAAAAAATAAAAACAATTAAAGCCCCAAACCAAACACGCGGGCGATATTAAGAGTTGAATTTAATATTTCAACAGCTACAAACTTTATTTCAATAAATTGGCTCAATCAATTTTGCATCTAATTTCCAATAATTAATAAATTTATAACTTACAGAGAGGGTTCAGTATTTATTATAAACTTTATTCTATAGTCAACTGCCAACTAATATACATAAATTTTTATTTCCGCAATAAATCCCACCCGATCTCAAACCTCAAAACTTACATATTTCCTTCCATAGCCTTCCCAAAAATCCGCCACGTATCTCGGGGAGGGGCATTTTCGTAATTTCACCGCAACGCTCACGCGTCACTCCTTGTCTATAAAGAAACCGTCCCAAAATTGTTAAACATGCCATCGACATTTCAACAGATTTTCTCCCCAAAATCTCGACTCCTTCCAATCTTCGCCGCCGGCCGCAATGTCGTCCCAGCTGATCGCCTCCCACCGTGAGAACGCCGAAGTCTACACCGGAGGGGATGTATGCAAGCAGAAGTCGTTGGAGCTGCTGGAGAAGATGAACCTCCCGAAAGGACTGCTCCCTCTGGAGGACATCATTGAAGTCGGCTACAACGAGGCGACTGGATTCGTGTGGCTCAAGCAGAAGAAGAGCAAGACGCACGTCTTCCGCGCGATCAATAAGAGCGTGTGGTACGACACCGAGATCACCGCGTTCGTCGAGGACCGTCGGATGAAGCACCTAACTGGCGTCAAGAGTAAGGAGCTCCTGATCTGGGTGACTATCTCTTATATCGCCATTCAGGATCCTAACTCTGGCAAAATTCTGTTCGCTACACCGTCCGGACTTTCCAGAGCTTTACCGGTCTCGGCGTTTGAGGAGGAAGAGAGCAACAAGGAGCAGAAATGAATTCAATATTCGTTAGACTAATTCGGTTCGTGTATCTCCTCAATCATATCATTTGATATGATTCTCGAACTATCCTTTCATTTCAAATCTAGGTTAATATTATTCGCGTAAGGTGTAAGCTATAAGTTATTATTAGCCTCGCCTGTTAAATCTCCTCTACTTCCATTACAAATAACTCGTTTAGATTCCGTGGAATATATTATTGCCTAGAATCAGTGTGTACTCTCTATTTGCCCTAATAATTCCTGAAATCGCTACATAAGAATGATTCTAAATTCTAATCATCCAAACATCTACTTCTTTGTTATATAATCATCCAAAAATCCAATCAATTTGGTGTATCAAATGTAGAAAAAACAAAAACAGTACCTCATTGAACTCTCTCGATCTCCGGTTGAATCTGGAGTCCTGCTGCTCTCATAAATGATTGCATTTATTGTTTCTAGCGACCTCTGAAGGAAGGTGGGTGGTTCTGGTGAATTGAATAATTTGGTTTTGATTTTGATTTTGATTTTGATATTTAGGTATCCACAGGGCTACCTAATCTATTGAGCTTTGGGGATGAACTACGTGCATATTTATTGTGTCATTGCAAGATATATGAATCACTCTCAGTTACTCAATTTGGTTTTATATCATTGGATCACATAAGATTCCCTTTGTATGGTTCGGTTCTTGTTACTTTGGACACAGATACAATTTTTCGACCATTACTTTCTTGATATATATACATATTTGAAGAAACTTATTTTGAGGTTGCATTGAATTCACGTGCTCTATAATTTTGGATTTCTGATTTGGGTAAGTATTGAATTTGGTTGCTATTTGAAGGATCCAAATTGAGTTGAGTTTTTCAAATCTGAAACACAAGAGACGAGGTTGCATTGAATTCGTGTCTTTCTTTCTCATTTTCGATTGTTACGTATTAATGGAACAACTACAAGAAAATTGAAAAAAGAAAAAAGAATAAACGGTCCATGGTGCGATGTTCTGAAGCCTTCAAGTCGCCTAATTTGTATGAGATTAAGGCTATGCTAAATTGTAAAATTCAGCACAATGGTAACATGATACATACAATATAAGGAATATTAATTTATATTAATACATACAAATATAACATGATATAGTTATATACTACAATTAATTTTAACATAATAAATATATTTATAATGTCACACCTATATAAGTATAAGATACAGTGCTCTAACCACCCTTAAAAAATTAGGTTGGTAACCATCCCCTATAAAATTACTACACATCTGACGCCATTAATCGGTTGTGCTTTTACAAAAAAAATTCGTATTCTTCCATTTCTTCCTAGACCCTCAAGCCAAATATACCCTTAGCGTTCATCATTTTATCGTTTGATTGCATTTCAACATACAAATGAATGATGTAACAATATTCTATTTCTAATTCATCAAAAAAAATTTTAAAATTACGATTGCTTGATTTTTGAAAATAAGTCTTTAATCTTTAAAGATCCAAAGAAGTTAGAGCATACTTCCTAAAGAACGTGAATGAAGAAATCTGCTTAGAAGATCCTTTGCATTGATTTGTGTTGCTTCTAGAACATCTATTAGCTGTAATAAAGTCAATTTGTTGTAGTTAGAACTTGAATACTCGAATTCGATATGCTATTTTGTGATCTTGATTAAAGGGTTGGATTTTCTATTCCATTCAGGGTTTTAAACCACAAATTGAATACTTATTTTTTTATTCCATATATTATATAAAAAGATCAAATTTTTATTTAAAATGGTGCCTCCAACACTTAACAAATAAGTTCTTATATTTTACGTATCACTATTCTTACAAAAGATTACAGACAAGTATATACAATTTCACTTTTGTGATGAAATGCACCTACCATTGTAATTTGTAGCAGGCATAAATTCTATGCCCACTCTTCTTATTGCTCTTGTGATGTTACATTACATACAAAGAACACATGGAATGATTGTTAATGTTGTCCAAAAATCAGTATACTTACGAGTTTCCTGCCTACTTCCTGTGTGTTATGATTTTTTCTTACATTTGTTAGTTCTCATCATCCCCTGTTTTTTCACACTTTCTTGACAACAGAAACAAATGATCGCCGTCCCGGATGACGTTTACGTCGTCTATTTCGGCATTCTCTGCGCTCATAACCGTTGCAAGGCTGTCGTCCCCAAACTTCTTGCCTGCATTTGATGATCAAACAGTTAGTCGACTCTATAATATATAAATAATAAATTGATGCGTATCCTTAAAACTTTTAGGTGAGACGGTGATTTAACACCAACAATGTTTCGCATCATCTTACTGGCGATTTCGAGCAGTTCTTGTAATGAATCCGGCAGAATGATCAGCTTGGGAAGCTGCTTTGTTCTGGAGGATTCATCAAACTTCATGTGAATGGTGACTCTCTTCTTCTCCGGCTTCGGTTTTGTTTCCTCTGCGATAATTGGACACGCCGAGCTGCTCGAGTCACTGACCAGAGAATTTCTCCGGCGATGATCAGGACCATGATCGATGATTCTTTCCGGCAAGTCCTTCACTGTGAAACCTCTCTCGTCCGGTTTTCTTACACTTACTCTTTTCTCGAGCAAAAGTTTCACCATTTCAACATGTCCCTGTCTGGTGGCAATGTGAAGAGCTGTCTGGACATCCTCGGCCGGCGACAAATTCTTTGCTGTCTCATTGTCGTCACAAGCTTTGTCGCCAATGTGGCTAAAGCTGTCCCGTTTATGGTTTAGACTCGGTTCCCATTGCCCCTCGATGTCGAAACTTCTGCACGCTTTCAATTTCTTGCAACGAAACCGGATATGAGCAGCCGACGAGTTATAGTTTTCATGAAAGGTGTAAGAGATCAAATTTACCATGAAAAGATTGTCCATGACAATGCGCTCGTCGTCTGGGCTGGCTTGTAGAATTCGAAGAAGAATCCTCTTGTTTAGCCTCAGAATTTGAGATATTTCATTAGTCCGAATTCGGAACGGCTGAGGTTGTCCACACAGAACTGCCGTCTCCCCAAAAATCTCCCCGGCAGATGCTTTCCTAACTATCTGTAAAGTTCAGGCAGAAACAAGATGTTGTCACAATGTAAGGCTTCGGACATCCAGCAGAAACAAGATCTTACTTGTTCTTGCTCTTCAATCTTGGCAATAAAATCCTGCGCGGCGACCAAAAAACAGTTTAGAATCCGGCTCCGGCACAGCCCTTGTAATAGGAAGCTGCAGGTACATGTAAGAAACTTACCACAGTTCCAGAAACAAGTATGTATGCGTCTGTGGGAGCTTCATTTTGCAGGATTACATCCTCCTTTGGAGGGAAGTACTCGGCTTCCAATTCAGGGACCTTCATATCCAATCGATCCGGTTCAAGAATCGTAACAAGTTCGTGAATGTACGATGATGAAATGAAAAATTATGTACCAGTTGCAGAAGGAAGTCCTGAGAGACGCCGCGGAAGAGGTAGACGCTCTGGACGATCGGGTAGAAAAGGAAATGCGCGATGCTGCAACGAATGGCCTTCGGCAGACCGTTGATCGCCTCCTGCTGTTTCAATCCTTCTGTCTTGAATTTCAGACATATGTGTGAGAGGACTTGGTCTTCAATCTGAGGGGGAAGCTGGTTCCTCTTCGCGAACTCGGAGGCTGCTCGGACAGTGTCGCGCTGTAAAAGAATCGACGACGCCATTATTATTAGGACGAAACAGGGGAGAGTTTGGAGTTGTTAGAGCATACGAAGTTTCGGGTTCGGCTTGTCCAATGGACGACAAGGTTTGTCATGTTGCCTATAAGATAGGCTGTCAATCCCAAGTTGAAGAGCATGTAGAAGATGTCGAAAAGCATCTCCCTCGGGTTCTCAGCGTGGAGGTCGCCGTAGCCGGTGGTTGTTAGTGTCACGATGGACCAGTACAATGCGGTGACGTAGCGGTCGCTTAGGCTCATGTCTTTGAAATCCGGGTAGACGGCGCCGATCCAGGTCCGGGTCGGGTCGGGATACCGCTCGGCGATCAGGTAGTTGAAGCATCCGGCGGAATGCACCACGAACAGAGTAACCTGGTTGGATTCAGCAAATTAATTTTAACAGGATTGGATTGGATTTGTAAATTGTAATGGAACTTACGGAGACGAGCTTGGTGCAGCGTGTCCAGAAGTAGTTGAATCGAATGTCCTTTTCGAGCCTGAAGCGGAAGAGATGGAGATGGTTAGAATCAGAAAGTTGAGATCGAATGATGATGATGTATAGGATAGGAGAGACCTGGCGAATAGGGAGCTGACACGTCGGAGACGCCATAGGCGAAGCATGCTGAGCAATTTGAAGCCGAGACCGCCGCTGTGATCTGAGAAGAGGAGGCTGAGAGATTGGAAGGGGATGGTCGAGCAGACATCGAATATGAACCAGGTCGACAAATACCTGCACTCATTATTAGGACATACACATACACACATTAAAACATACATATTTATATATATATATATATATTTAGAGAGAGAGAGAGAGAGACCTAATTGCTATCCGCTTGGGGTCGTCAATGAGCAGATACGACTGTGTGTCCAAATAGGCGACGAAGAAGGTGAGCACGATGTCGACGGCGAAGAAGGCGTTGACGAGGTTGTCGGCGACGAACAGCGCGTCTTGCTTGTAAGCCAGGAATGCGAACTCGAATGGGGAGATCCATGCCGAGTACACCACCAGCACAATCAGGAACATCTCCCACGCCCTGCACCACCACCACCACCGTCAATGCTTCAATGGGGAAATTATATATAGACAATAAATAAATAAATAATAAAAAAAATCACCTGTATCGAGGATTGAATGGGGAAATTATATGCCGCCGGAGTTTTGTCGTCCGGTTGATTCTGGCGCCGAGAGACGGGATAAGATGTGTGGAGAAGAAGAATCCGCCGCCGCGGGACCCGGTCCCGCCGTGGAAGTCGTCGACGCAGAAGCGGCGGAGGAAATTTCCCGGATTCGAGAACGCCATTCTGCTGCCGCTATAAACTGCCGGCGGGGGGGATCGAATATATATATATATATATAGATACAGATACAGGGTGGGTATCTATATATCAGTCACTGTGCATATATATGACATCTATGTATCGATGGATGGATCCTACTACTTTGAGAAAGCATCCATGTTGCCTTTTCAAACAGGCACTGTAATTGTCACACATTAAGTAATTTCTTACATCTAAGTAAAAATCTGTACAAGCGAAAAGATCTGACATTTATTAAATAAATTAGGAAGAGGAGGAGGCAATGGCAATGTGGGATGGACCATAGACCAATTAATGTAGGTATGTATGTACTACTCTGTAATACTGTATGATCATATAACAGTTATATAATATATAAATTAAATTAAATGACATTAAATAATATAATTGGCAGGTCATCGTAGATTTGATTATTTTAAGTGGGCCCTGCTTCTTGCCACGTGGACGTAAGCTGGCTTTTCTCTGTGGGTGTGTCTATCTTTTCTAATAACGGTTTGTTATTTCTGGAAAGTTGAAAGTGGGAGTTGTGAATAATTTTTTATATATAAATGTGGAAAGTGGAGGAAAAATCTAGCGATACCTTTTCTATAGTGATTAGTCAAGACAAGAGTGAATTAAGTGAGGACCCATTGCATTTGTTTCGGATCGGCCTAAGTAATTAATAATAAATTTATACTTATTGTGATATGCTAGTCGTTTTATGTATAATGTATGTATATATATATATATAAATAATGTTCCAGCATTTGGATATTATTAATTACAAATCAATAATAAGTACAAAACGTGGATACATGAAGTAAATAAACAAGAGGTGGTCATCCTTGGCCCGCCATAGTCATGCACTGATGCACGTATATCTGTCTATATGTAAATGTGAATTAAATTTGATTTATTTCTAGTCATCTACATACGTGAAATAAATATTGTAATTTGGTGAACTCATGACTATAAAATCATCAAACCCTAACATTTCTAGTATTCATGCAACCCGCCACCACATGTATGATGTATGTACATGTTCTTACAAAAAGTGAAGACATGTATGGACGCATGCATGCATGTTGTTGGTTTTGTTAGTATGAGTCACAGACCCCTTGAGACATCCCAACGACTTTGGAGAAGCTAAAGTTACTTTTTTTTTCTTTTTTTTTTTTTTTTTTGTGTTTTCATGTGTATAGACAATAATATATTATATATAAATTAGTCAAGTGGGTGGGTGGGTGCATGGGCACACGAAAATCCCGTGTAGTACTAATTAAGTAAGTCGTTTATATAGTTAACATTCATTGAATTATTACTATTACTATTATTATTGAAATATTCAAATAATCATTTAATTTGCAATGCATTTTCATCATCCACACATTTCCAGACGACACTTTTTATTTAAGAAGCCCTTCCAGGTGGTTGTGTGGACACTTGAGTTTTCTGTACAATCTTAATTAGAGGAACACACGTACGTGCATATGTATCATGTTTGCGTGTGTGAAAATATATGAGGTAATTAATTAATTAATAAATTAATAGTAACTGCCGTGTGGATGCAGCGTAAGGATCTCTTTCCGAACCTCTAATCAATATATATACTAATGCTTTCAAATCAAATTTCTAATCGCCGACGACGACCACATCTAATATAATTAACAAACAGCTGTTCCCATTTTGTTTGATTGATGGATCAACCACACACACACACTCATACACAAAATCTTACATCCTCGTGGTTAAGGATCCATTTTAAAAGACCAAAAAAAAACAGAAGAGATCTTGGGCCATTGATTAAAGTCTTCTTATAAATATATATATATATATGTGTGTGTGTGTGTGTGTGTGTTTTTGTGTATGTGATAATAATATGTATTGTATCCGCAGCTTAATTCCCTACTCTGAAAATACAAATCTATATTGTTCAGCTGCTTGGTTCTTTTATTTGCTATATATGATTAATATAAATGAATTATTCCTTCCAATACTGGATGATGGAAAAGTGCATAATTTTGTCACATTGGAAATCCTCAAGGCCACAAACTTCAGTATCCTCTTTATTATATATATGCCCAAACCCTCGAATCCGGTTCTTGCTTCATTTTATATATATGTAAGAATTTTGAAGTTGCCTTATTACATGTACATATATATGTATTGATCAATTGATATGTGAATGCATGTGTAGCTTCAAGGTGGACCCCTCAATTTGAAGTGGATTATGCAGATTCGCCATGTGCTTCGATTCATTACAAAATTCTGTCTACCAAATACTTCAACTTGCCCACATATATATATATATATATATATATGTATAGTTTTAAGGAATGAATTAAGTGGATTGGGGGAATGGGCAATGGCCGGTTGCATGAACCTCTCTGTCTCATGTTATGTTATGGGCTCTGGAGGGGGCTGTCCTGTCTGTCTTCTCAATTGCCACTTTCTTACAAGTTGTGTAGGGAATGTTGTTTGTATATACATATTAGTATTATCTACTATTTCTTTGTTCTCATCTACTGCTCAGATGATATCTGTTTATTACCTCTCCTCTTATCTGATCAGACATGAAAACTTTCAAGAATTGTGGGTAGGTTTTGAAATGCAACTCCCAAGATTGTCTATATGTGAAGCATACACTTTGATTCTTCGATTCTTTGCGGGCGCAGGCAACAAAAGAAGAAACCCGAGTCGCCCTTTTTTATTATGATCATCGGATAGTTTGTGAGGAAGTGGAAATAAGAAAATGTTGTAAGAAAAAGTCGACAAAGAAGCAATTATTTGAAGATTTGTGTCCGACAAATGCACTCTCAAAACAGAACAAGCATTTGGACAATCATCTTTTAAACAGAGGAATTGCCAAATCCAATGAACATAGAAACTATTACAAACAGAACATGATCGATGCATTTGGCAGTAAGCCACTTGTCGTATTGAAGATCTCACAATCAACAAGTGATATGAGAACAAACAAATGTGAAAGCTTCATCCATTTATGATGTAATAAGTGAACAAACATTCAGAAATGCTCAAACAGAGACTTGTGCAGAGTAAAGATATAACAAAGCAGATTCTAATCTCTATGTCATATATGTTTACTAGACAAATGTGAATGAATGATAAGCGCATATCGAACACAAGTAAAATGTTCTCTCGATGCCAAATTCCACAATTGAAAAAAGGCAAAAACATATAGCCCTTTCCCTAACTCTGATATCATATTATCATGATTTGCTCGTTTAAGACTCATTCAACAATTGCTGCTGGTGAGCACATTGTTCCTTCTTATCAAGAGACTTCTGAAAGGCCAACATCATATGCTATTCTTTCTTATCATAAAGCAACTTCATCTTAAAGCTTCCTTATATTCTAAACAGTCAATTTCAATTCCTTACACTAAAGCATGTATGGTTCTTCCACACTAAGATCATCTCTCAGAACAGAAATAATCGGGCCAATAACCAGAAGAAGAATTTTATTCCCATTAAAAAAGAAAGAAAGAAAAGGCTTCTCAACAGAACATTCCAGAATTAATTCTTCATGACAGAACCGAGATATGCATCAACTTTTGACTCTCTCAAACAGCTACTCGACTAGATCAAAAAACGACAAAAGCCGACAGAAACTGCAATTTACTTAGACACTCACAAAAGATTTAAGTTCAACAGCAAATCTAGGTCTGTTTATTATCCTTTCACCATTGTGCTCTTTATCTCTTCTTCATTTACACTACTCATCTATGCAGGTAATCATTCGATTGCGGCAATCATTCATGCAGGTAATCATTCGATTACGGCAATCATTCATCACAAAGGCTAGATATCGAATTGTGTGAAAAGAACAATTAGAAAAACTCGAATGAATGATACCATTCAACAGAAAATCAAGTAATCCACACACGCAATTTGGATGGATCTATAAATTTGAACATCATTATCCTCGCCAGTATACTACAAAATGATAATTTACCGATAAAAAACTTTGCAATTCAAACAAGTGAGACTGTTTATGCTCAGAACTATCTGGATCAATCACCTGGAAACTAAATTCACTCGCCCACACTTTATGCCTTGCCTTTTCCTGTTTGCAAAGATTGAATTCTTTGTTGAACCTTGAAAATCTGGCAAAAACAACAATGCAATGTCATAAGCACTCTCGACAAACAAAGGAGACAATTATGCTATATTCTAACATATTTACAGTAACAGCCGACAAAATTCAATAATTCATGGTAGAAGGGAGAAGAAAGTTAAGTCTCGAGTTATCAACCGCTTCTTTCTTGCTATTTTGCTTTTCGTCTAAATCTTGAAGAGTAGCATCTAGCCGCTTCCTGTAACAAAAATAAATGGTTGAAGAAGTCATCAAATTATATACAGAACAAGAAGACGACGACACATAACATCAATTGAATTTAGGTGTGTGCCATCTATGCTTAATCTCTACTTCAACTATTAGTTCACATTCTTAAATGCAAATATCCAACATGAATCATCAAACCAATATAAAACATATATACAAAGTTATTGCAAAGGATGCCAAAAGTTTCCCAGAAACCAAAACCAATGAGCTGTAAGAACTCACAATTCAGCAGAGATGTATTCGATTCTTTTTCGAACATTAGCATTGGCCTCAGCCAAGTCCTGCTTCACCAGCACTGGACCGATCAATTTGTACACATTTGCATCCTCATTCAATAAATCCAGTTCCTTCAAAAGAGTTCCAAAGAAAATACATTCGTCAAAGGAAACTTACATAACAACGACATTCAAATTCACACCCACAAATTCTTTCGATATAAACAATGAAATTGCAACAAAAGACTCACCTTGAGTACAAGCTCATTTTCGCCAAGCTGGATAGTGTACTTCTTCCGAACTTGATGATTCTTTGCTATATCTAATCAATCACACAAAAATTATACCTTCAGACAAACAATTCACACACTAAAATGCGTCCCCGCGTTCTAGGGTTTTAGATTAACAAAAAAAAAACCTTTCTGAAGCTTGTTGAGATCGCTAGCCTTGTTCTCTAGGTCACGCTGTAGTTCCTTCAGAGCCGCCATCGCACTGCAGCCTCCGTATGCTTCCAATTCAGTTTTCTTATTCTCGATTCAACGCCGATCCGACCACCGCCACTTGCTCCTTCCACAATAGGACTTCTCTTCTGGGTCTCTGCACCGTTTCTCGTGATTGAAATCTGGAGTAACCCATATCACTTTCTGGGCCGGCCTAAACTTGTAATTGGTACTTCGGCCCTTTAGGTATTGTGTTATGGGCTGAAGTTTTCTTCCTTAAAATTTCCAGATTCTTCCAAATTTTCAGACTTAAAAAACTCATCTTGAGGAGATAGTACGCTAAAAATGATAATAATTATAATGAAAAACAGCAACCAAAAAGGAAAGCTGGAAATGCGGATTTTCTTCCTTAATATTCTTATTGACCAGAATAATATTTAAAAAAAAATTGAAAAAAATTGAGCAGTTTATATAAGACGTCTTCTGAGAAAAATTACTTCGAGAGGAAAGGCGGAGAGAGTTAGAGAGAGAGAGGGTGCGAGAAAGGGGAAACGAGAGCCGGTGGCTTTTACCCCTTACTCCGTTAGACTCTTCTTCAATCCCCTTTCTCTCCAATCCCATGGAAAATCTCGAGGGACATGAAATCGAAGTGCCCGCCGATCTTGATGCTGATCACGAAGAAGATCACCCCGATTTCTCCCCGGTTGGGTCTCCTGAGCTCGCCGATTTTCGCCTCCCGCAGCCCTCGGCTGAGAACCCCGAACTATCCGATGATCTCCGCGGCAAGATTATTAAGCAGGTAACTTGTTTCTACCCGTGCCTTTCTTCTTGTTCTTGATTCCTGTTGTTTTTATTATTATTTTGTATTTGTTCTTCTCTACGGTTACTTTATAGAAGTTATTCTAGTGTTGTAATCGAAACCCTAACCGTAGCTTTTGAGTTGTTGATGTTTGTAGATTTGTAGCGGCGGTTGATCATGTTTGTGTGTTTTTTTACCATATCTCAGGTTTTCATTTTAACTGTTGCTTCGCGATTCTGCACTAATTTCAAATAAGTTTAGGGTTTATGTAATAATTTTAAGGTTTTGACTACCCGGTATAGGCGATGATTAATTTATCTTATAGCTCCTTCATGTTAGGTATCATCTATGATCTGATCATGACATTTAAGCCCTGTGTATGTTTGGAAGTCTTTTTCTAAGGGATGCAATTGTGTAAAAGTTAATCCTTGATTTGCCAGTTACATTATTTACTACTTGCTCAGTCGATGAGGCTATGTCTATAATGGCTTTTAATTTTGCAGGTGGAGTACTATTTTAGTGACGAAAACTTGCCAAGCGACAAGTTTTTGATGAAATATGTTACAAAAAATGCAGAAGGATATGGTTAGTGATTGAGCTTTTAGCTTTGTCTTGTTTCCATATTTATTTACCTTGCCAATGCCATGTTTATACTTAAAAGATTCGGTTATTATTGGTCGAAATACTAGGATATTAAATTGCTTTGGCTAAACTCGAGCCTCCTCTTTTTGTCATGGTTAGCTATATAATTTGGATATTCCATTGAAGGCATTCTGCCAAAAATGGAATATCCAAGTGAGGATTTGAGCCAATGCATGCATTGATTTGCATCGACTAGAACACTTCTATTAAATGCCTGGATATTTCTGGCAGACTAATTTCCAACATTATCGAACATCTTGGATAGCTTTGAGTTCCTTCTGCATCATCTTATAAAATTTAGAAATCCCTCCAATGCAATTACTCTAAGTATACTTCCGTATTTAATTTAGAAATCCTGTAACTAGACTTGTCTTCTTACTCCCTCCAAACTGGTTTCAAACTTTCCCTACATTTGTTTTTTCAAATGGCTATGTTTTTTTAAGTCCTTACATTGATCTTTAATTTCTGAATCTTCCTTCCAATTGAATCTGTTATTCTTTTTAAAAATCATATTCTTATGTTTGCAGTTCCTATTGGGCTTATTGCTTCTTTTAGGAAGATGAAGAAGCTCACGAAGGATACCTCATTCATTGCGACTGCCTTGAAGGAATCCTCCTTTCTTGTAAGAAATATCTCCTGATTCCTAATTCTGTGTCCTTACATTATGGTATTGTTAATTTTGTCCGCCCTTTGTTACCAATCAAGCCTGTTTTCTGCAGGTTATTAGTTCAAATGGGAAAAAGGTGAAGCGACTTCATCCCCTCCCACTAACCGAGTTCAGGGATCCAATGGTATGACTTTTCTGGAATAGCAACATTGTATTTGTTCCTACGAATTTCTCTGTTACCGTTTATTCGCAAATTTTATCAGGTATGCACTGTGCTTGTTGAGAACCTACCCGAGGATCATTCAGTTGAGAATCTTCGACGGTTGTTTGGTGAAGCTGGAAAGTAGGCAGTCGATTTATTTATTTTTTCTTTTCATTCTATGCTGTTTATCTGTTTTTTTCCGATCTGGTAGCACTCCTTTATTGTCTTTTTTTTTTTTTTCTTAGCATAAAGAGTATTACCATTCGCGAACCACATGATGCTAGAGAGCAGAAAAAGTGTACGGTTGCTGAGAAGCTAATAAGTAGGAAGGTATGCTTTTTATTTATTTTTATCTTTATATATTTTACTTGTCATGAGGATAGAAATGCTGAAAAAACTCATTGATTCAAAGAAATTAACCTGAAGTGGACAAATTACCCTTACGCATAAAGCAAATCAACCTGCAATTTTGGTTGTCCAAATGCAATTTCTAAGGGGGCTAACTATTTGCCTGTTTTTACTGTTTTTTTTTTTTCTTCTGAAGTTACACGCCCTCGTGGAGTATGATGCTGTGGAGGCTGCTGAGAAAGCTGTGAGTGTAAAAACAGCCTCATTTTCTGTGCATATGTTTTCATTCAATTTTGTGTTTTTATATCTATCTGCTCCGGTGGCCTCACGGTAGTATGCTTTAGGTTGCTACTTTAAATAACGAGCAAGATTGGAGATACGGGTTGCATGTCAAACTTCTTAAGAAAATGGTATTACTTCCACCCTATTCGATTGTATTCTTTTTTCATTTTTGGCTATAGGATTCGGGTCACGGTGCAATAATTGGAGTTGTAAAATTTGTTTTGGCCCCTTAGAAAAAGCCAGGGCAGAAGCCGAAAGTATGGAAGGAATCAGAGCATGAGAAAGGTAGCACGCCCGAAACATGTGATCTGGCTGGGAACGAGGAGCATCACTATGCTAGTGAGCTGCACGATGATTCACATGAAGAGGTACTACAGATTTCAAAATTAGTGCACATTATTACATATTTCGAGCAATAATCTGAATGCTGCCTCTCTTCTCTTGTGGTTTGTAGGATATCGATCACGTGATGAGGGAGAAGAATGAGCCCCCTAGAGAAAAGAACGGCGTCAAAGGCCGCGGTGGCAGAGGACGGGGGCGTAGACAGAAGTATCACAACTCAAATGGTAAAGTGTATCTCAGTATTTTACACTCTCAAGCAATTTGTTTGTATTTTTAATCCAATTCTATTTTCAGGCCACGGCGCGCCACTTTCGAATCATGGCAGCGAACCATCGAAACCGCCGCCTGGTCCTAGAATGCCCGATGGAACCAAAGGCTTCACGATGGGCAGGGGACGCCCCCTGGCTGCAAATTGAAGCCCGATTGTTGGCGCTGGCGCTGCTGAAGTAGCTTGGGTATTTATATCTAAAACACTTGCCACATTTTAACTTATATGGCTTTGTTGCACCGGAGCCCGGTGACCCCGGCGGGGCCCGCCGCCCAGAGAAGTTGTGTGTAATGAAAACAGTTGTGGGTGTTCTGAGGAAGCTTTGTGGTTGCTTTTGCTGCCTGCTTTATTTCGTTTCTATATAAGCCAGAGGATGGTCTCTCATTGTGGCGATGAAATTGGTAGGTTCTAAGGGTGTGTTTGTTTGGGGGTTTGAATTTTGAGTGAAATTTGAATAGTAAGAATTTTGAATTTGAATAGTTTTATAACCTAATATAGATGTTGATGTAATATTTTGAATGTAAAATTGATTTTTTTAGTATAATATAAAAAATAAAAAATAGGTATTTGATTTGATGTTTTTGGAAAAAAAATTTGGATGAATAGTGTAAATTCAATCCAATTCCTCAAACAAACGCTCTCCAAGTTTTTATATTGATATTTTGGAAAATATATATTATTCTCATGGAGCAAAAATGGTTTGAAAAAAGAGAGAGGCCTTGTTAAAGGGTAGATCAGCTTGGATAGAAATGATGCGGGCCGGGAGTTCACGTGAGCTTGTCTTGTCTAGCTCATGCAGCAGCACGTGTTGTGACACAGCCATTGGGTCTGTGGATGGGCCTCTGATCACACTATTGGGCCATATGGGCTTGGATAGAATAGCATTGGGCTGAATGGGCCTTGACCGGTATATGTGAGTCAGTCAGCCTCAAGTAGGCAGCACGTGTACTTGTCTGGCTGTTGGGTGACAGTCAGTGGGCTTGTCGGATGCGCCTTAACCAGTATATGTGAGTCTGTCAGGCTCAAGTAGGCAGCATGTGAACTTGTCTGGCTATTGGGTGACAGTCCGTAGGCTTGTCGGATGGGCCTTTAATGACATTGAATTGGGCCGTATGGGCCTTTAATAACACTTAATTAGGCTGTATGGGTTTATATAGAAGTGACGTTGGGCCTGTTGGGCCTTGATCACCTAAACATGTGGCTGTCAAGTTTCTGTCGGCCGTTGGGTGACAGATATTGGGCTGCGGATGGGACTTGACAAATGCGCATGGATTTGTCTGCCTATGGGCAGGCAGCACGTGACTGTCGGTCGTTGGGCCGTTGAGCCTTGACCACTACAAGTGTGCCTCTCAGGCTCCTGGAAGACGGCATGTTTTCCTGTCGGTCTGTTGGGTGACAGCTATTGGGTCTGTTGGATGGGCGTCCATGACATTTTACTGGGCCGTTTGGATTTGAATGAAAACAATGTTGGGCCACATGGGGCTTGACAGTTTGCCTGCTATGGGCAGACAGCACGAAAACGGCGTGTCGGTCCATTGGGTGACATTTATTGGGTCACTCGGATGGGCCTCCAGGACATTATATTGGGCCGAATGGGTTTGAATGAAAACAATGTTGGGCCATATGGGCCTTGACAGTTTGCCTGGCTATGGGCAGACAACACGAAGACAGCCTGTCGGTTCATTGGGTGACAGTTATTGGGTCACTCGGATGGGCCTCCAGGACATTTTACTGGGCTGTTTGGGTTTGAATGAAACAATGTTGGGCCATATGGGCCTTGACAGTTTTCCTGGCTATGGGCAGACAGCACCAAGACAGCCTGTCGATCCTTTGGGTGACAGTTATTGGGTCACTCGGATGGGCCTCCAGGACATTATACTGGGCCGAATGGGTTTGAATGAAAGCAATGTTGGGCCATATGGGGCTTGACAGTTTGTCTGGCTATGGGCAGGCAGCACAAAGACGGCCTGTGGTCCATTGGATGACAGTTATTGGGTCACTTAGATGGGCCTCCAAGACATTTTAGACGTTTGGGTTTGAATGAAGATGATGTTGGGCCATATGGGCCTTGACAGTTTGTCTGGCTATGGGCAGGCAGCACAAAGACTGGAACGTTTTCCTGTCGGTCCATTGGGTTTAAATGAAAACAATGTTGGGCCAGATGGGTCTTGACAGTTTGTCTGGCTATGGGCTGGCAGCACGTGACTATGTCGGCCGTTGGGTTAGATAAATTGGGCCTGTTGGATTGGCCTGTTCAACGGGCCTGTGATAATATTTGTATTCAGCTGCATGGGCTTGTGTAGAAACAGTATTGGGCCGGAAGGGATACGACTATTGCACGTGTGTTTGACTGAGAGCTGGCAGACAACACGTGCTCATGTACCTGCTTTTTCTGTACCTGGCTATGGTGGTCCATTTAGTTGTCCTCAACGGGCATAAGATGTAGCCGAACGGTTAACATCTTGGGCTTTTAATGGGCCTTAGGGGACTAACTGTCCTAGATTTAAGCAGATGGGAATGGTCTAAACAGCTTTTCAAATGCATGCTAACACTGGGAAAATCTATTCATTCGTCACTTTCTTACTCAAAACGGCTAAAAATGGAAAACTGATTGCAAATATCGAGCCATCCACGTCCATTTCCCGAAGCAAACTAAGATAGTTATTAAGTCGAGATAGCATGCTAAAGAATCTCAAGGAAGAACACTGGGGCACCTCTTTACAAGAAAAAATTTCAACACCCCAAAGCACACATATAATAATACAAGGAAAAACAGATAAATAATGGCTGCCCCATAGATACAGGCAATGTGTCTTACCAAGCTTCTGCCATGAAGCATATGCCCAAGTCTCTGTGCATTTGAATTAGAAATCTCCAAAAACAGTTGAAACAAATGAAACTAAACCAAGCAAATCAATTATAATGAATTCCCCCAATTATGATCTTATTCAACTTCCCAATGTACTACACCAACAGCCAGTAGGCAAACTTCTGAATCCAGTAATCTTGTCTAGAAACTGCATATCCACTGTTCTTCACAATATGCCTGGGTACTTATCAATAAAGTGAGTATAATATACAATAAGAAAAGAAGCAAAATTATCATCAAGCATATATATATAATTAGAAATACACCTGGCAGGAAGCAGGCAGGCTCTCTGGCATTGTTAACAGGATATCACTCTGACGGCTCAAGCTTTCCTTGGCACATTTGTATATGTTGCAGTACTAGAGAGAGTCAGCTCGTACTCCTCTCTGCTTCAAAGCCATTACCTTATCACAATATGTCAAGTAAACACAACAAAACGAGTTGCAATATTGTACAATACAGATTTGAAAAACCAACAAAAAATAGACAATAAGATACAACATAAATGGGATCTTGCATTGGCCATACAAGTGGGCAAATGACCACAGCAAATTATTTTCACAATCAAAAGCAGCACCTGATAGCTTTATCAATTCAATGCTTCCCGACTAAAAAAGAATTTGACTTTTAGCATTGAATTTAATGGAGGAGACCTATAACTACAGAAAGGCAAAAATAGAGTTGTTAAAAGAATCGAGTAGCTCACGAGCCAAGCTCGACTCGGCTCGTTTATAGAGATAAATGAGCTGAACTCGAGCTCGAAAATTATTTCTTTTACAAACGAGCCGAGGTCGAGCTCGGTTCGTGAGTAGCTAAATTGAGCCCGTTAGTAATAATTAATTTATATTATTTATTATAAAAGTTTTTATATCAAAATTTATATTTATTATTAAAATTTAAATATTTTATTATAATAATTATGAATAAAATTAAATATATTTAATTTATATATTTAAAAATATATAGAATATATATAAAATTCAAACTGAGCTCGAACTCGATCTTGAATTTGAGCCTAACGAACCGAGCACGAGGCACTATTTTGGCTCGAACTCTCAACGAGCCGATCCGAGCTTGTACCACTAACAAGTTCGAGTCGAGCTCGAACAATCAATACTCGAGCTCGCTAGGCTCGTTTAACAGCTTTAGGCAAAAACAACATAGAAGTCAGCAATTACCACAAGCACTTACCAAAGTTCATTGCATAACCACCAAGAAATCTTTGCATTGCAGAATGCTGCCAATATTTTCCTACATTAATAATATATAATTACATAATCTTTTTAAGAAACAAAAGGTAACACACACATTTGGCATCCATGTTTTAGCGGAAATACACAAAATATATGGTGTAAAAATTGAAAGCATAGTTTATCTAAATGTTAACAAAAGAATATGTTACACAGTCCCCTTTCTATCAGGATTGAAGCATGTACGGCTAACATGATAATAAATTATGCAATAATATTCACACTGAACTCAAAAATAAAATGGAAAGCACAAGAACTAAGACCTTGTTATTTCTTAATGTATGTAAACCTTGACTCTAAGATATAACAAATTTCAATTTTACCAAACCTTAGAAACGGAATGTAAGATTGAAGTAGTTTATCATTCTTTTAAGGTTAACACATTCGTCGGAGGGCGCTGTATGAAGGTATATGATAAACTATTTCACCTCAAAAAATCAAAATGCAAAACGAAACCAAAAGAAGCACCATTAGAACACACCCTTATACTGATAGTGCAACAGAGCTATCAAGCTAAGTATGAAGCACAAACATGGTGTGCTTATAAAACACTAGCGCAAGAATGAACGAGAGAATGCAAGAACTCATAACTTAATCCCCAGTAATAATAAAAGTAAAACTATCAGTGTCATTAGTGCACCTTGTCCTTAAGGAAAGGAACTTTGCGCAGCCCCTGCAGAGCCTGTTCATAAAAAAATGTGTATTGTTACTGGCGTTTCGACTTGGCCTTAAAAGCATAAGAATCCACACATCCTTAATGCTTCATGAACTGCAATGACATTATCAACATCAACACAAGTTACCAAACATGTCATTAAACATGATTTCCGCATACATTGGATCTACACAATAGGGGATTAACACACATTGGTTGAATTGTACGGCACATGTGGTATAACTGATGGATGCATGGAATGGTAGCCCCAAACCCACATCGCAAACATACCAGCCGTTTGGGATAATTAGGAAGCATGGTAAAGTAAATGAAGGAACCTAGCTAAAGATTATTTAATTTCCGGAAGAAAATTTTCAGATCCCTGCCCATTGAGATTTCTGCAAAGGTATAGCATCCATGCCTTAACAAGGGGCGATGCAGAGATCTTAACAGTTAACCTTTGTGATATATTGACTGAATGTGCAATTGAACATCAACAAGGATCTTGAATAAAAGTTTGGTTGACTTATGAATTTAAATTGAAATAGTATTACAACAAAACAACAAACCCTAGACCAAATGGGAAAAAAAAAAAAAAAAAAAAAAAAAAAAAAAACCTTAATAACACACACTAATCAATTGCCCATGAATATAAAAGATAAATCACATTAACAATCGGCCATATCCTGATTGGCGTTGATCTTGATAACAGAAAACAAATCAAAAATAGTGCAAGGAACTTACAATATGTCCGACGAAGATAAAGCCAAAAAGGACGATGAAGGTGAGGAATTAGTATAAGGTGAAGCCGGATAAAAAAAGAGGATGACGGTGACGATGGCCGTGGGTGACAAAGAAGAAGAAGGTGAGTCGAGTGCGAGGTCGTGGGAAAAAGAGAGTCGTGGAATGCATCAGGTTTGGAGGCTAGGGTTAAGAAAATTAATTAGGAACTTGGCTGGGCCGCGGATGGGAGTGCTACACCGCCTTTTGAAACAAGGTCGCTTGTACATTCCTGGCACAATTTTTACCTTCCCTTCGTCAACTCCAAGAGCATACCATTGCCAAATCTCCAATCCAAGCGTAAACTGCATCGAATACGCACGGCATACGACAAATTACATACAACTCCAGTGTCAAAGCAAGCGGTGAGTGTGAAGTCTTCGTCTCGCAATCGTTTCACAAAAGATCGAGTTCAGCACGCAGACAAGTTTATAAACACCCAAATATGGAAGCAGAAACAAAGATATCAAATGATCTGATTCAAAACAATAACTCGAACAAAAAAAACCACGCACCTTTGTGCCAATCTCGGTGTAGACTCCCGGCCACATGACTTTGTACACCTAAAGAACCCTAATTCGCCGGCAGACAATGCGACCGCAATACGACGTAAGTTGTGCGCGGAAATGAATGCCCTAACCACGGCCCGACGGATAAAACAAATAGTTATATGTACTTTGTATTGGGCCTAATATTATTCTGTAAGCCCCAACCAAATGATCCCAACACACTTTATCAGCAAAAAAGCGACTTTGTCCAAACCTCAAAAACGTGTTTCTGCATGTAATATATAGTGCACTGAAACAGACACATTCCTCTTATGACGACAAAGAAGCTGCAGCAAAAGCACATGACCAAGCAGCACTCAAAGTATTGCCATTGGGGAACATCAACAATCACCAAAGTTCAAATTTTTACTTAGTCTCATTATATATTATTTTAATAATAATTTTAAATTATTTTTTTTTCCAAATAAATCAAAAGAAACATATCCCTTAAATTTAGTGAAAATTTTTGTATACTTAGTTTGGAAAATTTTACTATATTTTTTTTATTATATTTAAAATATTATATTAATTTTTATTTATACTATACTTTATTTAAATTTAAAAATTTAACAAAACAGTAATTTATTTTATAATAAATCAATAAAAGGACTATAAACTGAGACAGAGCATCCCTCGATAGTGACGAGACCGCGACCGCGACCGCGACCGGGTCGGATCTCTCCATTTAGGCACGCGCCGATGTGGCGCGTGGTATTCTTTAACCCCTAACAGCAATCTTTGTATATCGGTGGCCGCCGCCTGCAGTAGTCATCTTTTTTGGTGGTGGAGCCGTGAAGCATACATGGTCATGGTATCTCATGCTTTGTGTGGTTTGTCGGGTTCAAGGTTTCTGACCCAGCAGCTGACTTCGTTCAATTGCCGGAATCTTAATCGCCGTTGTTACCTCGATCGCAAGGTAAATGGAGATTCTATGATGTAAGGCCCTGATGTTTGTGATTTTTTTTTTTTGCGGTTTGGGCAGGTTGGAATGATTATTTTCTCTTCCTCTATGTAGTTATTTGATTCGCGGATTCGGAGTCATGATTTTCGCATGCGGCGGGGAGTACTTCGCGTTTACGCAATGGATGATGTATTAATTATGTTTTTCTGTTCGTTTCGCCTTTAAACATTCGGTCTTGTTGCGCGTAGAAAGAATTGTGCGGTTGTTTCTGTGCCGTCGGCGGCTGATTTAATGATGTCTCGTGTATCGGTAGTTTGGATCAAAGTTGCTTTTATGACGTACATAACAGCGTTGACGTGTGCTTAGTAAACTAAGGATACACCCTAATTGAGGTGTTAAGCTCTGAGTTAAATCCATGGTTCGCTAATGCATTTCATCTGGTTTCTTTGTGTGATTAATTCACTTTGGGGGCTGATGAAGAAGATTGTAATGTGGATTTCTTTACATTTGGTGGGATGATTGGACAGAAATTGCTCATCTAAAATAAAATGTTGAAATGGTGAAGTGTGCATGGATGCGTTGATTGTTGCATTATGAATACGTCGATCTAGAAGAAGCCTGATACTTGTCAGGATGGTTTGCGGGGAGGATTTTAGGCACTATCTTTGGATGTCTAAGTAGAACCTTTAGCATTGTTAGGTCTGTAACTTTTAATAATGTATTGGGATCTTGTAAAGCTTTGTTCTTTGCTGAATGCAGATGGTTCTAGGTTGAATTAGAACATGTCCGCATTATTTTCCGTACTTGGATTGTGCTTTCTTGATAAATGGATATTGTTCCATATTCAGGATTCGGCAGGCTTTTCGTCATTTGATGACTGGGGGCACAGCAATGAGCCAGTTGATTATGTATTTTCGTCAAGTGACGGTGACAACAGTGATGGGGAAGCTATGTTGCAGCCCATAACTGATGTTGATTTGCCTTCTACGAAAGAGGAATGGCTAGCACCTGAGGACTCCTTAAGGGTGACTACACATAGACTTGCGATGCTTGGAAGAACAAGGAGTAGAAGAAAGTAAGAACTTTCAGAAAACCTGACTTTGAATCGTCTTTTCACTCTTTTTAGAATGATATGACCATAGTCCTATGAAAAAATCTTTTGTGATTATATTCATACATGTATGAATTTATGCTTACATTATGTTCGGTTGGTTTTCCACTCGTCTGGTTTTTGGTTTTTTATTGAATAATTACTTGTTGATAGGGTGAACTTGGCAAGTTATGTTGCATATTGTAATACAGTGTCTTCCTGAAACTCTGTGATTGTAGGACTGTTTATGGAATTCTGAACAATGTTGGACTAGTATTGTTTTCAACATTCCTACTTTTACTTGTGGATCAGTGTGCGTGGCGTATTGTGAGATTGCCTCTCTCGCCATTCCACTTGATGCGGCCTTTTCTTATCTCTGTGGTTTTGGCAGCATCTTTTGGCTATATCTGTGTTCCATTATTTCATATGCTGAAGCTTCACTCCATAGTTAGGAAAGCAGTGCCTCGTCAACACTATAATAAGAAAAAGATCCTTACGTTGGGAGGATTGTATTTTGTACCGATTGGTCTACTTGTTGCTGAAGTTGTACTGAAATTTTCTTCCATTGAAGTTACTGGAGCAGCAGCCGCAACTATTGCCTTTGCTGCAGTTGGGCTAATGGATGACTTCTTGAACATCAACAATACTGATGGCCTACCTGGTTGGATGAGGCTTTTGTTGGAGGTAAATCCACTTGAGTCTTCGGTTGCATTGTCTAATAATTGTTCTAGAGATCATTGTTTCAGTTATAGATCTAATCTGAGATTTTTGTGTTGCTCAGACTGCTGTTGGAACATGGTTCTCATACTGGTCCTACACAACAGACATATCAACGCCCTACAGCATGTATATCATCTAGTAACTAATTTCATCAAACCTTTTTTTAAGGTTCACTCATAAACATCTATGCTTTTAACGGTGAATTTAACAAAAAGTATGCTTCCCTCGAGCATAGATCAAACTATCTCCGTAACGTGTCAATTTGTTGTATTTAATAATAAAATGAGTTCAGAACTGCTCAAGTAGGGCCATTGTTTGCTGTCTTAAATTGATGATACTATTCTAGGACCCGATGCCAATCCCTCATGGTGGTTTAAATTTTACGCTAGAGCACGACATTTCTTTTTACCATCATTTCTGTGCTGGTGTTTGTCAATAACTTCCTGAAATGTTGTTAGAAGTTTTTATGTTCTCTTTTGTTGTAAAGAATGCTACTGGAATCGGTCTACTACATAATCACTTGTGCCAATGTAATCTGTATGTCAGGAAAATGGTGGTCCCTTTGCCTGCACCTTTGGGCCTTGTTTGTCTCCAGAAATCTTACCCAGCCTTAACTGCATTCTGCTTTGTTTCCATGGCAAATGGAATTAATTTAACTGACGGGCTTGATGGAATGGCTGCGGGGACTGCTGCTTTAGCATTTATTGGAATGTCGATTGTGGTTCTTCCAATATGTTCTGGTACAAGACTCTTTCCTTTGGTGATCTTATGATTCAAATTGTTCTACCGTTCTGCCTCAGCTGTATCCATATTTTAATGTTGCAATTGCGCACATAGTTCTTTTCATAGGTTCCTTACATTTAGTTTGTTCAAACTATATAATCAGACCTTTCCATATTTGGAGCATCAATGGCTGGAGCATGTATTGGCTTTCTATTTCAAAACCGATACAAAGCATCTATATTCATGGGTGAAACTGGAGCTTTAGCTTTAGGAGGTGCTCTTGCTGCAATGGCTTCCTGCACCGGCATGTTTCTCCCATTGCTCGTGTCATCGGGTGTATTTGTCTTGGAAGCACTTTCAGTTATAATGCAGGTACATATATGCAATAGCCATAGCCATTATTAGCACCTCTTTTATGTTTTGGTTTAACTCTAGCCTTGCTATTTGTGCATATCATCATCAATTTGTCGTGTCTTAGATCCTTTCGTTCAAGGCATCAAAATATCTGTGGCGAAGAGGATTCAGGTTGTTCCGGATGGTGCCGTTGCATCACCACCTTCAGTTATGTGGAATGAGAGAACCGGTAATCGTCGCCTCCGCTTACATTGTCACCTGTGCTTTGACCTTGTGTGCAGCATACCTCGGACTCACTTCAGCATGACTTGTTTTTAAGTGTGATCTTCTAGTACACATGAAAATTACTCTATTGTGTCATCAAAGATGCCAGTTTTGTTTCCTTTGTCTTTATAGGAAAGCATCAAGTTTTGCTATTTTGTTGTGATGTTCTTTATTGGCTTGTTCTGTACCGGATGGTGCTGTGCCGAATTTTATGCTAGTATAGACAGCAACATATACATATTAATTTATATTTATTCATATTTGAAATTAGTTTTAAATAGGATGTTAATTTGAATTTATAAGTATTTTGATATAATAAAAATTATATGCATAACAAATAATTAAAATTTATTTTATCTAGATATATTAAAAAAATAAACATATCATACTTTATTGCGGATATTACATTTTAATTAAATTCAATATTAATTAATTTTTTAGTATATAGTATATTTAATAGTAGTACCAAAAGAATGGCGAAATTCCCGTAGTAACAATATTTAACCAACAATCCTTTATGGGCTCAAGCAAATTCAGTATTGTCTGAGAAAGCCCGGTAAAATATATGGCCTGTTGAGGCCCAAAGCCCATTGTGAAGTAGGGTTTGCAACTTTTGAGCGCTTCAGCGTTGCACAACTTACAAAACCCTAGGCACGCCTCTCATCCGTCTCCAAACGCAGAGGGAGAACAAGAGAGAGAAAGAGCGCGCGAGGGCAGGGCTATTGATCGCTGTCGAAAATGGTGACGTACAAGGTACGTGCCTCTGATTTTTTGTTTAAAATGAATGATTATGGTCTCCACATGCTGTTTGTGTGAATGTACGTAGTTTTGATTTAGTTAAAGGAGAAATCAGTGTGATCGATTGGATCATTGTTTTGTTATGTTATGTGCAGTTTCATCAGTACCAGGTGGTGGGGAGAGGTCTGCCGACGGAATCAGATGAGCACCCGAAGATCTACCGGATGAAACTCTGGGCCACCAATGAAGTCCGCGCCAAGTCCAAATTCTGGTATTGCCGTGAATGCATATCATGAGTGTGAATGTTTCCTTTTGTTTGGTGCGCTCTTCTGTGTTCTGTATTTTCCGTATTTTCCTTCTTGGTCTCTGCTCTAGCTGAAAATAGAAAATAGGTTTGTAATGACTTTATAAAGTATCTGCTTCCCATAGCCCGATGGTAATTACTCTAGATCTATACGAGGTGAAATACCTCTGAGACATTGCAGTCTGTAAATTGAAACTTATTATTGCAAGTGTTTATGGGAGAAGAAGGATGAATATGGGAGTAGTATGATTGGAATGCCGTCTCACATGTGATGATGTCTTTCTTCTTTCCTCTCTTTTCTTTTTTAGTAATTTGAGCTACCTTCTATTTCTTACACTGTAAGATAGAGCCTTGTTACTCAAGAATGTTACAAGTTTAAATTTTGAAGTTTTTGGTGTATTATTAATGGCTGATTTATAATTCTTCTGAAGGTACTTTTTGAGGAAACTGAAGAAGGTAAAAAAGAGCAATGGCCAAATTCTTGCTATAAATGAGGTATTTCAATGCTATTTTTAAAGTTATTATCCAGGATTCAGCAGAAGACAAGCTATGTGCTAGTAGTTTTATTTATCGCATACTACGTAATTTGTCATTCCCAATTTTTGGTATATGATTGTACACTTTATTCAGATTTTAAATTTCATAATTTTTTAAATTTTAATTAAATTATTTAGTTATTTTAATTTTAATATATAATTATTTGTATTATATCATAATTATTTTTACTACTATACTTGTTAATTATTTATAATCTTTGTAAATTCTCGTATTTACACATCTACACCCTAGACACTTCATCGAGGATGGAGGAGTAGTATTCTAGAGTGTGTAGGCTTTCATTCTAGATTGATTTGTATTTCTTGTGTTCACTCTGGTCAATGTTTCTACACATGCTGCTGCCCAACTAGTATATGCTGCAACAAAATGTCTCTGAATAGGATTTGTACACCTTAATCTTGAAGGTTAAGCTATCTCAATGTGCCTAGAAGCCATATTTGAACTTGCCATAGTATTATTGAGGCTGTAATTTTTGCATGTATAGCACACAATCCCCATGCTTGCACGCTATCTATGAATAATATTTTGTCAGAGTCTTTTTTGTGGTTTTTTGGGTGCCATCAGATAATTGTAAATAAATTTGCATATTGAACTTTGATCCTTGTTCTATATGCAAACCACTTTGTTGGTTTGTTACTTATCTTATATAAATGCTGACAATCCCACTTATTTCTTGTTCCTTAAAAAAGAAATAACTTGCATCCATCCGTGAAGTGTAAATTTTGATATATAGTAATTTTGTAACTATTTTTGCTCAGATTTTTGAGAAGAACCCAACCACTATCAAGAACTATGGAATCTGGCTGAGATACCAAAGTAGAACTGGTTATCACAACATGTACAAGGAGTACAGAGATACCACTTTGAATGGTGGTGTTGAGCAGATGTACACTGAGATGGCATCCCGTCACAGGGTCCGTCATCACTGCATCCAAATTATCAAGACAGCCACTGTCCCAGCCAAGCTTTGCAAGAGGGAGAGCACTAAGCAATTCCATGACTCCAAAATCAAGTTCCCATTAGTGTTCAGGAAGGTCCGACCTCCAACGAGGAAGCTCAAGACCACATACAAGGCATCACGGCCCAACTTGTTTATGTAAACTTGTTTGGCCTTCACCAGATGCAAAAGTACCAAACATCTCTGAGTACCCAAAAGAGCAAATTGTTTTCAGTTTTGTTGAATTCGTACTTCGTTATTTTTGCTTGCCTTTGATAGACTTCTGGCATAGATTATTTCCTGGTATGTTGAATGGTTATGACCTCTTGTTTTCAGACAGTAACATCTGCTTTAATCTTTCATTTCATCTAGTTGCTGTTGTTTGTCTATTGCCATTGCACTTCTTAGTCTTTTGACATGAGTTTCATCATTTGACTCGAAACTTAGACGACTGCTGGTAGACAATCTTTTGTGAGTTTTAGTTCCATTCGTATTTCTGCCAAAACAGTATATGTTCTAAAGCCAAACTCACAGTTCAAGGATAATCAGATGAATGACTTGCGGACATTCAAAGAATTTCTTGCAATGAAGTAATGGATAAACAGGTAATTCTCAAATTTGTATACATTGTTACTTCATACTATTCTCTCAAATCCTATTCATTATCTGGTTAGGTTCCTTATTTGGACTAAAATAAGTAGAAAAAGGTAATCATTGTCCAAAAGCAGGGATTTCAAAAGAAAAGTTGAGAAAAGCTAAAAAAAAAAGCATTTAGATGATTGCATATCCTATTAAACCCCAAAAAATCACCTTTTTCTTTCAATTCAACACAGGAAAAAAAGCATTACATTCACCAAACTCAAACCCATCCCCCCAAATCCTGTCTTTTCTAGTCGATCAAGATGTTTCCTTTCGAAGCTCTTTCTGTTTTGCCTCTCTTATTTCTTGTGGATTTTGCCAACTGCTTAAGCAATGAAAATAGCAAAGTTGGAGTTCCTCAAATCAGCACCATTCATGAGCATCTTGTAACTTTTTACCAATCTTCATTCTTTATCTGCCTCCATGTTTGCTAACTTTTAGCTTGTTTGATCTCAGACTTTGGTAGTCATTTCGACTAACTAATGTTGCAGGTCGATTCTGAGAAGACAACCAATATTGTGGTTCATGGAATCTTGCTTTGGGCTTCAATGGGATTCTTGATGCCTCTTGGAATACTAATAATGAGAATTTCCACCACAAAGGATTGCCCCCGCACAAACCACAAAATCTTGCTCTATCTTCATGCTACTTTGCAGGTAAACAATCAAACCATTGTTTCAAAAAAAAAAAAGATGGTAGAATCAAATTGTTTTAGTTTGGATGCAGTGATGAAGCACTATTTTTATGTTCTTATAATAAAGTGTTTCACATTATTTTTCGTTCTTCTGCATAATCATGATGGCCTAAGAAATTATTTCCCAAAGTCCCTTTTAGTAGCAATGCACTTATTGGGGCAACCCACATTTTTGCCAAGTGCATAACCAAGCCACAATCCACCACACCAAACTAAGTTAATATAGCGCACAAGAAAAAAGGTTAATTTTACTGTTATAATGTCTGTTTTAAAGGTCGCTGTTACAATACTTAATATTTAAATTCAGTATTGTGCTGACAATACATATATTATAAGACGTCAATATATGGTTTATAATAATATAATATAAATACAATATAATTGTTCATATAACACATATTATGATATGTTAATATAACACATCATATTCTTGTTAATAATACAATATATGTTGTGTTAGTTGAAAATATGTGCCAACTGTTTATGTTATGTGTCCTGAATAGATCCAAATGGTAGAATTCACCTGCTATTACACAAAATACCTGATACTGATACCGTGTGTTCTTTTCTTTACAATGAAAAGGTGCTCTCTCTCCTCTTTGCCACAGCTGCAGCAGTTCTGTCCATAAGACAATTCGAGAATGCTTTCAACAACATACACCAAAGAATAGGACTTGCACTCTACGCTGCAATTTTCGCGCAGATTTTGATCAGTTTCCGCAGGCCTAATCGGTAATATAATTATAAATCTTCCACTTTTTCAGTTGTTCTACAATGTTATTTGTGCTTCTCTTCTGTGTATACAGTGGAACCAGGAGCAGAACAACATGGTACTTCTTACACTGGATGCTGGGGACCGCGACGTCCCTTGTGGGCACTTTGAATATCTACACAGGATTAAATGCATACCACAAGAAAACCTCAAGAAGCATAACCCTTTGGATCATAATCTTCACAGCTCAAGTTTGTGTGATGGCAATCTTGTACATGTTTCAGGACAAGTGGGAGTATATGCAGAAGCAAGGTATTATTACAGCTGCTGATTCTGGACCAGTGATTGTTTCATCAATGAGTGATCATCATCTTCAGATGGGCATTGTCTTGAATGATCCTTCAAGAAAAAGTAATGCACTTGGGACTTACTTTTCAAGAACCAATGCTCTCAACAAGCTCTTCCAACTGACATGATATGATCTTAAATGTGTAATGTAAAGACAGAGCCTTGTAATAATAATTTTTGAATTTGGCTGATTTTTGTTCTAAGGATTTTACCAGGGCTTCCCGTTAGTATCTTGAATAAAATTCATTTACCATAAATAAATGTGCCTAAAATACACATGTAAATTATAATATATCATCATAACTATTTTTATTTTGATCGGTTCTATTTTTCAAAATTTTATTTCTTGATATTATTATTTTGTTAGTGTAGTATTAATTTATTTATTTTATTTCAAAATATTGAGGGATACGTTAGTTAATTGAATATAAGGATTTTATTTTTTTTTTAATAAAAATATGATTTTTTTTTTTCCTTTATGACTTCAAAATTTTTATGGTAATTCTAAATTTAAGTAGTATTTTAAATTATTTTAATTACTATAGTACTATATACATCTTCTTTAGTTCTTTTATTTCTTTAATAGTTAGAGACAGCACAGGTTTAGCTGAAATTGGAGGGATCACGAATCGATTACCGTCTACGCGCCGCTGGCGATACTCACACGCGCGGACAGGGAGACGCGATGGGGGAAGAGGAATCGAAGGCTTCGAAGAAGAGGGTGGTGGAGTCTTTAGGATGGCTGACGGAATCAACCATCATGCCCCGCAAGCATCGCGCCATCGAAGGGGTTGGGGCTTCCTCTGTCTTTGAACTCAAGGCGCAGCTCTACCAATCCCAGGAGGAATCCAAGCGGCAGCCAAAGGATCCAGTCCACTCCGCGGACCATAATTACGCGCAACACCTCGAGGTTCACCGAGCCAAGAAGAAGATCTCCGCGAATGATTCATTTTCCGCTAAGAACTCCGGCGTCGACGCCCGTGCCGCCAAGTACGTCAATTGATTAAATTATGCTTTGAATTCGTTAATCATCGATTGGAATTTGATCTTTGAGTATGGATTGGTGATTGGCATGCTCAATTTACGGATTTTCTCGTATGTTCCCGGTTCTAGGGTTTCTTCAATTAGGGTTTTTTTTTTTTTTTTTGTATATATATATATTCGATTCCTGCAATCTGCCGCTCTAGTAGAATTTCAATCAATTATGAATGAATTACCACTATATACATGATTTATTAGCATTGGTATGGATTATTACTCTGGACAAATTTGCAAATGATTGTGGCAATAATCAAAGGAAATTTATACCTGTTTCTTGATAGAAACTAGAATTTCATTGTGAGAAGTTGATGTGAAATGCTCTAAATATTTTACTGTTGTCATATTCATCCCTCCATTCAACATTGTGACTGTTAGCATATATGGAAAAACTAGACATGGTTAACTATGTTGTAAAATTATGTAACACTCCATACATGAGTTCTCGGTTTATTTATATATCCAAACTGTATATTTTCAGGGATAAACTTGAGCTAAAAGCTGTCAAAGATGGGTCGGCAAGCTATGCTGCATTGGAGAGAAAAGCAGAATTGTATGATAAACTGATGAGAGGAGAGCTATCTGACGAAGAAGATCAAGAGAAGTATTGTGTCGATTTCTTCAGAAAGGGTATAGAGCAGAGCGAATCCCCAATGCCACAAACAAGTGATACATCTGCACGAGAAGAACCACGGACAGATGCAGATGATGGAGATGATTTACAAGTAAATAATACAAAAGCAGCTGGACTCGGACGGGGGTCTGCTACAATGGACAGGGGGCAACACAAGCATTTAGTAATGTAAGATTTCTGCCTTTCTGTGCATTATTTTGTTCGTGATGGGATATTTTTATGCTCTAAAATTGCCGGTCAAGCCATGGGCTTCTGAATTCATTGGAACTTGAATAGCACGAAGTATTTGTCTTTTTGGACTAATCTTTATGTGAATGTTGCTTCTTTTCTCAGGGAGGTTCACGAAGAAGTAAATCTAGCTAGGGAAAAAGCTTCGGAGCTCAAAATACGCAGACAGGAGCAGCTCGCTGCACGAAGGGAGAAATTGAAGCAAGCCTACCTCCGAAAGCAACTTGAGAAGATGAAAGCTTCTAAAGAAGAAGCCCAAACTGAAGTTGGAGCTGAATAATTTGGTTGTTGGTATACTGTAAAATGTTCTTGCTGCTATTAACACAGGTTTCTTGCAACTGCATTGTTGATCTTGATTAGATTGGGTTCTTGTGATTGAATTACCGCTCATTGAGTGGCTATTTTGTGTTAAGAGTCTTGATTTAATACTAGATTCTCAATAGAGGGCAAATTAATGTCCAACAAGGCTACATGTCGATTTTAAGCATACATCTGTATCGACGCTTATATTTCAATTCTGAATATATATGTAGACGGGGTAAGTCTCAGCACATTACTGATTTAATACGAGTCTTGATTTTATAATTTAGTAATTTTATATGTATTCATATTTTAAAGTGCTGATTTAATATTATAAACTAGTTGTTTGTGTTTGTTTGTATGTATTGCTGAATAAATTTTAAATATGTACCGTTTATATATATATATTTTCTCTTAAAGATTACATTTATATGTTTAAGTAAATATTAACTCTTAAATTAAAAATTAATTACTGTACTGATTAACGATAATAATCATAAGCTACACGACAAATAATTGTATTGTAAAAAGAGCATGCAGAGAAATTTTGACAGGTGGCTTCAATGCAGATGCAGGGTCTTTCTAGTACCTTCTACGCCTCCGCCGCTGCCGCCGCAATCCCACCGCTTCCGCCACTTTCCGCCGCCGCGGCCATATCCTCTTCCTCCTTCTCCTCGTCCTCCTCTACCTTCTCCCTGACACTAAACGACAACGTCTCCCGTCGAGCCAAGAACCTTCCCGTCGGCGGGACCCACAAATTCAGCCACCCCTTGGCCTCGCCGGAATCCCTCCAAACGCGCACCGTCATGCACTGGATCGGGTTGTCCACCGGCTCCGCCGCGTCACCGCTCTTGAGCACGTCGCAGAGGAGCACCCGGGCCCTCCCGACCAGCTTCTCCAGGCCGACATGGGAGGCGGCGTACACGTCGACGTTCAGCGCCGCCATCACGTTTCTCTCCGGCAGCCCCTTATGGAACTTCACCTTCACCACCTCATTCCAGGTGGGGTTGCTCCCACCCTGCTCGTCCACGTGGGTCTTTGCAACGTGGACATCCTTCTCCACGTAGACCTCCGCGAACGTCCTCATCCTGCTAATGTGCTTCACGTTCTTCAGCCCCTCGCCGGAGTAGATCAGCACCTCTATCTCCCTCACCTCCTCCGCCGCCGCTCTCCGCCTGAAGTTGCCGTGTTCTCCCATCCCCCTCAAATCCTGTGTTTACAATAGTCTCTTCTTCTCTCTCTCTCTCTCTCTCTCTCTCTCTATATATATATATTGAGATTTACAGGCTAGCAATTTTGAATTGAGATAAGAATTGAATTGAATTTTATTTTTAAAAGGCATTTTTATTTCCTATTTCAGTATTTCTTCAGCATGTTAATTTCCCTTTTGTAATAAGTTCTATTCAGCAATTTCGTTCTAAAACGGATTAGACAAATCCCTTTTCAGAGAGTGACATTTTTCATGGGAGCTTTAGATCCAAAAAATTCATTGGGCTAAGGCTCATCTTCAAAGCAAGCCCATCGTCTCTCTTCAGCTCATTGCCATTGAAAGTATCCAGAAGCTTTTACAGACATTACTTCCATCAATCATCTGAGATTCACACCAGAAATCCAAGCTCATAATGTGCAAAAAGTGTTCCAAGCAGATAAACATCAATTTCAAAGTCAAACAAAACAAACCCGTTAATGTAGGAAGAGAAACGAGAATATTAGCAAATAGTGGTATCCCACATCGATCAATCACAAGAAATTGTAAACCCCCCTCAATATATAAATAGTCCAATGCAGCCACAGTCAAAACCATCTTTGCGCTTGGGGCAATGACGCAGCTAGTGAGGTTCTAACCGAGGCGCGTCTATTGCTGGTTGAAAACTATTTCCAAACCCCCTCTTCGGCCCGTGCTTGACTCGGGCCGTCGAGAATTTCTGGAAGGGCTTCTCCTCATCGGTAAAGCCCTACAATTAATACTTCTAAATATTTGCCAGGCAGAGTGGTTATACAATAGGTTATGGTAGGTGGGTTTGTTTGGCAGACCATTAAATGTGTAGAGAAAATGGAGGGTTAGACGAACACGGCATCAGATCAACAAAACATACTCTGTGACTGTGTATCTGCTTAGCTTCATCAATGGAGGCAGAAAGAAGTATATTCACAAATACAGTTTAATTAGTGAAATTAATATTAATTATAATATTATAAATCATCTGAGAAATGTGCATCGATACAAACGAGGCTTGAGATCTGTTTTGTAATGTTTTGGTAATTTACAGAAAGGACCACAATTCTTGATGTGTAGATGTGCAATTATTTGTGTAGTTTGGTGGTTGAGCTTAGGTTATATCGATCAAAGTTAAGCTTTGTCGTGAATTTTGAGGAAGTTTGTGTTGGAAATTTCTTCCTTTCTTCACAGTAGAAATAGAAATAGAAATCGAGCGTCTTGGGGTGCATTAGATTGATTAGTCGGTAGGTGCCTCTTCCTCTTTGGCTTAATTTCTTTCGATTTTGCACAGATCTTCGACCATGCAGGCGCTCCAATTCACTGCCCTCCGCCCCTCGCCGCTCCTCGACGCTCGTAACTCTGGCGCTGCACCCTTCAGAAATGCCAGACCTCCAGCTAGGAGACGAGCCTTCAGAATCTCCGCATCCGCCGCCTCAACCGTGGCGGCGCCGAAGCGGGAGACGGACCCGAAGAAGCGCGTGGTGATCACCGGAATGGGTCTCGTATCGGTATTCGGGAACGATGTGGACGCCTACTACGAGAAGCTGCTCGCTGGTGAGAGTGGCATCACTCTCATCGACCGATTTGACGCCTCAAAATTCCCGACGCGTTTTGGGGGGCAGATTCGGGGGTTCACGTCCGAGGGGTACATTGATGGGAAGAATGATCGAAGATTGGACGATTGCTTGAGGTACTGCATTGTTGCCGGGAAAAAGGCGCTTGAGAGTGCGGATCTCGGCGGAGATAAGCTCAACGAGGTATTCATGGCCTGGGAAGCTCATTATATTTGGAATCTGCTTCTTCTGATGGTGTTTTCTGTTGATTTTTGAGTAATTATGATTAAATCTTATGCTTTGGTGCTGATTCTGTGAGTAATACAAACCTTGCTAAGTGATTGAATGCTTCAAGTAATGCTCGGACTGAAAATTTTTCATTGAGTAAACAAATGGAAGTTTCTTATATTCAGATAGCAGTTTATGTTTAATCACTGTGGCATTTGTATTTGTTGTAACTGGTATCTCAATGTATGTTTTATGGTATGTTTGCCTTCTGAGGGTTTGATATTTCTTGGATTAAGATTCTGTGTTGGTTCTTGGAACTTAAGGATAGTTATGAACTGATGAGTGAGTGGTTCTATGTTTGTTGGATCCTTAGTTGCAAATGTTCTGCAATTACAATTGAATGATTCTGTTTGGCATCAAATTAGATATATCTATGCAGTAGGTTCTTTTTGGTTTAAGCAGTTTCTCAAACATGCATGTATCTGAATTATGTGAGTTTGTATGTGCAGATTGATAAGATTCGAGCTGGTGTATTGGTCGGGACAGGAATGGGGGGTCTTACTGTATTTTCTGATGGAGTTCAGTCTCTAATTGAAAAGGGACACAGGAAAATCACCCCATTTTTCATTCCTTATGCGATTACAAACATGGGATCTGCACTACTTGCAATTGATCTTGGCTTAATGGGGCCAAACTATTCAATTTCAACTGCATGTGCCACCTCAAATTATTGTTTCTATGCAGCTGCCAATCATATCCGTCGGGGTGAAGCTGATATCATGCTTGCCGGTGGAACTGAAGCTGCCATTATTCCAATTGGATTGGGGGGTTTTGTTGCCTGCAGAGCCTTGTCTCAAAGAAATGATGATCCGAAAACTGCTTCTAGGCCGTGGGATAAAGATAGAGATGGTTTTGTTATGGGTGAAGGTGCTGGAGTCCTGGTAAGTATGCAGTTATTGTTATTTTCTTGAATCTACTATAAGATTATGCTCGACTTTTAGATTCCTAGCAGATGAAAAACTGGAAAGAAATCGTTAATTGTATGATCAATGGGTATTGGGTCTCCTATTTCATAGCCCTCCTCCCCTCCCACTCAACCCTCACGAAACAAAAAGCTTGAAGTATCTGATTGATACTAAGCGTGTTAGTTATATATGAATGATTGAATGTTTCAAGTTCCAACAATTTTTTCATATTCTTAATAGGTAAATGTTTGGATTGATACTACTAAGCATGTTAGTTATATGATATAAATCCATATGTATGTTTGGCATTTCTTAAAATTCCTTAAAATTTCACCGAAGGTTATGGAAAGCCTGGAACATGCAATGAAACGAGATGCGCCAATCATTGCGGAGTATTTGGGAGGTGCGGTGAATTGTGATGCTTATCACATGACTGATCCCAGAGCAGATGGTCTTGGAGTCTCTTCATGCATCGAGAGTGCCCTTGAAGATGCTGGTGTCTCTCCCGAGGAGGTGAATAATATGTGCTTTCATTACATCCCACTTATATTGTACACTATATCATGCAACACATATATGGATTTCTTGTTGGTTGCTATTCATTCCTAAGTTCAACTGCAGAATTGAGGTTTCTGGAAATTGTGTGAATATATGAACTATATTGCTGGTGTAGATCTCTTTCGGGCACGCCTCTAAAATCTATTAGTGAATTTGATTTATCCTTGAAAGAGAGCTATATTTTCTCCCAGGTTAACTATATTAATGCCCATGCAACCTCAACCTTAGTCGGCGACTTGGCCGAGATAAATGCTATCAAGAAAGTGTTCAAGAAAACTTCAGAGATAAAAATCAATGCTACCAAGGTAAGATCTCAATAAAGCCCTACTTGTGAGCACACCATTGACCCCATAGCCATTTATGTGCATTGGTCCTGATTCAATCGTCATTTCGCTCCAGTCAATGATAGGACACTGCCTAGGTGCTGCTGGTGGCCTGGAGGCTATAGCTACAGTGAAAGCCATCACAACAGGCTGGGTTCACCCCACAATAAATCAGTTTGTAAGTTGAAAGCTATTCAAAATCCACCATTCCTCTATTGGTTTTTTGTTTTTTCCGAGTAAAATGATATCAGCAACATCTCATTGAAACCTCAAATACAGAACCCTGAACCTTCCGTGGACTTCGACACTGTTGCAAACAAGAAACACCAGCACGAAGTCAACGTCGGTGAGTCATCCCATTTCAGATCTCCACACCTTCATCCATCCTGTTCTGCAATCCTGCTGTCCTAATTCACTTTCTTGTCCTCTTCTTGCAGCTATTTCAAATTCATTTGGATTTGGTGGGCATAACTCAGTGGTAGCTTTTTCTGCTTTCAAGCCATGAGAGAGAAAGAGAGAGAAGAGAGAGGAGGAGAAAGAGAGTAAGAATAATGAATGTTTTAGTTAGAGAAACATGAAAGTTGCATTTTGATTGGAGTGGTTGTAGAGTTGTAGTTGGATTTAGATTTGAAAAGTTTTGGTGTTTGATTTGTTGGTTGGAGCTGTGACACCAATAATGATTAATGAATGCATGCCTCCCTCCCTTCCTTCCTTCTCAGTTTTGGTGGTGTTTGTTGCTCCAGCCAAACGATGCTTATGCTGCTGCTGCTGTTCAGAAGGTCCTCCATTTCTCCATCTTCTTCCCTTCCCTTCTCTTTATTTTCTCATCATCATGTTTGTATCAGCCAACAATTTCTAGAGGGAAGAACATATTCTGTGTTGTGTTGTGTTGTGTTTAACATTGCAAATAATTTGTTGATATATAACTCAGTCTCTCTCTTGATATATATATATTTTTTGTATTAATTATTTTTATAATAATATATTAGTAAGTTATATAAAAATTAATAATATTTTAGTATTGGAATGTAATTATTTTTCTTACAGATAATTGATAATTTCAAATAGAATAGACGAAAATGTAGAAAATGTATCTTTAGAACAATGAAAATGATAATAGCAGAAATATGTTATGCATTTTAATTGGATAGACCAACAGCAATTGAGTAGTATTATTTATTTATAGCTTTTAATTTTTTTTCTACGCTAAAGTCGCTGGGTTGGGATAGCGCTTTTATATCGTAACGAATCAAGTAAGACAAGTAGGCGGTTGTTAATGTGTTAAATGAGAAGGAAGAGGTCGGCGTTCTAAGTCGCCGTTCCTCGCCCTCTGGTGCTGCCTGCGTCGGGAAATGGCGAAGAGGAGTGCGAGGAGTACTACATCATCTACTTCTAATGTCGGCGACGGGTGAGAAGGAAGAAGACATAGAGAGAGTGGAAGTTTTCGTGTCCGGATGTTTTAATTTAACCCTCAGTTTCTGATATTGTGGTTACTTTCTTTTCTTTCAGTAAAACAGTGAATAGGAAAAAGAAGAGGCCTAAATCGAAGGCAATGAAACGACGGGAGACGAAAATTGAAGCCATGAAACCTAAGAAACCACCTACGGCGTTTTTCTACTTCTTGTATGTGTATATGAGTTTTAATCTGTTTATTCATAATCTAGGAGTTGTTTTTATTTGGTCGAATGCTGCGAAAGTATCTGGAAGCTAAATTTTTTACTCTATGCTTGGTAGTCAGTTTTGATAATTTCATGTTCATTAACATGTTGAAAAAACAATGGCGTAACAATGATTCGAGACATAGAAAGGGCTGGTTTGTTAATTAAGTTGATTGTTTCACTTAAATTTGCTGTTTGTGAGATTTGAGCACCAATAAATCCTTCAGATTCAGAGAAATTGTTGTGGACTTGATATTCCAGGGAGGATTTTCGAAAGGAATACCAAGAGCAGAATCCAGATGTTAAGTCAATGAGCCATGTATGAGCAGGGGACCTTACATAGTCCACTTCCACACCTTTTTTTGTTGCTTCTGATTCTGCATTCATGTTCATAATTTTGCATTACTCTCCGTTGGTGCAGATTGGAAAGGCCTGTGGGGAGAAGTGGAAGACAATGACATACGAGGTTTGCCATCTAATGCCTACTGTACTCTTTGATCTCTCAATCATGGCAACAGAGTTGAGAAATCTCTATTCATCAAAATTGTTCTATCGTGAAATATCTCTATACAATAACTCGTGTTGCTGCAATTCAAGTTTATTCCTTCCTATCTTTTGATTGATTAACTTGGTCAAGTTCCTGCAAATATGTGATCATGAGATATTTAGGCCAATTGTGTTTCTCCAAGTGTTAATGCTATGAAATAATTGATCTTATGGCATCAATGGTGTAACTACAGAATGATATTTTATAACTCATTAGCATGAAATCATGGCTCTCATAACTTCATTCCTTACATTATCTTTTTCTCTTTGCTAATCACATAGGAAAAGGTACATTATTATGATGTTGCTACAGAAAAACGAAGAGAGTTTGATATAGCTATGGCAGAATTTATTCACAAAAAAGTAAGCTTTACGTGCAATTGTTCTTTTCTGTACTTATTGACATCACCCTATATATCCTTTGATGCTTGAGACTCGGGTGTATAGCACCATATCTCATTCAACTTGATAAACAAAGTAATAAGTTACAGCCCATCTCTCATGAGAAACGAATTTGCAGGAAAATGGGGAGTTTGATGCGTTCGATCCTGACCTCGAGGATGACTCTGAGTTTGAAATATGAGGCGAGTAAAGCTCTATGTTGATGAATTCTTGTAAATTACATTAACTGCATTAGGAAATTAGAAAATCAATATTATGGGCCAAATGTGGAATTGTAATCTAGGCAATGTGTCTCATATTTTGCTGTGTTATGGATCTGCCTTTTTTGAACTCCTCGAATGGATTGATCCTTCGGGATTGATGATTTTTTTAACAACTCCCATCTTATCTTCTACTTGTGCTATGGATTAATCCTTTCCCTTTCCTGCAGGATATTATTACTCATTACTTGTGCTATGCATTCATTCATTAGACAATCTGCAGGTTTGTTTGGATGTGCTTTGGGATGTTTTGGTGTTTTTGATGTTATCCTATCTTTTTGTTTTTGGCTATCTTTTATAATTATACTTAATTTATTTATGATAAATAATTTTATTTACTTATTTTAAATAATAATAATTTGTTACTATTTTTTTCTACGTACTTTACTATTTTATTATTATTACTTTTAATAATTTTTTAAAAAATATTTTTACTTCATCTTTTATCTACCATGCCCTGATATTGGCATAATTAATCCGAAAAGAGAATATCATATATACTATTCAATATCGAAGCATAAAACTCAAACCATCAAATAAACGCGCTGACAGTTTGTGAGAAGGGGCATATTATAGCAGTACAAACAGCAAATATAGCAAAAATATCCAACATAAACTTATTTAATTTATAATATATTTCAGTATCATTAAACAACAATTCAATTAACACTCCAACATATATATACACACATAGATATCATTCAACATAAATACCAAACTAATAAATGATGACATTGGGTAATAATATTGGTTACTTAAAATAGATAACTTCTTAATGCCAAATACCTCTTTCCAAGCGCCTGTAACACATTCAAACCTTCCTTAAATTGACATCGTTATCAATAAAAGTAATAAAAGCAAAAAAAAAAACATTATTCAATTATTTTCAGGAAACAAATTTGAGTGAGGAGGAGGAAGACAACGACGACTCACTCATTATTCTCAGAAAATAAAAATAAACATAAACATAAAAACATGAACACAAACAAGAACAAGAACAAACAAACACATTACAAACTCAACCAATCCCGAGGAATTGGTGACTCATCAGCATCATCCTTACCAGCATTAGTTTCCATTGCCGCCGGAGCATCCTTCGCCTCAACCAGCAGGGCTGCCGGAGCATCACGGCCACCTCCATTCCAGCCACCGCCACCATCAGCACCACCTCTCGGCAACCCCAGTTTAATAACAGGTTGGGCCGAAGATCGGCTACAACCAACCATCTCAGCAGTCACCTTAGCAGCCTTCCCGGGATCCGAAGGACCAGCAACATTCCTTGAGCTTGAAGCCCCGGCAGAATTCACGAGGATGGAATTAACCATACGGCGCACATTCTCCCTAAGATTCTCCAACATTTGTTTGGCTTGTTGGAGTTGATGAAGATTGAGTTGATTTATGCGCTCTTCGGTGATTTGGACCGGCGAACGCTCCAGAGCAGCTTCGATTTGCTTTCCCTTTTTCTTTTCAGCCTCCAGTTCTTTAGTAGACTCATCCAGTTGATCTTTCAGTTGTTGCAATGTCGCCGAGCGGATCCTCTTCCCGTGCACAGAATCCTGCAGATTTGGCGTCGGATTTCTGTTAAAAAAGCGATCCAACACAAATCCTACATCGGGATGGCCAAAAGAAAAGGCTCTGCCACCCGGGGAGAAAACTAGAAGGGCAATTTGAGCCCCACTGAGAACAGAAAGCTCTGTGGCTTTCTTGAAGATCCCTGCCCGTCGCTTGGAGAAAGTAACCATACGGGCATTTTCGTCGGGGATCAGTTTCATTTCGATCTTTCTTCGCCCCTGAGATTTCTTGACTACAGGAGGAGCCATAGCCATCGGATTGACCGGAAGGCCAAGAACAATGACGGAAATAACAAGGGCGATGGAGAATTTGAAGGTGGGTGGTTTGATAAGAATTGATGTCAAACAGTCAGTTATATAATACTCTCTTGGTGCATTAAATAACAAAGTGACAATGGCTTCAACAAATCCTGGCTGGATTACCAAAATGCGTGAAGATGTGTTTAAAATCTGGTAACAATTATAGCAGGGTTGTGTAATAATTACGATATTATGGAAAATATTTTGGGTAGGTGGAAATTCCCGAGAGGAAATTGGGATTGGTAAAACTATCAAGGAACGCCAAACGACGCGTTGGCAGGCAGCTGATGCCAATGTAAAAAACATAGAAGCAATTTGTTAAGACAATTAGCCAACTTTCTAAAAACTGCAAATTGATTTCATATAGCACAACCCGTTGGGATTTCACTAAAGACGAGCAATCGTGTGTTAGATTTAGATGATTGAACAGGATAAATTACTTTATTCATCGTAATAATATGTTTATTGTAAGATACTCGTAATAAAAAAAAAATATATTTGGAAAATAACACAATTATATGCTAGATAAATAATCGAATTCAATAGGTTCGATAATATAATCCACCAAGAAAACCCTTTAGGCAATGTTTTCTTTGATAGATGTGAGTTATATCACATCATATTGTTTAATTTACAGTTTTAGTTGTTGGATGCTAAATGTTCTTGACATAAGCTATAATGGGCTTAGATATAATAATTTATCAATTATATCATTTAAAAAATAAATACTTTTGAGTTCAGCATTCTCAATAAATGTGAGAATGACCTCAGGTCAAGCATCTTACACCAAAGCCTGCCAAAACTAAATGCTAATACGGTTTTCAAATTTGAACATTTATAATATATTCCCTTATTTTTACATGTAATTTTCTACTATTTTAGGGCAATTTACCCAAATTAAATTATGTATGGAAAATGGGCATACTAAATCTCTATGCTATGTTTTACTTCAAGCTAGATATTCCTGAGACCTATCATCTAATAAAACTCATGGTTTCATCAAACACAGGCATGTCTCCATTAAAAGCTTGCATGAACTTAAAATTAGCAACACTAAGAATTAACAATGTCCATTGTCGAGTAGAACATGTTTTTGGTATTATACAATTATCGTGAATCATAAATATACCCCCAATCAAACAATTCATCTGACTTGGCAAGAGATACTAACTTTGTATAACTGCCCTATCAGTATCATGTTATTTGTAGTCAATGCAAATCTTATACTATCTTCATTTTTCTTCATATAAGACAAAATGTTGTCAACTGGATTTTAGTTGTTACTCATCAAAAAGCTTCTGCAGATGCATTTTCAACCTTTTCAATTCCACTGAAGCCATTTTATATGAAATCATTCTATACAGGCATGACCAGGAACCAAATTAAGCTTGAACATTGTTTATTTAATCCAAGCAAGGTTTGAATAGATCTTCAATAAACACCATTAATATCCTAAATATAGGTCCTTCAAGGGTATGGACCAAGTAAGCTATAATATCACCAGAGTTACCTCAACTACCATATACTAATTCATACCAACCAGGCTTTATAACCAACTTTTCCCAAGCCCAAACTACACAAATCTTAGTATTGCATTCAATGCTAATACGTTTTCCTCCAGAGCTGCTACTCATAGAGTTCTTCTAACAGGTTAAGTTCAATTAGCAAATCTAAAATGAGTTCCCTAATGAGCCGAGTGTGTGTAGCTCCACAAAGCATAAACATCAAAGCTGTTAACAATAGCAGTACCTGGAAAACACTCTTTCATCCCCTTTCAGCAGCATATTATCACTGTAGTATTCCAAATCTCCACAGGTTTTGCATTGTTCTGCAGATACAAGAATGTTGTGCCCTATATTACCCGCGACAAAGATGTAGACACGAAAGCCGATTCCGCACGCTTGGATGCCGCCGGTGCCACCTACCACACCCCGGAATAGGTGATGAGAGTTGCGTTAATTGATCACATAGATGAACAGATGGAAAAACAACAAAAAAAAAAAACCAAAAAAAAAAAAAAAAAACGAAATCTTACCGCTCAGTAGAGAGAGAGCCGCTACAAATTCTTCGGATTTCCATCTGCTGGTCCAATTAATGAACGAACTTGGTAATAAGTAATCCAAACCTTCGAATCAAAGCTCCTTGTTGGCAGCAAAACATGAACTTCGCGGGGAAAACCTTCGCTCTGGGTGACGCACCCTTTCCTCACGGAATGAGCGCTTCAACTTTCCGGCGTCTTCTAAATAATGGGTATTGGGCTAATAAAAATAATAAAGTTGGATTTAGTGGGCTTTGTAAAAATTGATAGGCTTAAATAGGTGGTGAGCCTTATTAAAACTAGTAGGCCCATATGGAAAATTTTTATTGGGCTTCATAATTGGACTCATATATCCATTGGGCTTTTAATTGGGCTAGTTAAGATTTTATGATTATTGATTAGGCCCATTTAATTCTATTTGGGCTTTTAGCTGGGCCATGTAAATAGGTGCAACAGATCAGCCTATCCAAAACCTTAAGCCCATATTGTAGTATTATTGGGCTTCGTTAATTATTGGATAATATATTTGGACTGTTGAGTGCATTTTGAAAGTTTTAGTGGGCCATTTAGTATTAGTGGTTAGATTAGTGGGCTTTCTACAAATTGGTAGCCCTACATATGAATATTATCAGGCTTCCTAATTGGCCCGAGGAAGCTGCCTCATGTTTGACCGGCGGCAGGTGGTGGTCGCAAGGGAGCTTCTCCGGCGATCGGCAGGCGGTGGATGCAGGAGATTCTCCGGCGATGAGGATCGGGCGATTTGTGTAAAACTGATATGCATAAGGAGAGAAAACTCAAAATGCTAACAACTAGAAACTAGGGTTATGTGGAAACGACTTCAACTTGTTTGTTTCCATATAGTTCGTATGATCGTGACATGGTGAATTGCATACCACCAATAGCAGATGAGCAACAGTCAGATCAATACAATTGTATGGGATGGAAAGAATTATGGTATCTCATACGAAGTTTGATTTATGAATCACCTGTACGCATTATCTATTACGAAATTGGATTTAATCAACTGAATAAAAGTGTGTATAAACGCTTATTGATTTTTTGAAAAGATGATAGGATTAATTAGAAAATTTTACTTGCAGAGTGAAATAGTTGTGAATTTTAGCAAACCAGAAAGCAACAACTCACCTGACACGGAGCTGCAGAACCACCAGAGCTAGAACATGCCATTTGGAAGTTTCTTTTCCATTATTTGGATCCTTTCTACCGTTTAGCAGAAACAGGCGTCGGATCCTCTACTGTAGCCACCTCAACAGCTCAACAATTCATGTTATTAAGCAGAAATTCAACTTTAGATCTTCAAGCAGACAAGATGTTTAAGGCAAACAGGTGTAAGGAAAGCATTGCTAAATCTCCAGAAATTTAACACTGATATAAGCCTTCCTACAAATTTACAAAACCTCAGAAAAAACGGAAAGTAAATCAACAACAATCATGAAGATCGGTTAGTGCTTATAGTAAATTAGTAATTATAGTCTAACGAAAAAAAAAGAAGAAAAGACAGCAGCAAATGGTTCGGTCCTCCTTCGATCCACGCAATTCCTTGACGCATCACTTTCCGCCAACATGAGGTAAAAATCATACGACTCAATCTCGGATCGGCGATGAGCGCGAGAAATCATCAGAAATGGCATCCGCAACAGACGAAGAACACACAGAGCGTCGAAACCAAAACAATCCCCTCGAAAACCGAAACGATCTTAAAGAGAAAACTATCCACGAACCAAATGTGCAAATTAAACCTCCTCTTCCACCTGAGTCCAGCGGAGCTCTTCAACTTCAACGGCCACCAACCCCCGCCTCCGCCACTCCCCTTCTTACTCAGCCTCTTGAAGAAGAACGAGAAACTCGAGGTCGAACTCGAACTCAATTTCTTCTTCTCCATTATTCGATTTCTCCAAATCTGCCGCAGAAACGGGCTGGCTCTGCAGAGAACAGTCGAGATAGCTTTTAAAGATGAAAGCAAAACATACCTGGAAACACAACACAGTTACATACATATATATATATATATAATATAGTCTAAACGTGGGGCCCACAAAAACGTGGGGCATGACCCCAACGGCTCCGCGTTTTCGTGGAGGGGCTGTCCGGCGTCGTGCGCTGGTTGGGCGGAATCCAAACCCACACACACCCGATAAAGCATACACTATTTCCACGCCGTTTTCACTAATTCCACTCCTGTCGTGGGAAGCAAATATTTTGGAATATATAAATTTGAATTATTCATCCACACAGTAGCCTTTTGACACTAACAAAAAGGAGTAGAAGAATTTGCATATGTATATAGCTTTTGAACCGAATGGGAATATTACACCAAAGTTAAAGCTGGATGCATCACTACACAATTCCTTTCTTGTCTTTCATTAAATTTTTGTACACACTTTTCATCCATCTTCTTACTGGCCACATAATTATATAATAAAACATGCATATACACACTGCCAGTGGGCATCTTCTATTCATTTAAACTAAAATTTAAAAATAATTAATTAATTATAGTGCGTTGATTAATGGGCCTATTCCTTTCTTGTCACTAAATGGGCTTGCTGAGATTTCAGCCCAATAATGTGTTGGGCCTTAAATAGAAGCTCTGGCGAGAAGACCCACTGGTCTACAAAATAATTAATAATAATAATTTAATTGACAAGTCAAAGTCATGGGAGCTTTTGCAGAGTGCAGTGCTCTGAGTCACCTGCCGAGGTAGTTTTGCCACGTAGAAGAAAAACGAAATTGATTGCGAGAGGCGAGGCCATGTGAAGACGGGTGGAGGGAATCGCAGCCCGCCAGCGCGCGGATCTGGGGAGTGTGATGTGGTAAGGTTTGAGATACCGCCGCACAAATTCTCGAGAGAGAAAGGATATCCTTTTCGATACCTTTGTTTCGGTACTTCGTTTGTAACGAGAAATAAATTTGCAGAGCCGTTCTAACTTCTGATTAAGTCTGTAGTTGTATTCGTATCTTAGAGTACCCGACAGGAATCACGTCTCTGTGCGAAGTCTTTCTCCGGTGAGAGTGTTTGTGTGGACTGTGGAGGAAATAATAAGAAGGGCGGAAAATGTTGGAGTTGAGAGATGGGTCGAAGTGCTACACGGAGGCTGTGGTGGGAGTGAATGTGGGTCTGGCTTGTGTTGATGGTGCGATTGCTGTTCTTGCTTTTTATCAGGTGTGATTGTTTGTTTTCTTCGATGTTCTTGGTTTTTTATTTTTTTTTTATTTTTTTTTAATTTTTATTTTGTGTTGTTGATAATGCCGTACTTAGAGTTTGTAGTGTTTTGGGTTTATAATGAGGGATATCATTCTTGATTTGGTTCATCATTCTGCAGTTAATGAGAATACACTTGCGGAATTCACATCTTGGATGGACCCGTCAAAAAGTAAGCTTTTTTAATGTACTGCATTTGATTGAGGCCTTGTTTTATCTTCCTAGTGATGATATGTGGAAAGCAAACAATATCTTAGTGTTTGTTTGTTTTTTCTTTGCTTGGTTGTGTATACTGGGTATCTGACATCATTCTGTGTTATATTTCAGGTATTTCATCTAATAATCGGATCATCTAATTTGGGTGAGTTTTACTACCTTTCATACTACTGCATTCTTATTCAATTCTTCTGAATGCTGTATAATCGGTGTACCATACAATTCATATATTGCTGTATTTGTCATTATGCGAGAATTTTCCTGATTCTTCTAGGCCTTGTGGTAGTTTATATTGGCTGAAATTTAACCTGAATTGTGTACATGGAGTGCCCCTTGGATTTGAAGTAAGCATTAATCAACCGGAATTTTGTGAATTATACCTTTCCAAACCAAGTTATTTATTTTGATGAATTGAAAAAGTTTCAAGTTAGCTGTTATTTGGACAGTAGTGCATTTGCACTGATATTGATAGTTAATATTAAGAATGGGGAATCCATATTATACTCTTTGAATGGATAGAGAACGACAAATCATTTCAACACTGAATTGCAGAGGGCACAAGAAAATATGAAACCAACACATGGAAGGCACTTGATGATACCCTTTCCTCAAGATTTTTCACAATGATATCCCATAACGGCTCCTGTGTCCTTACTCTGAGCTTAATGTCAAAATATTGTTTGGTTCATCCATCTCAGAAATAATTTGTGCCACTGACAGGTCATTTAATCTATTTTGTATTGAATCTTGTTGCTGCTTGTAAGGGTTGGAGTTGTTGGACGTATTCCTGTGGTTTCCTTGTCATGGGTAAGGAAATGACCAGCCTGCCGTTGATTACATATCCTTTCTCGATTTCATAATCATAGTATCAGGGATACTTATCATTCAGACATTTTATTTGCAGCCATCCCCAAAATTCTGGTTATGGCAGCATTTTCCCTCCTCCTATCATTTTGGTTAGTTTTTCTCCCTCATCTTAACAAAATCAGGTTTTTCTCCACATAATTGTTTCTTTCTCAAGCATCAACGTCCTGAGTGGAGGAATCTGTTCAGTACATGTGATGCAGACTACATAGCACGATAACAATTGCATTGTGGGTTGATCGGTTGCAGGGTTGATCTCTGCCATCAGTCAAATGATGTTGAAGAAGATGATGAATGTAGTCCCCAAGAACTATTGCTGGATAAGACCCAAAAAATTGAATCCAGCTCTGGTGGTCGCAGAAGATGTTGCACCTTCAGGTGCACTCATGTAGGAAGCCGTCAAAAAGTTGTCATTCTGGTACAGAAGCTATGAAAAATCTATTTGTAGGCTTTAAAAATAAAGACTATCATCAGAGCTTTTATCTTGTAAATCATCTAATGTTGAAATCTTTACCAGGTTATGGTTCTAATCCTGGCAATCATGGTGCTGTCTGCCGTACTTATATGGATTGGGATAGGCAAGAGTCATGTTGATTCTGCCGTCGTTGCTCAGGCATGCATTCACTGCTACACCATGTTGTATTGTTCTATATGCATTTAAGGGAAATTTCATCTGATCAAGCTATACAATTCCAGAAGTTTCACTGTGAAATTCACCTCGGTATTACGTGAAATATAACATGAAATTTATTAATATTCTCTACAGAAAGCCAGTATGATAGTTCTAAGCCTACCGAATAATTTGTCTACTCTAGCCTACTACTGATTGTTCATACACTTTCTAGTGACTAAAATTTTGTCATATGATAACTAATGAAATTTGTGTTGTATTCATCTTTTTGTGAAACTCGTGCTTGTGTTTTAGTTTACTTTTGAACCTATCGAGCAGGCATTTTGAAAAACTATTATTACAAAAACATGTATCTGCCAATGTGATGCCTCTGAAAGCTCATACTCTCTCTCTCTCTCTCTCTCTCTCTCTCTTTGTTTTTATTTTTTTTTCCAACAAGTTGGCCACATATTACCTTCTTGCAGGTGTATGTAGATCTCATTGCTGTAGTCTTCATTTTGCTAGGCGGAGCCTTGGCATTCTATGGTGTGTGCACCTATAGTCTTTATAATGTGTTCAACACGATATTCTCAGTGTTACATTCTTAGGCTTATGAGTTTATTATGCAAATTATGTTTCTTCTAGATATGCATATCTAATTTACCTGTCGGTTGTATATTTGGCTTCCAGGGCTTTTACTGTTCTTGAAAATGAAACAAGTGAGATCTGAGAGAACCTCATCAGACATGTGGAAGGTGGGTTGCACAATGTAGTGTTTTGATTATCTTTCATTGGTTACTTTTGTTGGGATTAGTTGCTTTGTTGCGTAAATATCCAGTTTATTAAGACCTAAAATTCCCTTCTATATTACAAATAAATTGATCACTTTTTTTGCCCTTAAACTTCTGTCAACATACCACAGGTTGCTGGATTGGCTATTGTCTCTGTGATAAGTTTTACATTGAGTTCATCAGCTGCAATAGCTACAAACATACCTGTAAGTGCATCTTTTGCTTTCTGTAGTTATCATTCTTTGGTTTCCTTTTTCCTGTGCTAAATCTGTAAGGTTAACGATCTTGAGATTGCAGCTTTTTTATCACTGGCATGAACGTACAATAGATGCTGCTTATACCACCCTGCTGTTGGTTTTGTATCATTTCATAGGTACTTGTATATATATATATATATGTAACTTTCCATTTCCATTGCACACAGCCTAAGAATCTACAGAATCTAGTAAGAAAGGTTGTTACTTATTCCAGGATCATCGGTGCCATCCGCCTTTCTTTTATTTGTGATGAGAGAACTGCCACCACCAGCAGTGATTCAAACACAACAACAATCAAGAACAATTACATTCGTAGCCGGTCATCCAGTGGAAACAAACGATCCGCCACGCTGGACTGCTGCTGCTAGGAGTGTGCAGAATCAGGTAATGAACAATACGTTACTTTCTCTGGAGTGATTTTTTTTTTTTTTTGAAATTTGGCTGATAAATAAAAATGGCGAGGATTTCCAGGGTTCAAGAGCAAGCCCAATATGAACATAAGCAAATACAAGCAAGACAAACAGAATTGCAAAGATGATATAAAAGCACAGGGGATAACAGCCAGCAAAGAAAGCAAGCCAAGACAAGCCCATGTTATGTCTTGATAGCTCTGAATGGCAGCAAATTGCAACAGGATTATTTACTTGTTTTTTGTTAAGTTACTGAATGTACAGTAATATCTTCTTTCTTGGTCCTTTTCATATGTGCACTATGGAAATCTGATTCAATTGTTGAAATAATCAACAAATCTAACTTTTGTAACAATGACAAGACTCAATTGCTAACCAGCTATTGCAGGCAAGTTTTCCTTGAATTGATCTATATATTTATCAATTACTAAATCAAGAACTGTTTTTGTACCTTGGGAAAGAAAACAGCTCTAAAATATCAAGATCCAAATATAAACACAACACTCAAAAGACATAAGCAAATGATGATTTCATTGCAACATATTACAGAAATCTTTCATTACAAACACATCCCACCACTCATACATGATCCAAACTCAAAAGGTTCACTTTCCAGGGGTGAAGTTGGTGGCATAGGCCCAGGCATTGTTGTTAACAGGGTCTGCAATATGGTCAGCCAAGTTCTCCAAAGGACCCTTTCCGGTGACAATGGCCTGAACGAAGAATCCGAACATGGAGAACATGGCAAGCCTGCCATTCTTGATCTCCTTCACCTTCAACTCAGCAAAGGCCTCTGGATCATCAGCCAATCCCAACGGGTCGAAGCTGCCGCCGGGGTAGAGTGGGTCGACAACCTCGCCGAGAGGCCCGCCGGCAATACGGTAGCCCTCAACAGCTCCCATCAATATAACCTGGCAAGCCCAGATGGCCAAGATGCTCTGTGCATGGATCAAGCTCGGGTTGCCGAGGTAATCGAGACCACCCTCACTGAAAATCTGCGAGCCAGCCTTGAACCAGACAGCCTCGCCGAACTTGACACCGTTGCGGGACAAGAGCTCAGGGAAGACACATCCAAGAGCTCCAAGCATGGCCCATCTGCAGTGGATCACCTCAAGCTCACGGTTCTTGGCGAAGGTCTCGGGATCGGCCGAGAGCCCGGCGGTGTCCCAGCCGTAGTCGCCGGGGTACTCGCCTTTCAGGTAGCTTGGGGGTTCGCCGGAGAGTGGTCCCAAGTAGAGGACACGGTCAGGGCCATACCACATGCTGCCGGAGGAGGCCGGAGCCTTGACAGACTTCCTCATTGTGAACCTGCCATTGGAGGTGGCCTCCGGGGCGATCTTGACTGCCTGTCCGGCGAAGGATGGGGAAGAGAGAGCCATTGTTGAGGCAGCCATTGATGTGATCAAATGGGAGGATGCTTTTGCTTGGTATGGTTGTTTGTGGGATGAGTGTAATGTGGGATCGGAATTAAGGTATTTAAAGGGGATTTTGGGGCTGTAATTTCTTATCTGAGAAATATCATTATCTGCATTTCGATTGGATGTCCACTTGGCGAATGCTATCATCACTGATCTTGGTTGGATTTATTTATTTTTTAATTTTTATGTGTTGAGGATTCAGAAATCTTATGGGATTGTAGGGTATTTTGTTGCAGCCTATGAGGGTTTGCCAAGTGGCTGTGAGGGATAGTGTTTTGTGTGCATGAAGACAAAGATGGTTGGATTTGTACGTCCTGTTGTGGATGGCTAGAAGAGATCCACGGCATCGCCATAGATATATTTCTTGATATAACTTGAGAAATATGCAAAGGATAAATGGAAATCTATAGTGAAGGGATTTGGAATTTTTCAGTGCATAGAACTAAATTGCATTGACACAATTGAAGTCCATTTGTTGATTGAGTCTTGTACACATAAATTGGCATTATTAACATATTGCTTCTCCGTAATAGTCTAATAATGGTTACAATTGGATTTATTATTACTATTTGAATTAAGTATGACATATTTATATTTATGTATAAAATCATTACAAGATTTAGTTGTATATTTTTAATTATATCGTATAATTTAAAACTTGTACTTTATTTAAATATTTGAGCATACATTTAATAATGGGAGTATTAATTGTCCCTTAAGCCCGCCTATCAAACAAAGATAAATGGACGAGAGAGAATTAATAATGCCCCTTGTTCAAGAATTGACAAGCCCAAATACATCCATTAAGATTTTTCTAACCAAAATAAAGTGGAAAAAATGGAGGGATAGATTTTCTTGGATCAAACACGAATCCCCACCACTGTTTTGCTCTACAGTGCGAGCCCACATGGAAGTAAAAATCTGAAAACTGATGGCCATGGAGATGCCACTTATGCAGAGGGCAGCATCAATGGAATCTTGAAACCCAATGAAAATTCAGAGACAGATCTCCCAAGATAAGAAGAGGTATTTTCAAAGGCCTATAAGTAAGTACCAACACCTCCTCCATCTTCCATCACCACCACCAACTTCATTTTCTTGAAGCAGAAAAGCCATCACAAGCAACGCCTGAGTTCACCAATGGCTGCCTCAACAATGGCTCTCTCCTCCCCATCCTTCGCCGGACAGGCGGTCAAGGTCGCCCCGGAGGTCACCTCCAATGGCAGGTTCACAATGAGGAAGACTGTCAAGCCTCCGGTCTCCTCCGGAAGCATGTGGTATGGCCCTGACCGTGTCCTCTACTTGGGACCACTCTCCGGCGACCCCCCGAGCTACCTGAAAGGCGAGTACCCAGGCGACTACGGCTGGGACACCGCCGGGCTCTCGGCCGATCCCGAGACCTTCGCCAAGAACCGTGAGCTTGAGGTGATCCACAGCAGATGGGCCATGCTTGGAGCTCTTGGATGTGTCTTCCCCGAGCTCTTGTCCCGCAACGGTGTCAAGTTCGGCGAGGCCGTCTGGTTCAAGGCTGGCTCGCAGATTTTCAGCGAGGGTGGTCTCGACTACCTCGGCAACCCGAGCTTGATCCATGCACAGAGCATCTTGGCCATCTGGGCTTGCCAGGTTATATTGATGGGAGCTGTTGAGGGCTACCGTATTGCCGGCGGGCCCCTCGGCGAGGTTGTCGACCCACTCTACCCCGGAGGCAGCTTCGACCCATTGGGACTGGCTGATGATCCAGAGGCCTTTGCTGAGTTGAAGGTTAAGGAGATCAAGAATGGCAGGCTTGCCATGTTCTCCATGTTCGGGTTCTTTGTTCAGGCCATCGTCACCGGAAAGGGTCCTTTGGAGAACTTGGCTGACCATCTTGCCGACCCTGTCAACAACAACGCCTGGGCCTATGCCACCAACTTCACCCCTGGAAAGTGAAGCTCATAGCAGATAATCAGAGATGCTTGTGATGATGTAAAGTGAGTGTGAGTTGTCGGAAAAATGGCGTTAATTTCTTGTGCTTAATGTGAATGTGCTCCCTGTTTCAACAAAACACAACTTGCTAAGTAGCAGTAATGTGTAGCTACAAAACATTACAACAACTGTAAAGCAAAAACAAGAAGACTAAACTTGAATAAGGAGCAAACACCAAAGAGGACTAAAGCCACTAGGATATCATGAAACTTATGAGACATTAACTCAAAAATCCATGATCAAGTTGAACAAGCAGTAAAGAACCTGTGGTGCACTTGTTCCTTGCTACCACAAAATCTTCAATATATTGGCTTCTTTGATGTATACGATCATCTACTTCAGAACAATCCTACAAGAGATCAGACACAGCAATTTAAGCAGAAAGAAGGTTAGGTAGTTCTGCCCAAACATAACAAGTATTTGAAGACAGATTCATAGGAAAGACTAAAGGTGGATACAGTTAAACATGGTGGCGCAGAATCCTCATTTATTTCTTCAAAATGCCCCCTGCAGCTATCCCGGAGTCTGATAGTAACTAAACACTATCTTTCTGTTTTCAATATAGGTTAAAATAATAACCATACAAGAAAGTCTACCTTTCGTTTGGCTTTCATATGGCTGTAGGGATTGCTGATCATCAAACTTGAGGTAAATCAAACTTAGGAATCCGATGACGAATACTTGATATTTGTAAGTGTGAGAGGGAATCAGAAGAATACTTGAATATTGCAAGTGTATTTAATTTTCAACAATTTGTACATTTGGAAGTGTGCTTCTAGACCGCTGCAACGTGGTATCAGGCTTAAATACACATACTAAAACTTGCCTCTTTAATAAGGGCTTTTATCTTCGAAACCAAGAAAGCAAATGACACAATCTAGAGGATGAAATTCTAGCCTTCTTATAAGCACAATTTCAGTGAACAATCAAAGGATAAAAGATGTGCAGCAGCCTCTATCTTAATAATCACATTGCTAGCATTCTTCCCAGGGTGGTACCTGCATTGGAAACCTGGGTGGTCAATCACATGCAGCAATCTTAGTTCCTCAGAGACCAGGAGCAGCCCATACATCAAAACAATGCTTAGCTTCTCTTATCATATAGAGGGATCTTGCATAATTGTAGCTCTAATGATGACCCTGCGAAACCTAAGAGGTTGGGTTATAAACAGTTGCCAAGAAGAATCAAGAACCAGCTTCAGGCTATGTGTTCAAACTGCTTCCATCATGTTCAATTTTGGTTGGCACTCCTCCTTGCTCTGGAAACAGACTTCTGATAAAGTTCTTCATATAATGATGCTGAGGATTCCCAACTAAAATCTATGTTCATGACCTTTTGGACAAGCTGTTTCCAATCATCACCATAATTATTATAATGGTGAAGCGCACGTTCTAAAGCATTGTTGAATGCCTACAGATTCATGAAATACCACTACCATTAGCATTGGTTCTCAGTAAGCGGGATAAAGTATACAGGCTACAACTTTTAGTTATACTGAAATGAAACCATTCAAGCAATATCTCAAACCCAGTTGATCAATTAATTACCTTCTCATCAGCTTTCAAAAATGTGAATCCATTTCTGTATTGAACCGGTACAGCATCATCGTCTACATCAAAAACACTGCAAAGATGATTAAGAAACTCAGTAATACTATAAAAGCACACACAAATTAAGTCACCTAATTCAAGTTATCTGTAAGATATTCAACCTGTCATTTAGTCCACCAGTCTTCCTAGCTATTGGTATTGAACCATATCTCATAGCAATCATCTGCATGCATGTAGCATGAGTTCAATAAAACGTGACTTTTCTGTAAAGTTCTACTACTAGTTTTACATCAAGCAATTGCAATATACCTGTGTCAGGCCACAAGGCTCAAATATTGATGGAATAATCAACATGTCCGAGGCAGCATAGATTAAATGGGAAAGTGCTTCATCATATTTCAGTATTAACCGAGCATCTTCATGAGTCTTGAAATTGTTTGCAATGTCCTCAAACTCTCTCTGCGAAATAGTAAGGATAACCCCCATTATAAATTTATATTAATATTAAAATAAATAAATAAGTTTTTTTGAGTTTTTGGCTGAGTTTTTGGCAGGGAACGATGGTGGAGATATTGTACTTTTTAAAATTTTAATTAAAAAAAATATTCAAATAAAATTAGAAGGCCAAGGTTAAATTTGCCTGGCATTTTATAAGAAGAGTTTACCTGAATTTGAGGCACTGGACTTGAACCAAGTAGAACAAACTGACCACCCAATTCCAATGTTCGATATAGGGCATGCCTAATAAGATGGACACCCTTTTGAGGTACCAATCTTGTTATGCAAGCTATCTGTCACAGTATAAATTGTCAGTTGACACAGGCCAGTGATGTTCAAACCATCATAGCATGTAACTATAAATCGTATATAATTCCAAACATTTTCAACATTTGCTGATGTGCTTTTCCAGCTTAAAATAGAACAAGGAGTCGTGCACAAGATCACATAAATGATAGTCTTAATTGCAGGAGCTCGTGATGGAACATTTCAAGAGGATATTTACCAGAAGACAAGAAAAACAGACTAAATCAAAGAAGAAACCATGACACAGATCAGCCATACATGAGAGGGCATGGATCAAGGTACAACTAAAAAAGACGAACACATACACACATTACTATCACTAAGATGAATTGAATTTCACAAGCTAAAAAGGACACAGAGATAGATAAAAGATAATTGTTAAACACCAACCAACACTTACCAATGGAAGCTTGGTATTACTTGAAGACATTCCTAGACGCCTTCTTAAAGCTTGTTTGTTATCTGCTTTTGCCTCTATGTCATTCCAATTGTACTGAACTTTGAGAAATGGATCAGTTGCAGGATTCCATGCATCGGTATCAATCCCATTTAAGATTCCCACAAACTTTTTAGAATGTGAATTAAGTGTTGCATGCAAACCTCTTCCAGCCTGTACATCAAAAGCAAACTTATGTGGCTTCAGACAATTCAAATGTTTGTCCATTTCCAAAACTTTAGGCTTGTTAACTTGTGTTTCAACTTTGTTTTCAAACATCATGTCAAACATCTATTTTCCATTCAAATATTTACTATTCCTAAGAACACCAAAATACTTCCAAAACACCACCAAATAACCTTCATCTTTAGGGCAAAACTGCATAGTATTGTTGAAAATATTATTTGATAGGAGCACGCCTGTGGGTTGTCTGATTCAGAACTTTCCGTTTAAACAAATATATATATATGCAATGAGACATTATAATGTTAACTAAAATCCCAGAAAATCTTTAAATCCATTCTCGAGGTTCTTTCCTACAATACACCATGGAACACTGATTCTCCACCCACCGTGAATGAATAAAAACTCATCATGAACTGGAAATAGTGAAGATTAATCAATTGAATACAGAATTTGCATTATACTTTAGCAACAAATCAGGACTAGCACTTGAAATAGCTCCTAGAAATTTGAAGATAGACTGCTCTAGTAAATAAATTTTGGGAATCTAGCTCTGTATCACCATTTCTTATTAATAAACAGAATAGCTGGTGTGTAATGTTGATATCCTGAATTTAGTAGCCTTTTTAGGGTGTGTTTGTTTGAGGGTTTGGATTTTGAGTTGGGATTTGAATAGTAAAAATTTTGAATTTGAATAGTTGTATGATGTGATATAAATAGGTCATGATGTGATGTTTTGAATGTAAAATTGATTTTTAGTATAATATAAAAAATAAAAAATAGGTGTTTGATTTGATGTTTTTGGGGGGAAAATTTTGGATGAATAGTGAGATTTGGACCAAATCTCTCAACCGAACACACCCTTAGTGTATATTTTTCCAGCTATTACCCCTACTCACACTTTCCGCAATTAGTTCTATAGAAAGTGCAAAAATGCCGACCTTGTACTCAATTTTGTATAAATAAGACATTCATCGTTGCCAAAAAGTCACTAGTCCATTTGTTAACCCAAATGAAAAGGCCAAAAATTCATAATGGTCACTATGAGTACAAAAGGCCATCTAGGAACATCCGATGGTGAGACCACCCTGATCACATGTTAATCTTTGTCTGGGAGTGTTGCCTTATTCAGCACCTTTAAATCTATGCTGCCTTGCTGTCCTGCTTTACTACCAAGACTAAGCTTGAAAAGGGATTGAAAGTTGGTCTCATAATTTTGGCTCCAATTTCTTGATATTGTCTTTCTACAAATGCTCATAGAGATTTGGGTGCACAGAAACCAGCCCGGTGTTTTCTACAGTTCAATGCAAGCTAACCAAGCAATGTGTGCTTCCACCAAGTATCCAGTGGAAACTTCCAACCCGATACATCATGTGAAATTAACGTTGATTAAGAAATTTGTACTTGAGTTGAGAGCATACATTCTGAAGTTAACTGATGGCTAATCACATAAACAAAAGTTGACAGGATAGTTGCATCTCAAGCATTGTAGAAAATAACGGGTGTGAGCAAAACAGCACAGAGTGCCTTCTGAATCATTTTCAAGTTAACTGTAGTTCCAAAGCAGAAAAGGCGAGTATAGAACTTCAGTGGAAGGTAAGAATACTTGAAGGAGGTGTTATAACGCTGAGAGCTAACTAAGACATGTTTGTGACCCTAGAACCCCCTTTCCATTATTTGTGCTTTTCTTTTTTTCATTGGATATTTCATTTTTTAGAATAGCGATTGCATACACAATATCTCCATACCATCTCAACTCTCAGCTAGCTCAATTTCTACCTTTGACCAACTAGAGTGTCCTGACTCCAACTCCCGGAATATGACCAATACCTTTACCAGTTCACTAATTCAACTGCCTAGAATTCATCAGGGCAAAAATTAGGAAAGTTATAACCAGAAAGACGTGGGTTCTAGGAGCCTAAAGAAACTAGTATAAGGATGCAAAAAAAAAAAAAAGAGAGAGAGAAAATTAAGCTGAAAAACTCATTAACTGATAACTTTTCATACCTCCGCAGTTTGCACCTCTTGGGCATAGGAAGGTGAAACAGTTGTCACAATATTAGAAAAGACAATAGCACCCTGCAACAGAAAGGAGGATACAAGAAAAATAAGGTCACTAAAATCAGTGTAACTTAGACATAGACAAAATATTTGGCAACACCACAATATGTACAAACATAATATTTTGACCTTGTAACATGTGCACAAAAAGACAAAATAAAAGAGGCAGTACACAATATTTCTGAGAACTATCCACATTTGACCTTCAACTCTTCCAGATGAAAGGGAGGGGGGATCCCCAGACTAACATTACCTTAACAGGGTTCACTCTATCATTTGCTGAATTGTCTTGCATCCTATCAGGTCTATTTAAGTGGTAAACATCAAGACCACAAGACGCCAGTTCGGAGGCAGGGGCAGATCCTTGATACTCAAAATTATGACATGTGAAACATATCCTGGCTGAATTCAGTCCTTTTGGCACATATAAATCCCAATACAATGGTGCCTGCCAAAAGTTGAAATAGATAATTAGAAAATGTGAAACCTTGCTAATTCATAGATTCCAGAAAGGTGAAATAATAAATAAGATGCATCGTCCATACAACAAAAGATGTCTGCCAATCATGACAGTGAATTATGTCTGGTTTCTTTCCAGCTTGAAGAAGCAACTCAAGTGCTGCCCTGCTGAAGAATGAAAACCGCTTAAAATCGTCTTGTTCGCCATAAAATTGACCCCTCCAAAAGAATTTGCCCGGATGATGAGGCTCAATGAAATAAACAGGAAGTCCTATATGAGTTTAAAACATACAATAGTATTAGGATGCAAGGGATTAGAACAATTCAATACAATTGGCTATAAATTCTGGACCTTCAACAGTCCCAACCCAAACTTTGTTTTTGAACAACCGGCCATCAAAATACGACTCAATAGGCACGTCCAAAGCCTACATTGAAAAAAAAAAAAAAAAAGAAGGAATAATAATCATATGTCAATAATGATAATAATAACATTATAAAATAAAAGTCTGCACTCAAATGTCAAATACCTTTAAGTCTGGAATCAGTTCATAATTCATGCAATCATATTTTGGTAAAATAATTTCCACAAGGTGCCCATTCTTCTGTAGTGCTTTACCGAGACCACTCACGACATCTCCCAATCCACCAACCTAATTGAAAACAAACTTACTTTAGTTCTGGTGATCAGTACAAAAGTCCTGAAATTTAATTACAAGGAAGAAATTATCATCATCATAATGTTCAAGCATTACTACAAACAAGAAAGGAGGAAACCAGAACTTAAACATGCCTAGCAGAAAAGATATTATTAACGAAGAAAAAGGTTCCAACTGTGAAGGTATGAGACAACATGACCAGATGCAGATCTATTCAAAATGCATAAAAAGAATGGTTCAAGTTCCATGATTGTGATACAACAAATGCAGGAGTAATTTATCGATTAAAGGGGATTCAACAGTTAACATATGTAGCCAACAAGCTAGAAGAAAGGCCAGCATTAGAATACACTACTTCCTTCTTATCTAGAATTAAATTGATTATTGATAAACAGTACCCATGTACAGTTGCAATTTTAACATTCCAGACCACTAACTTATCTGATCATTGTTAAGATTAGGAAACTATGCAGCAAAATTTACTTATACTCAATCCCTAGGTGAAGAAGTCATAATACATCTCACACAGCATGGATTCCATGTTCCCTCCCACATGTGAGTTTTACTTGTAGACTGTAGTTTGTTTCCTCAAATATCAGAAAAAACAACCAATGATCTCATAAAATTATAAAATAAAATAGCAGCGAGCTTTGCTCTTTAAAACTAACTAGCATACCTTAGCCACAGGTGCCATCTCTGCAGCAATATGTATGACATGCAACTTTTCACTACAACATGACAACAGGACATAATCAGATATCCTGCCAATCATACATGGATCTAAAAGTCATTTATTTCATGCTTACCTTGTTGTAGGTGATGTCAGTTTGAGAAATGTTGCAATAATCTCACCTTCATTCTTTTGTTTTGACAACATATATGCACTGCATATGCTTTCGTCCCTGTTTCGTATCATTTCTCTAAATAGCTTTGCTTCATCCACTGAAATCTTCTTTTCAAGAGACCATCCATCAATGAGAAGCAACAATCTGCTCCAAAATTCCCTAGGCTTGTCATTCATGGGCTCATCTTCTGCTCTTTTCTTGCTCTCTTGCTTTAAAGTATTAAGTGTATCTTGAAACTCCTTCATAGAATCTTGGTAGGATTGGACATATGAATGTATCTCTTCATCAGATCTTTGCAGCCGTTCATCCAAAAGTTTCATCTTCTGCTGCATTAGTTCATTATAGTGTTGCATTTTCTCTGATGACAATCGATAGGCATCAGCCTCACCGAGAGATTCCTCAAGCCTGTCAACCTTCTTCCGAAGTTCTTGGTTTTGCTGGAGAACCAGAATAGCCTGATCAGCCTGTTTTGTCGCCTTATCTAGAAGTTTCTGTAGATCTTCTACCTTCTCATACAAGGTTTTGTATTCAGATTTTAAACTAGAAATTTTTGATACATCGTCGTGAGAAGCCACAAGTTTATACTCTAACTTTTTTAAAGAAGATTCCATCGATGACCTATCTTCCTCCAGCATCTGAAGCCTTTGATCAGTTTCCTTGATATTACTAAGCTCAGCTTTCAACACCTTCAACTCATCTTTCAGGGACATATTCTCTGCCCTTAACAAATCCAATTCCTGGCTAAATGAATTCACAAGATCAAGTTGTGCAGAAGAAACAATATTAGCCATTTCCTGTATGTGTTCCTCATTAACACTTCCACCAGACAGCTCATTTCGCATTTTTTCCAGCTGGTCTTCCAGGAGCTCTACATGTATCTTTTCTTGTGCAGCCACTTTAAGTCTTGCATCAGTTTCAGCCAGCTTCATCTCCAAAAGGTTGATTTCTCCTTGCAATGCCTCTTTTTCACTGAGAATTTTATCAAGATCTTCAAGGGCACGAACGCGAGCTTGATTTAGAAGATGAATATCTACAACAAAAATAACATATACAAGTTAGGTCATGTTCAAGAAATAGAAATTAGAATTCAATTATTATCTTTCATTTCATAATACTTTATCCTCCACTTTGTTCTTCTATGTTTCCTGGTGATAGATGAGAAAAGGTTGTTTAATGAAATTTACCAAGAGTATCTCAGATATTGGAAGTGGAAGACTAAACCATCAGAAAGGGCTCAAGATGAGACACGGCTTACTCTTTTCAGCATTTTTTATCATCCCAATTAATTCTTGAAGTTGGACTCCTGGAAGTTGTGTTCCTCCGTCCATATTGATTGACTGTTCAGAAGAGAAGATTTTACAGTCTCAAATATCATTCCATGACTGTATGTAGAGAATAAAATGCTTACTAAAGAGAAGTCCCTGAGAAGACAATAAAGAAATTCAGGATGAGCTTCAAACCTTGCTATCCTTGAATAAGGATTTCAAAGAAATGCATTTCGCATTCATACTCTTTGATGATTTTCGAAAACGTGTATACATGGATATAAATTTATGCATGCAGTTACAAATGATATTGAGAATACCAAAACTCAAAATAAGTCAATTCAAGCACATATTATTTCCTTCTTCTATGATTGCAATTTTGATCTCTGTACTAATCCCTGAAGGCTAAATTATAAGATTAATATGACAAAAATTCTAAACATCAATTCTTTATAATTCAGTACTTGATGGATTCACTCAGCCAGTTACGTAAACTGCCAGACTAATGTTCTAGGATGGAGTCTCGGTTGGCACTCAAATAGTATCAATTTATTTCAAATTTTGTATAAAGATGCTAAGACCAATATCTGACAACTCCATGACTAACTCTTAATTATACGACTAAGAAAAATTAAAATTTGTACCAATTTTATTATCAAAGAAATAAACAAAGTTTTGTGCATACTTGAAGAATAGTGTCATCTGCTGTAATACCACTGTTTGTACTCTCATCGTTGGTGTGTGATAATTCTTCCCCATTGTCCGCAACATCATTCCTCAGAGATTTCGAATAGTCGGCATCTGTTATGACTGGAACACCGTCAACAAGCGTTGAATCTTGATTTGAGTCAGTTTTCCTATCTTTGGACGAGATATTTGGATCGGACTTGCTTCCAACATTTGGCTCACGGGTGTTTGTATTTATTGGACGGTTATAATTTATTTTCTTCGCCTGTTTCTTATTTTGCCAACTGCAAAGTGCAAATTCGGCGTGATCCAAGCTAAACATAAACTATTCCCAGTACAAATGTACTGTCTCGACGTCAGGATTCTACTTTCTTAAAAAATCAGCCAGATATCTTCAGCAATCTTGAAAACATATAAGGCCTCACCGTGAAAGTAAAATGGATAAAAAACAAACAAAAAAAACAAAAACAAAACAAAATTTTCACTTGACGAAAACAACGCATCATTCCAGCTGCTTTCAAAATCCGAACACAAATTAAACTAACCTCAACAAAAGCAACCAAAAACTGATGTTCAATTAAAAAGATCGTACAGAAAAGCAAACAGAAACATCATAGAACCTGAAGTTCCGCTGTCGCATTTTACAAGAAACGGGTCGCAGACGACTCGAAGACCAAGGGTAAAAGCCAACGCTAACTTGACGACACTTCTGGCCCCTTCCAGCCAAACTCCGGCCGAGAAAACACGTCGACGGAGTCGCCTCCATCAATCTCCACCGGACTGAGACCGACAAAGTACGTGGGTGAACGGTTGCTTAGAACCAACGACTGCTTACCTTACTTGGGAGTATTTATAAAGAGCGCCATTATCTTTCCATTATTCAAGGAAATTATCCGGTACGTGACGGCCCACCGTACAGTCCCTGATTAGTCACGTGGCGGTAAGGATCGGGCTGATCACGTGTAACCACGAAAATATTCTGGCCCAAAATTGTATAAAGTTAAGCCCAAATTAAATTAGGCCTAGAGGCTTAAACAAAGGCCAATTTTGAAATTTAAGCACTAATTTTCAAATGTTAAATCAAATATATTTTAAGTATTTTAAAATTTTTAGAATTATAAAAAAATATTAAATTAAACAATAATTTTTAATATTTTTCTTACAATTAATAAATCCAATACATACTAAACCTATATTAATAAAATGTTTAAGGTATATGTGAACCTGTTTGATAGAATATTAGGATAAGAGTTTTGTTTGTGAATTATTTTTACCAGTAATTACGTGTCATCAAATTAATATAGTAAAATTCTATGGCATATGTAGAACTTTTTTGAATAATATATTTTTGTTTAAATAAATTTTATAACATATACTTAATAATGTGAAAACATATCAGATACATGTATTTGATAGCATGATTAAATCAATAAATATATATATATATATATAGATAGATAAAATTTCTTTTTACTATATGTTAACGTCCTAATCAACGAAATTTTAGAATTTTTTTTTTTTTTTTTTTTTACAAACAAATCATAGAGATAAAATTAGTATTCTAACCTTTATTAATAGCCCTTGGATTAACCAGTAAAAACAATCGGACGGCTTAGGATAATCGGCTATGCTGGTGCAATTTATTCGTAACTGCATGTTGCGCAGCCTACAAATAAGGTTTTGAGATGGTTTATCGAATCCACTTCGCCTTCAACGTTCGTCTGCAGCGCCGTAGGGAAGACAGACATTTATCTCGTCGTTTTCGGTTTATCAAGCATCAGGTTCGCCCTTGAAGTTTCGTAATTGTTTGGTTCGGCTGGTATGGCTGAATTATGTAATTTTTGTATATAAATCGTATCATGCATTACAAAGCATCGAATCCGGCTTTGCAGCGTTTACAATTATACCGAAAGGTTGTCCTGATTCTATCTATCGTATTTGGTACTTGTGTTGAATATTATGGGAGATTGTTCCAAGTTTTCTGCAGGAGTTTTAAAATTTTGGAAATAATTGATGATTAATGTGATGTTTTAATAGATAAACCAAAAAAAAAAAAAAACACATTTATGCAATGATATTTGAAAAAAAATTAAAAAATTACTATCATAAACAGTGTTAAAATATCAAAAGTTTCTATAAAGAAGCCTTTGTTTTTGCATTAATTCTGATAGTTCTCTTGTTGTATGGTTTTAGACTTTCCCGTTTCTGTTTGTCAACCAAAGATGAAATTTGCAATTGTCCCATCCATTGTGTGTTTCCATTGAGATGATTAATTTGAAGTGCATATGGTTTTTGGCGTTACTCTTTCGTCAGCATCAATGGAGCAGTCGAACGAGGACGAATCAAAAGCGACGTTTTCAATTAAAGATGAAGATCACACCCTAGCAAATGCACTAGGATATGTACTTAATCGAGAGTGAGTTCTACTAACCACTGCTTTGTATAATTGTATTTATACTGTGTGTTGGGGAATTGAGAAAAAGCTAATAAGCCATTGTTAAAGAGCCATTGATCTATACAGACTCATATCCTTACTGTGATGATTTGATCTTCCAGCCCTCGAGTGTTGTTTGTTGGTAACAGCATTCCGCACCCTTCGGTAGCTACGATGAATATAAGAGTCCAGACTACTGGTAAAGTTTGTTAGATCATTGCCTGCAATTTATGATTAGGAAAATGCTTGTCAAAATAAAGCATATCAGATGGTTCTGTTTATGTTTCTCTTTAGAAGGTTGTCTTTTTTTGTACTGTTGTAGGCGACCCCGCCCGAGAGGTATTGAAGGATGGTTGCCAGAATCTAATGCAGATTTGTCAGCATGTTAGAAGCACCTTCGGTCAGGCTGTTATGGAGTTCAAGAAAAAACAGGAAATAGAATCCAAGGATATAAATAAATAATGCATCCCTTTATACCTCTGTTAATAAAGGCACATGGTTCTTTATGTTTTGTTAATTGAACAATGTTTAGGAAACAGTGATGAATTAGGGAATAAAGATCGAATTGTTAGTCACTTGAATAGATGAAATGAATTTTAACTCAAAGCTCTTCTCATTTGATTCATATGTATTCTCAATTCAACTTTAAGATATGAAAATAGTCTCAACAACTTGAAAGGTAGTTTACAACTCTATTGCTAACCAAATGTTAGTATCGTAAAAAGTAGAAAGCAATATTTGAGATACCTCAATGAATTCTTCACATTAGACGACCAACATAGTTAGCCCGAGGATATTTGCTCTTCAACTGTGGCCATTGTACGAATAATTGATCAGCTATCCTTAGTTTGTAGAGAATCAACCCACTTAACGATAGTCTTTTAACTCTAGCAATACTCTCGACGTAAAAAATGGAAGACCACCTGATCCCGAAAACCTGAAAGTTCCATCACAGTCTTATGAATTTTCCAATTCTATAGAAGTTAAAGGTTAGTCGAAGGATTGCATTAAATCATGCCACACAAACCTTGAACAAGAATGCAATTACACAGAGAGGTATACAGGTCCCTGGCCCATTGCACAATATCTGTACATCACAATAACAAAAAATGAAAATATGAAATGAAAAAGTAAAAATAAAAATTTCAGAAAATAATAATAGTGTATAGGAGAAAAGAATATACCACTTGAGGTCGAATCTTGATCATGAGCCACAATGCATGAGTTAAAGCTATTAAAGTTGTAGCCACTGAAGTTATGTACGATTGACCAACCTCACGACTTCGGTATATTTGCATGAAATGGGTAGATCCCATTGATTCGATCTCTGTCTAACACACACACACACACACACAAAAAGACTCAAATTTATTCAAATAGCAGGAGATTCTTGAACTTTAAAAATATAAGAGATAACTCGATGGTCTTCAACATGTTCCAACAGCAGAACTCATTTACTATGATTTCTCCATCCGAGATTTCTACTTTCATGATGCTCTTCCAAGACATCAATAAAAAGGAACCAATTCATTCAATTTTACAAAATTTTGAAAATCAGGGGTAACCTTTCGAGCTTCATTTTTCAACCAATCAACCCAAATCAAGTTAAGAAACACGAAGAGTAACAAAGGCATATAGTAGCAAGATCATCTACCTCATTCCTTATGGAATTCTCCAGTGCCCGAGCCTTCTGAAGGCTCATATTATCAGTAGCAGCAGCAATGTAGTATCTTGGCTTAAACCCATCCAACTGCATAACACTGAGCAGATTTAGCATCTCTGCAGTGTGGCCACCTATATTACACAATCAAATTGCACAAACTCAACTTAAGAAAAAGGCTAGCTACCAAGTCCTGGAGTGTGCCTGCCCAATTAGGATCAAAGTATTGGAAAGAATTGTTCCCAATTCCATATTGCTTTAAAAAAATCTCACTATTAGAGATGCAATCTATGGAAGAACAAATACCTCTAGAAGGGGATGAATTTACCCACCTGAACCCAAAACAATCAGGGTACTAAGATGTCCTTTTGGTTTGCTAGATAGAGGTTTTCTGCCTCGATATATAATGTATAAAAATCGGACAATAACAAGCGTGGAAGCACCAACTATGAGTAAAGCTACATTCGGGAATGTCATGCCGAAGAAGAAATAATCAGCTGCCGCCTCCATGGCACAATGCATGAGGTGTTTCAGCAACCAGAAATCCTGCATTTAATTACTCATTTCATTGATATAGTCGCCATCAAACAACAGTACAGTAGATGAACATCAGCATATGCAGTGGTTCTATTCTCAACAAAATATTCAACGCAGCCAAGCAAATGCATTTAAAACCATATTCGAAAAAAGTAGAAATCTGAAAGACACGAAAGGTTCAAGTGTATGTGCCTGATAAACTCTAAATCAGGCAACGCAGGGGTGATCACTATTAAAATACCACAAATGCATAGTACTATAGAATCTATCACAGAAAACGGAAATGATTCCAGATCGTGAATTGGAAGGCCAAAACCTTTGGATTCACCGAACACTAATCAGCTTCTCTACAAGTTCGTGTGTGAATCGGATGGAAATATACTTTTTAATCGGAATACCTGAAACAGCACAAACTCATCTATATCTTCCAATCATCTCCGGGATCGATTTGAAATGGAAAAACAACAAACACTGCAAAATTGCTGCATATTATTGAATGAAGCGCTTCTCTTATGACCAAAAAGGTAGAACTTACAATTGTCTCACAGAAGTGCTGCTGTAGGAGGCGAAGCCACCTGAAGAAGAAAGAGGCGGAGATATTATGCTCTGTTGCAGGCTAAACCCGGCCTGAGGAAGAAGAACAGGATTGGACATTTTTCAAGTATACCCCAAATTTATTGTAATTAATTTCAATTATACTTGGCATCGTTTACTTATCCAGCCGGTTCCGAACCGGCCCATCAAACCAATTTCGATATGAATTGTGAACCGGCGGCCCATTTTCGACCCATCGCATAATTCACAATTATATTTTTATTCCATTTTACTTCTTCCACTCTATTAAAAAAAAAAAAAAAAAAAAAAAGAAAAAAAAGAAAAGAAGTCTGTTAGACTTGTGGCAGTGAAGTTATGGTTTAAACCCCCGATGCCTCAGTTCATCTATTACATATGGTTCACTGATTTTTCTGTGACACTTTATAAAGTTGATAACTATGATATCATAGCTGTTATGATTTACAAAAAAATGTATCATTAGGTTGAAATTCTTTTTACAACAATGGAGAAATTAAATATGTTAATTAAACTTTTTTTATATAAATAAATAAATAATGAAAAGTTGATTGATAGTTGATACCACAAATAAGAAAAATATATTTGATTATGAAGTCAAAATTCATCACCCTATAATATAACACGTGGATCTTAGATAATAAATACAATTAACAACACGGCCGTGTTTAGCTCTCACTTGGATGGCGTGATTTCATGAATTAGAGCTTCAAAAGCAACTAAAATAGATTGGATAGAAAATAGAAATGCACATCACAACTTAATGTGACGAAAACAACAAAACAAAATTACAACAACAACTTCCTTAAAACCATAGTTTTCAACGAATTAACTAACTTTTAAGGAATCTTTTGCTCAATCTCATCGATCATCATCTCTACCATTCTTAATTAGATTCCTTCTTCTTGATCTCACGATCATCGACATAATGTTGGTACATATAAGACACAAACCCCCACAGCGCGAGCGCCATCGACATGGCCTTAAGCCCCGTCATCTTGTCGTGGAGAAAAACCACGGCAAGAACAGGCGCCACCGGCAGCCCCAAGATGCTGATCACGTTCGAGAAAAGCGACGACACTTTAAAGATCAATCCAGTGCACCCGACGGTGAATGCCTGCCACGACACGGCGGTCCAAAATAAGTTCATGGCATAGGAAACCCGGCCGGACTTGTATCCGGCCATCTCCGCCGACATCCTCCGCCAATCGCCGCTGGCGAACAGACCCACCACAATCACAATTGACGCCACAAAGCATTGCCATATGCTCATTTCAATCACTGCATTGATGCTATCCTTCTTGATTATCCTTTGAAACGCCACCTGCATTTAAAGAGCTGTTAACGATTCGAATCGAACACAATTATTAAATATATATATATTTTTTAACTATACAAACATACGCACGCCCCCGAGATCGAATTTGGGTCGAAATGTCAAACAACTAAGCCTACAAGGTCTTAGAAAAACAAGATTTGTGTTTGTTCGTCAAGTATTCGAGTTTGTTTATACTGTTCAAACTCATTCGTTAAGCAATTTCATTGTTTGAGCTCATATTCATGTTTGTATTCGATTCAATTAAACTCACCTTTCTAATTTGATATTGTCAAATTTGCAGAACGATCATTTCACCTCAAAGTTTAAACGATTTATCAGTAAACAGAGCTCTTAACAGATATTTTATTTTATTTATTTTTGTAATTCATAATTCCGTATGTATATATATAAATATATTATTTTATCTGACATTAATTAACAAAAACGATTCTATTTATATTGTTCAAGCTCTATTCGGCTCATTTAACGAGCTTAAATCAAGTATCGAATTTACGAACGAATTAATTAGTTTAACAGCTCTACCTGTGTCACCGACAGCATGAGGGCGTAGCCGGCGGAGGCGGCGACGGTGCAGACAAAGCCGATGACGTACTTAGCCTTGGACGATTTGTTGGAGTCGCCGGGATCGGATTGGAAGACTAAAAGGACAGAGGAAAGCGTGAGGAGGACGAGGGAATTGACGATGTAAGGAGTGAACTTCTGGTTGTTAAGGAAGTAAGAAAACAGGGCGTTGAATCCCAATTGGCTGGCGCAGATCAGTGTGTAGGTAGTCACAGGGAGATACTGGAGCCCGATCGAATATAGCATACAATCTGCTGCAAGAAATATCCCCAAAGCTATGTAGATGGAGGCAAGATTGAGGGGGAATTTGAATTTGGGGGAATTATTAAGGATGAAATTGTTATTATTGCAGTTAGGGTTTTCTAATTTGGGGGAATTGGTAGCTATTAGGTATTGGAGGGGGATTAGGACAGGGAAGCCAACGACTTGGACGAGAGTGGCCATCCACTCGCTCTTGCCACCATTGTTGAAGTAAATTCTTCCTAAAATTGTGCCCAGATTCTGCCCTGTAAGGACGAAGATTGTGTAAACGATCATCTGTATCCACCATTTGTAGTGTCTGGTTGATGATTCTGAAGCTTGTGTTGTTTTCTGTTCTTCAGTATCCAAGCCTGTAGTGGAGAATTCAGTAGTCGAAATTATTAAGAATGGTTAACCAGAAGTAGAAGAAGATTAAAGAAGGGTTCTTTTATCTCACCATTGATGGTTTCTTGAGCTGCTGGTGCTGCTGCTTGATCTTCTTCTCCCATGGCGATGATGGATACCGAAAATTTAATCTAGTTACGATAGTGTTGTTTGTGTGTGTGTAGAGTATGGCATTGGAAATAAATTTATTGGAAGCTATAGTGGTAAGAATGGAAAGTGGGGGAGCAGCTGTAGCTTGGTATGTACATTTATCTATTTTTATAGCAACAAATCATTATCAGATGGAGGATTTTATTTATTTATCTATTTATTATTTTAATGTGTATATATATTAAAAAAAATTGATTTGGATTTGTTACTGTTTTGTTTGTATTATAATAATAATACTAAGAATGTAATATATCACTTTATTATTCTATTAAATTTAATTATGCCTGTTACATTAATTTGTAAATTTTATTGAAGCTTTATCAGCGTATGATATATATATATTTAGGATTTTATTGGGTTTGAATTTTGATTGTGTTATTTTTATATTTATTTCTGCAAGCGTGTAATTTTCACATGTATTACCTATTTCCAACTACCTAGCTAGGACAAGTGGGTTTCTGGTTTCTTGTTCTTCTATGAATGATGCATCTGCCAATTTTTTTTTTTTTTTTATTTTTTTTTTAACGACGTGGGAATTTGTAGTCGCTATTCGAAAATACGCACTGGATAAACTCCCGACGAACCTAATATCCTGCCAAAACTCTTTGTTGATTTATGTACTCATTAAGTATGAACAAATAGGTGTTATAACAAAGAGGGAATGATCAAGGTTTTATCTGATAATAATAATAATAATTATTACTATAATTATTGTTTGGTCTCATTATTAATATTTGAATCAAGACACAATAGCTGTGTGCACTCAATTGTCATATTTGCAATCTTGCTGCAACTGACATCACATAGAGACAACAACAAAAGGGTTATTCGGATGTGTTCAATAGTGATATATACACACACATATATATATATAAATGAATAAATTTTCAATATAATATTTATCTAAAAATATATGTTTAAGAGGAAAAAACATGAATAGTGTGATACGAAATATCTCAAAGAGTGTGAATCAATTGGATAAATATGAGAGAGAGAGAGAGAGAGAGAGAGAGAGAGAGAGAGAGAGAGAGAGAGAGAGAGAGAGAGAGAGAGAGAATTAAGAACTACTACGGCATGTATGGCAGAAGATCCAAAAATATCTAGTCAAAATCCAGAGAAGAAGGCAATTATAACAACTAAAAACATTTCATTCAAACACGGCACTTCCACTGTAACCAATTATTTTTGCCAGTATATTAATGTCTGTCTGTACGTATATACTTTATCATTGATTTCTCCATATTTCTACGCTTTTGAATTCCATACCCCATAAAAATATTTTAAGAAAATAAAATAAAATAAAATACACAGTTTATTTAAACTTAAAAACTTTTAGATCAGAATCATTTAATATAGTATGTCAGCAAATATCACAGAGTTTATATAAGTACAAATTAATGTATATATTATTATCATGTGCTTAATTACTGAGCTAATTAATCGGCGATATAAAATATTAACTAATAACAAAATTAAAAATTTATCTAGTGCATGCATTAATTGTGTGAAGAATTATTGAATACAGATACGTAATTATAAATATATATGTATATATAATATTAATGCACCAACTTACTTGATCTTTGTTAATTAACTAGTGCTTTCTTTTTAATTCCACTTAGATATGCAAAGTGCATTAGCATCACCACTTAATTGCTCAATTATATATGTTATCCACATTTTGCCTTTAATCCCACGTTATCCACATTAATTTGTCACTTCAAATATACATAAATCACAGTGAGAATTATACTGAAGACCTAAAATTTAAGAACATCAGACGTGATGTCATCACTTAGTGAAATTTCGACGTACGTAATGCATGCATGCATGCATGCATGCGTAGGACCAATAGTTAATACTACAGCCTCTCTCTCTCTTCGTTAATAATCTATAAAAATTGCAGCAGCAACAAACCAAATTAAAACCTAAGTGGATAAACTAATAATAATAAATCTAAGTGTTAATTAATAGTGTTAGAGAGTTAATCAACTAGTAATTAATTAACTAACTAACTAAGGAACCCTTTTGATTAAATTAACTAGTAATTATAAATCTTTAATTCAGAACCAACCATTAGAGTAGACTTTTGGTTTTAGTTGACTTCCCTTTATGGGTCAACTCCGGTTTTCATACGACATCGTCACTATCACCAACCAAAACACTTCAACATGCAGCAATAATAATTCAAACATGCAAAGGTAAATTAAAGCACAGTAACACCAAATCTCAATATATATGAACTCTTATCCAAATTTCATATATCAAAAAAAAAAAAAAAAAGAGCGAGAGAGAGAGAAAGAATGGTAACTTCACATACATAAATAATTAAATTATATATATAAAAAAAGGAGCATATATATTAATTTATATATACAGATACATGTTTGTATATATATAACAAAATGTGTAATGATACAAATGATCAACTGACAGATATAAATATACAAAATATATATTATGCATCATCATAAGAATAAAAAAGAAGAAACAAATTGATTAATTATATATAATGTAGTGGAGGATAAGTTAAAATAGTGCAGGTTAGGATGGGATCGGAAGATAACTTTTGGAGATATAATTGGATTAATGTGTAATTTAATTAATTAGGGTTCTTGTTTGGGGAATATTGTAGAAGAAGGAAACACATCCGGCAAGATATTCTCGTAATCAAGATATTGATGATCATGTAACTGGGAATTAGTCTGTAGCTGAGTATTGCGAGTCATACCATCAGTACTGACGAGACTGTACAAGTGATGAGGAAATCCAGCTGGAGCTTCCGGCGGAGGCGCTAATGGCGGATTTAGCATCATCGAAGAATCTGGAAGCCTCATACCAATCACCGCCGCAGAATTCCCCCTGAGATTCACCGGAAGGTGGTGGTTGTGCTGACCTTCGTAGGTAGTGATCACGATCGAACGGTCCTGGAATGACCTCTCGACGCGCTTCTTCACCGGACATTTCTGCGCAGTGCATCTGTAGTAGCTTCTGTGAAATTATGAAATTATGAAATTGTGAAATTAATTAATTGATAATTGTTGAAGGATTTGGAGAGGAAATCGATTCGAACGTACCTTGGGTGAGGACTGTTCTTCACGGCTTTCTGGCCGTACTTCCGCCACCGGTAACCGTCGTCGAGATGATCGACTTCGCTTTTGGTCATGAAAGCGAATCGTGGCTGCTTTTTCTTCTCGGATTCTGTAGATTTCAGTTTCTTCAATTTTGCACTATCGTTTCGTGATGAACACGATAGAGCGAATTGAATTAATTAACAAATTAATCTATAATTAACTTCCGCAAATTAAGATTAAATAATGGATTAAGAAGAAGATTAATTGCAGATTAATGATTACTCTTTCTTCGAGCTGTCGTCTTCTAGGGTTTCCTTACCCTTTCCGGAACCTTCGGCGGTTGCAGCTGCAGCCTCAGTGGAGGAAGATGAATTCGAGCAATTAGGCGTCGCCGGAGATTCGCCGGTGATCTGCTCCGGCGGAGGCAAGCCAACTAAGGAGTCTGTATTAAACCAACTGAGGTGATCTGTGGATCCGTCTAGAAACTCGGCGAAGGTAGCGGAAGCTTCAACGTCGTCGGAGGTGCTATTAGCCATGGAGGAGCTTCCTGAGTACGTAACTCCGGCGACGTTCCGGCGACGACTATCGCCGTCGTGACTGTAGTAAAATTCAGTGAATCCTTGAGACATGTCGAGGGAAAGTAATATTAAAATAAGAGGGAAAGAGTACCGAAGAAGAATTGTGAGGTTTCATATAAGATGTAGCAATTAATTAATTAATAATTATTAAATGAGAGACCGCCAATAAATTATTTTTAAAATATTTAAATAATTAATTAGGTTTATTTTAGATTATTATATTTGCAAATATCTCGTTGTCTAACAATTGTTACCGTATATACGTACAACAACAATTAATTAGTCAAGCCCACATTGTGGACCAAATGGAAACTATAGTCAATTTTTACATATATAATAATTGTTTAACATAGGTTTTGTTATATAAATTATAAATTGAATAAAAAATTTATTATTCAATTTGTTTTGAAATTAAAGTAACAGGTTTTTTAAGACAATTTATTTTTATTAGATTCACCGTCTTAAAAGTATTTAGATACATATAACTAAGGTCTTGCTTGGTTTATCCAATTATTTTGTATTGATATAATTATCTGGATAAATATTATTAAAAAAACACCATATATAATTATATATAATATGTAATATATATTTGATCAATTTATATAAAAGAAAAAAAATATATTATTTTTATACTATAATATGATTCAATGTTTCTAATATAAAAAATATATTAATTAAAATCTTAAAAACAAACCCATCCAATATTAGATGTGTAATTTAATAGTTAGGTGGATAACTAGCAGTAAATTTGGTAGACATGTATACTAATTGGACAATTGGTTTGGTAGTATATATGTGCTCATTGAACAATATAAAGAATAACAATTATATGCTGGAATAGTGGAATTAGCGTGGTAATAGACATGCCACACGTTTCAATTTTGAAAATGATCCTACATTATCCTACTAATATTAGCTTCCTTTTTAAGTTATTTTTTAAGATTCTTTTTACTTATAATATAATATTTATACAATAAAAGACCTACAAGTTGGAACATATTTACTTCTGTTTTAATTTTATTTTGTTTTTTGAATATTTGAAATTAAAGGTTTTGACTTTTTTTTTTTTTGAGTGTTGGATGTAACTAATTATTTAAGAAAATAAAATGATGTAAAAATATTTATGCAAAAAAATAAATAAATAAAATGTAGAAGCATAATTGAGCTAATTTCTTGTAAAAATAAACTGAAATATGAATATACATCAATATTTAAAACCACAAAACATCAGGAACAGTAACTAATGAACAAAATGATCTGAGGAATCCCAATTGCCCCTAAACATCAATATTTTACAGTTCAAACTTACATTTGAACTATAGGCAAAAATGAAATTGCATCTACATGAATGGCAAAGTTAATCAAAGCTAAAAGCTTTAATCATTAATCAATTGAAATTAGTGTTCCTGTGTTCATAGCAATAGAACCCACCAAGGATTAAAAAAACATAAAAATAAAAATAAACCAAAAGTTTCAAGACATAAGATACTCTGTCATCATCTGGGTAGCAGCTATGTGGGACTAATCCCATAAAAGGGGATTGATGACTTGACTTGGTCTATATCAACTTAAGGTGTAATGTAATGGCCAATAATAGGACTTGTCCCAATCCTATATATATAAAATATATATGTATGTATCATGGATGTACTTGAGCTTCTAGAAGCCTGTATTAATCACTTAGCATGCAAGACTTTCAAAGGGTTTATTAATTTCCAAGATCTTTTTGAGTCTAGATCATTATCATGAAGAAAATCAGGCAAAGCAAGAAAGAAATGGTGAGAACAGAAATTAAGAATTTAAATGGTCCTTCAAATTGACAACAAGATGCACAATCAAGACTTGTTGTGTAATGTAAGGACATTTTTAAATTAGTGTTCTTGTCACTCAATATGAGAAAAACCTTTCATGTATTGTGTTGTGTGTGTAATAATCTGTGTTTGTCCAATTAACAAAATCTCCACGTCAATAATAGGAACATTTGCATTTCCAAATGTGATAAACATAAGATGATTGTACCTTGACAATCTCTATCTCCAAGAGACATCTGGTTGTTTGCAGTTTGAGTGTGTGTATATCCAGCAATCGAATCTCATGAATCCGGTCTGTACGAGGATCAACGGCGACGACTTTCTACAAGATCAGCAAGAGTGATCTTCCCACAGTTTCCAACATCCAGCCGTTCAAACTGTTTGCATATCTGCAGAATGTCTTTTTCCGAAACCTTGCCGAGCTCCTTGAGCTTGTACACCACAAATTCTGATTTTCTGGAACACAACACATGAAACAACACAGCATTAAACAAAACAGAAACCTAACTAATGATAGTCCAGTCTCTAGAGCTACTCAATTCAAGTTAAAAAATGGCAAAAAGATGACAAAGATGTCGCAAATTTTTGAACTTGCAATCACATTGTTAACCAGTGTAAACTAGCAGAACAATCAAACTGTTATTGAAACACAAAAACTTCTCCATTTTTATGCACTCTGCACTCTACAAGGAATGAACTTCGAAAAAGTTTATAAAACATGGCGAAAGACTCTCCATATCTTGTTTCAAATAAAAAAGAACTAAATAGCAGGGAACGAACATACGGCAGTTTCAATAGCTGCACATAGGATACATAACTAACAAATTTGGAACATCATTTCAAGTGCATTCACTCAAAACAGATCCACATTATCATAGATGGCATTAGCGCGATACTTTCTAGGCTCAAAATTTAAACCTCAAGCAAGTACTGAATCAAAGCAAGTGAAGGAAGAACTCACGTCACGAAACCATTGTTATCGATATCCGCAGCAAGAAACTGTGCAACAGTCATATCCTGGCCGAGCACCCATTTTGCCATACTTCTATTCCGCTTGTCAACTCTTGCTTCAGCCAAGTAGAGAAAAGCTCTAGCAACAGCAAGTGTCGACACAAGTAACCAAATTGATGCAAAAACTCTACCAGTCAAAGAACTAAATGCCTGATCTCCATATCCAACAGTGGTGACTGACATAACCGAGAGGTAAAACGAATCAAGCCAGTTCAGCTTCTCTACAAAATGCATCGCGCAAGCTCCAATCCCGATGCAAAGAATCACAACACCTAATGCCAATGCTACCTTCATCCGAATCCTCATTCTCCCCTTCTTCACATCAACTATGTAAGACCGAGGATCGCGATTCCCACCACTACCGCCTTTTATAGTCTTCAAAAGATAATTCTCTTGCAAATCAAGCATGTAACTGACCATCCCACTCAACAAAATATCGACAAACCCGAATCCGACGAGCACAAAGGTGATAGAAAACAATTTAGTTGCAGCACTGTCAGGTGTGATATCACCATAGCCAATTGTGCACATTGTAACAATGCAGAAATATAAAGCATCAACAACAGGGTGAGTTTCTGTTGATCTGAAGCTATCCTTATTAAGCGAGTATATACTCACGCCAAAAGTTAAATAAACGATCAAGAGAAGTATACCCTGTCGCACAATTGACGGTTTATCTGAATTTGGTGGCTTGCTGTGCGAACGACGATTAACTTCGTTGATCGTAGCCATGGCAGGGGCAGTTTTCGCCCTGTGAAGATGGCTCTTGGTGACTGGATAAATAAGCTCGTTCAGCCATAATTGTTGATTTTCCAAGTCCGAATTTGGCTTAAGCTGATCAAATGTTGGTTTATCGTAATCGAGATTTGAAGCGGCAGGATGAGGTGAGCTTAGGCTTAGCGTAAGCGCTTCTAGCAGATTCGAGGACGACGTATCCCTAAGATGCGCCGTTGCAGTCGAAGGAGAACCGAATATGAGAATGTCCTTGAGATCCTTAGCGGACGGAGTGATCGGCGGCGGAATTGTAATCTCGTCGTCTTCTGGTAGAGGACAGAGCGTGGACGACGACGACGGTGTAGGCGGAGGTCTTCTGGTTTTAATGTAGGACAGAAGTGGCTGTTTCTCCATGGCAAAGCGGAGGACGTTCACCCCGCCAGAATTTTCCTGAACTCCTTCGGCGCTGAGGTGGCGCTGTCACGTTGGCGGTGTACTCCACCGGCTGGGAATCGTCGTAGAAGCGCCTTCCCTACAGAAGATGAAGCTCGTGAATGCCATGCCATGGCTTTCCAAATATAATGGAAACGAAATCAGATCAGCAGGCAGGGAAGGAATAGCGTGTAAGGCTCTGTCTTGCCCTGCCATTTGTAAAGACACACATTCACTGCCACATAATTTTGCATTAATTATTTTTTTTCTTATGAACAAAGATTAGAACAATGTTAATTTTTTAAATGCAAAAAGGTAATCACCCGCGAGTTTTTGGGAATATTTAAAAATAATAAAAATTAATATTTGATGTTATATTTATTGGATACGTGATAATTTTTAGAAAAGTAAAAATAATGTCAAATATCCACAAATGTTGTCTAAACAAATCAAAAGAATTTTGTTTGATTTTGATTTAAATTTACTTTTTAAAAATGTAAAAACAATGTCAAATACCCACAAATGTTGTCTAAACAAAGCAAAAGAATTTTGTTTGATTTTTATTTAAATTTACTTTTTTAGAAACGTAAAAATAATGTCAAATACCCACAAATGTTGTCTAAACAAAGCAAAAAATTTTGTTTGATTTTGATTTAAAGACTATTTCACATATAATTTCATTTGAAATGTCAAAGCAAATCTTATATTCCCTCAACTCAAAATAAATATTTATTTCTAAAAATAATTATATATCAGTCAAACATTTTACCTAAATTATAATAAAAAAATTTTACAAATTTTTTTACTAACTAATAAAATATTATTATTTTTTTAATTAGTTTACTACAAACTCCCCCTTAACCGAAATATTCTATTTTATATTTCACAAAATATTACATCAAAATATTATTTAAATAAATAAATAAAAACAACACAAAGCCAAACCCAATTTTTTTTTGCAAATTACTTTTTAGCTAAAGAAAGAAGCTTTTTGCTTGACATTGATCCATGAATGCAACCCACAGTTTTCTGTACACAAATTCAAAGCAGCAGCAGGAAAGCATATTAAAAACCTTGTCCAAACAATCGAATAGCTTCCGAAAATGGCCTACAAAACTTTCTTCCCTTGGGGAGATATCATCAGAGCTAGAGAGGTTGTGCCAATGAATGCCTCAAGTACGATTGCTGCTCGGGACTCAATCGAGAAAACCACTTCCTAATTGAAGTAACAGGCAAGATACTACATTGTCCGGAGACTGCTGGCGAAGCTTCTACCTTAGTGTCTATGACTTCTTCGAATTTCATTGGAGTGAGGCCAAACAAGGAAGTTAAAATGGCAAATTGAACAGGTAGGGTCAGTGTTGTAAAAGAATTTCCGAGCAGGATGGCTGAAAACCATTCACGCAGCTTTTCAACTTCAGGATCCTCATAACCAATGGCTTCAATGCCGAGCCTGAATAATGACAGATAACATTTTAGGGTTATGATAAGCATCATGAAAATTGGAAAAAGAGAACTGCATATGGAGTTATTGCAACCTAAATGGTTGCTTGTTGTTGCTATTTGAAATATATAAAATAATCTTCAAATGTTACGGATATGGCAAACCTATAATGATGATTTTGAGCTTTAGTCAGCAAATACAGAGCCTTATACTTTATTATCTCAAAGCACAAACAGAATAGATTCAAGCTAGAATTAACAGCTTCATCGATGAAGCTCAATGTAATCAGCAAGAATGTTCACAGAAATATAGCAAGTGGATATAGAATATCGAAATCTTCTTGGATAGTGTGTAATAAGAATTGTGAAGGAAGATACAGTAGCTGATAAAGCAATACAAGTGTGAAAAATAAAAGGAAGCTACATAAGAAAGGGCAAGGATAATGAGGGTTTAAGCAGAGTAATAGCTCAAGTCAGTATATAAACTTATGATTGCTTCGAGTAGTTTGTATTTTCCGGAGAAAATGTGAAGGACCATTAAATTATCAAAAGCTTAGATGTATAGGATCTAAATATATGAGGTAGAATTGAGAAAAGAAAATGAAAAATGCTAATGCAAGCAGTCACATCACTCATATAAGCATATGGATGTTATATAATTAGTAGTAGCAGGTATATATACCTCCCCAATTGACCGAGAAGAATGATTATGGCAGCAGAAAACCCTTCCGTAAGTCGAGATTCGAAAGATTTACAAATCGGACCAATGATGTGGTCAGCTGTCCACCTCCAGCTCTGCATGTCATGAGAGACGAGTGTAAGACATAATGTAGTATGCTACATGGGGAAAAGAAGTGAAGGCTACACTTAATCTACAGGAGTTCTAAGCACATTCAGTGCAAATGAGAAAATCATCAATCAATAAAACAAAAAGAATATTTTTCACAATAAATGTAAGTGGAAATTCATACCATAAATGATGCCAGAATCTCCATCAACGGAAGAGTATCCAAAATTTCACATAAATTCTCATCATAAGGTGAGCTTGATGTGACACAGTCCACAAAACATGAAGCATCTTCATTTCTGTGTTTGTGGAGATTCTCTCTTGGAACTACTGATTTCATTACTTCAAATGTATCTTTCAACGAGGGACTGTGCTTGCAAAGATTCTCCAATAACTTTGACACAACACCCTCTATGGGAATCGCACCCTTTGAAAACGGGCAATTGCTGCAGCATGACCAAGTTAAAGAAAGATCTCCAGCCAATGGTTGGGAAATAGATTTTGAATTAGCTGATGCACTTTTCTTCTCAAGAAGCATAACAAGGACTTCTACTACGGACATTGTTAAGGAGTACTGCTGTATGTCAAAATATTTCGGGCCACATATATGAGCAAAAGAATGAAGGATAGCCAGTATAACGGCAGGACCACATCTCTGACTTGCGATAATGCTGCACGAAATCTCACAAATACAGCCAATATGATCTACTGCTAAGCATAATGAAGCTAGTATGCTTCCACCAGCAACCAACAACGGGGCTGAAGCTAACACTTCAGACAATATAACCACATCACCATTTAGAACCAGATCCATTTTGGAACTAGAAAGGGCCTCTTGCTCAGAAGATATGTCACCAGTAACAAACACCTTTCTTTGCAAAAGAAATTCTTCAACAAGAGCAAGCAGTTCAAACAAATCAAAGGACTCCCGGAATTCTCTCTTCAAAACTAGATCTGTTAGTGCTGCACAAGAAAATGGTGAGCTCGTCAGCATAAACCTAAAGAATGAAGTTGTATCACAAGCATATAACTTCCATTATAAAGAGATTAGCATGAAAAATACCTGAGCAGATGTGAAGTGACACTGAATCAAGGGACTGGACCAAAGCATAACTCAAGAAATTTGACCAGTTCTTCGCTGAAACCTCGGAAACTCCATACAGTAATAAAGAGAAGAATACACAAACCTTCTCCCTGCAGTCATGTTCCAAACAAGTTAACACAATCATTCCTTTTCAAGGTAACTAAACATAAAAAAGTCGATGCATTCAAGTTGATAATGTGATTCCTGAAAAGAGGCCAACGTATAGAATTCCATTCCTAATCGCAAAATTACAATTATATTCATAATATAGAAACTATATCAGAGTTTATGTTCAAAGAAAAGGCGTGATGTCTCACTACTTTATGTATAGGACAGAGATATAGACTACATTATGGAAAGACAAGTTCCTCAGAACACAGTGATATTGTGGTATTCAAACTACCTACTTAAGCAAAAGCCATTCACTTACTTCATAGAAAGATCATGTGCCTTCAAAAGAGCATGTAGAATACTTCGAACAAATATCTCTGCTGAATCAAGGGAAGAAAACGGTGGCATGCAACCACAAATTGACTTAAGGATCCTTGACATGCTATGATATTCTTTATTGTCTGGATACACAACATAATACTTCAGGAAACCACTATGAGGAGTAGAAAGCTGTCTTTCACACTGTATATTTGCTTCCTTGGATCCAGCATCATCATGACAAGCTGGCGCAGAATCTTCAACCAGTTGCATCCCTGTAGAAACAGAACCATCCAAAGGTGCATGAATGGCCTTGTTCTCTGAGTCAATAGAAGGTAGCTCCAGGTTATCTCTAAAACCTGCAAATTCCTCAAGCGAACTTTTGTTTGGGAGACACTGAGAAATGTTAGCTTCATGTGTCTCATCAAAAAGTAATTCTAGATCAGGAAGCAAAGGAGACAGGGGTATAGCAATAGCCCTGCGGTAAGCATCCTCATCTGCAGCACTATTCAGCTCCAGCAACTTCATATAATCACCACCAGCCATTACATCAGAAAATTGAGATGTGCGTTGAGCACTTGCAAAGATTACATTTGCTCCATCCTCAGTATGCTGATCCAATTTCATAGCACCAACAGCCATACAGGCATTCAAGCAATCAATGTCTGAATCAAATATGCCCTTTGCCTCATTATCTTGCACACAATGAGCAACCATTGCTTCCTCAGAAGAATTTTTTCTCCTCTTGAGAGGTCTGCCAATATCATTGCAAGGATTGTCCTTACGGTTCTCTTCTTCAGATTCACTTTTTTTACCATTAATTATATCATGCAGGATGGATACTTTCTCTGATACCTGTTGATGCAGCTTCTCACCTTTACAATACAACTTTTCAATGGATTTAACTGCATCAAAAATCCTTTCCCTCTCAAGTGATGCACATTTTCTTTTACCATCATTTTCTTGAAGTGAACATTCTGATCTGTTGTCAGCTTTGACTATTGTGTGCTCATTATGCCTTACCCTGGTCTTGGAAGACAACCTTGACTTGGGTTTGAGTTTTGATATATCTTCACCCAGTTTAGCCGATGTTACAGATAGAGTATGCATTTCCTGTGATCCCACCAATGGTCGATCAGAAAAAGATGCCGAACTTGAATTTATGGCAGAACTCATTTTTTGGTTGGAACCTCTATGTGGAGGATCCAATCCAGTTATACCTGATATAAGTTGCCTATGATGATCATCTGAGCACAATGTTTCTCTTGTTGAGATATGATTTCCAATCTGCAAAATAACATAAAACAAGAAATAAGGATCAGTATGTACAAGATTCAACACACAATGTTTAATCTAATCAATATAAAATTACAAAATACATACAAGTACAGTGATGTATAGATCTAAAATATATGCTTTAAGCTATTCCAAAATCTTGGCGCTATCAACATACCAAATATTATTCATGCTCATTTTAGTCATCTATATGCAAAAAACTCAATAGTGAAAAAATTTGAATCCTTCAGTACATGAAACCAAAATAAGATAACAAGAGATGAGGGAAGTGCCGGCTATTCAGTGCAACATCAACATCCATTATGAAAAAGGATGTAACAACACATGGTTAGTATGATGAACAAAGATTGACAAGATAAATGCAAAACATCAATTTAAACGATGCAGATCAAATTACAGTGTGCACTTTGAGAGAGATAAACCAACCTTTTCCAACTGATGTATACCTTCTCCGCCGCCTGAAAAGGAGTTACTTAACATATCAAAACGAAGTTGGAATTGAAGAAACTCCTGTTTTAGCTGAACTAACTCCTGTTGTAGCATACTGTTGCGAATAGCTTCCACTTCTGAAGCTTTTTTAGAGTGCTTCACAAGCATCTTTTCTAGCTTCAATTGGTTCTTTAACTTTTTAACAGTATCAGCCTCAGATAAAATGCTAGTATATCTGTATGAGTAAGACTTCGCCAGCTCTGCCTGAGATTCTACTAGTCTCAGCTTACAGCTTTCCAGTTCTCTAGAAAGTTCGTTGGCTCTGTGCTTCTGCTCTCTGGCCATTCTTTTGTAATCCTTTGCAGCTTTACTATGTTCCTTCGCTACCTTTTTCTCTGGATCTGAATGTTTTTTCTCCAAATTTTTCTGATCTTTCTTCACAAGCATATTTTTCATACATTCAGACATTGCAGCATCATTCTTCAGCAGCTCCCCGCACATCCCACTTGCTATTCTGATGTTCCTTCCAGTATTAGTTTCATCAGCTTGAGCTTCAACTACATTTCCAGAGCACCTATGCACCTCTAATCTTTTTGCTCGATTACTAGCCTCTTCGAACTTCTTATTTAAATTATCTGCTCGTTCTTTCTCAGACATGGCCTTCTTCAAGTTCATTTCTGCAAATTGCCGCTGCTCATCAGCTTTGGCCACTGCCAAGTCAGCCCTTTCTTTTTCTCTTTTGGCATTTAGTTTCTCAACCTCCACTTGCTTATATGCAGATTCCGATCTAGATTTCTCCAATGCCAGCTTTGACTTCACTGCATCAGTTTCCTTCTTCAGTTTTTCCAACAAAAGCCTATTTTCCTCCGCTTTCTTTCTTTCAACATTAGCTATCTTCTGTGCTTCAGCAACCTTATTCCCGTCCATTTCCAACTTCTTCAAAGCCTCAGCGGCTTTCATCTTCTCGAGCTCAGTATTCTTTTTTTCCAAAGCTGTTTTTTTCCTCTCCTTGTCCAAAAGATCCTTCAACCCCTTAATCTCCTTGTCAGCCCTACTCACATGTTCTTGAGCCTCATTGTGTATCCTCTCCTCCAACTCAGAATTCTTTTTTTCCAAAGCTGTTGTTTTCCTCTCTTTGTCCAAAAGATCCTTCAACCCCTTAATCTCCTCATCAGCCCTTCTCAGACGGTCTTGAGCCTCATAGGCTTTCCTCTTCTCTAACTCAATATTCTTTTTTTCCGAAGCTGATTTTTTCCTCTCTTTGTCCAAAAGGTCCTTCAACCTTTTAATCTCCTCCTCAGCACTACTCAGTCGTTCTTGAAGCTGCTCATTGGATTCTTGAGAACCCAAGTTGCTATTACTCTTAAGCAATTGAACCTCCTCCTTTAGTGCAGACACCTCATCCTCAAGATCAATACGAATTCCTGATTCTTTTTCTTTCTCATCTTTCCACATATTAGCCTGCGCTTTGAGTTCCTCAAATACTGCAGCAAAGATGAAACAATGATCTTTCTATCAGTAAAATGCCTCATTTTACTTGAACAGCACTATTGTTTTCTCAAATCCAGAATAAAGATATATCATTTTACCATAATAAGGTGAAACACAAATACACAAAAAAAAAAAAAAACCCGAAAAAAAAAAATCCTAAAGAAAGCAAGCAGCTACCTTTTTTAATATTGACATTTTCATTCTCAATCGCATCATACTTATCCTGCAGCAATGATGTGCAGTCGCGAAACCTGTTTTTAAGCTCTTCAACCTTTGCATACTTCTCCAAAAGCTTCGAGTGCTTCTTCTTCAGCTGAAACATCCCAACCAATTCCAGCAACGTAGTTAGTTAATTACGCAATGAGTCACGTATACATATTTAACCGCAGAAAAGGTAAAAAAATATGCTTCAGATTACCGCGGCGCAGCAGGCATTGCTGGTTTTATCTTGCATCGACCCGACATCCTCCGCCATTTATAATAGAAAAAGAAAACCCCTCAAAATCTGAATCTGAGAATTCCCGAACTCAATGCCGGGGCAGCACTCGACCAATTGGAATAATACGCCAGCCTTTTGGAACAGAAAATCGGACTCATTAGTACAAAAAGATTCAAAACTACGTCACTCAACCATCACTAGCTAAAAATGGATACCAATAACGAACGCAGAGAAATGATCAGTGGAGCAGCAAACACCATCCGCGTTCCAAAGCCCCAGCGTTCCTTCACTGTCTTCAGCCATTATAAAACCAGAACCCTAGAAGAGAGACGTACTAATAACTTAATATTCAAAAAAAAAAAAAAAAAAAAAAAGGAAAAAAACCGGAAGTTCTGCAGCCGCCCGTTTTTAAAAATCGGCTTACGGCTTGAGCCGCTAAACAGAAGATGGGTCACAAGCTCACAACTAATGTGTAAGCCCAATTAAAGCCCATTTATCATAATTTGGGCCACATTCTAACAACGAGTTCAAGTTAACACGAATAAATATATCAATAAAATTAATAAACATCAAAAGCGCCCATGGCCTAATGGATAAGGCGCCTGACTTCTAATCAGGCGATTGTGGGTTCGAGTCCCACTGGGCGTGCTGCTATTATTTTAATTTTTCATTACATATTTTTAAATTAATATATAATCCCACCTTGTAGAATGACAAGAATGGCCATTAGTCATGAGAATGATGTATCATGATCCTCCAACAAAACCAACCATAAAAGATCTCCAAGAAACCTGCAGTGATGATCCAATACACATATATAGGAGAAACTAATCTCTTACTAAGGATCATTTGCCTTTGTTCCTCAGCCTCCCTACATCAATTTAGAAGATTTGGACCAAGGAGATCAGACAATACTAATGGCATATATATGTGTGTGTGTGTTAATACCTTTTTGCTTCGCCCTGAGCTTTCTGCTGCTCGGACTTTTGATGACTGTTTCCCTGCAAGCCAATTACTCCACTCAAAAAATAAATAGTTAAAAACCACGCCTCCTTGTTGTGCCATTAGCTCCTGCATTCTTCTCTGTCTGATGGCCTCTAATTCTGGATCAGCCTACAGTTAATTTAATCAATAAACAGAAGTGTAAATCTTCTGAAGATGTGATGCTCCATAGCCAACTCGCGTTTGCCTTAATTTTTTTCTTATTGCACCTCTTATCTTCATGGTTAACATCAAACACCTTCTTAAAGTTCTTCTCCATTATTGGTAGGAAATGTTGAACGCGCAAAAATCCAATTGACAGAAAATTTCATATTGCTTCAGGAACCCTAATTCTTTACCTCAAAAAAGATTACACTCTCACGATTCACAGCATATGTGGAAACGAATTGTGAGAAGAGATGAAATTAAGCTTCAACCGCTCATATCACGAAGAACGCTAGCAATTTGAGAAAATTAAAAGCCGTGCTCCTCGAACCAAAAGTAAATAAATAAACTTAATTCATAAACTTCCCGTGAAAACATGCCATAAATTTGAGCATACGCAGGAGAAAGCCCTTACCATCTTCTCCAGCAGAGAATTAGGATCAGCTCAGTCTGTAAGCTCCGTAACCAAACCGAAGTCGGAAGGAGATATAAATAGCACTGTACTTGCGTACGGCAGACGCGACCGGATCTAGACCGTATCTATCATTCGGAGCCCCGGTCTTCTAGCGGGTTCCCTCCAGTAACTCACCTCCGGTTCCCTAAAATTTCATCCACTATTTCATTAATCGCGTTTACATAATTCTCACCAGGCCTGGAAATGCATCCGACGGCCGTGGACTACTCACCAACTGTTCCCAACATCCGACGGTGTAGATCTGTCGGGTGCTCGAGCACCCAGCCCTCGGAACGACTTACGACATCAGCAGTCAAAATGTGTTCTTTCACAAGGTTTACTTACTGTCATTGCATCCCCATCAATAATTCTTGGATCATTATTTGTATTGTCTGTACATATATATTTATACTTTACACATCTATATATAAATATCAGTCAGTGATCTCAGAAGAAACTGTGATCTTGAAATGGGGTTTACTATGGGTCTGAACATGCTGCTCCTCCTCGCCATGGTCGCCACCAACATCCTCTCTCTTTACCACCTCTCCTCCACCGTCAGCTCCGCCGCGCCGGCGGCGACGCCCCCCGCCGTCCCCGACCACCTCCTCCGCCAGCTCTCCACTATCCGGGCCACCATCGCGCATCTCACCACTCTCCAATCCTCAGCCCCGCCTTCAAAGAAAACCCTCGCCGCCACCGGCGGCGGTGGCGCCGTCGGCGCCCCCTCCGATCTCCTCATCTACACCCACATCGCCCCCATAGCCTCCGCCTGCAAAGACCACCCGGACATGCTCCACCAGTACATGAACTACACTCCCTTCTCTATCTGCCCCGACGACTCCCCCATCGCCGAGTACCTCATCCTCCGCGGCTGCCACCCGCTGCCCCGCCGCCGCTGCTTCTCCCGGACGGCCCCCGCCGCACCGGCCGCCCTCCCCGGCGACCCCTTCGCGCCGCTGCCGGAAAAGACGGCCTTACTCGGGCACTACAGCTGCAAGACATTCTCCTGCTTCGCCAACCTCAAATCCAACATAGGTTTCGACATGAAATTCGAAAAAACGAGGTTCTTGACATACAAATCAGATCTGGATCTCCCGATTTCCCAATTCTTCCAGCTCGCCGATTCCGCCAAGTCCGTCGTCAGACTGGCGGTCGACGTCGGCGGCGGGACGGGCACATTCGCGGCGCAAATGAAGCTCCACAACGTGACTGTAATCACCACCACAATGAACCTCGGTGCTCCGTACAACGAGGCGGTGGCGCTCCGGGGACTGGTGCCGCTCCACGTGCCGCTGCAGCAGCGGCTGCCGGTGTTCGACGGGGTGGTGGATCTCGTCCGGTGCGGGCACGCCGTGAACCGGTGGATTCCGGCGACGGTGATGGAGTTCCTCTTCTTTGATGTGGACAGAGTGTTGAGGGGTGGAGGGTACCTGTGGATAGATCATTTTTTCAGCAAAAAATTGGATCTTGAAAAGGTGTACGCGCCATTGATAGGGAAGTTGGGGTACAAGAAGGTGAAGTGGGCAGTGGGGAATAAGGCTGATTCAAGTGGGGTGAAGAATGGGGAGGTTTATTTGACTGCCCTTTTGCAAAAACCTTGGAGTAGATAAAGATCATTGGTGGGTAATGACAAATCTTGGCTTCTTCCTTGTTCTTGATCATTGCTTAAGGTTGTCGGACTGATGATGCTATCTCTACTGTATTATCTGTAGGGCTTGGCTTTAAACACAGCTTCAATGGCGTTGGGAGCAGTTCCTTTTGCAGGGTCACAAGCTCATGCTGCATAACTCAACACAAAGGCGCTATACGAATGTTCTAAACTTGTATGTCTTCTTTGCCTATTTGAATTCGATTTTATGTATGTAGCAGATGATAGCAGCAAAATCATGAAAGCAGATATAGATGTAGGAGGTGCATTTTATAGCATGTAAGGAAAACATGTAGATGTCGAAAAAACATGGAGGTATGGGGGTTTATTTTGATGGAAATGCACTGGTTTGTTTGGGGCGATCGTGAAAACATTTTGATAGGGAGACTATTAGAAGTGCCAACCTGATTGTATAAGAATGTAGTTTCCATCTTTTGAGAACTTGTCGCCAGCTGTAGGCGGCAAATTATGCCGTGAAATGCGCCTGTGTACCTGGGCATGAGACTCAGCTTCGTGCTGGAACATCTTGACTAACTCGTCGAGCTCTAGTTTCCTCACTTCGACCTGCTCATCGTTGATTGGCTTTTTCAGCCCGAGGTAGATGAGCCCGACTGCGATCAGCAACAAGCCTACGAAGAAGAGGATTGCAGAAAACAGGGCGAATGCGTATGGTGTGTTGCTTGATCCAGGGATTCCATCCACGTTGATACCGAACAACCCTGTGATGATGGAGAGAACGACGCCACACCCTCCAAACACTGCTAGGTTATGCGTCACTGTGAGGCTCCTGTCCTGTAATTAGGGGCGGAAAAGTTTCGACATTAGTGTTTATAAGGATGAAGATGCTTGATTGATTGATCGATTGGTCTCATGTGAGTGATGTTAACCTGCAACCATGCTCGAAGCGTGCTCTGCATTACGTCTTGGATGGTAAACAACCGGCCGCGAACTGCTTCTTGCTCTTCGATCATTTGCCGCGTGCTCTTTCTGATTTCTTCGAGAAGGCGTTGTGTTAGATTTCCTCTCAGGTGTTTAAGGAACTCGAACACTATTTCTTCCCTGGCGTGGAGAGACCACTTCACTCTTATAACCTAACATATGCAGATTGGATTAATGCATAGAATATCTTTGTCCTAGATTCTGCAGAAAAGACTATACCTGTTTTGATAACCTTCTTATTTCTTGGTTGAGTATTACGCCAAAGAGATACAGATCCTCGTGGTTTCTCCTGTTGAATCGAATATATGAGGATGTTAAGAGGGAGGGGCATTTCTGGATACAAGAGTTGGTTGTTTATGTAATGTACCTGTCCATGAACTTCAATTCGACTTCATCTGCTGCCCCAAAGATGGATTTCCGAAACAACCTTAGAATAGTACAAACAATTAATCGAGTTAGCAACCACCTATGTTTGATAGTATAGCTCAAAGGAGAAAGAACACGAAATTATTCCTGGTATTTTCTCACCTATCATCCCATCGTGCCAGGCGGCTGGCTAAATTTGCTATAACTTCATGTACTGTCCTCGGCGTATTGTAACCCCCACCAAGAAGTAGTTCCTAAATGAGAACAAAGCAGGTAATCTTAAAAAGTATGAGATCAATCACAAAACTGATTTACAAGAAAGTAACATCCACAACATTCAACCATTGATAAGTAAATTTTTGGATATAAGAAAACCTGAACTTCTGTGATGCCCAAAACATTGATTCTTGAAGCAGATCCTTTGACATGTAGAACAGTAATAAGGAAGTTTTGAGCATGCCATGAACGGATAACAACAGGAATGTCATCTTCTTCAATGTAAGGATCGCCGGCAGACTGCCCCAAAAGCTCGAAAAGTAAACCCCCAGCAACCCTTACAGGGACCTGTGAAAGATAAAAACCAGGGACAAAGTTGAAGAATGCTGAATCTAAAACATTACAGCATTATTAAGTACTTCGATAATATACAAGCCTAATTTCTTTATTAAAAGGTATGTGATTCCTGCATTGTGAAGCTGAGCTTTATAACACAAAACATAATATAAGAGAATACATACAGTTTCGCACAAAAAAAAAAACAGAAAAATACCTCGTAAAATAGGTGTTTCATGTGCTCGCTAATTAACTTGCTTTCATCAATCAGAGCAGTTCTAATAGCAGGATGCAGCCACCGGGCACTGTTAAGCCAAGACTGGACAACAGGATGACCTGCAGTAAGATGGCACCACCATGTAGGCCCAGCAGGCCGTTCCCAGTATGGTGCAGCTAAGTCAGCTACGGTGAGGTCATCTTCATCATCGTTAAATTCAAACTTTTGAGCAAACTGATCGTCACCAACTTCCACTGTCTCCGCTAATTCCGAAATTCTAGTCCACCCAATGGGATCCCAATGCGACCCTCCAAATCTGTCTACAGCATCGTGACCACTGCCTTCCCTTCGCACCTGATCATTTCCTGAATCAAAAAAGGATGTATGCTCCAATAGAGTGCATTTGTAATTATGAGAGTGCATTGGATTATTTACATTGAAGTTTTCACCATTTGGAGTGGCTGGTTTTTTGTGCCCTCGGGTGAGTTCAAATGCGCAAATAAGTCCATCTTTCCATAGTTGGCTCCCTGGCATTATATCCTTATTGTTGTGTCTTTTATAAATTTCAAGATTCTTTGATCCATTTGGAGATGAACTTTCTCCCCTCATGCTGCCCTTTATGTGCTTCGAAGAGGAAGAATATTTTCATTTCATCCCCGAATAATGGTTGGTCGAGATAAACTCAAATTGCATGAACTGAGGTAAGGTTTGTGGATTACACCGTCTGATTTCCTGCAACAAGATGTGAAAGAATTACAATATACTGGTTTCCCAAATCTCAGGATAGACGACATATTGCGTATTACATAATTGGGAAAAGCAACAATCCATATAGAAAAATCACTTTATAAATTGTTGTCAAAATGATCTTATCCGCTCCACTCGCATCCGTAGATTCATCTAAATACTTGACATGTACTGATACTATTAAGTATATATAAGTTATAACGTACGCGAGCAAATACCAGTACAGATAAATCCTCATATTCAGTAAAAATTCGCCTATATTAAATCACCCCCAAATCAAATATTTTCCAAAATCTTGTAATGGAAGCACTTCAATCGAACTCAACATCTGAAACACCGCAGTTAACATCGGCGGTTAACGATCTATAAGCCTGATACAAATCGCAATGCTTCCTTCGACATATACACTAGCAGTTAACACACAGGAAAGATTTTCAACGAACGAAACAAATCACAGAACACGAAAGCAACATCGCTTTAAATCTTGTCGAAAAACGCCAGGTTGAGGAAGAAACCTCTGATGCCAGAAAATGCACGTGTGATGTGATCTTTAAATTCTAACGACAAAATTCAGAAACCTACAGAAAAACATAAACCATCGCGAAGAAGAGATCACTTCCACATACCAGACATTCCGTCAGCTTCTTTACCGGAAATTGAAAGATTGATTCAAGCTACACTTAGCATCAACATCCGCCTTCAGCATTCCACCAAACAATTACACGTACACATCACCAATTCCATGTCGCTGAATTTACATGAACATTTTTATAATCGATAGTTTGGCATGTTAGATTCAAGATTATATATAAATCTCAACTTTAAAATTTTTTAAAAATAACCAAACACGCCCTCACGCATCCACTCAGTTTGAACCCAGCCCAGGACAAAGTAACTGGGGGCCCATTTCCTAGCACGCTTGCAGAGGCCCAATACGCAACTTTTTCACATTAATTCTTATAATATACATTCAATTAAAAAAAAAAAAAAAAAAAAAAGGTAGAACACAATTAATTCAGTCAAACTTTGCATTGATCACGAGAAAAAAGAGTGGAAGGCATAAAGATAAAATGAGAAAAGAGGTGTCCGTTCATTAACACAAAATTAGCAGCCTTGTTAAAGGTAGGTAAGAAGAGATGCACAAGCCTGGAGGCACAATAGGGCAATGAGCTATCACATCCATCATTTGAAAACATGTTTGCAATGCAGGAATGGAATGGGATTTTGAAAGGCCACGCTCATTACAAGCCCCAAGAACCCAAGTGAGGATGATCAGATCAGATCAGTAGCTGTTCTGCCAGATTTGGGACTGTCTGGGCTGCCCCTGAGGGCCACCCATGCCAAGTGATCCGTCTCTCGGGTTCAGCTGCTGCTCGAGCGATAAGCTGGCCTGGGAATGGTACATGTTCGGATAACCTAACAGCCCCTGGTTCTGTGATGGCTGTTGCCCCTGCCTGAATCCACTGCTCTGCTGATTCTGCTGTGCGCCATAATTGTTGTAGTATGAGTTGGCAGGGACGCCCGACATTGTTCTGGAATTCAGTCCGTGAAGCCACATTGCTGAATTATCATTCTACATGGGAATAACATGAAGTGAGTTCTACTAGCCATATTTGTGCGATTGATTTAAGGTTTATGGAGTGGTATTAACAGTCGGCATACCTGCTGGAGTGAGACCAGATGACTGGCATCCTTGTACTGCGTACTCAGTACCTCATCGTAACTTAAACCAGTGGCCGATGGGGCAGCAGGTGCATTGATGGGAAAGTTTCCAGGAATTGCTGTATTGCTTCCGAGGGCACCATATCCAGAAGCAATGGCAGCAGACTGAGGCATATTGCCAGCAGAAAGACTGTTTTTATATTGGGGGAGTACTGCAGCTAATGACTGATGGTATGTGTTGTTCCCTGCAAATGTTTGCTGAAAAGCAGAGGGCATGTATGTGTAGCTCTGCGGTAGGAAAGGGTAGCCAATCATGTTAGCAAATGGTCCCAACGGAAGAGTAGGCTGGTTGTATGGGTGCATTGTCAGGTGTTGTTGAGGAAGAGGAGGTCCACTGGCAGCGTTGCTTCCGGAGAGGGTAGGTGGAGCAGCTGGTGTCGATGTGAAACTAGCAGTCTTCAAAGCCTGAATCATTGAAGGAACATGGTTGCAATTGAAACAAAATCTACAAAAATGCATTTTGCAACAATTCGAAGAAAACCAAGAATGTTTTGAATACCTCAGATAGAGAAACTGATGAAGCACCAATGGAAGAAATTCCATACTTGGCGGATAATGATTGTGAAAGTGGAAATGGGGAGTACTGATGAAGTTCAGATTCTCTGCTGGGGTGAGCATTTGCGGGCGACAAGGAGCTGGGAAGTGAATTTGTATATGACTGCAGTTAAAAAATGCAAAAGAGTCGCAACACAGTTACAAAAGCATTGAAGAGATGTATGAATATAAGTAAATAAACAGGTCCTCATGACTGGACAATACACTAGGAGTAGTCTTATGTCATGTAAACTTTAATGGGCTGCATAAAACCTCAATAGTTTAATTGAAAAACCTTTTCTATCCTACTTAATAAATTGGATAATACAATAGGATTATACAACAATTTAGAAGGTACAAGGTAGGATAGGAAAAATTTATATCCCAGCAAAAAGAACATGTTTAACCCTGGTACAATAGTACAATACAATTCAAGTCAATAGAGAGAAAACTCCAGATATCATAAAGGATGATCAATAGCTTCAAATACAAAGCCTGCTTACTTTCAACTGAAAATGTCACTCATCAGGTTCATATGAATATGGATATAACTTTCAAGTTCCTTTATTTGTTTTCAATTATCAGACAATAGTATGGAGATATTAATGGTTTTCTTGATAATGCTACCTTGGAAACAATATCTAAGTTCCCTGCAGAGGCATTTCATTTTTTAAAAACTTAAAACATTTCCAGTGCTAGTGAACACAAATTCAATTATACCCCTTCATATAAGTGACATGAAATACAAGCTAGTCTTTGAAATCAAAACAGAGTGCAGAAATTGCCGTACCATAACATTAGAAAAAGGAGAAAGGTTCTGCATCTGAGAGCTAGTCTGGCTGAAAGCAGTGTTCAAATGCTGGGCATCATCAAAGCTGTACCCAGTATTGGGAGAAGGAAAAGGATATTGATCTCCATGGATTCTTTCAGAATTCTCAGGCTTCAACACTTCAGGCTGTGAAACAGATGATGTTTCATAGGTCCCAGCACTCACACCAGCTCTATGGAACAAACCACTGTCAGAAACATTTCTAAGAGAATCATCTGCATAATACTCTGTGCTTCTGCAACAGGAATGGGAGAGAATGTTTCAGTATTCCCCTTAGATAAAGGATAAGAATTAATTAAAAAAAAAATCAAAATGAGATATTATCAATTTACTGTTGTTATACCTAGAATCTGGAGGCCCAACTGATGATACATCACCCTCAGCATGCGGCTCTTCCAACTTAGGCTTTTCAGGCATAGACACGGTTGTGCCTGAAGGATAGGTAGCACTTGCCCTAGATCCAAAAGTACCAAAACTCAAGTGTGAGCAATCTACATTTTGAACTTGCAAATGGTCTGGAATTAACACAGAAGTCACACATCCCTCATGTGACTGTCCCCTATCCTCTTTTCCTACACCAAGTCTTTGCATGTTTCTGGTGACTGATGACACTGATGTACCAGTTTCTTCACCTGAAAATTTTCAACAGGATTTAGAATTTGAGCCCCGAACATGTGAAAAATGCAACAATTTTGGTCGAAAGACAGTCAAATAAAAGTTATGTTATGGGAACAGGATATATCACCTGCATTGACTTCTTGAGGCTGATTCTCGTAGGGACCAATATTTTTATACAAATCATTCTCAAAAAGAGATACGCCTCTTGGATCATCCTCTTCAATCTTCCCCGTGGGAATTGAACCCAATCCCACGTCATTGGCTACAGAATTATCGATGCTCTCATCATCTGACTCTTCAACATCTTCTTCCTCAGAATGTTGGTTAATGCTCTCAGAAGGTATACCAGATGGCTCTAGATGCTTCTCAGAGTGCACCACCTCTGATACAGAAGACACTTTTGTAGCTGGTTTCTCAATGATAGGCCACTCATCATGGATTGGCACCTGGTTGACTGAAGAAAGTACTGATTCAGGATCTTTGGATGTATGATCCTCGGGATATCTATCATGTAACACATTTGTTCGAGGAGCTAGAACATTGCTATTGGATGCCTTTGGAGCACTAGAGGTTCTATCATGTGGTCTCCCCCTTTTCACAATGTCAGCCATGGATACCTGACCAGGAGCAACTGTCCAGGGAGATTGTAATCCAGAAGACGGCTGTATGCTAGTTGCTGGCATAACATCATCTGTGCTGGATAGTGAAACATCATTTTCGAAGGACCACCCATTACTGCAACATATAATACAGGGATGTAACCATTCAACATTTTAGCAAACAGTAGTTCACAGTTCAGGTCATTACTGAAATATTATGATGACCAATGAAAGAAATACAGTCAGAAATCAGAATGGTTCATAAGAAAAGTTTTCACATAATGCAGCAACAGACTAGAAATGTTCCAAAAACAAGTCCAAATTGAAAGCACTGAAGACAGAACACAGAGAAAAGCCATGATACACGTTCACATTGTTAGAAACAATATTGCACATATTTGATTGTGTTGTCCTGTTACTTTGGAGGAGTTCCGATCTCCAATTGATGGCACTATACGTAAAGGGAACATAGTTGCAAGCAGTTGCAGTGCCAAGAGGATATTCTATTTTAGGACTAGGTAAGCTGCTCTTGCTCATCATCTGCACTAACCTAGACTGAGGAATAAACCTTTCAAAAGAACAAGCTAGCATACCTCACAACAACATAAGTGACATCAAAAAGGGCCGATTAAGGTAAAAACATATTATAAAAGATAATGATATAAAAAAGGAGATCACTGATTCCATGATTGGCAAATGAGGCTGGCAAAATTGAACAACATGGTTAAAAAATCTTATATCAACTATAATATAGATTTTCTTTAAGAACATCAAACTCAGAAACTGAACACAAGCAAAGGAGATCAAACAGGACAGACCTGAGGCCTGTGGATCCTCTGCTTCTATAATTTCCTGACATACCCGGCACGGAAGATAAAGAACTTGAGTAAGGAGCTGATTCATTTTCTTTCTTGTATGATGATTTCACAGGCCGAGGACCAGAGTCTGCTTGAAAGAAAAAACAAAGCAATAATGATTTTATGTTATGTTGATGTCTAGAAAAAATTATATGAGTGTCATTATAAATACCCAAAAGCTATAGTTACCAGAGGAATTATATGGTGTTGAACCACCGTGGCCACCATATCGATCGACACCAAGTTTACTACCTCGGGTAGAGTTGTTACTAGCACCACAAGACCTAGAGTCGGTGGCATCTTTACCCTGCGAAAATAAGAAAGAGCACTGTCATGATTGATTGCCTGCAGAAAAGGGCTCCCATCCAATTTAGGATTTTGGTATGGACAATTTAAAATCACATGAAAATCAAAATAATTAGGGAATATAGAGAAGCTATTTACTTAATCCAACCAAATTTCAGTTCAGCACAGAAAAACCAAAAATTTCACCCAATTTGGTCAACCAAAGGGGCCAAGGGAGAACTTTACCACAACACACTGCAGAAAAGCAATCAGGTGAAAAAAGCATCATAGAGAATATTCCAACGCACCTCTTTTTTCTTTTCTCTTTTACTCTTCACCTCATGGAAAGGATCTATACAATAGAAAAACAGATCAAAGAAAAGTTTAATTTACAGTTACTTTGTGACTACAACTAGTACTTGATAATTTAATATACTAATATATATATAGCTGTTACCCAAGTCCATATAAAACTAAAGGCAAAAATTCTTCAAGGACCTCAAAGAAAGTAAAAGTTGCAAACAACAAATATAATCCACCAACAGAATTAACATATCAATAAAGCATGCCATGCATTACAAATCATTCCACTGCAAACAACAATGCAGCACACCAGAAGAATAATATCAGGTATCTTCATCTCAAACCTAAACAGAGGGCATGGTACACTTGACTTGAGTGGGGTAGATATCAAACCCAATCTGGCCTTCGTGACAGAACATTTAAATTGACTATAACAAATGAAGAGGTTCCCTAATTTCCATAACTAGCACCTTCCTTCAAAATTTTATAATGACCACAGTACAAATGCAGAGGAACAAAAGGCCAACACAGGATTAAAAACGTGTAAACAGATAATACCTTGATATTTAAGTTGATATTACATTGTGACATGGACAAAGAATGGCATCGCTAAGGCTAGTGCCATTCTATGGGACAATCAGATCACAAGAAAAGTGATTAATCGGAAACAGCTCGAATCTTGTATATTTCCCGCCGCAAATTTGGTAAGTAAGAAACCGATTCTTGAAACTTCTCGAAAGATAGCAACATAAAAACAACAATTGAGTAACTAATTACTGATCACGTTCTTGTTTTTATTAACTAAAGTTAAAAAAACATTTATGTCAACCAGATGAGTGACCAAATGCCAGCCACAAACTCCACTCCTCCTTTGTACGGACCCAGTGAAATAAATAACCTAAAAGGATATAACAATCCCCAGTACAGAAAAATATGTTAGGGTTTTCGAGTAAAAAAGTATAACCTTGAGAAAGAAGACGATTAACGGCCTCGTTCGGGTCCATATTGCAGTCCTTAAGAGCAGCGTAGATCTCCGCCTCGGAACAATTAACTATCTCCTTCAATCTCTGCACCATCTTCCGCGACCCCGCCGGAACGGGTTGAGCACCACCGCCATTGCCGGCGCCGCCTCCCCTGCTCGCATTCATCCTCCCCGTGAACAGATCTACCCCGAAACGTTCCTCGCGAACACAACCCTTCGCCCCTTCCCTTCCCAATAAATTTATCACAGATACAACAAAATCCAAATATCAGGAAAACCCAGAGAAACGCTAACGAAGAGGTGCTGTAATTCACGTCCGCGCTCACGTTGCAGCAGTAAAAAGAATTTCTGAGAAATTCCGCAAGCGAGTGAAGATTTATCTCAAAGGAGGTTTTTTTGCAGTTTCGAAAACCCTCCCACGCCTTTCTCTATCTAAATATTGTGAGCATCTATTCTCTCTCTATCCTTCCGATGTTTAATGCCATTTTTTACTGGTATTATATTTATTTTTCTTTGCATGTTTTTGGAGGGGCTAGGGTTTGTTCAAGTGTGTTTTCAATCAATTTATTAAATTTACTGTTTGAATTTTACAAAAATTTTTAAAAAAATATATTATGATTTAAAATATTTCATTAAATATTATTATAATATCAATTCAAATTAAATTTTTAAATCAAATCAAGAGACACATCCATAGTGATACTATTAATATAATCAATACTTTTTTATTTTTAAATTTGTAATCCTCTCTTTATTAATATTTTAATATATGATAATATATTTATAATTTAAATAAAAATTAATAATATTTTAATATTAATAAATTTTTATTTTTTTTTAATAAAAATATTTTTGAACGATCATATAAAAAATATAAAATGAATATTTTGAGTTGCAATAAAAAAATTAATGTTTTATATGTAATTATTATTATAATAATATTTAATACAAAAAAATTTAAGTTATGTGATTATTAAAAATATTATTTAGTTTTTTATTATTAAATAATAAAATAGATAAATTGCTTATAGATAGGGAGAATATTATTATTTATCTTTACTTATAAAATTGAATAAAAATATGTCAAGGTTTATTTTTATGAGTATTTAATCGAAGAGTAGTTGTAAATTAAATTTTACTTGAGGATATGTTTGGTTTGAGGGATTAAAATAGGATGGGAGGAAAGAAAAATGAATTTTAATTATTTTTTTATCAATGTTTTTTATTTTTATTTTTATAATTTGAGAATTCGCAGTTGCATCCGAAAATACACAATGAAAATCTGTAAATTAGACTCACAAGTAAGTCACATTAGGCAGAGGTGTCGGATTTAACTTATGACCTTACAATCACAAATTCACTCATCACCATCCCTCAAGGGACAATATATTTTGAAAAAAATGAGCAGAAAAAAGGAGGAAAGAGAGGCAAATTGTATTAATTTTTCTTTACTTTCGATTCAGGAGGATATTTAAATATTAATTATTATATTAAAATATAATATAAATTAAAAAAATTGCAAAACTATTTATATTGTTAGTGTCTTATAGATATTTATAAAAAAATTATACAAATATAAAAATATTTTTTTAATATTAAAAATAATTAATGTAACTTTAGGGTCTGTTCGGTTCGAAGGTTTAGGAGGAGAGGGGAGGGGAGGGGAAGAGATGGAATTCTAAGATTTTATTACACAATTTTTTATTTTTTTGGGCCTATTATATCCTTTTTAACATTTTATTTAATTTTTATAACATTATATAAATTTTATCATATCTATTGTTATACTTGTATATAAAATTATTATTTTTTTTATTTTGATTTTAATAAATACTTAGATTATTTAAAACAAATCACATTAATTTAATTCAAATGTATTTTAAAATACTTTTAAATAAATTTAATCGAATTTATTTTATAATTAAGTATATATTTTAATTAATTTTGTTTAAATAATTTGATTTACTTTAATAATTAATTTAATTTATATAAGTAGATTTACTTTAATAATTAATTTAATTTATATAAATAGATTTGAATTTTATATGAAAACTTTATCTTTATTATATACTTAAGGTGTGTTTGTCTATTCATTCTATTTTTTTTTCAAAAACATCAAATTAAACACCTATTTTTTATTTTTTATATTATACTAAAAATCAATTTTACATTCAAAACATTACGTTAACAACGGTTCAAATTCAAAAATTTTACTATTCAAATCTCAACTCAAAATCCAAACCTCAAACAAACACACCCTTAATTTATATATGATTTTCTCTTACTATTTATAAGTAAATTATAATTTATTTATATTTATGATCAAGTAAATAATCATTCAAACTCTCAATCCATTATCTTTCCTCTCCATTAAAATAATAATTTTATTATATTCATATCATAACGATAACTTTTTGCATTTTAATAATTTTGATATGAATTTATTATTAAAATAATATCTGATAAAATATTTTGTGCAACAAAAATATATATATATATATATATTTAGAACAGCAGTATATTTAGAACAGCAGCCACTCTTCCAGGATTACACTTTACTCCCACTTCCCGACGGTAATAAAGCTGGTGGGTGGCGTGGAGCTTCAGGAACAAACAGTAAAGAATGAAAAGATGATGCAGCTCCTTCTCTCTCCGCCCCCGCCACCGCCGTCACCGCTGCCCAAATATATTCGCCTCCCCCATTCAATTACACCCCTTGCTGCTCCTTTTCCAAAATCCAATAACCTACGGCTACGGAAGATCCCGTCAGTCGCCCATGTACTGAACACGACTCTGCTGTCCTTTGCATTTTCACTGGGGGTTTTGTATGCATCTCCTTCCGAGGCTATCTCACGGGAATTCACTGCACCGCAAGAGGAGGTGGATTGCCGTGAAGAGCAATATTATACGGCTGATGAATCGGAGGTGAAAGCGGTGACGAATGAGGAGATTGTGGGAGAGGCGTGGCAAATCGTGAATGATAGTTATTTCGACACTGGTCGGCGTCGATGGTCTCCTGATTCTTGGCTCGTAAGTTTTCTGTTTGATTTCGTAATACAACAGTTGCCTTGCTGAATTGCATGACAACGCATCTGATTGTTCTGATTTTGGCTTTATTTCAGAAAAAGAAAGAAGATATATCAAGCGCTTCAATTCAAACAGCATCAAGAGCACACGAGATAATCAAGCGAATGTTAGCCAGCCTGGGAGACCGTTACACGCGTTTTCTTTCTCCGTCGGAGGTAATCACTGCCTAACTTATAATTTGTTCTACTGGTTAATGTGTTTCTTGAAGCTATCGTAGAGTTATTCGTTAAAAGTAAATGTTGGGGTTGAGTTGGTTGTTCCGATTCTCCGTTTTGAGAGTATTAAGTCTTTAGAAAAGAAAGTGGGAGAAAACTGAGGAATTCAAGTAGTTATGTCGATTTTAGGGGAGAAAATCCGTGCTGTAAATGTTTGCAATAATAGTTGTTTGTAAATATCTTGGTTGTGAGTGGATTGGTGTGGTAAATTTAAATTTGGATGGTTCGATGGCTTGACTTCAGGCATGTTTTGTTGCCAAGGGTTATGCTCAAGTTCATGACTTTGGCTCAGTCAAAATATTGAGGTCCTCTAGATTCATCAATTGACAGTAGAATTGGGGCTCCATGTTCCACTTCCCGTGAGGTTGTGTGTAATAATAAAACCACTGTGTATATAGCTAACAACTTTGTAACTTTTATGAACGAAGAAAGCATATCGAGATTTGTTATCAATTCAATAGAGAGAAAATACGAGAAGGATTGATAATCGTAGAGTATGTGCATATGAAGGATCAACCAGGAGATCAGCTCACAAAGGCAGTAGAAGGGAACCGGATTTGCTACCTATGTAACAAGCTGGGCATGATTGACATCTGTACACCAGCCCAAGGGGGATTGTTGTAATATATACATATATTTATATAATGCATGTTTACCACCTAGAGGACTATATTCATTGTGAATATATTTTATTAGATTTAGAAAATTATTTCCTCCATAGTTGGAACTCTATGTATACATATATCTATATAACTCAAACTACTCTTTATTTTCTTTTTTAAGTTTAGCGTTAGACTGTCATGCTGTGTTAGAATCCTTTCTACAGTTTATCCGAGCTTGTTGTGGAGTTGGACTCTTTTCTGTGTGTATCAATATAGCTTTCACTTGCAATACTTTTCAGTTTTCTTATTCCATGGGATATGTTCATTTCATCATGAATAAAAGCTCTCCAAGATGGCAAGATATGATATGACTGGAATTGGGATAAACTTAAGAGAAATTCCAGATGATAAAGGGATGATGAAGCTGAAGGTTTTAGGACTTATTTTAGATGGACCCGCTCACACTGCTGGAGTCAGGCAGGTAGTGAACTTCTCCCTTGTCATCTGAACATTTTCTGTTGCTTTTCTGTCATCAATGCAGCTTAATTTTCAATATAAATAGCATATTATTGTAGAAAAGTTCTATTATTCTATTCATGTTTGTTGCTGGAAGCCTTCTTGACATGCTCTTCGTCCTTACTACAACTACCTATGAGGTGTGGCTAATGTCATATATACCTCCTATCAGGTGTCTGGTGTAAATATGAGTCAAGAGTAGACTAAGATGAAGGAGGTTCTAAGTAGAATATTTTTTTTACCTATGTGCAATCTTAAAACTTTCCCATAGCACAGCATTCTCTTCATCTGATTCTATATTTGCCTGATCTATTTTAAAAGTAATGAATGCTGAAATAACTTTGTGAAACAATTATTAGTTCATTTGTAGATGCTTATTTTTAATGGGGAAAGTTATACATCCCATTCATGAATATTTATCTGTTAACATGATGTAGGTTCTATTTTTATATTTTGAACAATAGTTTCAACACAGTTTTCCTTACTTTTGGTTTCAATTATGCTTATGGTTTTACATGAATTGGTAACAGGGTGACGAGTTACTGTCTATTAATGGGGTCGATGTGCAAGGAAAATCAGCATTTGAAGCCTCATCAATGTTACAAGGTCCTGGTGAAACATTTGTCAATATCACGGTTAGTCAAGTGCTGATCTTGTCCATGCATCAGTTTTATTTGACATCTCTGCCAACTGATTGCCATTAAAGCAACACTTACGTTCATTGTCTCTGCCCCTTGATTTTTACACATTTTTATTTACTTCATTATCACTGCCTATGAGAAACCTTGAATTGCCAGGTCAAGCATGGGAACTGCGGACCTGCACAATCAATAAATGTTGAAAGGCAATCAGTTGCCAAGTCTCCAGTGTTTTACCGATTGGAGCAGTCTAAGAACAGTCCGGGTCCTGTTGGCTATGTGAGGATAAAAGAGTTCAACGCTTTGGCCAAGAAAGACTTGGTCACAGGTATGGATTGTATATATTTCAACTATTAGTCCTCATTAAGTTGTTTTCATCCTAAATTTTCATCTTTCTTAAATATTATTGCGGCATAAGAATTTGAATGCTGTTAACCAATTACTTTTTTTTTTTCCCCTTATTATATTCAATGAGGAAAAAGGTTGTCACTTCTGTAACGTCAATATTATTTTTATGGCGTCCATGCATTTTGATATAATTTGATGTAATGTACATATGCTATTTCCAAAGCAATGAGAAGACTTCAAGACATGGGCGCTTCTTGCTTTGTACTCGATCTTAGAGACAATCTTGGTGGCCTAGTGCAGGTATGCATGTACATAAATTATCATGCATCTGATTAGTTGGGTTTTCATATGATATTATTTTCTAATTCACTATACAGTTTGTTTTTGGCAATGTAGTGTTTGAGTTCATTTATGTTGCATCTTAACTAATCCTCCATTAAACATGATATCCCTGTGTAAGTGTTTGACTTAATACATCGAAACAGGCGGAGGGATGGATCACCAAAATATCGTGAAATATGTAACAAATCCATTTTCCTGTACTTGAACTGATGAAAAACCTTAAACTGATGCTATTAAATTAGCACATTGCATGCTATTACGCCGTAGACGTCTGAATGACTTCATAAGCCTTATCTATTATATTATACAATAGCATTTCATCAGTATAACATTAGTATACGACATATTGTAGGACTCTTAAGACTTAATATATAGTCTTGTGAAAAAATAACCCCCAAATCCAGATGGTTGGATATCATAAATTGTCGATTAGAAACGTGGTCATAGCTCAAGAATGAACTTGTTAGGTATTTATTTACAGTCATTGCACAATGATATGTTATTATTTTATTTTTTAACTCATGCCGTAAATGTGGCAATTGCAGGCTGGCATTGAAATTGCTAAACTCTTCCTCAACAAAGGAGAAACAGTATGTGAATCTAAACCTTTTTCAGTATATGGATTCAGCAACATAATTGAATGTTTCCATGTTTTCTCTCTGGGTTGGAAGGATGGCCACCCCTTATTTATTTATTTATTTTAAAAATATTTGTTTATTTAATTTTCATCAACAGGTTACTTACACAGTTGGCAGGGACTCAATGTCATTGAAAAATATTGTTGCTGATAATCGACCGCTGTTTAGTTCCCCTGTTATCGTAAGAACACATTTCCTTCACCAACAAGAATCTTAAACATCTATCACTTTGCATACATATACAATCTTGCAAAGTTGTGAAGATTTCTGTTCCATATATTTAAACGAGAGATCATTTTGAATTTGTGATTGATGCTGGCATTACAGGTTTTGTTTAGACACTCATTCTTCGTCTTAATTTCATTCTATGATAGGTTTTAGTGAACAAAAATACTGCCAGTGCCAGTGAAATTGTGAGTAGCTAATATTACAATCATATTAATTGTGATTTCTAAGAATTATTTATCCATAAAAATTGTCTTGCAGGTTGCTACAGCACTCCATGACAACTGCAGAGCTGTTCTTGTAGGTGAAAGGACATACGGAAAGGTCTCTGCTTCAAAATGTTCTGGATATTTTGTTGTGTTACTATTAGTTTGTGGCGTTCTCTTGAATTTTTCCAATATGGCATAACCACTAGTCTTCTGAATCATTCAAAATAATGTAACAACATCTCTTGCAGGGGTTGATTCAATCTGTCTTTGAGCTCGATGATGGTTCTGGCATGGTTGTCACTGTTGGGAAGTACGTCACGCCAAATCATATGGACATCAATGGCAATGGGATTGATCCTGATTTTCGCAACATTCCCGGTATATTTCTTTTCACCCTACTCTTTTTGAAATATGTAATACTACAAATCTCAAGCTTATTTTCGATGCAGCGTGGAATGAAGTCACTAGATTTCTGTCTGAATGCCACAAGCAACAAGAAGGATAATCGACTGCAGTTCTTCTTGCTACCCACTCGAAGTTCTTGAGATCATCCAGTTTCTCTAAAGCTAAGGGATATTCAACTAGTTTCCCGGATAAAATGTTTGACATTATAATCCCCCAAAAGCTCGTGAAAGATGGATCGGTTTAATGCAGAAGAGCTGCTGCACAGTTACATTCACCCGGGCATTCTCAACCCAAAACACTACAACAGCGTATGCCATACCATAATCCCGGTACTATCGACAACACGCGAACATTTATGTTCTTGAAGTCTACCTTCATACTTGACTGTTTTGGGATAGCAAGAAATTCACAACTCTGTATATTATCTCATATTTTGAATTAATCAGAATTCCTTTTACTTCCATTCTTACAACTCGATGATCGATCTCGATCTCTTCTTAAATTTACGAGGAAAAACAAGAATAGGAGACACCAAAGTGTTGTGATGTGCTGCAAGACAATGCTTCCAAGGCTTCATTAGCTTTGATGGTAGAAACAGCATCTGATCCCAAATCCCATTTGGACATGACAACCTCTTTTTAGGTTTTTTGTTATAGTTTATAACAATGGATCCCATAAAAGATTCTCTTTTTAACTATTTTGCCAACAAACCAAATCCTCCTCTTTCAAGTTTTCCTATATTCTATCTATGCAAGAAACCCATGATTCTTCCCTCATTATATGCCATTACAAACTCACTCACTGTATGCATTCAACAAAACACATCCTGTTTCCTTACAGCATTGTGAACACAAAGATATATACATACATATTACATATATAAGTATATGTATATCATGAAAGTGCGACGAGTTCTTCACCCGGCGTTCTTTCTCCTAGGCGTGCTCTTCGTCGCCTCAGGTAATTCATTCATTTGTTTTACACTTTGGTTTCTGTTATATCTCTTGAACTACTACTAAAACAGGCAATCTTGATTTTCTTGTCGTTTTTTTTGCTCAGTAGGTATCGAAGGAAAGCCATCCGCGCAAGAAATCCGAGATACGCGAAAACTGCAAATCCATGCAAGTGACATTCCAACAATCGATCCAACAGCTCCCGGCGCGAATCCAGTGCCGAACCCAGCATCGGGTGGCGGGGCTTGGTGCGTGGCCAATCCCAGCGCCGCCCCGACTGCTTTGCAGGTCGCTCTCGACTACGCTTGCGGCTACGGTGGAGCAGATTGCTCGGCCATTCAGCCTGGCGGAGCTTGCTATGACCCGAACACCGTTAAAGACCACGCTTCTTACGCTTTCAACAACTATTACCAGAAGAATCCGATCCCGACTAGCTGCGATTTCGGAGGAACGGCACAGCTCGCCTACACCGATCCTGGTAACATATTCTCGAGTTTCTTCGTTGGATCGATACATACATTTCTATACACTTTAAAAATAATCATTCATTTCAGGCCATGGAAACTGTCAATATGCATCGCCCACCACCGCTTCGATGACACCGGCAATGCCACCTCCGACGATGCCCCCTCCGATAATGCCCACGACCCCACCCACAATTCCGATGACGCCACCGAGGTAAAGTAGTCGAAACTTCTTAACACGAGAAACCTTGTCCTAATTAGTCGATGCACGTTACATACTCGAATTTTATTTTGCAGTCCGATTACGCCGGGGGATACTTACCCTTCAGGAGGGAATAATGGCTATGGTTCAGAACCAATTGGCGACGACTATGGCGCCGAACCCGCAAGTACCCCAAGCTCCGGTGGAATATTGCCGATAAATCGGATGCTGCTCATTGCTGTCGACTGCATCATATTTTCAGCGATATTCGTCGGAAATATGTTTTAAAAGTAGCGTCAAATTGGCTATTGAACTAGATCGTTATCTCGCAGCTTCCTAGCCGTGCAAAATTTTGAGAGATACAAATAATCAGCCATTGTCGTATTCATGCAGAGTACGAGGAAGCTAAGGTTTCGTCGAAAAACAGATGAAGCAGATGGTAGAACGATACATAGTTGTAGCAGTGAATTGGATGTTATGTTAATAAGCATTTGCTATTCAAGAACAGCTTAGATATTTTTTTATTAAATAAAAATATATTATTTTCTTTTATAAAACATTTGTTCATATATGTAGCTATACAGGAACTTCAGTTTATAGTATTCATAATCTGCTTTTGTTTGTGATGTGAAAATGTATTTAAAGAATTATAGTTAATATTTGATTAATGGAATTTAAGAATAATTAATTGCTTGAATTAAGTTATATATATATTGATCCAACTTCTTATTAAGAATTTTTAAAACTAATTTGGAGAAAAAAAAAAAAGCGCTCAATTTAATTTTAATGATTTAAATTAATATAGATTGATTTGTAAATTAATTCTAGGTTCATAAAATTCATCAAACTCATGAATTTTTTAAATCAACAATAATCCATAAACTTTTTAAAATCAGAATCTTACAAGAACTCAAGTTGAAAAGTAGATAAAATTGTAGTTGTTTTATGATAATAAACAGATAATACAAGATCAGCTGCTCCTTTATGATTGTTTTCATGGAATCTAAGCATAATATATACTGTGTTCATTTATTGATTTATTTCCAGCAGAATTTGATTTGTGTCACCATATTTCATGCCTAATGTGCACATAGCCAAAATAAACCACACAAATAATGGTTTTGATCAATCAAAGATAAATGTTACAGGATAATTGTCAATATTAATATATACAACATTGCAAACTATGTGTTTATACCTCTCGTACCAGTTTACCACCACGATAAACACGGCCGGGATACATAGATTACGTATTGCATGTGAGCTTTATATAAAGCATAACTATACATCACCAGATTCTAGTGGTTAATTAGAGTTGGATAAGAAATATAACCTCAAACATACCAAAAGTATTTCCATTAAGTATCTTCATATGACCTGCAGTATAAGGCATTTGAACCCATAAAAGAGCACATAAATAGTTTATGTTGTATAGTACTTATATAGGCAGGTAGCCATTTTAAGGCTGGATTTTATGAAGCAAGATCAATGTAAATAGTTAACACACAACAAAACATTATACTTACGTATATCACATAGAGAAAGATATGCCAAACCAAGGAAGCTGAATCAGAAACTCATTAGTTCACAGTTAGCAGAATCGAATGAGGGGTATGTCAACATTAAATCATAAAAGGCATACTAGTTTTAAAGAGTATGGATATATTATATACCCAAGCATGTTTTGAAGAAGATTATTAATGCTTAAGCACTCAAGTGTCGTATTATTGTTATGGCCAAAGCTAATCAATGGGAGCTCAATGCAGCACAAGTTTAATACATTGGCAAGATCATACTTCTTTAAAATTGACTACATTTTAAATTTCAATCACCTGAAGATTAAATAGATTGTTACCTATACCAACCAAATGACTGGTTTGGCCTTAACAACATAACTTAACTGCGGGGGTGTTTGTTTTGTGAAATGGTTTGGAGGGATACTTTATTTATTTTTTTTTATGTGAAGTATAAAGAATTGTGTAAGTAATATAAAAATAATGAATATGTGTATATATTAATTCCAAATGCAATTGCCGAATTACAATTGCACCTTTACAAATGTGCCACAACTGCTTTAAGCTTTCCAGCAAGACATAATCAAAGCCAAAAGTCATTTTGGGGGTTTGAATTTTGGATTTGAATTTAAATAGTAAAACCTTACAGAAAAAGAAAAGAATCCTCTTGCGAACACTAATCATAAGATCATCAAAACTTTTGGAAATGGTGGAAAATTAAAAAAAAAAAGGCAGATCAATGCAGAAGGATGAATTTATATAACACATACTAGAATTATATCAAAGATGGAGAAACAAATGCACTAAAAAATGAAGATGACTTTTTACCTTTTTTTTTTTTAAAAAAAAGACAACATGTATCAAAAAGCTATTATTCCTTGTTACCGAATTTCTTAGCAATGATGGGCCGTACATCATCAGCACCCGCCAGAGTCTCTAGAAATGTCAGTAACGACATTAGAGCAGAGTCTGATGGATCATCAAACCAACTCAAGATAGGAATCCCATTATCCACTTGTAACCTATAAACCTGAAACAATCGAAGGAATAGTAAATAAACCAATTACAATTTACACAAGCAATCTGGGGCATTATAGATCAGAACAAACTTCTATAACATTATCTTCATATAGTGATGATTAACATGTAAAATTTACAAACATGATAAGGATTTCATCTTGCAAATTATGTAGATTATGCATAAAGAAAAATAAAAATATCAGCAAATAGATAAAAATATTATTCTACCTGTGGGCTGTTATCAACTATCGCCACTCTTGCAAGATCGACACCGAATATTGTTAAGTCTTTCACATAACTGCCCTCTGAAAATATGCATGATTCACGATAAGCTCGTCTTGATATGACATTGCTATCTGGATCCAAGATATGTAAAATTTGGGCTGCATAGAAGCTTTGACTAGCAGTGAATATCACAACTTCAAACATTTCAGATACTCTGTGGAGAAAAGTCTGGAGGTGAGGTCTTTTTTTGACAGAAACTATATATTCTTTCCTGTTGATGAATACAGGAAAAGTGAAGTCTGCATCATCACAGGGACCTAATGTAGAGTGAACTAGTGTTTCTGCACAAAAGAAAACATGGACATAATCAAGTTCACACTATAGGAGCATCACCATAACGTAAATAAATCTGATTAGGTATATCTCTCAGAACTAATAAATCAGGTAATCATACAAATCAATCAAATATATTGACTGAAATACTATGTAACTAAATCATTATGTAGGGTAACAATATGACCGGCACACTAACCATCTAAATCAAGCACTAATGTGTTTCTTTTGGTATTTTGCTTTTCACTTGGCACTAGAGCTGCAGACAAAGTAGATGGCATGTCAACCTGAGTCTTTATATAAAGTTGAGGGTCAAAGCACTCATAATCTTGATCAGGGAAAACATTTATGAGTGAATCCAAGTCATGAGACTGAGATATAATTTGATGAATTTCCATGTCCATGCTGAAATTTTTAGCATCTGCAATGCTTTCTTGAGTTTCTCTGCCACCAAGTTCACATCTAGAATCTGTAATATCCTCCAAAAAAGGCAAATCTAAGCATTCATCAGAAAATAATCCGGGCTCTTCAGCTAAATAATCAAGTGGGAGTGTTGTATCTGTTTTATTATAAAATTCAGAATTTCTTTCAATCGATGGACAAGAAAAAATCATGTCAGAGATGTGGAAATCTGACACATTGCATCCTGGATATTCACTTGAATTTCTTCTTCCATCATCACAATATCCACTGTCCAGTAGAATTTCAGTCCCTATGGAGGAAAGGTAGGCATTAGTTTTTATGTAAACAGAAACTTTCAAAAGGATGACAAAGCATTCTTATTTCCTAGGATAAATCTAAAAGATAGTTTAGGAAGAACACCATAAGACAATGTGAGCTCAAGCTGTAGAGGATACCTTGGTTATTGTATGTATCCGATGACTCCTTCATGGGAGAAAAAATTGTGGCCATATTTGACACGCAGGTGGATATTAAAGGCTCCTAACATTGTTTAAGGCAACATTAGTAACCAAATAAATGCTTACGGAAGTAGAATTTAATATGAGACAAATTTCATTGGATAAAGTCAGAAAAGTTATGGTGCACCCAAGAAATAGGATAATGATGAAATCTAGACATATTAAACAATTGGCTCCGATGTACGTAAGGGTTTTTACAAAGTAATTTTGCTTACCACACTGTCCACAGCAGTTGTATTATTTTGATTTGATGGGTACTTCTGGGAAACATTTTCTTCGCTGCATGATTGATCATGGAGCTCCTCGGCTCCTCCATGGTCCAGAACACGCACTTTGTCAAAAACAGAAGCTGGATGTATGAACAGGTCAGGGATATTTAAGTAATATACTTATATAAGTGTTTAGAGTGCAGTTACATGTCAGAAGAGAAAAGCAAAATGATGACTATGTAATTGAAGATAATCACACTCACCATCCTGATTGTACAGAGCTTCAGCATCATGGCAACCTCTAGAACGAGAGAGAGGGTTCTTGGAAATCTTACATGACCTTCGGCACACACGAAGACCATCTTCTTTCAAAGAGCCTATGACTGGCTTTGTGTTCATGTTTAAAGATGGCATTGGGTATGTTTTTTTTGTGTTGATCATGATCATGTATTTTGATCAGCAGCAGGAAAGAACCCCCTCCGGTTGCTCAGCCAAGAGCCTGCAATAGCGAATGGTTTATAAGATGAATTTCTTAAACAAAACAGTAGTGCTAGAACTGATATCTATGAAACATTGACTTGAGAGAAATAATTGAAAAGAGTTTGGAAGTTTCTCATGAACATGAAGTTGTATTGAAAATTTTGTTTCAGTTAAATTCATTGTGCACACTCATTTTATTCTATTCAAGGAATGTTTTGAACAAGTTATCTCCACAACATCATTCATAATGACAGTATGCTTGAAAAGGCATGATGATTCAATAGTTTAGGAAGCTGACACATCAAAAGTTGAACTTGGGCACCATTAGGTAAATATTGGCTGGGGGAGTGAATAATTCAACTGAGTTACTTAAGCATATTAATAAATATGTAAGCGGCACAAAGTTTAGAGTATCTTCTTCTCTTTATACTACAAAAGATAATATACAGCAAATAATACACTTCATTCTTACCTGAATAAGGTAAGTCACATCAGAAAACTGAACTGGAAGGGCTTGAATAAATTACACAAGGCAGATATAAATTTATTAGTGAAAACATCTCTAAGATCATGCTTCATTAGATTAAGTACTTTTTGAGATTATGTTGACAAAATCAGCTTGCACGATACTGGAAAAACTCCAAGCCTACCATCAACTAGGATGCACTTCAAATACTACATAAAAATTCATGATAATTTGCATATAACCACACTATTTAAACGACAAATAAATATAAACTAGACCAAACATACAAAACGCTCAAAGTAGTCTAACCCCGATCACAAAATATAAACATAATTACACATACGAATGACACAATTTCGACATACGGAAAATTTTCCAAGAGAATGGTGAACTCATTGCAAGAGATTACAAATATCGTAAGATTATCATTAAAAATATTAAAATAAAAATTGAATCTTCACCAGAATGCAAAAGATTATCAAGAAAACCTCCAAGAAAGTCAACCCAACTCAAGACTATGTCAACAACAAAAGTTAGAAATTGACATCGAAGAGAAAATCCGAAAAGTATGAGAAGGTTTTTGTATTTAAAGAGAGTTCATAATTCACGATAGCCACCACTTGCCAGACACCAATAAGCCCTAGAATAAGCAGCAAATACCCATACCAGAATCCAAAACTTGATCGTCAAGTTCTCAATTACAGAACCAAACGCATAACAAACACATCCACTCTAATCGGAAGCGAAACATTACCTGACAAAAAGCAAAACAAAATCCATGATAACTAAACGGTAAAAACTTCATAAAAGATAAGAATGATACGCTGTATAGATACAATACAATGATTCAGTTAATACCGTTGGGAGTCCAAGTTCCTGTCAAGTGTCATCCTCCATCGACCTCCTCTCTCTCTCAAATTACGCTGTTTCTCGCTCTAGATTTCGCTCTTATGTGCGCTAATTTATAGTCACAGACAGAATATGCGTGCTGTAAAATATGCTATACCTGATCTCCTACGGCACAAGTTCAAATGTTTCCTGCAACTGGTTGTACCTTAAGGGGTCGTAACCAATGTAAAAAGATTTAGTCAAAATTTGTCTCAGATGTACAAGTATCAAATCTAGTTGTTTGAAGTGTCTGTCGTACGTGATTTCTACCTGCAGACTGGGGTGAACGGCTGCGATTAAAAGTTTGAAAGCCTATAATATATTGACACGTGGATATGTGGGGCCGATCTCGTGATATGAACACGTGGAACTTCGTGGAAGGAGAGAGAATACGGCGAGTTAGTTACAAACATCGGTTGAGCGTGTACTGCACGCTCCTGTACTTGTGAAATGGGTTAGGCCTTTAAGGCCCATTATTTTCTATATTTGGGCCTTAAGCCCATATTATTTTAGTCAATTTATTGAGGCTCAAGAAGCCAACTACCATAGATCAACTGTCAATCGCTATCTTCTTCGACGTGGTTTGATCTGCCGAGGTGCATGCACTGTCATCATCTCTGGACCTGATTTCGAGGTTGGATGTAGTCGAGAGCATTTGCCACGTTGAATTAATGAATTCGGATCCTGTTGTTTCTCTTCACCAATCTTAATCGGCCTTATGATTCTTATCTGCGGAAAAACCCTAGTGAAAATCATGCTGTGGAGCTGCGGTACACGGAGTTCGAGAATAATTCGAACCTGTGAATTTTTCGAATGGGCCAAAGACAGCGGCGAATACGGTTGAAAGAGGATTCATTGTTGACCAGGACAAGAAGATACGCGAGGTTTTAACACGTTTGATGATGGTGACGAGCAGGACTTTCCCCCATTTTCCTTCTCTTCTTTCATTTTGGAGATATTTGCGGAACCTGATATTTAATCTTCTTCTCAGTGCTGAAACTTGAGTGAATCCATCGGAACATTTGAGTTTGACGCATACAATATCATGGCTAGTGTGGTTAGTTCGTCTTCTGCTGCGAGCAACGCCAACACAAAAAAAGCCATGGATCAGTACAACGCAGATGCAAGGCTAATGGCGGATTTTGAGCAGTCTGGTGTATCAGGTAAGTCTTTTCACTACTCGAAATCAGTTTCTAATGCGCTAAGGGCATCGAGTACGGGAGAGCAAATGGCTGCTTATTTATCGAGAATGCAGAGGGGTGGTCTTGTGCAGTCCTTCGGATGTTTGCTTGCAATTGAAGAGCCTAATTTTATAATTATAGCTTATAGTGAGAATTGCTTCGATATGTTGGGTTTGAGGGATCTTGTTGAACCAATGGGTCTGATTGGAATGGATGCGAGAACCTTCTTCACTCCTTCTTCCAGGGCTTCATTAGAACAAGCTATCAAAGCAAGGGAGATTTCATTCTCGAATCCAATTGGGGTTCATTCTAGGACAAATCATAGATCCTTTTATGCTATACTTCACAGAATTGATGTTGGAACTGTGATTGATTTGGAGCCAGCTCATACGGGTGATCCTATAACGCTCCATGCCGGTGCAGTTCAATATCAAAAGTTAGCTGTGAGGGCGATATCGAAACTGCAGTCACTTCCTGGGGGTGATATAGGAGTTTTGTGCGATACCGTTGTAGAAGATGTTCAGAAGCTTACAGGGTATGATAGGGTGATGGTATATAAGTTCCATGAGGATTATCATGGTGAGGTTGTATCAGAAATTCGGAGATCCGATTTGGAGCCTTATTTGGGGTTGCATTACCCTGCAACCGATATTCCACAGGCGGCACGGTTCTTGTTCAAGCAAAATCGTGTTAGGATGATCTGCAACTGCAATGAACAGCCAGTTAAAATCATCCAAAAGGAAGAACTAAAGCAGCCTCTTTGCTTAGTGAATTCTACACTTCGTTCGCCTCATGATTGTCATAAGCTGTACATGGCCAACATGGGGTCTATTGCCTCAATGGTGATGGCAGTTGTTATCAATAATGGTGACTCATCAAAGCTGTGGGGATTAGTAGCTTGCCACCACTGTTCCCCCCGGTATCACTCTTTTCCACTTCGTTATGCTTGTGAGTTCTTGATGCAGGCATTCGGCCTGCAGATTTATATGGAGCTTCAAATGGAATCACTCCTGGCAGAGAAGAAAGTTCTCCAGGTGCAAACTTTATTGTGTGACAAGCATCTGCGCGACAGTCCATTCGGCCTTGTGACTCAATCGCCTAATATCATGAATCTTGTGAGATGTGATGGTGCTGCACTATATTATGGTGGAAAGTGTTCATTGCTCGGTCTCACTCCAACTGAAGCACAAGTTAAAGATATAGTTGAATGGCTACTCCGTAGCCATGGGGATTCTTCTGGATTCAGTACAGATTGTATGGCCGATGCTGGTTATCCTGGTGCTGCTCTCTTGGGGAACAAAGTCTGTGGTTTGGCCGCTGCTAGAATCACTCCATCTGATTTCCTGTTTTGGTTTAGGTTTCAGGCAGAAATGGAAATCAAATGGGCAGGTGCAAAGCATCACCCGAATTTTAAAGATGACGGTTCCAAAATGGACCCCAGATCCTCGTTCAATGCCTTCGTTGAAGTTGTCAAAAACCGAAGTTTGCCATGGAAGGATGTGGAGATCAATGCCATTCATTCTTTGCAGCTTATAGTGAGAGATTCCCTCCAGGAGATTGAAAAGAAAAGGCACAAAGACAAAGATGATGATGACGATGATTCAAAACTGGAAAAAAGTGCTAATGATTCAAAACTGGATAACCTTACTTGTGCAGCGTTTGGGATGGTGCGGCTAATTGAAACAGCCAATGCCCCAATTTTTGGGGTGGACTTATCTGGTCATGTGAATGGATGGAATTCTAAAATGTGTGACTTGACAGGGTTAGATGTGTCTACAGCTTTGGGTAAGTCGCTAATCCATGATATCGTTCACGAGGACTCTAGCGAGGTCGTTGAGGCCATTCTTGCCAGAGCTCTACAAGGTAATAGTTTTTTCATGTCTATACATATGTTGCTGTCATCCAGATAACTTTAAAATCATCGGTACTGTACTATTATGCATTTTCTTTGTATCATGTAATCAAGTGTGAAACTGCTTTAGGTGAGGAAGACCCAAATGTGGAAGTCAAGCTGCTGAAGTTTGGGAAATACAAACCGAGCTCTGTGGTGCACCTTCTGGTGAATGCATGTACAAGTCGGGACTATAAAGACGACATAACAGGTGTATGTTTCATAGGTCAAGATGTAACTGCTGAGAAAACAGCCATGGACAAATTTGCCAAATTGCAAGGCGATTATAAAGCTGTCATAGAAAGTCAGAATCCCCTGATGCCTCCTATATTTGCTTCTGATGAAACTGCCCGTTGTTGCGAATGGAATGCAGCCATGGAGAAAATGACCGGTTGGGATAGGCACGAAGTTATTGGGAAACTGCTGCCGGGTGATATTTTTGGGAATCTCTGTCGTCTGAAAGGCCGGGATACACTCACTGAATTCATGGTTCTTCTGTACCGAGCCCTTGGTGGCCATGATATCCAAAAGCTCGCTTTTGGGTTTTATGACCGGAGAGGAAAGTTTGTCGAGGCGTACCTAACAGCAAATAAGAGAGTAGGCAAGGGCGGGAACATAATCGGATGTTTGTGTTTCCTGCAAATGGTGGTGACTAATCAAGAGCAGTCGATAGCCGAGAAGACAGACGTAACAGGGCAGCTCAAAGAGCTAACATACATCAAGCAGGAAACTCAAAATCCATTGAGTGGAATACAATTCACCCGCAAACTCTTGGAAGGTTCATCGATTTCAAACGATCAGAAGCAGTTGCTAGAGACTAGCAATGCCTGTGAAAAACAGATACTGTCGATCATGAACAGCGCCAAATTCGGAAGCTTGGAAGAGAGGCAAGTTCTTTTCATAATGGATCAAAACTTTTGTATTACAATATTCACTTTTTTGTATTCGGGACCTTGCAGTGAGGTCGAGATCAAAGCCGAGGAGTTCATACTAGGAAATGTCCTCAACGCCGTAATCAGTCAATCTTCAATTTTGATACGAGAAAAGAACTTGCAGTTAATCCATGACATCCCTGAGGAAATCAAGGCTCTCAGCCTCTACGGCGACGAGATGAAGCTTCAGTTATCCCTGTCCGACTTCTTCTGCAGCGTGGTCGATTACGCCCCATCACCGGACAGCTGGGTCGAAATTAAGGCATCCGAAGGGATAAGGTTGATGCGCGATGAACAGGAATTCGTCCAGCTACAATTCAGGTATTCTACATTATCTTATTATCATTTTCTGAAGGTGCATGGAGTGTCTGTAAACTGTGGATTACTCTTGCAGAGTGGCTCATCCTGGACAGGGCCTCCCCTCTGCCATTATCGAAGACATGTTTAGCGTCAAGAATCAGTGGGTGACACATGAAGGAATAGCACTGTACTTCTCCCAGAAACTTATCAGTTTGATGAATGGCAATGTCAGTTACATTAGAGATCGTAGTAAGTGTTACTTCCAGGTTGATCTTCAGCTCAAGCTGAAGAAATAACCTCAGTTTGGGGCAGCTCCCACGATTTCAATAAAAAAGTTCCGTTTCTGTATGTTTGTTTTCAGTTTTGATTGGATAACTTTTAATTTAAATAATGTGTAGTATAATATTTTGTAAGAAAATATTTCGAAACATAAAATTCAAATAATGAATAAAATTACTCAAAAGAAAAATACTAAATTTATATCAGATTATATATTAAATTTTATATTAACTAATTATTGATATAATCATTTTTAAAACTTTCATAAGTTTTCTTTAAGGTGTAAGCTTACCTCATCTTTTATTAGTTTTGTAGGAAGGATTTTTACTATTTTTATAAGACACTTTTTCAAAAAACATTAAATTTAAATATTTATTTCTTACTTTTTGTATTATATTAATTCTAATTTTTATTTTTATCGTATTAATCCTTACTCATAATAATTAATTTTTTATGATTCAAATATCATAAACGATCACACCATAATCAACAAGGGCTCCCAAGACAATTCGGCTTGTACCTTACGCATCAGCAGTAGGACGCTTGCTTTATAATGCAGCAGGTATATCTCCAAACTACAGCAGCATTGAATATCTGTCTTTCAGTTGTCCTTCGTCGAAGACCCAGAACGCTATGCGGAGCTTTTCGATTCTCAGTTCTTCGAATTCTCTCTTCTGCTCAGGATATTACGCAGCTTTCTTGCCGCCTGGACTATTCCCGAGGAAATGGATTAACCCCGCGCCAAAACCTTCTTCTAGCGGAAGATTTCCACTTATTTCTTTGCAAATACACCGTTTTCCTTGCTTCGCTGTTCGCTCTACTGGTATTACATGCTGCTGGCAATAGCAGAATTGTACATATGGTTTTCAGTTTTTGGTTGAGTTAGTTGAAATCAAATGAATGTGAGCCTCGGGGTGTATTTCATTAGACTTGTCGTTTTATTTTTCTGTGTCTGTCTCGATCGACAAATTTGTAATTTTGGTGGTGTTGCCGTTCGAGTTTCAGGAAAAATATATCGGCCAACAATATTATCATTTTAGCTGCTTAAGGAGGCATAAAAATATTCACTTTGATTGTTAAGTGTCTTCGGTTATTAGTATTGAGAAGTACATGGTGCCTTTTGTGTGTCTTCCTTTTTAGTTTGAAGACTGTCACTGGAGTTGTGTTAGTATACTGTGCCAATGCGTGCCAATTTGAATACGTTTTTTTGGAAGCTGGTTTGATGCCTTAACTCTGTCTCCTGCTTGGTTCTGTAGTGTCTTAGTTTTTATCAAGTTAATTTGATTATATTTTGTGATTCTTGATTCTAAAGGAGCATTTCTTTCTTTTTTTTTTACCCCAATTTTCAGGTACTCAAGAGGTTTTGGAGACAGACTCATCTGCATTGGGCTTTGTTGAGACTGGTTACATATCTGGTGTGCATGGTTTACAAGGAGAGGTTCGCGTAAAACCAAGCACAGACTTTCCTGATCTACGCTTTTCCAAGGTACAAATGTTTGTGGCAAATAATCTGAAACATTTTATCATCAAAGTGAAAACGACTGATTACTTATGCTTTCAATGTCAAATCTTCTTAAACTTTTAGCCGGGAAAAAGATGGCTAAAGCAAAGAAATTCAGGAACGGAGACTCTTCAAGAAATTGAGCTGATTGAGGGGCGCGGTCATGGTGGACAAAAGTGGATAGTAAAATTTGGTAACATTGACACTGTGGAACAGGTGTGCCAAGATTTGGCTTGTTAGGACAGTATGGTTGTTAATACTGCCCTGAGTATGAGATATTTTAATCTTTGTCATCTGTTCTCAGGCACAAAAACTTGTTGGGTCAACCATATTGGTTCCGGATGAAGATAAACCGGATTTAGAGGAAGGAGAATTTTATACTCGTGACCTTATAGGAATGACCGTTGTTCTTAAGGTCTGTGCATCTTCATAACCTTATGCTTAAGAATATATCAATACACAAACAAAGCTGAACTTCAGCTACTCGTGGCTTCATGAATTTGATTGATCCAGGAGTCGGGGGAACTGGTGGGAACTGTTGACAGTGTTTACAAAACTGGGGCCCATGATCTTCTACATGTTAGGCTTAACTCGTTGCGAAACATACCAAACCGGATCGGAAAGATGAATATTTCGAAAGATAATTTGGGACCACTAGTGTGGGTTCCTTTTGTTGAAGCAATTGTTCCAACTGTTGATCTGGAAAAACGGGAAATGCTAATTACACCTCCCAAGGGGCTCCTGGAGTTGAATGTTCGATCTGATGAGAGATCCAAAAAAGAAAGGCGTGAGCTTGTGAGGGATAACTGTTTCGTTTACATTGTTATTTGCCAACCTAATTCACCAAACATCTAGATATGATAATAACTGTCAGTTGCTTGCATCAGGAATGGAAAGAAAGAAAAAAATTTCAAAGACGTGTAATAGCAGCGAAAAAGAAGCTATATGAAATGGAACAGAAACATGTATTTGACGGCGTTGGATATGGAGGGAGAGACAAAGCACGATTACTTGCAAATCAAATAGCATCTGTCAATTCAAACTTGCTTCAGCAGGCCCTGCAGAATATTGAGACACCTTTGACAAGGTAAACTTCTTCTGCATATTTAACTTCATTGCATACATCTGATGCTGCAAACAGGTTGCGTAATTTGATCATTATACTAATGTCTTTCATGCCTGCATGGCTTAATCAGACCAAATTTGCTCGATGTTTTGAGTGCTGTTCCAGGACCACACCGCTTAAGCATCTCTGATGAGCCATATTGCAAGCTGCAAAGGAAAGGGCACCTTTTGAATTCTGATGGTAAAATTGCTGTATGTGTAGTGTTGGGGAACACTGCTGATACTGAAAATGGTTCTGCTGCCAATTTTGATAACTCTGATGTCAAATCGATACTGGATGATCATGCGAGTTTTATTCAGGTATGTTGAACCATGCTTCTTTGTGATGCCTTTTGATATATATCAAAATGTTTAAGTTTCTTCCATTGTGAAATTTATAGGTTTGTATTATTTACATCAGTATGGCACTATAGTATCTCAGACATGGGACTGTGTTCTTTTTTTTTTGCCTAGCTGAAGTTTCAGTTAGTACACAATGTCATTCAAATTTATATATTGACAGTATCTTTGGAATTTTCAAAGAAAGCTCCTAAAAGCACCCATTTGATGATTCCAAGCCATCTGAAGCATTCGTTTCCTGATTGCAGGTTGAAGGCCGCCAATCTGTGCCTCTTATATTGGTCTGTGCTGCTGGTTCAGTCTCTTCTTTACAAGAACTTTTTTGGAATGATGACTTCTTTGGATTTGATCCTGAAAAGGTTGGTACTGTCAATATAAACCCATTTTATAAATTGTGCACAATTTTAAAACAATCACCTTGTCATCCATTATTCTGTTGGTTCTCTCCCTGCAGGTCTGGTTTTTGGAAGAAGAGAAGCTCCCCGTTGTTAGTAGCTCAATAGAAGGACATGGCAAGCACAAAATATTGATGAAGTCACCATGGGAATTCCTGCAAAGATCAGTTGGATCAGGAGGCTTGATCAGCTTACTTTCTTCCCAGGAATCCTTATTGGATCACCTAAGTGAAACTGGCATAGAGTATTTTGAGGTAAGACACATTTCATATCTGAGAAATAATCCCAAACACTTCTTTAACTTCAGCACATTACTTATGGACATCCTCCTCTGCTCTCTCTTCCGGCAGGTTGGCAAAATCAACCGAAACCATGAAAAGAGCCATGCCCTTCTTGGTCTACTCAGCTCATGCAGTGCAAACGTTGGGATCAATCTTTTCGAAGGCATCACGGTGGAAGAAGATTTTAACATCATATTCACCATGAGTTTCGTAAGGAAGTTGATCAAGCAGCTAAACAAGCTCCATTTTCGCGCCATTCTTACACGTAATTCGTATGTTCAGAAGATTGAGAAGGAATGGGTCGATGTCATCCCCTCCGAGGCCAATTCTTATGAGTTCCGTGCCTCGATATATGGCTGCTTGGATGCCACTCCCATCAACAAGGTCTGTGTGCTCGACTCCAACCTATAGTCGACGTATTTATACTGTTCTATAGATGGACATGAAACTATAGAGTTTTGTACAGTAGATGTTTCCGTTAGGTATAGTGCCTTTTGGTATCAGTCCAAATACGTCTTCAAGATGAGTCTCCAACTGTCAGAATGTCTGCCCCTAATTCAAATCAGTGCGAAATCTCTAATTGAGTGGTACGTACAGTTCCATTCCAATGGAGGGTTATTTGATTCAGGCATTTATGAATTTGATTTTGTACGTGGTTAACAATTTGAATTATCTATTTGGGGCTGTGTAACAATGTCGGCGATCAGAAACCAAACCATAGTTCAAGCCAGTATACTGCGGAACTCTCGTATGTAATTGAGTGGTTTCATGCCTTTATTCAGACAGAGAATGTGAAGTCCAGATGGTGGTATCTCCATCACTGTGTGAAGTTCGCCATTGATATAAGTATTACTCTACTCTTTAACAATTGGTGAAACAGTGTTTGAGCACCCCCATCAGAAAAAGGAAACCATGAAGAAATTTGTCTCTACTAGTATTTCTTAGTCCTTTTTTCCATTAGAAATGCCTGCAAATTTCTTCACAGTATTGTGAAGATAATAATATTTTGGTAACTCTTGTGCATTGCTCTATCTATTATAAATCTTTGGAAGGCTTTATATCTTTTGTTATGGTAAAGTTCTTATGAAGCTATGATTATCTTTTTCTGTACATATCAAGTAAAAAATGTTGAATTACTTAGGAATAATCACACATAAGCACAAGAAAAGAACATAGAGCTGTATGTGTTTGAGGGCAAGAAAGAATATGGATATTTTCCTTTCCTACCTTGAACACAAAGCATCTTCTTTATAACCTCACCCTCACAGGGACACCTTTTAGGATACAGATTTACAAGAAAAGAACCTAAAACTCTCATCAGCCAGCCTTATAAGTTCCATTTTTATCTGCAGAAAAAAGTACGATAGGAGATCTTGAGAAACTTAATTGATAGCAGAGGTCTGTGTAATTTTGTGTGAAACTTAATTGATAGCAGAGGTCTGTAATTTTGTGTGATCAAAGATGGCTGCTCAGCTTAAACCTTTGGCTGGCTTGCTTTTGTTCCTCAACTTTTGCATGCTCGCCATAATTCTTGGTATCGGTAGCTGGTCGATCAACAAGGCCATTGTAGAGGGTTTCACAATTGGTATGTTTTAATATTTGCTGATTGATGTGCAGTGCTTCTGTTTGTTTCATCTTTTATAGTTCTTCCATTAATGAAAACACACAATATGTTTACATAACAGGTCCGGGGTTTGATCTTCCTCCGCATTTCTCACCAATATACTTCCCAATGGGGAATGCTGCCACGGGTTTCTTTGTGGTCTTTGCATTGATAGCTGGCGTCGTTGGAATTGCATCCATCATTGCTGGAATAAACCATTTTCGTTATTGGGACTTGGACAGTTTGCCTGCAGCTGCCTCATCCGCAACCATCGCCTGGTCCCTGACACTTCTTGCCATGGGGTATCACCATTTATATGAAATCAAATCACGTTTAAGAATCTCTCCCACAACCATTTCAGTTTCTTGACTTTAAGATATCAAAATCTTATGATCCTTTTCAGCTTCGCATGTAAGGAGATCGAACTACTTCACAGAAACTCCAGCCTGGTGAGTTGCTACATAACATTATGCAATGCTGGAAAGCTTAAATGGTGTCAATAATCATCGATATAACCCTGCATTTTTTCGTTTTTTTTTTTCTTTCTTGCTCGCCGCAGCGAACAATGGAAGCGTTCACCATAATTCTATCAGCTACTCAACTGATATACATAGCTGCCATTCATGAAAGTCCAAGGTCCACTTACATATGAAGCAGAATTCCTGCCATGCCTAGTATGTGATTTGTGATTTGATTATTTCAATGTTAATTCACTGTGTGCGCTTTTTGCTCATCATGCTTCAAATACATTCATTCGTGTGTGCAAATAAAGGAGTGCATAGTCTTATTATTCATTCAGGTCTGCCCAAAATATTGAAATGTAAAATGATCCAAAACATTAACTTATAGTGAAGGTTGCAGTAGCAGAGATTCCTTAGAGGCCCTTTAACCTAGAGAAGAAAAGTATCTTCTTTTTATGGTTTATCAAGAAGAGAAAACTCTTGGGTCTATTCTATGCCAAAGCAATACGAGAGAAGATAACACCCTCCATGTCTAACCCCATTTCCTTTTCTATTTCGATGAGATGGTTGTATTTAGTCGTATAGTCGAGGTGTTTTTAGTTATGGATAGCGAAAAGAGGAACTAACCTTTAGTTATCCAACGGTGCGCGAAAACATGTCGAACAGTCCACAGCAACTCTTCCAGGATGTTTTCTGCAGAGCATAAAATGGTTTCAAAAGACTTAAAAAAACCAAAGTAACTGCGGCGAGTAATCGAGTAAGAAAAGTAACACTGGACCTCAGCTGTAGCGCCGGTATCCGGTGCAGCCATGGAGCCACATTGTGGTGGTAACAATGTACGATCATCGACAACAGATTTAGCTACGCAGGGAGCCAAAGAGACGTCTCGATCTTGTGCAGAAACACTCGCAATTCCTGCTTGCTTCGCCATAACTGAATTCCTCTCCAAGCCGGCCTCTGGGACATCTCCTGCAACCAATGCAGTATGAATCTCCTCAGCCGAATGATCTGCATCTCTACCAAGCTTTCTGTCACCCGAATTACGGCTACTCGCCTGCAAAACTTCGTCGTCGCTGCAAGACATTGTCTCCCCCTCAAAATGATAGTCTCCTCCAACTCTTCCTTCCAATCCATTCTCAGCCTGAATGACAGCCTCCTTTACAGCCATGTCCATTGATCTTGAATCAAGATTGGTGGCAGTGGCATCAACATGAGTCACACCCTCCTTTTCTTCTCCAATGTCCATTGATCTTGATTCAAGATTGGTAACATCAGTCTGAGTGGCACCCTCTATTTCAGCAGTGCCCATTGATCTTGATTCAAGATTAGTAACATCAACATTAGTGACATCCTCCTTTTTATCAAGATTGGTTACATCAGCCTGAATGGCACCCTCCATTTCAGCCATGTCCATTGATCTTGATTCAAGATTGGTAACATCCCTTTCTTGCTGTTTCAGGCCCTCATTTCCTACCATTTCAAAATTCAAGTTCAATCTATCACCACAACTCCACAAAATCAAACATTATCAAATGCATATATTCAAACATACTAAAGATGTCAATGTTAATTACTCCAACATTCACCCCCAGCATAATGTGTGTATATATATATATATATAATATGTATGTATAATGTAAGTACGTATGTACCGTAAGAATGTGTGGAAGAAGAAGAGGCTTTGTTGTCGATCTTGGGCTGGTTTTCCTTCTTCTTCTTCTTCGCAGCTTTTCGCTTCTTCGCACCAGAGGGCATCTCTTCTGCTCAAAAAAATGACAAAAAAAATAAAAAGAAAAGAAGAAGAAAAGAAAACAAGGCGTGGTTTTGGCCTATGGGGTGTTTTATGGTTTATGTTTATGGCACGCTCAACCTTCTCTCCCTACACCAAAATTTCTGGCGCTGCTACAGTTCAGTGCTTTGCGCTCCTTTATTTCTTTTTCTTGTTTGTTGGTTTTTTGCTGCTGAAAATGACAAAATGAGAAAAGAAAATGAAATGGGATTGGATGAATATGGAAAAGATCGGCAAGCAGGCCTAGAAAGAGGAAGAAGGTACTGACAGATTCGCGGTGATTCTTGGTGGCTCCTGGGACCCCAACACCAGATAGATCTGTACCCTTCATCTTCCCAGGCCGACACCACCGACGGCGTGGATCATCGTTCCGAAGGTTTTCCTGCTGGCATTTTAATTTCTTTCCAAAGAAAAATATATAGAAATTAAACCATTGCAGTGATGAAATACACTCAGCAATAATAACTGAAAATCTGAAAAAAAAAATTAAAAATCATCCATAATAAAAATGAAAATTCACTCCTTAATTGAAGGAAATAACAGGAAATTATTATGGTTAGTAAGCAAGAATAATCAAATTTCGGGCCATGGGCTGAACTCCACTAGTTGGGCTTTCTAAAGCCCAAATGAATGGGCTTATTCTCTCAAGTTCGTAATATACAATTCCCTCCAATTCGTACCAACCTCGCACGAGGAAAAATTCAATTATCCAAATGGCACCAGTTCGTGACACGTCATCTCGTCTTCTTCCTTAATTCGGCAGCGTCCGGCGTTAATGGCGGAACAGAGAATCGCGGAAAGACGTGGAAGCAACATTTCTTACATCAATGGCTGTTTGTTTTGGACAACACTTTATCTCCACATCACAAAATCGACATGTAGAAATGGTAATCAGATTTCCCGCGACCCACGAAATATAGTTGCCTGGAACAACGGCTGCAGTAATTGCGTGCATTCAGGGGAATACAATCAATCAAGAACACAGAAATTTAACAAAGCCATCGATTTCTTGGCAGTGACCAAATTGGATTCTTAGTATTACTACTGTTCTAATGCTGAAATATTCATTCCCAACAGTTAGGGTTTGCAGATCGTTTTCTTGGCAAAGTTTGATTTTTTAAAAATTCATCTGCAGAAATAATGTGATGCAAATAATTTCAACAGTCAATTCAAACCGCCCAAGGATAACTAAGGATGCCAAACCCTAAATTTTCCAAGTCAAACAGAAGTAAACCATTTTGGTAATCTCTAATTTAATTATCCCCAAAAGTTCCATTCCGACAAGACATCAGATATCCATATCCATATTCATTTTCCAACTTCCAACTGAATTTCCACAGGCTTTTATATCAAACACGACGAACTTTGTCTCAGTCAATGTTTATAAATAGCAGAATTTTTTATACAATTCTTTTGCGCAGAATCAATCAGTTAGTTCTGCCGACTTCAAGACCATACGTGTGCTTCTGCATCTGCTCCACATTAGGACAGTAGAGAGGTAGGTTATCCAAATTGAATCAAATACCTATCTTTTTATTATTATTATTATTATTTTTTTTTTTTTTTAATATTTCAAATTCCAAATTCAAATCCAAACATTAAAAAAACCCAGATTTTTGCGTCCCACAAGCCCCATCAAGAATCTGTACCATTTTTCAGCATGAACATGAACTTGAACATGATTGTTGCACTATACATAAGTAAAAAGAATTCATGTATAGCTAAAATTAATGTGCTTATTGTAAGAAAAGACTCATAACAGCTCAAACTTTGCTTCTGCAGGGGCTGTGGTGAAAACAGTTGAGAGTTCGTCGAAGAGGAGGTGGTAGAAGCGAAACGAATGGAGCTGCGAAGCGCTAAAAATGGCGCGCAAATGTATCCGAAACCTGGGGTTTATATGCTTTTTTCTTATGCTGATAGAATAGATTTGATGCTGATGATCACCGGAAGCATAGGCGCCATTGCGAATGGCGCGACGCAGCCGATTAGCACACTTACATTTTCGCAACTTGTGAACTCTTTGGGACAGACAGATCATAGTCAGCTCCTCCATCAAGTTTCAAAGGCACATATATATATATATAGATACGTACATACATAGATACTCTGTTTTATTGATGTGTTTTTATTTTTTCAGGTGGCTCTTAAGATACTATACATTGCAATTGGCGGCGCTGTCGCCGGATTTCTGCGTAAGTTTGTTCATTTGTATACGTGAGTACTTATGCGTGTATATATATATATCTATGTAAGTTTTACGGCGCTTGATGATGAACAGAGGTGTGCTGTTGGAAGGTAACCGGAGAGCGCCAATCAAGCCGGATACGAGCATTGTACTTGAAGGCATTGCTAAGGCAAGAAATTGCCTTTTTCGACACTGAATCCACAACAGGGGAAATGATGAGCAGCATCTCTGAAGAAGCCAATCTCATTCAAGAAGCCATGGGAGAAAAGGTTGTCTGATACGCCGACGTAAGGATTTTTAGGGACAGGTGGCCTCGAACCTGACAAGGATCGTTGGTTTGTTTCAATGACAGGTAGGCAAGTTCATGGAGTTCGCATCGACCTTCATTTCTGGCTTCATTATAGCATTTGCCAGAGGCTGGCTTCTGTCGATAGTCTTGCTTTCATGGGTTCCAGCGATTGTCTTAGTCGGAGGATCCTTGGCGCTTCTTACATCGAAGATGTCTGCCAACAGACAGACGGCTTATGCAGAAGCGGGACATGTTGTGGAACAAACACTCGGCGCCATTAGGACAGTAAGTTTAAGGACACTTCTGTAGTCGGCGTAGATTTCATGTCTTCTAAGGTTGTTCTGTTGCAGGTTGTATCGTTCTCTGGAGAGTCGAAAGCGATCATAAGCTACAACAAGAAGCTAGAAATTGCATACAGAGCAGCGACTCGACAAGGCTTGGTGTCGGGGGTTGGACTTGGCCTAATGTTGCTAATAACTTTCGCCAGCTACGGCTTCGCCATTTGGTACGGATCGAGGCTGATTTTGAACAAAGGGTACAACGGAGGCGATGTCGTGAATGTCATCATCGCCATCATGATAGCCGGATCGTAAGTTAAAATCTGGTCTTCTTACATGAATCAGTACTGTCTGTTTGTCCTAAGAAGTTTCGATTCAGGTCGCTGGCGCAGACGTCGCCGTGTTTGAATGCATTCTCAGCAGGGCAAGCTGCAGCAAACAAAATGTTCGAGATCATCAACCGGAAGCCATTGATCGATCCATACGATACGAGTGGGATAATCAAGACAGGCGGCCTGGAAGGCGACGTCCGGTTTAAGGATGTCTACTTCAGTTATCCATCACGGCCTGATGTCCCGATATTCGCTGGACTGTCGTTACATGTCCCGAAGGGGAAAACAACGGCGTTGGTAGGACAGAGCGGAAGCGGCAAATCGACTATAATCAGTTTGCTGGAGAGGTTCTACGATCCTGACGCCGGAAAAGTTCTCATCGACGGCATTGATCTGAAAAAGTATCAGCTGAGATGGATCAGGCAACGGATGGCGCTCGTTAGCCAGGAGCCGATCCTGTTTTCGACCACGGTGAAGGAAAATATACTTTACGCGAAACCTGATGCAACCGACGAAGAGATCAGACGTGCTGTCGAGCTTGCAAACTGCGCTGAATTTGTCGAGCGGCTGCCTAATGTAAAGCTGTTGTCTTTTAACTCATCGGCTACTGATTCGATCCTCGAGTCCTTTCGCTCAAAGACTGTTGTTTGTCACAGGGGATCGATACAATGGTAGGCGAAAACGGGGGGCAGCTATCGGGGGGCCAGAAGCAAAGAGTCGCAATTGCTCGGGCGATCCTAAAGAATTCGAAAATTCTTCTTCTTGACGAAGCAACAAGCGCGCTGGACGCTGCATCTGAGCGCAGCGTGCAGTGTGCGCTCGAGAAAGTCATGCCTGATCGAACGACTGTTGTTGTCGCTCATCGCTTGTCCACAGTAAAGAACGCCGGGATCATAGCTGTGTTGGATGCCGGAAAGATGATTGAACAAGGTAACAACTTTCCGCACTTCTTTCTTACGCGCGAATGTTTCTAACGAAACTTTTGTCGAATCGTTTTAGGCGCGCACGATGACTTGATTCAAAATCCGGAAGGCGCATATAGTCGGCTCCTTTACTTGCAAGAGGGCAGCACAGAAGCATTACACAAGACTCGGAATGGCACAGCTGATATTGACAACTTATCCATCAAAACAGAGCATTCTGTAGTCGAATCGAGCAAGAATTTGACAGTTGCCCTTCCAAGAAAAAGATCGATGAAGTATAAGGCAGTTGAAGTAGATGAGTTCGATGTGAAGAATAAAACAAGCTTAGCATACAAACGGTTGGCTTACTTAAACAAACCTGAGCTTCCTTCTCTGCTCATCGGATCCATAGCTGCAGGCATCCATGGTGTCGCCTTCCCCGTGTTTGGATTACACATGGCGACAGCGTTTGGAGTGTTCTTCGAACCTCCAAATGAGTTACAGAAGAAATCGAGGTTTTGGGCGCTAATGTTCATCGCTGTGGGCGCAGTAGTTTTGGTTGCTGTGCCGGTTCAAAGCTACATGTTCGGAGTGTCCGGTGGGAAACTGGTGCGGCGCATTCGCGCCTTACTCTTCGAAAAGATCGTTCATCAAGAAATCGGTTGGTTCGACGATCCAGCAAACTCGAGGTTGCATTCTTGCAGACACTCACTCTCAACATGACTATAGTTTCCTTGCATATATACTTACTTACAGTTACAGCATCTTCTTGCAGTGGCGCAATCGGCGCGAGGCTATCCGGCGATGCCTTGACCGTGCGAAACCTTGTTGGCGACAGGCTGGCTTTGGCTGTCCAAAATGTGGCAACTGCAGCAGCTGGCCTTCTCATTGCATTCATGGTTAACTGGAAGCTCGCGCTCACTGTTGTCGTCGTCGTCCCTCTTATGCTCGTAGAAGGATACTTTCGGATGAAGCTCGTCAAGGACAGGACTAACAAGGTATGCTCGTCGCGACGTGCGCATACTTTGTATCTATCCATCGGAGAAGATAAACAATAGATGTATATATTCAGGCGATGTTCGAAGAAGCGAGTCAGGTAGCAAGTGACGCGATCCGTGGAATCAGGACCGTCGCATCCTTTCTAGCTGAGCGCAAAGTGATGGAAATGTACGAAAGAAAATGCGAAGGTCCGATGAAACAGGGAGTTTGGCACGGAGCTGTGCGAGGCGCCGGTTTAGGATTTGCGAACTTTGTGTTGTTCTGCATCTACGCCTTTTCTTTCTACATCGGCGCTGTTCTTACAAAGCGCGGCGAGGCCAATTACAGCGAGGTGTTTAAGGTAACTCAACGCTCATCCTACCATTTTAGAGCCACTCCATCGTATCTGTGATCGATCATCATCCTAATGCAGGTCTTCTTCGCATTTCAAGTGTCCTCGCTCGGCATTGCGCAGAGCGGTAGCCTCGTTGAAGACTTCAACAAATTCAAGCAATCCGCAGCGTCCATCTTCGACATCCTCGACAGACAGTCCTTGATCGACGGCAGCAGCAACGAAGGGCTGCAACAGGACACATTGAAAGGGGACATCAAGTTTCGAAACATCAGCTTTCGATATCCTACGCGACCCGACGCCGAGATCTTCAAGAACTTATGCTTGTCGTTATCGCCGGGAAAGGTAAAAAAAACACACAAAACATTATTCCCTAAGTCACCTATACAGATTTGCGAAGTTAGATGTAAACTTATATCCAACGATTTTTTTTAATGTGGACTCTAGTTTGTTAGTAAAGGACCGATTCACCTAAAAGCTTAAAATATAGGACTCGAACTCGAGACTCTGATACCAACAGTTGTTTTTTGACACAGACAAATGCGCTTGTCGGACAGAGCGGAAGCGGCAAGTCGACGGTGATAAGCCTGCTGCAGAGGTTTTACGACCCCGACGCAGGCCATATCTACTTGGACGGCATCGATATATACAAATTCAACGTACGATGGCTTAGGCGACAGATGGGGCTCGTCGGCCAAGAGCCTCTTCTCTTCAATGAGACGATCCGCGACAACATTTGCTTCGGCAGGGACCGCGGCGTGCTCGAAGAAGAGGTCATTGCAGCAGCAAAGGCGGCAAATGCACACGGCTTTATATCTGCACTGCCCAACGGCTACGACACTTACGTCGGCGAGCATGGCGTGCAGCTGTCGGGCGGGCAGAAACAGAGAATCGCCATTGCCAGAGTGGTTCTTAAGGATCCGAAGGTGCTGTTGTTGGACGAGCCGACGAGTGCGTTGGATGCGGAGTCGGAGCGGGTAGTGATGGAGGCGTTGCGTGGAGTCGGAGCCGGTGGTAGGACGACTGTGGTGGTGGCGCACCGGCTGAGCACCGTCAGGAATGCTGACAGCATTGCGGTGATCGAAGAGGGTCGGGTTGCGGAAGAAGGGACGCACGACGAGCTCTTGATGATCTCCGGCGGCGTCTACGCCAATTTGGTGTCGTTCGACGTTGTATTGCAGCGAGGAACTGTTTGATTGGATTTTTTTTGTTTGATTTTTTTGGGATTTTAGGTAAGTGTATAGAATTGATTCATTTGATTTATTATTGGTTTCATATATGTTTTTGTTTCAATTGTGAAGCTAAAGCGGGAGTCTGGGATGAAAATTCTTTGTTAACAGAATGAGTCGAGCAAATTTTAAGTGCTTGTATTTGTTCGTTCACATGACTCATATTTTTCCGTTAACACTTCAAATTCATTACAGTGTTCCAACTCAGTTTTGTTAAATAATTTTAGGTAAAATTATTCTAACGTATTTTCAAAATTATCCATAAAACCTCTTTATATTTTAAAAATTGAGGAAAATGATTTATTATCCATATTTTTTTTTTTGCTTTGGTGGGGTTTTATAAAATATTTTGAAAGTATAAGGGGTGTTATGCAATTTTATTTTTTTTTATATTGAGTTTCGAAACTACATAAGCTTTTGCAATTTTTAAAGTAAAAATGGATTTACTCGAATTTCGAAATTACAAGAGTTAGGGACAATTTTGCCATAATTTTATTAATTTTTAGTTTGTACTAGTGTTTGGCTCCATTAAAATATCATTTTCCATTTTTGTCAAGAACATTATTTATTAATTTAGTAATTCACTTACCTAATATAATTAATATATTTATCACTTTTGATATATTACACAAATATTATTACTTTATATCACACAATCCAATAGAAATATTTTTGTCTTTTTCATTATAAACCAATATACACTACAAAAAAATATATATATATATATTTGTAATGAAATTTCGTCCATATAATTCACGTAGCTAACGTAATTTCATTCCTAATTTCATCAGTAAACACAAAAATACTTGTTACAAAAATGATTTTTTCTCGTAGTGATAATACTAATAATTTTGTTTTCTTTGAGACCGAGGCAGTATTTATTTTATTTTATTTTATTCTGTAATTAATAATTTCATATAAATATATATATATATATATTAATATGTATATATAATGAACATTGGTGAAAATTACGAACAAGCTTCGGATTCATTCGTTAACAAAAACGAGTTTATTTATATTATTCAACTCAATTCATTTATATTCACGAACAAATTTAAATCGAACTTCATTAATAAAGCGAGTCTATTTATACTATTCAAATCGATTCATTTATATTAGCGAACAAACATAAATGGAGCTTCATTGTCCAAAAGGATTCCGTCGTCATAATACATGATGATAGAAAGGAACAATTAATTGTTGTGGGAGAAGTAAGACCATAACTAGCGTGCAAAAATAGTAACTTTGACCTTAGTGTAGCAGTTTTAGGTGGTCTCCTCGGATGCACCTGCAAAAGTGAGGGTGGCACCCTCCATGATTAGACCTGCTACAACATTCCTCCAAATTTATTATTTACAAATTAATCATTTTAGTTTGTTTTATAAAAATTTGATTTTACTATTTATATTATTTATAGAATAAATTATTTTTTATATAATTATATTTTATTTTTTTTGAAAAAAAATGATATTTACATTAAATTATAAATCAAGCATACTGAATTGAATAATGATGGTAAGTAGTACTAGTATTTAGTAAATATGGCAAGTAGTAATGTATACCTATATGTATAATAATAAATTACCATCTTTTCCATCTTTGGTGAGTCCAACTATTTGAAGGGTCTGTATTTATTTGCTTACCAAAATATAATTAGGAAAATCTTTTCCTAAAACGTTCATGTCATTTAAATTAAATATGACAATAATATATATATATATATATAAGTATACACATCATAGTAGGATTTGTTCTGTATAAAATTATTAGTAATATCTTAATATTATTTAATACAACCTACAAAGGAAAGATCAATAATCCTTGATTACTTACTATACTATCATACAAAGCTCTACTTTATAGGAATTGTAATAATACACAGTAAATACATGTTAATTTGTATAAAATAATATTTTGATTAAAAAATAATAATATTTTATTGATCAATAAAAATATATAAAAAAATTTAATATTTTTATATTTTAATTTAAATAAAAATTAAAAATATTATAATATCAATATATAATTATTTTATATACATGTATGTATGTATATATTTCTAGAAGGTTACAAGAATGAGATTGTTCACGGGTATAAATAGAGGGGTGGCGGATCCTCCATGACTGTGGGGGGGTGATACGCAAAAGGCCATGGCGATCATTAACTCCACGCACCACTTTGATCTTTGTTAGTAGAAAGATTCCGCAATGGAAGATCTCCACAACACGACGGATCAATCGCAGAGTTTCGTATCCCACAAGATAGGAGAGTCTGTTAGATACCGGAATTTCAGATATTTCCCCACGCTCAATTCTCCTTTACGTAGTCGTGTAATTCCATCGGAGGTTTTTTCTTGAGGTTTTTTCCCTGCTGAACAAGTGTTTTCTGTCCATCGATGTCGTCGTTCTTTGCTTTTAAATACTTCCATTTTTGGTCCAAACAGCAGATTCGCTACTAAAGAATCAAGATGGAGAATGCGACGGTCAAGAAAGAAGATCAGAAGATTGCGTTTTATAAACTCTTCGCATTCGCGGATCGTCTCGATTTGGCGCTCGTCGCCATTGGTACGGTCGGCGCCGTAGGGAATGGCCTGATGCAACCGCTAATGGCGCTTTTCTTCGGGCAGATGATCAATTCGTTCGGAGGAGGATTGGATTCGTCTAATGTTCTGCATGAAGTTTCAAAGGTCATTGGCGATTCACTCTCTTTTACGTACTGGAATTGATTTCTTATTCGTTATTGAGCGCAATTTTAATTTAATTCGATTCTGTAATCCCTACTCTGAGTTAATCTACTGATAGATACGTCTATGCTGTTCTTACAGTGAGAAATTTGATTCTGTTAAGTTAATACTGAGGCTCGCATTTTCGGCACAAATTTCAGGTTTCCCTCAAATTAGTGTATTTGGGCATTGGCGGGGGAATTGCTGGGCTTCTACGTACGATTCTTTCATTCCTTCTGTTATTCTTTGCTCATTAACAGTGTTTGAACTTGCAATGGTATTGATGAACAGAGATGATGTGTTGGATGGTAACGGGAGAAAGACAGGCAGCTCGAATAAGAGGGCTATATTTGAAAACGATTTTAAGGCAAGATATTGAGTTCTTCGACACCGAAACCACGACAGGAGAGGTCATTGGGAGGATGTCAGGCGACACAATTCTTATTCAAGACGCCATGGGAGAGAAGGTGAGTTTCGAATACAAACAGCACCTCTAGCTCTGTGTCTCTATTTTTTTTTTTTTTCTAATTGAAATTGATGATTTTATATCAGGTTGGAAAGTTCATTCAGTGTATATCCACATTTTTTGGAAGCTTTGTTCTTGCTTTCATTCAAGGATGGCGCCTCGCGATAGTTTTGTCTTCGAGCCTTCCGGCTCTTGTCATAGCAGGGGGATGTGTGGCTGTGATTATGTCGAAGATGGCAAGCCAGGGACAAGTTGCTTATGCTGAAGCTGGAAGTGTAGTGGAACAGACAATCGGAGCAATTAGGACGGTAAAAAAACTGCATTCAAATAGTACTTGCAACATTAGTTTTCGGTGATCTTATTCGAATTAGTAAATGTATCATAGGTTGCATCCTACACCGGCGAGAAACAGGCCGCAGAAAAATACGATAGCAAGCTTAAGACAGCTTATGCAGCTACTGTAAAACAAGGTCTAGCTTCAGGTGTGGGAATTGGTGTGTTGCTGTTCATAATCTTTGCTACCTATGGACTTGCTGTTTGGTATGGAGCAAAATTGATAATCCATAATGGCTATAAGGGAGGGACTATTATCAGTGTTGTGATGGCGATTTTGATCGGAGGAATGTAAGCATAATAAGATCATAATCGATACTTATGACTGTCGTCTTGATCAACCGATAAATTGTCGATGAAATGTTATTTTTCAGGTCACTCGGCCAAACATCTCCGAGTTTGAATGCATTTGCAGCAGGACAAGCTGCAGCTTACAAGATGATCAAGACAATCGAGCGCAAGCCAAAGATCGATTCGACCAATACTAGCGGGATGGTGCTGCAAGATATGAAAGGTGAGATTGATCTGAAAGATGTACATTTCAGTTATCCGGTGCGGCCTGAAGTCAAGATCTTCTCCGGGTTCACACTACATGTCCCGTGCGGAAAGACTGTTGCGTTGGTTGGACAGAGCGGGAGTGGGAAGTCCACGGTGATCAGCTTAGTCGAGAGATTCTACGATCCTGATGCCGGAGAAGTACTAATCGATGGTGAAAATTTAAAGAACTTGAGCCTTCCATGGATCAGAGGGAAGATTGGACTTGTAAGCCAAGAACCTGTCCTGTTCACTACTACTCTAAAGGAAAACATCTTATACGGCAAAGAAAATGCTACTGATGAAGAAATAATGAACGCCATCCGGCTTGCGAACGCTGCTAAATTCATCGACAAGCTGCCGAAGGTAGATTATACTCGTCCATGTTTATCTTTAGAAGTCAGTGTGCTAAAAGGTTCATTTGGTTACAGGGCCTTGACACCATGGCTGGTGAACATGGAGCTCAGCTATCCGGTGGCCAGAAGCAGAGAATCGCGATTGCGCGAGCTATTCTAAAGAATCCAAAAATACTTCTTCTCGATGAAGCAACAAGTGCGTTGGATGCAGAATCAGAGCATATAGTGCAGGAAGCGCTCGACAATGTTATGACGAATCGAACAACTGTTGTTGTTGCGCATCGTTTGACAACTATTAGGAATGCAGATCTTATTGCGGTTGTACACTCTGGGAAAATAGTAGAGCAAGGTTTGCATAAAATCGATTACTTCGCAGTCTTATCTCGTGCCATATAAATTGATATCTTCTTCAAAAAAATTTTTTAGGTACACATTCTGAATTGATTGAAGTTCCTGAGGGAGCTTATACACAGCTTGTTCGGATGCAAGAAGTCGGAAAAGAGTCGAACACAGATGAAGCAGATGAATTGCAGAGAGAAGATTTAGATAGGAATTCAATAAATAGAATTTCTTCTATTGGATCTAGAAGCCAAGGCTCATCGAGGCGTTCGTCTATTCCTGCTAATGACATTCCCGGTAATCTCGACATCCATGAAGCTCAAACAACACCTGATAGGAATGCCAAGGCTGAAAATGTCGCGAGAAAGCAGAAAAAGGTCTCTATCAGACGGCTTGCATACCTTAACAAGCCCGAGCTGCCATATGTGCTACTTGGATGCGTTGGTTCTGTGGCACATGGCGTAATGTTCCCAATTTTCGGGCTCTTGGTGTCTTCTGCAATCAGAGTTTTCTTCGAACCGCCACACAAGTTAAGGAAAGACTCGGAATTTTGGGGACTCATGCTGTTCATTTTAGCCTCATCTCTTCTCTTGGCGATTCCATTACAGTATTACTTCTTCGGAGTTGCTGGTGGTAAGTTGATCGAAAGGGTTCGTTCACTGACGTTCAAAAAGGTCGTGCATCAGGAGATCAACTGGTTCGACGCTCCTGCAAACTCAAGGTACATTGTCATCTCTAACGATTTTTTTTTCATTTCCTGCGAAAACTAAAATGGCTTGTCGCATTCAGTGGTGCAGTGGGTGCAAGATTAAGTGTCGACGCAGCCAATGTGCGAAGCATGGTAGGCGATGTGTGCGGATTAATCATACAAAACACGGCGACAGTGCTAGCCGGCCTTATCATCGCCTTCACGGCTAACTGGTTGCTGACACTCATTATCTTGGGTGTCCTGCCCCTCATCGGCTTGCAAGGTGTCACTCAGATCAAGTTCTTCAACGGCTTCGCGGAGAATGCTAAGGTCTCTTTACCAAATTCCTCGTGCGATTCGAATGAATGACTAACAATACCATACTAAAAAAAAGATCGAATGTACTAATTTACATACAGATCAAGTATGAAGAGGCCAGCCAAGTAGCAAATGATGCTGTGAGCAGCATAAGAACCGTGGCATCGTTCAGCGCTGAGGACAAAGTAATGAAAATATACGAGGAGAAATGCGAAGCTCCGGTGAAGCAGGGCATCAGGCTCGGAGTTATCAGCGGCGCAGGATTTGGCGCCGGTAATTTAGCACTTTTCTTCACGCAGGCGTTCTGTTTTTACATCGGAGCTGTTCTAATCCGGCATGGTAAAGCATCCTTCGGAGAAGTATTCAAAGTTTTCTATGCCCTCACACTTACCGCCATGGGCGTTTCCCAAGCAATGGCGAATGCTCCGGACATGAACAAGGTTAGAGAATCAGCAGCCTCCATATTAGCCATGCTCGACAGCAAACCTACAATCGATTCCAGCAGCGATCAAGGCTTAACGCTGAATAGAATCAACGGCGAAATCGAGTTCCAGCATGTTAGCTTCAGATATCCAACACGGCCTGATGTTCAAATCTTTCGCGACTTATGCCTCAAAATACCCTCCGGAAAGGTAATTACACATATATATATATATATATTTATGTCATGTGTCGTATAAAACTATATCATGTGCTGATTTGGCAGACGGTTGCTCTGGTGGGAGAGAGCGGATGCGGGAAATCAACGGTGATAAGTCTAGTGGAACGATTCTACGATCCGGATTCGGGGCGAGTACTTCTCGACCGCATGGAGATTCAGAAGCTGAATCTCCGGTGGCTCCGGCAGCAGATGGGGCTGGTGAGCCAAGAACCGGTGCTATTCAACGACACGATCAGGGCCAACATTGCATACGGCAAACAAGGAGAGGCAAGCGAGGAAGAGATAATCGAGGCTGCAAAATCCGCAAATGCTCACAGCTTCATATCAGCAATGCCTCAAGGATACGAGACAAATGTGGGCGAGCGAGGCGCGCAGCTGTCCGGCGGGCAAAAGCAGAGGATCGCGATCGCGAGAGCGATCCTGAAGCAGCCCAAGATCGTGCTTTTGGACGAGGCGACTAGCGCGTTAGACTCCGAATCAGAGCGGGTCGTGCAAGAAGCTCTGGATCAGATTATGGTGAACAGATCCACCATTGTTGTGGCTCATCGGCTGAAGACGATTATGGGATCGGACATCATCGCAGTTGTGAAGAATGGAGTGATTTGTGAAGAGGGGAAGCATGAGGACCTGATGAGCAATTCTAATGGAGTCTATGCTTCTTTGGTTGCTCTTCACAATTCTTGATGATCGATCATCTTTAAGCTTCGATTTCGTCGTTTAAGGTAATTACCTGTGAGTCTGATTAGAGTTTTTTTCTCCATTAATAATCAATTTGTCGACGTGAGGAAGTATTATTAATTTGATATCATCAAATACTTATAATTTTTTCTTGATTATAAGTATCGATCTAGCAACTTTCGACTGGCACTCGAACGTTGTTAGTGTAGAAATTACTCAAATCTTGGAAATCCGATCAAAGTATTGAGAGGATTTGGGAGAAAACTCCAATCAACAAGTCTTGAATGAATGAATGAATATGCAATTAGTAAACACAATTTATAAACAAGTGTGGATCAAATCTAACCAACACTTTATAATTATTTTTGACTTGGGAAAATAACTAATTATCTAAGTAGAAATATTTTTGATAATTATGGCTTGTGGTTCGGGTCGGCATCGGATCCGTACCCGAAATTTTAAGATGGCATAAACACGGGCTTTTTGGGTATTCAGAATATCGGGTACCGAACGGGTTCGGGTATCCGATAATTTTAAATTCCGATACCCTAATTTATTATTATTATTATTTATTTATCTTGGATTTAAAAATAATAATTTTTACTATTATTTAATCCGGATAGATAACATTTCTTATGCATATTTTTGTATAAATATTTTATTGTACTTATATTTTAATTTGATACAGCAGTAATACATATAAATTTAAAAGTATTTATAACGTGTAACATAATTAAAACTTACTAAAGTATATATATATATTTATACTTTGATAGACAAAATATATAATATAATGAATAGTGTTGGTCAAAGCATCAATTAATATTCTATATACATATAGTTATTTTTTAATTCAGTAAAGATTATTAATTAAAATTCCATGTGTCTGACGTCAGCAATTGTCACAAAAGATTCTTATGATTTATTATTAACAAATAAAAAGAAGAAAAAAAAAATCATTTAATACTTCCGTACAGCTCACATTTTGTCTGAATTAATAAGTAGTAGTCCCACGTAATTTATTCCTATTTTTTATATTCGCCCGTCTATGTAATTTGTTCTTTCTATTTTTGGAAATATAATTATGCACTTTAATTGCATTTTAAATTTTAAATTTTATAATTTTTTTAATTTTAATTAAACTATTTACTTATCTTAATCTTAATTTATAATTATTTTTACTAAATAATAATTATATTTACTAATACACTTTTTAATTACTTATTAATTATACTTTACCTAAATTCTCGTGTCTACTGTATTTTGGGACGGAGGGAGTAACTATTAATTGGCTTGGCATTAAAATTTCCATCCGCATGACTTCCTCGTTTAGCACGTGCCTAATTAATTTATACTATTAAATAATGCGCCTCCAATCACTGCCGCAGGTGTATCTTGTAAAACGTTTTATTGTAGCTGGAGAGTCAACCACTTGCACAACACGTTTTTAAATTTTAATAAGAAGCACGATTTCAGTTAAGTATAATTAAGTTAATTATACACAGTCTGTCACATGACGGTGGATTATTATTATTATTTTGTTTTTATTTATATAATAATAGATTTTTATTATTCTTTTAATTGAAATTAAAATTATGTTTATTTATTAATTAATCGCATTTTAGACACGTGTGGTGTGCAACACTCTTCTCCAGCTTTAACTACTTATTTATATCAATAAATAAAAATAAATTATTAGAATAAATTTGTAATTTGCAAGATTGACGTGAATAAGTGGTACTAGTGAACTATTTAGAATAAAATTTGCCAAATTAATTGGGTTCAAAGTTCCATCATCAATCCCAATTCCATGAAATTAATGTCTCTTCCTTTTAATTGGAGTTGGATTCAATTATTTTAATATTTAAATTATTCAATATTTATGAAATTGATTTCCTATTGAAAATATTATAATTAATATTTATTCAGTATTTATTTGTTATTCACATTTGTATTATTCTTAAGATAATTCAAACACCATAATACAACAATGTATATATATAGGCTAATCTCAATACTAAATTCCAATTCCTATTTTTAAACAATATCATATTAAATATATATATTTTTTAAAAAATATGAAATCAAATACTAAATTTTTATTATTAATATTTTTTAGTTCCGAAACTTCAATATTTGTAAAATTTAATTAGATCTAAATGGAGCATTATTAAATATGTTTATTTAAATTGGATGAGATTGATGTTGAAAAACTTATTGCATTTGAGTAGCGTGTTCTATCACCACTTGTCTGGTCCGTGTCCAAGTTGGAAAATCTAGTTTAGGATGAGTCAGGTTTCACATGGAATTAATTAATTAATTAATTCAAATAAGAAAAATACACACAATACATCCGAGAGAGAGAGAGAGAGAGAGAGAGAGAGAGAGAGAGAGTGTGCATGTCTGAACATATGGGAGTGTTCCCATGCATGCGTCACGTAATCATTTCTTGACCTTGATTCTTTTAGGGTTCTTACAATGAATTCTATAAATAGCTAATCGACAGCCTGACAGACAGACAGACAGACAGAGATTCAGGTTCTTAATTAGCAGCACCTACATTATTAATGGCGACGAGCATTCAGGAGATGATAAAAAAAGTACCCTCGAATTCTGTCCCTACTCCCTACCTCGTACACCCCGAGCCCGCCATTTCCCAAAATAGCTCTCCACCCATCCCCGTCTTCGACTTTCAGGCACTCCTACGCGCCGCCCCGGACCACCGCCGGACCGCCTTCCACTCCGCCTGCAAAGACTGGGGCATCTTTCAGTTACTAAACCATGGCGTCGACGCCACGCTCCTGGACGAGCTGAAGCGCGAGATTCATGGATTCTACCACAATCTCCCATTAGAGGAGCGACTCAAATACAAAAAACTCCCCGGAGAAGTCGAGGGCTACGGCCAGACGCCGGCGGCGGCCGTCTCCGACGACGGCCAGAAGATCGATTGGGCGGACAGGTTTTACATCATCACCAATCCCCTCCACATCAGGAAATCCCATCTCTTCCCGTGCCTGCCTCCACCCCTCCGAGAAGCTCTGGAAGCGTACATGGCGGAGCAGCAGAAGCTGACGGCGGCGATATTAGGGCTGATTGCAGAAGCCCTGGAGATGGAGGCGGCGGAAATGGCGGACATGTTCGATGACGGGATGCAGTCGATGAGGATGACCTACTACCCGCCGTGCCCGGAGCCGGAGAAGGTGATCGGACTGACGCCGCACTCCGACGCCTGCGCGATCACGATCCTCCTCCAGGTCAACGGCGTCGAAGGTCTGCAGGTCAAGAAAGATGGGGTTTGGATGCCCGTCGGAATCCTCCCAGACGCCATCGTCGTCAACCTCGGAGACATCACAGAGGTCGATCCAAGCCCTCCATTATCTAATTTCATTTAATTTAATTAATTAATTAATTACCATTATCAATGAATTTGCAGATATTGAGCAATGGATTGTACAAGAGCATCGAGCACAGGGCGACGGTGAATTCAGAGAAAGAGAGGATCAGCATCGCCATGTTCTTCAGCCCTAAGCTGGAAGCGGAGGTGGGCCCGGCGCCGTCGCTGTTGAAGAACACCGGCGAGCCGCCGCGCTTCCGCCGCATGAAGATGGAGGACTATTCCGCCAAGTTCTTCTCCAAGAAGCTCGACGGAAAATCATTCCTCCATTACATGAGAATTAACAGGGAAGACCACCATAGTGGATATGGTAACTAAACAATTTATATTGAATAAAATTGTAAGCTGATTAATATTCACAGTTAAAAACAGTTCCCATCTATCCATTCAACACATAAATAATTGCACCAAACATATTTCTACTTGGATTAGTAATAAAAGAATACAAGGGGTTTGTTTACCTACACAAAAAGTTGCTCTCAAATCCCAATCCCAATCCCAATCCCAATTGAAGAAACAAAACTGGATACACTATTTAATAACATTCTCAGTTGAAGAGAAGGTCGGTAGGTGGAGGGGAGATTGTGTTGCTCATAGCTCATCAAAGAATTTCTCCCTCTTCTCCATTCAAGGCTGCATCTTCGTCGTCGTATTCCTCGCAGTACTCGACTTTCATATAGAGGCCAAGGCGCTCCAGTGGGCTCGAAGGGTTGTCCCCTCTACTTCCGCAACCCCGCGAGTAACATGGATAGCCAAAGCAAAGCTTGTCCAGCTCCTTGGAGAGTTCCGCATTTTCGTAATTCTCAACACTTTTACTCATCTGCACCAGGGAGAGGACCAACAACAAACAAAAATGTAATTCGATCCAGAGAGGCAAAATCGACCACTAGGTAGAGAATTATTAGATTCCAAGTTACCATCTCCACTGCTCTCCTAGCAGCAGCTCTTTCTGCCTCTCGTTGCATTTGCATCCTCTGCGAGGCTGCTTTAGCAGCTTGGATTTCAGCTTGTATCCGGGCCTTTTCTGCATAGTTCACATATGAAGCAATAAAGGGCGAAAGAATGATCAAAAATACATATTCAACATACGTATTACTACATCATTCAACATAGTAAATGGAGAAAATGATTCAAGGTATGAATTGTTAGTTACCTTCCAACTGTTCTCTTTCCAGTCTTGCCTTTTCTTGCTGCCTCCGTAGAGGATCAGACTTCTAGTGTTGCAAAATTACATCGAATCCAGTATAAGAAATAATCACTCAAGGTGATGATGATAATATCCTACCAGAAAAGACAAAAATAATTACATTGTCCAGGGTTTTCTGATGTGTCGCTTTAAAGATAGTGTCTGCAAAGCGGCTTTTCAGCATTGCAGCCCTCAAAGCCTTGTTGGGTGACATCTGAGGATTGAAGGAATTCCAACCTGTGGATGGCGGTCAATTAAAATCCAATCAGCAAATAAAAAATAAGTGCCAAATACTTGATCAAAGAAGCCAAAGACAGTCGACATAAATACTATAATGAAAATACACTGTAGATTTGTTATTTGGTAAGAGAAACACTCGAAACATAAAAAACAATGGGAAGACAGTTACAACACAGCATAGGGTTGAAATCAGAAACCAGTGGCACCATCATCTCATGCACGATTGAGCAAATACTCATAGTTCCTATTCCTCAACCAAATAAACATGTTTTTCTTTCTTTTTTTTAATTATATTCCCATACACCTTCACATGTTCGTACATCCCTTTAGTTTACCAGAAATTTATAGATGGGTGATGTTCATGAGATTGTTTAACCCCTCCTAGGGTGATACAGGTAGAAAGTTACCTTCAAGAGAAGTAGAAGCTGCAACTGGTGTTGAATGTCGAGGGCTAGTTTCTTCATTAAGAACAACTCCAGGTCCTGGCATCATTAGCGATGATATTAGAAGATGGCAATAATCCAATGGCCTATATAAAGACCAAAAGGGCTCCAGGCCCTTCCGGATGTAAATCATAGAGATAATCGAGGCTCTTACCATCTGAATCTACACCAAAGCTGCTTGAATGGCATAGCACACGATGCTTTACCTCAGAATCCTGATAGGTAAAACAAATAGCCATATTCATCATATGTAATCCTTTCAAAACTAATCACTTCAAGGAATTAGATCAATCATTGCCTATACTTACAAGTTTGGAATCACCACAGTGGTCATGCTCTGATGATCTTTCTGAAGATATTCCTGATAAAATAAAGTGTTGCAACCATTATCAACTGACAACTCAACCACAGAAAATAATATATATATATATATGTGTGTGTATATTAACTGACCACTAGTGGATGCTTGAGAACCATTTTTTCTTTGGCAGTGGCATGTAAAGTTAAAACATGAAGAACATTTAGCTTCAGCAGAAACAACTTTATTTCCAGTGGAATCACAAGCATCCTTATTACGACGTTCTGTGAATATAAGGCACAAATAATTAGATCCTTAAAAGAACCAGAAAGCTGAATCACAAATGTGCTGTAACTTCATACCTTTCTGAACAGGTCTCTTCAATGAGGAAGGTCCACCATGCACTAGAGTCGCAGGTCTGGCCTGTTGTAAATGATCAAAGTATGCAAAAATACTCATCACTACTGATGCATCAATGCTTCATACAAAGAAGGTCTAAACTAAAATATAGATGGTTCCAGTAGAAAAAGAAGGAACTAAAAGTTTATATACAGGCAAAGACTGAATGAATCACAATATAATACAAAAACGCTCACAAAACAATATAGTAAGAGCAGCAATAAAAAACACATGCTTGCAAACTGTAACACAAAAATAAGCCAACCATAAACCATCTGCTGCCCAAACACTTGCCTTTTCAGCTTTGGTATCCAAAAGAGGTTGAATATCTCTTCTTAACTTCAATAAAGTTTCTTCACTAGTTGAATTAATAAAGGAGTTGAGCCTTTCTTCATTAAGATTGGCCAGATCATACTTCTGAAGCAAATTCTTCATACTTCCAGTGAGCTTTCTGTTTAATAATTCCAAAAACTCTGTCCTGAATTTTTGTTTCTTGTCTACCATGATAGGCCTGGAGGCACCAAGTTTGATGCGCAGAGGAGCTTTCTCAAGGTTAGTAGGTTTGGTGCTTTGGCAATTCTTTTCGTTGGTCTTCCTGGCAGTTTGGACATTTTTATTGACATCATCAACCAAACTGGGCTGTTCAACTTTCTTGTCCATGTTTCTCAGTTTTCCCTCCACAGACTTCCATCTCCTACCGAAAATACCATCCAATAACTTGGCCAAACGATGAACTTGGTTCCCTGGAGGATTATACAAGACTGCATTGGAAAATGTCAGCCTCACATCAGAAACAAACTCTTCAGCACCATAGTATTTATTGCCCTCCAATTTACATCTAATGGTTCCCAAATCCATTGGGTGTGTGATTACTGTAAAATAGTCAGGAATTTGCAGCTTCACTGGATCAACAGGTTCACTGAAAATCCATCCTCCAGAGTGATTCATTAATTCTTTCAAAATGCTGCTGCACGTTTGTTTCAAACCTCGGTCCATCTTCTGCCTTTTCCCCTGCTGAGCATCAAGAGATGTCTCCAGCTTCCTCTTGCAAGACTTTGCAGGCAAGTTTGGCTTTCCAGGAGGAATTATGTCAGGACAATTCTTTCCACCTGCAGCAGACCTGTCTCCTTTCTCTTGAACAACCTTCATGGTCTCCTGAGATGACTTATCTTCTGAAGCATTACGGATACCTTTGGTAGTTATTTTGAACTTCAACTTTCTTGGCAAAGTATTTTCTTCAGTCGACATGGTGGGAAACTGTAAAGGACAGCAACTCAGAATATTGGCTTGGTTTTCAGGTACCATAACTGTGGGAGCTCAGAGAGAACCTAGGAAAAAACTATCAAAAGTCATGATCCAACCCAGCAAGAATAAATTCCAGGAAGAACTAAAAAACAATGAATAATTCAAACAAATCAGAGGTCTCCAATTCATGGATGAAATACCAAAGACATTAATTATGCTAAAGCTTTATTAGAATTGCGACCAAGCAAAATAAAAGTTCTTCAAGACCGAGTTGATTTGAAAATTTTCAAGTTCCAAAAGAAGCAAATTTCAGTTTATTAAATTGTAAACTCAGCTGATTCCTTATACAATTAACTAGCTGTACTCAAATGGGAAAAAAATTATTACATAATCGACCACCAATAATTAAAAAAGAAACAAAAACAACCACCACCCAATATTAATCATAAACATTCACCGACATGGTCTTGACCGGAACAAAAAATTAAAAGGCATGACTACAGGATCTAATAACAGACAATCACAATAACTAAAAATACCCACAACAACTCGATGACGCGTTCTTCAAAATTGAAATCTTGGGTAACAAACTCGTAGGCCTAATACTAGATCCATACTTCTAAATCTCGTAACATCAATCTTGACTACAGAATCTAAATAATTATATTCACAGTAGAAATTGACAAAAAAAGCGCGGTCAGGGTTTAATAAAACACACATAGCGATGGCAATCCTTGAACTATAAGCGCTACTTAAAGAGTCAACGTACTCGAATTATGATTCAAAATTAGGAACGCAAACAACCATCAAAAAAAAAAAAAAAAAGGAAACAGTGTCACCGTCACAAACCGAGTAACAGCGCGGGAAAAACGCCTCAATAGAACAAACGCAGAGCGAATTATTCCCCAAAATCTTAGATCAAGTAGAGAGAAAATCAAGTCAAGCGATGAATAAAAAAGCCAAAGCGAAGAGGAACATACTTACTGCAACCGGAATCGCGAGAGCAGAAACACTAGAACCCTTCATCGGACTAACCACCAAAGAATCGAGATCGAAACGAAGGAAGATCAAGCAACTCCAAGGACGGCACTCAAAAGACTAAAGCATCGCACCACGGAGAGGTTTTAGGGTTTTACAAATTCCCCCAAAATCTCCCTCAATCGACTCTCTCACCTCCCCGTCGTTGCGAATTTATCATGCGCCGACTTTTAAGGATGATGGAATGACTATTTTGCCCCTGGAAAAATATCTTCCCTGGTATGCGAAATAACGGATATGCCCCTGATTTGGATTTATTTCCTTTAAATCTTTCCTAACTAAAATCTCTTTTATTATATAAGGTAATTATTTATGTTAATATTATGGAAAGAAATTTTTGTCGCATTTATTATATAGCATTATTAATTATAACTATTATTTTAGAATATGTTTTGAGGTGCAAGTTCTGTGGTGTTTTTATAATTAAATTCTGCCCATAAATGGGCCTGAATCATCACTTGTAGCCTTGCAGCCCAAAAGGAATTCAAAATTATATTATTAAAAAAAATAAAAAATTATATATATTCTTTAAAGATTTGATATTAATTAACATTTTTTACAAAAAATATTAGATCATATATCAGTTTTTTTTTTACAAAGCAATCGTATCAAATATCCAACTTTTTATAATGTACTTGTTTGATTTTAATTTGAAATTGGGGTGTTAATTTAAATTATTATTTTAGTATGATATTTTATAAAAAAATACTATATTTTTATTGAGAATAATACAAAATAAATTTAAAATAATAGCCAAACACATACAATTTTTTTATAATTTTATTATAAAATATAGAGAATCGTAATTTATTACAGATAATAGTGATTAAATACATTTTTTTTATTATTATTATGATGTGTATATACATATTTGGTAGTATTCTTTTCTAAAGAATCTAATACAATCTTGCCAAATCCAATTTTTTTAACAAATTTGAAGATTTGTTTGATTTTGTTGGATTTTAATTTAAATAAAATTTTAATTTAATATTTTTAAGGAAAAATAATTAATGTATTTTTTTAGTTTTTAGTTTTAAATATTTTTTTTATATAATATATAAAAATTATTAGATAATATAAAAAAATATTTTGAATTGAATATTAATTTTTTCTTTTAGTCCGTTCCATAACAAAGTATCCATTTCTTTTTTTAGTAACTGTATTATCTACCTAACATTACAAATACTCTTACAACTTACAATATATTACACAAATGTCATTACATTTATATTACACGTACTAATAATGTTATTTTAGTCATTTCTACTTTATTCCTACTATATTCTAATATAATATTAATATTTCTAAAACTAAGTGCAAAAAACAAATAAATATTTAGTTTCGGAACGAAGGGAGTATATTATATTTGGAATTGTAGGATTTAAGTAAACAAAACGAATATTTTTATTAAAAACTATACAGTCAAATAAGTTCAAAATAATATGATTCAAAATACAAATCAAAATCAAACATGTAGAGTATGTTTTTTTTCCCTTAAGAAAATTAATATATTACGACATTTTATTATTTTTTATATTAACAATACAATTTTTTATATCTCATATAAAAAATATTTATTTAAATTATTCCACAAAACGAACATACATTCTTATTTTATTTTTTAACATGCTATTTTATTCTATATTTTCTAATTACTTATACATATATATATATATCTTTCCTTCATTAAAGTATTTAAGTTGTTAAATAGTACTACTTTAAAATAATAATAAAATATATTGAAATAAATAAAATTTACAAAAGATAAAGAATAATCGTAGAATAAGACTCTGAATTGAGATGGTATTATATTATAAATTGACTAATTCCAATTCTAATAAATACATCCAAACAATAATGCAGTTCAAGGCTTCAGCTAAGGAACCACAGGGACTCCAACACCTAAAAGCTTCACACCATTTATATAACCACCTCAGGTTCTGAGCTCCAGGGAGCTCCAAGAAATACCATCCCTGTCCACCCTACGCCATGCTCATCACTGCATCATAAAAATGGAGCCTAAAAATCCTTTTTCTTTTTCTACCATTTCCAAATTTCTGATTTTCTTCTACACCAATCACCACTTGTATATAAAAAAATAAAATAAAAATTATTCAATATCCAATCATTGTAAAACAAATAATAAATAATCAGGTTTCCAGAAATCCGGTCATTCTGAGAACCGAATTCCTGACTTGGCTCAAATCCCGGCCTTTAAGCGTCCGCCCGTTGCCCGTACACACCGAAAACGCCATCATATCTCCGGCCACGTGCCGCCCCGCCGTGATCACGTGCGGCGGCACCATCTCACCTCCATCGCCGCCGTCCATCTCCGGCCGCCGAGAATTCCTCAGCGCCGCATTTTCCGGTATCCTCACCGGAACGGAAAAGCTCTTATAACTCCTCGCTTTTTTCCTCTTCTCCTTACCGAAATCCCCAAACTCCGATCCGCCACCGTCACTGCGCCCGCCGCCGTCATTATTCTCCTCAAACACCACTTCAGATTCTTCAAACTCTTCAGCCATGGCAGTCGATCGAGATCGATCAATCCAAAAATCGCAGCACCACCAGAAAACCTAATTTGAAGAATTAGGAATTCAATCGAGGGTTCGGCGGGGAATTAATTTATAGGGAAAGCGAAAGCCCGACGAGAAATGATTGTGTGTGAAATAGAATTAATGGCTGGCGTCATCGTAAAACAAATTAACTCCCGGGACCTTTCAGGATCCCGTATCTCAGCCGTCGATTTAGCATGATCATCATCTGACGTTGAACTCCACGGACTTTGTATATCTTTATGCACCGCTGTATTAGTATTTATTATTTCTTTTCTTACAGGTCATTGAAATTCAAAACCTGTAAGAAAACGAAAGTCCGTAGTTCTTGCAGCCTACGACTTTGCATACATACGTACAGTATACTGTATAGTATATTTGGGATACGTATGAATTTAATTCTTGTATACCTAATTTATTATACCTCTTGACTCTTGAGGCCTGTCTTATTGAATTAATTAATTAATAATTATGGCAACAATATTCCTTCCGTATTCTCTACTCAAATACGGTCCCGATACGTACGCCCAAAGGATTATACGTGTATTAACTAATTAATATTTATTGTTAGAAATGAATCATTGAAAGTCAACACACTTATTAGAGTTGATAAATTTTGGTGCAATTAATACCTTAATTTGATTAAGGAGTGTTTTCTGATTCCGTTGCCCTATATGCTATTTTTTAAAATTATTTGTTATACATTTTTATATACTATTTATATATATATATATAAACATATATTTTCTCACATAAATGACAAACTATTACATCAAAATATTATTCTATTTTTTTTAAAAAAAAACTCCTTTTGGTTGATTGTAAAATTAAATATGAGTATTTTAGAAAATATATAAGTGAGTTAATGACATAAAATAAAATAAAATTTTTGATAGATTGGATGTGAAAGTAGTTGTAGTATTTTTGTAATAAGTGTAATATTGAAATATATAAATTAAAAAATATATATATAATTATTATTTGTTATAAATGAAAAGTTGTATATTTTTACGGATAAATAAGGAGTATAAAGAAGACACAAATTTAATGAAAAATAGAGTATATTTTTATAGAAAACAATAAATATTTACGTAATAAAGAAATTGAAAAAAAAAATCAAAATGAAGGAAACTGATTTTCGGTGGAAGAAAAAAGAAAAGTTTTTTTTTTTTTTTTTAAAAAAAGACTTCATCACAAATATTCATGAAGATGGAATATATATATATATATATTAACTTTGTTTTCATATTATTTAGTATATGAGTTTTAAGTCAATGACCTCATTGAGATAATAACTCCATGCGTGCTCACGTGTGGTTTTGGAAAAGGTATTGCGTGTGCATGTACGGATATTATTATTTAAAATTTAAATATTAGTAGTATTTTTTATTATTATTGTTTTATGATAAAAGGGCTAGAAACAAATATAGAGTGTATATATATTATATATTATAAATTTTCACATGATTATTAAAAATAAAAAAGTGTTGGTTCTAATGAGACAACAATAAATGAAATTGTTGTTAAAAAGTATGTAATTATATTTGCAAAATGAATTTCAGTAACTTGAGTAAAACGCCACGTCAGAGTCAGGAAAATCAGGGCACATTAATTAATTTAATATTCAAAACATATATATTAACTAAAATTGCACATATAATAATATTGGCTATAAAGTTAGAGACAAACTTAGGCACGCTGGCTATTTAAGGCTACAATTTATTTACAAGAAGTTGACTTACTGCCCATCATTAAATTCAATCTTATCCTTTATGGAAGAAGCTCACTAATATTTTAATTTTATTTATTTTTACCAATTACTCAATTTCGTAATGATTTTTTTGAAGAATATAATAATACACGTGGACGATCCGATCCAGCAAAGGAGAGTTAATTCGTTAGGCTGTGTCGTAAGTTATGTAGCCAATAGGGGTTGGACACGTGTGTGATAGTGTATAGGCTGGGGGGAATATGATTATGATTATGATTGGTTAATGGTGGTGTGCCATATAACTTTGGGACACGTATACGTATGGCTTTCGTCTAGTGAATAAGTTTTGACCGTTAAATGTGGCTGAGATTAGTTTCCCTAAGGGAAGCAAACTTATATTAATGACATTATTGCTTGGCCATTGAAATTTTTAATTTATTTATTTTATAATTATAGCGGGTTAACCAACACTCAAAGAATCGAACGTCCTAGCAATTTTGATAGTATTTATTTATTTTAGTGTTTTAAATTTTGTAAGATTTTTGTTGTTAGTTTATTGATAGAATTATGAAAGTATTTTTGAAAATTACGATTTTGTTTGAATCTTTTTAAAATAAAAATGATATAAAAATAAAAGAATAAACTCTCTTTATTTGTAATTTCCGATATATTATTTTTGAAAATATACATGAATGTTGCAAGTTTATGTAAAGGCTCGACGCACCTTGTTGATTTCTAATCACTAGTAAGATAATATATGTTTATTTATAGTAAATATGTGTTGTGTATTTTATATATTATACGGTGTTTTAAAATTATACGTTTTGAAAATATATGTTTGTACTTGAAATTAATAATATATTATTCTACAGGAAAAAATCATTTTTGGTCTCACCGTCAACAAAACGACGGAAAATACTGACGTGGACTTGAAAGATTGTGCAATTTCTTTAAATATAAATATAATGTTTGATTCTTTTCACGTCAGCATTTTCCGTCGATTTGTTGACAGTGGGATAAAAAAATAAGGTTTGAAAATAATGAGTTTTGATTATATTAGGACTAAAATTGATAAAAATTTTATATGAAGACAAAAAAATGATGAATTTTGATTATATTGAAACAAAAAATAATGAATTATAGTTATATTGGGACCAAAATTGATAATATTTTTATATTGAGACCAAAATTGATGAATTTTAATTATATTGGGACTAAAAATAATTTTTTCCCTATTCTATATTGAATTATATAATATCTTAACAGAGCGTCTATGTTGTATGTTTTGATTAAAGGATTATTGCTAATAAAGACAAAATTGATTTGAAAGTATAAAATTATTCCTTTATAGTGCCTTCAACAGGAATAGAAATAAAAGAATACTACTGATAAAATCAAATTTCTATTTTCCTTAAATGTTAGTATATGTTGGAAGTTAGAGGATGTTGTTCCAAATAATAATAAGAACAGTGGTGCAGATTATAATTGTATTGTCAATTTATAATATGTATGCTGTAGTAATTCATGAAATGTGATGTGATCAATTGTGTCATATACCGTAAACGTTAACATATAATTTTATATTGACATCAAATATAACGTGTATTGTTTGTATATTCACCGTGTGTTGATTAGTCTTAGTTTCCGCCTTATTTGATTTATTTTCAATTTTTTTACCATACAATTTTTAAGAGTTTATATTTTTACCTGGGATGGTCATTTATATTTTCTAACAATTTGTTTTCATCGTATGTATATGTCACACAACACTTGAACATAAAATACTTGAAATTAATCACATTATCGTAGCAAAACACAAGCGATCGTTACAGTGGAATCATTATTCTTACTACACATTATATTACAAGTTACAACCTTAATCACATAATATTCCACTTGGACGTACCTCGTCGCCGACCGGCCGGTTTTATGCTGCAGAGGATGAATTGGCGGCACGAAGCTCATTGCCAGTTTCTCTAATAAGGCCCGCGGCGATAGACACCGCGATCGGGCTTCTTACCTCATAAAGTCCATCATTCGACTTCCAAGTGTAAGATCCAAATGCAAACTGGTTTGGCAAAGCAGTGCTTAATGGTCGAACTGTTATGGTGAAGCTCAGAGTCTGCACCAACGGATTGAAGTTCAATGTTATCGGCGAGATCTGAACTGTGTAACCGAAAGGGTGCTCAATCGATACATCATAAGTGGGGCTTCCTCCACCTACATTTGTGACCTTTCTGGGGACTGTGGTGCCTTCTGATCTCACATTTCTTATTGCAAGAGACGGATAGTTTAAACTGCTCGGAGGAGATGGTGTAGCGCCGCATGAGTAATCTGAATCAAGCGACTGGCCAGTGGAAGCGCAGGCGAAATCAATATATTCGAGATAAGTTATATCATAAACAAGGCCGGGATCAGCAGCTTTTGATGGTCGAAAGTGGCCTGAACCATAGTGGAATGGAGTTGCAGAGTTTAGGAATGCATCCTTTATAGGATTGTTTGTGTTGTCGATGATCTTTGCTGCGTAAAACAGAGCAAGGAGACGGATGTCATATTCAATTCGACTTAATTAATTAACCTCGATTGATCAATTATATATGACAATGGATGGATACCAGTGGTCATAATGGCAGATATCATCGCAGCAGTGGTCCAAGTAGGGCGAACGGCCTTGAGATATGCAAGGTATGCGGCGACATGAGGGGAAGCAAACGACGTTCCAGACTTGAACACGAATGCGTTATCAGTATTTGGTGTGGTGGAAGCTGCTAGTATATTCAGCCCTGGAGCTGTAACATCTGGCTGCATATATATATATATATATATATATATATAATCACAAAATTAAAGATGGTGTAAGTCAGTTTGTAGGCAAATAAATAAGATTGTGTCTTGATGCACCTTTAGAAGGTTGTATTGGATGGTATTTGGTCCGGTGGATGAAAACTCTGCCATGAATGGAGCTGGGGTTGAGGGCAGTACAGTAGTCGGGGGATAGAGTGTTATAGTTCCGGTACGTTGAAGGTACGTAATGATCGGATCCATGTCGGGATTAATTACAACTATAGCCGGAACAGGAAATGGTTGGAGTGATACGCCGATTCCATTTTCTAGATTATGAAGCAATGCTGCTACACCCCCTGCTCGTCGCACTTCCAATGCCTGCTCTGTGTGACTCACAGGCTCTACAGGTCTAGGATTCTCCATTCCCCTAAAACAAACAACCACCCGTCCTCTCGCCTCCTCTGATAACGTCCCGGGACGACATTGCCTGGAAAAGATGTCGAAAACGTACAAATACCATAACACATACATATATGAAAGTGAAAATGAAAACCAACCCGGAGGTCACGATTGTCGTGCTGCCCGGAATTTCTATGTATCCGGCATAAACAAGTTCGTATGTTCCGGTAACGTAAACTGGCGTAATCGATTGTCCCTAGGAAGGCAAGCAGATTAATCAGACGAATTCATTCATTCATTTCTACGTCTAAGGCTAAGTCTAAGTCTAAATCTAAATCTTACCTGATATTTGAAACCATTTCCAAGAAGGAACTCAGATTGGAAGACCCTGTCGATGCTGCTGGCGGCGACGGTGATCATCCACGGCGCGACATTAGCCACGGTGCCGGCAGCCGGACCAGCATTTCCAGCTGCAGCAGCTACGACAATGCCAAACTTTGTGGCGTGGAGAGATCCAACGGCATTAGCATCTTCCGTGTACGGCAGAATTCCTCCATGGGAGAGATTGAGCACGTCGACTCTATCGTTGATTGCAGCTTCGATAGCTGCATACACGTCAGCGGCCTCGCAGCTGGTAGAGCCTTGGGGTGCCACCCAACACGCTTTGTATACAGCTAGACGGCTGTTGGGGACGCCGCCGCGAACATTGCCGTGTCCAAATCCGCCAGCTGCCGCAGCATTCGGGAGTTCCCGACCCGTTGCGACCGACGCAACGTGCGTGCCGTGGCCATTCTTGTCCCGGGCTGATCGGTACTCGATTTTTGGATCCACTGGCCCGTTTATGGCCTCGTAAGCCGCCACAAAGTATCGAGCTCCGATCAGTTTCCTGTTAAAAAATAAAGTAAGCATAAATTTAAAAAACGGAAAGAATAATAATGAATCGCCGATACATACTTATTGCAGGTGGTTTCCGGAAACTCGGCTCCAGCTTGACAAGTCCATTTCCACGTTTCAGGAATAGGTTCCATCCCATCGTCATTAAAACTTGGCGATTCTGGCCATATCCCTGTTTGGATTGATTATTAATTGAATTTTTTGAATTTCCTAGTCAAGAAAGTAAATTGATGATTATGAATTTAATTGATTAATTATATATTACCGCTGTCCACGACGCCAACAACAACATCCAAGATGTTGTCGGCTTTGTTCTTTAACTCGTTTAATTCATGATCATTAATGTCGTCTTGTGAAGGATTCATTGGAGTTCCATATGATGTCAGGAAATCCCATGATCTTGTGGTCTGGAGCTCGTTCGACTTGCTCTCCACCACTGAAATCACACCAGAAATCTCTGCCAACAAACAAATATGGTAGATTGATTATCTTAGCTGATCTGATCATCACTACCATTATGTCATTTATATCTCGGCCAAGGAACTGCTTGCCCTTTTCTGGTTTCTTTTTGGAAAGAGTAGTTGTAAAGCACTTGGGAGAAATGAGAATTTTTTTTTTTTTTTTTTAATGGATCATAATCAACATATGCTAATTAAAATATTTCAAAATTCATACCCAATGTCTCAAAAATTAATACTTCCTCTGTCCCAAACACAATATTTGTGTTTGTCACGACAATTTAGGTGGGGAATATTAAGTGAGATAATTTTGATATTAAGTGATGTGATCGGAGAGAAATGATTATTTATTTTTTTTTATTTGAGTGATGTGATAGGGATAAAGTGAAGTATATATTAAGTGAGTTTGGGAAAAAAAAAAAAAAAAAAAAAACAACCTTGCAGGGCATTTAAGATAATTAATTTCAATTAGATTTTGAAACAGTCAGGACAAGTTATTCAGCACAGGATCTTCACCTAATCATCGTGTTAACAATAGATATATAATATCATTTTATTGTTTATATATATATATATTATAAGTTGTGATGTTGATAGATTTACAATAATTTTAAAAATATATAGACGTAGATATCAATGATTAGAAAAATAAAATTTATATAATATAAATAAATAAAAATATATTTGTTTATAATTAATATAAATTAATTTTATAAAAAAAATTTAAAACTAAATAAAAATATTTATTTATTAAAAAGAAAGATAAAAATAGAAGAATTTTGAATAAGTGATATATAATGTAAAATATATTATGAAGTTAATTAATATATTTATATTTGTTAAATGAATATAATTTATTTAAAATAAAAACAATGCAAGTAAAATGAGACACAATAAAATGAAGAAAAATGTCAATTGTTATATATCATCATAGCTTCTGTTACAATATTGGCTTGCGACTATTTTCCCTAAATAGGACTTATCAAAAGTGCAAATAGCATATACTCCACAAAATAAGAGCTCATATTATCGTCTATAACATTGTCATGTGTTTTTTATTTTTTATTATATTGTATTTGTATTATCTGATAGCAAATGATATATATGATATTAAATTTAGCACAATAACTACTGTTGTTCATGTCGTTTTAGTTGTATCGAGTTATTTAAATGTGTAATTTAATTTTGTAATATTCTCTATATTTACAAATAGATGTTGTAACCAAATCTACCTGACATTGAATGAGCTTCGGCTGGAGTAAGGATTGCGGAGAAGCCATAGATGACCTTTGTATAACGGTAAAGGATACTCTCCTTAGCTTTTTCCAATGATCCCTTCACGTAGCGCAAATAAGAAAGATAATGATCCTCGTTTCGTTGCAACTCGTTGCTCCCGTTGTGGCCTCCCAATGTAATTATGTATACCTAATGAAATCGACACAAAATTTACATATCGTATTGGTTCAAATTAAATTATCCAAAAGTAAAATAAAATGTGGCAGACCTTTGGTTCGGCAAATGAAGTCGAGCTTAGAGTGGTGAGAATGATCAGAAGAAGTGAAACTTTGATCACCTCGTGGCTCTTCTTCTTGTACTTCATTTTTGCATCTACGTGATGTATTTCTTCTTGATCACATTGAATAAACTACTTCGAAGATTGGCTATTATTTATACTCAAGCAAAAGCAAAAAATAATTTAATTTGTTTTATTTTAAATTCCAACATGAAATTAACATATCAAAACATCGGAATATAATAATATCCTTGCAACTTGCAAGTGCAATCATGCATGGGTAAAATAACATGCAATCATTGTACTATGATTGGACACATTACTTACACGTTTTTTTTTTTTTTTTTTTTATATGAGATGAAATATTTATTATTCATAGTTGGTATTCCCTCCGTTCATACGATATATTTGATCAGTAACACCATGTTTAAAATGAAGTTTAATAAGTTAATAATAATAAATTATAATATTTAATGTGAACATAATCTTGAAATTGAAGAAGAATGAATTAAAGTTTGATACAAGAACAATCAAATAAAAAGTGAAGACAACAATGATTTAAGTTGAAAATTCGAAATGGAAAATCAGCCTCAGCTAGACGTGGACAGTGCAATGGGGCTTCTAACCACATGACCAAACTTATCCTTCCAAGTGTAAGAACCAAATGCAAACTGGTTTCTCACTGCGCTGCTTTTTGCTGTAACTATGATGGTGAAGCTTCTGGTATGCCCTGGGGAGAAGAACAGAAGTATGCTCGGAACGATCACAACTGAGTAGCCTTCAGGCTCGTCGATTGTCACAGAGTATGTCGATGTCCTGTTGCCAACATTGGTGACTGTTCTCTTGATTACCATCACTCCTTGCACGTTTGCGATTGCGAGTGATGGATAGTTCAGGTTGCTGGACGAAGGAGGATTAGAGGGGCAGCTGAAGGATGAATCCAGTGATTTTCCAGTGCTGCTGCAGATGAACAGAAGGTAATCTGTGTAGGAAGCGTTGTAAATGAGCCCGGGATCGGCTGCTTTCGATGGTTGAATGTGGCCGGCGCCGTATTCAAATGGTGTCGCCGGTTCCTGTAGTTGGTTCTGCATAAGTTTTCCAGTATTATCCGTGACCTTGGCTGAAAAGAAACAGAGCTGTGTAAGAATGCAGAGGAGTTGCCTGATCGAAAAGTTCTTAGGAATTTATGGATATATTATACCGGAGGTCATGATGGCGGATTGGATGGCGGCGCTGCTCCAAGTAGGATGTATGGCCTTGAGAAGTGCGGCGACGCCTGAAACGTGCGGGCAAGCCATGGAAGTTCCGGTGTTGAAAGTGAACTCGGCAACACGAGTATCAAGTCGCTGCATGCTCGGAGAAGAAGCCGCGGTCCAAGCAGCCAGTATGTTGAGCCCTGGCGCAGTAATATCCGGCTGCAAGAAAATCATCGAACAGGCGAGGTTACACAAGGGGATGTTCTATTACACACATTGGTCATAGAGATTGTTCGATGAACCTTGAGAATGTTTGCATCGATAGCATTAGGTCCTCTGGAGGAGAACAGAGCCATGTATGGCGCTGGCCTCGTGCCGATTAATGTCCTTGCCGGAGTCATTGTGACAGTCGGCGCTCGAGTACTATTGATGTAGCTCATGATGTTTTGCGTTTCGTTACTCAGGACAGTCGTCGCCGGAAGTGTGTAAGGTTCAAGTGGCACTCCTATTCCGTCAAATCCATTCCGGATCACTACTGCGACTCCGCCGGCTCTTTGCACCTCGTTTACTTGAGCAGGACTCCCTTCGCCGTTGCAAAACACGGCGTTACCATTTGCAAGGCCCGGCGAAAGTGTACCACTACGGCATTTTCTGAAAAGTATATCGAAAGAAGATTTCGATAGTCTACATATATGCAAATAGCAAAATAAATTTATGTATCAGACGAGGAGAGTCGAGCAAGATCGAACCCTGTTGTTTCATTCGTGGTCCTGCCTGGAATTTCGATGTCTCCGGCATAAACAAGGCGATGCGTGGATGCCTGGGATGTTGCGACTGATTGTCCCTGGTAGGTTAAACGATCATTTCACCTAAAAATTTAACGCTGAATCAACACTGATTCTATTGTTTTTAATGGACATTAACCTTAGCTTGTTTGCCATTTCCGAGCAGGACCGGCGACGGGAATTCCCGGTCGATGCTGCTGGCGCCGACAGATATACCCCACGGGACAACGTTCGCCACCGATCCTGCATCAGGACCGGAGTTTCCGGCGCTAAGAGACACCACAATATTCCGCCTGGTTGCGTGCAAGGATCCGATGGCGAAGCTATCTTGGTCGTATTTCCGGGCTGATGATGTGCCGATGGAGACGCTGATAACGTGAACTCCATCGGCGATGGCATCATCGAATGCTGATAGTATGTCGGCATCTGTGCATTCCCTTAGCCAGCAGACCTTGTAGACGGCAACACGGACAAGAGGTGCACCGCCGGAAACAGTTCCGAGTCCGAATCCACCTATTGTCGAAGCATTGGCAACTCTCCGGCCGCCGGCGATGGACGCCGTGTGCGTCCCGTGGCCTTTGCTGTCCCTCGCCGACCTTATTTCAACGGTCGTGTTCAGAGGACCGTATTTGGCCTCGTAACCTGTCGTGTAGTACCGTGCTCCGATCAATTTCCTGACCAAATTTGTTGTAACAACGTTTATATGCTTTGTCGTAATTTTATCTTTGAAATTAACTGAAGATGGAGGATCGATCACCTGTTACAATGAGATGCAGTGAAGTTCTGTCCAGTTTGACAGATCCCTTTCCATGACGATGGAATCGGATCCATCCCGGCGTCCTCGAAACTCGCTGATTCCGGCCATACTCCTGATGGAAGAAGACGATAGGTTGTCGCAGGAATTTACAAGAAATTTAACTTTTAGTAGATGAGTAATATATATGGACCCTTATTTTGATGATGCAATTTCCCGTCGTAAAAGTAATAAGAATATATATATATATATATATTACCGGAATCGAGCATGCCGACAATAACGTCTTTCCCATAGTTGGCCTTACGCAACAGCTTATCCAATCCGTCAGCTCGTTTGGCATTCCAATTAGCTTCGAGTAAGCTAATGAAGTCCCATGATCTTGTGGTGTGAAGCTGTGACGGGACATCAGGGAACACTGAAATCACTCCATCCATCCCTGTCCTCATCACCCAAATGCAATAGTTAGTTAAAATTCATTGATTTCAACATTCTAGGGATCTTCTTCGATTCAAGTATGGGACTTGCCTGACATGGCCTTCGCTTCTTCAGGGGTGAGCATGGCTGAGAAGCCATTGATGACATTCCTATAACTGTGAAAAATGCTCGACTTAGCTACCTCAGGAGACCCCAACACAGAGCTGAGATAAGAATGGTGAGTGTCTGTAATTTCTTCCGGAGACTTCTGCCCGTCGTGTTCTCCCAGATAAACTATGTGCAACTAACAGACAATACAACATAATTATAAGTACACAGACAATCTTAATTCACAACAATTACAAGAACACATATGAATAAAACCTGTGGTTGAGCAGATGAAGCAGCACAGATGGAGAAAGTGAGAGCCAAAACAAGCCCAAATTTGAAGCTCATTTTTCCTCTCAATCAATTGATAGCCTCTCTCACCGATTTTGCTCATATTTGAAGCTTCTCTAACTTACAAATATATATAACTAGCACAAACGTGATCACTTCGATCCACCCACGACTTGTAATATATATTTCGACAAGTCCCATGTGAAGTGAACTAAATAAAAAAATGCTGGAAAAATGGTTTCCATTGAATAATATGTTTTTCTTTATGTAGACGTGTAATGTTATTACAAACTAAAACAGTGTGGTTTACTTGTCAGGATAATTAAATAAATACATAGGAATTCGATGTACAGATGACCACATGGAAACCGAGCAATCCGTGTTCTAATCAAGAATATTATAACGTCACACTCTCCCAAATTTGTGGGATTATGCATTGATTTTACTCAAACTTCATCCTAACTATCATATATTATTTAAATCAAGATACAAATCTTCAAATCCAATTCAAACCTTAAAGAAGCACACCCTAAGTAAATGTCAAATTAAATTTTAGTTGAAAATTCGAAATGGAATTAAAATCAGCCTCTACTGGCTGTGGAGAGTGCAATAGGGCTTCTGACCACATGGCCGTAGTTATCCTTCCAAGTGTAAGATCCAAATGCAAACTGGTTTCTCACTACGCTGCCTTTAGCTGTAACTGTGATCGTGAAGCTCCTACTATGCCCTGGGGGGAAGAACACAAGTCTGCTCGGAAAGATCACAACTGAGTAGCCTTCAGGCTCGTCGATTGTCACAGAGTATGATGATGTTTTATTGCCAACATTGGTGACTGTTCTCTTGATTATCGTCACTCCTTGCACGTTTGCGATTGCGAGTGACGGATAGTTCAGACTGCTGGATGAAGGAGGATTAGAGGGGCAGCTGAAGGATGAATCCAACGATTTTCCAATGCTGCTGCAGATGAACAGAAGGTAATCTGTGTAGGAAGAGTTGTAAACAAGCCCCGGATCGGCTGCTTTCGATGGTTGAATGTGGCCGGAGCCGTATTCGAATGGCGTCGCCGGTTCCTGTAGTTGGTTCTCCATAAGTTTTCCGGTATTATCCGTGACCTTGGCTGAAAAAAAGTCATAGATGTGTTATAAAATGCAGAGAAGTTTCCGATCAAAAAGTTCTTAGGAATGGATGGATATACGATACCGGATGTCATGATGGCGGATTGGATGGCGGCGCTGCTCCAAGTAGGATGTATAGCCTTAAGAAGTGCGGCGACACCTGAAATGTGCGGGCAAGACATGGAAGTTCCGGAGTTGATACTAAACTCAGCAACCCGTCTGTCGAAAGCCTCCACGCTTGGAGAAGCAGCCGCACTCCAAGCAGCCAGTATGTTGAGCCCCGGCGCAGTGATATCCGGCTGCAAGAAAATCGTCGATCAGGGGAGGTTACACAAGAGGATGTTACATTACAAAGATTGGTCGTATGGATCGTTCGATGAACCTTGAGAATGTTTGCATCAATAGCATTAGGTCCTCTGGAGGAAAACAGAGCCATGAATGGAGCTGGCTTCCCGCCGATTAGAGTCCTCGCTGGAGTGAATTTGGCAGTCGCCGCTTTAGAACTATTGATGTAGTTCATGATCTTCTGCGTTTCGTTACTCAGAACAGTCGTCGATGGAAGCGCGTAAGGTTCAACAAGCACTCCTATTCCGGTAAATCCATTCTGAAGCACCACCGCGGCGCCACCGGCTCGGTGAACTTCACTTGCCTGAACAGGACCTCCGCCCAAGCAAAACACGGCCTTCCCTTTCGCAAGATCAGCTGAAAGAGTACCGATAGCGCATTTTCTGCAACATTAGCCGAAACAAGATTCAGTCGGAAGCTCCAATTTACATATATGGAAAAAGAAAAGATGATGCCGAGGAAACTAAACCCCGTCGTCTGACTCGTCGTGCTGCCAGGAACTTCAATGTCTCTGGCGTAAACAAGGGGAAACTTTGCTTCTTGAGTTGTCGCAACCGATTGTCCCTGGTAAGTTAAAGCAAGAAGACTAAGTCGATCAAAGTAAGAAAAATAGTACTAAATTTTTAGATGAAACGATCATTTTCTATCGTTAACATTTACCTGAGCTTGTTCATTATTTCCGAGCCCGAGTGGCGATGAGAAAACTCGATCGATGCTGCTCGCCCCAACTGAGATTAACCACGGTGCAACATTTGACACGGTTCCTGGCCTAGGACCGGAGTTTCCGGCGCTGACGGACACCACAATATTTTTTCTAGCAGCGAGCAAGGAACCAATGGCCAAGCCATCCTGGTTGTAAGGCCGGGAAGATGATGATCCGATGGAAGAGCTAATAATGTGAACTCCGTCGGCAATGGCATCATCGAAGGCCGATAGTACGTCGCTATCCATACAACCCTTAAACCAGCAGATCTTGTAGACGGCGAGGCGGACGAGAGGTGCGCCGCCTATAGCGACTCCTTTTCCGAAGCCTCCGATGGCAGAAGCATTGGCAACTCTCCGACCACCGATGGTTGACGACGTGTGCGAGCCGTGGCCGGAGGTGTCCCTCGCCGACCTGATGTTGACGGTTGTATTCAGCGGCCCGAATTTCGCTTCGTAGCCGGTCAGGTAGTAGCGCGCCCCGATCAATTTCCTGACAAAATTTGATCATTTCTTTGATTATGTTCATCGTGTTCTACTTGTTAGCTATGTATCCTAATGTGTTTTTTTTCTTTTTTTTGGATAAAGTTAAGTTTGGAGGATCGATCACCTGTTACAATGAGATGCAGTGAAGTTCTGTCCTGTTTGACAGATCCCTTTCCATGAAGTTGGAATCGGGTCCATCCCGGCGTCGTCGAAGCTCCGTGATTCTGGCCATATTCCTGATCAAAAAAATAAATAATCAAGTAGCAAAAATGCATTCACACCTATATTGATCGATTAAGACAATACATGGAAATAAACATATGTTTTGGATAATGTTTTGTATAGAATATATATAGGGTGCGTTAACCGAACAAATTTTTCTACACGTTTGTTTATTAATATTTTTTAAAATACAGTATATATATACAAAATATATACTATTTATTAAAAAAATAATAGTTGAATACAAAATATTATATTTTTATATTACAATATATTTTTCTATACTTAATATAAAAATTACTTTAAACTCAAAGTTTTGGAAGTTTTTCATTTATTTGGATTTGTTTTAAAAAAATTTAGTTTGAATTTATGTTTTTCATTATTTAATATAATATTTTAAAAAAAATATATATATATTTTTAAAAATGATAAAGTCAAAACATTAGGTGGGATCTAAGGTGTCACGAGTCCATTTTACAATTCCACCATTTCTTACTGGACATTATTTTTATAAATAATATGTTCATAAATAGTATATTTAAGTATGGAAGAAAAGTTATAATTAAAAGCTCTTATTTTTAATAACTATTTAACTTGGCAATCAAAACATAAAGATACAAATCCAAACAAAATTTGTGAAATCTTGATGACATAAATTAGATCTAACAACAAAAAGACTTACGATAAACAAAGGATCGCATTAAGAATTACCAGTATCGAGCACACCGACAATAACATCTTTCCCATATTTGGCTTTGTCCAATATCTGTTCCAATCCACCAGCTTGTTTGGCATTCCAATTAGATTCGAGCAAGCTAATGAAGTCCCAAGATCTTGTCGTGTGAAGCTCTACGGGGGTATCAGGGAACACTGTGACCACCCCATCCATTCCTGTCCTACAAAAATGTCCTCATCACACAAATCTAATGGATAAACAACCTTATTCGTCACTCACATTTTAGGGTTTTCTAAAATGTAATAACACAGACAGACAGACAGACAGACAGACAGACAGACGGACAAATCTTCTTCAATTCAGGTATGGAACTTGCCTGATATGGCGTCGGCTTCTTCGGTGGTGAGAAAAGCTGAGAATCCATTGATGACCTTCGTGTAACTTCGAAAAATGCTCGACTGAGCTTCCTCAAGAGACCCCAATGCAGAGGTGAGATAAGAATGATGAGTGTCTACAATTTCTTCTGGAGACTTCTGCTCGTTGTGCTCTCCCAAATAAACTACGTGTAACTGACAGACAATACAACATAATTATAAGTATACAGACAATTTTAATTCACAACAATTACAAGAACGCGTATAAATAAAACCTGTCGTTGAGCAGATGAAAGAGCACAAATGGAGAAAGTGAGAGCCAAAACAATCCCAAATTTGATTATCATTTTGACACAACTATTTGATTGCCTTAGTCTCACTGCTACTGTTAATCATTGTTGTTTCTGTAACTTATATACACACATATGTATAATTAATAGTAAATTGACATTTCCAGCCACGATCGATGACTGAAACAATGTAATATTATAACCATTTTTAGACAGGTTCCATGTGAAGTGAAGACACTAATAAAATGGGATTAAATCTTCCATACGCTAAATGATTAGTTGTGCTCCTTAATCACAGGAAAAAAAGAAAAATGTTAAAACAGCGAGGCATTTTAATTTAAACACATTCCAACATCAGGTCAACTCGATTAAATAAAGTTTTATGCATAAATAAAATAAAGGCGACGGCTAGATTCAATCACTTTACCGAATAGCACACGGGGAGCTAGCAAACAACATACGGCAATGTTAGCGACAATACATCATTTATATTAATGTAATACAAACACAACACATGAACTAACAATACACATATTGTCTCAAACATACATAGTGGTTCATTTCATCACATGACATATACTTATACAACACGCTGTAATTGTAAACAAACAAGGCGTTGTTTCTAATAAAGACTTGTGTTGTTTCTGTATTTTGTGAGTGCTGACCGTAACCTTCCCCATAAATAAATTATTAGTTGTGTTCCTAATTATAGATGATAAAAAACTGTGGTTAATTAACGTGTTGTTGAAATGAATAATTAAATAAATGTTTTTGTAATGAAGAATATTGTAATAATTGTCATCACGTTGGGCATACACTACCAAAAATGTGGGGATTATGCCTGGATTTTACTCAAACACCTACGAACAAGTAATTTACTCATCCAGCTTGTTTACTCGATCTGCAAATGAAGAACCTATTTATGTTAAACAATTCCAGTTAGATATTAATATAATATAGTATATATATATATATAAAGGAATATATTCTGCATGTGGATAATGAAAAATATTATATTGAAGTATATTACTCTTTTTTCTTTTTTCTTTTTTTTTTAAAAAAAAAGTTAACAATTGTTTGATTATTTATTAGTTTATATTGTGTGATGAATAGTTTGGCAATATAGTTGAAGTATTCCTATGTGTTCTCGAAAATCTATTTTGATGTCGAAAAAGTTATTTGATATTAAATTTATCTTAATTAAAGACATTCAATTAAATTGAACCTTTATATTTTTATATTATACTAAAAATTAATTTTACGTTCAAAATATTCCATAAATTTATTTATATTACATGATACAATTATTCACACTTTAATTGTATGTAATTACGCGTAGATGTGCTTGTAATAGGCTAGAAACTAAAACACGCACATGTACCTCACACATTAAAATTACACCGGGAACGGGGATCAACCATAATGTCCATTTGCTCGTTGCTTGGCGGTGATTTGTATTGTAAAATCTTATTGTACTATTTACTTTTGTGGCGTAAATTAAGGAATATTAAAGCTAGGCTTCACTTCCTATCAGGAGAGCGTCGGAAGCCAAAGACAGTTCTGTTCATTCTCACTTCCTATGAAATTGCCCCGATTGACAGAATGTTCCGTTATTGACACTTGTAAAAACAATTTGCAAGGTCTCATTACATGGGTGAATTACTTGAGCCTTGATACATTTCCAGTGCCACGGAACAAAGACTGTCTTGGCCTAAGTAGTCCAGAATATCGACCAGAACATAGTAAACATGGATTGAACTAAGGCCCGTTTCATTTTCACCGACAGACATTAAAATTATCATACCTGAGCAAGTTAATAGTTTGGCAGCAAACCCTCAAATTTTACTATTAGTTTTCTGTCTTATAAAATATTTTATAATATCAAATTCAAATTAAAATAAACACACCCTAGTGAACATGATCTGGGCCGAAACTGATTATATTTTTACCCTCAAGCAATGAAGAATAAATTATATCAAGGCTTTTGTATATATGTTGAAATGGATAAAGAAAAATATGGATTGAATCATGGTCTTATTAAAATATTATAATAATAATAAAATTGGAAGGTTAAAACTACATCTACATTATATAATTCATTCTTGAATTTGGAATACTTCTTTATAGGATAGTCTATTTTCATATTTCAGCTATTTTTTTAGTTAGACTGACATGTGTATAAATAAGGCTATAGGTGTACGTGGAGATGGACTCGTGGCAATAATATTTTTTTTAAAAAATAATTATTAAAATAATATTTTCAAATAAAATTGAATTCTGGAAAAATAAAAATAAAAATAAAAACAAAATAATTGTATATTTTGTGAAGATATTAATTATTATTCCGATAATAAAAATATATACACATACATAAAAGAATTGACACTGGGGACGTGGCGTGAATTTTATGGTATTCTAGGACGATGGCAGATGGCAATTAATATGTATCAATGGTGTCCATGACTTTTGTGTGATGCAAACATCAATATGACAATTAGACAACTCTCAAGGTCTATTCGTTTTTAACTTGACTTCAGTTTTTGTTTTGTTTTATTTTTTTAATGTATTTTTTAATAAAATCTATCATTTTATCCCATAAAATATTGTATCATTGCACTCCCTCTATCAATAAGTTTTTATGTCTAGCTCTACTATTATAAGGTTTTCTGAAAAAATTCAAAAACAATATGAATGGATTTAAATGGGACAATATCATATGAGCGTTGAGTCTATTTATATGTTCAACTGATACAATATACAGTAAGTAAGACAATATATGTATAGAAAGTATAAATTAAAATGATATAATAGTAACACCCAAAACCTTTACATTCCCAAACAAAAACATTGAAAACTATATAGACTCTAATCAAACTCACTAGTAAATTTCTCAATCAATTAATCAAGTGATGATATTCCAAATAACATGATGTGATGCATCATCATATATAGACAACAAGTGCAAATGTTTCTTGTCCAGTGGATGATTCCTTGGTAAGATCTTACAGCCTCGTGAATATAATAAATATCAATATAATGAAATCTTGGATCACCCTAGTTGAAGATCCCTCACACACTCACTTCAATTCGATGATGAACAAAAACAGCCACATGATCAAAGTTGTTTCCATTCTTCTAATCCTCACCACTTTCAGCTCAACTTCATTTGCCGATTCAAAGGTCAGCCAAGTTTTGTTTGCTTTTGGGATATCAATTTTGCAAGAAAATGATTCATAAACTTGTTGTTGATTTCATTAGGTCTACATAGTTAGGCTGAGGCAGCATAATTTGGACAATAAGTTTCAGCCACATGAAGATCATTACCTTTTTAATTATCTGCAAACGATCAAGGGATCTTTGGAGGAAGCTAAAGCAAGCATCGTTTACAGTTATACTAAAGTCATCTATGGCTTCTCGGCCCTCCTTACCCCAGCCGAAGTTCATGAGCTATCAGGTGTTGGAGAAACATTTTCTATATTTAATATATCTTGTTATAATTTTTTAGATTAAATTTTTATTATGCTAGATTAACTTGTTACTGTTTAGTTCTATCAAATTTGTATTATAAGCATCTAATTTTCATTGTTGATAATATACAATTCTGAAATTCTGCAAAAAATGTGAAACAAGGTAGATTAATTACAATTCTGAAAGTCTAGGTTATTTCTTTTAATGATTTTTTAGTATTATTTTCAGACACTTTTAAATATAATCCCCCAAGTGCTTTTGATTATTGAATGGATGAGAAGGGAAGTGATGATCAACATTTTGTTGGCAGATAGGTATGGTGTGATTTCAGTGGTTGAGAGCAAGTCGAACGAGCTTCAGACCTCAAGATCATGGGATTTCATTACATTGTTTGACAATGATTCGAATCCTATACAAGCAAATCGAGTTGAGGACTTGATGTCCAGAGCCAACCTCGGAACGAATGTTGTTGTTGGAGTATTGGATACTGGTAAAAATTGCATCCATATTTTGGATTTTTCAGTTCTTGAATTAATTTACACACCATTAGTTAATGCCAACATCTCGATGAAATTAAATAATTCACTAAATCAAATCATTCGACAGGGATATGGCCAGAATCGCAAAGCTTTAGTGATTTCGGGATGGATCCCATTCCTGAAACCTGGAGAGGGCGTTGTCTTGATCTTGATGTCCCCTGCAATAGGTGATTAATTATAGAGAAACAAAATAAAGTAAAATAACAAATATTTGATCCGATCATTTTCAAGAAAATATATTATGTATGATGTAACAGGAAACTGATCGGAGCTCGATCCTTTCCAGCGGCTTACGAGGCCAAATACGGGCCAGTGAATCCAGCAGTGGAGTACCGATTGGCGAGGGACAGTATCGGCCACGGGACGCATGTTGCATCGATAATAGGTGGTCGGCAAGTCGACAATGGCGCCGCAGTAGGTGGATTTGGAGCTGGAGGTGTTAGAAGCGGTGCTCCTGTTGTTCGTCTAGCCGTGTACAAAGTGTGCTGGAAGAGTATTACAGGGCTTGTCAGCTGTGAAGACAGCGATATACTTGCAGGATTCGACGCCGCCATCAACGATGGAGTCGATGTGATCAATCTTTCCCATGGAGGAATGCATAAGCCCTACACACAGGATGCCAACGCCGTTGGATCGCTGCAGGCAGCCTTATACGACATTCCAGTTGCTGCGGCAGCTGGAAATGCTGGTCCTAATGCCGGCACTGTCGCCAATGTTGCGCCGTGGGCTATCACCGTCGCGGCCAGCAGCATTGACAGGGTCTTTGAATCTGCATTCCTCCTTGGAAATGGTTACCAATATCAGGTTAGACATCGATACATATAGATACTAAGCTTTATGTTTACGCGAATGAAAGAATTTCTCGGATGCTCTGTTTTGCTTGTGGTTCCTAGGGACAATCGATAACGCCGCTCTCCCTGACAATGAGATATGGACTTGTTTACGCCGGAAACATAGAAATTCCAGGAAGCACGACTCCGGAGACCACCGGGTTCGGACAGGCTTTTCAATGCGTGTTGTCTTATTAACTACTGATTATGGTGTTTGTTTTCGACATTTTTTCAGGCAATGTTGTCCCGGGACGTTATTACCCAACGGTGCAAACGGACGGGCAGTTCTTTGTCTGAGGGGAATTGAGTATAATGTGTATCCAGGACAACAGGCATCGGAAGTTCAAAGGGCAGGAGGTGCAGCAGCATTGCTTCAAAATCCACATTACGGAATCGGTGTATCCCTCCAACGTTTTCCCATTCCGACAGTAGTTGTGCTTTCCGGCGACATAGATTCTATCAGGAACTACATTCTAACTACCCAATATCCGACTGTTACGCTCTCTCCTCCGACTACCCAACAGCCCACAACCCCAGCTCCATTCATGGCAGAGTTTTCATCCACAGGACCAAATATGATCGAAAACAACCTTCTAAAGGTGCATCACTTGATGAAGAGAATCTTATTTATGGTTGACTTCCGTATGCTGATAAATAGATAAATGATGCGTATCTTAAGAGTTAAGTTTTTAGATGAGTCGGTCATTTACTTCATCTAACATTTATAAAGTGACAATCTGTCGTGATTATATATATATATGCAGCCAGATGTTACAGCTCCAGGGCTGAATATATTAGCAGCTTCCACCGAGGCACGCTCTAGGGACGATAAGTTCGTGTTCATGTCCGGAACATCATTCGCTTCTCCTCATGTCGCCGCGGTCCTCGCACTTCTCAAGGCCACTCATCCTGATTGGAGCAACGCTGCGATGATATCCGCCATTATGACCACCGGTATCCTATCTATCCTATCCTATCCTATCCGATCCTATCCTGTTCTGTCATATTTTCTTCCATGTTCTTTTTTCATGCAGCGAAGGTCACCGACACAACAGGCAATCCTATAACTGATGCGACCCTGCAAAATCGTGCAAGTCCATTTAACTATGGTTCAGGCCACATTCGACCATTAAAGGCTGTTGATCCAGGGCTTGTATACGACATTCATCATGCCGAATATCTCAATTTCGCCTGCGCTTCCACCGGCGTATCGTTAGATTCACACTACACATGTCCTGCCACATTACCTTCTCCGAGCAACCTTAACTATCCATCACTTGCAATAGCCGATGTGGGATCAGAAGGCACGACAGTCATCAGAAGGGTCAAGAACGTGGGTGGCGGAAGCCCCGAATACACCGTAACGATCGATCCGCCTCCCGGCTACACGGTTCGGATCTCGCCAACGTCGTTGAGCTTCTTGGCAGGCGTGGAGCAGACTCGGACCTTCACCATAACAGTTCGACCTCTGGACAATGCCGTGAGAAACATGTTTGTATTTGGATCTTACACTTGGTTCTCGAACGATGGGTTCTATGAGGTAAGAAGCCCAATGGCCGTGTCTACCAGAAGGGTCGTTAGGGAAAGAGTTTTTGACTATCAGCTCATGCCACCATTTCAGCCTCTGGTTTGCTCTTGTCTCGAAATGTACTGTCTGATGCTCTCTGTAGCAGAAAGCGTATTGGTGACCAAGTGGGATTTCAATGCCGTTTATGTAAAAATGTATAACTGAGATAGAATAATCCGAAAATATTAATGCTAGAATAATCCAAAAAAATTCAGTATAACTGAATTTAATACTTAATTATATCTTTAATTATTAATTAAAACAATTCAGCACTTGATCCGATTCCAAAAGTTAATGTTAGTTGACTCTCTAATAAATAAATAAATAAATAATGTTAGTTTTTAGATAAACTAATTATTTAATATGGTTGAATTTTTTAATTGTATTTATTTTTTCGATTATAATTTGACTATATAAAACTACTTAGTTACTCAAACACGTGAATTGTTATGAAGTAAGGAAGTATACCTATGGTCAGTACTAGGAATCTAATCACTTACGATCTAAATAATTGATTGATGCAAATTATTCATTAAAGTGGACAACTCATATATAAGAATTAGAAAATATAAATATATAAATTATTTATTTGAAGGATCTGCTTTTCAAATTTTGCTATTATTATTATCATTATATTTTTTTATAAAAATATATTATTTATTCAATTCAAATTTCTATTGAATTAAAAATTAAAACAAAACAAGCTTCAAAATTTTTAGTGTTATTATCTTTATTATAATATAAAATAGATATTTTCGAATGAAGAGCACAAAAATAATAAAAATAATAATTTTTTTAAAAAATCAGTACTCTCTCTGTCTACTTACAATATTTACATTAAATATCCTATTTTTTTTCACAAATATCTTACTTTACGTCACATCTTTACTAAATATCATTACACTGTTATAATTAAAATACTATTGTTTCTTAGCACCAAAAAAGTAAATGTAAACATACAGAGGAAGTATATGTAATCTAATTATGAAAATCAACAATTCAATTAAAAATATTGCTCATTTTGTCCCTTTATCAAAGAGGTATTTTGGATTTTATAATAGATTAAAAAATAATAATATTTTATTGATCAATAAAAATAGGTAAGAGATTTTTATATTTTTATCCTTTATTTATGTATTAATAATAATTGTATATTTGTAATTTAAGTAAAAAATTATCTTGGTATTTATATTAGTACATAATTACTTTTTAGACGAAAAAAATATTTTTTATATTAACAATATAATTCTTTATATTAATATAAAAAGTACATCCAGCACATCAGTCTAAAAAAGCAAAGTAAAACACCCAATATATTTTTATTAAAAATTATATTAAGTAAAAATAATAAAATTTAAAAACAAACGTTATCGAAATTGTCCAAAAAATGAAAATTCGTGTTTGTATGTGTACATTGCACATTATTTTACCAATACATAATTACATGTGCAAGAATATATTATGTTCCGATTTTTTTTGATATTTTAATTTCATGCTTGATTTCAAAATAAAATAAATAAAATTATTTGCTTTTGCTTGAGTATAAATAATAGATGAATAGCCTATCTTCGAAGGAATACATCACGTAGATGCAAAAATGAATTACAAGAAGAAGAGCCACGAGGTGATCAAAGTTTCACTTCTTCTGATCGCCCTCACCACTCTAAGCTCGACTTCATTTGCCGAACCAAAGGTCTGCCACGTTTTAGTTTATTTAATTTGAACAAATATGATACCTAAATTCGGTGTTGGTTTCATTAGGTATACATAGTTACGTTGGGAGTTGCAACGAAACGAGGATCATTATCTTTCTTATTTGCGCTCTGTGAAGGGATCATTGGAAAAAGCTAAGGAGAGTGTCCTTTACAGTTATACAAAGGTCATCTATGGCTTCCCCGCAATCCTTACTCCGGCCGGATGTCAGGTAGATTGAACTTATAAAATGGGCAAGTAGTTTCTTGGCAGAGATCATATAAATGACTTTAATGGTAGTGATGATCAGATCAGCTAAGATAATCAATCTACCATATTTGTTTGTTGGCAGAGATTTCTGGTGTGATTTCAGTGGTGGAGAGCAAGTCGAACGAGCTCCAGACCACAAGATCATATGATTTCATAACATCATAGGAAAGTCTAATGAATCCTTTCCAAGACGACAAGGATGAAGTAGAGGAGTTAATGCGCAGAGCCAACAGTAACATCATGGATATTGTTGTTGGGGTCGTGGATACAGGTAATATTAATTAATCCATATCATTTTCAGTGGTAGAATTTTTCACACTGTTAAATTAATTGTCAATTTTTTCATTTTTTTTTTATGAAATTAATTTCACAAACTCAATCCACAGGGATATGCCCAGAATCGCCAAGTTTTACCGACGCCGGAATGGGTCCTATTCCTCAAACGTGGAAAGGGATTTGTCAAGTGGGTGTCGAGTTTCAGACAACCGACTGCAATAAGTGATTTTTTTACTTATTACCTTACATTCTATTGTCATATTATATTGGGTTCAAATTTCGACCCCTGTTTCACCTGCCATGTATATTTCGAACAGGAAATTGATCGGAGCTCGATACTTTGTGGCGGCTTACGAGGCGACATATGGGCAAGTGAATCCAGCAGTAGAGTACCGATCGCCGAGGGACATGGATGGCCACGGCACGCACGTTGCATCGGTCGCAACCGGTCGGGTAATCGGCAATGCTGCAGCTGCCGGCGGATTTGGATTAGGCACAGTTCAAGGCAGCGACGCCCGTCTAGCCATATACAAAGCCTGCTGGGTGAAACCCCCACCCGAAAGCACTACCGGCTGCAAAACTGCCGACGTGTTTGCAGCTATCGACGCAGCCATCGACGACGGAGTCGATGTGATCAATCTCTCCCATGGGAAAATTCAGGAATACACAGCAGACGCCAATGCCGTCAGATCGCTGCAAGCGGCAAAGTTTGACATTGCTGTAGCCGCTGCAGCTGGAAATTTTGGTCCGGAAGCCGGCACTGTGGCTAATGTCGCGCTGTGGATGATCACCGTCGCGGCCAGCAGCTGTATACGTCCTTGGAAATGGTTACCGATATCAGGTTAGACATCGATACATATAGATAATAAGCTCTATGTTTGCTAGGGACAATCGATTACTGAATGAATTTGACTTTGATTGCTAGGGACAATCGATTACGCCGCAGCCCCAGACCCAGAGCTTTGAACTTGTTTACACCGGAAACATAGAAATTCCGGGAAGCACAACACCGGAGACCACCGGGTTCGGACATGGTTTTTCATGTGTGTGTCTGCTTAACAACTGATATACTATATGTCTTATGGTATTTGTACGTTTTCGACATCTTTCTCAGGCAATGTCCTCCCGGGACGTTATCACCCAAAGGCGCGGGAGGACGGGCAGTTGTTTGTTTGAGGGGAATTGAGTATCCTCCTCCTATAGGACAGGTGTATACATGGCAACAGGCATTGGAAATTCAAAGAGCAGGAGGTGCAGCAGCATTGCTTCATAATCTACACAATGGAATTGGTGTATCCCTCAAACCATTTCCCATTCCGACAGTTGTCGTACTCGCCGCCGACATGAATTCGATCGGAACATACATTCAAAGCACCCCAAACCCGACTGTTACGCTCTATCCCCCGACTACTGTACAGCCCACAAACCCCAGCTCCATTCATGGCAGAGTTTTCATCCACCGGACCAAATACCATCCAATACAACCTTCTAAAGGCGCATCAAGACACAATCTTATTTATTTGCCTACAAACTGTCTTACACCATCTTTAATTTTGTGATTATATATATATATATATATGCAGCCAGATGTTACAGCTCCAGGGCTGAATATACTAGCAGCTTCCACCACGCCAAATACTGATAACACATTCGTGTTCAAGTCTGGAACGTCGTGTGCTTCCCCTCATGTCGCCGCAGTCCTCGCATATCTCAAGGCCTTGCATCCTTCGTGGAGCAGCGCCGCGATGATATCAGCCATTATGACCACCGGTATCCCTATAATCAATCATCTTCTTCAAATTCGGAAATTTTAGCCTCTCAATCTAATATGGCAGAGATCCGTCTCCTTGCTCTGTTTTATGCAGCCAAGGTCATTGACACAGAAAACAATCCTATAAAGGATGCATTGCTAAACCCTGCAACTCCATTCAACTATGGTTCAGGCCACATTCGACCATCAAAAGCTGCTGATCCCGGGCTTATTTATGATATTACTTATGACGAGTACATTGATTTCGGCTGCGCTTCGGCTAGGCGGTCACTTGATCAAGACTTCACATGTCCCCAAACACCAGCTCCTCCGAGCAATTTAAACTATCCGTCTCTTGCAATAGCACAAGGCACCACAGTCCCCAGAAAGGTGAAAAATGTAGGTGGAGGAAGCCCCACTTATAGTGTATCGATCGAGCAGCCTTACGGTTACACGGTTCAGATCACACCGGCGACATTGAACTTCAATCTTTCGGCGCAGACTCTGAGCTTCACCATAACAGTTCGACCATCGGCCACTGCTGTTCCAAACCAGTTTGCATTTGGATCTTACACCCGGATATCGAGTGATGGAGTTTATCAGGTAAGAAGCCCTATCGCGGTGTCTATCGCTGCAGGCAATGGAGTTCATGCCGCCAATTCATCCTCTGCAGCAGAAATCCAGTCAGTGATGAAGTCCAAGTGGGATGTTATGTGAATGTTGTAATTTATAATCTCTAGTAAGAATGATGCTTCCACTGTAATAAATAATAATCGCTTGTGTTTGGCGACAATAATGTGATTTTTCACGACTTACAGTCCTGGAAAGATTCACGAAATGATTTCAAGTAAGTTAAGAAAGTGTTGCATGAGATGTTATCATGAAAGTAAATGTTTGATATACTCACTCCATCCCATAATTTAAAACGTTAATACAAAATTATAAATATGAAAAAATATAGATATATTTATACATGTGTGTCACGTTGCAGACAACAATTACTTGTAAGAACAATAAAAGTATCTTCTTTTAAAAAAGTACACATATAATATATAAAAATATTGCTTTGAACACATATTTTTATCTTACAAATATTAATTATTAAAATAAAAAAAGTGTATAAATAATAGATCATCACCCATGCATCTTTCCAAGATATGTTTTTCACTAATTAAGTAGATACAAAAATGAAGTTCAAGAAGAAGAGCTGCGAGCCAATCAAAGTCTTACTTCTTCTAATCATCACCACTTTAAGCTCGACTGCATTTGCCGATACAAAGGTCAGCCAAGTTTGTTTTACTTATTTGCTTTAATTTGGGATAATTTTAATTGACTGTATCAATGTGTTGATTTCATTAGGTATACATAGTTCGACTTAGCTTTTTCGAGGAGTATAATAATAAGTTGCAGTCAAATGAAGATCATTATCTTTCTTATCTGCTACCGATCAAGGGATCGTTGGAGAAAGCTAAGGCCAGCTTCATTTACGTTTATACCAACGTCCTGTATGGCTTTGCAGCCATCCTCAGCCCTGTCGAAGCACTTTTAATATCAGGTTAATTTATTTCTTCAACACAAATAGTAAGTAGTTAATACCTAGATCGAGATAGATATATTGATTAAACGTGTTGATTTAATGTGCTATGATCAGCTAAGTTACCATATTTGTTGGCAGAAATGTATGGTGTGATTTCAGTGGTGGAGAGCAAGTCGAACGAGCTCCAGACCTCAAGATCATGGGATTTCATTACATCATATGAAAGTCTAATGAATTCCTTACAAGAAGACGACGATGAATTAGAGGAGCTGATGCGCAGAGCCAATAACGTTATGGATGTTGTTGTTGGGGTTTTGGATTCTGGTAATTAAGAATAAATAGCAGAATCCATATTATGAATTCTTCAGTGGTTAACTTGATGAGAAACTCACAACCCAATCAATCAATCCACAGGGATATGGCCTGAATCTCAGAGTTTTAATGACAATGGGATGGCTCCTGTTCCTGAAACGTGGAAAGGGATTTGTCAAGTTGGAGCCAAGTTTCCGAGTAACACCTGCAACAGGTACTGCTGATTCATAATCCAACAATGTTGATGTCCTAAGAGATCGATGTTTATGTAACAGAAAACTGATCGGAGCTCGATACTTTGTGGCGGCTTTTGAGGCCATGTATGGCCCAGTGGATCCACAAGTGGAGTACCGATCGGCCAGGGACAAGAATGGTCACGGCACGCACGTTGCGTCGACCGTCGGCGGTCGGGTAATAGACAATGCTGCGGCAGTCGGCGGTTTCGGATTAGGCAGGGTTCGCGGCGGTGTCCCCGACGTCCGCCTAGCCGTATACAAAATTTGTTGGGTGAAACGCGACGGCTCCACTGTATGCGAAGATGCCGACATGCTTGCAGCGTTCGAAGCCGCCATCAACGATGGAGTCGATGTGATCAATCTTTCCCATGGAGGAATGGATAAGCCGTACACGCAGGATGCCAACGCCATTGGATCGCTGCAGGCGGCAAAGTTCGACATTGCCGTAGCTGCTGCAGCTGGAAATGCTGGTCCGGCTGCCGGCACCGTGGCGAATGTCGCCCCGTGGATGATCACCGTCGCGGCTAGCAGCATCGACAGGGTTTTCCAATCTGAGTTCCTTCTCGGAAATGGTTTCAAATATCAGGTTAGGTTTAGATTTAGACTAAGACTTAGACTTAGAGACATAGAAATGAATGACTTCGTCTGATTAATCTGCTTGCCTTCCTAGGGACAATCGATTACGCCAGTTTACGTTACCGGAACATACGAACTTGTTTATGCCGGATACATAGAAATTCCGGGCAGCACGACAATCGTGACCTCCGGGTTGGTTTTCATTTTCACTTTCATATATGTATGTGTTATGGTATTTGTACGCTTTCGACATCTTTTTCAGGCAATGTCGTCCCGGGACGTTATCAGAGGAGGCAAGAGGACGGGTGGTTGTTTGTTTTAGGGGAATGGAGAATCCTAGACCTGTAGAGCCTGTGAGTCACACAGAGCAGGCATTGGAAGTGCGACGAGCAGGGGGTGTAGCAGCATTGCTTCATAATCTAGAAAATGGAATCGGCGTATCGCTCCAACCATTTCCTGTTCCGGCTATAGTTGTAATTAACCCCGACATGGATCCGATCATTACGTACCTTCAACGTACCGGAACTATAACACTCTATCCCCCGACTACTGTACTGCCCTCAACCCCAGCTCCATTCATGGCAGAGTTTTCATCCACCGGACCAAATACCATCCAATACAACCTTCTAAAGGTGCATCAAGACACAATCTTATTTATTTGCCTACAAACTGACTCACACCATCTTTAATTTTGTGATTATATATATATATATATGCAGCCAGATGTTACAGCTCCAGGGCTGAATATACTAGCAGCTTCCACCACACCAAATACTGATAACGCATTCGTGTTCAAGTCTGGAACGTCGTTTGCTTCCCCTCATGTCGCCGCAGTCCTCGCATATCTCAAGGCCTTGCATCCATCGTGGAGCAGCGCCGCGATGATATCAGCCATTATGACCACCGGTATCCCTATAATCAATCATCTTCTTCAAGTTCGGAAATTTTAGCCTCTCAATCTAATATGGCAGAGATCCGTCTCCTTGCTCTGTTTTATGCAGCAAAGGTCATCGACACAGAAAACAATCCTATAAAGGATGCATTCCTAAAGTCTGCAACTCCATTCAACTATGGTTCAGGCCACATTCGACCATCAAAAGCTGCTGATCCCGGGCTTATTTATGATATTACTTACGCCGAATATATTGACTTCGCTTGCGCTTCCACTGGCCAGTCGCTTGATCCAGAATACCAATGTCCCGCCAAACCACCTCCTCCAAGCAATTTAAACTATCCGTCACTTGCAATAGCTAATGTAGGATCACAAGGCACCACAGTCCCCAGAAGGGTCAGAAATGTAGGTGGAGGAAGCCCGACTTATACTGTATCGATCGTGCAGCCGCCTGGTTACATAGTGAAGATCTCTCCAGCAACATTGAACTTCAATCCAGGCGTCAAGACTCAGAGCTTCACCATATCAGTTCAAGCATCTGCCAGTGCTGCGAGAAACCAGTTTGCATTTGGATCTTACACTTGGAGGTCGACTAATGGAGCTTATCTTGTAAGAAGCCCAATCGCCGTGGCGATCTCCAACATAATTAGTGAGACCACTTGTCAGGCGACAAACTTCACGGCCCCATTTCATCCTCTGCAGCACAAAGCCAGTCAGTGACCAAGTGGAAAGTGATTGTCATAATATAATCTCTAGTAAGAATGATGATTCCACTGTAATAACCTTGTGTGTTGCTACAATAAGGTGATTTTTCACGAGTTATCCTGATATCGACACCGTTAAACTTCTCCACTTCTCCAGAAACATAGTAATGCTAATGATAATGTCTCAATTCTGCACTGTGAATCCAGCAGAGGTTTCATGTAGACTAAGAACTTGAATAAATTTCATTGTCGACTCGATCATAAAAAAAAATCTATACAAATAAATGTTACAAGAAAACCGACAGCGAAGAAGACATAAAACTAAGCTACAGAAACAGCAATAGGACTTCGAACATTGTGGATTCCGTCAGACCATGTGTACCATCCAAAAAAGTACTTATCTTTCTCTACTGTCCCCGCAGCATTTCTGTCTAATCTCACAGTAATGGTGAAGCTTCGCTTACGGTGTACACGGTCGAAGTACAGAATGGGAGGAGATATCTTAACAGAGATCCCCGGCGGCGGCCTTATGCTGACAAAGTAAGTACTCTTCCTGCTTCCAACATTTGTCACTATTCTGGCTGCTGTAACTGTGCCATTGAGTTTGGGAACGGCGAGTGACGGATAATTGAGATCTCGAGGACTTGGCGCCTTTTTTGGACACTTGAAGGAAGAATCTAAGTTTTTAACACCGCTGCTGCAGAGGAAGAGAAGATAGTCTTTATAGGACGCGTCGTAGACAAGTCCCGGATCAGCTGCTTTTGTAGGCCTGAAATGTCCGGCGCCAAATTGGAACGAATCTGCCGGATTCCCGGAGGAGTCTGTGATAAGCTTCCCCTCGTTGTTGGTTATCGCTGCTGCGAAAATTAAGAAAGAACCGCAATGTTGTAATAAGGCGCCGCATAAGTTTCATATGATGTATAGAATGAACTTTTGTAGTGTTGTATTTATACCAGAGGTCATCAGAGCAGATCGAATCGCAGCGCTACTCCAGTTGGGGTGTATTGCCTTGAGGAGCGCCGATATGCCTCCTATATGCGGGCAGGACATGGAAGTTCCCGACAGGATATTGTACTTGATGACACGGGTATCAACATCCACCTTTGTCGGCGAAGAAGCTTCGCTCCATGCTGCCAATATGTTGAGCCCTGGAGCTGTAATATCCGGCTGTCGAACAAAACAAACAGTCGATCAACATCTAAACAAGCCACATTGCCCATCCATGATTGAAAATGGAGAACAGGGCTGTAAACAACCTTAAGAACATCAGGGGAAATGGTGTTGGGGCCTCGGCTGGAGAAGGCAGCCATGGATGGAGCTGGTTTGGCGTGTATGACTGTCTTGGCCGGGATTATATACGCTGTTGGCGCTTCCGTGGAGTTGATGTAATCGAGGATTTTGAGCGCGCCTTTGTAGCCGACACTTGTAGCAGGAAGAAGGTGAGAATCAGCTGATAACTCCTCTCCATTGGCTTCACTGTTAGCTAAGATGAGACCAGCTCCTCCAGCTCTTTTCACCTCCACGCCTTTCCCAACTCTCGTCCCGTTGCCCCTGAAGCAGACGACTATCTTTCCCCGCGCTTTTTTGGGAGAAAGGGAACCAGGTAGGCATTGCCTGCGATTGCAAACTTTCAAAGATTACGGCGCAGCCTTTGAGTTAAAATCGGAAGATTTTAAGGACAATTGCTAACCCGGATAGGTTCTTCAAAACATGAGGATTCGTAACATGTGCAGCAAGAACTAATGGATACTTCTTCTTTTTCCTCAGCTTATATGGAGTTACTGTTTCCCCTGTAATCTTCCTGCCATTTCCGAGCACGGCAGGGGACACGAACACCCTGTCGAGGCTACTTGCGCCGACAGTGATAATCCAGGGCGCCGGATTCGACAATGTGGATGGATAAGGGCCAGAATTTCCGGCGCTACAGGCCACTACAATATTCCTCTTGACGGCATGGAGAGCGCCGATGGCTATAGAATCGTGATTGTAAGGATACGGCTCGTTCGTCCCAATGGAAATGCTCAAAACATCGACTCCATCGGCGATGGCGTCGTCGATCCCGGCCAGCATATCCTCGTCGAAGCAAGTGTTGCCATCCTCTTTCCCCTCCCCTGGAACTGCCCAACATGCTTTGTATATAGCCAGGCGAGCCAACGGCGCTCCGCCTGAGGCTGCGCCGGCTGCAAAGCCTCCCAACATCGACACGTTTCGAACCACCCGGCCTGCCGCCGTGGACGCCGTGTGAGTTCCATGACCGTCCCTGTCCCGGGGAGATCGATAATCCAGTGTCCTGTTCAGTGGCCCGTAGTAGGCTTCGTAGCCCTTTATGTAATATCGAGCCCCGATTATCTTCCTAAGAACATTTTTTAATTATCAAGAACGAGTTGCAGAAATCACAAGATACATATATATATATATATGTCTGTATGTATGTATGTATATATACTTACCTGTTGCAGTGAGAAGAGGTGAATGAATCGCCAGATTGGCAAATTCCTTTCCAAGATTTGGGGACAGGACCGATTCCTTCATCGCTGAAGCTTTTGGACTCGGGCCAGATGCCTGATGATCATCGACAACGTTATTCATGAGGTCACATGAATCATCGCGGGATTATGTCTGAATAATAATTATATATGAAAGGACTGTTTCTTCACATGAATTGGAAGGATGGAATTCGAGCTTTATTGAAAAACCAGGTGAATCCATCGATTATGTTGTAACCATACCATTGTCTAGCAACCCAACAATCACATTCTTGCCATGTCTCGATTTCATCAGTAAATCTTTCATCGAATGGTGTCGCCGCCGCCCTCCGCCGCCGCTCTCCCATTTTTGCAGGCCGGAAAACATCCACGATCTCGTTGTGTGCATCGTGTACTTCCCCGGATGGCTTCGGAATACCGACGCCACTTCCTCCATCTCTGTCATAATCAAATTCATACATTCATATATATATATATATATTGGCAATTAGGGTTTATGTTGCGCAGTACCAGAAAGCGTGGAAGCTTCTTGTGGGGTAAGAAGCGCAGCGAAGCCATTGATGCTGTGCTTGTAGCTGTAGAGAAGAGAAGCTCTTGCATCTTCCTCAGATTGCTTCACTGAGAGCAGATACGATCGATGGCCTTCCTCGATTTCTTGAACCGTTTTATCTCCACCATGTTCTCCAAAGTACACTATATATACCTGATGATTAAAAAAAAAAAACTTTATCAGCCCCTGAACTCAATGAAGATTGATATATATATATATATAGCGTATGCATACAAATTTGTTTGAAAAATCTACGAACCTGTTTCTGATCAGTGCAAGAAACCATGAGAGGAACAAGAACAAGAACATGAATAATAAGAAGGGATAAATGGAAATTCCTTTCCATGGCTAAACAGAGCAGCTGGCTACACATACTGAGCACAAATCAAGAGTATTTATAGGGGTTTTTCAACAATGGATCATAGGAATCTTGTATATATATACAAATGAAAATGTACTTTATTTGTAGAATTTTCTAGGTGAAATTAATAAAATAAGGATTATATATAGTAATTTTTTATGTAAATATAGAAACCCATATAATGGATTAACAAAACCTACAATTCTTTCTATATCTTGACGCACGTAATTGTTTATTTTTTATTGAATGAGAATTACATGTTGTTTTAGGATCTTAATCTCCAAATCGCTCTCTCTTTTGCAAATATGTTGATATTGCATGTTAATTTCAGATTTGTTTGGTTTCTAACTTCCTATGTCAAACTAAACCAAAGTTTTACTATTTAGTTAATTTCATCCTGTTTTTTTTTTAAAAAAAATACGTATTATTTTTTAAATAAAATATTATTTCAATTCAAATTCAAATAAACATCACAATTAACCAAACAAATCCTATTCATCAATTTTAATAATAACAGCTGTGCCACAATTATTTGAAATTGATTAGGTTACTACACATTACATACCAAATTAACTTTCCAAACTAAATAAATTTATTTCTCATTAAAACCAAAACATAACATAATAATGTTTTTCAATAATTTAAATCTCCCGCATACATAATGTGATTTTTAATTCCTTACACACAGGTTTCTTTCAATTTAATCACTAAGATGCATATGTGGTTTTTTATAAAAACTATATTTGTGATTTATATATTGTTTTTGTTGTTAATTTAAATGTAACCATTGCAGGGTATTAGGTTCGATCGGAGATTTACCCAGTGCGCACTTTCGAGTAGCGGCCGCGGATTCCTACGTTATAAAAAAAAAAAAAAAAAGTCTAAGTATTATCAATTGTGCATAAGTTTTTTCTTCAACAATGTCTTATTTATTAATCATGCCAATGTCTTATTGATCAATCCAACCAAGACTTGTAGATAAATCCTAAAGGCTAACACTTGTACGCTTAAAAAGTGGCATTATTATTGCTTAAGTTTTGCAAAAAATAGGCAAAAATTTATGAAAAAGGAACAAGCATTTGATATAAAAGCCTTAACATAAGCTCATTTGAGTCATTTTTCTTTTAACTTTTTTGGACTAAGACAAATCATCATAGTAAATTGTTTGGTGTCATATATTCATATGTTAGAACAACTTTTTTGATTTGGGCACTATCGACATCTAGAAAAATATAGAATAACTTTAAACACTTAACATAAATATGCAAATTAAGAGAAACAAGTTTAATATGTTTGTATTATCATGAGAGGAAGATAAATGCTAAATTTTGGATACACTTCAAGTATAGCATTTTACAAGAAATAATAAGAATAAGAATACTCTCTACGCTCTAAATAAAATAAATTTTTTAAATTTTATAATAAATTAAAAAATAATAATTTTTTATTATTTAATAAAAATATATAAGAATTTTTTATATTTTAAATATATTTTATATATAAAATAATTATTTATATAATAGTAAAAATTAAAAATATTTTGAAATAAAAAACAAAAAAGAAATTTTAAATTAGCACAGCGAATATATCTTTTGAACTAAATTCAATAGATTGATGAATAATGAATAAAAAGAGAATTAACCGACATTAGCGACTTTAACATTCGAATAACAACTTCTACTAATGTTAGACTAATTTGACCAAACGTCGGTCAACGAAAGTCAGCGCCACCGCAGAACCCTAATGGCCGGCGCTCCGCCGTCTCTTCTCTGGCTCACCCTTCTCCTCCTCCTATCCTCGTCTACGCTGTCACACTCCTTCTCCTTCTCCAACTACCACACTCTACTTTCCCTCTCCCACTCCCTAATTGCCCGCGTCGCCACTCTCCGAGCCGCCCGCGGCGACCTCGACGGCGCGGCGCGGGCCAGGAATTTGGCCGACAATCTGGAGCGTGGCCTCGGCCTCGGTTTCTACCGATTCGCCTGGAACGTAGGATGGGACTATCTCAGGAACTACGCCTGGAGGGATACGACGTCGTTCGGAACCCTAGCCGGCTTGCTGCCGGATTTGAACGAGCTGTTCGGCGCCGTCGCCGAGCTGAGCCGGATCCGGTCGGACGCGGAGCGGGTTGCCTGGATAGGCCGAAATTACAAACGTGCCCTTAGGGTTTCGAAGTCAGCCGTCGCCCGACTCCTCAGCGTTTTCCGCCAATCTGTAAGCGCCGTCGTTCCTTTTCCCCAAATTTCTGTAAATTGTTTGTGGATTAAGAATCCAAGGTTGTTTGACAATGGCAGGGACCGTTACGGGATGTCGCCATGGCCGTGCAGAAAGAAATTGTCGAGGGGGATTTGCTGAGGGACTGTCTGGAATTGGGGGGAGACGATTTAAAGGGCTTGATCGAAATCTTGAAGGGATTTGCTGTTCGATATTCTAATCAATCATCGTCTTCCAACAGTGAATTATGAATCGAAGTTTTTTTCTCAGTTCAGGATTTAGGAGTTAGCTGTTAGCCCTGTTGTATGAAATTCGATGTTTCTGTTGTTGATTTTGGTAATTCGATTTAGATCTTGTTTGATGAAATTCATTTGGAGCGCCATGATTGAGCAGACGAGACGAATGCCATCAAACCTCATAATGAACACGTTATTTTCTCAACTGAACATATCCATGCCCACCAAACCGCATGTGCAATAAATGCTTCTATCTTTAAGCCTATTAATTACATCGATTATCTTATCCTGTTCTTGGATTGTTTCGATTAATTAACTCATGTAAGTTGCCCTAACCTATCTGAACTTGTGTTGAAGTTAACCATTACTGGCAAAAGTCATGCTATGAACAGCAATTTAATATCTGAATTTTATATTGCTGCATCTACAGCTTATGCTAATTATTGCTTGATTCTGTAACCTGATATGGTGTCGGCAGAGAAATGGTGATCGTAGGTGGTCCCTTTGCAAATGAATCTACACATTTTTCTTGGGTTGTCTTAGATCTTGGCTGAAAGTCAATCGAATTCACATCCTCAACTTGCGCACAGTTAGTATGTTGTTTTCCATTCGGCTGCATCGAAGCTTTGCTCGAGAATAATGCGCGCAATTTGCACAATGTTTTGTTGGAGCATTCATGGCTTAGCGAGTAGCTCGATTGGATCGGATATTAATTTGCATTCAGGATTATAGAAGAGGGAACCATTGGGCTCCACAATAATTGATTTCTTGCAATAAAGCTGATGGCTCAAGAGAGACGACGATGATGACGACGACGACGACCGGGTCACACACATTACTCTTACAACTTTATTTCCAGAAGTAGACTCTCACGTTATGTCCGCGTGAAATCAATGCAGCTAACTAACTTCATGTCTTCTTGTAGAATGGATAATCTTGTATTGCAATTTCTAACCTTACTTGTTCTCTCTCTCTCTCTCTATATATATATATATATGTCTGTGCCTGTTAATGCCTTAACTCCATTGCTCTTTGCAGCTGCAGCAGTCATTTCCTCTCTTAGCTTTTAATTCCATAGCTTCTTCTTTATGTTTTGATTCACCATTTTCGAAACTTTCTGTTTGCCTTTTGTGTGCGTGTGTATATGAACTTTTGGAAAATGGAAACGGGGATTCGAATGCTGGCATGTGTCATAGCCATGGTAGTGAATGTCGCGATTGCGCAGCAGGTTCCGTGTTACTTTATATTCGGTGATTCGCTGGTCGATAATGGCAACAACAACAATATCCAGTCCTTGGCGAGGGCAAATTACTTGCCTTATGGTATCGATTTCCCTGGTGGACCGACTGGCAGGTTCTCTAATGGTAGAACCACAGTCGATATCATTGGTAAGCTCTAAGGCCTTATGAAATTACAATCACCAAGCTTTATGAAAGATTGCTTATTTTTGTTGTTTATTTGCAGCCGAGCTACTCGGATTCGACGACTACATACCACCATATGCCAATGTGCGCGGCCGGGAAATACTCAGGGGAGTGAACTATGCGTCTGCTGCTGCTGGCATTAGGCCAGAAACAGGGCGACAATTGGTAGGGCACGACGACGTGCTTCTTAACATTGTTTTTCAAATTTTGGCGCCGTAATTGTATTAAAAAGTTGTGTTCTTTTAGGGTGGGAGGATAGATTTCGCCGGACAAGTGAATAATTACAAGAACACGGTCGCGGCTGTGGTGGACATACTAGGCGATGAAGATGCTGCGGCGGATTATTTGGGCCAGTGCATATACTCCGTCGGTATGGGCAGCAACGACTACCTCAACAACTATTTCATGCCTTTAAACTACCCGACGAGTCGCCAGTTCTCGCCCGAGCAATATGCCGATGTGCTCATTCAGGAGTACTCGCAGCATATCAGGGTAAGTCATCTAATTTTTCTATTTTTTTTTTTTTTAACGTAAGAATTCGCAGCTACTATTTTTCTTTGAATAACAATTTTGATCTTGTATATATTAAGGAATTGTACAACTACGGCGCGAGGAAATTTGTGTTGATCGGAGTGGGGCAAATCGGGTGCAGCCCGAATGCGTTGGCGCAGAACAGCCCCGACGGGAGAACTTGCGTGGCGAGGATCAACTCCGCGTGCCAATTGTTCAACAACAGGCTGCGAGGATTAGTCGATCAGTTCAACCGTAATTCGCGCGACGCGCAGTTCATCTACATCAATGCTTACGGCATGTTCCAGGATCTCATCAGCAACCCCCAAGCTTACGGTAATGACATTTTTTTTAACACGGCGACATCTCGACAGCTCGCCCCGCCCCCTTGTCCTGACCCGATGATGTTGTGTTGTCTGATTCAGGTTTGCGGGTGACAAACGCCGGATGCTGCGGCGTGGGGAGGAACAACGGGCAGATAACGTGCCTGCCGTTCCAGCCGCCTTGCCCCAACCGGAACCAGTTTCTGTTCTGGGACGCGTTTCATCCGTCGGAGGTGGCGAATATTGTCGTCGGGAGGAGATCTTACAGGGCTGCCCGGAGTTCGGACGCTTATCCGTTCGATATTAGCAGATTGGCTCAACTCTAGAGCTGCTTTTGTCTCTGTCATATGTTGTAATAATAATATAAACCTGAATTCACAGTCCCTATTTTTCGAGTAAGCTTTAGGTAAACTTCGGACCGAATTTACAAGAATGCTATATTTGTCTTTTGTTTGTTTCTTTCTTTATCGGCCGTATCGAATTGTTTGAGTTTGTTGTATTTTTGGACCATGGAAAAAGAAAGTTCCATGGATGAATTTTTTTGAGATTTCTCTATGTGAAAATATTGGACTTTGTGGGATTGTATTTGCAGCCATTTTTGTTACAGCAATGATAAACAAAAATTTAATTGCTATTGAACCAATATGTACAAAATAAATAAATAAATAAAATAACTAAATGAACAAATGAGCATCTTAACTACTCAAATGAATGTATGTGTCAAAAGCAGAGAAAATAGTTTTATTTTTTGTATTTTAGAAAATACTAATCCATGGATTTAAAATGTTAAATATGTTTTTAAGACTAATGCACGAATTCTAACATGAGTGTATATTTTTTTGTAAGACTTTTTGTGTTTTATAATAAAAACACAAAAGACATTATTATTTTTTTTATTAAAAGTATTTTTATAAAAGTACAAAAATAACATTAAATGTAAATTTGAATAATGGAGGAATAGTAAAAAATCAATATAATTTGTTTGAAACGTTTTTTTTAAAGCCAAATAAAAAAATAATAATAATAAAATAAAATGTATGATCTATATAAATGAAGAAAATAAAAACTAAGAGTTAGGCAGGTATTATTTTCCAAATTAGGTTGGGCAGCCCTTCTCTAAGGTTTTGGTTTAAAATTTTAATAAAAATATATTGTTTTTTATAAAATATCAGATACTATTATATACAAAGTTAAACTACTTGTACAAATTCAAATTAAACTATTCTTAATTATTTGAGAATTTATAGGCTAGAATATAATAAAAGGTTGTCAATCAATCCAATCAATCTAACATATATTTTTATATAAAATAATATATATTGTGTTATAAGATATCATATGATATATGTTGATAACCTTTTATGTGACATGTCTATGCTAATTTGATTGGGTCAGCATCAAATTCGCAAATATAATAAAATATTTTGCAGAAATTTAAACCTAAATACAATATCAAATTTACATTATTATTAATATAATAAAAACATAATATATAAACTGATAATATATAATAACATTTATTTCAGTGTAAAAAATATATTCATACAACATACCTATAAGTTTTAATCGAACGACAAATACATTTTAATATATGTTGGTGTTGATTTGTTCGATTGGCTATACTCTGAAAAGGTCCATTTCAATTTGTTTGAAACCTGAAATCATAATTTAACCTTCAACATCACTTACCCTCTTTTTTTTTTTTTTTTTTTTTAATGACGTGGGAATCCGCAGCCGCTACCCGAAAGTAGGAGCGAAACTACACCAGAGCTTAGGGGGTTAAGCTAAATTTTTTATGATTTTTTTAATATTAAAAATATTAATTTTTATATATTTATATACAATTTGCTCCCCTAAAGCTATCTAAATTCATATATAATTCTGTCATTATTATTTATTTAAATTTATTAGCTAAATATTAAATAAATTATAAAATATTGCTCTCTGAAATTTAGATGCTAGTTTCATCACTGCCCGAAAGTGCATACTGATTTTGTTTTTTTTTTTCAAAATCACATTTTTTATTTCGAATTGAATGGTTTTGATTTGAGGTTTTTTTTTTCTTTTTTTTTTTTTGTTATTCAATTGGTTTAAGTCTACCTATCCCAATTTATTTTCCAATTTAAGCAAGTATTTAACATTTCACTACCTAACTATTAAATTGAATTAAATTGATTCATATAGATTGGTCTTAGCAACTAAGGACGAACTATTTATTTGAAAACAATTAACATTAATAAATTTAAAAAGAAATAGCATGAAATGGTACCACTAATTTTAATATACAATTTGGCCCCATAAATAAAAATGTGACGTAGTACAATACCAATTTAATATCAATAATAAAGTAGTAAAATGTATTCTACATATACGGATCATGAGATTTTTATTTTGACTATACAAATTTCAAATTCACATACTAATTTAAATAGAAAAAAATTTATTTTTTACCAAATTGTATATATTTTTTAGATTGAAATTAAATATGTGTTAGAATTATTTTGTTCCTTTTGAAAATAGTATGGTTCCCTTCGAAATTGAAATTTTTTTATTTGAATTTTAAATTATATAGTATTTTCATTTTAATGTTCTGTATAAAAAAAATATTATATTGTTATTGAGAATCATATATACTAAATAATAGTGATTTTAATTTAGAATATAAACCAAGCACATCCTTTAATTTTGAATAGAAAATAATAATTAAATATAATAAATGATGAAGTAATATAAAATAAACTTTTTAAAAAATATTTTTAATTAAGATGAATTATTAATTGATGTGCTTTTTAAATTTTATTTGTATTGATAAATATTTTTATTATGAGAAAATGAGAAAGAAAGTAAATAAAAATTTTTTTACGTAGTTCAGTGGTGTGTCAACCTATGTTCACTGGCAGGAACCGGAGAGATTTTATTATACTAATTATGACAGAATTACAATTATTTTATACGATTAGAAACCATAGCTATCTATTTATAAGCACTCAAAAAATCCTAAATCCTAACTGTTATTAATTAGCATAAATCCTTTTTCGCTTTGGTTTGTGATCTGGTCTGGTAGACACCTAAATCCAAGTCAAGTTAAGTTCAACAATTTTTTTTATTTTTTATTTTTTATTTTTTTGCAAATATTATACTATATACGTATATAGATTATAATAATAGCAAATAAGATGTTGTGAATCAAATAAAATTTAAAAAATTCCGGAATGCAAGGAAAATCTCAAGTTGACATTCGAATTCATATACTTAATCTTTATAAAAATATATATTCAATATTTTTTGTCACCATACACTTCCACCCCTATTTAATATACACACATAAATTTATATGGCAATAAGCACATTTATAAATTAATGAGTTAGTTAATACCTACCCCTAAAGCCAAATTCTATACATGTGTAAAATTTCAATTTCAAATTATTTTGCTTTTCCTTCAAGACACATACAATTACACAAATATATATATATATATATTTAAATTAATCAATATAGATTTATATCATAAAATAAATTATGTGTTGAAGTGTATATAGTCTAATGTATGGAATAAATTATGGAGAATTAATAATGAAAAGACCATTTGTAAGTTGTAAGTTGTTTGAAGTTGAAAATACAAACTCTCTTTATACACGTTTTTTTACTATTTATTTAAAATAAAAATATTAATCAAATTCTAGTTTTTTTTTAACTCCAAAAGCTTCTATCTTTACATCTATATAAGTGAGCCATATAATCCCCAAATTAAATACACACAGCATTGATCGATCAATCAAACATGGCGGGTCTTCTTCCTCGTATTACAACCTCGGCGATGGCCATGGCCATTGTCATCACTGTTCTATCCATTTCGAACGAGCTTGCAGTGTCTGCACTGAGACACGCTCAATGTATGTTCTTCTTCGGTGATTCGCAGTTCGACAATGGCAACAACAACGACTTGGCTACATTAGCCAAAGTTAACTATCGCCCCTACGGCATCGACTTTCCCTCCGGCCCGACCGGACGTTTCGCCAACGGTCGCAATGTCCCCGATTATCTTGGTTCGAAAAACTTCCATTCCTTCATCACTTTCAATTTAATCGAAATTACTAATATATCTATATATATATATATATATGCAGCTGAATTTTTAGGCTTCCCGACTTCGATACAGCCGTTTGCAAGTGTAAGAGGCTCGGAGATCCTTAACGGCGTGAACTACGCATCGGGAGGAGCAGGAATTCTCGACGAGACAGGGATCTTGTTGGTAAATTCTTCATAGGATGCATCTAGTAATGGATGTAATGAATTGATAGTGTTTTAATACAATGTTTTAACGGTGTAGGGCGATCGGATTACAATGAATGAACAGCTGCAAAACCATAGGACTGTCGTAGGTCGCATCGCCGCTTTACGGGGAAGAAATCCAACGGCGGCAAAGGAGTATCTAAGCAAGTGTGTGTATGTTGTTAACATCGGCAGCAACGACTACCTTAACAACTATCTGTTGCCTACTTACCCGACTCGTTTCTTCTTCACTCCCGACAGCTTTGCGCAACGATTGATCGTATCGCTGTCCCAACAATTAAGGGTGAAGTTTGTACACATTAATGAAGCTCTGTTTTGACCATAAACTCTAAAAAAATATATTATAATTCAACATATGATATCTTATAACATAACATATGTTGAGATATGTATCAACATATGCTGATCATTACCATGCTGATTTGGTCGGATCAACAGAGGATTTGCAGCCTTAAAAACATAGACGAAGTTTTTGGAAACAATGGTTTAATGTGTAGGTATCTTTCAGGAATTGTACTCTCTCGGCGCGAGGAAAACTGCCGTCTTCGGGATCGGATACTTGGGGTGTCTTCCTCAGACTGTGGCCACCGGGACTCCCGGGAATGCGACGGGTTGCGTGGACAATGTCAACGCTATTGTGCAGCTATTCAACGACAGGATGAAGCCGTTGATCGATGATCTAAACCGTAGTCAGCGTAATGCCAAGTACACGTACATAAACATAACCAGCATTTCGTCGCCGGGGGATCCTGCGCTGGCCGGGATTAGAGTGGCGAATGTGGCTTGCTGCCCTGTATCGCCGCAGACGGGACTCTGCCTTCGCGACTCAATCCCTTGTAATAACAGAGATGAGTACACATTTTGGGACAACTTTCATCCGACCTCGATTGTGAACCGTGCCGCGGCTGCGAGGGCGTTTAGGGCTGCCTTGTTCACGGATGCGTACCCGGTCGATATTCGGCAACTTGCCCGGCAATGAACAAGTTTAAGGATGCATAAACACACGTACAAACAAGTGTGGTAATAAAGCTATCAACACACGTACAAACAAGTGTGGTAATAAAGCTATCAACTGTTATCTAAGTTATGCTTGTGTTGTGTTAATAAATTGATGTCTCAATTGAGATAACAAACTGGTTATCCATACAAACTGTAATGTAATACCTCAAAAGGGTGTGTTAACTTTATCCAAGATTACATAAAGGAATTGACATACATATTTGAATCTATGACCCCATTGTTACAAGTCCGAACTCTTACACCACCAAATCATCTCCTACGGATTGTTGAGATTCTTTACATTATTTTGACTCAAAATCTTATTAACATAACATGAGCTTCTTTACATTATTTTGACTCAAAATTTTATTAACATAACAAGATAGTGTCGGCCCGGCCCGGCCCGGCCCAGCCCAATCTCAACATGCTGCCCATTTTGAATTGAAATTTTTAAAATTCAATTTATTCAATTAATTCAAATTTTCTATTACAAGGAACTTCTTTCCTTTTATCACAAAAGCAATTGGGAGATCATTACAAGCTGCTAAGCATCCAATCGGAGTAGTTGTTCATCCTTTTTATCTTGGACATTCTTCTCAGTACTTGCTGTAACATTTATGCTTCCATGCCTATAAACATATCTCTTAGCCAAAATAAGATACACGAAGAAATCAATCAACGTAAGTATCGACAATAGCCCATAGAACAAATCCAAACGTCCCCTGTTAAGGTTATTACCTGACAACCACCCTACACCATTCTTACCAATACCCTTAGTCGCACGGTTCACTACATCCACAAGAATGGAGCTGAGGAAGTACCCGACCCCGCTCGAACACCATAGGAAGCAGCTCGACACCGCCTTGATATCGCTCGGCACTTGCGTGTAGAAAAACTCGAGCAATCCTACAAACGTGAACAGATCGGCGATCCCGAATATAAACGCTTGGATTGCCAGCCAAAACACACTTATCGGGAGCGGATTCTTCATAGGGATCGCGTCGATCATCCCGTTGTCTATCGCGATGTGCCTGCGCTTCGTTTCCACGAGCGCAGCCACGGCCATCGACGCCGACGCGAGCAGAAGACCTACCCCGACGCGCTGCAGGTAGGTTATGCCGGTGGGGATGCCGGTGAGCCTTTGCGCGAACGGGACAAAGAGTTTGTCGTATAATGGGGTGATGATGAGGAGAGCTGTGAAAGGGATGACGGGTAGAGACCCCGGCGGTATCTTGAAAGTTTTACCGATTTTAAGGTCCATCGTCGCTGCCTGCTCCACCGTGAACGTCTGCAGCTGAGCCAAGCAGAGTGTCATGAGGGTTGAGCACAAAAAGATGGGAAGCAAGTTGAGCAAGATCTTCAGATTTTCCACTTGTGTCACCGTGCATTGCTTCCACCGATCCTTTGGAGAGTGCCGTGATGAGGATGTCCGAATCGCCGCTTTGTCCAAGCATCTGTCGAGATGAAAAAACGCACACATGAAATATAAGAATTTGATAACCCAATTCGATAAACTGAAAGCTATTCCTATGCACCTTTAATATGTGCATACGACGCATAACAACACCGTGTTTATAGTAATGTAATACAAATGCAACATATGACTATTACCATACGACAATAGTTCATATCACATGTATTATTATTGATTTCAGCGTACGAAATATATTAATAATGCAAATATAAAACATAACTGTCAACACATATGCTTTCAACCAAAATATCACGTGTTTTGTCTGTTTATATTTTATGTGTCGATTAGCATGCTCGGCTCAAAACTGTACGGACAAACCTGAATGCATTAGTGTGGGGTAAACGCTCTTCTTGCCGAGCACCTTCTTTCTCATCGTTGATCTCGTAGAGCTCATTCGAATCCTCCGGAATCCGTAGCTTGACGTTGCGAACAGCAGCGACAACCACCTATTCAATTCGAACAAAGAATGTAAGAGAATTGACTCAATCTACACAATCATATGTACTACAATAAATTACATACTTGTAGGAGCTCTGTGAGGACACTGGAACCATGAGGAACATGAATTCTATAAACAGGCAATCCAGCAAGAAAGACTATGATTCCAAAGAGCATAGCAATGGTGCATGTCCCAAATCCCCAATCCCATCCTCGGTTGTCTTGAATCCATACAATAAAAGTGACCGCGAATATGTTTCCAGCACTGGTTGCAACTAGAAGCCAGTTGAAGTAACTCGACTTCTGCATCGCCTCCTTTGGGTCCTTTTCGTCAAACTGATCGGCGCCGTGCGACGGCAGAGTAGCCTTTGCGCCCGCGGAGCCAATTGAGAGCATGTATAGACCTCCAAATAACAGAGCAGCATTGGCTCCATGAACAGGGGTGCAATGAGAGCTTGGATCGTAGTTATTGCAAGGAGGTGGCTTCAGATTTGGGAGATGAGCTTGGATTCCGAGCACTCCAACTGCCTGGAAGATTTAATTGATGATTAACTCAGCAAATATATATATATATATGTATATGTATGTATTGATTGATTGATTAACTTACCAGGAATACGATTGAGCTTGAAATCAGGATCGTGAGGAACCTGCCGGCGTAAGCGTCGGCGACGACGGCCATAACCACGGTGAGCAAGTAATTGACGGCAAGAATATTCGTCAGGTGGTTCGCTGAGTCGGCGGAATCGAAGTGCATCACTCGATTGAAGTATTGAACGAGGTTACTCGCCAGAGCAATCATCACCATCGCCTCAAATCCAAATGCAGCTTTAAATTCAAATTCAAAAAATGAAAGCTCAAACAGACGAACATTGATTAAAAAAAAAAAAAACCCTAAAATTTCTCTGCGCGCGCAAATTAAACCTGAAATCGGTATGGAAGCACGAATTCCTCCATGTTTATCCTTCCGAGCTGGTTTCCCTCTCCAGTCCACCTTTCCTTCAACTATCTCCGATTCCCCCATGCGAGCGTATTCCTCCATGATCGTCTCTTGTTGGTGCTTCGTCTCCTTTCTCAGTTCATCACAGCCCCAATATATACATACATACATATATATATATATATGATTCAGGGATTGGAGCTGGTGTGAAAACACTTAGTGCCACGTGGCTAATTCAAATATAAAATCTTTGTTTGTTTGTGTTTTAAAAGGTAAGTACATTTTATTCAAAAGTATTATTTTCATGCATATTTTCAAAATTATTTAAATTTAAAACAATACTACAAATTACGAATTCAATTGTTTAGGGAAAAAGAAAGAATAAAGGAAAGAAAGCAGATATTAATTAATGGATTGAAGTAACTTATGAAAGAATTATTTTAATTTAGTCAGATTTTCAAATTAAAATTCGAAGAATTTAAATCGAATTAATTAGAATTTTATCTTGACGATAATATATTTCTTCTTTAGGATTATTCGTAAACTTGTGGTCTGAATTGGAATACAATTTTAAATAAGAAGTTGATATAATATTATTCATGCCACTACCACTAACCTGTTACCAACTCAATAATTTTTTTACCAACCAGTTTTAATGACTTTGGTAATTTCTTAGTGGAAATATTGATGCAATAATGAAACACGATTACGAGAAAATGAAATTAATGTAAATAAAGTGGCATAATTTTTTTATCGGTGGAGATGGTGAAAATTTTCCGCAGGGATTATTTCCAGGCAAAATAAAATTTAAATAAATCTTGAAAATAAAATAGAGATATTAAAATAAGGAAATGGAATAGGCCGTCTAGAATTGGTGCGGGAATACAGCAAACGTTATTTCACGTGATCAGCATGTTTGTTAATTTTTTTAACGTGAAAATTCGCAGACATTATTGCGATTCGGCCATTTTTTTTTACTTCTATTGCAACTAATGGGTTATAGTAACGATCGGGCTGTATCTTGGCATTATATATATATATATATATCTTACAAGAAATAATTCGACAGTAGAAAGATGAATTTGTAATCGTAAACTAATGAGTTCGTCTAATATAATTTATTTTATATGATTTGTTTGCAGGCTATTCTTTTTATAAATATAATTATATATATTAATTGTAATTTAATTAATTTTCAATTATTTTTTATTATATATGCATTAAATCTTTATAATATAATAGTTATATTTGATATAATTCATATATTTGATTTATTTTTTTATGTATAATTAAAAAATTATTTATCTAATCAATCAATATAATCAAATAATACTATCAAATATCTTTTAAAATATATTTAAACAAAACTTTTTTGTAATAGTATATTTTTTGACATGTCAAGTTAATATTTTTATGGTTTATTATAAATTGTGATGTACTATCTTAAAATGTTAGACATTTTTGTATTTGTATTTAAATATTGCTTAAATATACATTTTATAAATAATAATAAATAATAAAAATTGAATATACATTTTATCGCAACGTTAATTTTAACTATCTAGTTTCTCATATTATAAGAAAATTGAATATTCATTTTAATTTTAATTTTAAATTTTTGTGTTTTTGAAATCCTTTTCTTGATCTCTTTTATCATGCAATTGATTATTGTATATAATTTCCATAGCCAACATTTGCGTACCAATAGTTTATGTAAATAAAATCTAAAATATCAAATCTTTAGAATGATACCATTAAAAAGTTTTGAAATTCTAAAAATATTAAATATTTAATATTATATTTTATGAGAAAAATTATTGACCCTAAATTTTAATATCAATAAAACAAAACATTATTAAAAATTTATATAAATTACTTAGCATTAATATTAATGGACTTAATTTTGATCTCCCATGGCTTCAAGCTTCTTCACCTCCTTCTTCCTTCTCCCTCCCGCCTGTAACTGTAACTGTACGGATCTCTTTCCTGTACACATACCTTTTCGCCACCGGGATATATATACAGAAATTCACGAAACTGATCATCGCCAGCAGCAGATAGAACAGATCCAATCGATTCCTGTTAATGTTGTTTCCGCCCACCCATCCCCTTCCCCTCCCCGAATTCTTCGTCGCCTGGTTCACAACCTTCACTACAATGGTGCTCGTGAAGTAGCCGAGCGCCATGGATGTCCACAGGAAGCACCCGGAGACAGCTTTAATGGCGTCGGGGACTTGGGAGTAGAAGAACTCCATAAGCCCCACAAATGTGAACAGATCGGCTATGCCGAACACGAAGAACTGAAACGACAGCCAGAAGACGCTCATCGGAAGCGGATGCTGCTTAGGGTCTGAATCGACCAATCCGCTCTCAAACGCCACGCGCCGCCGTTTTACCTCCACCAGGGCGGCGGCCGCCATGGACACGACGGCGAGAAACAGGCCGACCCCGACGCGCTGGAGATAGGATATCCCCGTCGGAATTCCGGTGACTTTCCGAAGGTAAGGGACGAGGACGCGGTCGTAGATTGGAGTGATGATTAGGAGCGAGATGAAGGGGATCACCGGAAGAGACGCCGGCGGGATTTTGAAGCCGGCGGCGATGGTTAGGTTCATGGTGGTCGCCTGCTGGACGGAGAAGGTTTGTAGCTGAGATAAACAGAGAGTCATTATGACGGTGCAGACGAACACCGGCACCATGTTTAAGATGATCTTCACGTTCTCCACCTGCGTGACGGTGCAGAGCTTCCATGGCGAACCTTTAATGGCGGCCTTGTCGAGGAAGGGGAAAGCGTTGGTGTGAGGCAGATGTTCTTCCTCGTCGTCTTCCTTCGCCTCGTGCAATTTGTTGGGGTCGTCGGGAAGCTTCAGCCTCCGGTTGTTAATGGCGGCCACGAACACCTGAACAGAGAAATTCCGATCAAATTGGAAATTGGGAGATTCAATTCAGCAATTATATAACTCTGGAGGCTTACACTAATGATTTCTAGCAAAACGTTGCTGCCATTAACGGCGTGGATTCTGTACCACGGAAGTCCGGCGACGAGAATTCCGATTCCGGCGAGCATCGACAGTGCGCAGACGCCGAACGCCACGTCCCAACCTCTGTTGTACTGGATGTAAACAATGGCGGTTACGCCGATCAAATTTCCGATCATGGCGGAAACCAGTATCCAATTGAAGTAGCTTGATTTCTGTGTGGCCTCAATCGGATCATTCTCGTCGAACTGATCGGCGCCGTGCGCAGGCAGGGCGGCCTTCACGCCGCCGGAGCCGAGCGCCACCAAGTAAAGTGCTGTGAACAGGAAGGCGGCGTTAGCTCCGCCGACCGGTTCGCAGCCGGAGTTAGGATCGGCGCCGCCGCAGAGCGGCGGCGGTTTTAGGCTGGGGAGGTGCGCCTGAAGTCCGAGCAGTCCGACTCCCTGAAAATGCAGAATCGTTTATTATTTTTAAATCAAAATTTAACATTACAAATTTAAATAAAAAAACAGACTTAAAATTCGAATAAATGCACAAAAGTAGAGCAAATTTTAGGAGGCGGTGGTTACTAAGAACTCGACGGCGGCGGCGGCGAGAATGGCAGTGAATCTGCCGACGTAGGCGTCGGCGACGACGGCGACGAGGACGGTGAGCATGTTATTGGTGCCCATGAAGTTGGACAGCTGGTTGGCGGCGTCGGCCATGTCCAAATGCATCACGCCATTGAAGTACGTCACCAGATTGCTCGCCAGAGAAATTATCACAACGCCTTCAAATCCAAAAACGCCTTCAAAAATTCAAAATCACAAAAATCAATCAATGTATTCCTCCATTAGTCTTCCTTCTCCACAAACCCTAATTCAATTCGACACACACACTACAATTATACGAACCTAGAATCATTGCAGAAGCGTAAATTCCGCCATGCTTATCCTTCCGAGCAGCTTTTCCTTTCCAATCCACCTTCCCTGCAACAAGTCCAGATTTATCCAGCGGTGCATAGTCGTCCTCCTCCTCCGCCATGGTTACCTTGCTTTCTCCACTGCAATTCGGCTTTGATCGCATTTAAATATCTCAGTTTGAGGAAAGAGAAAAGAATGGGACCCACAAGTCAAAATATAATATTGAAAATTTGAAATTTCTTTATGCAAATGTATTTATCTTGTTTTTGAAAAAAAAAATAATAAAAATAAATAAATAAATAAATAAATAAGAAACCCTCTTTCTTTGGACAAATAATTTGCACAAATAAATGACACTTACATATGTGCAACAAATAAAGTAGTGTTCTTCCTATGTGATTTATTTATTTTAAATAAACTCAAATGTCACACTTAATTCTCCAATTTTATATTTTTATGTGCTTGAACGTGACCAAACTTGTATTTACAGTGAACTTAAACTTCTGTGCATTTCAAGTGAACTTAATTTTTTGCATGTTTGAAGGCTTTGACCAAAAATAAAGTAAGCTCAGTTACTTTTGGCACTCTCTGATTAGTTAATACTTAAATTTCACACCATTTGTGTTTTATGTTTTTGAGTGAAACCAAAATATTTTGAATTTGCTCTTTTACTATTTAAAATTCAAATAATACTATTATTTATTTTATATAATTGTTGTAATAAAAATATACTATTATTTTTTTTATAAAATATCATATTTAAATAAAAATTTAAATCAACACATCATTCAAATCAATTTCAAAATACAACCAAACAAACCATTTATTTTGCTATCGAATATCTTATAAGGTTATTTTTATTTGTAATATAATGTGATACATATCATTCCATTTTAACAATATTTTATATTAATTAGTACAGTCAAACTCAAACGTTTGTTTTGTGAGATAATTTAAAGAAGTATTTTTTTATATATGAGGTATATAAAATTATTTAAAAAATACAAAAATAATGAATATGTGTGATATATTAATATTTTTTTAAAAAAAAAAATGTGTATTTTTTTTTTTTTTTTTGTTAAAGAACACACATTCTTCTCTCTAAAACAAATAATAACTATCCTATTTATGGCTACCAAATTACCAATATCACCTACATTAACAAATTTAGTTATTACACTTGAATGAAAAATAATTTTCACCTACCAAGTGACTAAATAATTTTCACCTAACAAGTAACTAAGCTTTAATGGTGGTATGGTGGTTGGATTGACTTTAAAATATATATATATATATATATATGTACACAAAAAAAAAAAAAAAGCTTAATTCTATGTTTGAATGCATTTTTAAAAAATAATTTTTCTAAAAAAAATATAGTTATACTTTTAAATTCCAATTTAAGTATGATATATATAATATAAACTTTTATATTATATTTATTATTATTAAAAATAAAATAGTAGTTCTAATTTAAAAGTAATTCTACTTATTTAAAAAAAAAAAATTAAAATTCAAAATTTCTTTATGATTTTGAATAAAAATCAAAGCAAATATAATATATATATATATATATATTTAAAGCAGAAGCTAAAATTTCGTCTTAAAAACCAATCCAAAAGAGGGCTTAATATCAAGATTTGTTTTGTTTTGATGCCAACTGAAAAAGGAGAAGGTAATGCATGTTGAAAGTGAAAGGTAATTGTTGAGAGTGGAAGCTGTGCCGTGTGTTGGGTAATAATCCCAATTTTGAGCCCAATACAAATATTACAACCAAAGCCTCCTTCAATTTAAGCCAACAACACTAATTTCAATCCCTACATCGATTCCTCCAATGGTGTAATAGAAACAAGATAGATATTTAAATCCAAACATTAGAAATTATTTAAATGAAAATTCAACGACACCATACACCAGATAAGGGGTAGTGAAAAGTGAAAACATGTGCTCTGTGGGCTAAATATTAATTGGCCAAACAAAAAGTAAACACATAGTAAGAAAAAGAAGACTATAAGATACATACAAAGATTAAAGAAAAAAAAAAAGTAATACTACTAATCAATATCATCATCATCATCATCATCAGAATATACATCACACACCTGAGCTGTAGAGATGCAAAGAAATGGCGCATCAGGCTTTTCTGCTTGAAATGTTCACTTGTATGAACAGAAGAAGTCTGTGAGCTTTACAATTCCTTTTGAAATGGAACATTCTGCATCATGAGAACCTGGCCAGTAACACTGTTATCTTGTCAACACGTTTGAGGTAGGAATACGGTAACCTCACCGACGTACCCGAGGTAGCAGGCCTTGTTGCACAGTGGCTTTGTACGTATCAATCTACCGCTATTTCTGTGGTTGTCTTAGGCTGGAAGCTTCAGTTTTGCATTATTTTTCCAGCTGAGATTGTAGAGAATGTTTAATGTTGGATGAGAGTTGTGGTTTCATAATATCAATATGGATGGGTTATTAGATTTGTGTAGTACCTGATGAAGTAATAGTAGAAGAAATCTGCATAGAGGGCTGTTTGGACAAGCCCCGAAACACAAGCTGTGATACAAATAGATCAAGCATCAGGGAAGGAAATGGAAATGGAGTTGAGTGTTTATTCAGGATTTGTATATGACTTACCAATCCATCGGCTAAAGTGCTCCTCAGTGAAATAACGGTATATCCAGTTCAGGATGTATAATGCTCGGTATGCCCTGCATTCAAAATACCTGTCGTCATCTCCTTCCCAGCTACAACCCTACTGAACAAGGACTCAAGATTTAAAATCATCAGACACAACAATATACAACTCGACTTAGGCCTGATATAAAATTTTACAATTCAAGAACTCCATTGGGGCAATAGATTGCATGCTCTTAGCAGAACAACTATGTTGATGATCCGACTGTAGAAGCGGTTATTATATCCAACTTTTCTGAGAATCATAGCTATATTAAATGAAACATCAATCAATGTACTTAGTGCAGCATTCATGTATGTACTCAGTTCAAAACGAAGATCAAATACCCGAGAAAGAAAACATATTGTCCAGTCAGATTATCTACATTTCCACTTCTTTGCAGAAGAACCAACTGTGGTAGGATTGCAACGGCCTCCAAGTATATCGAGAAAGCCCAAAATATCTGGATAACAAAATCATGCCGTGTATATAAGCATTATAGCATATTATATAATCGAATTTATTGGTATGCATTACTATCATACAGATGTACAGATAAAATGTCTTTTATGTAGATACTGAATGTAAAAAATTATATGCAGTTCATTATACCTGAGCACAGAAAATGGATTGGCAGTTCATTACCATTGATGTACAGAAATTTGTAAACATCCCAACATAATGTTTATTCCATGAGCAATTAAAAATGATTCTGAACAATATCCTATTAATGACCAGGGAATTGAAAATCAAATTGACCAACAAATATGTCAAACCATATAGTAGCATTTATGTTTCAAGGAAAAGTCAAAACAAACAATCAGGCATCCCAAATTCAGTACAATAACTTGTAACGAACACCAATCTAGTGAAGAAAACTGACCTCCTGAACCGAAAACTTCTCATGGACAACAAGTGCGAGCAGAAAACAACCCAAAAGAAGATAATAATGCCTAAAAGTATCCAGGTCGCGGTCATAGGATCGCCTCATGACTGGGTCAAACCTCATGCAATATACAATTGCTAAAGTGCTTCCAATGAAAATCACTTTCATTACAGAGTTATAAACTGAAATGAAGTCGGTAAAGAGATCCAGGTATCGAGCCACGAATACAATTGCATACAATTCTTGCGTCTTCAGGGAAACACCTGTAAAGTTAAGTTGCAGGAATCTCACATCCATACCAAGATAGGTAGCGCAAAAAACCATGGAAACCAACAAAGCACAAACATAATCTCAAATTGAGCAATTGCATAAACATCATCATACAAGCAAATTGAACTCTTAACAACGCCATTCCAAATCCCGATTTTAGAATCCATCCTCGCCACGACCAAATTCAACTGCTGGCGACTAAATTTAAATAAGCAATCACTAAGTCTCGCCGAACAGATACAGCATCACTAAAAAATCACAACAACTAAACACAATTACAATTCATCAATTAACAATTAACTACAGAGAAACATAAAATTCAACCTGAGCACGACTTCGTCGCGTAGATTTTCAGCAGAAGCACTAAAATACTGATCAAATGCGTCATATCACCCGAAAATCTAAATATATTCATCGCTGCGAATTTTGAACCGAGTCCGGAAACGAGTGCGCCTCTTCCGTGTTCTTCGCCGCTTCAATTCCTAGCAGGACAAAGTAAATGGCGTCGCGGAAGTTATGGATTGAGTTGGAACTTACACGAAAAGCAAAGAAATGTAAATCGAAGCTTGACAGTGACAAGGTCAGAAAACGTTGGGTAGGGTTTCTTTAAATATATAAGTAAAGATTGCCGAAGCTGAGGTGAGGTGGCAGTTCGAAACCGCCGGCACGTCATGAATACACCGACAATAAGCCAGCTGTTATTTTATTTTATTTTATATTTTAGATGTGTTTTAGTACAAAAATATGTTATGATAAATAAAAAATAATAATAACAAATAAATTATTAATTGTTAAGAGATAAATTAAATTAAATTAATTATACTTTAAATAATAAATATTTGTTGTAAAAAATAAATTATAATAAATAAATAGTAAAAACCGAAAATACTACCAAACAAACGAAAAGGTACACCCTGTAACAAACAAACTAAACATGGATGAAAACACAAAAATATACCAGTAAAAAACAGACGGAAGCCCTACAAAATGATATCGGAGCCCAGGTGATGGAACCAACCCAATCCTCAAATTGAAAAACTTGCCCATACTTCCCCTTTTACCTTCACGAATTTCTGCAAATAATTGCTGCGTAAAGTGCGATAAACCGTAGATTTTCATCGACCCCAAGATTAATTCGAATCGAATCGATTCGATTATTTTTTATCTTATTTTATTTGGGTTTCCCCAGGTCGGCGTGTTCGTATTCTGTATTCAGGTTTAATTCACTTCAATCTCAAAATTACTGGCGCTGAGATTCTCGTGCCGGCGAGGAATCTCGGATGGGTTGCGCTGGATCGCGCGAGAAACCAGATGGTATTATTACTTACCTTCCTTTGTAAATTAATCTATCGTCGCGAATGATTTTCGATGTTAATTGCTGTTATTGCTTACCTAATTATCGTATTTAGGTTCTTTCTAAACTCTTATACTGTGTTCGATTAAATTAACTCTTGCTTCTTCCATGTGAGATTTGAACTATGGCCTAGTTGATTGACGAATTATGCTTAACAAATACCTTCAAAAATCTCTAAGTGGAGTGTTTGTGTCCAAGTCATTCAACTTAATCAGATTCTGGCTCGACAAGCAGCAGAATATGGAGAGTTAAACATTAGGGGTGGGGTGTGTGTCATTGGTAAATTCTTACTAGTTATACTCCATGTTTGTTCTTTACAAAAATATCCCATCAAATGTTATTTTTATATAAAACCTAAACAGAATCTTGTTTGATGACCTTAAAAAGTAAGGGAGATGGTATGGTGTGTCCCGGCAAATCAATGTGGTTTCAATTAACATAGACGGGGTGCTGTACATACATATTTCCTTGTGTTGTGTGGGCAACTATAATATATAATATATTGTTAATTCGTATGTTGTATTTGTTATATTAATTAAAATCCGTGTGTTCATTATATTGTGTATTATCTGTTATTTTACCGATGTGCTGTTAGCACTTTGTTGAATTATAACTGCAGTCCCTTAAGTAGGCAGTATAACAAAAATAAACTAGTAATTGGATGTGCTTTTCGATCTAAATGTCCAGCCTAGGATTCCCAATAGATCACATTTGCTTGCGGAATGATATATTGGATGAACCTGTATTCTGGTTTGAATTCTTTCTCCACTTTGTCTGAATCCAGAAACACGAAAGAAAATCCGGAAGCCCAAGCCGTGGAAGCATTCTGAGCCAATAACAAGGGAGCAGTTAGTGCGGATGCGCGAGGAGTTCTGGGACACTGCTCCACACTACGGAGGAAGGAAAGGTATATATATGCACAGCCTATGTTATTTTTTATAATTAAGTAACAGTGCATGCTCGACTAGTTAAGAAATTGATGAAATACCACCCCTGAATTTTATTACATCTAACTAGATGTCTACTTTGAAACCTGTGTTGATAAAAAGATGGATTTCACTGTCCTATGTCTTGGTTGTCATCAGAGATATGGGATGCACTCCGGGCTGCAGCCGAGTCTGATTTGTCCCTCGCCCAGGCTATTGTGGATGGAGCTGGTATCATTGTGCAAAATCCTGATTTGACAATCTGCTACGACGAGAGAGGTTTGTTCTTATCGAATTTGTGTGTAGTAGATGTACAAGTTAGGTGCAAGGACTTCAATTTCCAGGTCCTAATTCAAAAACCTTATCTTGCAGGTGCTAAGTATGAATTACCCAAGTATGTATTGAGCGAGCCTTCGAATCTGATTGCGGACAGTTAGAATGCTATGTATATTGTGTACATTACTCTCAGTGTCGTTTTATTACCGAAATTATACTTTCCACTTATAATTTGCCTTGTTCGCTGTATGCCGAATATATGCATATATATATATACACATGCTTACTGGTGTTTTGTGTCATTGTGTGTTAGTTATATCATACTCAAAAAATAATCTCTCATTTTGCGGGCTTGTTATGGTGCCAATTAACGGAATCAGGATATTGTAATGATATATATAATACATGATTGTTGTCGACACAAAATGTATTGTATATGTCATTAGCATGTCTTGTCAATGTATTATGTCAATTCATATGCGCATTGCATTATATTAACATAATTATGTGTTATATGTTTGTGCTGAGTTTAATTGTGTAAAGTGCTAGTTTTACGGTCGAATTGTTATATATTGTCGGTATATATATATTTTTTTATAACTAGGGAATTCGCAGTCACTGTACGAAAGTGTCCACAGAATAAACTTCCGGTCAGATTTAATATTTTGCAAACTAGACAAAACAAGACAAGTCACGTTAGGCTAATAATAATGTGTGATAAGTAGACCTGACGTTATGATTTGCCAAAGTAAATGGCGATTCCAGAACATTCTAGACCCTTCTTGATGTGTGTGACCTTCACATTGGTATTTTTTTTTTAATACATATTTAAAAGGAAGTTCGAAAATGAAATTCGGACATTTCTGGTTACGGACCATTTGAACGTTGCTCTCACGACCTCCGTTCCGTGGTCGGCCACGTTCCGTTCCAACTGTGTCTTAGGTTAACCCCTTTTGGGTCAAAGAGGTTCGTTTTCACTACGCCTGCCTAAAAAAATCTTACATGACTTTTTTTTTTAATTCTATATTTCATTTTTAAATAAATTGAATTCTGAAGAACGAGTGGCGGTGTGATACGTGGACAGGCAGAAAAGTCCACTAGGACGGTGATTGATGACGTGGCGGTCCGTGCAACTCCGGTTTGACTTTCTAGGACAAAGCCCGCATCGGCCGTCCGCGCTTGGGCCACGTGGCGTGATCCAAACGTAGAGCAAAGTCATAGGACCTGTTTGGTCAATGTCTAGGGGCAAAAATGTAAAAAGCATGTGTGAGCTGGAAAGCCCGGTCAACGAAGGTGATTATTACAAAATCATCCAACCCCACATCCTGATTTCATCCTTTACTTTTATTAATTATGATTTTGTTAAAATTGTTGGTGTATTAATTTTCCAATTTCGAGAATAAAAAATTAATTTTAAAAATATATCATAAATTTAAAAATGTTATTAAAATGGATGTAAAAGAACATTTACTATTGGACACAAACACATTTATAGTGATTGCTGAATAGGCGTCAGATTTTATTTGTCAGTCAAATCTGTGTTTTTCCTTACTCATTTTTTTAAAAAAATTATTTTCTACGTCAATAAAATATACTGTATATATACAGTGGAGATAATATGTTGTATGTTAATTTTACATTAATTGTTTTTTTTATTATTATTTTACATAATGCAGAGCTAATTTGCACCCTCAACACAGTAACTATTTTCGAAACAGTAAACTTGTGATTAGATTAAATAAAAAAAATAAAAAAAATTCCTTTTACGTGGCAAAATCAATGGTAATAATAATGACAATAATTAATTGCGATTGCGAGTCAAAATCATGAAACACAAAGTTCCAACCGTACTTGGCCACAAGATTCAACCTTTTCCCTAATTTCTCCAACGAGTGAGTATAAATCAATCACTCATCAAACCCTAATTACCAACGACCGTAAATCTGCCAGATTCGATCTTACCGTAGAACAGCCTGCACAGAAATTCCTTCCAACAGAGCATTACAATCTGGCGAGGAATTAAGGAAATTTGCCATTTCGAAAAATCAGTCAATACGTTAGTAATTACTAAAGAGGCTGTTGTTGGAACCAACCCAAACCCTCGTTACCGCTTATTACCTTCCTCCTCCTTTTTTGCCCCTTTTCATCGGCACGCGGATTCACAGATCACGACCCCATTGGTTTTTCCGCGGCCATAAAACGACCGTCGCGGGAGATCGTTGAAGCATTCTGCTGGATAGAGACGCTCGGATTTGAAATAGTTTGATTTCTTCAATTTGGTTTTCGCGCATTTGTAGGTTTGCGTTCGGCAATCGGAATTTTTTGATGGCATCCGCAGCGATATTTTCATCGCTGAGGCGGCGGAGAGCCACCTCGCTGGAGGCGTTCCTCGCGCCGGTGGATCTGTCAAACGCCGCCGTTTTGGAGGCTCTGCACGCAATTTCTACGGAGTTGGTGTCGGGGCAGCGCAAAACGACGCCGTTTTTCGAGTGCAGGAATTCGAGATCCTTAATCCGGAAAGTCCAGGTGATTTCCGTCCTCATCGATTCTCTTCGATATTTGGGGGAATCGAAGATTAGCTTTACTGCGAATTCGTGCTTGAAGGAGTTGTACCTCCTGCTTTACCGGTCGAAAATCCTGATCGATTATGTGAAAGGGTCGAGTAAGCTGTGGCTTCTGCTACAGAACCCGTCGATTTCGGGTCATTTCCATGATATAAATCAGGAAATATCGACCTTGTTGGATGTTTTCCCTTTTGATGAAATTAATTTGTCTGATGATGTCAAGGAGCAAGTTGAATTGCTCAGGAAACAGTTGAGGAAGCCGAAATTGTTGGTCGATAAGCACGACGATTTTCTGAGGATGAAGCTTTACTATTTCTTGAATGAATCTGAGAATGGCAGAATCCCCGAGCGGAATGAGCTCTACACATTTTTCGTGGAGAAATTGGGGATTTGCAATGTGAAGAATTGCAGGGCAGAGATTGAGTTCTTGGAGGAGCAGATTGTGAATCATAACATCGATGTCGAACCTGCAGCCTCGGTTCTTTATGGATTCGTGGCTTTATTGCGTTACTGTAGGTTCTTGCTGTTTAAATTTGAGGATGAAGATGGAGAATTGGGGAAGTGGAAAAGGAGGACATTGAAGAAAGGTTTGATCACACAGGAGATTGCAGACATGTTTACCACAACCCCGAAGGATTTCTGCTGCCCAATTTCACTGGATTTGATGAATGATCCGGTGATAGTGTCAACAGGGCAGACGTACGACCGTTTATCAATCACGCGATGGATGGATGAAGGGCACTATACTTGCCCCAAGACGGGGCAGATGCTTACAAACGTGAAGCTGGTACCGAATCGAGCTCTCAGAAATTTGATCCTACATTGGTGTCTGTCGCGAGGGATTCCGTATGATCCACCAGAGAATGCAGATTATGCTTCCGAAAGTGCAGTTGCTGCTCAGCCGAGCAAGGGTGCGGTCGAGGCTACAAAAGCTACGGCATGTCTGCTTGTCGAGCAACTGGAAAATGGGTCAGAGAGGGCGAAGACAGTGGCTGCAAGGGAGATCAGATTGTTGGCAAAGACAGGGAGAAGGAATCGGGCCTGCATTGCGGAGGCGGGAGCTATACCTCTTCTTGAAAGGCTACTTTTGTCTCCGGATGCTTACGCGCAGGAGAATTCGGTGACGGCCTTGTTGAACTTGTCAATTTACGACAAGAATAAAAGGAGAATCATGGATGTAGAAGGGTGTTTGTGCTCGATCGTTGGTGTTTTGAGGAGCGGGCACACCACTGAGGCTCGGGAGAATGCAGCGGCTACATTGTTCAGTCTGTCGGCAGTTCATGACTACAAGAAACAGATAGCCCAAGAAGATGGAGCCATTGAAGCTCTAGCTGCGCTGTTGAGAGACGGAACTCCCAGAGGGAAAAAGGACGCCGTAACAGCTTTATTCAATCTATCCACGCACACGGAAAATTGTGCAAGGATGATCGAGTCGGGAGCTATAGCTGCTCTTGTCGAGTCGCTACAATGTGAAGGGGTTTCTGAAGAAGCTGCAGGCGCATTAGCCTTGATCGTAAGGCAGCCTGTCGGGGCTGAAGCAGTTGGGAAAGAAGAAATGGCTGTGGCGAGATTGACTGGGATGATGAGATGCGGCACTCCCCGGGGGAAGGAAAATGCTGTTGCTGCGCTTCTTGAGCTATGTAGAAATGGCGGAGCTGCTGCGACAGAGAGGGTGTTGAAGGCGCCGGCGCTCGCCAGTTTATTGCAGAGTTTACTCTTTACAGGGACTAAACGAGCTAGGCGAAAAGCAGCGTCGCTTGCTAGAGTCTTCCAGAGGTGCGAGAATTCTGCTTTGCATTTTGACGGATTAGGCGCAGGATATGCGTTTGCTGGAAACTCGGCTCGGCCCAATGAAGCGAGCTTTGCTGGCGACGTTGCAATGCCGGTCTCCATTTCAGTACCGGTATTGTAATTGTGACTCTTTTTTCTTTTATGTCTTTAGTTTTGTTTATTTCATTCATCGGTACCATTTTTTTTTACATGTGATAGTTACAACAATCTTTTTTATTGGAATATATGAATACAAGGGGAAGGAGGAGGCTATAGACATCATATAACATTGTTCTGTTGAAGAAATGCCTAATTTTAGTTTGTGATCTGTAGCTACTGTGATGAATACATTCTTATAACCTTAGAAACTAGACATTGCATCTTTACATAGTCTGTAAAACAGAAACATCAGGAATCGAATCGAGCAGAGGTTTTGACAAGATGTTAAGAATTAAGATCCTATGGCACAATTCAAAGGTTGAAGCTCATGTCTTATTCTTGTATTGAAGTACATAGTATACAAGTGTTAAAACAATATAGTATACAAGTGTGAAAAGTTCCTGAACACGGCGTAGTCGTAAATCCTATCCACAGCCAGATCAAGCAGGAAATAAACTAACTTTACAACAAAAAAGGTATCAAACATGAAATGTGTTTAAACTACCTATTAGGATCAAGTCTTCTCTGCTGGAGTAAGATGACCCAATTGTTCCGCTAGGTTATTTACACTCTTCATGTTCCACCAACGCCCCCCATTATCGCCGGGGGGCTCTTTCTCGTCTGAGAAGGCTCCGGAATCATAATTTGAACCAGGGTTTTCAGTAAGAAATTGTTCCCAAAATACATCGTTGACCCCTGTTCGAACACTGTTTGCTGCTTGTTCTTCAGTGGGTTGCACCTCAAGAACAGCGGCAGTGTGTGGTTCAGAGTTCATGTCGATCCCAGAATTACAGCTCCCGGCATCAAGATTTATAGGAGGGTAGCATATGCTGGGGCTGGGTGCACATTTTGTAGCCTCTTCTAACTCCATGGATGAATCAAGTGGTAGTGAATCTTCACTGACATCAGATGCTATTTTCTCCCAAAACAACAGAGAAGACTCTAGCTGCACCAGCAATTCCTTACTGAAAGTCAGAAGTGAATTAGCATCCACATCTTTTTCTATCGCAATCCGGGGAGAAACTCTCTGATTGTCATCCATGCTCGTTTCATCGTGTATGTAACTATTGCCCGGAAATCTTCTCTTCCTATCATGAGCTTCCAGTTGCAAAGATGATGTGAAGTCCAAAGAAAAAGCCGGTTGGCGAAGTGCGCTTACCAATGAGGATAACATATTCACATGTCGATGTTCCACATTCTGCACTCGATCTGTTAGAGCTCTTGCTTGCAATTCAAGACCTTGTTGCTCCTCTTTGTGTCCGCGCAATTCTTCATGTAGCGACTTCTTTTCATACCTTAGCTTCTCGATGTCATCCGAATATCGTTTCCTCTCCAACTCTGTTAGGGGAGGTAATGATGCCAGATTAGATGTAGAGTGACTATGAACAGGCCTTCGTCTGTGGATGTTCTTCAAAAGGTGAGGCTGACCTCTAACAAAATCATCATTTGCAAATTCCCATCTCTCTGGATCAATTTTTCTGAAACCCTGTTAAACAATAAACAAACCAAGAAAGCTACACATAAGCTACAAAAACAATCAAAAAGAAACTCTAGAAGCAAATCTTAACAAGAGATTCAAAGCTAATCCAGAGAAAGAAATCACACACATATGTGTTCAGCTGCCTTATAAAGCTGGAGAAATTGTTGTGCTTAAAGAATCTGGGCAGGAAGTCGCGGGCGAATTCCGGAGGATTCCAGACAATGAAACTCCTATTATTCTCACTCCAAGATACAACAGAATCTGTGGATGGCTCATCCACCATCTCATATGTTTTGGCAAGGAATGGAGGCAATGAGTTGGAGCTTGATGAAGCTTCATCCATCCTCAATAATGGCGTCCAAAATTTTCATAACAAAAATATCATCATTCGATGTTCCCTCCAACTTCCCATTCACATCACCACACTATATTTCTGCCCAAAAAACCAAAGCAACAATGTAAAACCTATCAAACATCCCATTAATATTCAAACTAACACAACAGCGACTTCCGCCATTGAAGAACACATAAGGATGAATAAAAGATCAAAGGGCAGGAAACAAGGAAGCAAATTCATCACTTCAAAACAGGACACCACCAATCCTTCATCCCCACAGCATTCTTACCCAATCAAACATAACCACCAAAATCAGAGAAACAAAAAAATAAATAAATAAACTTTCTGGAAACGTCCAGCAAGCACATCGTGGTCGTTACAACGCTTCCACTAATCTTCAAGCAAAAGCATCGGATTCATCAAATGAAGAACACGCAGACACATACAAACACAAACTCCCGCCGCAGCGCAATGATTGATCATATGAAAGTGCTCCTGCAAGCAAGGCAAGGCCATTACCTGAAATGGAATGACTCTTCCTGCACACTCAACTTCTCCCAAACAACGGTTTGCCTATCTTTCCTTCCCCAGCTGGATTGACTTATATATATATTGGGATCCGTGGAATTTTCGCAAATCGAGGTTGGGTTTTTCTAGGGTTTCCACATCAATGGAACCCTCTCAAACGACCTTCAGCTAAAATTTTAATTTCCCTTTGCTTGGTGAACAATCATCATCCACATGTACAACGTACAATTCTCGACTACACTCCCATGACTCCCATCTCTATATATCACCTCAGAACCCCCCAATTCTTCTAAAATTCTCAATCCCCCCCTCCACTCCAAATAATTGTAGAAAATCCCGCCGGCCGCAAACCACCCAATCCAATAATATATTGATTGAGGGGCAAGTCTGCAAATAATTTTATTATAATTTTAAGACAACAGATAAATTAAAAAAATATATACACATATAAATCTATGTATGTATTAATTCCAGTATGAATGCGTTAGATGCTTTGACCCTTACCCGATGCTCCACGTCACGGCTTATATCACCTGTCCACTCAAACGCGACTTTTAGAAGTCGTGTTTAGAATTTAGCGACTTTCGATTTTGAAGGCGAAAGCGTGTTCCTTTCTAGAAATTTCTCGTCCGTACATTTCCATGCCTTGCATTCCGGGGACGCTAATAAGGCCGCGTTTGGCGCCTTTGGAAGAATCGAGAACATGCAGGAGATTGGGAATCGGAAAAATTAGACGACTCGCCAAACACGCCCCAAGAGAATAATAAAAATAAAAGGAATATTACAAAATTGATTAAAGAGCAAAAGCGTGTTATGCTTAGTGGATGGCCAACATATCATATCTATTAATAAATAATGTCCCGCCAATTTCGCCCATAATCTTTTTTCCTTTTAAATAAATATACTACTATATAATATAAATCAAACAAAATATATCGATGAATTAAATTAAATTAATATCCAGTTGAGAATTGATCTAAGACATATGTGATGATTGCAATTATGGCAGTCGTAACTAACTGTAATAATGTGGAGTGGGCCATTGAATGAAAACTATTGGGCTGTGAGGTCCATCTGTTTGATCCGTAGTAAATGGGCTGTAATAAAGCCCATATAGGAGCGTGCAATCCACGCGACAGTGTCAGGGACCCAGGACACTGCCATGCACAGATAATCACGTGATGACAAAGACTCGTTTATTATAATGCTAATGTCACGTGACTTTTGTACCATCAGAATTTACCCTCTCTCCTCTTTTTTTTTTTTTTTTTTTTTTTTTCCTTTATAACTTTTTTAATCTCTATTTATCCACTTAGATCTATGAACATATATATATATATGTATTTAATTTAACTAATAATTTATGTATATATATATATATTATTTATTTGTAAGAGATAATTACTAGTAGCCAAGCCACGCCCAATGTTTCATACCGGTAACACGTGTCCCCACTTTCAAAAGACTAAACACGTGCACGTCCCGCATTTCCAGGATATTTTCTTTTTCTTTTTCTTTTTTAAAATTAAATTTATAGAAAATGTAAAGAAGACCGGGTCTGCGAAGTCAGTGGCAATCTTGTAATTAGACAGTAATCCATGCCTCAATTATTGCGCTCCCTGTATTTATCCCACTTTCTTTTTCTTCTGCTCTTTCGTCTTCTGGTTTACACACGCGAACGCGATCCTCTGCAAACTCTGCGACCTATTGGAATCTCGATCGACTCCTCGAATCATTCTCAGCCTTTTTTTTTTTGCTTTCATTTGCGGAGGATTGAGGAAGGCGGTGGTGGTGGTGCAGTCATGACTTCCGGCACGAGGATGCCGACCTGGAAGGAGCGGGAGAACAACAAGCGGAGGGAGCGCCGACGCCGCGCGATCGCCGCTAAGATTTTTGCCGGATTGAGGATGTACGGTAACTATAAGCTCCCCAAACACTGTGACAATAACGAGGTGTTGAAAGCTCTGTGTAATGAAGCTGGTTGGATCGTCGAGGACGACGGCACAACTTATAGGAAGGTAATTTCGACTTAACTGTATTAAGAGGACTTCTTTCTCCATAGATCTTATCCCGGCGTACACTGCCGTAGTATGTCTTAATAATTGCGTGCATGCTAAAATGCGCTGGATTAGTTTGGCAGACGCTTCCGTCACGCCAACCCCCCTGCATACCTGCGGGGGTACTACTGTCTGTCCGTAGCTCCTCGGATTGGCGGAATCAAATCATACTCACAATACACTTTTTTTTTATATATAATTTTTTTATATAAAAATTAGGTTTGCAGGGGGAAGCATATGCGTGATTAGTTAGTTGCTGTGCTGTCCAGAGCATGTGAGTGTCTGCTTCCTTGTTGATCGGATTTTGGAGATAGGTGCTAACTACACGGCGTAGGATAGATCTGCTAATGTGGTTCACTTTACTGGTATCTTTTTAATAACACCAACCCCAAATAATGGATTTTATATAGTACTTTTTTCATCTCAGATTAATATGATAAAAGTTAAATTGGGATGGATCTTCATCCTATTCCTACCTGGGGTTAGATTTTGTGTGATCGAATGGGAACTGTCATTTATTGATCTACTCCAGCTCATCTAGATCAGTAAAGCCTGTCTTTACAGTTTACCTGCGGTCAAAATATTCTGACTGTCCTATTGATATTTTCCTTATTTGGAAGCTTTTACTTGAACGGTAAAAATTTTTTGCCAAAAGACTGAGGGGACGTCAATTGGTATTAGCCCAGAATAGTTCTGCTGAAATAATGTAATGTACGTTTTGTAGTCAAAATTGATTACTGACTGAGGGAAGGCAAAATGTAGGAACATCGCAACTGGGACTTTTTCACCGACCCCCTGGTTGTGAAAAAGAGACCTAGATTATAGTACTATATTTTATTTCAACATTTCGAAAGTTAGATGCGTGAACAAGGTTAGTATCTCTTTGGCTTTCCTGGTTAAAAGATGTTTCTTTTTCACCCTCTTAAGATCAAATTATATGATAGTGTATTGCTAAGAGCTAAACTCGTTCACTTCTCCTGGATTTCTATTTATAGTTTTATCAAGCATGGTATGTGCCTTTACTTGACGTTACATGTGTTAAGCACTGTCAGCTGTTGTGTCTTTACTCGCTGGATAGCGTTTAGTGTTGACTAATGTGTGACCGAAAGTTGTTTGCATTGCGGCTAAAGATTGTTGGGGCTGTTGAGCATTTTGTGTTGGTTTTCGAGATCTTGTAGATAGAGTCCAGCTACAAGTGGGGTTGGAATTCATGATCTAACTGATTTCTAGGCTTTATATACGAAATCTGTTTCAAGACTTTTCAGGGCAAGTGGTAGATTAATTTGATTGTGGTGCTGCTAGTAGGAATGGAATAGTTTGTTTAGAGTTGCCAAACATAGTTTGCACTGCCAGATGTCTGTGAACTTTTTTATTTTTTGGTGCTGTGGATGGGAACATGCTCACTTTAAAAATGGAGAATCATGCATAAGGAATATATTCTTTTTGCCATTGCTGGATGATTCTAGTAGTTACATGTCAATTGGCATTCAGATAAAATACATGCATCTCTTACGTCGCATATGCAGACCGATTTATATTCAAAGTAGGAAGATTCATTTAATGGAATTTTATTGTTTCCAAAGTCTGATTTTATACTTATGAAGGACTGATAGTTTATATTCACCGAAAGACACTTATGATACAACCCTTGATCCTACTCATATAAATTTGATCTCTGGATTATATCAACTGTTTAGAAGTGTTTTATGGAGGTTATTATCTTTCTCAGGGATGCAAGCCGGTGGAGCGGATAGATATCATGGGTTCGGCTGCTGTGAGCCCGTGCACATCGTATCAGCCAAGCCCAGGGACCTCTTTCAATCCTAGCCCTGCATCGTCATCTTTGGCAAGCCCCATCTCATCCCATTATGCTGCTAATGTCAACAACCCTGCTGATCCCGATTCCCTCATCCCCTGGCTCAAGAACCTTTCATCTGGTTCAGTCCCTCTATCCAAGCTTCCCCACCATCTCTACATTCCTGGAGGTTCCATAAGTGCTCCAGTAACCCCTCCTTTGAGCTCGCCGACGGCATCCACACCAAGAATGAATGGTAACTGGGATGATCGCGCAAATGGATCTGCCTGGTGCGGCCAGAACTTCCCATTTTTACCGTCTTCCACCCCTCAAAGCCCTGGCCTACAAACTCCACCTGATTCAGGATGGCTCTCTGGTGTCCAAACTCCCCAAGATGGACCCTCTTCTCCGACATTCAGTCTTGTCTCGGCAAATCCATTTGGTTTCAAAGAACCTGCTTCAAATGGAGGCTCACGAATGTGGACCCCGGGACAGAGTGGAACCTGCTCTCCTGCTGTTGCAGCAGGGTTCGACCAAACAGCTGATGTCCCAATGTCGGATGCAATTTCATCCGAGTTTGCCTTTGGAAGTAATTTTGCCCAGGGACTTGTGAAGCCATGGGAAGGAGAAAGAATACACGATGAATGCGTCCCAGATGACCTCGAGCTTACTCTCGGAAATTCTAGTACCAGGTATCTTAAAAACATCATCGTTTACGCCCCTATGATACTATTTCCCTATAATTCGATTCAACTTATCAAATCCTCCATGCCAAAATTCAGGTGAAAGTATCCAAGGAAGAACTGTTAAAGAATCTTCAATATAAGGTATCGAGCTATAAAGTTCTTGTTTGGGCATTGAAACGAGCAGGCCCTCATCGAATTACTGTTTCCGGGCGCCTTGAAAGCAGATTGATGCAGTTTGGGTTTTTCGAAGTGTGTAGCAGATTGTTTTCTTGTATGATATGTCTTGCAAATTCTTTTGATTCTTTCAAGTTGGAACACTGCTCATTCCTGTTTGTGTGGGTTCTATATGCCTTTTGTAATTCCAACCCTACTTATCTCAAATTTTTGCTACTTCTCTTCATGTCCACACCGACCAACTTCGTAAATGTATTGAATTATTGCTATATATAAATTATGGACCATTTCATAGACACTGCAGCTGTTTATTTACATTAATGTGAAGCAAACTTGAAAATTAAGTGGAAAAGAATGCACTGTACGTATGAACAATTGGACACAAATAAACTGCAAATTCAACTGTACAGACCAAAGAATAGAGCAATTTGATCACTTACCACTTTCTTCCTGTGATCGAATGGAACGGAATAAGCCTCACTTATTCGAGCTGAAGAAACAAGTCTCGTAGTGCTCGGTAAAGCATGGCTGCGGCTGGTGGTTGGGGGAATGACCCGAGAAGAATTTGTGATGCTGTGATTGACTGATTGCCGTAGAATCTGGAGTTCTCACGTGCTCGGGTTGTGACTATGCTACCTTCTAGAGAGCACCCGATAAACGCACCTGCATTCAAGTACCAACAGTTTTGACATCAAATTTTGAGGAAGGACAGATGAAAATAGCCAGAAACAAGTTTGAATCCAATCCATTTAAGCTATTCAACCATTGCAACATTTTGGGGAACATACTGATATGCTAAACGATAGTTTTAGATCATATATTATGCATCTATTCACATTCTATACATCGTTTCCCCTCCTTAAAAACCCTAACTATTTATGAAAATTCATTGAGATTGAGAATATGAGAGATAAGGAGCCGACCTTTACTGCAGCTGTATGTATAACAAGCAGCATATCCACTTGCACCAGCTCTAATATCGGCCTCCGCAGTTCGTCCGATGGTTCCTGCGGCGGCACTCAAACCAGCCCCAATTGAGAAATGTGCTTCACTACAGAAGGTTTTCACAGCCTCAACTGTTCTCAAAACAATTATGAAGTCTGTTAGCTCTCCTCCAGCCTGCAGGAGAAAAAGATAAAATAAAAATAAAATAATCGTATCAACAAGCTTCTATACCATATAGCAAAAACGAACAATCTATGAAGCTTATACAGATTCAAAAGGAAACTTCATGGGTCTCCAACATTGTCATTGCACAATAATTTAATTTACCTGAGCTCCCCAGCCTATGCCGAAGGAAGATATGGCAGAGGGAGGAGACCAAGATCCATCTTCCCTACGAGCAAGCACCAGTCCAGTTCCAACATTATAGGTTACCATCACTCCTACTCTAGCAACAGTTAGTATTGCAAGGCCTTTTGCATTTTGTAGAATGGCCTGGGGAATTCGCTTCTCTGATCTGAAGGAACCGACCTGAAATCAAAGAACCTTGGATAAATTCTAGCTGCATATTCAATATGGATGTGGGCGTCATCAAGATTAATGTGATCAACTGGAAGGACAGAATGTTTCGTTACCCATTTCGTAGGTAAATATTTTCTAATGAAACTTTCACTGGCTAAAGAATCAAAGCAGCTTAAACACATAACCCACAACAAATTCTTCGAAACTAAAAGCTGATCATTCTATTTTCAGGCCCACAAGTCTTTTATGTAGAGAATATTAACTTTAAAGTTCCGCTATTACTCCTAACAGTAGTCTTTAGTATGAACTGCAAGTTCAGATTTCCACATACCTTAGCATAACCAAGGATTGTGTTTGTGGCTTTGTAAATCTCATACTCCATCGACTGCCCCCAGGGAAAATTAACCCAGGATCTTAAAGTGCTCAAATCTGTCAGATCATGTACAGGCAACTGCGCAGCACGGCTTACTTGATCCATCAGGTATGGCTGAAAAGGTTCGAGGCGCACACAGCACACATCACAAACTCGTTGTGGATTCTCTGTCCGGAACATTTTAGGCAATAAGCTCCTTCCTTTTGTACACTCATTGCAGAAGACTCCCCCACAAAACCGACAGTGATGCCTTGTGCACATAATCGGGTGAAACCTGACGCTACAAAGCATACAGGAAGAAGCTGCACTATCAGGTAACCACTTGGGAGGCTCCGAATCAAGAATTTCTTGGGCATGGCTAAAATTGGCTTCTGACAGGGTTTCTGCAATTTCCTTCCACGCATGATCAATCAGGTGGTTTGACAACCATGAAATTCGACTAACATCTCCAGAAGTAACAGCAGACACTTTTCCCCGAGCGACAAGTAGCATTTCAACCACAACATCCCACATGGTCAATTCTTTATCTTCCTCAATGCATTGGCTCCAACCCATATCTTCATCAGGAATGTATCCACCATTCGAGCAAAACCCTCCAGTCAATTCTCCTTCATTCATAGGAGGAACAGAAACAGGTATCCAAATTCCAGTTTCCTCGTATAAGGGTGTATCATAATAAAAGTACAGTCCTTTCTTGGAATTGGCGGTACTTATATGTTCCTCCTGGTTATCATCAACAGCTTTACGTTCATTCGACAAATCACATCCTTTAGTTCTAGGTATTTCTCGATGTAGGTGATCCCCTTTTTCAGCATTGCAGTCAGTACATTGAGGTAATTTACCATCAACACCAATAGCATCACTTTCAAAAGTGCTCTCTGCCTCATCGAGGTTAGAGTTTTCACTCTTCTTCAAATTGGGGCACTCATATTCTCTTGTGTCAGCATGTTTATCAGCTCTGGCCTCAGTCAATTCAACACTATAATTTTCAAGATCATCGTGTTGAACCAACGAAATCACTTCTTTTACATCATCTTCCCCATGCTGCTCACGTGAGCCAAAGTTCTCCGGCCCACAAGAATTCATTTTTTTCGCCTCAGAGAATGAGCAATGTTTCTTTAGCAAGCACTGTCGTCTCCTATTCTGAACAGCAAAATTGCACCAAGGCATCAAACAAATTCTAAGACATATATAAAAATCAAAACAAAAAAACCTAATTCAGCCAGCCATTCATGTCACCCTAAATCCCTAATAAAATCTCTCTTTTTAACAAAATCTCCCCTCCTATTGCAGCCACAAATCAAACAGCCGTATAAACTACCAAACTTTATTCTTTCTTAAAAAATCAATTAAAAAACTTCATTATCACAATATTAGCACCTCTGCTATCAATCAAAGATGCTAACTAAACACTATTAATTACTCTCCAATTCAATCCAATCCAATACTTGCCAATAAATCCAATCCAATTAACAAAAAAACACAAAAAAAGGAAAAAAGAGAATATCATGATCAGCAGATAAATACACAAAATAAAAAATAAAAACAAACCTGCCGAACCACCCCGCAGCCCTAGTCCCCAAAAGCTCGAGTTCAAGCGACCTGATTAACTTCCGAACACCATAGAAACACTAAAAACCATGTCGTTGTCGGATTACACGTAATACCTAAATACAGCGCCTGAGGGGTTTGAATTAACTTTCCTTCCGATCGAATTTCTCTCGATCAGAAAATATTCTTTTGTGACAGGGAAAATACAGCGGAGTCCATTCTTAATATGGCATAAAATACATGTAAAATTAATAAATAAATTTTTAATAAATTAGAAAGCAAATTGGCCTATTAGCTCAGCTGGTTAGAGCGTCGTGCTAATAACGCGAAGGTCGCAGGTTCGAGACCTGCATGGGCCATAATTTTTGTTTTTCTCTATTTGCAATCTTCTCCTCTATTTTTCGTATATTTACAATTTAGTCCTTATGCTTTATAAGTTTGTATTTAGGACTTGCCTGTTGCTGTGCTCTTCTTCCAATGTACTTCCTCTGTTTCTCAGACCACAAATTGGATTTCTACGATCGTCCTGCTTCACTCTCAACATGGGGATCGATAAATCCGTAACCGTTTACTTATGGCTGACATTCGTGCTCGCAAGCGTCTTCAATCCATCACGCGCCGTAGTCCTTCCCAATGAAGCTTCTGGGAGTAGAATCCACGGCCCTAAGTTACTCCCGTCGGAATCTAAGAACGGGGAGCTGAAGAAGGCCACTCGGCTCGAGTCGAAGCGTGGCTGCGGGGAAAGTGTTTCCAGATCCGAATGCAGCCAGAATTCGAAGTGCAGGTGGTGCCGGAGTGACGCTCTGGATGACATGTGCTTTTCTAAATCTGAAGCTTGGCGGTTGCCGTCCCAGGTTTTCTCTTGTGAATTCTGATTAATTGATTAGATTCGCCTCCTTGCTTCTGTTTAAATGCCTGCATTCATCGAGGTGATCTTTGTACTGTACATTTTTTTGTTATTTGGGAATTTTAAGATTTGACCTTTGGATTCGCTATATATGTGAATGATTGGCAAATGAATACGTGTGGTAGCTTTCCTGATGCTTTTAGGTGTAAGTGATCGTTTGTATGACGTTGTAATTACATTCTGTGTTCGATGATGGAGGCTTGTTGTGCTGTATAATCTTGTGGTGTGAAGATCAACAAAGAGGACCTGGCTAGGTTAGATTGGTCGATAATTGTCCAATCTCTAGCATTCATTTGATTTTGTGTTGCTGATGTTTCTGTAAAGTTTCTCAAGACTAAGTTTAAACATGCTCTAGATTTATAATGTATCTGATTATTTCAAGAAACCGGAACTTGAACTTCGAAACTGAAAGCATGTATAAAATCGAATAATGGCACTCCAATGGAGCAATAACTCTGGCATATATTGTCAAATTGATGAACCACACTGTGTCTAACAGCTCTTCATGATTTGTTTCAATGGTTATGTGTAATTGTAGACTAACCACCTACCATATTGATTGTGCTACCTGTTTTGAATCAATGGTGCTTGGCAAGTTGTTCTTTTCGAATGGTAATTTTAACCTTTCCCCTCTTTTGCTTCTTCCCGGTTGATGCCTTGCAATAGGTCAATTTTTTGCTGCTATAGATGGTGCATGTGCATCCGAAACAGTTCTGGTGCTGAGTCCCTTATTTTTCATCGATCTTTTTATCTAGTGAAGATTGTCAATGATTTCATAATGAAATGACATCCATTAGTCCATGATAAGTTGTGCAGTATCAAACACTATGCCAATGACTGTTTTAACTCAGAGTGCTCTTATTCTGCGAGCTTGAACACATGCTAGCTACTTCGATATATACCCATGGAAGTTAGAAAACTCTTGAATTTGTAGCGAAGTAGATCCTTGTGTGGAATATACTAGTTGAACATGACTGGATACATTAGTTCTTAGCAGGCAGTGAATCAACTTATATAGTTTGTCAGTGTGATCTGTGATATTGACGCCGGGAAGGGATAAGTAGCATAAATAGTTGATACATAATCATATTCTGGTTCATTGGCGTTTATGGAAGAAATTTGATGATATAATCAAGAACTCATTCTTGGCCTGCCTACTAAACTAGAGCTTTTTAGCTTATTAAACTTAGTGACTCTGTCTGTAACATTCGAGCCCGTAAGTTTCAAGTTAGTTCAAGCCATTCGATTTTGAACTGTTGAACTATACTGCAAGTTTGTTGTGATATGATGTGAATCTGTTTAATGTTTATAATTGAAACCTTATTAGTCGTAAAAATTTCCAAAATTTCAAAACTCTTGGTCGAAATGGGCCAGCCGGTAAGTGTCTTAACACCTTATATATATAGTAATAAGTCCCTTTCCAATTAAAGTATTGATGTTGAAGACTTTGCTGCTTATAGTATTATTAGTTAGCCAAGTTGGTCTTCACATTCACACACACACACACACACAGTAGATGAATATTGAGTATGAATACCCCACAATAAGAAAAAGAAAAGGTGTTGTTGGGTAATGGGTATCACGAGATTGCGTTTCAAATTTCAATTGGCACAAATTATCTCAATTTCCAACTTCCAACATATAATAAGTCCATCAAATATGCTGATAGTTAGAAATTTTCAATTTTCTTGCATGAAATCGTGATAGATGATTATTATTATTATTATTATTATCTTCATGTACTGTATGATATAAATATTTCAATGTGCAGCCAGCCAGGATTCCCGTGGGATTTTGCATGACTATACTTACTTTCCAATTTCATGTGGTTGGATTTGATTGGATTGGATAACATAGGATTCTGTTTCTTCTTATGTTGAATTGAATTTAATTTAATTTAATTTCTAACATTATGAATTAATTAACCACCTCCCTGCATGAATTGCATGTTATTTTGCAGCTTTTAAGGAACGTGTTGATTTTGATTTTTACCAGTAATATTATTTATTATTCACTTCACCTCCTAATTACTTTTATTGAAAATTAATTAGCCTCCAAATCAAAAGAGGATTCTCGTAAGATGGCTGATACTAAGAAAAGGCATGTTCACACCCTAAATAATACTAATAATAATTGGCAAATTTATAAGTCACCAAAATGGATGGGTTATGGGTAATGTTAATAATGGGAAGAAAAGGGAATCAAGAGATGGGCCATAATATGAATTAATTAATTCTTCTGTATTGGAGGTCATTTATTTTCTGACAAGAACACCATTTCTGAAAACCTCAAACCCATACCCTCCTCTTTGACCACACCACATTTATTTATAATTGTAATAACAACTCTATTCCAGAATTCTGGGTGCTGCTGCTATTTCTATTTTCAGTTTCTATTTTAAATAATTAATCAAAATAATAATTTCATGTAAATACTTGGGTATATACTACTCACCTATATGGCTATATTTTATCTTATAAGACTTTTATAATAATTTAATATTACTCCATTTATTTAGAAGAATGGCACAATTATCAATTGATTTGGTCGGATGTCTTGCAAGAAATTTATTTATGTGTGTATTTAATATTATGAAGGGTTTGGCAGCCAAATGCCTCCTAACAGCATGCATTTCCTATTTCCTAACCTATAATTGCATATTCTTTGAAATTAGTGGATATAATTTAACCATAATCATATCGTAAGAACGACCACAACTGCTGAACACAAAAGTCATAAATAATTTCCTGAAATAAAACTACTATGAAATATATACGTACATAAAAAAACTTTAAAAATCTTTATTTAGTATGAAGAAGTTTACCAACCAAAATAGGCAATCTTAGGACAAATTTGTTGGGTTTTCTTGTTAATGTTTTTCCAATTATTTGGTCATTCTACATTTTACAGTGCTGCTTCCGTTAATTTGAATAATATATATATATATATATATATATTTTTTCATAAAAAAGCCATTTAATATAATTTATTATTGAATATTGATTAGATATAGGTATAACCATTTTTTTAGTTATTTTTATAATTTATGGTAACCAATGGACGTGTCTGAAGGTTTTGTTGACCAATTAGGGTAGCTATTAATGAGTTGAGAGTCGAATATGGTTACTCCCAGGAGCAGAACTCCTCTGCATCCAAAGATTGCATGGCTGGTGCTGATTCGTCCTGGACTTATGGTCCTGGACGTTACATTGAATATATTACTACCATTAATACTCCCTCAGGTAATAAAAACATCACCACATATTCACAGTTTTCAAGGCTTTCTCGCAATTTTATTGTATTAGTATTTTCTTAAAAATTACATATAATATTAATTTTTTATTTAAAATAATATATATAATTTTATATAATTTAAAAAGGAAACAGAAAATATATTTGGATGATGATTTGGGAGTCAACTACACTCGAAGTCCGGAAGCGCTCATCCTTAGCTGTATATATATGTGTGAATGGGTCACAAATTGTGCTGCCATTATCTCCTTTGTTGTGCTCATTCTCTGCAGATTATAGTTTGTTTTTTTAAGTAGTAATGATCGAAGAGCTCTCTGCAAAACCCTAGCCAATTACGAATCTCTTTGGCGTTTAATTTGAATTCTTCGAGAAATAGTCGGTGAATTACATGGGGGAGATTTCATCGTCGGCCAATGGCGACCACGGAGTGGCGGTGAGGATAAAGGACGACGAATCCGCTTCCAGAAGCTTCGAGCGTTCCTCTGAATTTGCCTGTCTCTCCGTTTCTTTTATACAGAAGGTGAATTACTGTATGTTTGTTTGTTTATGTGAGTGTGCAGTTATTTCTAAGCTGTTTTGATCCTTCATTTCAGAATTTGTTTCGACGATTGATACTGAAAAGTATTGTTTGATCTTCAGTTTTTTCAATTTTCTTAAGCTTGGATTGAATTCGAAATCTGTTAATTAACTTCCATCTGTCGATCTCTTTCTAGCTGTTACGATTAAATGCGCACAAGTTGCTTGCATAAATGTCCAACTAATCGGAGCATTCACACTCTATCATTGATGATTATAATAATTGTTTGGATATTGATTTGAGGCAGATAATTGCGGAGACTCTAGGCACATACTTTTTGATATTTGCTGGATGTTCTTCGGTGGTAGTTAACGCCAACTATGAGAAAGTGGTGACGCTGCCGGGAATATCCATCGTGTGGGGACTGGTGGTGATGGTTATGGTTTACTCCGTCGGCCACATCTCCGGCGCGCATTTTAACCCCGCCGTGACAATCGCTTTCGCCACCTGCAAGAGGTTTCCATGGAAACAGGTAATTTTTTATTAAATTAAACCTAAATAATTTAGTACATCTCAATCGATCGATGATTCGATTCGTTAAACTACAAGACAAACAATTATTCTCAGCCTGTTTTGAATCATTCGTTGTCTGTTTCCTGAAATACTACGAATCCTATCCACATCATTGCGCTTCATTTACAACAGGATCATTCTGCTTTTGACTCTCTGCTACCGATTGTGTAGAACAATTTGAAGATTAATTAAAAGCAAATGAATTGATTAATGATGATGAAACAGGTACCAGCGTATTTAGTAGCTCAAGTATTGGGATCAACGCTGGCAAGCGGAACCCTGCGGCTACTGTTCAACGGTCCACACGACCACTTCGCCGGAACTCTTCCGGCCGGCAGCGACGTGCAGTCACTGGTAGTCGAATTCATCATCACATTCTACCTCATGTTCGTCATTTCCGGCGTCGCCACTGACAACAGAGCTGTAATAATTCTCAGCCTTTTGCTTGATCGAGCATTCAAACTTTTCCTGTACAAAAAATTAATTAATCAATTCCTGATTTCTTCTCATAATATACTATTACTTTTCATTATGGCGTAGATCGGAGAACTTGCTGGTCTGGCCGTTGGAGCTACCGTTCTTCTCAATGTGATGTTTGCCGGGTACGCACCTTGTGTTATTTATCTCTTTCATTTTTACATATAAAACACATTAGTTCATACAAATCAATATATAAATAATCTGCTGATGTATGTGCTGAACAGTCCATTAGTCGGTATAACGCTCACAACACATTAAATAACACACGAAATATAAATAACTATCAAATGATGTATTATTGACAAAACATAATAATAATAATAATAATAATAATAATCTATATAAGGAATACTAGCATACTACATAATCAAACTCTTAACACATAAGATTTATATAAAATAACATACTTCAAAATCTAAACCGACAACATATTGACATAACAAATGTTGTATTCGTTCAAGCATTTGCTGGCAGTCTAACCAAACACAAAATAATCACATTGCCTTCTACGAATAGCCAATCTAATTGACACTTAATTGATTTTATTTTTATAAATTCAATTATTAATATTAATATTATATATGGGTGTAGGCCTATATCGGGGGCATCAATGAACCCAGCGAGGAGTCTTGGCCCAGCAATTGTGTGGAGCAAATACAAAGGAATATGGATATATCTATTAGGCCCAACAGCCGGGGCGGTTGCCGGGGCATGGGTCTATAATATTATCAGGTTTACAGATAAGCCTCTTCGTGAAATTACCAAAAGCGCCTCCTTTCTCAAAGCCTCTTCCAAGAACACTTCCACCTAGCTCTACTCTCTAAGAATAAACCAGTTTTTTTTTTTTTATTTTTTTTATTGTATCCTGATTGTTTCTGTAGTATGTAAAATAGTGCATCTTAGCAACTCTGAAGTAATTATATATTATTTTAATTGTTCGCGAAAAAACTATTAATATTGTGGCAGGCAGATGAGCTTTTTTTTTTTTTTTTTGAATATTGGATGCTCCAGCTGTGGATTGGAGTGAGATAATAATAATTAATGTGAATATACTAGCAAGTGGCAGACGGGTTTGTAGCTTGTACGTACAGAAAGAACCATTTATTATTAAAATATGAACTTAAGACATGTTTGACGGATTAATTGAAACGTTTGTCACAAATTATCCATGCAATAATTAAGTAGTTATTAGGATATACGGTTTTGATCAATTACATTTAACAATTACTGTTGTGAAAACACAACTTTTAATAAATTTCGAGTGTGGGGCAATTGATGATCCATGTATGTAATGAAACTATTGTGTCGACTAGAAGAAAATAATTTCAAGTCATTACGAATATTATTATACATTTGAAAATTAAACGATTGCCGAATTGAATTTGTCATTAGAAATGACGTTGGATAAACAACAACGGCCTCGAATAAAATAATACCCAGATAATTGACCTGTACGAGTACGAATACGACTACGATCGTTTTAAAATCCCTTTCAAATCCACTCTTGCTTAAAAAATTTCCATAATTTCTGCTTCTCTCTCTTTCCCTTGCTTTCTCGCCATTCTCAAAAATCAGGAAGCAATTCGTGTTCGTTTGATCATAGGCCTGTCTGATATATACACACTTCTTGCAGGAATCTAAACCAGCAAATCATTTTTACATTGGAGCGGTTAACAAAGTTTGAATTTTAAGTTGAAGTTACTGCACTTGTTGTCGAATCTTGATGTTCGAGGATGGAGGTTGTTTCTTGGGTTCTTGCCGTTTGCTGTTTCGGGATTTTAAGGTTGTCTGCGTCGCAGCAGGTGCCGCGAGAAGAAGGTGCGTACGTTAACGTGATTGACTTGTCTTCCAATTTCCGTGTCCCGAGTTGATACTGTATTTGCTCGAACGGGAATTCGTAGGTTTCGCGATTTGATGTCTGATTTTATTTTTTATTTTTTAAATTTTCTGGGCAGTGGATGCTCTTCAACAAATTGCGTCAGAGATTGGCGTGAAGTACTGGAAATTTGATGCTAATTTATGCGAAGCAGAGATGCTTGGGGCTTCGCCTGTTCCTCCACGTGGCTCTGAAGGTTATGTCGAATGTAACTGCAATTATGACAACAACACTGCCTGCCATGTTACCATAATGTAATGTTTCTTGCATCTTCTTGCTTGATATGTTTTGATTTTCTCAGCATTTGATGTTTTTCTTCACTTATTCTACTTGAAACTGGAGTGATCGATTGCACATTATTAACATCTCAAAGTGGTTTTCTTTAGTTTCTCTGTAACAGTGAACATTTCACAATTTCGATTTTGATTTTGATCAATCCTTTTGTTACTTCTTTGGCAGTGTGATTAAAAGTTATGATCTCACGGGAGTTCTTCCGCCTAGCATTGTGAAGCTTCCATACCTTCAACATGTGTAAGTCTCTACCAAGTTTGACTGATTCTTGTCGACTGCCGTAATTAGTGATCATGCTGTTTATTACAGTGATTTTGCTTACAACCTTCTCACCGGTACATTTCCGAAAGAATGGGCTTCAACTAAGTTAGAATTCATGTAAGCTCTATCCCTCGTGCATAATTTGGATATAATACATTCTTGTTCATCTGTATTTAACCTTGTTGCCAATGCTTTTTATGCAGTTCTGTACTTGTAAATCGTTTATCAGGGCCAATACCGGAGTTGCTGGCGAACATATCTAGCCTCACATACTTGTATGTCATCTGTATAATCTTTTCTATCAGTGCACGGTTACGGATTTTGGACTGAAGTTTGTAAATAATAATTAAATCGAATTACTCGAGAAAATTACTGTCTACCCGTCTTGCTCAGGAACCTAGAGGCGAACCAATTTTCAGGTGCTATTCCTCCTGATATTGGGAGGTCGACTGGCTTAAAAACTTTGTAAGATTTCGAATTTCAGATACCCGGAAATTGATATATTTGTGTTTGAAGCCACGGTAGATGATTTCATTTTGCTTCATTGTTGATTGAATCATAGGATTTTGTCTTCCAACCAATTAACCGGTGAAATCCCGACATCTTTTGGTGATCTTACAAACTTAACTGACTTGTAAGCACAAATACTATCTTATTCGATTATTTATTCTCGTGATTTTAGTTTTTATCGTCTGATGTGTTCAATTATTTCCTCTTGCAGTAGAGTAAATGATAACAACTTAAGTGGAAGAATACCGAACTTCATTCAGAACTGGAAACAGCTGAGTAAGTTGTAAGATCTCTATCCACTTCAAATTGGATCGATGCTCTCGGAATTCTTCTCTTGATAACTTTATTCTTACGTTGTTTTTTTTTTTTTTTTTGAAGAGAAATGTTCGCTAGCGGACTGGAGGGCCCTATTCCCTTCAACATATCTCTTCTGAGCATGCTAACTGACTTGTGAGTCGACCATGGCCTATAGTCATCCTGTTTTTTGGATAAATATCGAAGATCGTCTGATAGAATTTCTATATCAGGAGGATTAGTGATCTAAAAGGTCCAGCACAGGAATTTCCGATTCTAAGGAGCACCACAAGCCTGGTAACATTGTATGTCAAGTAACACGAACTTAATTGTATTCCTCTTGATTATTCGTGAGCTGCAAAGAATGATTTATTCTTCGATGTAGGATTTTAAGAAACTGTAACATTACTGGAGAAATCCCCACGTATATTTGGAGACTGAGACTTCTGACAATGCTGTGAGTAACCAACTATTATGTTGCTTTGTTATTTGAATGTCTTCTCTTTCGATATTTTAGTTCTAACAGAATAAAATACATCTTTCTATCTACTTTTTTACGATATAGTCTCTGTTCTGTCGCCCACAGGGATGTCAGTTTCAATAAGATAGTCGGGGAGATTCCAAATCGCATTGCAAGAAATCTGAAACTTGTGTAAGTTCAAACTTTACTGTTTTCGCCAAATTTGTTTAGCTTGTATAGCAAGATTTTATCGACTATGAAATTCCTCTGAACAGGTTTGTTACTGGTAACATGCTGAGTGGAAGAATACCCGACTCGCTCTTGAAGGATGGAAGCAATATGTATGTTTTTGTATCCATCATATTCCCTAACAATTTTCTTCTTCGGTATGATGCAATTTTGTTTGTTTATTTGTGTTTCTGAAATGTGAAGTGATTGCCTTTTCTATGCAGTGACCTTTCTTACAACAACTTTACCTTGCAAGGTCCCGACGACCCTACATGCCAAACGAACATGTAAGAAAAGCTACTACATTGCTCTATTATTGTTTCTTTCTTTCTTTTTTTTTCTCGCTATTACATTTGTTGACTGGTTATGATTAATCTCCTGCAGAAATAGAAAGGTAACCTTGTTCAAAGGCACATCGACAACAAACACATTGTAAGATGCAATTATGTTTTTTGCCACTTCTTTAAAAATTCTATTACATGAGTTAGCATTGTAAGATGTTCTTATGCTTAACCTGAACAGAAGTCGGATTCTTCCGTGTGCTAAGGAAGTCGTCTGCCCGAAATGTAAGCCCTTTTCTTTTTTCTTCCTATGAAGTCTTAAATATTCCGCGTAGAACAATACAACAACCCAATTTTATGTTTTCCGTAGTTGAGTTTGAGGTTATATAGTTTTGAAATAACTCTATATTTTGTGTTTTGAATATTATTAAGAATTTTTATGTTTTCATATGCCAGATAGATGTTCTTTACACGTCAATTGTGGCGGGGAGGATTTGATCACCAAAGAAAACAATAGGAGAGTTACATATGAAGGAGATACCGGAGGCGATGTTGCAAGATATTTAAGTGATAAGAACTGGGGATTTATTAGCTCGGGCGACTTCCTCGACGAACCTATTTATCAAAATTCACGTGTGATCACAATCACATCAGGATCGAACCTCTCTGGCTTATACAGTTCGGCTCGCCTTAGCCCTCTTTCACTTACCTATTTCCATTATTGCTTGGAGAATGGGAGTTATAATGTGAGCCTGCACTTTGCTGAAATACATTTTGCGAATGAAAGTTCGTATTACAGTCTAGGAAGGCGGATGTTTGATATATATATCCAGGTTATTTTCGGATCATCAGATTAGTTCGTTGCCATTTGCCACGCGACTGTACTGATTTTTCTGAAACTGTTTTTTTACTTCAGGAGAAATTAGTTTGGGAGAATTTCAACATCGAAGATGAAGCTGGTGGAGCTAGAAGACCTGTGGTTGAGTTTTTCAATGTCACGGTATCGGATGGTACATTGGAAATCCGATTTTATTGGGCTAGTAAAGGTACTATTCGAATTCCCAACCGAGGGGATTATGGCTCTCTTGTATCGGCTATTTCCGTCAATCCAAGTAAGCACTTCATTTCAACTTTGTCAGCATTTTCTTGTGGTCTTAAATTTGGAGCTCGATGTGATATTGTTGAAACCGAAGCTTGCAGATAAAGCTCTTTCCTACATCACTCTTTATTCATTCGTCTAAATTCTTAAACAGATTTCAAAGTTTGCGTAGACGGTAGTAGCAAGAATGTAGCTGCTTTTGTAGTGCCCGCCGTCTTGGCAGTATTCGTTATTTTTGCAGTACTTTTCATCCTTTGGTGGAATGGCTGGTTTGGAAACCGAAAAGGATTTAGAGGTATGCAACCGTAAATTCCGAAATGATGAATTTGTGAAATCTAAGGTCTAAATGCCGCAAGTGAAGACTCGTTTTGCGCTTATCAGGTTTCGAAGGACTTGAACTGCAAACAGTTGCTTTTACCTTGAAACAAATTAGAGTTGCGACTAACAACTTCGATGCTGCGAACAAGATTGGAGAAGGTGGTTTCGGTCCAGTGTACAAGGCAGGTTTTGCTGGGTGATTTCTTGGTTCTTTTCTCGTCTTTGACGATTTTATATCAATCTGATGCGAAATCTGCGACAGGGTCGACTTCCCGATGGTACTGTAATAGCTGTAAAGCAGCTGTCGTCGAAATCAAGGCAAGGTAATCGAGAGTTTTTAAATGAGATCGGCATGATTTCTTGCTTGCAACACCCGAATCTTGTGAAGCTGCACGGATGCTGCATCGAAGGAGATCAGTTGCTATTGGTGTACGAGTATATGGAAAACAACAGCCTCGCCAACGCTTTGTTTGGTAAATGTTCGCTTACTCGAAAGCTCTCTGTCGACATGTTTATTGACGCCTCAACGGCTAGTTGGTATTAATTCAGGTTCGAAGGAAAGCCAGTTGATCCTAGACTGGCCAACAAGGTTTCGGATCTGCCTGGGAATCGCCAAAGGATTAGCATTTCTTCACGACGAATCGAGGCTGAAGATTGTTCATCGCGACATTAAAGCTACTAATGTGCTGCTGGATAAAGACCTGAATCCTAAAATATCCGATTTTGGCCTGGCGCGGCTTAATGAAGACGAAAATACACATATTAGCACGAAAGTTGCAGGAACAATGTGAGTTCGCCTATTCGATACATATATATATATAGATAGATATAGATATAGATATAGATAAGCTAGCTTTTCTTACAATGTGTGCATTCATTTCCGGATACAGAGGATATATGGCGCCGGAATATGCACTGTGGGGGTATTTAACCGACAAAGCAGACGTTTACAGCTTCGGGGTTGTGATGTTGGAAATTGTCAGCGGCAAAAGCAACAACAATTACATGCCGAGTCACAACTTCATTTGCCTTCTAGATTGGGTACTGAAAAAAGACATTGTTAATTCGATTTCAGAATGTTCCAAACTTGTCTGAGTTTTCGACTGTGTTTATTAATTGCAGGCTAGTCACTTGCAAGAAAGCAAGAACATAGACGAGCTCATCGATGAAAGGCTAGGATCTCGAATCGACAAAGAGGAAATTGAAAAGATCGTGAAAGTAGCGCTACTCTGCACGAATGCGACTGCTTCGATCAGGCCAACGATGTCTGAAGTCGTGCAGATGTTCGAAGGGCAAATGGCGATCCCGGATGTCGTCGCGGAGGGAAGTTCGTACACGAACGACGTGAGATTTAAAGCCATGAAAGACTTCCATCGAGAGAAGCAGAATCAGAGCTCTACATGGAGCTTAACACAGTCCCAAATCCAGTATTCGACGACCATACAGACAGATGCCAATTACTATGCTTCATCGACCTCTCGCACTAACTAAATCGATAATGTTACCATGTATATCATGTTCTTGATTTTCCATATGTAAGTTTGTGTAAATGAATCACGATCCAAGTTGCTGTCGGAATATTGTAGATTCTTTGCGGAAATATCTTGGTGTGTAAATATTATAGGACTTCTTTACTTAAAAATGTGATGTAACTTCGAACAGCTCTCAGAATAGAAATAAATACTAAACCTGACATTGTAGCAAGTGTGAAACAAATTTGTTGCTCGAACCAAACAGGGAAATGAATGTCGTATTTATTTGTTGCAGTGATGATTTGGTGGATAGAAACGGTTTAATTGATTATCAACCAAATGGATTAACGAGGTGGGGGAGAAGGTGAGAAAGGAGATGTCAAATTCAAGATTCTTTTTTTTATTTAAATAAAAATTATTTAATCTGCCGCACAAAAGGACAACGCGTTTCTGGCTTTTATTACAGTCAAACGCTACCTTTGAATTATATATATATATACATGTATATATATAAAAGGGTGGATTTTTTTCACAAACGGCGATGAATCGGCAAACAACCGCACCGAAACCATCAAGATTGGTTTTTTTGTGAAAGTCCAAAGTCCAAACTTTGACTCATCAACACCGCCATTCCTACTTTTCTCAACCCTTCCAAACCAAAGAAACAACTCAACCCATCACCAAAGCTGTCGATTTCTTTCATGTTATTTTAGCCCGCAATGAAGAAGCTTTCTTGAATCTTGAAAATATCCGATGGATTCGCCCCTAAAGGAGAAGTTTTGCAGCCTTGCAGTCTCGGAAAATGCACTGATTACCACTCTCTGCAATTCTATCCAGGCTCTTGGCCGTGGCTTCGATGTCACTTCTGACATCAGACTGCTGTACTGTAAGGGCGTCCCAGGGTCCCGTTTGGTGCATATCGACGAGGAGCATACCAGGAATTGGGAAATCTCTGAGTCTTGTGCGATCCCTAATGTTTCGGTGGACATTGAGCTGTCCAAGGGCCAGAATTCGTACGAGAACACACCTGTCTGGAGCTTCCATGAGGTCAGGTTTATCTCGAAATCGTGATTTTGCTGTAGTTAGTAATATCCCCTTTCTTGGATTTACTGTCCTTTTCTGTGAATTGGTTTGTGGGGTTTCTGTTTTTTTTTTTTTTTTTGGGTAAAAAGATCGCCCTCATTTGTGTTGTGATTATTGGAAAATAGGTTTGAAATGGATCTTGATTAGGGTTTCTATCTTGGTTATTTGATGAACTTGTGATTGTTGGATATGTTTGGTAAAATATATTGGTGATGATTGGGATTGAGGGGTTTTGCTTTCTAAAATGGATTGTGAAATGTCTGATTTCTTGTTTCTGGTTAATGTGTGATATTCTGAATCATTTTCAATCTGATGGATGATTGTTTGTTTGGATCTTGATAGGATGGTTATGATGATGGTTTTGATATATGTTGTTGTTTGATGAATCTTTATGATGCATTTTTCAAGTTCAAAGGATTTTTTTTATACTTTAACCTTATTGGATAGTTTTTGTGAACTGAGGGTCATTAAGCTTTTGTAAGTGAAAACGATGCTGATGTTATCTTGTGGGAAAGAATGATATTCCGTGTCTGTGTTCTTCATTGCAATCTTCGATTGGCGAAAGGAAATTCTACTTTCGGGCAGCTTTCTTTGTTTCAAGTCTTTGATTGTAAAATGTAGTTATGCATATTTGTGTATAGGTACTTATGATCTGCAGTGTGTTAATGGAAAATGTGTATATATATATTTAACAATATAGCGGAGGGAATCATCAGCCACAATACTTTTGATACGGCTACTTGAAATGGAAATTTTATTATTGAACAAAATGTTATTTCTTAAACACTCGCATACTGAAGGGGAGATACGTCGAAGGAAAGTTCATTTAGGAAATGCAACCTTGCCCCTTTTGTTTCCATCTAGTGTTGTGATTCAATACAAAATTAAATACACTGTCTGATTGAAGTTCGTGTTGGTTGTGAGATTTGAAAAATGGGCTATTGATTCTTGGATTTACAGATGGCAAGAACCTTCAATGAAAAGTCGAATGTACCTGGTGATATGCCCCTTGGAAGCTTCAATGCAATGTTCAATTTTAGTGGTTCTTGGAAACTTGATGCTGCCGTTACGAAATCACTCGCAATGGTCGGATATATAATCCCACTATTTAGGGTCGATCTAGCAAAACCCGATTTAGCCTTGCGCGATGAAATCAAACGAGCAGTTCCATATTCTTGGGATCCAGCCTCTTTGGCAAGGTGAATTATTTCTCAAAATTAACCAAAACTTCTGTTGATTTTATGTAATAAATTCTTGTGAAGGTTTAAATTGAATACCTGTCTTTGAGCTTAACGCAAAAAAGTTCATCCCCAGCTTCATCGAAAACTATGGCACACATGTTGTAACTTCTGCAACAATTGGTGGAAGGGATGCAGTCTATATAAGGCAGCATCAGTCATCGCCGTTATCGACATCGGATATCGAAAACTATGTGAAAGACATTGTTGATCAGAGGTTCTCAGATTCCAGGGCCAATACAAGTGCCGGCGCATTAAAATACAAGGACAAGGTTAGTTAAAGCTGCGTTCTTTGACCACCTATTTTTATAAACTTTACACTTTGGATTTTTTTATGTCGTCAAGAAATCTCAATGAAAATCAGGATTGGTTTATGGTTTACCACGCAGGATGTTACTGTCATCTTTAGAAGGAGAGGGGGCGACGACCTAGAGCAGAGCTACACAAAATGGGCAAAGAGTGTCGAAACGGCACCTGATGTGATTAACATGACGTTTACGCCTATTGTATCTTTGCTTGATGGGGTAGCTGGAATAAAACACTTATCGCGCGCTATTGAGTTATACTTGGAGTGTAAGAATTTTCCCTCTCTTTTTTGATCTGATAAGATTTTTTGATCTTTTGATAACTTTGGACTTCACATAAGTTTATAGAAACGACAAATAAGACATATGGAAACTGTTGCACGGTTTAGAGGCTCTTAAGCATTTTCTTGTATTTATTCGAGCAATAAAGCATGTTTGATTTTTCCAAATTTACGTTAAACTGGATAATTTGTCTGTTGATCTTATTGTACGGAGATCTTTGTCTTTTTCAGACAAGCCACCGATAGAGGATCTACAGTACTTCTTAGATTTCCAAATCTCTCGGGTTTGGGCTCCGGAAGTGAACAACTTGCAACGGAAAGAACCTGTTTGCCCGTCTCTTCATTTCAGTTTAATGGGTCCTAAGTTATACATAAGCCCAGATCAGGTATGTTATCCGAAAAAGTGCTAAATTCCGTTTGTGAATGCGTGAAACTTTTTTCATAATACTTTCCATCACAGGTTACAGTTGGCCGTAAGCCGGTCACCGGACTAAAGCTCAGTCTTGAAGGCAGCAAACAGAACCGCCTCGCGATCAACTTGCAGCACCTAGTTTCCCTTCCCAAGATCCTTCAGCCCCACTGGGATGCCCACGTGGCCATCGGCGCGCCCAAGTGGCAAGGACCCGAAGAACAGGATAGCCGCTGGTTCGAGCCCATAAAGTGGAAGAATTTCTCCCATGTCAGCACGGCACCAATAGAATGCACCGACACATGCATTGGCGATCTCTCAGGGGTCCATATTGTCACCGGGGCGCAGCTCGGTGTTTGGGATTTTGGCGCTAAAAGTGTCTTGCATCTCAAACTCCTCTTCTCGAGAGTACCGGGATGCACGATAAGGCGATCCGTGTGGGACCACAGTCCATCCAATTTGTCCGCGGGACAAAAGGCAGATGGTTCTTCATCTTCATTGTTGAATGAGAAAGGGGACGGTTCGGGCCAAATTGGGAAACTGGCGAAAATAGTGGACATGACTGAAATGTCGAAAGGAGCGCAAGATATGCCAGGTCACTGGCTTGTGACGGGAGCCAAGCTTGGAGTCGATAAAGGGAGAATCATGTTACGCATCAAGTACTCTCTATTGAACTACTGATAGATCATTTTTTTTTTTCTAGCATTCTCACTTGTATTATTGTACCTTCGCCTTTTCACAGGTTAGGGATGTTTCGGCATTGTTCCTTTATTCTTCTTTCTTGCATAGCTTGTCGCTTAGTCTATTCTTGTGTACATTTGTTGATATGATTTTTATGACGATGCGCTTGGCCATTTTTCGGTTGATTGGTGTTGTTTTAAGCGATGTGCACTCAGTAATGAATTGAGTTCGATAAAAGTTGCATGTTTCTTACAGTTTCTGGCTATGTGTTGCCTGTGGTTTCTCCAGAATATCAAACTCCATATTTTCTTGGTTCCTCACTAAGTAATAAACTAATGCTGCTTCTGTTTCTACATCTGTATTTTTTGTGTTTTAACTTTTCTGCAAGACTGCTTCAACTAGAAAGGGATTGACAGTATTTTATCATTCTTTGATGTTTCATATTATCATTGAATCTGAAAGTGAGATGATGTGCAACCGAATTTGATGCTCTTTTGTTTCTTTTAATCTGTGGTAATATGTGCCAAGACGCTTGAGGAAAAATGGCAGGAAAGGACAGACTAGTCGGAATCACCGGCTTATTCAAGCTGTGTATGAATTATGAATGGGAACTTAAGCAGCATATGTTGTTATCAGCATCAAAGAATCGAGATGCCCAAGGCGGCGACAAGGATATTCAGACAAGAGCGACTGTTTTCTAAGATTGTTCGCTCATAAATTTAGCTTCGCTAGTCTTAGATTTCTGCCACTCTTTTGCTACTAACTTCAGTTTTTCCCTTTTGAGTTCTCTATGGTACTTTGAGCTTATGAAGTTATCGATCTAGCATCTAAAGATTTTAATTTCCCTAACATTTGATTGCTTGTTTGTTTGTGTATGCAGGAAAAATCTGAAATTATTGAAGGGAAAGTGAACTGGAAAGGAGAAGCAGCTCGGAAAGGCGAGCATGGAGGATTTCAGCCTTCTGTATTGATCTTAGGTACTTTGTAAACAAAGCATTTCACCTAAAAGTTTAAACTTAAAAATACGTATTATTAATTATTATAACATACTTCATGATGGTAAGAATTGAAAATGAAGGTGCATTCGCTTTTGAGAGCATGGCAACGCTGGCCGTGGCAGTTAACCTCATGACATACTTTACGGGAGTGATGCGCTTCAATGTCGCCGACTCAGCTAACCAGCTGACGAACTTATTGGGCACCTCCTACATACTTACCATCCTCGCCGCCTTCCTCGCAGACGCCTATGTTGGCAGGTTTCGTGCAGTTATTTTCGGAGCATCCATTGAGCTCCTGGTAAGGATCCTACAATCTAGTTTTTTTTTACCTTAAGAGAAACAATTTAAGACAATCGAATCTTCATCCAGGGATTCGGGCTGCTGTCGCTGCACGCGCACTATTCAACAGTCAAGACAAGCGGATCCAGCGCCGTGCACCTATTTGCAGCTCTTTACTTGGTCGCCTTTGGCTCTGCCGGAGTGAAAGCTGCTCTGCCTTCGCACGGCGCAGATCAGTTTGACGACAAGGACCCGAAGGAGGCAGAGCAGAAGTCGAGCTTCTTCAACTGGCTTCTCCTGGCGGTGTGTGTTGGAGGCGTCGTTAGTCTAACGTTCGTCGTGTGGATCCAAGTTAATCGAGGATGGGATTGGGGCTTTGCTGTTAGCACCTTCGCTATGATCTTTGCGGTGATAATACTCGCGGCCGGATTGCCACGGTATAGAATCCATGTTATCGATGGTAGCAGCGCCCTCACCGAAATTGTACAGGCAAGTGTACATTCGAAACTTTTTTTGTCCATTCGAAACATCGGTTCTTTCACACTTCTTGCGACATTTACAGGTATTCGTCGCAGCTATCCGGAACAGAAAGCTTCAACTTCCGGTGAACTCCAAGGAGCTCTTTGAGATCAAGGAAGGGACCGTAGCTTCTCCTGATGTCGAATTTCTACCTCACACTGATGATTTCAGGTTTTGAATAATCGATCGTTACATTACGTTCGAATCGCGGAATTAAACAAGAAGCTAATGTGTCGTTTCTTCCCAGGTTCTTGGACAAAGCGGCAATTCAGACATCTTTAACGGATGATGTCTCGAGTCCGTGGAAGCTCTGTAGAGTGACACAAGTCGAGAACGCCAAGATCTTACTGAACATACTCCCGATTTTCTGCTGCTCCATTGTCATGACTCTTTGCTTGGCTCAGCTGCAGACATTCTCGATCCAGCAGGGAGTGACGATGGACACGAGCATCACCGATCATTTCAAGATACCGCCCGCGTCGCTCCCCATAATTCCGGTCACTTTTCTCATTGTCATTGTTCCGATATACGACCGGGCTTTTGTCCCGTTTGCACGAAGACTCACCGGGATCCCCACAGGGATCACATACCTGCAACGCGTGGGAGTCGGGCTGATCCTCTCATCTCTGTCCATGGCTGTGGCTGCAGTCGTTGAAGTAAAGCGCAAGCGCGTCGCGAAAGACCACGGCATGATTGACGCGCCGACGCTGCCGCTCCCGATAAGTGTGTTCTGGCTATCGTTCCAGTTCTTCATATTTGGGATTGCAGACATGTTCACTTATGTTGGGCTGCTCGAATTCTTCTATTCCCAAATGCCGAAGGATATCAAGTCCCTCTCCAGCTGCTTCCTCTGGAGCTCCATGGCGTTGGGATACTTCCTCAGCACCATCATCGTCAATGTAGTGAATCGAGCAACCGAAGACATTACGAGGAGCCGGGGATGGCTGAATGGAAACAACATCAACAGGGGTCATCTGAACTTGTTCTATTGGCTGCTGTCTGTATTGAGTTTGTTCAATTTCTTCGTCTATCTTATGGTTTCTAGAAGGTACAAATACAGGAAAGACATCAATGGAGCTGCCTCTGCAACTGCAAGGGAGGGCCGTGTGTAAGAACTAAAGCAAGCTTAGATGCACCATTGTGAACATGTTTTTCTATTATCACCTGTATTTAAATTCCTTTTCTTGGATAAAAAGAACATGTTTCTAGACATTTTAAGTGTACACTTTCGATTTCGATGAATTCCTGATTCGGGCAGCAGAATCTCTTCTCATAATTCACAAATCTTTATCATCAATGGAGATTTTCCTTCCCACTCTGGAAAACACCAATTAGGTTACCCTCGTTGATCAATAGCTTTGTACGTGAAAATCAATCAACGTTGTAATGAAGTTATAGAAACTCTTAAATAGCCTCTGAATGTTCTTGATCATGACTTGCAAATTTCTACGTTGAGACAAATCTTCTACACTTTCTTGAAGAAATCTCCACCGTTTATATTCTTCATGTGAGCCACAACGATGGACAGGGAAGGTACAGTACAGATCATTTCATTTATGAACTAAAATCGCGTTTTGGTCTCAAATTCTAGAAAATACACTCTTGCGATTTTACCTGAACCGAAGAAGAGTATGGAATTGGGATTATGTGGCGAGGATTATGGCCCTTAACTTTCTTTCTTCTTTGCGAGCCTGACTGGAAGTGAGCATGGAGTGTGGTGGCCTATCAACAGTGACGATCCCTTCGTTTTCTTGTTCAGGAACTTCGAAAGCACAGGTGTGTGGTAGAAATACAAACTTGAAATTGCTTGAATTAAGCTATTATGGAAGTTTGGGTAGACGAAATTTGAAGTTGTTTAAGTTTTTATTGCCTGTTCTTTCTTGATTTCTTCTATTTTGAGTTAAGCCATTTTCTGATTCTCGCAAGATTCTTCGTTTCTGTTTTTCCATTGTTTCCTTCATTCGATTTTTTTATTCTTCACTTGGTACTTGAGGAAGTTCTGCTAATTTTTATGCTTTGGTTATATCACAAACTGCCACACGTCCTTCAATATTTGGATCTTAGAATGATATGATTTTTTTGACATGATCTTACTTTTATCTTGAAAACATATATCTATATCTATATATATAATAGCAAACTTGTAAATCTATCATTTTTTTTATGTTTGTGCTCCCATTTCTTGATGTTGCAGGGTGTGTCATTTGTTACCAGAAAATTACACAGGTCGTGCTCTCATCCACTGGTCTTGCCTAATCCACTTCCAGGCTCCTTTCTCCCACATAAATCTCATCTGTATTATTACCAGAATAAGTCGACGTTTTCCTCAAGAATCTCTCGCAGCTTCATTTTCTCACAATCTGGAAAGCAAAGTTGGGATATAGGTAGATTCTTGAAAACATTGTACTTCTACAACGGTCCTCCCTCACCTGCAAAGGTTCATCTTGCTTAATCCTCGACATTTTGTGGCTAGCTAATGTGATTTGTAATTTAACCTGACAATCTCTCATTTATGTTTGAAGTTCTTTGAATTTTTGGTTGAGAAACTATCTGGCCCGTCACCTAGTGAAGCAGCAAAAGAAATGGCAACAGATGGGATAATACTAGTGGCCGGAGCTACTGGCGGCGTTGGAAGAAGGGTGGTGGATCTTTTGCGAAGGAAAGGGTCGGCAGTACGAGTTTTGGTAATACCCATGTGAGCTAATAATTCTTTTTGTTCCCGTTGTTATCCCACATGAGTAATGATAGTAAAATCAAAGGTAGAGAGAAAATGAGATCAGATGTTCTAATGTTGGATCGTTTCGTATTTCATGAATCTTCGATCTTAGTCCAACTTCATTGCAGGTTAGAAATGAAGAGAAAGCAAGAAGTATGCTGGGTCAAGATGTTGATTTGGTAGTCTTCGATCTTATTATCGAATTTCATTACACTTTTGTCATTTCTCTTTAAAGTGTCCTAATCTTTAGATAGCATACTTCTAGTTGTCCCAAAATGACTGTTACATCTTATTTCGTGCAAACTAGGATTCCTTTTAAGTTATTAAATAACTTTTATATCGTTGAGTGCTATTTAAAACGAAGGAAAACTTGACCATGTCGTATTTTGCATCCCAAACTCATGTTAAAATAATGTACAAGGTTGTTGGCGATATTACAAAAGCGAGCACCTTGTTACCTGAATACTTTAAAGGAGTACGAAAGGTGATCAATGCTGCATCAGTCATTGTTGGACCAAAGGAAGGCGACACTCCAGATAGAGCTAAATATAGCCAAGTGAGTTTATGTCCTAATAACATGAGAAGCATATTTCCACTTGCTAGCGATTGCTTGCATTTTATTTCTTTTGTTCGCTTTCTAGTCGATATCTAATGTTCGCTAATTTGCAGGGAATCAGATTTTTTGAACCTGAGGTTAGTTAAAAATCAATATAAACTTTTACTTGGCTATTGCAATCAAATGCCTCTGGATATTTGTTTGTTGATGAAAACAGATTAAAGGTGATTCCCCTGAAATGGTGGAGTTCATTGGAATGAAAAATATGATCAATGCTGTTAAAGATACGGTTGGACTTGAGAGTGGTAAACTGTTGTTTGGATTTGAAGGTATATTCCCGAACATCCTTTGCCGATAAATACCCCAAAATCTCAATTGGATGAAATTTAAAGAACATCCAATTTTTGGAAATATAGTATGATAATTTCTAAGTAAAGCCACTTCATTTCTAAAATACTTAAAAGTGATCTTTCTTTCTATTCAAAATTAATATTCTCCTCTTTCGTTTTCATTTTTCTTGTAATGGCGTAGGTAATTTGTCTAGAGATCTTCCTTGGGGCGCTCTGGATGATGTCGTCATGGGAGGAGTGAGTGAGAGCACTTTTCAGATAGATCCCAGCGGTGGCGAAAATGATAAACCCACAGGAGTTTTCCGAGGTTTGTTACTTTCTTGATCGAACTAGGGAATCAGACCTTATGTTGATGTGGCTGCTATTTTGTTTCAAGAATTCTATTTGCATTTTTGTATACAGGAGTTGTTTCGACTGCAAATAATGGAGGTTTCGCTAGTATTAGGACAAAGGTAAATTTAGTTCTTATCCATCCCTCTGTTTCACTTTTGATCAAGTGATCTCTCTGAAGTCGAGACTTTTAGATTGTATGCTCTATTGATGGATGAAGAAACTTCTAGCAGTTGTGATCTTTGGGATTTGATTTCTTTGATACTTTCTGCAGAATTTTTCTACACCTGAGGATCTATCTGCATATGATGGTCTTGAGTTACGTGTTAAAGGTGATGGTCGTCGCTATAAACTCATTGTTCGTACCAGCCGCGAATGGGACACTGTTGGGTATACAGTTGGATTCGATACAGTGAAGGATCAATGGCAAACGGTAGACATTTTTCGTAAAATAGTTTCTGCTCCATCCAAAGATCATGACTTTATATCAATGGTACTAATGCTTCCATCATCACTCTCAGATTCGCTTACCTTTCTCTTCTTTGAGCCCTGTATTTCGAGCAAGAACCGTGCCAGATGCGCCACCGTTTAATCCTAGCGAAATTGTATCATTCCAGGCATGATTCGATGAATACTATCGACTAGAATCCTCTTTCGTTCTATGTATAAATCATTCTTATTTCATCGAATAACAAATAATGCAGCTCATGTTTAGCAAGTTCGAGTACGATGGAAAGCTAAACCCAACTTTTGTCGAGGGTCCATTTCAGCTTCCTGTATCAACCGTCCGAGCATACTTGAAGGAGCCGATCACTCCCAGGTTCTACAGTTTATCATGTTACGTACGTTCACAGGCACCTGGAATGCACACGCGCCGTTACTCTTGTATTTTCAAATTCCTCAGGTTCGTGCACGTAGGCTCAGCCGGTGTCACCAGGCCCGATAGGCCGGGGCTTGATCTAAGCAAGCAGCCTCCAGCCGTTCGAATGAACAAGGAATTGGGCTTCATTCTCACATACAAGTTGAAGGTTCTCATTCATATATATTACCAGATAAGCTTATTTCAATATCTTTTTCATTATGTCGAATTCATAAATGTGGCGACAAATCATTGCATAGGGGGAGGATGTGCTCCGGGAGAGCGGGGTACCTTATACGATTGTCAGGCCATGTGCATTAACTGAGGAACCGGCCGGAGCTGATCTGATCTTCGATCAAGGGGACAATATCACAGTATGATCTGCTGTATATGGCAATTTATGGCGAGTTTACGAGGTTTCTACTACCATTATTCTGCTTGTCTTCGTCTACAGGGTAAGATTTCCAGGGAGGAGATTGCGCGAATATGCATTGCTGCACTAGACAGTCCTTACGCTCGCGGCAAGACATTCGAGGTACCATTCTTTTGATTCGCCTTGTTCGAAAAGTAGATGACTAGATCCTCTGCTGAAAAATCTTCTTTACAGGTTAAGAGTGTCATTCCTTTCAGCGAACCGTATACGATCGACCCGGAAAATCCTCCTCCTGAAAAAGATTACGACGCCTACTTCAAAACTCTGAAGGATGGCGTTACAGGGAAAGAGAGCTTAGAACAAGAGCCTGTTCCTGTCTGAAATTTGACATGGTGAGCTGATCTTAGCAGCAGTCTTTACTCTTTTGTATATCGATAAGTTCTCTTATCTTTTGTTGTTGTAAGTTTAATCTTTCTTTTGAGAAAGAATGAGTAAAGGTTGCATCCATGATAAGGAAGAAAGTTGGAAGCTTTACAATGGGATCATAGTATGAAAGGAGATAGTAAATATATGTTCATTTGAAATAGATATGAATTTTTTAATGTATATATAAATTGTGGCGTGTGTAAGAATATATATATATATATATATATATTTTATTATTATTATATAATAGAAAATAGATGTATGGAGTATAATTTATTCATAATGGATTTGGGCCCAAATGGAAGTTTGCCAGATTGAAAATGGGCTTATGTATTGGCCCAATATATATTGGGTGAATGTATCCATTTAGGGCCCAAAATAGTTGGCCTAGAAATAATCGAATGACTACAGGCGGCAACAACGACGGACGACTCCAATGGAGAAGCGATGGACGACGCTACGGAGGCTGGAGAAATACATGCGCAATGATGGGTGAAGCAATTGGATTTTCTTATGTCTTTGTTTCTGTTGTAATTGCTTTATGTTCCAATCCCTCACTACTGTTGTTTCTGCTGGTTATTTTCTTTGTTTATTGTTTTCCGAGGTTTTTAATTGCTGCCGGATTTTTACTCTTTGTCGTCTGGGGGATCGTTGTTTGAACGATAGGAGATGGAGATTGCATGCTTGCGAATAGTGCGACATTGTATATGACGCGTCGGGTGTGGTGTAGCTTGAATGTGATATAAGTTTGGTGAGTTGAAAAGCCTGGTTGTGCTGTATCCCGTGCATCGCCCAAGATACTGAGCGCCTGTTCAATTTGTTCAAATTAGGGTAAACTCCAACTAACGAATATAGCATGACAGGCACCTCACAGCTTTCGTGTTTATGCTTTCTTCACATTGAGCAGGTTTTCTTAGTTACTCCAACATGAAGAAAATCTAGGACATACTAACTGGAATTTGGAAATTGAAGCTAGAAAAGTTGACCTTGTAGCATTTAGAAACATGATTCGGGTGTGGAATGGCGGGATTCTCCATGAACAGAATGAGTGTAAACAATATTTTCACAGACAATGATATGTTTTTAGCTAGAGGAGAACTGCACTGTCATTTTCCTCCGCCTCCTCTGCTCACTTCCATCTCAGAGCTCTGATTCTGTCCTGCTCACTTGGGGAACCTTTCATCTTATCTATTGGCACCCTTTTTGCTGATATTTTCAGCAGTGGAACAATCCTTTTTGTGTTCATCGTATTGATCAATTATATGTATATTTAAGATCACACGCCCTCCCAATCAACACATCACAATCTAAGGTTCGGTGGTTAAACTTTTCATGTCGTATGATCCACATTTTAAGATTTTGTTCGATTTTAGGGATAAGGAAGCTAAGAATTATCCTGCCTCCTATGCATATGCTTCATCGTGAATTCGATTCCACACTAAAATTAAAGCATCTATTGTGAAAATTTATAGCAAAGGGAAGAGAGATTTGTCATTGATTACTTTGTATTTATAGGTTGTTGAAAAGCTTCCACTTGTGTCGAACTACACATATACAGATCTTGCGACTACTTCCCAGTGAGTCTCTCTGAGGTGTTGGTGAATTATTGGGCGGTCTCCTTTGGCAGACAGTTAGGGAGTTGATTTTAATTATTCACAGTAATGGATTGCCTCTCTGGACTGTCTGCCAGAGGAGATTTGCTCAGTAATCGTCCTACAAGACCTTTACTCTTCATGTTATTGATCAATTAACCTGAATAAGAACTTTGACTTGCTTTTGAAGTTGTGTTAAAACTTTCACTTTTCTGATATATTTGTCTGTGTAACTTCAGGTATTGGCGGAAGTTGGGTGAGATATTTCGTTTGCCTCTCACAAACATTTCCTTCACTTTGAATTGTTACTCATTTGATGCTTGGATTACTATAGATTATGCAGGAATAGTCTTTCAAATTATTGACAATTATTGCAAGCTCAATCCCTTCTGTTATAGGTGGTAAGTTTGATTTCATACCTAGCTATTTATGATTTAAATTTTTCCTTTTCTTAGTTATAATAGGAAACTTTTTAAACTAAAGTTTGAGGATCTAGTTTTACCAAGTATACTGTTAACAAGAGAATCAAGTCCGATCTGGCATATTGATTCATGAGGTTGGTGGATATTATCAAGTTCTTAGATCTTCAAACCATTCAATTTTCAGTTCGTTTGAACTTTACTTTCAAAGTATTATATTTAGGACCACTCTATTTTATTTCATTTTTCTGCCAAAGTTGGTTTACATTGTGAAAATGATTAGGCTTTTTTCATGTTTTGCACCTTCTATTAGTTATATAGCTCTTAACATATCAACTAAGTTTGTCTCCATTCTTTTAACTCTCAATTCACAGAAGAAACATACCTAGTGGGTAAATAATTCGCTTAAGATATACATTTGGAGGGAACTGGTATTTTACTTTCATTGAACACTTAAGAAGACGGAACATGTTATAATGTTCATTAAGATACATGCTACTTTCAGAATATTTATGTTTTGTATGCTGATTTCTAACCTATCATGGTATCTATGATATGCATAGAACAAGAGAAGAAGTTTGTTTTATGATAGAAATTTAGCTATTGAAAAAAGTTAAATAAGTATATAAATTATCTACATTTTGATGATTAAGAAGATTTTGGACTGAAAGCGCTTATCATTATAATGAAAGCCAATGAATTCATGCACTCAATCTGAATCATTACTCAGTTGAGAAGCTTTGGATAAACAAGAATAGTTTGTAATAGCAAATTGAACAATACGGATACAAATTACAAAATCTAACACATTTAGATATCAAATTACAAAGAGATAGCATGTGTAGAGAGAGATGAGTATAACTCCTGCAGAAAGTGAAGGATTGCAGCATTGTGAGATTGAATGGCAGGGCAATTCTCCTTTGGCAAGAGGAAAGGATGCATTTGCATGTTCTGCCTGCCTAAGGAGAATCACACTGTTATTCATTTCCCCACACAATTTTCTTTCCTTCACATAACCTGCCTCCAATATAAGTTGGAGTGTGTGTCTTGAATATCATTGGCCAGGCTTTATATGGAGGCCACCGGTCGCTTTATATGGAGACCACCGGCTCGTATCATTATTTGGATATGCTGAAGGAGAAAATGGCATATGCTTTGGGACTTCCTCTAGGTTTTTTTCCCTTTACTTTCCCCAATGGCCATGGTATAAAAGATTTTGGCCTTTGCACTTTCATTTTATTCTATGGATATGCTCTTCTTGCTGCAAAAGATATGCAAATTTTTGTGTTTCCTGTGTAAATGGGCATTTATCCTTGATTTACTTATATAGGAGTAGAAATTTTCTACAAAGATTCCTTTAAATATAAATCAAATCAGTGTAAATGCTGGTCATTAACTCATTATTGTGCATTATGTTATCTCACATGAAAAGTCAGTAAGTGTAAAGGACAAGAGGATGTCCCAAATACCCCTTAAGACTGATGAAAAGGATTAGAAACGTAAGCTCACTTAGGCATGTGAATAGTTATTTTAGATTTGAGTTATGTGAATAGTTACTTTTCAATTTTTCGAAAATATGTGGATTAACACCATTTCTCTCACTAGGCAGGATAGCAAGATCAAGTAACAAATTGTATATACAAAAAAATTTACTAGCAGAAACAAGCTTCTTGAATTCGCATCTCAGTACATAATATTCAATAAAAAAAGCATCGAAACTAGCTGTACATCAGTCATAAAGAGAGGTAGAGATCTCTTGAGATTTTTTAATTCCATATGCAAAACTACAGCAAACAGTTTATTCTTGTGACTGCTGGTTAGTGTAATTAGAATATGCTTTACATATCCCCTGCCCTTGTATTTTGTTTGAACTATAAATACATGCAAGGGGCCGGTAACTTTTCCTCAAGTTACAGCCTTTGAAAAAAATGCAATGAATGTATGGAAGCATTACAGGGCAAATAATCCTTTGGCAGCAGCCACATATATGGCAATTAATTGCAATTAATTGTGAACTATTATTGAGTTCACTGCCAAAGGTGATTTGCCCAGTAATACAAACATACTGACAGGCTGATGTAGAGTTAGCAAAATGAGGTATCTTATTTTGGGCTATGGATGACTTTGTGCAATATGCTTTTATTGGTTAAGTTAATTAGAATCCATACTTGTGTTATACTATTCAGCTTTTGTCTGGTTTTCATGTAATTAGATTTTGATTGAAAAATTAGAATCATTAGACCATATTGATACAAAATAAATTATACGTACACTAGGGTCAATCACTAGAATATTTACTGTAAAGTATATATATGTTATGTTGCACACGTGCTGCTATGTTTAATTCCTTGTGCTGTTACAGTTTCAGAAGCATTAGAAATAATGCCTGCTAGTTGCATGCATGCATTTATTACACTAAACCCACGTACTTTTTACTGCTTTGTTTAATCATGCATGCACGAGCTGCCGCGTACGTAAACCATATAGTAAATTATATACATATTAAATATATATATATGTGTGTGTGTGTGTATGTGTGTAATTTATTGCTGAGAAATATAAGTGGCATATGCGGGGACAATTCTTGCTACCAAAATTCCCTTTTATTTTCTTTTGTAAATAATTGCCGTCAAGGGTATCTGTTCTATAATGGGGCCCGCTTTTAGATTGGAATCATTTTATTTTGTAGTATACAATAATATAATTTAAGAAAATAATATTTTCTGTCTACGAATGACTTGCTGCCACGTTCAAACGAGAACGTAATCTGAACTTTATGTTGACAAATTTTGAAATCATAACACGCCCTATAAATATATATATATATATATATATAGAGAGAGAGAGAGAGAGAGAGAGAGAGAGAGATGCTGAACTTTGTAGCCAGCTAGCTTCTTTCACATACATGCATACGTATTTTGCCTTCATCTCTGATCTCTAGTCCGACTCTTTGAACGCTAAAGGGTCAAATTTCTCCAAGAATCTTAGCAAATCTATATTTACAGAAACAAGCTGACTGTGTACTATCTTTAAGGGAAAACAGGATTGGAATTTTTTAAATTCTGTCGAGTGATGGAACAATTAGTAAATTGAGGAGTCGGACGCAAGAAAAACCCCCATATTTGGGGGGTCACAGACATATATATGCAGCAGCATAAAGGATCATTTGCAGAATATACTGTGTTGTACGAAGTGAAGTACTGCACTTCTCAAACACTATATATATGCTCTAACCTGCTCAATCATTTGGCCATGGAGACATCTGCCTGATCAGGTCAAGATATATATATATATATATTTATATTACATAGATACATCTATATATGTATTACAATATATCATTTCTTGTGTAGATGCATTACTGGGCAATTACTCTTCTGGCAGAAGCTAACTGCATTCTTGCATGCACTAAATATATCTGCATGCAGTTCTTTATGTTACAAAGAAATGAAATTGCTTAATTAGCTACTGCCAAAGGAGATTTGCCCCGCATTGCTGCCCTTCTATGCATATATATCACACTTAAGTTCATACAATATGTATACATATGATTAGCTACTTGTCTCCTCCCAGCCATTCTTTGACAGATCTACGTCCCAGGTACACCTTTTTTTTTTAATAAAATTTCTGGTGTGTGTTGTCATGGGCTGCGACCTTCTGTTTGTTTAGACAAATCTTGGCAACCATTGGAGGCCCAAAAGTATCCATATAGAGATTGATAAGCCCACTTGTGTTGTTATAACAAAACCAAGTGGCTGAATTTAATTCACTGCAAGGGAGAGGAAGAAAGCCCCACTTCATACTGAATCGCAGCTTTTATAGTTATCCATTGTTTTCTTCAGTTTATGGTATATGTCTACATTCTTGAATTGTTCATCTCTAAAAATGGAGTATAATAATATGGCTAGAATGCACAGTATTAGTGAATTAGTTCAAATATACAGATGAAAATGATATTATTGAGTGCAACTTATTAGACAGGAAAGATGTATATATACATCTGTGTCCAGCTATTATGCACTCCAACTTTCTTCGTCCACATGACTTTGACCTCTTTAGTTTCTATTTTTTCGTAATACTCGTGGCTATATTTTCTAGTTTTATTTTTTAAATTTTATTCTAATTGTAATACACTACATAATCATAATTTCATATATGCATTTATTATTTCTTTATCCATGTATCCCAGGCAACTTGTGTAAGTCCCAGGGAGGCACTATTCTTACCGACGGTGACTCAACCACTTTATATTCTTCCCACACTCCCATACTGAATCATTTCTCACAACCATGGCACTCTATCTTCTCTTCCTCCTCTGCGTCCTCTCCGCCGCGACTTTCTCCTTCTCCTCCGGCGCCGGCACCGCCGCGACCTCCCCCACCTCCTCTCCGGCCACCGCCCCCGCCCCCAAACCGCCACCATCCACCCCCATTTCCTCCGCCGCCCTCGACCCCAAGCAGCTTAGTGCACTCGAGTCGCTCAACATCCCTACTTCGAAAAACCCGTGCTCCCCTCCGCCGCGGAGCGGTGGCGCACCTCCCACCGCCACCTGCGACTCGTCCCGGCCGTTCCGCCACCTCGTCTCACTGACGCTCACCAACTGCTCCGACGACGTCGCCCTGTCCCTCACCGCTCTCAAATCACTCTCCACTCTCACCTCCCTGAGCTTCATCGACTGTCCTATTTCCCCAATCCGCTTCCCGCCGGAGCTTTCCTCCAACCTCCGCTCCTTCACCTGCATCAGCAGCCTCAAAAAGCTCACCGGCGTCTGGCTCAGCCGCCTCCACAATGCCACCGATTTAACCGTCTCTCGAGTCAGTATAACCGCCAGCGGCCCCTGGGTGATCCTGAGCGGCATGAAGTTCCTCCATTCCGTAACCCTAAGTCAGGCCAATCTCTCCGGCGTGCTCCCCAAACATTGGCAGCCGAATCTCACCTACGTAGATCTCTCCGGCAATAATCTGAAAGGTAAAATCCCTGCGTCCTTAACTCGCCTCGAGAATCTCGCTCACTTGAATCTCTCCTCCAACTCTCTCAACGATACAATTCCTTCCTCCATTGGAGATCTGAGCGCTCTGCAGAATCTCTCTCTGGCTAAAAACTCGCTCTCAGGCTCTATTCCGGAGTCTCTAGCTGCATTGCCGGCGCTAACACATCTCGATCTGAGCTCAAATCAGCTCAACGAGTCGATCCCCAATTTCATCAGAGATATGAAGAAGCTCAAGTACTTGAATCTGGCAGGCAACAACTTCCGCGGAGTGTTGCCTTTCAATTCGACATTTATTAAAGGATTGGAGGTTTTCAAGGTCGGCGACAATTCGAATCTGTGCTACAACCGCACAACTTTGGGATCGAAAGTTAAGCTTGGTATTGCTCCTTGTGATAAGCATGGGCTGCCAATGTCGCCTCCGCCTGCTAAGGATTCATCTTCTTCGGATGATTCCAGCGACAGTTCTGATTACGACGATTATGGTAATTCAGAGGGGAAGAAGAAGCATCACAGTGGGCCAAATAAGGTTGTTCTTGGTGTTGCAATTGGACTTGCTTCTATTGTGTTTCTAATCGTTTTCTTGGTTTGTTTGGCTAAGTGCTGTAAATGAGTTTGGAAGAGAGTCAGAGCTGATATATTGATCATTTAGCTTAGGAGAATTCAGCCATTACAGATGAGATTCATTTATTTTTGGAGGAACAAAAACACTTATATTCAGGATAAGAAGAAGGGAGTGAATGCAAAAAGAGGATTCTTTTTTATCTGTGTGATTCTTTTGGTTGTATATTGCTGTGGCAGTAAAAGAGTTCTTTTGACTACTATCTCTGCCTCTGCTTCTACATTTTTTCTATACTTAAGATTTGGACTGAATGATTTTTTATTGAGCTAAGATTAGGGGAAAAGATTACATGACATTGATGTTGCGTTACCATCATCATACATTCTGCTTTCTTTCTGTCTTTGCTTCTCTTGAAATGTAAGAATGTGCATTCTTTTGCAGTATCTGTTTTCAGCTTTTGATTTTGTCCCTTTTTGGACTGGTTCATTGAATTTCAGAATTTGATGTATTGAAATTCATCCTTGCCATAATTGTGTTGTTGCATTTTGAATGCATGAAATTTTTGTGTTCTTGGATTCTTGCGATTGTGATTGTGCTTGTGTTGATCTTTCATATCTGTTGGGGAAATTCTATTTTAGCTGCCAGTTTATTGCACAGTAGATAGATCATTTATTCCATATTTGTTCCTTGTATTGATAGCATCTATCAATGAATCAATGGCTTTGCCAAGTGCCAACTGGCACTGTAATTACTCCTTTGTGGGCTTTCTTTCAAGATTGTTAGTTTGCTGTCTGTTTATCTTATACATACATACATATATATATATATATGTATACATATTACAGTAATCATGTCTATAACTTACACACTCAATCCATGACATGGTGGCAATGATAAGTATGTGCATTCTGTTCTGGACCAATGCCAGGTCAATGACAAGTCATTTTTAACTGTTTAAATCAAGATCATCATTGTCAATGATGATGTGTGTATATCAAGTGACGGATCAAACTTCAATTTCCACAATTCTCTTTGCATTGACTTGTAAATATTATTAAATATGGCTTCAATTGAGCTGTATGTTCGATGTTTCCTCTTAGCTCAATTTTGCCCATAGGGAAGTAGTGGCTACTTAATTGACAACTTGTCTTTTGATGGCATTGATAATGAGTGATTATACTGTTAGACACAAACAGCTCAGCATCAACACAAGTATAGTATAGCAGCCAGCCATGATTAATAACATGGATGGCTGCAATAATGCTTGTAATTTACAATCTGCCTAACAACCATCCTTGTCCAAGAAATCTTGTACTGCCCTACATATTAAGATTGTGATCAAGACAAATGTAGCTATTCAAGGGCCCCAAGAAATGCAAATTCACACCCCACAATATATACATATGAATCTTACCGGTGGGCAAAGCTTTGTCAATGTCCCCAACCTGATGAGTCTTCAAGATCTCGTCTTCTTGTCGATAATTTGAATCTAAACGCAGCAGAAAACGAAGGAAAAGAAGCCTCCAAGACATTTACATTGTCGGGATGGACTTCGAAGTTTTCCAGTCCCAAGTAACTTCCGTTGACAGAAACCCTTCTTCTAAAGAGGCGATTTCAATATATAAAATGTGGACAATCACAAGTCTTCCATGAATAGCTTATCAAGAAGTTCGAACGTAGGCAACAGTTTCCTTTCTCTGAAACTTGAATCGATCAGCGCACTCCATGTAAGAGGTTCAGGTTTAAACCCCATTTCCAGCAACCCAAATAAAATTCCGGCAGCATCATTTGCTTTTCCGGCTTGGCAGAGGCTAACTAATAACTCATTCGACGTAGCAAAATGGGGAACAAATCCCCTATGCAGCATAAGAACTAACAACTCCACAGCTCTCTCCAGTTCACCTTCTTTGCATAAGAAATTCAATACAATCCGATAACTAGCTTTGTTGAGATAAACACCATTATACGGTAAATTCTCGAGCATGTCCAGTGCCTCAGAGAATCGGTTTTCCCGACATAATCCCCCCAAAATTACATTAAATGTTACCTCATCCGCCTTGCATTCATTTTGCTTCATTTCGCGAAGCAGATCGATTGCTTCATCTGTTCTCCCGGCTCGACATAAATAGTTAATTAATGTAGTGTAGATGACAGTGTCGGGCCTCAGATCTGCACCTTTCATCTCATCGAAGATTTCCCTCGCTTCTTCGAATTTTCCATTCTTGCAAAGCCAATTCATTAATGTTGAGTAATTGAATGCGTTAGGTGTGCATCCATTTTTCTTCATAAATTCCATAACTTTCCTGGCTCTGTCGGGTTTCTCAGCAGAACAAAATCCATTGATCAATAGATTGTAAGTCAACGGATCGGGAACGATCTGGTGCTTTGAAACCATTTCCTCAAACAGATTGATGGCTTCTTCTAGTCTGCCTTTTTGACAAAGACCCTGTATCAGAGTCGAGTATGTAATCAAGTTCGGCGAAGATACTTCAGATTTTTCCATCTCTTTCAACACTTCAAAAGCAAATTCCAGATCGCCCTTTTTACAATGATGTTTCACCAAAATGTTGACTATGCACGTGTTCGGCACCAAGCCAATTTCTTTCCGAGTGCGGAGGAGAAAATCTCTTGCCATATCGATTTGATTTGCATCCACCAGAAGATTAAGGCATGTACTAACGGCATTCAGGGAAGGCTTTGAGCGCACAATCGGCAGAATAGAGAAAAACATGTCAACCACTCTCTCGTGCATCGAAGATTTAGAGAAATGCTTCATGAGATTCAGGAATATACCTTCATGGAATTTGCACGTTTCATAGTTCATCTGATGAAGAACAGCATCAATGGACTTGTACTGCCTCATTTGAGCGAGCTTGTGGAGAAGAACGGCATAAGTCGAGGTGTTATGATTAAAGCCCTTCTGCGCAGATGCTCTATTGAATATTTCTAATGCATTTTCGGGGCTTTTCTCGCGCCTTATCATTTCAATTGCATCTGCATGCGAAATATACTTTCTTTTTCTAGGGGATTCTCTGAGTTCAGTTTGAGTTTCAGCAGGAGCATCCACTCTATGCTTAAGGTGTTGGAAAGGGGAGATGAACTGAACCGACGATGCCGGTGATTCTGCAGATAATAGACGGCAACTCTTACTAGCAAGAATTTTCATTGCATCCGAAAATTGCTGGATCAATCACCTGCAGCATCCACCCCACATTGTCAGAACAAATACATGTAATGTGTAAGCATAAAGATGTTTAGTCAAAAGCCATTCACTGGTATTAATTAATCTACTAGTAAGCCTAGAAGGACAACCATGAAGATACATTGAGGCATTGTTTGCTATGGAACGCAATTATGAAGAAAACAGCAACTCACAAATAAGGGCAATCAAGAAAAAGACTTTTACTTTGTATAAATTTAGAGAAGAAGAGGAAGAAACATATTTCCTGCAATTTCTATTACAATCACAAACCCTAACGGGCAATGAATTTACCATTTAGAGATTTAGAAATTGATTTCGAAACAGCCAAGGGTTTGTTAACAGGAGACCATTATCATAAGCCAATGCTCGTTCTCATATCCATCGCCTCCACGAACATGACAGCAAAACAAAATTCCTTAAGCAAAATCACAACAGCACAAAACGCAGTAATGGAGCGGGAAAGAGGCAAACCCTTACGAAGATGAAACTGAAGCAATTCCTTCAATTCTTTATCGCGGTGATGATTATTTTGCGGCGGATCGGATGGATCCCCCCCTCCTCTTCGTAAATAGATTTCTGGCCGGCAGATACAAAAGCGCGCAATCTTTATGGCTGACGGAAGAAGACGAATTGCAGATGGAGTGGATATTAGGTCTGGTTTTTATTTGAAATATCTTTGGGCTTGTGATCTTCTGTGAGTGACCCGACCCATTCCGATAATTTTATATATATATATATTTTTAGTTTTCAAAATATTCATGTATGTTGTTAGTTTGCGGAATATTAGATTCGACTTCTGTGAGTGATCTTCTGGCAACTGCGATTTCCACTTCATAAAAAAAAAAAAAAAAAAAAAAAAAAAGTAAGCAATTAGAGAACCTTCTGAAGGGAAATGGTTGGTTGAAGGTGTTTATTTATTTATTTACACACCATGGAATTTTAATGTTTTGTCTTTCTGCATTTCTTTGTGACAGTGACAATGTGTATAATGAATTAGATGATCAAGTGCTTGCAAAGAATTGAATAATAAATAGCCAAAACCCCAACACACATACACTACACTACACACTACACACTACACACACACACTCAAGCCATAGATAGCATAGCATAGCATAGCATTACAAAATAATGACATGACAGACACAGAGGAGGAGGAGGCCTCATGCTCATATTGCCATTGTCTTCTTCTTTGCCAATGTGATTTGTTGTGTGTTCTTGTCGTCCTAATTGGCTTGGCTTGTGCAGACATTGTCAATTTCTCATGAAGGAGGGAAAAACCTGTTGAGATTGAAGGGGAGGGTATAAAACTCTTCGTTTCTGGCGTCGCCTTTGAATGTCCTGAACTTTGCCCACCACGGCATCCCCCGGTCTCTCGCGCTGTCTTTGTACTCAAGCGTGTTGTCCAGAAACACCGCCACCATCAGCGCCACGCTTGGGGACGACAACAATATGGTGTTCAGGAAATCATTGAACTGCATTGCATATACACATACACAATACTATTATTGTTCGAATGACGATGATTGAGACTCATTTGAATAGTAAGTAGAAAACTAAACTCTCACCCAGCCAGCATTGGTGTGAGCAGGGCCGTGGAGGGCGGCGCTGGTGTACTCTCTGAAGTATTCTGGAATGGACAGACCCAGGAAGAGGGACACTCCCGTGATGAACAGGTTCCTCGTCGAATTCATGTTTGTGAATTGCAAGAAAGACAGCCCCACCGAAGCTGGATTCGTTAATACCAGTCAGCATTTGCAACAAAACACAATCAATTAGCTCGGTTGTGGGAGGGAAAGGGAAAGAAATGCGATTCTTACCGACGAGGCCAAACAGGATGCAGTAAGCAGCTGCAAAGATTGTGAAAGGAATTGATGCAAATAGTGCTCCGAATTTACCTGAAATTTGTTGTGCATACCCTCATCAAAGGCTAGATAAGAATAGATTACAATATAATCCATTACATACATCATACATTGTTTCTTTCTTACCCAATATTGAGAAGAAAATCATGAAACCGGAAGAGATTTGGATTACCCTCCGGCTGCCAACTCTGGTACTTCCGATAAGACCAATGTTTTCCCTAAATTTACGATGTGCCAAGAAAGTAAAAAGTTAGGTACATTAATAAGTCTTGCGACCAGGGTGAAAAGTGCACACAAAGACTTACACTAATACCGTAGATCCGGTGGAGGTACCAAACATTCCATCCAACAGAATTCCGATACCCTGCATGTATGATGGGGAATGAAATAAATCAAGATTGGCCACATTTTATACATACCAAACCAACATTGCCTCGAATTCTTTTTCTTTTTATTTACCGACCTGCCAGCCTATTCCACGGCTAAGAACATGAGCAGGAGGTGGTGTGGCACTTGCCAAACGCGATGCTGCTTTATACGCCCCAGTTGACTGCGAAAAGAAAAGAAATAAACACCGCTATTTTACTCAGGCATCACAAGGAGCTTTGAACTAAGTTGATTTTATAACTACCTCAATTAATGATACTAATACAGCAGACATCATTCCAAATGCGTGTCCAGCGTCAAATGTGGGCGCGCCCCACTGGAGGGGATATGGGATTTTGATCCTGTTAAAGAATTTTATCAGATTCTGAACTGTGTGTGCATGCATGGGCGGATGTGTATATATATATAGATGCAAAAACAGGTATTTATTTTGTAGCAAGGTTATGGATACACAAACCATGGTGCAGAAGAAATGAGGTTTGCTCTATCAGTGCGGCAGTTTCTTTGGGTTAACTCAGGGCGATGCCTGTAAGCGCCACTGGCTGTTAGTAGGTGCGCGTAAGCCCAAATAACCGTGACTGAAATGATGAAAGCAAATCGCTCTAATACAGGAAGCTGTCTTGTTTGGAAGTGCTTCAAGTACTGATTGCAAGAAATGAAACCAAATAAACACGTATTAGTGCACATGAGACTACATGTAGTTTCCAAAACGTTAAGTGCCAAAGACAAATAACAGCACCTGGGAAAAGAGTACAAATAAAACGAACATTGGAATGCCAATTTCCACACAACGTCCGACCTATCATCAGAGCCACACACTTAGTTGAAACACTGATCAAGAGGCGATTATATATCTTAGTATTTGAAGCTAAAAGTTTGTACCACGGGGAATCCTTTGTCAAGCAGACCAAAGCCAACTAGAGAAATCACGGGAACCATTCCGAGTGGACTGAAAAACCTGAAGTAAAGAGAATGGATTTCAATTGACTTCATTAGACTATAAATGTGGTGTTTTCAATAAGCTTCAAGATTGATGCTTTTTTTAAAAGCCATACCTTGAACATATAGCCCACAGCTGACTGTAACCCAATATAATCTGAACACTAGATGCTACGATTAGTGCTCCTTGTATAGCTCGCATTGTATTCAAAAATCTCTACAAATGGAATTATCATCAACAGCTAGTTTTTAAAATTATCAAATAACAAGTCCTCAAATAGATTGCTTTCTAACAAGGCATATACCACATGGGGGTCCGGAATCTTTTCTAAGGAAGGGTCATGGATAATCGAAATTATAGGCACCATGAATGCCCATGATCCTCCGATAACAGTAGGCAATCTGGTTCCAAATAATGTTTGCACTAATGTATTAATGCCTCCAACAAATAGCATAGTTTGAACTACCCTCACTTTGTCACCCTGATCACAGAAATGTAAAGAAAGTCATAATAAAGTCACATGACCTCAAAGACCAACCCACTTGATAAGATCCTGACCAAGAATCTTCCCAAAATCAAGAAACCAACAATAAGTGTACGAAATAAAATGCATTGCTTACGTCGTTTCCGCCCATCAATGGAACCAGAAAGGTTGGAATCATCACAGCAGTTCCCAACGCCAGAATATAGTGCTGAAACCCAAGGGCTATAGCCTCCCCTGTTTTTTACCCAATGTAGAAATCAAACAGGATACACATTTAACAAAAATACAATACTCCAAGGAAAAATTGCCATACCCCAAGAAGGATTAGAGTCAATACAATACTCCAAGCCCTGAAGTTGGTCCATGGGAGGATGACTTATTTCCTCTGGTTTTGGGGCATCCATGGCTAAACTCACCTATCTTCACCACCACCTCGTTTAACCAAAATCAATTTGCACAACAGACCCAAAAGAAGAAGAAGAAAAAAACCAAACCTTTGCTTTAATCTACACCCTTACACACTAATGTGGTTTGAGTGGGCTCCAATCACATAGAAAGTGTAAAAGGAAAAGAGAAAAGTAGACAAAAGGCAACAGAGAAAGAGAAGGAAGAAAGACTCAATATGATTGGACTGAAAAACACTGTGCATATATACTTATATACATAAATACATATGTATATAAATGCATAGACTGGCCAGCAGAGAGAAACTTTTGTGCTGAAGAGTTGGTGGAGGAGAAGGGTTTGTGCGATGTGTGCTTTTCTTCCAGAGTGTGAAATGTCCCGTTGGAATTGTTGTTAATGACAAGATTGCCCCGGGAGGAACTGCCAAAACAAGATGTTACCGTTACTCTCAGCTTCCTGGTTTTCTGGCCTGGCTGCTGCTGTACAGTACTCTCTGAGCCCCTTATTTATTTCATTCCCACGGCCCTACACCTTTGAGAATCCCAAACAATTTTTGAAAATGTGATGGAAAGACAAAAGTAACCTCACCCACTCACTTAAGCAGTCAGTAGTTTTTGTATGGGTTAAGAATGAAATGAATTTTTTATGTCTTACTTACATAGGGAATCAAGAATCCAACGTGTGAAAGAGCAATAATAAAATCAACATATGTCAGGAGGACACACAGCACAGACATACATCCCTTGAAAGTTTATACTATTATAATAAGATAAAAGCATGGTTGAATTCCCAGTAGACAGTAAAATAAATGACAGGCAGCCGCAATTCATGGCATTTAAACCTCCTATCTGCCCAACAGACATGCAATACAGAAGCATTCTTCACCACTAATTGCCACTTTAGTCACTGTTTATGACTACATGCAGTTTTAAGATCTTCTTCAATAAACAAGATTGCATCATAATTCACATTAATTATCACCAAAGCAAATTTTTATTTCATGTTATAAATAACCATTTCTTGCGTTTCTCCTTTTTCCCTTTTTTTCCTACACATCTTTGGTCGGTAGGGAATGGGCTTTTAAATGTAAAGAACCTGTTAATGTGTATCAGTACATAAAATTAATGTCTTGTAGACATGCCAATTTGTAAGTATATATGAAATAAGTAAATACTAAAGCTTTCACAATTGAAAGTTAAGGTCAATAAAGATAAACAAATGAAACTTACAAACATGCGTACATTAGATTGGGCCAGAATGGGTACTTATAACATGGTCAAAAAGAAATAACAGTGCCTCACACCACAAAGATAAAGAGACCACTTTTTGAACACATTGAATCATCTCCTACATTCATAGTCCCCTTACAGATCCCCGCAGCAAAGAAACACATGTAAACACACATGATTAAAGTGAGACGGAGAAAAGGTTAAATAAATCCAGGACAAGCATCACAGAAAGAACAAGGTCACGACAAAATGAGCTTTCAAATAAATTAGGTGCAACTTGATTTACTATACATAAACATGATAGGGGAGGTGGGGTCTGGGAATCTTTAACTGCAACTGTGTGACCCTAACTGACCATGGAATGATCATGTCTCTCCGCTGACCCATGCATTAGAATAAGAAATCATTCAACAGTAAAAGAAGAAGATTAGACAATAGCAAGGTATCTTTTCAATGAGGAAAGGGAACTGTCCTCATTAGAATATATAGGTAATGATGCAGATCAAGGCAAACTGATCAGTATCCGATAATAAAGGTAGGATATTGCTACTTCTAACTTTACTTTAAAATAAGAAAGAAAAAGGACAGCAGAATTCCACCAGATAGATACGAAACACAGCAAACAAAACCAGGAGAAAATGTTCTATATTCCTCAGTCATAATTCATCATCAAGCCAGGCAGGGAATGCTCATTGCATAGCCAAATGTGCTCAAACATATGAAGCATATGATTCAAAAGCCTTTTGAGTTTTGAGAGTTAAACGTAAGGAAAGCTTACAAGAACTCGATTCGTAGAAGTTCCACGAGCAACAAATAAGCTTACGACCTATTCCATTATATGGAAACATCAATCGAATACTTTTATATCAACAGATAGATATCGAGAGTTTCATAGGATCAATGCGTCCAGAAATAGCACAAGACCTTGCTCGCCGGCGGCGTTTGAGAAGGCCGGGCGGCGAATGGACGTAGCTCCTCCCGCCGGTCTTTGTTTTTCTACTGGGCCGACAAAGTGTATATGGGCTGTTGATCTTGGGCCAAAATCTATGAGTCAAAATGGGCCTATACTAATGAGCCTCCGAACGAAAAGTAAGGGTCTCAAAATTTGGGCCTAATGGCTGTATAATTGTAAGACTGAGCCCATCAAAACTGGGCTAGACCGAGCGTTTCATTTGAACCCAGTCTAATCGAACGTGAATAAATAAATGTTAGATTTATAATGGGTTTGTTTGTGGGTTTGGATTTGTAATATAAAATAAATCCGTAATCTAATATAAAAAGTAAAAAATAATTGTTTGATTTAATAATTTTGATGGATAAATAGTAAAAATCTATTATGATAAAATTTTTTAAAAAAGCAACAGTGTATGTTGAAAAAAAAAAATTAATAAAATCCGACACAAAATCTCATTCCCCAACCAAACACACTCAGTAAATAGAATAACAAAAGCTTCTCATAGAATCATTAATATATGATTGAACGTTGGTATCCTCAAAAGTAGTTTAGTCGGTTGGACAATAAAAAGGATTCACATCTACATCTAAATAAACTTAACTTACAACAGTCATGTTTACAACATCTATCCTCAACAATGGCTGCAAGCTCAACATCTCTGTGGTGCCTACTCCTTTACTCTTCTTCTACAAAGGAATTCATGGTTTATAGTCAAAAGGACAACTCTATGATCTTCTATCCAACTTCTTATCACTAGACCGCTTATCTTCAGCCTCCTTTCTCCTTTGTTGCCTACCATTATATAAATTTAATTGATTTGAACATTAAAATCCATAAGGAAGATGTAGTAAAAGATAAAACTTTGTATCTTGTGAATCAACTAAATGAAAAGATTGCACAGCAGACAGTTCGTTTCTAGTGGTGTTTTACCAAAGAGGAAGCAGATGGAAATTCGGTTAAGATAAATAAGAACCGGAAATCCCTAAGTCGAACACTTACGCAAAACCAGAGTATCCACTCCCAGCTTTAGCGGCAGACAATATCGCAGCGTGAGCGCCAGCAGTAGACAGGTTTTCCTGCCCTGCTAGAGGGTTACTTTGATCAACATCCACCTGAACCCAAGAACAACGAGGCGAATTATTGCAAAGACTTTATTTTGTGGTGCTACAAAACATGCTAAAGCAAATGAACCTTATCCCACTTTGACTTTTTATTCTGTCTACCATCCCGAGCTGTAACATCTGAAGTAGCTTGTGCTACATTTACGAGTCCGGCAGCAGTGGTCCCTGTAAAAGACAAGTTTTAAAACTTATATATATAAATTCTACAGTATTGGGATCATGGGTAGGTACCTGGTGTTGGTATGCTGATTTTTGAAGTGGGAATGACATTTCCTGGCTGCATTCCTCCAGAGGTAAAATCTAACTTTTGGGTTTTCTTCCTTTCTTGCTCCCTCCTTTCCATGTCACGTCTCAAGTCAGCTTCTACGACAACATACCAGGAGTATAAATGACCAAAATGTTTTTTAATTAGGAAAATGTGAAAGAACAAAAATCAAGAAATAGCAGAACAAAGTTAAACAACACCCAAGGAAACTAGATATCAGCCCAACCTATTTCATCATAGAAGTCACTTTTGTCGTATCCGTGAGGATCAAAGACGTCTTTACTGAAACAAGACCCTATCTGATCAATGTCTTGGTAAGTTACAGCATGAAGCAGAAAATCAGGGTTGCGGTATTCCTTTCTGTTCCGCACTTCTGCATTGTAGCTCCTTCCAGTAGTCTTCTTCACTGTAAGAAACTTAACAATCTTCTCCTGAATCACAGGAAAACCGAGAAATCATGAATAAGAATTCATAGCACATTTCTGAACAGAAATTAACTACACGGCAGAACATTGCTTTAGGTGTACAAGTTAGCAACATTTAAATGAAGAGTTTGGGGAAATTGTGAGCACTGCTTGCAAATAAAAGGAATTATAAGAGAAACTTGCATCAACAGGCACCAAAAGTTCATTTCACTGAATAATAGCATATCCAATCATCTCTAACTAAAATTCAAAAGGAAAAATCGAAGCTATAGTCACCATGCAGAAATTTAGAACTGGTGCTTCCTAAATGAATGCCTCAAACAAGAGTGATTACAGTTATCCACGTTCCATTTCAATTAGAGTCACAAACACTTGCTTCTGACATTAAAGAAGCATATAAACCACATGAGGTCAATATGGATAAAGTAACTAAGTATTATGTATAGTTAAAAATCTCATTGGAAGGATGCAAAATACACTACAACCATGAGCACTTACTTGCAATTCTTCAGAGCATTTAGCCTTGGGGGGTGGAGGAAGAAACTTATCCAATGGATCGACATCTTTTTGCTCTTCAACTGTTACCATAACAATATCCTCACTCTCTGCATATTCTGGCTCCTTTTCAGAATGATACGTGGCATGTAATTCAGATTGGTCAATTTGTTCCAATGATTGAGGTGTAGTTGCTTGAGTACTAGGTGTTGGCATACGAACTAATCCAGGTGATTGCTTTTCTAGAGATTCACCTAAGAGAGCAGTCAAGGCAAATATTATTCAAAAATCATCTTTAGTGTTTCACATGGACTTTTAAGCTTGGGAAAAAAAACCAATGCCATTGCACTGTAAAATTCTAGATGAGCCAATGTTATTCACATACAAAGCAGCATAGAATCTCATCTTTTAATAGTTCAGAAAAAAATACTACAGGAAATAGCATTGTCCAACACACCCAAGCATGGTATTGATAATGCAAAAGTTAATCAAACAAACCATGAGAAGAACCAGCATTCATGCTTTACAATTTATTTGATACTTATAATACGATCAATAAAATTTATTTGCAGTGTTTGTTTTCCATCACAATTCACAGACAACGGTATTCTAGAAGTTCAGTCTTTCAGATGTCATTGCATTATAAAAAGACACATGGAACAGCAACAGCCCAATTTGCAAGGTAAACTCACCCTCGCTAGTTTGAAGGTCTTCCCCGTGCGTTACTCGACCAGCCACCAAGACTTCACCATCCTACAGATATCAGTGAATAAATTATAAGTCTTGATTCAAACCACTTTAACATCAATGAATTTAGGGAACTTTTAGGTTCGTTAATGTAACACGCAAACCTCAGGTTCGGGAGTCATAGCCCCTTCTTCGTGCCCATAATCCACAATCGTCAGACGACTCTTCTGACTCTGAAAATCAAAAGAAACCGGTCGTTGCTGCTGCTGTGGAGGCGAAAAAACAGGCGGCTGTGGAGTTGCAGACGCCGAAGAAGTACCCTGATTAAAGGTCTTATTAGGAGTCGAATTTTCAATCGGTACTCGCTCATCCAGCTGCCCTGGCACAATGTCATTACCACTATCATTAACATCGTCGCCATCTTTCACGCCAACGGAATCCACCACTGGAGGGTGAGTATCCTCTTCGTCGCCTACTTTGTCCTCTTCATCAAGCTCCTCCATCTCATCATCTTCGTCGCCGTACATAGATAGCAAAGCTATGCCCTCCGACGCTTTCTTCTCAGTCGTCATTCTCCCTTTCCAAATCCCTAATTGAGGGTTTTTGTTCCAAGTCTAATTCTTTTCGCTCTACTCAATGCGAATCGAGGGTCCAGGCTCAGAATCAAATCAATCAACCAAACTGAAACTCCAGGGTAAAATTAGGGTTTCGGGGTTCGGATTTGAATCTGGAGCAGAGGGTTTCTGTACGTGCGCTCGAGAATATTGAAGACAAGATGATTGATGCTTGCTTGCATTACAGAAATCACAGAAGTCGTGCTTCTACTTTCGAAGTAACGCGGCTTATATAGATATGTCTAGAGTCGCTAGTCTTTAGTAGAAAACTGCAACGATTTAGAAGTTGATTCATAAATTTGGTATTTGATGAGATTTGAATTCTAATATTATAATTTATATTTGATTACAAAATAGATTACTGAAATTAATTTTAAAATTTTAAATCTTGCAAATAAAATAAATAAATTAAATGATATAGTATCCTATTACTAACGGATGCGAATTATTACAATTATTAAATTTAAATTATACTTAATTACTTAATAATAACTAATTACAATATTATAATATTATTTTTATATAATTAATAATATTTATAGTTTCAAAGTATATTTAATATATATAATTAAAAAATATATTTAAATATTTATTAATTATATAGCAATTAAAAAATATATGTAATATGAATATCACTGTAGAGTATAAATTTTTTTATAATAAAGTAAATAAAAAAATATTTTTGTTTATTTATAATTAACATAAATATGTGTAGTTTTAAATATAAATAAAAATATTTAATATTTTTTAGAAGAGAAAAAAAAAATAAAGAAATTTTGAGTATGTTTAAGTAATTTATAATATTGTATATTATATAATTAATTAAGTTAATTTATATTTATTAAATATATTTTAATTTCATAATTTTTATAAAAAAAAAAATATATCAATTATTAAAATATAAAAATAGTGTGGTAAAACAGATAGAGCATTATTTTATTTAAAAATATTACTCCTCCGTCTTGGTGTCTCATTCACAATAAATTCATTTCAAAATTCTTTCTATTTTAAATAAAGTTAACATCAAATTTTGTGCGTAGCACATATATTTAGCTAGGAAGGGATAGATATCATAAATTTTAATTAGTATTATTTGATTTTCAATAAATTTTTACTTGCATGAAATTCAAATACATATATTTTGACAGGTATAGATAATACACGAGTATTGACGTGGAAGACAATTATATTACACAACACATTTTAATTTTGATTATATATGATTCAAGTCAACATTCCTAATTTTATTTAGACCATTTAACAAATAATAATTTGACTCAACATATTTACTCATAAAATTTGAAATAAACAACTAACAAATCTTTAAACTCATCATTGTCATATAAAATTAATAAAGATCATTTATATTATAATTAACTAAAATAATTAAGGACTATGTATAAAATATCAGCTAATTCAGCCCGTTTTACTTAGAAACCTATCTATCTTCTTCTTCTTCTTCTTCTTCTTTATTTTTATTTTTTTTTTAATAATAATAAATAAATAAATAAATATATATAATTGTATATATACAACTTTTGCAGATACTAAAGGGCAACCTGACTCGATACAAGAGCTCCATAGATCAAAAACGGACAAATTTACACCGTTGGATCTGGTGATAACGCACCCATTCGAATTTGCCACCTGTCACTCCCGCATTCAGATTCCAACAGAGCACCGCACTCGCCACCAAACAAAATTGACCATAATAAAAATATTAATATATTAATTAAAGATACAATGCACTAATCATTATCATCATTATTATAAAACCAATAAAAAAAAGCCAGCTCATCAATGATACGGTTGCATGAAATTTATTGGCGCCTGCTAATGTCTAGCCGTGTGCGCCACCGCAGCCAGCAATTTTCCTTTAGAATATAGATTTATTCATCACCATCTTTTATATACGAGTCTCGATAAATATATAAAAGTTATATTTAAAAAATCAACAATACCTTATATATTTTTTTTTTAAAAAAAAATTAATTATTTAATATAAAATATTGTTTTTTATATTATTAATACGCTGTTTAAATCGTATTTAAAATATAAAAAAATACAACGTCAAATTTATCAAGCAAATCTATTACTATTATTATATTTTTTTACAAAATTTCAAATTGATTGTACAGACGTTAAATAAAAGCATGCCGCGTGTAATGCAAACGCCAGCTGTTTGTCTTAACGTCTGTTTTGGCTGCTCTGTTGTTACGTAAACGGGGTTTCGGCACCGTCTTGTGACGGCGTTAAAGTTCAATATAAGCATATTCCAGTTTCTGTTGACCTCACGAATTTACACAATTTTACACAGAAACTCGGAGAGGGGAATACACGCGGATACTGCTAACAGCACAAATTTCATGGAGGAGGCAAAGCATCGACACCATTGGTAAGAGGAAACAATTGATCTTGCTAAAGATTTCGATTTTTATATCATCGGAAGATATGGCCGGTGCGGCGTCGCCTGCACTGTTGTCCCCGACGAATGCCGCGAAGCAGAAAGAGATCAAGGGTCTTTTGCTGGGTCGATACGAAATCGGGAAGCTCCTCGGGCATGGGACGTTTGCGAAGGTTTACCACGCGAGGAACGTGAAGACAGGGGATAGCGTAGCGATTAAGGTAATTGATAAAGAGAAGATCCTGAAGGTTGGGTTGATTGCGCACATCAAGCGCGAGATCGCAATTCTACGGAGAGTTCGCCATCCGAATATTGTCCAATTGTTTGAGGTTATGGCGACGAAATCTAAAATCTTCTTCGTTATGGAGTTTGTAAAAGGGGGGGAGTTGTTCAACAAGGTTGCCAAGGGAAGGCTGAAGGAGGAGGTTGCCAGAAGGTATTTCCAGCAGCTGATTTCGGCGGTGGCGTTCTGCCACGAACGCGGCGTGTACCACCGTGATTTGAAGCCGGAAAATATATTGCTCGATGAAGATGGGAATCTTAAAGTATCTGATTTTGGATTGAGTGCTATATCGGAGCAGATTAGGCAGGATGGCCTTTTCCATACGTTTTGTGGTACGCCGGCGTACGTTGCGCCGGAGGTGTTGGCACGGAAGGGGTATGACGGTGCCAAATTTGATATTTGGAGTTGTGGTATTATTTTATTCGTCTTGATGGCTGGATACCTTCCTTTCCATGATAAAAATGTTATGGCTATGTATAAGAAGATTTACAAGGGTGAATTCCGGTGCCCTAGATGGTTTTCTCCTGAGTTAACACGGCTCTTGACGCGGATGCTCGACACTAATCCGCAGACTCGAATCACAATTCCAGAGATCATGAGCAATAAATGGTTTAGAAAAGGTTTCAAACACGTGAGATTCTACATTGAGGATGATAAGCTGTGTAGAGTTAATGATGAAGGGGACGATGTTATGGATTGCTTCTCCGATCCATCCTTTTCCGAGTCCGATTCCGAGTTGGAGACCCGAAGGAAGCTCACTAGTCTTCCCAGGCCAGCCAGCTTGAATGCATTCGATATCATCTCATTCTCGCAGGGTTTTGATTTGTCTGGGCTGTTTGAAGAAGGATCAGATGGAGGGGCCAGATTTGTTTCAGGGGCACCTGTGTCGAACATTGTTTCGAAGCTGGAGGAAATTGCTAAGGTGGTAAGATTTACTGTGAGAAAGAAGGACTGCAAAGTGAGTTTAGAGGGATCCAAGGATGGTGCCAACGGACCCTTGAGTATTGATGCTGAGATATATGAATTGACGCCGACTTTGAGAGTGGTTGAGGTGAAGAAAAAAGGAGGGGATAGATTAGAATACGAGGAATTCCGTGACCGAGAATTGAAGCCAGGATTGCAAAGCCTCTCGTCGGGGCATATTGCTGATTCTTCTTACTTACCATCAGATACTGAGTAGAGAACTAAAGAAGGGACAAGAGTATGCCCTTCATTTTCCTTTGTTTTTGCCATTTTGGGGCTTATGCCGTAATTGTGATGTTTTGGTTTCTTTTCCGTCCCTGCATACATTAGACAGCTCGAATCCAATGTCATCCTTTGTACAGGTAATTTCCCTTAAGTGTTGTTGGATAGATCCTTCAAAACCATCTGGAAAGGATTGTACACGAATACTAATATTGGCTCCCTGATGAAATTTTTTCCTTTTGGTTTCTTGGTAGCATATAAATAAGTAGTTAACCTTGCTGTTTATTAATCCGAAAATGGAGTCTGATCATTTTTATCAAATGATTAATGTGCATTTCAGTGGTTTTGGCTTGTGAATAAGTAAATTCGTATGCTTTGTTTGTGGATTGGACTACTGCCTAGAGCCATTGTTTTCTAGTGAAGCTATATCAGGTTCTTGGCAATTTTTCCTTATAAAGATCAATTTTCTTTCAGTTGATTGTGTTAAATCTTACAAATATATGCTTACATTTTCGGGAAATTTAAATGTGGAAGGGAATGGCCTAAACTTATCCAAAATTGGTTGTGCTGATTGCTGAATTGATCCTTAAGTCCATTTCTCCTTTTGTTTTTATACTCCTCTTTGCCAATGGAATTGTTGGATTTTATCTGGCTGATGGAAATCTCCTGTTGACAATCAAGTACATATTTCTTGTGCATACATAGAAGTTTTTCATTTTGTACTGAACTGAGATCTTCCATTCCTTCTGTGCTTATATAAATTAGAAAATTCTTGTATGCCGACAAAGCCCGAATGCTTTCGGAACTTAGCCAGATGGAAATGTGGTCCACAGAATACAACAGATAAACTTGGCTTCTCTGCGCCGTTACAAGCTGTTCATATTCTTTAATTGGACTTGTGTTTAGCTACTTGCTCTTTTACATGGATGGTAGCTCGAGTTGTTCCTCGATATCGATTCAAATTTGCTCTTCTTTTTTGATGCTCTTTCCTGCTGCGAACAAATTATATTCTCTTAACTCTTGAGTATCATTCAAGATCAGGGGACTCAATACTCATTTCTGTGTGTATAATTCAGTGCCAGGATCATACAAGATTTGAACCACTAATTCTTGGTTCCTTTGATGAGTGCCAAAATGGAGTTGTCCATTTCATTGCAAGTCTTTTTTTTTTTTTTTTTTCAAGTCTTGTTAGGTCTATGAGATGTCACCCAAGTTGTTGTGGGGCGGCCTTTCTTATGCTGTATTATGTCTTTTTATGGCATCAAAAATATTATCCCCTCGAGGTGAACTCTTGTCTTTTTCCCTACGTCTTTGCTCTCTGTCAAATTTGTTGTGTTTTTTGTGCTCCATTCTTTTAGCATTTTAATTTTACTGTTTAAATGTTGCAGTTGGCAAGAAAAATAATTATTATCTCATAAAATATTATATAAAAATATTATGCAAATATACCACTCCTATTCGTCCCTTTTTTAGCCGCTGTAGTTTATTTTAACTGCTTCCATCGCAGTGAAAAAACTGTGTTAGTCAATGTTAATCAATAGCTGAAATGAACAATATATCGATACTATGATAAATATGAATATAAATATATATATATATATATATTTGGGTTCATTTTGACTCAATGGAATCCTAAGATATTAAAGATAATATGTGAGTATTCACATTTTTCCAACTAATTTTTATTTAAAATATTATATTAAATACACATTTATTTCATGATAAATAATTATTTTTTTACTATACAACAATAAAATCACAAAATCTTTATAACAATATGCAAAATGTATATATAAAATGTAGTATCATGTTTGTTTCTAATTTCAAATCAATTTCAATATTATTAGTTGAGACCACTTCTAATAAAAATATATTGTATCATTTTATAAAATATTACATCAAATTACTATTTAAATAAAAAATATCAATTTCAAATACAAACCAAACAAATTATATTCAGAAAAACATACACAATAAAAAAATGAACAAATTCATCTGTGGAGTTATCCCTGTAGTTACAGTTACTTTACACCAATCATTTCAAATATTGGTTGGGTAATGAATCCTATACTACCAAAATTAAATTATAAGTCCACATATTAAAACATAAAATAAAATTAATTAGTGCTCAAATAAATATTTTTCTACTATAGTATAAAATGTGATTGTAGTTGGAAATAGAGAGCAATAGATTCGTTAAGAATATATTATGTCATCAATAACATAAGACACTGTCCTTGTCCTCGTCCATATCTCTGGCACATGCCCACGCGATATGCACCTGAATTCCCCTGACCAAACACGCTGTCCATCACGTGGGTCCTCGTGACCTCCCGAATCCCGCCAAAAAAACAAAAAAACAGCTCCAAACTTTCTCGAAACTTCTCTCACCCACGCACGTGTATAAATACCTCCCAACTGTAACCATCAATGACCTCATCGACCACACAAACACATTAAGAAAGACGATATGGAAAACAGCGACCAAATTTCTCACGTCATTTGTTTCCGTGACTGGATGGATCTCCAAGAGCGTGACCTCTCGGAGCTTCTCCATTCTCTCACCCTCACCAATGGAAATGTCGACGACGACGATGACAATGTCGTCCTTCGCGACCTCATTAACAAGACCATCAACCACTTCGAAGACTACGTGCACCGCCGCGCCGGCGATGCTCCCGCCGACGTCTCCCCCTACTTCTGCTCGGCCTGGTGCTCGTCGCTTGAGGGCTCAATGCTCTGGGCCGGAGGCTGCCGGCCGTCCATGTTTATCCGGCTAATTTACGCCCTGTTTTCGACCGGCGACGTACTACAGTTCTGCCTCGCCGACGCCGGCGATCAAAATGCGATCGGCGATGACGAGCTCCTGTCGGCCGATCAGCTTGTTCTGATCAACAGCCTGCAGCTCACGACAATCCAGGAGGAAGACAGGATTTCAAGAGAGTTAGCCAGTTTGCAGGAGGAGGTTGCAGATCAGCCGATCGTCTTCATCGCGAGGGACCTCCTGCGGCATAGAGACGCCGGCGATGAAGCCGATGCGGCGCTGGAAGTAATCGACGTGGCCCTGACGAAAATTCTGCTACAGGCGGATAACCTGAGGCTGAATACTCTCAAGGAGCTTTTGGGCATGCTGACGCCGATTCAGGGCGTGCGTTTTCTCGCCATGGCTAAGAAGCTTCATCTTTGCTTCCATCAATGGGGCCAGAGAAAGGATCATCTCCATGGGAGGAACTGAACTGAACTGAACTATATATGCAGTAAATCTATATAAATGTGCTTTGCTATATAAAAGTATGTATTGTTTTGTGTTGTATATGTATGGTTAGTATACTGAAAATCAATAATATATACGAGTTTTTCTAATTTCAATTTTATATTCCGTAATAATATATATGTTAATTCCTCTCGAGCCTCGAATGTTGCAAGAATATATATATCTATATAGACGCGGGAAAAGGAATGTTCGAAGCTGAAGATAAAACGGTGGAAACAATAATATACAGGGATGGACTGTAAGAAAGAAGACTGTTACAACATCTTTAAGCTCTGTTTCATCCTCGGATGGATGTCGAAAAAAAAAAGGACAAAAAGTAGATACAATCGACTTACAGGACGGGAGGCGAGGAGGTGAGAATTGATACAATCAAGCTGCCTCGGAAGATAAGATTTCGAGTTCAGCCCACCAAAGTGGAGACAGCCTAGGCGTCGCAGCCTCCGGCGATACATCAATCGCCTGTCTAAGTTTCTCGATGACTTCTTTCATCGCAGGCCTTTTCCTCGGATTTTGGTCGATGCAGCTTTGGATTGCTTCGCACACAACGGGAAGATGGCTGTCCTTGAACGACTTCAAGGCCGGATCGATCAACTCGCTTAAGGTTGTCTGATCATTCAGGTATTGGTTGGCCTAACAACAAAGTTCAGAAAATCAGCATTCATTTGAAGCCTCTGCTCAAAATCAAATCGAAGAACAGATGATGGCGCAAGGACATACCCATTTTAGGACATTGTCTCCTTCTTTCGATTCAGGAAGCTTTCCGGAGATTATTTCAAGCATCAAGATCCCAAAACTGTAGACGTCTGTTTCCAGAGCGAGCGGCGGCTGCTCAGAATGATCCGGCTCGTGTGCTGCAGGATTCTTCGAAGAGGCTACAAACTCTGCCCAAAAAGCTACATCGCAGATCTGCAAATGTAAAACATAACATTAACATTTCCTCAGTCGAAAACCAGAGTCGCCATCTTTGATTAAAACAAGAACCTACTTTTGCGGCATGATCATCCGTCAAGAACACATCTCTCGTCGTCAGGCGGAGATGCGCCACCGGCGGATTAAGCTCGTGCATGTATTGCAGGCAATAAGCAGTCCCCATAATTATTCGAATCCGCGCATCCCATCCGAGATCTTCGAGGTCCTTAGCTGAAAAAAATCGAAGAAAAAATTTCAGGCTCCGTGTTTAGACAGAATAGTAAAAAATCAGTATTTGATGCGATAGTATCGAAAGTTTAAAAATGCCTAAAGAACTTTACCCTGCAAGTAATCAGAGAGAGAGCCATTCGGCGCAAACTCGAAAACCATCATCCTCGTGAAAGGCTCGCTCTCTTCGCAGTATCCGATAAGGTTGACGAAGTTTTTGTGATTGACGCGCGACAAGGTTTCGATCTATTGAAGTTCAAAAGACCAGAAATCGATCAATCGATCTTAATGAATCTCTTAGACTACGATGCAAAAACGATCATCTAACCTTCTTCCTGAACAATAACTCAGCTTGTTTCGACCATTCTTTCGCAGATTCAATAGCAGTCGACACAACAGCAATCTCCACTCCGCTCGACAGAGTTCCCTTGTACAAAGTCACGACACCTTCACGAGTATATATAATGTTGCTGAAATCCTCGCACGCAGTTTCCAGCTCGTCGCGGTTCAACTTAGGAACCCCTGCAGATGAACAACAGGCATGTATTATCGCGGACAGATCGACATTTTAGTTAAACGGATAATGTGTGGAGATCAGACCTGTGACAAAAGCTTTCTGCAGCTGTCCGCTCAGCCCTGTTTTCCAAGGACTAATGTTCTTCGTCGCCTTCTTTCGAAATATCAGAAGCAGAACTATGACACCAACAAGTAATAAAACCGCGACCAATATCCCAATCATAAACTTTCGCGAATTCGCAGAATTTCCATCAGCAGAAGAATCCTTATATTGCGCAACGGCGCTAGGATCAGCTACGCCATTGGTCTTATTCTCCTGTTCGAGAGGCGGCGACGATGAAGGCGCAAGAACAGGAGGTGCAGGAGAAGGCTTCGGATTCGCGACTGCAGGAAACGAACCGCTGCTTCTGCTCGGGAGAGCTTCATCACTACCTGGCGAATCATCGACCAGAGCATTAATGTCGGGAGGGAGGGAAACGAGGTTCGCGAGGTCTTCAGCTAATATGCGCCGAGCATTGTTTACATGCTCTTGCGCGCTCTCAATGACATCCGTCTCCGGAGAATCTAGAAAAATGCAGCAAAAGAAGTCAGCTTCGATCGATGAGATTAATAAAAAACGAAAGCGATCTTCTCTTACCAGTCAGATAGCTGCAGCAGTTGTGGCCATGGCTGTCCGAAGATTCACTTCCTTTCAACCTTAACAAGCTTCAATGATGAGTTTTATCGACAGCGAATTCGCAGAGTTGAATGTAAGAGTTAAGGTTGCTTACTTGGGGAGCAGATTGAGGTAATTAGCTATGGTTTGCTTAGTCGAATCCGATTTCTTCATCTGCTTCAGAACACTCTGCCATATCCTGCTTCAGAAATACGATCCAACGATGAAGACAACACACAGAAAACTGAGAATTCTAGAGTTAAGCATGGTTAGAAAATGTCTAGGCTCACGAGTGTCCGAATTTTCTATTCACGCAGCAAATTCCGGCAGCAGCAGTCGAGAAGACATCATCGAACTGAATATCGGACAGCAAACTGAGCTTCCCAATCTCCACCGGAAGGCTCCCTTCAAACCTATTGTTGCAGAGCAACCTAAACCAAATGCGCGGCGCCGCGCAGACAAAGGTATATAAACTAACAACACATAGACAAATGTACTAAAGACAATGTAAGAAGCTAAGACATACAAACGTCTTAAGGAATGCAATTCTCCTAACTCCGCCGGAACTGTTCCACTCAAGTTATTATCCCTCAAGTCCAAAACTTCGAGCATCGCCAGATGTCCAAACTGCGGAGGTATGGCGCCGGAGAGATGATTCTTCGACAGATCGCTTAGGACACAAAAGAATGTCATAGAAATACTCCTTTCTTTCTAAATTTCGCCTCGACAAAAAGCCAATACTTACAGAAACCTCAAATGTGTAAGATTCGCAAGCTCCGGCGACAGCGCTCCCTCCAAATCGCAGCCACTGAGATTTCTGCGCAAGAAAAATAACTTCACGAATTAGATAAAACACACGATGTTTCAATTCATTACAATACGATTGTTTTAAGACATCGAACATACAGCATAACAACATCACCATCCACGCATTCGATGCCTGACCACGCGCAAGGATTGCAATCATTTGGATCCCAATCTTCCAAAGTCCCGGACGGATCAAAGTCCACCATCGACCGGAATTGCAACAAAGCCAATCCTGAATGTCCAAACTTGTCAAATTCCCGTTAAACTTAGCAAGAACAAGTAAGTCCCTAGCTGCTTTTCTTACCTTCGGAATTGAGAAAGCAGCATCCATTGATTTCGAAAACAATAATGAAGAACATGAAACAGAACAAGTGGATTCTATTTCCATATCCGGACATTGCGAGCCGAACCATTCGACAGAGTTGCTGAGGCCTTTTAATAGCTAGTTTAGATTATGTTTCTGTTTTCAGACAAATAAGCCTCCGAGCAATCAAACTTACTCGGAAAAGCTGCCGGTGGAGGAGGGGGCAAAGACAATGCCAATCTTTACAGTACAGGGGGACTGAAGATGTCTTGGAATATCATTACATATACAGATCTACGACTAAGAAAAATCTATGCAACAATGGAAGAATCTACATTAAATCTATTGACAAAGTTGGGGGATTCTCATCTTCAACCAGGTGTTCTAACAATAACATTACAATTACAATTACAAAATTGCAGAACCTGGATGAATGAATGAACGAATGTCGGCACCGTTACCTGAGAAACGAAAAGAAAATATCAAAATCAAACAACCTTAAATCGGAACAACGTTGGAAGAAACAAAAAGGCGTGAATGAAAATCACCAGAAAATAGGACAATGGAGATGGTGATTCGAGGGTATTTCGAAACCCTTTTGTAAAAATTAATATTGTTTTGGAGGAATTGAAAATGGCAGAAAATGGGTCTGGATGATCTCAGAAGAGGCAGAGACTCTCCTCGACCATCTGAACAATGGGGAATTGAGAAAAGAAAGAAAAAAGAAAAAAAAAAAAAAAGAAATTCTTTCTTTCTTCGTCTTGGTTTTTCTCTCAAAGAATAACAGAGTTCGTGTTCGTGCCCTCTCATCATCCTCACCAACCAACCATTCTTTTCTTTATATCTTTAGTCGCAAATTATAATAATAATTTTGAAAATTTTCTTTTTATATTATTTAACAAACCATATTTGTCTTACAACTTATACAACCTATTAAAATCTGCTTCAGAGCAAGAAAAGACGATTAATAATTTATGGAAATGTTCTATACCGGTTAACTGCCCTGGGCAGGATTTTGACAGTTGGATTGCCCGAACCCATCGGGTCACATTCCCATTGTTGACCGGGTGGGTCCCACTTCCCTTCCGTACAATGATTTCGAGATGCGTGATGTTTGTTTTTCGATAATTTGGGATACTAAAAAAATATTTTAAATTAAAAGTTTTTTTAATTACATATAGTTTTGTTTATATATTACTTTTGAAAATTTTAATCATATTTATTAAAAAACATTTATCCAAACGAAGCCTAAGACTCCATTTATGATTTCTAGAGTTTCAAAATTTTTGAAATAAATAATATTAAGTATTTAATATACTTGTTTTAAAAATAATATTATAAATAAATTTTATTGAAAGTAATTTTTGAGCATAGATTTGTTTATGTATGTTTTAGAAGTATATTAAAATTTTGGAGAACAATGAGAATAATAAAATGTTAGAATAAACTAGATAGTAGTACTATAGTATAATATAAATAAATATTTAATGTGATGTTTTTATATATAAATAAATATTTTTTATTGGACTATTTTTAACAAAAAAAATAAAATAAAATAAAAGTGGTTAGGCGTTAGCCCACTACCTTAGCGGGCCTTTGAGAGATCTCAATTGGGCCACAATGGATCATAGCCACTTTTTGTATCTGTAGTATAAATACGTAGACCATATATAGTTTTATTATTTATTTATTTTTTGGGTTTAGCAATTAAAGGTGCAATAATAGGAACAGTTGTAGAATTAGTTCATAATAATAATAATGACAGATCACAACAGCAAAATCATACAAATAAATTGATGGTGTGACAAAAGAAAGTAAAAGAATCATTAATAAGATAAATAAATAACACCACAAAGTTAGCTTCATCGATTTCAATTGCATGCTCAATATACATATATATATATATATATATAAAGAGGAGGGGGTTTGTATTAAATACTTTTACACCCTAAAATTTGACTTCATCTCTTCCAAAGAAACTGTTGCAGCCAACTTTTTCAACCCTTTTTGAATTCTTCAATATACATATATAGTTATGGAACTATAAGTATGTTTGATTGAAGGTGTATGTATCATTTTTGTCATTTTTATCCGATTTTATTAAAAAATATTTATTATTTATTTTAGTAAAATATAATTATACATTAATATTAAAATAACTTTAATTTTTATTTAAATTATAAATATACTATTACATGTACAATTAATTTATATCTAAAGTGAAAGGACAAGAATAATATTTTATAAACAAAAATTCAAATTTCAAATCAAACAAACCCCAAATTTTTATTATTCCGTCGTGCAAATATATGCTCATTTGACCGGGTATGAGTTTTAATAAAAATGAGAATTTTTTTTATGAAAAAAAAAAAGAATATAAATTTGAACGAAAATGAGTATTATTATTACATATTTGGAAGGAGGACCGGTCAAAGATAGACATATTTAATTTCCTGACAAGGAAACCCACCATTTGAAAATAAGATGCATTATTATTATCTCCCATGCATGTTGCATATCGTGCTTTAGAAATCAACACATTATTCTAATATTTTTTTGATGTTATATTTTGGAAGAATACATAACATTTTATGCGTTGTTTTCTTAAAATAATACTGTAAATAACCTTTTTCAAAGTAATTTTTGAATATATATAAAGAAAAAGTCTCAATGTTGGACCAATTGTTGTATGTTTTTAATTTGTATGATTGGTTATTGTGTGCATGGAATTGATCGGTACTTAAATTGGGTGTTGAATTAAATTGTGGGAAAATGAAATTAATGGATTGAAAGAATCTTCAAAATTAATCAAAAGGATTGTCCCCTCGATCGACTTATATAATTATATATAGCTCCCAATTCTTGTTAGCTAATTTTCATAGCAACAATAAAGTCTGAAGCAGATCCAATTGGACCACTGTTAATTAATTCGTTGAATATGTATATATATATATATATATATAGAGAGAGAGAGAGAGAGAGAGAGAGAGAGAGAGAGAGAGAGAGAGAGAGAGGAGAGAGATGGGAGTTTGATGGTACTTTTGAAAGTGTCTGCCTCCATGCAAAAACACAAAAATAAAATTGGCTATTTCAAATACGATAGATATATATATATATATATATTCATTTAAGAGAAGAGTCGTCACCAACTTCTTTGAATACATTGCACTCTTCTTAAATTTCCATGGCAAATAAATAGAACACGACAATTCCTAAAATTATTTCTGAAAGAAATTTATTAATTGCCTCCCAAAAGGTTAATAATAATAGCAATAAATAAATAAAAAGGTGATTAGATGTCTAACATTAATGTTAAATCAAGATTTAAATCAATAATTCCAACACAAAATGGGAGGTTAAAAGGTTTGCGTTGTCACCAAAGCAATGGCGGTAACTAAAGACATGGGGACACAAGATTGATGATTAATTTCACTTATTGTCCACATTGAAATAAAATAAAAAGTCATGGTTTAGGTAGGATAAAAAGGCCAATTATGTATATATATATATATATAATTAATTAATCAATACAGTATTGATAATTCATTCATAATAAGTATATGAACCGATGACAATACATGACATTAAATAGTATATACATTAACATATATGACTCTCTAATCATTCTATATGTTTATAGATTTTTATTTATTTATTTATTTTTCATGAAAAATCACATAATGCCCAAAGGATAAAGAATCCAATTATTATTAATAAAAGTTAGGAGAGCAGCCAGTGACAAAGGTCAAAAATAATCACATGATAAGGAGGAAAATTGCAGGTTTTACTATGACAACTGTCAATTGAATTAGGACATTAATTTAACCAAGGGAGATTAATAATTATAACTTGAATATTCTAAAATAAAATTAAATAAAATGCATGAATTGTTCGATTAATAAACTATTAACTAGCTAGGGAAGAAGTCTCATACAATATATATATATACATATATATATAAGCATTGAACAGGTGTTGTTGGGGCCCCCTTTCATATCTATGTCTATAATGCCAAGAATAATTATTGCACCAACGGATAATAAATCATCATCAAGAAGAAGATGATCAATCCAGAACTAGTCCAGGGTTGAATTTTCGTGCTGCTTTTTTTTTTTTGCATGAAAGTCTAGGGTGAAAAATCTCAATTTTCTGAGGACGATGGCTGGATGATGAAGTGTGTGCACTTGTAATTACTACTGCTGGCTAATTTTTTGATTTATTCTTTTTGTTCTTCAGACAGCTTAATTTCCCACCCACCTTTTTCTCTGATCTTCATCTTCTTCGAAGATCTTTCTTTAAATTATGTAAAATTATTATGATCAGGTGGAGTTGAGAAACTGATCGAAGATAATTGGATCCTGAGGGCTTAATACTTCTGTTTTAATTTCAGGGTTTGTAAATTTAAGGTATGTAAAGCTCTTCTCTCTCTCTCTCTCTCTCTCTATATATATATATATATATGTATGTATGTATTAGTGTATGTATGATCTACTGTTTGAGGTAAACACAGTTTTAGGATATATATTTGGGTATATTTTATATATAGAAATTTATGTGTATACAGATAAAAAAAGCTGAATTTCATCTACTTCTTCACTATCTGAAATTGAAATCAGATCTTAGTTTTAGGGTTTCTGTTTGAATGAAATAGTGGCAAATTAATTGTCCACTCAAAGAGGCAAAACCCTGGAAATTCTGCCATGAATTCAACAAGATAAACATGATCAAATTATACAGAAGTAATTGAACTTAATTTTAACTTTATTCTACACCACTTTTTTCTCATTTCAATTGTTCTTCAATCAATTCATCTCTTTCTAATTCATTTGGCCTCAGTAATCCTCAATTTTCTTGTTTCCTTCCAATCACACACACACATATAATATACGTACATCTCTCTCTGTGTATTTGTGCTTATTAATATGGAGATTATTTAATTATGAGCACAGGAGATGAACATGGCTGAAGATGACAAGCTGTTGATCAATATTGGAGAGGAAGAAAATGCTGGAACAAAAGATAACACACTGTCCAACTACACAGACAATTCGTCGATAAATTTGATGGAAGAAGGGAGCAGAAGTACTAATGACATCGCCACCGGCGGCAAGAAGCGCAATGTCCGGCCATACCTCCGATCAAAAATGCCGCGGCTCCGGTGGACCCCCGACCTCCATCTATCCTTTATACATGCTATTCAGAGACTTGGTGGCCAGGAGAGTGAGTATTATTAAGCTACCAAATAATAGTACATAAGAAATTAATTTGATGATGATGAAAAACCCTAATTGATTCTTCATCACTTCTCCCCCAAATTGATTGATGAATAGTTCGATAAATTCCAGGAGCAACCCCTAAAGCAGTTCTTCAATTGATGAATGTAAGAGGGCTCAGAATATCTCATGTCAAAAGCCATCTACAGGTACTGAAAAATCAAATCTTTACTGCTGAATTGATTATCTTAATTAATTAGGGCAACACTGTTCTTGGTTGGTGTAGATGTACAGAAGCAAGAAAATGGATGAATCTTGCAAAGGTGCTACATTATTCCCCACATTCAATTACTGATAATTTGGTGTATATATTACAAGAAATTGTGGTCAATATATCTTAATTAATTAGTTACATAAAACTTCAATAACAGGCCAAGCTAATAGGATCTACATTCATGGGAGGAACTACCTTTCTGGAACTACACAATTAAACAAATTCAGCCCTTTTCATCATCTGAGACTACAAAATGGTGGCATTGTTTTCGCGAGGGACTCGAATCAGGCCGATCGCGCAAAGTTCTTCGCGCAAAATCCCGACGAATCGCACCCTTGGGTTTCTTCCAAGTAAGTGTGTGTTTTAATTCATCAAATGGAGTTCATATGGATAAGTATGTATCTATGGATTTTTACCCACAGGCATCAAAGAAGAAGGCCTAATTGGCACCAATATTCGATGATCGTGAATCAATTTAAATCGAGAGAAATGATCATATCCACACCCAACATTTGTTCAAACTCAGTTTCACAAAACTCAATCAAAAGACAATCATGTTTGACCTCAATTGGCAGCAGCAGGAGCAGCACAAATAACACGAATCCATCTATCAAGATCGAACATCCCACAAGGCTTTATGTAATAATATATATACATGCATATGCATTTTTTACTGTATTATTTATGCATCAACTGATGTTAACTAATTTCTTGCAATTAATAGATAAACGAGGAGAAGAAAAAGATCGATCGGCATTTGAATGATCTACAGCTTAATTTGAGCCTAAGTCTGAGCAGCAATGGATACAGCAAATGCAGTGGGGATTCGGACATTATTAACACAAAGCTTTCACTTGCCTGAACATGACCTTGCTAATTCATGATACCTGACATTCTTTGTTCATGTGCTCAGAGACATATATAATCTTGCACTTCATATTAATTAATTAACCGTTAATTCGAGATCGATCGAGATCTTGTTATTATTTAGACATAATCATACACTTCATTATCTGTACATGGTTGAGGACAAACTAAACACACATACTTTGTTTTGTTTGATGATCGATATATGTCTGCATGGATTCATGTCTCTGTGTGTTTATTTATATCTGATTATATAATTATTAATAATTAAAAGGGATCGATTTAAATTAAAAAGGGTTTTAAATCAACGATAATCTTCATATATATATATATACATATGCATGTGTTTGTGTAGGAATTAATTAGATGGTTCAACTAAACATGTGCTGAAGTGGTTGAGTAGCATCAATTTTATTACTTATATAGAAAATAATAAATATTCAGAAAAAAAAAAAAAAAAAAAAAAGATAATTATGTAGGATGGGTTGAATCTTGAAGATGATAGTTGTTGGATCCAGCTGCATGTGAAACCTTCTAATTAATGCAGTGATATGCACGTAACCGAATACCAAAGGGCCCCCCGTCAATTATACTCGATCGTTTCCTCTAATTTTAATTTCCACTTTTATTTTTCGACATTCTATTTTAGATAATATAGTTTTATTTTTATTTTTTACTATTTTGTCTACTTTTTGCTTATGATGATATTATTATAAATTCTATCGAAAATGTGTAATTTAAATTAATTTTTAGTCGTCCATCTACTTTCTAATGTCTAAGTGATATTTACACGCTTTTTTAGATAATTAGTTTTTTGGTTGTATATTGACAAAATAGTCCTTTATTTTGTGCATAGATATAAAAAAATAAATAAAATAAGAATAAAAAAGTAAATTTTATGTATAAAATTAGAAAGAGAACAATTATTTTTTAACATTCCAAAATAGATAAGTAGGATATTAGTCCGTGGACGGAAGGAGTATTATTTTTGACGACAAACGCAACATCCCAACCCACTATAAGAACTTTTATGTTTGTTCACTTTCATAAAAATAAGTGATGTGTTGAGACATTCATTAACATAATCTAACATTATAATTGGCCAAGCAATCAAGAATTGTATTATGCAGAAAGAACAAATGGCAACAACAGCTATGTATATATTTTATAAGGTCTAATGAGGTAGGCATTGCAGAGGGCACAAAACGACGGCGTATGGAAGCTAGAATGCCAAGCTGCATCCTAACAACAGACTACATCACCAAACGGGAAGCAGAGCAGCAAACACAGCTTTGAATCCATTATATTTAAAAGTATATATATATATATATATATGTTTGTTTATATTATAATGTCATGCAGCAGCACAGCACCTTCTTCTTCAATCAATTTTCCTCAAAAAATAGTGGGAAAAAAATGACCTCCAAAATTAGTGGTGTAATGGTAATGGAAACTCTGCCTGCAAAAACAAAGAGTGGTTTCCTGCTGCTATTTGCTTTGTCGATGAAGCTCCTGCACAATCAAGTGCACAGAAAAAAACAGACGAAAAACATCACAAAAAAGCAAGAACATCAAAACAGGGTGTGTCCGTTAACAACAAGTGAAGTTATTACCTCGGAGTATCGAATGTGATCCTGCCGTAGGTTGGAAGTTTTGACAATAGTCTCCCATTTCGCAGCGTCCGCCGAGCCTTTCGCGCCCGCCTTCTTCGGATGGAGACGGCTCCGTTGGCGCGAGTGCGCAAAGGGGTTCGAAATCGACGGAAGCGTGCGCCATAGCCACGATTCCGAAGGGGATTTCGGTAACGGTGGAGGCAATGGCGAAAGCAGCTGATGATCAGACTCTTTCTTCTCCGACTCGACTTTCCTTTCTTCTTTCGACCCGAGCTTCACGTCAGGAATCCATTCCAAGGGTCCGAATTCAGGACAAAGATTCGGATCGACTTTAACATCCGGAAGAACTTTGCACTCCGGTCCATTTTTAAGACTCGGTTTCTTTCTGAGGTCAAAAATGTTCGGCTGCGGTTTGATTCTCTCGCCGGATGGCTTTGTGATCCGACGATGCTCTGTTTTGTTGACAAAGTCTACATAAACAGTTTTCTCGACAGCATCGCCGTTCGGGGCTGAGGATCGCCTCTCGGTTGTCTGATTCCGCGACACATCTTGCAGGGCCTTGAGCATTTTCCGCGACGAGGCGATCTTATACGCAAGCTGATTGTCGGCTTCTTTAGGCAGGCCGAGTAAACCAGCTCCGTCGCGGAACGGAGACTTTGGAGTTTCGTTTCGGTAAGGAGATATGTTACCGCTTCTGTAGCGCCTCAACGGAGACACCGACAATCTAACCGAGTCGCGCGGGCTCACAAATTGACTCGGATCGTCGCTGTGCAGGTTACCCTCGACTCCCGGCAGCTCTCGAACCAACATTCCGGAATGAAATTTCTTCTTATTAGGCACATGGTAAACGTTCTGCATCGATCGACAACTGTAAAAAACGATTCGAGCAACAAGACATAATGTAAGATCAAACATCACAAGATTCGACGACTACCTTGTCTAGAGGTCCGCTTAGCGCCTTCCTCGATAATCTTCGGACATCATGGACGTGAGGCGTGGGCGGAGTCGGGGGACGAGGTCTCGATTTCATTACCGGCAGAGGATTCAAGAGGCACAAGGAGTTCTTAACACAGAATCTCGGGAGAATCCCCCAAACTTTTCCGGGCTTCTTAACCGGAATCTTATGATCTTGATCGTCATCCTCGCTCTCCGTATAATCGATATACTGACTGTAATAAGGCAGAGTATTCGACACGTTCTCTTTAGACAAAGGCTTCGTTATTTCCCCCGAAACTGCCTTCCTTACAACCTTCGTCTCCACATTTGCCACCTGCGACTTCTTAGCAACATATTGCGGCGTTTCCACAACTGCAGCCTTGGCTGCCGGCAAGAACCTGTTCATCATCAAGTCTCTCGTTTGCTCGTCGACGCAGAATGTCCCGGCGGGCTTCACTCCAGAGCTATGATAGCCACTAAGCCCGCTCACACTATAGTTCACGGAATGCGATTCTCCGACCGAAAGGGTGTCGAGTGCATCCGAATATGCGTCGTCTTCGCTCTCCGAATCCGACTCATCTTTACAATTCAGACTCTCGTTCAGTTTCTCGAGAAGCATCGCGTGATCGGCGTAGGAGAACGATTCGACCTGAGATTTCTGCACATTATGATCAACAGATCTTTCCCCTGAATTGTACCGAGATTGGCCCGACCCTCTGCCAGACGGCAGCCTCGGGCTTTCGCCTGAATTTCGTCGAATGGCATCCGACACTCTTGCCGGCGGGAGCCTCGGCGTTTCCTCCGGCGTAGGCGCCTGGCTGCTGAGCTCGTCCTTTGGACGGCCGGGGATTTGCTCCCAATGAAACGGCACGGCTGCCGGCTTCGTCACTTCCTCATTTTCCCACCCAAATTTATTTGCCGGAAGCGATTGCTGCCGGTCGGGGTTTGCCTTTTCCGGCGCCTTCCGGGGGACTAACTCCGTAGAGCGCGACGGCGATGAATACCTCCTTGCTGAAAGGATGGGTGCATTGAAATCTAGTTGCCTTTTCTCCATTGGATACCTCTCTCAAGTTCAAGATTTCTCTGCCTCACTGAATGGACAACACCCAAAACTGAAACGAATTAAATCAACAGGCATGAAGATATGTAATAAATAACCATATGGTATTTGAGAAATTTCAGAAATTGAACTTCATCAGAGCAAGCATTCGTCGCAGCTTCAAGAAAGAATGTCCGTCTATTTACAGATTTGAGAATTTCTGAACAAACAAAGCTTAAGCTACTGTATGCATACTCAATTTCTGGAAACAAACATCGAATGGCTACCCAAGAATACAACTTCTGATACAAACCAATTAAAACCTAATCTGAAAAATTTTAAAAACAGGGAGCAAATTACGCAATGAAGCTTTTTGAGGACTTATCGGCACCACCTCTAGCAAAAACATAGATCCATAAAAAATTTATTTTTTTGTTATAAGCATAAGCACCTTATCTTCATCAATGGAAGCCAAGAAACTGTCTGAAAATTATCTCGTGAGAAGTACCATAAGAAACAGCATAAAATCAGGGCATTTCTTGGGGGGGAAAATTCGTAGGTACCTGAGAAAGAGCGATGTCGGGCCCTGGAATTTGGAGTTTCTTCCCGCGAATGGTGGCTGAGAAAGAGGAAGGAGAGAAGGAGAAAAGGCAAGATGAGAGAGAGAGTGAGAGTGGGAGAGAGAAAGAGAAAGAGAGACGAAGAAAAAAGGAGGCAGTGAGGAGTGCTGTTGCCTGTGCCCTTTTTTTCTTTCTTTCTTTTTTGTGTTTTGGGTTTCTTTTTTCCCCTCGAATTAATGATCGTAATTAGGAAAGAGTGGCGTTGATTGCTGACTGACTGACTGACTGACTGACTGTCTGATAAATGCATGTGGAATTTGGAACGTGGTGGGGGCTCTAACAAAGCTCGCATTGCCATTGCCATTGCCCTGATTCTTCGTCTTCGTCTTCACCTTAACTAATTATCTGTTTACAAAAATTGTGTCTATTTTATTATTTTAGTTATCTATTAAAAATATTTTTATATTATATTTAATTACAAATTCAAATTTTAGTAAATTATAATTATTTTTATATCTATTTATATTGTTGTCACTTATTAATGATATATTTTTACACTTAATTTATTTTAATTCAATATTTATATCATTAATCTTTAAAAAATATAAAATAATACTATTTAAATATTACGTCTCTTGGCATCTCTGCCCAAAAATAAAAATAAAAATAAAATTGATACATTCATTAATAACGATGGGGAGAGTATATAGTATTTCCATCAAATCAACATTGCCCTTACACAAATGTCACGGACATACCGTTGGAGTACAGCGACAGTTATAAATCCAGCTTTCTTTTCTATAGGCAATATTCTTGGATGATCCAACTGAACCCTAATTAATCTCCACCCTTCATTTCTTCATCTCCCTCTACTTTACCAACGGTTGGGATTGATTGATTTCAGGACCCCACCTGGCTCCCAACTTACAGTATTTCTAGAATCATCAACAACTCTTGCTCTTAATTATTACTTCCCCTTTGCCCACTCCACTCTCCAAAATTTATGACCACCAACAAATTATCCCTTTAATTCTTGCTTCACCAATAAGAATAAATTTTAAAACACAAGTGTATTTTCAAGATTGTACATTTTGTGTTTCTCTTTAATTTAATTAATCCTACTTTAATCCCACCAAATCCTAACTCCTAATCCAATCCTATTATTTATTTTATGCATAAATTTCATGTACATAACCGCCTGAATTTAAGGACAAAGATTTTACAAAGATACTGTTTTATTTATTTATTTATTTTAAATTAGGCCAGAACGCAAACGATAATAAATATATAAATAAATAAATGACTAATTAAGTCCAAATCTGTGGTCATACTCAGACATACATAAAGCAAAAAAGTTAATCTCCTGATTTGCCGCTCGTCTAAAAAGTCAATTCCCTCCAACTTCTTCTAAAACATTATTGAAGATTTAATAATGGAATTAATTGCTAAATTAAGCAGAAATTGTAGTTGGAATATTATTATATTTCAACAAATGAATTAATAATTAAGATTTTTTATATGGGCCCATGCTAATATATTTTTCCATGATCTAAAAAAAATAAAATTAAGAAGGAAACGGACATAATGTAGTAGGAATATGTGCATGTGAGATCTCGAATATACGACAAAAATAATATGGTAATGGAACAAATATCTGAAGATGACTGCTCTGTCAGTCACTACACTTATCCATCAATCAAATAATAGATACTAATTTCTACTCTATGGGGACAAACAAACATGTCGTCGTTTTGTTTTGTGTTTCACTAAACGATCGATTTAATTAATTACCATATTTTAAAGCTGATATGTGCAGATATAAATAGTGGGAATTATAGCCTGAATTGGACGTAATTATTTAACCTGCAAACAGTTGTCGAGGTAAGTTATGAGTGACATGGTCGATCAAAAAGAATGTTAGCTAAGATGTTTGTTTAATTTGGATGTATATATAGTAGATGAAATTTGTCGTAATTTACTACAAGAATATATATATATATATAATTCAATTAATTAATCTATATCTATGCATATAGACAATTTTAGTTATGGGTCAAATCATAGTGCACTTGATTAGGGACATGTGACATGTTGTGTGAACCATATGGCATATATGTTGTAAGGGTGGTCGAATCATGCATGTAATAGGCTACTACTGATATTTTTAGTTCGTTGTAGTGTCGTTTATTGGACTGATTATAGTATCATATATATATATATATATATTTAAGTGTTCTTCAAAATTGTTTATATGAAAAGTAAGTCATATTAATGATAATTTGAATTAAAAAAAATATTTAATTTAATGTTTCAAAGATAAAATAACTACAAGTCTTAGATAATACTGATATTAGTAGAAAGGGTTCTTTTCTGAAGCTCCATATATACATATACATGCATATAGATATATATACTTACTATCATATCGACACGTCTAATTTTAGGGCAATTCAACATGGGCGTGCGTGACCATAAATGAAATGACTGTCTGAGAGGATTGAAATTAATAGCATTATTTACTGGATCATCAAACTGTACCAACCATGCATCAATTCACGTAACTAACTTTCAATATAAGCATAAATGTATAAACAAACAAATAAATAAAATGGCAGGGCTTCGGGCAAATATAAATTTTCAAAATATAAACATATATAATTATTATGCTTCTTCAACATTGTGTATAGAGTGAATTATTAATTTTGGGCCCGTTGGAAAGAACGAAGATGATATATTGAAAATATTTTAAACTTTTGAAGTATTACTCGTTTGTTTGTCCAAATTTTTTTGTTTCGAAAATATTTTTAATATATATTTTATTTTATTTTATTTTATAAAAATCAATATTTAATACAAATATATATTTTTTTCATATTATTATACAATTACCGATATTTCAAACTAAAGTATTAAACAAATAAATTTCTACAAAATTAATAAAAAAAATAACTTAAAAATAAAAACAATAGCAAACATAGCCTAATTCTCACTCAAAGTGTGGGTATTTAATTTTTATTTTTTTTTAAAAAAAAAATTGTTGCTGAACAAAACTTGGCACGGAAAACGACAAGACACGACAAAGTAAGCTCCGGTGGGGCCCTACTCATGACGTGTCAGTAAGCTAGCAATCCTAGTTAAGCGCATGCCACGTGTAATCCCGCGCATCGGGAAGTCAAAAGCCCGCCAAAAGCGAATTAAGATCATCAATTTATTTCGCTAAAATATAATCGGATAAAATCCAAGTAAATAGTAATAATATTTTGATATACTTTCTCCCTCCCTCGACAATTTCTCCATTTTATTTATTTTGCCCATCCGATAACAAAGTATTTATGTTTAATTTTTTTTAGTAATTGTACTATCTATCTAATATTAGAATTACCTTTTCTATTTACAATATATTAAATAAATGTCATTACCTTTATATAATACAATATTAATATAGGTAATTTAGTTCTTTTATCTTTATTTCTATTTTATTTTAATATAATACTAATATTTTTAAAATTTTGTGTAAAAAAACAAATGAATATATATAGATACGGAACGAAGGGAATATTACATTAACAAAAGCCCTAATTAATTACATAATGCTCTCAATACTACTTAATTATTACATTTAGCCAAATTCTCAGTAACGCTAGCCAAAGACCTAAGATTACACCTTAAAACGGTATTAACAAAAACCCGGGTTTCCTCCTCGTTGTTCCCCTCCGGCACGTCGACGACGTACGATTCCTCAACCACCGTGCCGCCGCCGTCCTCATGCACGGTGGTGGTCGACTGGTAATTCTCGAGCCGCTGATCTCCGCCGATGATCGTGTAAACCATAACACGCATATCGTCGTCGAGCCGGTCGAGCCGCTCCCGGCCGACTTTTCCCGGCAAGCCGGAGACCAGCGCCACCTCCCGGACGCTCCCTACGCCGCCGCTGCCGGCGAGCATCGTGCACTTCCGGACGATCTTTTTGTAGGCCTCCGGGCGATCGAAACGACGTAGTATTGACCAGACAAGTTCTGTCGGGGCGTCGATGTTTTGGACAAGGGTTGAACTGCACTGGTTTGGCTTGGGGTCGAGTGATGGTGCAATTGCCATGATATATTGTTGTTTTTATTTTTATTTTTATGAAGTTTTTTAATTAGAATCGATTGAAGTTTTATTTATATATGGCTGACTTTGTGTTATATGTGATTTTAGGGTTTGAATAATTGGTTTTGGAACTGAATGAATTGTTTGGCCATGCATGCTTCGGAAGTCGTTGCTAAACTTCAAACGTTGTCGTTTAGTGCAATCAAATTTATGCTTTTTGTCGTGTAGTGAGATGAGGCTATGTCACGTGGGAGCACGTGGGGGTGCCTGCCGGTTCGTATCTCTCAGTCTGGTTGATTAAATGAGGGTTTTTCTAATAAAAAGAACTGATATACTATATACCAAAAAACTTATTTTATAAATAAGATCATTATATAAGGACATAAATAAAAATAATATCTATTTATGGATTACTATCAAAGTAGAAGGTTTGTCCAACATTTATAGTTACATAACACACATTCACGGGCCGGGCCAGACCAGACCTGGATTTGGACAAAGCTTGTACTGGATTTTTGCCCACACTAATACGAAGCCCACTGCATTATTTTTCATAATAAAATATAATGTACTTACATGGGTCATGGGTGTGTCTGGATATTTGAGTATAATATAAAAATAAAATATACTACATGTAATTTAATGAAAAATTTTAAAAAAATCTTTTTAAAAACTAATAAATTTTTTGAATTGAACCGGAAATATTTAATTTAGGTTTTTATGGTTTTGTTTTATTATGATTTAAAATTAAAATTAATATTGATAAAAATATACTATTTTTTCATAAATATTATATATGAAAATACTATTTAAATTAAAATTTTATCATAATTTTAAATTCAAATAAAAACCCAACAAATTCATATTAAAATAATATTTGGTATGATATTTTATTTTAAAAAATATATATATTTAAAAAACATAGTCTAAATACTAAAAATTAAGAAGAAAAATAAAACTTTATGTTTTATAAAAAAAAAAAGTGTATTTTAATAAAAACTAAATTTTAATGTGGCATTTTTAAAGAAATTATTATAGATTAATTGTGTAAAAAATAGTTTATAAATGTATGTAATAACTAGTGCTAAACTATTTAAACAATTATATTTTAATTTATTATCATCAAAGGCCACATTGTGCCTATACCTTGTGGGGCCTTTCCTCCACCCCTACCCTCAAATCAAATCTCAGCCATAGATTTCAAAGCTTATAAATAATACTGCCCACACTTGGATTATCATTATTACTAGTATTTTTTGTGCACGTAATTTCTAGCAATCTTATTGGTTAGTCGAGAAAAAATGATAGATCCTGCGTTACAATCAGTGCAAAAATTCATTGATCTTAGACTGAATTTTTGATGGGATAGTTAAGAAAATAACAAACTTACCTGAAAAAGATTAAGCAATTATTTACTAGTATAGGGAAGATAAACCAATTTAATTGATTAGTTAAGACAAATTAAATGTAAAATTAATATATATATATATATATATATAGTGCATTGTGCATCCCCTCACTTCCCAATGAAATATCCACAATCCATATGATGGATCTTGCTTTGGGATGATTCAAGAATCACAAATAATATCCTCTCAAAAGAATTGAACCACCTTCTCCACAATCCCAATTAATTAATTAATTAAAAATAAATAAATCTACCAAACAATTTTCTTAAATTGAACCAATCAAAGTTTTAGGCAAATTGACTATTTTCAGCTGGCAAGAAATCCAATTTGGACAAAGTAATTGGCCAATCAATAATGGACAAACATGTGTCTCCCAACTTTTAATTAGAATTAATTAAATTTGTGAATTGTTTGGTTGAGGGCCAAATGATGCTTCCAAAAACCATGCTACAACGCACGGTGCAATTATTATACATCATGCCCAACCAGGTCAGCTACAAAATTTAATTTATTTAATTTTCAAATTAAAAAATACACAAAACAAGAACCCATTAATTAGAAAGATGTGATCAAGAAAGTTGCAAAAATATATGATGTAGAAACACCCTTTTGCTTGCAAATTAAAAACAATTCAATCAAAGTGATTCATCATCATCATCCATCCCCACTGGCTGCTTAGCTCCCTCTCCTTTTTCACTTTCTCTCTTCTTTTTTTCCCATTGATCCCTCTTTCTCTCTCTCTCTCTCTCTCTCTCTCTCTCTCTGGATGAGAGAGAAATAGGAATGAATAGATAAGAGATTGGTTTATATTAGAAGACGACAAGAAAGTACTGTGGTGTTGAGTTCTGCCATGAAAGAAACCATCAGGTGCTGCATTGCTTGTATTCTGCCATGCGGGTCGCTAGACGTCATCCGGATCGTCCATTCCAATGGACACGTGGAGGAAATCCGTGGCTCCGTCAGAGCCGCTGAAATCATGAAGCTCCACCCCAAACACGTCCTCAAGAAACCTCCGTCGTCGTCGCCGTCAGATAACGGCGTCTGCCCCAAAATCGTCGTTCTTCCCCCCGACGCCGAGCTGCAGCGCGGCAAGATTTATTTCCTGATTCCCCGGCCACCGTCGCCGGAGAAGCCTCGCTCCAAGCCAAGGTCGTCTCCGTCGTCGAAGCGGAAGAAGAAATCTGACCAATCGGCCGCCGCCGGAGGAGGCGGCGACGGCGGGAATGATATCTCCGTCGCAAATCTACTCATTTCCGACCGGTATTTGAGCGAGATCCTGTCGGAGAAAGTCTCCACTCACCAGAGAGACCGGCGGCGAGGCCGCGCCGCCGTCTGGAGACCCCACTTGGAGAGCATTTCCGAGACGACGCCGCCGACGTCCGAAGCGTAATTGATTCTAATTTCCCATCTTCTCCATCAAAATTTTCCCTCTCCTCCATAAACTCAAATCTTTACTTTTTTTTTTTTGGGTTCACAATCAGATTACTCGTTAGGGTTTCAAAATTGAAATCTTGGAATTGCCTGCAATTTGCTTTACATTGTCCGAACGTACAGTTCTTGCAAATTTTAACCACGCATTTTTACTGTCGAAAATTTATCTGCGTTTTTGACCCATCAATTGAATTTAAGAAAATAAAAATAAAAATAATGATAATAATTACACATTAGTTGAAAATTAAATATAGGGACAATCCATGCATGATTTCATGGTGAAAGTAGAGGTCCCATGTTTCCTGGTATGGGTTCCCTCTTTGGGCTGCACTAATACTGCAAAAATTGAACAACTATAATAATACTATAATAAAAATAATAATAGGGGGAGATCCCAAGAACACAACATGCTTAAATTTGTTGGGGGTTTGTCATATTTCATTCTTTTTTTTTTGAAATTTTATTAGTCTGTTTGATCATAATATAGCAGAGGGGCAAGAACTAGAAAAGCAGAGGACACATCCAAAAATTTCTTTCTACAAAATAAGTCAATAGTTCATTTTGGGGGAAATAAGGTCTTCAGACAAGTTGAATACCTCCCATCAGTGATCTTTATGTGTCAATCAACATATGATCTTATTTGGTTGTCGATCTATACTCAAAAAACAAAATATATTGCATACAAACAAGTAAGAGACAGTCAACTTTTAACACATACTCCCAATCATTCTGATCAATCGCACATACTATATACCGGCAATATATTCAGACTAAGTAGTCCATTCTGATGTTCTGTCTCATGCCCACTGCAACTTCTCGTAGCAAGTCCTTAATTTTGGCATCACCGGAAGAATCGAAACCACATTCATAGGCCGACAATATACTAACTAACAAACATATAAAATAAAACGAAACAACACATACTAACAATCTATACAAAATGTCTCATCTATTTTATTTTTGTGTATCATTTGTATTACTTTTATATGTCTTATAAAACACAGTTTTTTTTTTTTTTTTTTCTGTGCATCTATGTTTGTGTTATAATAACTGTTACTACATCAACATACATGCAATTTTTCCAAAGAAAAAAAATTAATCTCAAATTAATTAAAATGCCAACAGCCAATGGAGAGTAGAGTTAATTAAATCAATGAAGTCATCAGTGCTGCCCACTAATAATAACTTTAATAAGTAACAATACTTCAAACTAATAATCCATCTTAACTACCTTATATATATATTAACATCAAGTCCCACTGCAGCTACGTGCATGTATTTTTATGTATCCATGTGTGTATGTATATATATATCTTTGGTCTACATATAATATATATATATATATATGTATTTGGAAACCCTGAAATTGAAGCTTTATAAATCAGTTGGGAAACATTGATGAAGCCCTGGGCCTCCATCTAAAACAGCTTTCTACCTCCTTATACATATTCCTGCAATATTCAAGACACACTCTGTTAGTCCCCTTTTTTTTAAAATAAAATATTTTTAGTATGCATGTAGCATTCTTTATAATTATGTCCTTTAGCTCAAACATGTATAAAAATAGTGATATATTTATATGTATACAATCTGTAGTTGATTAAAATGTCATTTGGCGAAGATAACATAAACTAGTCATGTAGCAAATATTGTAGTAGATTTAAATTTTTAAATAAATGGATAAAATTAATTCCACATCAATTCTTGGTATTGTAAATTGTCACCGGGGTAGTTTATATCAGGACCAACATTACTATGTTAACACATATTACAATATTCCAATTGTTCAGATACCGTGCTAATTTGACCCAATTAGCAAATGTCTGTAAATAAAATAGCAAATATCTGTATAGAATATAATACATATTTAAACAACACATTATATAATTAGAAGACTAAAATGATTATATACGTCAGTTAAACAAAAACTCTAATCAACAAATGTAGTTTCAAACCATAGCCAAACAAATCCTATATGCATATGAATGCATAAAAATAAATATTGCACTCTATGATATGTGTGTGAGTTTATTCAATATCTTGGTCTCTTTTCCAAAACACACACAGATATCTTTTATTTTTCTATCATTTTCAAAACACACCCAAATACATATCAAAACAATAGTTTCGTACAAATAAACTAGATATAAAAAGGCCTTTCTTTTACTTGTATTAATATCGAGTATTTTCTTAGTTTTAAAAATATATCTAAACAAACGATCTTTGTCAAAACTTATTTCTTTATATATATAAAAAAAATTCAAATACAATTGGTGTATTTGGTTTGTGTTTTTATAGATTTTCATTTTTGTTAGTTTTCTTAAGTGAAATCATTATTGTATCAAATGTTTTTATATATAAAATAATAATAATATATTTATTTAAATTTATTTAAACCTACAAAACTGTATAAATACCTCAAAACTTGTAAAAAGAAAAAAAAAACACCCAAACAACATTGAAACACACAATAGATGAGTAGTCTTATTCTTTTAAAAATTTGTAACATAAGATGGTATAGAGATTAATTCAAGTTTTCAACATGAACTCAAAAGTGATTAAAATTGTAACAGTCATGCACTAAAACTCAAATCCATCCAAGTAACAAGCAATTCATTTTAAAATATAAATTGGTTCAATATCAATATATACACTAAGAGCCAATGTATTGAAAATTCTACTCTGAAATGAAAAAGGATTATTTCTCAACATGCATGAATATCGACAATTTATTATTGCAGATTTAGATGCTCTAATAATTAACTCGGCTCATCGCTCATTCATTTGAAATCAAACTCAAAACACACAATGCATACACACACATATACATATATATATATAGTTAGATTTGACCAAGTCAGCATATATAATTAGGATAGACAACATATATTTGATCGATATAATTTCACATAATATATTTCTTAATAATAGATTATATAATTCCGCATAACAAAGTATGTTATTTATTTCAATCCAATAAGTATATTTCTACGGCACGGTGCAAATAAGCTAAGTAGCACATGATTCTATATGATACAACTATATGTTGTGCTATAAAAGCATTAGTTGTATGCTTTGATTATATTAAATCAATACGGTACTGATTTGACTCAATCGACATTATAAGTATCAAGTAGCATGTCTTGCTGATATTGGATTTTGTTTTGGAACCAATTTGTGTGATATGAATATTGTTAAAACTTACATCACAACAAAACTAAACAAGGAAATATTGTAGGATATATATATATATATATATTATTGTGTACCTCTTGGTAGTTTTTAGCACAAACTCAAGTATACATATATAAACAGCTTAAAGAGCGTAGGGACAAGATGATACGTACGTTCGCAGAAATGCCGTACATCCAAATTCAATTTTTGTATTAAAGGAGAAGAACTTGTCGGAAAATTACGTGGACCTCGAAATTGTATTTCATATCCACAATATTTTTGCATGATTTGAGAGAGAAATAATGTCCACACACACACAGATATATATATATATATATTATAAAAATGTATGCATGTATGTGCATATGTGTTTGGAGTTTGGGATAGAAGTGAAACTACAGTATATATATATGTATAAAAATGAGTTATATCTACAATTGTAAAGATAGAAAATGTGTTCGTGTTTAATTCTCAAAATGCTTACATGGTCGACATTATAATTATTTATTTATTTATGTATTATTGTTGTTTTTTACGTTTTTCCTATTCCTTGGTGTGTGTATATATATCAGTCCACTAATGAATAGCTTATATTGTATACTGAGAGAATAAACTTTTTTATACAAATATATATATATCTTCAAAATCTGAAGAATGAAATTATACCCATCCCCATATATGGATTAAATCTCACTACTCAGTAAAATTAGGGTTTCTAGATCGGAGGGTTTTTGGCAGTGGTAGTGTAATACTTTCTAATACTTTAGAAGTCAATCCCTAATTTACAATCTAGTTTAATTTTGTTGTAATTACCAGAAGAATTATAGAAAGGATCAATCAATTATGGCTGTGAATATATATGAATCGAACAAAAAAAAGAAATTGGTGTGTGTGTGTGTGTATATATATATAGAGAGAGAGAGAGAGAGACGTACCGTAGCAGTTTGGGGGAATTGAAATTCAATTGATCAGGTGGAGCTGTGATTGGAGTTCTTGATCGGGTCATCCTGACCGTTGATCGAATTGCTAGTGATCTTCCTCTTCTTCTTCTTCTTGGTGTACGGAATCCCTCTGGCCTTGGACTGGCTGTCCTTAACTTCCCGGAGATACAGTCGGATCGCCCTGTCGCCGAACGGATTCTTCTCCGGCGATCCGCCGTACTCCTCGTAGGCGGCTCTCAGCCGTCCGATCAGCGCGTCCAGGCTGCCCCACGCCTGCCGCAGCGGGCAGGTGCACGGCGCCGGCGGCTCAGGCTGCCCGAAAAACACGCAGCCGTGCAAGTGAACCTTAGTTTTCCCGAACTGGTCGAGGTACCGGAGAAATTCCAGCACGTGGTTGCAGCTGCACTGCGACACCGCCAACGGCGGCCTCTGGTTCTTCAGGTACTGTCCGAAGGTGTTCCAATCCCTCCGCTTCTGTGATTCGTACCGGCTCGGCGGCGGATCGGCGGCTGAGCTGCCGCTTGACTGATCGGCCGATGGATTTTCCGGCGCCGGCGGGGCGATTGTCGAAGAGGAACTCATTGCTGCTCTAAAATGTGAAATGGGAAAAAATGGAAGGAATTGAAAAGGATAACACATTAATTAATTAAATATTGTATATTGCAGAGAGGGTTAATGAGGAGACAAGTGATGGCCCCTCTTTGTAACTTTTGTTCCTACTTTGATTTATTTATTTGTATTATTATTTTGAAAATTTATTATTTTTGTTACTATTAGTATTATTTTGTTCTTCCTTCTGTATATAATGAATTAATTACATTCAACCTCTTTTTTTAAATGCGCACACTATTTATTACTTTTTAATATATATTAAATAAATTGTATGCTTGATATAGTTACAAGTCATGTGACACATTTCCATCACGGGTTTAACCATTTTTTCTATTTTTGCAATTTATAAATTGTTCACTATAATCACTCACTTAAATAAGAGCATATCACATGTATTAATAGTGTGTGATCAATTTAAGTATTTTATTATTATTATTATTATTATTATTATTATTATTATTATTATTTAAAATAATGAGAATTAGGAGCAGTGAATGTTGGAATTATTTACTATATTGAAAATATTAAATCATATATTATAACATGATTTGAAAGTATTATAATATTTTTGTGACAATTTGAAATTATTGAACAGGCTAGTAAAGTGAGAGTTTAAAATACTTAAAGTGATCACTAGGAATGAGAAATTAATTACACTATAGATCCATAGGTTTTAATGTTTCGTTTTAGATTGTTGTAATATAATATAATATAATCTAATCTAATCTAATACATCTAACCCAAATACCTTGGACCTAAATTAAATCCTTTTAATGCCCAACTGCATGTCTGACTTTCTCAATATTATTACTTTTGCTTATAATAAATATATATCCATTATTCACCATCCGAAATTTCATAATTATTTCAACAAAAGTGGTGCTTAATTGGTTTAATTTAATTTCCCATTAAATTATCTAAACTATATAATATATACTGAAATCAGTTTTTATCAATATACAATTAATATTATGTACTATACATATATGATTCAGAAATATTTTTGCGTGAGCATTGTGTACAAGCAATATATATAATTACGAGATCAGATACGATAGTGACAGATTAATTTAATTGCCCCTCATCAATTATTGACAAATAATAATAATAATAAAACAAAAAATAAATAAATTTATATTGAGCACCAGCCATCATCAATCATTCTGATTATTGTAATATTTACTAACCCCACAGCCCATTTAATTTAAATCATATAAATAATATTATTGGTTCTTGTCCCTTTCTTACTACAGTTTGAAAAATATTTTGATTTACACCAATTAAGTAGCTATCAATTAAACTTGTGTACGCTGTGTGGGTTGTACCTCTTGTGCACCTGCTTGAAAATTTCAAGCTAAGATGTGTTGTACGTTGGGTCATGAAGACATATTCCCATCATCAATTCTGTCGTAAGAATTGTGCACAAACCTGTCAGAAAATTTTGAATTTCTTCCACGTTGAAGGAACATTTAATAAAATTCAGACTCTATTTCCGGGAATAGATCAGACCGGATCAACATATATTTATACATATGTAACATATTTATAATACAATATATATTATATTAAAACTCAGAATACGTTGTCTTATAATATAAAATATGTTGAAAATACATATAAATATATGTCGATCACTCGTATAACATATATTGATTTGACCGGATCAGTATAAGACCTACAACCTCCTTTTATACAGGAGATTTTAAAATTTTTAGCTCCTGGAAATTTTCTAATGTGTTTGATTTTCACTTCAAATTAAAAACTTAATCATTTAAACCGTACAATTTATAATAAAAATATACTTCCTCTGTAGTTAGGAACAACTACATGCACACTAGCTATAAGCTGGAAATAATATTTTTGTAATTACGGATGGCTGACGGTAATTACGTGAGCTTTAGAGACATAATTTAGTAAATTTTATCTTTAATTTCATTAGCAACATAAAAAATGGATTTAGAGAAAAAAAAATTGTTATAAAAATTACTATTTTCTTGTAGCGTGCATGTATCATAAATATATGTATATATACACATTTAATAAATGGATTTGTCACGCCAATATAATGAGTTTGTAATTTTCAATAAATACAAATAAAATTCGAAATCAGACCTTTTCATAATGAGTATATAAATTTTATATATCTATGTTATTGTTCGTGTGTTTATAATTTGGACTTTTAATTATAATATGAGATTATTCAATGGTACTTAATAATTAATTAGCACTTCCCAGTATACTTGAAGTTGGAGGTTCAATCCTCCTGTACTTATAACAAAATGTAAGAGATGTTACATTTCTATATAATAATCTCTAATTCTTTGAAAATGAAGTGGAGTTGGGTTTAATGATGACATTGAAATTATTGTTCTCCAATGATAAAAACGTAAATGTCTTATGAAGAGTAAAATAGTAAGAAAATAAAATAAACATAATCGAGTCATCATAACTAATGATTATATAATTGATGATTGAATAGGTTGTATTTTTTTTATATTCTATAAATTCTATAATATTCTTTAAAGGTTCATTTTGGTTTTTTTATATATGATTCATCTAATAATTAAATAAATATAGGAATAACTTGAATAACTAACTTGACTAGTTGAGATAATTCTCTATAAAAAAAATATTAGCTAGCTATAAGAGAAATATATGCATATATAGTAAATGTATTATAATATGGGTTTTGGCCATTTAAAATTTTTGGATCTCAATTTCATTTTAGAGTTGCGAAACTCTTTCATTGCGAATATTTGTTGAAAATTTATTTATTTAAATAGAAACTATTTGGAGATCATCTTTCATCCATCTTAGATTTCCCACAAATACTCAAGACAACATTGGCAATGATTTTTTACTTTTATATTTGTTTCTTTTAAGAATTTTTTTTTTTTTTTTTATTTTTAAAAAAGAAGATATCAAATGCAATATTTTTTGCTCCCTCAAATTGTTGAGATCTTTGTGGGCCTTTGTTAATCCTTGATTGTCCTTAATCAATTCAAATAGTGTATTGTGGGACCAAAATCGTCTTCTGATTTCTAGCTCCATCCCCCAATGAATCTACACCGTTAAAATTATAATCACACACATATATATATGAATTGATAATATTAATTTAATGTAATACTCAATTGGCCTCAGAATAATTGAACTATTTTCTATTTTTATGCCCATTCTATTTGATGCTTTTATATATTAGGTAAATTTTATTAATTCGAAATATATTTAACAAATATTATAAATTAGTTTAATTAATTTTATATATAGCATTATACACTTTTAATTTTTCTTTTTATTTCTCATAAACAAATATTTTTATCTTACATTTAAAACTTTATTCTCAATAAAATTATATTCATATACATATATTTTATTAAGATTTAATTTTTAAAATATTTAAATACATATTTTAAAATTTTTAATTATATATAATTTTTATTTTAAATCTACATATAATATCACCCATATAAAAAAACTTAAACATATATGCATGTAAACAGTGGCAGGTAGTTGCCGTGTCACATTCTATAAATATATTATAACCAGTGCTTCGAAAATTATATAATAATAATAATAATAATAATAATAAAGTGTTAGTATTTTCTTTCTTTATGTTATGGGCAACCAATGTCGTACGGCCTCAAATTTCCACGCTGATAGTTGTCTGTCTATCTGACTCATTACATGTCTTCTTTATTTCGGACAAAATTCCTAATCACCAAATACTTTACTAAATAATAATTCATAAATTCGATCATTAATAATAATAATAATAATAATAATAATAGATAAAAATGCAGGTTCATCGTCTCATCTCATCTGAATCGTGATTTACTACTACACATCTATTGCGCAAATCAAAGCACGACTTCGTAAACGCGCTTTTAGTTCTTTTGCAATTTTGAAGTCAAAGTCGCACTTTACAAACACACGCTTTTATTGTTTTTGACGGTATTGGACAGGACAGTCCACGTGATTGTCCGTCCCTACGTCCTGAATTAATGCATCATTCCCACTCCAGTAAGGCCCCCCCAACTCCACACCCACATATTATATTTTTATTTATATATATACTTTTTTAATTTTAAACTAATTTAATTTAAAAAGTAGGGGGAAAAAAAATACTTGAATTCAGTTTAATTTGATTTTTTTTATTATTATGTAAAAATAACTATGTTTTATTACTTATATCAAATTATTATTTAAATTAAGAATTAAATCACAAGATAGAAATACAAACTAAAAAAAAAATTGAAGGAAAAAGTGGCCGGAAAACTACATAATGAAATTTGAAAATGAACTTATTTATTTAAAGTTAATTTGGGGCTCAATTGGGGTAATTGTCTTCATTTAGTTGGGCCTCAACCTCTTCTTCCAATCCTTAATTTTTAGGGATTAAGAGATTGTTTGAGATGGGTCATAAACTTGGACTACTTTTGGCAATTATTCAAGCAAATTCTATTAGTGAGTTCTCTAAATTAAATGACACTTAATTGTTGAATATTGAGAGGATATGAACATAAACAAGTAAATAGAAAGATGAGATATGTTTCTAGAAATGGTGGTTATTGTGCTAATTAGGGCACTGTGATTGAATATATGAAATATATAAAGTATATGAACTGATAATCACTTCTATGACTATACCCATATTATTTGTTAGGTGATTGGACATTAACATGATTTTATGTTTGTACCTAAATGGGCTTCAATGGTTGGTTTAGGGCCAAGTAATTTGTAATTAGTATAATGTTTTGTTGGGATCTTCTCCTTTACTCAACTTTCTCTTTAGAATGTAGCCTAAATCAAAGTAAAAAGTGTGTGCATATCTTTATTTCCAAGTAAAGAGGAAATTATATTGTATGGTGATGGTGAAAAAAACAGAGTAGGGAATGTTGAACTAAATAGAAAATTAAAGTGGGCTTTAATAAAGTAATTCCATGATCCTAATTCCACCTTTTGCCACTTTGATATATTGATTTTTCCATTGAAATTTAAATTCCCAAAAGTTGATCATGTATATATATATATATATATATATAACCCACAAGCAATATAACTAATTGCTAGAGGAATAATCACAAACAAGCATCTGGGCTTTAGAACATCTTTTAACCTCTTTTTTGGAATACCTCTTTCATTTAACAAAATTTTGAAAATCAACACCCCTTTTTGAGTGCCTTAAAATATGTGTATTTGGACCAAATCTGATGCAAGAAATCAAAGAAACTAATGAATGGATGTAATGATCCTTTAAACAATCCTTCCCCTCTCCATGCTTACATATGATGGTCTTGAAAATGAATGGACAATTTCTTTCAAATCAAATTAAAAATACTTTAGAGCTTCCATTGCTTTATCCCCCAAGTCTCTTTATGCTCCAAACTTTTGAACACTTTGTATCAAACCTCTGACTTGGTCATGTCCTCCAATTATTTGGAATCAAATATATATATGTATATATTTATTTATAGCATATCCAATATATTTTTAATTTTCTACTCCATTTAAAAAGGGTAAGTGGCAAAAAACATATGGGATAACAAGAAAGCTCAAACCTTTTTATAGACTTCGAAAGTGGATCAAGATGATGACGTGGACAAAAAAGTTAGAGCATAAGCTTCCTCCAACACATTCAAAAAGTCCCGGAGCACCTGGTCCTTCACTAGAAAAATAAACAACGTGTGTTTTTTGCTGTTAGGATCCCAGATCCAGGGACCTTGTACAAAGAATCTAATTTGGGCCCACCATTGTGTTGCAGCTGGCGGCTCCCAAATATTGCCTTTTCTGCTTTTTTAGAAGCACATATTCATATTATCAATGGCTATATATATTTTTACATAAAAATATTTATATATATATATGTATTTATATATTCCAATGCTTGTGCACCAAACACAGATTGAAATTGTTGCAGTACAATCTTTAATTTGCAGTGTAATATGGATAAGGTCCAACAAAATGACGTCATCCCATCATCATCAGGGATAAAATTGTTTGGCGCCACGATTTCGTTGTCGATCCAGCATACGGCGGCGACGGAAATTGGCGACGCAACGGCGGAAAAGAAGCCGGAGAAGACGATCCAGTGCCCCAGGTGCAAAAGCATGGACACCAAATTCTGTTACTTCAACAACTACAATGTTAATCAGCCTCGACACTTCTGTAAGGGCTGCCAGCGCTATTGGACCGCCGGCGGCGCCCTCCGGAACGTGCCCGTCGGAGCCGGCCGCCGGAAAACCAAGCCGCCTCGCCCGGATGGGTTCCTGTACGATGAGACCGGCGGCGCTGTGGAGGTGCAGCTGGATTATTTCGAGGCGGTGCAGCTGGAGTGGCATGCGGCGGAGCACGGCGGTTTTGGGTGTATTTATGATCCGGTCAAGCGGCGGAGATTCGCCGCCGCCGATTGTCACGGAGGTTAGGGATATTTCTCTCCGGTGGGTGGTCGTGTAATTTCAAATTCCAAAAAGAAAAAATAAAAATAAAGATATTCTGATATGTTGTGTAATTTTTAGGTAAATAAAATAACTGTGTTTTAGAATATGTATATATATTTATTTAACTATTTATTTATTTATAAGTCTAATATTCATTATTGAGGGTGTGTTTGTTTGGGGGATTGGATTGAATTTACATTATTCATCCAATTTTTTTCTTAAAAATATCAAATCACAACATCTATTTTTTAATTTTTTATATTATATTAAAAATCAATTTTACATTCAAAACATCACATCTACACCTATTTATATCACATTATACAATTATTCAAATTCAAAATTTTTAGTGTTCAAATCCCAACTCAAAATCCAAACCTCCAAACAAACGCATCCTAAATTTCACTATCAAAAGATGATCAATTATCCACGAGAAATGTGCACTTCAAGGCATGCATCGCTGCCCGGAGCAAAATTATATTTTCAAGTCATTCGAACCAAAATTTGATTTTTTTTTTTAAATTTATTAAAAACAAAAAATAAATAAATATTGATTTTTATTCAACTGATTTAGTCAATATTGAATGATCTCTAAAACTCCATTCGGAAAAACATCCATCCATGGGGAAATTAATTTTTTTTTTCTAATGAACTTATTAAATCCATCTCAATAACCATTAATAAATTTAAATAACTATACATTGTGTTTATTTGAAAATTTTTAGAAAACTCTCACTATTCAATTCGATGCTTCAAAAAAGTTAAATATTTATTATTTATATTATATTAAAAATAATTTTATATTCAAAATATTAAATAGGTACGTATTTTCTTTTTAATGATATAATAATTGAATACACTCGAAAACTATTACATCCATTAAACTAAGATTATTTTCATATATACATATACAAGCTCAATTGTAAACACAAATCCATACAATATTACATCACAACGCATCCTTTAACGTTATCATCACTAAAAATGGAGGTCGCATCTTCATCCAAAATAGTCGTATACGGCGCCGGCTGATAGTAACCGTGCTGGTGGCCGTTGTAGCCGTGCACGCGGTAGTTATAGCTCGACACATGCCCCTTAGCCGGCTGCCCTGCCACAACATATGTAGCAGGGCTACCGTACATGGCGGCATGCTCGTAGTAGTAATAATTAGGACTCTCATTCCTATTCATATTCCTATTCCCATAGTACTGCTCGTAGTAGTCATGAAACTCAGGGTTGTAAGGAAAGGGCCATAGCTCAGCATTCCGGCCTGTGCTCTTGCGCACGGCCTTTAGAACCTTTCGTTGATCTGCCCACCCTGTCACCGTTACCTTTTGCAACGCCTCGTCGATTTCCACTCCATCCACCCCTAAATTTTACGTACATATGTATATTTACATTGTTACATTGATGATGTAAAAAATATTTATGGATGTTGTCTATCATCGTACATACCATCGAGTTTCGAAAGTGACTTGATGATCTTCTTCTGACATCCCGGGCAATCCATGCTCACTCTCATCTCTACTATCTGCGGATTATAAGAAAAATAGATATATTCTGTCATAAATTTATAAAAATAATATACTCTTTCAATCCATTGACGTATTTGCTATTTTTGAGATGTTCACAAACAATATTATATATTTAAATATATTTTAGTTTTTACTTCGTGGCATACTTACGTACTACAACTATTGCTAGTAGACAGAATTGAGCACTAAATGCGAAAGAGTATAAAACTTTAAAATTTAAAAAGAAAAAGAAATGCAAAATAGAGCTCTAAATCTAAAGAAAACTCGACTCTACGATCAAACACTTCTTTCAACAAGGACCAAGTAATAATTAACACATTCTAACAATCAATCAACACACGAAGCATTCAATACAACACAAAATCGTTAATAATCTATTGATCGCTCACCGTCATGTTCTTGCCGATGAGAACGAGATCAGATGAGGAGGAAGACAACCGTATGAACTACTCTGTGGAAGTTAGATATTAATACGACAACATGTATATATATATATATAGAAAGATTTCTTAGGTGATTAATTACTATTTTATTGAGGTAGAGCTATGATTGTAATGAGTTAGTACGTAAGCCATGGATCGTCAGCTCATGACCTGATGTTCCCAGAAAATTAAAGAAAGACTTGGTAATGAATGACTTAATTATATATATATATATATATATCTTTGTCCATTAAAACAAAAAAAAAAAAAAAAAAAAAAAAAAAAAAAAAAAAGAAATTTACTTGGAGTTTACTCTACAGACTACTCTGCCTGTGTTATAATATTAGACTGTAATTTACATGAAAGTGATCCCTCACCCAATTGCTTGCAGTTCAAGAACAATGTCTGAACAATTGGGTGTCATTATATATATATATTATTTATATTTTTAAAAAATAATTTTTTAGGCTACTAGACGTTGGTGAGGCACATTGAAAACCAACCTCTGACAGTTGTGGGCAAAACTAATTATTTATTAGTGCATTTTTATTTATTTTTTCGGATTATTTTTAACTAAAGTTTCTAATTTGATTTTCTGTGGTCCATGGTAAGAGTGAAAGGCCTAATTCAAATTGGGTTGAGTTTGGGTTCTAAGGAGTATTAGGGCCCAATCAGAAATGATGTCTGTTGACTTTTGGTATGGCAAATCCCCAAATTAATTTCGTGCCCTAATTTTCGGACTGATGGTTGAATTGTGATCATGGTAGTGATTGACTCCTCTCGGAATTGCCGTCCCAATCCCTGCTACTATTGATTTTTGTTGAATTTGATAGAGGTTTCTTCCCGGATGCTTTAGCATATCCGCCGGGGAGGTTGGAAGAATTAAGTGAAGAAGAAGCGGAGCTCTCGTTTCCGCGGTGCCTGGGATGGAAGATAAAGGGAAAGAACCGACTCTGAAATTTGTGCCGTTTCAGAGTGCAGTCGACGAGGGGTTTTGGCATAGATTGTCGTCGCTGAAGCTCAACAAACTGGGGATTGATGAGTCGCCCATTTCCATAACGGGTATGCTTTGTGTTACCACTTGGTTAGTTGCGTTAATCTTGATTGTGTTGATTTGATTTGTAATTGGTCTGTATAAGTTGCATTAGCTTTGGACAACATTTTTTAGAATTCTGATTCTGTATCAGAGTCCCCCGCTTCTCTCTGCGCCCTTTTTCTCCGGCTCATTCTCTAATTACGGCAATGCGAATCTTGAGGATTGTTAGAATGCTGTAATGATTAAGTACTTACGTAATTTAAGTAGTTTTAGGATTCGCATTCAGCTATAGATTGGCTGTGTTATCTAGTTGATTTCTAATATTTATGTTGTGATGATATTGATTTTGCCCGTCAGGTTTTTATGCTCCTTGCTCACACCCTCAAGTTTCAAATCATTTAACTCTGCTTGCTGAATCTTTGCCTTCCGAATCTAGCGAAGAGATTTCAAAGCCGTCTGTTAGTCATGGAAATAGGAATAGATGCCCTGTCCCTGGTATACTTTACAATACTAACACATTGGAGGGATTCAAAGCTCTTGACAAACAGAGGCTGATGAGGGAAGAAGGGAAAAAGGTATCATCTTATTCCATTACTGTTCTAACTGATTTAGATACTATATACTATATAAGTAATTATTCAATATTTTGTAAAGAAGCTCGTCCCCTATCTAAATAAGGTCATCATTTATGGACTTTCTTTCATTTTACATGATTGTTAATATTTGTTAGATTTGGGAGGATATTTGTTCTGGCAAGGTTGAGGAGGACAGCAGCGTTCTTTTAAGATTCCTTGTTGTATCATTTGCCGACTTAAAGAAATGGACATTTCATTACTGGTTTGCTTTCCCTGCTTTGGCTCTTGATCCTCCAGCAACTGTGGTTGATTTGAAGCCAGCTGCTCAGTGGTTCAGCAAAGAAGAGGTGCTCCAATCAATTATAATGTTTTTGACAACATATAGCTAGATCTATGATATGTGAGGATCAGTTTAAACGTTGTCATTGTGCACATAGGCGGTGGCTGTGGCTGTTGCTTGTAATGATTGGCGCAATGCGTGTTCAATGGCAGGTAAAAACTACCTTGATTGGTCTAGTCAAAGCTTGATTTCCTTATTTCTGTTGCATTCATGGCCTGAGGGATTGAGTCTTGTACAGGTGTTCCATTCTTCCTGGTATCTATCTCACCAAATTCAGAAGTGGCTATTAAGCGTCTGTCAGATTTTGAAGCCTGCCAAAGGGATGATAGTAAGGTCTGCTAAATTTAAATATTGTCATTCACCTCTCTCTTGCTCGCTGCACAAGTATTGGGAAACTTCATGTACCTATTAGGTCCATCTTGTAATACAAAATTTAATGCTATATGAATGAATACCTAATCCTTATTCCGTCCAGGTGTTGTTTGGATTTTATGACCCTTGCCATCTTCCGAATAATCCTGGTTGGCCTCTTCGAAACTTCTTGTGGTTTATTTGCAGAAGATGGAGTCTTCAGAAGCTTCAGTTTTTCTGCTATCGTGAGAATCGTGGTTTTGCTGATCTGGATTCATCATTGGTGGGTGAAGCATCAATATCAAATTCACAAGGTAGATCCGTAACAGAATAGATGAATATCTCTTTCACTTCAGTCTCTTGTATTAGTTATTGAACTTATGATGAACTCTCATATGAGCATATTTATTTAGACTTAAGGAATCATCAGAATATGCCAAATGTTCTTGGTTGGGAGCTGAACAATATAGGAAATAAAGCACCAAGACATATCAGCCTTGCTAAGACAATGGATCCCACGAGGTATGTTGCATAAACACTGTTAGCGTGAATTAGAACTACATTAAGATGTCTAATCACCAATTTGTGTTTCAATTTTTGACAGGTTAGCTATTGAAGCTGCAGATTTGAACTTGAAGTTAATGAGGTGGCGGCAACTGCCTTCACTAAATCTCAATGTTTTGGCATCTGCTAGATGCCTACTTCTTGGAGCAGGTACACTTGGTTGCCAAGTTGCTCGTATGCTTATGGTATGCACTTGCAAAACCTACATGAAGTTGAAGATTGTGTCCCCTTGGTTAATTGTTTTCATTCTTTCATATTTAAATTTTAGGCATGGGGTGTGCGAAAGATAACACTTCTTGATAATGGAAAAGTGTCCATGTCTAATCCGCTACGGCAGTCCCTGTATACCCTGGATGATTGCCTGAATGGGGGTGAGTATAAGGCCGTAGCAGCTGTAAGAAGTCTGAAGAAAATATATCCAGCAGTGGTGAGAAACACACACACACACACACACACATATATATATATATATGTATTTTTCTGTTATAGTATTTAAATTAAACCTTCACCTCATAAAATGTCTACTATTAGTTTTACCCTTTTTGTTGTGTCCTATCTCAGGAAGCAGAAGCTGTTGTAATGTCGATTCCGATGCCTGGGCATCCCGTTCCAAGTAAGGAACTCGAGAAAGTGCTTGAGGAATGCAAGAACTTGGACAACTTGATTAATTCCCATGATGTAATCTTTTTGCTAACTGATACACGGGAAAGTAGATGGCTCCCGAGTCTTCTCTCAGCCACTGCCAACAAGGTCTTACTTTTATATTCCCACTCCCCGGGCTAGTTTTGATCACTTTTTACCTTTAAATCACATTATCTGATTTTCTAATTCTTATTTTTATTGAGAAGTATGTATACTGATGAAGCACCTATCGTCTTTATATGCAGATCACCATTACAGCTGCACTTGGGTTTGACAGCTTTTTAGTAATGCGGCATGGAGCTGGCCCTCTGCTCTCACCTCATGAAATAAAAACTGAAGCTCGAAATGATTTATCTGCTGAACTTGAAAATGTCTCGCTTACAGACCGCACTATGGATCAAAGATTGGGCTGCTATTTCTGCAATGACGTAGTTGCTCCAGTCGATGTAAACATCTTGCTAGAAGATGGCCTTGCAATTATTCCTGCATTACTTTACATTCGAAATTGAAACAGTAATATTTCTGCCTTTTGTTTTCTTTTTTTCTCAGTCAACTAGCAACCGTACGCTGGACCAGCAATGTACAGTAACACGACCAGGGCTTGCTCCCATTGCGTCGTCTCTTGCAGTTGAACTTCTCATAGGAATTCTGCATCATCCTTCTGGGTAAGTCCTTCTGGTAATCTAAGATTCAGACAGATGCCCAAAGCCTGACATTTTGTGTAATCTTTGAACATTCATTGTTGCTTATGCAGGATACTTGCCAAGGCTGAATTTTCCAGGTCAACTGTCACAGCCGACGAGCAACCTCTCGGCATTCTACCCCATCAAATCCGAGGCTCCCTTTCTCAGTTCTCGCAGATGACCCTCGTTGGCCATGCCTCTGATAGTTGCACGGCCTGTAGCTCGACAGTAAGAAGCATATTTTAGTGTCATTCTTTCCCAAACTTCAGATTGGATAAATATCTACATTGTTTGGTTTCCAGGTGGTGTCCGAATACCGGAAGAGGGGGCTGGACTTCATAGTCGCATCGATAAACCATCCGACTTATCTGGAGGATCTGACTGGGCTAACTGAGCTGATGAATTCAGCAAGCTCTTTTGAAGTGGATTGGGATAACGAAAACGACGACGATATTGATCTTGAAATATAACAAAAAAAAAAACAAACAAACATGGCTTTCTAGAATTTCCTCGTCCAGGTATGTTTGTTTCTATTGCTTGGGTAAATAATAAATGAACTATTTGCTGAATCTCATCGTATATGCAATATAAGTGCGTTCTTGATCATTTCTCGCAGTCGTGTTGTGTTTTTCATTTCCACTAACGAATTAATAATAATACATTCAACAAAAGCAGGTATATATATATATATATATATGTAGATGTATATGATAGTGGGTAGATGCACATACCTCTATATCTCTATCTCTATCTCCAATTTCGTTGCCTTGTCTTTACCCACTCATCTGCATCTGCATGGTGGAATATATATGTATATGTTTGTGTATGTAATGTCCATTAATTATGTGATTCAGTCACGTGTATGGTGGGCGATTTTGTGGAGGGGGGATTGGATTGGTTGTTTTGTTGAGCATACGTAGATTGTTCAAGTTTGGGGGGTAGTAGTGGTGGCGTGGTGGTACACTTCACTACCACCACCATCACCATCCTCCATGCCCAATTCTTCCAGGTCAACGTTGAATCTCTGCCCACGAGTCCACCACCACACACACTTTCATGCACGCTTTTATGAAACTTTTTTGATCGAAGGATTTTAAAAGAATTTTACGTTCATTTATTTTGTTTTTTTTAAAAAATATCAAATTAAATATTTATTGTTTTATTTTTATTAACGCACTTAATTTTGAAGTAATGTTACTTTCATGTAAACACATAGAGCCGCAGAACAGTTTTGGTGGGTAGGGGTGAGCAAAAAGATCAACTGAACCGTTGAATAGCTGAATTGAATTGAATCGAATTTTTTATTAATTGAACAAATTCGATTTGAATATAAAAACTGCATATTTGATATTTATTCTGTTTGGTTTTGACTTTTGATATTTTTTTGTTCGGTTAATCAAACTGAATATATTTATAATATACTATTATATTTTAAAATTTATATTAATAATTATATTCGATTTTGATTCAGATGTTTGAAATATTTGCAAATATTTTTATTTAATTAGAATTTTAATTATTTTTTAATATATATTTTTTTAAATTTCGATTCGAATTATTTGTAAATAATACAAATATTTTCGGTTAATCAAAAATTCGATTAACTGAAATTTTCAGTTCGGATAAAGTTTACAATTTAGGATATTTATTCGAACATATTTGCAAATACTTGTCCACTCCTATCCATACTTCTCTCGTGGCCTTTATTTGTTTCATAATTTAACTCTTGACATCATTATTTATTTGACTATATCACTATATTATCATTCTGTGGCTAAAAATTACACTTTACACAAAAATATTATAACCACTATACAGAGAACACACGTGTCGCGATTATTATACGGTGATTTATTTACGAGATTCATTCTGCCTAAACGTACATAATGATGTATTAGTGTATAGTACAGATTGATCTTACAGACAACATACATTAATACATACGTAGATTTCTCGACCTGTCTCTCTACACTCTATAAATTAAATAAAATTTTACATTAATATAAACAATATGTGACAGAAATCTGTACACATTAATAATTATACATATGGTCCTAACTCCTAATCACTTCATTATTAATTACCCACAAATTGTCAGTCAAGAAATTAATGTCCACCAAAAAGTTTTCAGAAAGTGGAATTAAATAGTGCAGAGAAATTAAATAACAGTACATCTAGTAAAGTATTTTTGTATAAATTTCTTCAAAGTAAACCTGACTTAGAAAAAAATTTCATCTGTCACATGCAAGTCCAAAAATTTAGGTAAAATCCCACAATTAATAATAATTATATATGCTAATTACTCCTCAGATTTAATTTGTGACTTGAGAAAATTACATCAACAATTAGGTCACATGCCACTAATTTCGATGCGCCCAAACCACAATGCAAGGGCATTATCGGAAATTCACATATTCGAAAATCCCAGTGCATATACCAGTACTTCTATGGAAAACTCAGACAGGATTCTCGGACTGCATGTGCTGTTGGCTTTCTTCGTTGTCTTGCGACCACTTTGTCTGCTTCTCAGCGTCTTCTTACCTCCGAAAGTCAGACACGAATTAGGTCCTGTACAAATTCGTTGAAAAATGTCAGGTCCGAAGGCACCAGATTGCTATATTAATTGGTTGTTTGGCGTGCGGTTCGTCGCTCTTATTCGGCGGATTCTTCGATCAAAGGGCGGGGGGAGGAAGCACCGTCTCGCGGCGGAAGAGAAGGCGGTTGCGATGAACACGGCGGCGGCGCGCGGCGGAGCCAGGATTATTGAAGAAGATAATTATATGAAAGGGGATAATAATAATAATAATAATAATAATAATAATAATAATAGTACGGCACTGCAGAAGTCTGTGAAGATGCTTCACTTTGGGGGTTGGGAGGAGAAAGAAGCGGCGGCGGAGGAGATACGGAGGCTGGCGGCGGAGGATCTCAAGCGGCGGAAGATCATGGCGGAGCTCGGCGTGATTCCGGCGCTGGTAGCTATGGTTGGGTCGGATGCGGCGGCGCGTCGATCGGCGGCGGTGGCTGCGTTGATTGAGATCGCCAATGGCTCCTTCACGTGAGTTAATTCGATTAATTATTTTTATTTTTAATTTTCTGATATTTGATTAATCGATTAACTCCGTTGTTAAGTCACGAGATGATATATGAACAGTTGGAGATCATAAAAGGAAATGAATATTAGCGTTAAGGAATGGTCTTCGAAATTAATTTAGGGTTTGGTGGCTGGTGGCAGCCATCAACTGTTTCATTACATTACTGTACTATCTTTTTTCTTGTGGGGGTCTGAATGTGGGTGAAGTCAATAGCCATTACTGATGTCTAAATGCTCTTGATGATGGTGGCCATTGTTGACCTGATTGAGATCATGATGCTTCACTGCCAAACCAAATCCAAAAACTCGTCCAAATCATTCAATATGAAACGATTTATTACCAAAAAAGAATCAAAGAAGAGCTAACATCATTTGGCGTTTTCAGTTATTTATGTTGTCTGAAAAAACATTGTCTGTCGTTTTTGGGCAATCCTTACGGTGTTGTGATGATCTGATTTCAGAAACAGGGCTCTAATGGTGGAGGCAGGGCTCTTGTCGAAATTACCGGCGGAGATATCGTCGACGGAGGAGACTACGAAGCAGCAATTTGCAGAGCTCCTCCTGTCTATATCAGCTCTGGCCAACAGTCAATTCTCTTCCCTGACATCGACTCCAGGGCTGATTCTGGCGGCTGTCTCCATTCTCCGATCGACATCAAACACCGAGTCAAGAAAACTATGCTTAGGGACATTGTTCAACCTGTCCTCTGTTTTGGATAATGCGGGAAGTTTGATCATGACAGGGGTTGTCGACGACTTGATCAGGCTGTCGACTGCAAAAGAGGCGTCGGAGAAGGCTCTGGCGACTCTAGGAAACCTCGTCGTGACATCGCCGGGAAGGACGGTGGTCGAGCATAATTGCATGGTTCCGGAAGGTTTGATAGAGATCATGACATGGGAGGATAAGCCCAAATGCCAAGAACTAAGTGCTTACATTTTGATGATCTTGGCCCACCAGAGCGCACCACAACGACGGAAAATGGCCGAGGCCGGGATTGTCCAGGTGCTTCTAGAAGTATCATTGTTGGGCAGTCCATTGGCTCAGAAAAGAGCTCTTAAGATATTGCAGTGGTTTAAGGATGATCGGAGAACTCGAGTGGGCTTTCACTCGGGGCCACAGGTCGGCAAGAGAGCGACGATTGGCTCTCCGGTTGACCGGAAGGAAGTTTTCGAAGGGAAGAAGATGATGAAGAAGATTGTGAAGCAGAGCTTGTATAAAAACATGGAAACGATTACACGCCGAGCGAACGGCGGTGACGAGGAGGAGGAGGAGGAGGATGATCACTTGAAGCTTAAAGCATTGATGATCAGCTCAAGTTCTAAAAGCTTGCCCTACTAGGGAGATTTTACAGTGTATATTTTGTGAAGAAATGTTGTAACATCTTTTTTAAGTTGAATAAAATGGAGGAGAAGGTGAAATGTGAATGAACTTTAACGTGGAATTCATGTTGGCCCATATTTATATGTAATTGGGCTTTTGGTTAAATTGGTAAGACTTATAATTGCGTACGCTACGACGTCGTATGATTGTGTAATTAAGGCGGTTTAGGGGAGCCGAAAACGCAGCGTTTTGCGGGAAGGACAGCACGGTATATATACGGTCATATAGATAGGGTTTTCTCGGCGAGCTCGATAGGCGAGGCTGAGGCGACTATGGATCTTACGAAGAAACGTAAGACCGACGAGAACGGCGGAGCATATCCTGTTCCAGCGGATTTCAGTAACGCCGCTGTCGCTGCGCAGCCATCGTCGGTTGGCATCTTGTCGCATGAGGACGCGGAGAAAATCCTTGAACCGTTCACGAAGGAGCAGATCCTTCCTATCCTGCGGGCCGCGGTTCTTCGTCACCCCGATGTGTTGGAGGCGGTGCGCACGGTTGCCGACGCCGATCCTCTCCAGCGTAAGCTCTTCGTTCGGGGTCTCGGGTGGGAAACCACTACCGAGAAACTCCGTCAGGTGTTTTCTTCGTTTGGGGAACTCGATGAAGCCAATACTATTGTGATTACTGATAAGAGTACTGGAAAATCTAAGGGTTATGGATTTGTGACGTTTAAGCACATTGACGCTGCGATTTTAGCCCTAAAGGAGCCGAACAAGAAGATTGACGGACGTATAACGGTGACTCAGCTTGCCGCCGCTGGAAACTCAGGTAATACTCACTCTACTGATGTGGCGATGAGGAAGATTTATGTTGGTAATATTCCATTTGAAATTTCTTCCGAGAGGCTGTTGTCCTACTTTTCAATGTACGGTGAAATTGAGGAAGGTCCGCTAGGGTTTGATAAGCAGAGTGGGAAAGCAAAGGGTTTTGCATTTTTTGTTTATAAAACAGAGGAAGGGGCAAGGGCTTCATTGATTGATCCTATGAAGATTATCGATGGACATCAGGTGATTTGTAAGTTAGCTACAGATAACAAGAGACAGAAGCCATCTGGACCCCCTGGTGGAATGGCTCCTGGTATGCCAAATTCCGGGCCAATGGGAATGGGGGCTTCAAACTATGGATCGGGGGGTTACATGGGATATGGGCCAGGACCAAATATGCCTCAACCTCCACAGCAGGCAGGAATTATGCATCCGAATACTGCCTTTAATTCTACCATGGCTGGGCCAGGCGGGCAAGGGTATGGTGGAGGATATGGAAGCGCTGCACCAATGTATGATGGTGTAGGTGGGGCTGGTCCTGGGGAGTTTGGTGGTGGATACGGAAATTCTGGAGGCTACAGAATGCCACCTGGTGGAATGGGGCTGCCGAGTTCGGGTGGTTATCCAGATGGTGGGAACTATGGGCTTCAATCGGGATATCCTCAGCCAAACCACCCCTCTGGACCCGGTCCCAGGCTTCCAGCTTACCAGGGAATGCCACCATATTGAGGTACCTTTGATTTATAATTTGGATGGTGTGCTTTAATGGGTTATTGTGAAACTGCCTCACATTGTCTGCCTAATTAATTGAATCTTACATATGATTAAGGTTTGCGTGCTGCATATTGGTAAAAAAAGATTTCCTTGTCCTAAACTGAATAGGATAATTTGATGCATTCTACTGAATGTAGTTCTAATTATCTAAGTTTTCATCATTACTAAATTCACTGCATACTTTTGATGAATTTGAGTTATGGAGTTATCTGCATAAATTTGAAAGTCAAGTTGGCCTTTTGAAATATTCTCTCTTTATTTTATTTTCTCATCTTGCTTATCCCATGAATGGTTTGTTTCTTTGTTATTAATAAGTTTCTGCTACATTAAACCATGGAAAAAATTTGATGGTTGGTGATATATTTGGCACTTGTGTATGCTTCATTTGTTCAAGTTAGTGATTGCTTTTTTAGCACAAAAAATATGTTGAGCTCATGATTTAGCGCTCAATTTTATTATTGATTTGGAATTCTGAATTATGGATTGAGCTTTGCATCTTTATGTGTTCAGGTGTTTTGACAGCTTGGGCGCAAATGTTTTAAATGGTTATGGTGATTATGTGATTGCCGATGTGAAATCTTTGGTTGATAAATGGACTGCTGTACATCTTTGGCTGCTTCACTGCTCTTTCTGCAACTATATGATATGGTTTTATGAAATTTTAATGTGCTAGGATGAGCTCAAAGTTGTGACTTGATGCAGTGGTGTATTATGTGATGAGTGGTTGGTTATACGGTGTTCTAGATTTAACTTTGCCTTCTATATGGTGAAGTCTAGTTTATTCCTTTTTTTTTCTAGTTTATTGTACACTGGGATTCTATCAATTTACTTCTAGTTACTTTTGAATATATGTTATCTGATGAATATTAGCTGTAACTTAATATGGCATCTGTGAGAAGTTCTGCCACTATTTGTGTGTTTGTATTTTTATTCCGACTTGGGACCTAAAACTTTGTTTTCTGTTTATTGATTGAAAACCAAAGCTGATAGCAATGTTTATGGCTTTTTATGATCATTTGAAGTCAATTATACCTTATTAGGGATAGCAATAAGGTAACCCATTCCTTTCTCATCATTTGTTCCAGATCTTGTAACATGGTTTTATTCCATGTTCAAAGAATCTTTTCTTTTCTCCAGATAACAGGAAAATACTTAAAACTGTGTATGTTTTCAACTATATTTTGGCACCATGATTTTTCTTTTGTGTGTAAATATATAACATCCAACATCTATTTTTTCATTAAAAAGATTACAGCAAAAAATCTGTTTTCTATATAAAACATCACATCAAACACCTATTTACGTTACATTAAAAACCTATATTTTTTTAATTTGTTTTTATTAAAGCTATTATTATTCACAAGACTCCAAAATTACAGAACATTTCCGAAACATGTCTAAGCACACCCCTTAGTTAACACAGGAGAATTGGTTGTACTTTGGGTTTAGGCAAGTACTGTCCTTAAAGTGTATTGGATGTGCTTGTTGTATGGTGTTTTGGCAAGGACGATAACTGCCCATTTCATCCACTAACTTAAAATTATATTTATTTTTTCATTTCCTAAGTATCTGTCTTTTTATTACTTCGTTTGGGAAATGCTTCGCAGTTATGTTTCTATCTGACAACTCTGGCTACCTTGACAGTATATCGGTAGCTTTATTTATTTGAGGTTATTTCCTGCAAATAGCTTTATAGACACTTTGCCATAGTCTGCTGTGCCTTCTGTTTGAAGTTGTGAGTGGAGTTTATGATTCTGTTATGCATCAGAGCTAACTTGAAGCGGATACAGTTAAATCAAGTCAAATGTATACCAGAACTGAGAATCATAAAAGTATATTCTTCATAACGGATTCTTATTGGCATGTTTGTTTGATATATAATTAATTGTTCCCAAGATGAATGTGATGTACTGGTTTTTTGTCTGACAATTCTTGCTGTTTGGGTGATTAAACTCATTTCCACTCCTTAAGGTGTACTATAAATTTTGCAGGACATATCTCTCATATTGTAGAATCTACTATTGGCTTGTTAATTCAGGGGGAATACAGAGTGAGAATTTTTGTGAAGTCTCCTGAGAAGCTGAGAGCCGTTCTCGATCAGCAGAACAACATCCGTTTGGGATTTAAGGATAAGGTTATTGTCGCTCACCCTTGCTGCCCCATGGTTAGCTCTCAATTGAGAAATGCTACCTGATACCATAAAGTATGTCGGGTTGAAGTTTAGACAAGTAATCTCTGGGGCTTGTCTCTGTATCTGAAAGACTGGCGAAATAAAGAAGGTTGAAGAAGAATGTCCCCATTGAACTGATTCGTGCATAAATTCAACTGCCTCCCAGGCCACAGAAACTCTAGGCGAGGTACACCTATTTGGGACTGGGGGGCCTTCCCTAGATGGTCTTGAATTGTATATAGATTAATATTCCATTTGAGATTGTGTATATATGGAACAGTGTAGTGATGGTCTGAAATGCACTCAAATCTTATTGGCCAATAATTGAATTGGGTAGAACGTTATAGGCCTCTGATTTTGCCGTATGATTGTGTCATTATACATATATATTTTGCACTTAGATTAGTTTGAATTTTATGCTTTTCGTGCTGGATTTCAAAGGCCATTTATTTTAATACCTAGATTTATAGTTACAGTGAAACTATTGGGACTTGGTTGGGCCTACTAATGATGGCCTATTGGGACTTGGTTTTCACATTATGTTGCATTTAGTTAAATTTGTTCGAGTCCAGCAGATAAATATACTAATCTTGGTGGTGAAAATAGTCGTATCAATAGAAATGATTTGATTTAGGGGTGAAAAGAAAATCACAGTAGGATTATTTTTTACTGACCTTTTTAAAGGAAAAAAGGATTGGTACTTATTTATGCAGGGATGCTTAATATTGATATGGATCTCATAGTTGTGAAATTACTTTTTAGCATTCAATTTGAATTGGTAATAAATTGGCACCTTTTTCATACATGTCAAAAGTTGTTATTTGAAATGTAGTAATACATGGTGGATGGAAATTAAATGGCAGAAATGAGGACCATTACCTCATCTTTATAAACTGGTCCTTGCTTAATTCATAGGAGTCTCTCTATCATCATCATTGTTTTGGAAGAAGATATTTTTTACTGTAAGTACTTGCGACTGACATAATCAGAGAAGTTTGTATTATTCATTTATTTTATAATATTTGGCTGAATTTGAATGAAACAAATACTCAATATAGTTGCTGCAGTACAGCTAAGTTTTAGTGTGTCCGTGACATGCGGGCCAATCCAAAATTTCTTCTTTTTAAATACGCCTTATACGGTTCTTATTATCTTTTTGAATACTCTGTTTTTGTGTCTTGAAAAAACAATGACAGCCTAACAACCTGACCTCACCTTGCACTTCCTTACATGCAGTTAGTTCCAATAATTCCTTATTTATTTCATTCATAGATTATTGAATTATTATATAGCTCCATCACACTATAACCACATGCATGTATGTATGTATAATGTGCTCATCTTATTCTATATCCTATCTATTGCTTAATCATATACTTGCAATGTTCTCCAACTCATCCCACACTGCATACATACATAGATGTATATATTTTTATTTTGTATGTATTATATACCAGTGCATAATTCTGCCTGCCTTCATTGCTCCTATTTCAATTGTTACTGGAAATGAAGCTCAGCTCTTATTACCAGGTTTTGTTCTTGCCATCAGCCCTGGTGGCATTAACATTGTTGGCGTTGCCGGAATCAGTCGCCTCAAATATCCCGCGAAGCAATACTTCTTCCAGTATCAGCAGATTCAAAAGCAGGAAGGCAGCAGCCAACAGCTGCAATCTCTTCCAGGGAAAATGGGTTGTCGATCCTTCATATCCTTTCTACCAATCCTCCACCTGCCCCTTCATCGACCCTGAATTCGACTGCATCAAGTATGGCCGCCCCGACAAGCAGTACCTCATGTTTTCCTGGAAGCCCGACTCCTGCAACCTCCCCAGGTATCATACTAACTAACTGACTAATGATTTGAAATTGATGCAAGTTTTAGTCTAACATGTATGGTGGCTTGCAGATTTGATGGATTAGATTTTCTGAGAAGATGGAGAGGGAAGAAGATAATGTTTGTGGGCGACTCGCTGAGCCTGAACCAGTGGCAGTCGCTGGTCTGTATGATCCACGCCGCTGTGCCGAATGATTCGACCATTGCCTATGTCAGACAGTCCTCACTTTCCTCCGTGACATTCCAGGTCATCCAAGATTCTTCCCTCCTGCACTGCAATCATTCTTGTTTCTGTGTCTGTATGTGTGTCTGTTTGTATTCTAAATGGGCCCGGGTCGGGCCATTATTTTTATTTCAGGAGTATGGGGTGAGCCTGTTGCTGTACAGATCGCCCTATTTGGTGGACATTGCAAAAGAAAGCATTGGGAGAGTGCTGAAACTGGACTCCATCGAACAGGGCAGTGCCTGGAAAGGAATGAACATGCTCGTCTTCAACACGTGGCATTGGTGGACTCACACTGGATCCGCTCAGGCGTACGTATATAGATAGATAGATACATGGATGTATATTTTGCAAACAAACAGAGCCTTAAATGGTTATTGCAGATGGGACTACATACAGGATGGCTCCACCATATCCAAGGACATGGACCGTCTCCTTGCCTTCTACAAGGGCCTTACAACGTGGGCCAGGTGGGTTGACCTTAACGTTGACCCTGCCTTAACTAAGGTCTTCTTCCAGGGGATTTCTCCAACTCACTATCAGTAAGTCCAAAGATACGATAGATATGTACTATGTATGTGTAGATTGAGCAAATGTTGGATTGATTTATTGATCTTGTGACAGGGGTAGGGATTGGAGTTCGGCTTCGAGGAACTGCAACGGCGAGCAAGAACCGTTGGCGGGGTCCACGTATCCTGCCGGGACGCCGCCGGAAGTCGAGGTTGTCAACAAGGTGTTGAGCAGAATTAAGAAACCTGTGTTCTTGCTCGATATTACGACGTTGTCTCAGCTAAGGAAAGACGCCCACCCTTCGGGTTATAGCGGCGATCACACTGGTGTCGATTGCAGCCACTGGTGCCTCCCCGGACTGCCGGATACGTGGAACCAACTTCTCTACGCGGCGCTTGTGATGTGATTATGATTGTTAGTTTGATTTTTGTTGTTTGAACTGAAGAATTGTAAGCATCCATATATGGCTTGTCCTAACTACAGTTTCTTACACTGGCTTGTCCTAACTACAGTTTCTTACACAAACACAAGGTGTAATACATTCGAATTATCTTGCTTTTGCTCTTAATTCTTGAAATGCTTTCATCGTCTCGACATCGAAGCCGCGGGCGAACTGGGAAATGAGGTTCGACTTGATCAAGATTTGTGGTGGATGTGAAATTAAAGATTTTGGGAATTGACAAGTCACCTGATGTACTCGGAAAGCAAACTTGATGCCTTGAACGATAAGTTCTTGCTCTTCGGGTCCGTCTCCGACAATTTCGAGCTCTGCCGAGACTCTCCTCATGTACTTCATCGCCAGTTTCATCGATGCCAGCTTGATCTGCAGCATACACTTTAAAATCAATAGAACTTCCAGTGCCCTTAAACATCGAAACCTTAATGTGCCTTAATATGGTGATGTTTGGTTTAGTACTAAGATTTGTGAGTATGAAGTTATATTTACCTGACTTATGCATCCTGTGTCGAGCATCCAGTCCACCGGAATTTGAAAACCTCTGTATTTCTCGACAGCCGATTCTCTAATTCTCAACAAATTGTCGACACTGTGCTCCAATCTGTGTGGGAATTGTAAAGTTATTACAATTCATGATGATAAGTTATGTGATCTTTGTTCGGAATATTGTGGTTGCGGTCTGTCTTACTTCTCGAATAAAGACTTGATTCTTTTGAAAGAATGGGTGCAGGGCTGTCTTGGATCGTCGAGAAATGATGAGATTTCAGCTTCCAGCTTCTTCAAATCGCCATATCCAAATGCAGCTTCTCTTAGTGCATCTGCCTTCTTCTCCGGCCAGTCGAAGTGCTTTAAGACGGCCCTTTCATCGACCTTTACGAAAAAGTTTATAGTTAATTTTGGGAAGAAGATGCAACGATGTCTTTGTAAGAAATGATTTTACCAGATTGGAAAGCTCATCATCGAGCCAGTTTACAAAGGCCACGACATCCCCAATTTCTGTAAATGCAGCAGCTTCAACTTCTTCAATCAAGAATTTAATGAAATCCCCCTGAGTTTCTACGTCTGTTTTGATCTGTGGCGGCGCCGCCGAAAGGCATATAGAATGAAAGTCAACGGTGATGGAAGACAACGAATGTAAGAAAATCTTTTGTGGAAAGAAAGGCTTACAGCTAATAAATGAGCAGAGCGAGTCTTGATTTCTCCGATCATGTCCTTCGCCGTAGCCGCGGTGGCGCCGCCGCCGCTTTTTCGGCAATGCGAATCTCGCCGCATTACAGAGTGGTAAAACTCCACCACTTCCGGGACTCTACTAACCTTCGCCGGCGGCGAGGGGTTTATCCCTTTCGTAACCGGCGGAGGCGGAGGAGGTGGGGCGGCGGGTTTTGCCGGCGGACGTGGAGGGGGCGGTGAAGACACAGAGGACAACGAGAACGGCGAGAGAAGCGCGGAGGGCGGCGGCATAGGAACATGCCGACGACTACAGGGTTTTCCGGTAGGCGCCGCCGCCGTCGATGGAGACGGCGCCGCCTCCGCAGCAGCTCTTTTGACGTCGGAAAATTCCGCCTGCATACATTTGATTTTTTCCTCGTACGTATGGCTCTGTCTTCTGAGTTCCGTATGCAGCAATTCGTTCTCTCGTCTAAGCCTCTCGTTCTCCTCCTCCAAGCACCCGATCTTCTTCCCCAAACGTTCGATCTCGGAAACCTCGACTTCAGCGGAGGCGCGTGGGAAGTAAACGCCGCCGGAGCGCGTGAATCCGGCGCCGGATCCTTTCTGCTTCAGCAATGGCGGAGCCGTTGAGGCGTCAGACTTCGGTTTAACGTTGGCCGACAATCTCTGGAGACCTGTCGCCGCCGAATTCACTTTTCCGGCAACCATCGTCGCGTCGTCGTCGTCTACCTCACGATCGGATGTGTAATAATTTATTGCCAAGAACAGACAATGGGAATTGACTTTTTATAAAGCATTCGGTACTGACTTTTTTAGATCCAAATTTCCGCATTAAATATATTTGAAGTCAATTAATACACACATTAATATTAACTTTCCAATTTAAATTTTATGAATACACGTGTCGTGTATTACGAGTTGTAACTTAGGAAATTGGCAAAATTCATTGTTGAAACTTCATTTTCAGAAATAACATTTTGCCAAACTTTGCCGATTCATTTCTATTGTAGAAATTGTTTAAATTTGTTCAGACACGCGGCTGTATCCATTATAGTATATTTTCCAATTAAAAATCAATATTATTTAAGAGTACGTTCAATTAAGCTAAGTAGGATATATATACATATATACATACACAATTTTAGGGCATATATATTATATTATTTCAGGACAGCAACTCAAGGGGGTGTGAAGAAACATTCAAAAAAACAGTAACTGTATTCAAAGGGAAGTCTGAAAAGAATCAGAGTCACAGCACAGAGCAAGTACGATGATGAAGGTGATCAAGAAGGACGATGAAGACAGATCAAATGTACGTAAAAAAACATTAATTAATTAATTAATTAGGGGAAAAAGAAAATGGTGGGGAAGCAGATGAGCCATGAAGCAGTGCCATGGCAATATGTCGGTAAGCATCCTCAGTCAGATGAATTCCATCCCAATTCGCGTATCTTGTCGGATCCCGACACGCCTTCGACCCGACGTGCCCGCATCTCGCCGAGTTGTTGAAGTTGTACGGTCCACCCCCTCCGCAGCACGCCACCAATGCCCCCTCTGTAAACCCTAATTTCGTTGCCACCTCCATCAATGGCGTTTTACATATATATGTATGTATATATAATTATATGTTTATATAATTAATGCTTAATTATATATTACCGTAATGTTTGGGGGCGTGGAAGAATCTCTTAGCTGCGCCGTAATAGTCTGCGTAACTGATCTTCGCATTAGGGTATTTCCGCCGCAGCTTCGCCAAGGCTGCCTTGAGCTGAGAATTGTGGTATTTGGAGAAGCCATTGTAGGCTTTCAGACACCCGTTTTTATCGTACGCTTCCTTTTTGTCTGTACGGAACAGCGTCAGATAAACTGAGTTGCACCCGATCGGCAAGTTCCCCGGCACCACCATCTCCGTCGCACCTTCCTCGATCAACACCTACAGCACCACCACCACCGGTTACCGTTACCATTTTAAGAAATTAATGACCAAATTAATCTTAATTTCTTACAGATGTGGCGGCTGCAATAGCTTCAACCACCAATGGCACCATAGCTTTGAGCTCTGCCATGGTTCCGCCGACAAAGAAAGGGTAGTTGTAGTCATTACCGCCGATCTCCCCCACCATGAACAGCGATCTCTCAAAGTACCTCCCGCAGTCTACACGGCCCAGTTATTACAGTTTGTTGGAAACCCTAATTAACACTCCATTCTTCTTATAAATGTGTACTTCAAATTTATTAACAGTAGTATTAAGAAAAAATATTTTTATTTGTTTTTTTTTTTTTTTAAAATGATAGAATTGATATTTTTATAAAATTATTAATATAAATTTTAGATTAAAATAGTATGTATAAATAAATAAATAAAAGAAATGCGTGTGATAATTATATATACAATATAGATTGACTTCACCTGCCCCAAATTAAACCGCCATTACTGTACGTAGCTGCAGGAATTACAACAGTACCTTGTTTGGTAGAGCAGATCGTCGGTTTCATCTTCCTGAACCACTCAAGCTGCACTCTCAGAGTGTCGTTGGTCCATAAGATGGCCCCAATCTTCCTCTCGTAGAAGAATCGGGCGTCCAATGCCGTCGCTCCGGCGACGGCGAAGTTTACTCCGTGCTCGATTTTTTCTCGGCTGTGGCCGGCGACGGCTAAGTACGGCGGTAGGTAAGGCAGTCCATATGCCTCAGCTACAGTTTCAAATGTCGTCAGTATTGTAGATCGATCGAATTAAATTGAAGTTCAGATTTAACGTACCGATAAAGTCGATGACGAGGCGGCCGTTGGAGCAGCGGCCGGTGGCGCGTTTGAAGAACGTCTCGCCGTAGGGCGGCTGGCCGATGACGTGGAATTTGACGGCGCCGGAGAGGAGGAGGTTTCCGGTGTCGGCGAGGGAATCGCCGAAGCTGAAAATCGAGTGGTAGTTAAGCGGCGGCGAGGCGGAAACCGCGCCGGAAATGGCAATGACGAGGTAGAAGTTGAACACTGCGCTCATTGTAATAACAAAAGACGGACGACAACGACGATGACAGAGCTTAGGAAGTAATAACACGGACATTAATGGTGGCTTAGTAGCGATAAATGAACTACGGCAGCCGCCGCGCCTACCAGTGACTGAATTTTCGGTGGGGATATAAATGGCTTTTGAAGAAGACGACGCGACAGCTGTCAAACGTCTCAATAAATCTAAACTTTAGTACACAAAATCAGATTTTATTCAATGAATTATTTCAGACTTTAGCTCTTAATTAATACAACTTGAACATGCATAAACAAGAAATGTCTTGGAAAACATAAACAAAGAAAAATTATTACTTACAAGTTACCATCTCTTCTAATAAAACTCGAAAATAAATCCGCGCAGACTTAGTCCGACACGGACAATATAGTTCTTACAAAGAGATCGATTGCCCGGCGTGAAAGGCTTCCAATCCAAAATTCGACCCGATCCAAGCGAACCCGGTGCCTTTCGATACTCCTCTTGCCTTCATCACGTCCCTCAGTTCACTTACATTGTCCCATCTTCCGGCCTCGGCGAATGTATTCGATAAGGCGACGTATGCACCGGGTCGAGACTCGGTGGTTAACTTAAAAAGCTCGTTTGAAGCAACCTTTGCCAGCTCGACATCGCCGTGTAGTCTGCAAGAACTGAGCAGAGCAGCCCAAACATCGGCGCTAGGCTTTTCCGGCATTCGGATTACGAATTCCAGCGCTCGATTCAAACTTCCGGCGCGCCCCAAAAGATCGACCATACAAGCGTAATGCTCCATTTTCGGCTTCAGAGAGTAACTTCTTTCCATGCTTTCGAAGATCTCCTGGCCCTTATCGACCAACCCGGCGTGAGAACAGGCGGTGAGCGCGCCGAGGAATGTTACGTGATTAGGCATCGTGCCGCAGACAGTCACCATTTCATCAAAGAGCACAAGCGACTCTTCCGGCATTCCATTCTTCCCGTATCCATCGATCATCGAAGTCCACGAAAACACATTCTTCTTAGGCATGTAGTCGAATATAAGTCGCGCATCCTCTGTTCGCCCGCATTTGGAGTACATATCTATCAAGGCACTGCCGATCTTAATGTCGGTAAAAGAATTGGTCTTCGACAACTGCCCTTGAACCTGCTGGCCTAATTCGTAAGACGACAGCAGAGAACACGCCCCGGTAATGCTGGCAAATGTCGACGCAGTAGGCCTAAAGCCAACGCGCTGCATATCGACGTAAATCTCCATCGCCTTCTTCGCCGTCTCGACCGATTTGCTGTACCCTTCTATCATCGCATTGTAAACCACAACGTCTTTTTCCGATGTCTTTTCGAATACGTACTCGGCATCATCGAAACGGGCCTGATTCATGTACCCGGTGATCATGGACGTTGAACATATCACATTCTGATCCAACATTAGCTCAAAAACTCTCCTTGCAGACTCGATTCTCCCACTCTTCACATACATATCGACTAAGGCAGTGTAAAGCACATCATCATCACCATCAAAATCAGATCGAATGATTTGGGCATGGACCTGCCTCCCGATTCGATCACAGCATAAACCTGCTGAACCCTTCAGAATCATCGAATACGTGTAGGCATCAGGCTTCTGATTCGTTCGGCACAATTCTCTCACCAAAGAAAACGAATTTTCAATAAATCTGTGCTTGATGTATCCGGCAACCATGTAGTTATACGCGGACAGAGTTTTTCTAGGCAATTCGTCGAACACTTGGCGTGCGTAGGAAAGGCGGGAGGATTTTAGGTATAAAATGAGAAGCTTGATGGAGATACTGAGGTTGGACTTGAATCCGGTCTTGAGAATGTAGGAATGAATCTTCTGGCCGGGGGCGGCGTTGTCCGAGTTTATGTATTCCTGCAAGGCGGACGCCACCGACAATGGCGTCGGAGAGTGGAACCTCCGCGTCGGTAAGGAGAACCAACTCGGTAGCATTAAAGATGCGATATTTCTTCTTCTGCCATGGATCATCATCGTGTTTCCATCTGGACATCAGCCGCGAAGATTGAACCAGATTTCGAATTTGATCCCTCTCCTTCTAATGCCCTTGGACTCGTGGCCAAGTGCAATTTATAGACCCAAAACAAACCCATAAATAGATTTTCGTATTAAAAAAATTTAATTTAATATTAACATAATACAAACAAAAATTTGTTAAGTTACAAGGATAGACACTTGACAGTTTATATTAATATTGCATATGTAAACGAACAATATAAACATCATAGTCTATCCCCTTTAATTACAGCGTGCATTACACAATACAAGACAATAGACATATCACAACTTATCTCATTATATGTATCCAATGTTGATAATACTCCACCTCACACATAATATCTTAAATTAGTTCTTTAAATACATACTTTTAAAAGTACATATTAAAATCGAATTGGTACGAAACTATGATTTTCCTACCACAAATTCATTTTTACACCACCTGGTCAATTTTTACGAAATATTAACCTATCATTTTTTCTTTTATGACATAAGAATTCGCAATTACTATCCGAAAGTTCACACCGGGTAAAACCCGTCATTTCTAATAGGATAAATAGTGGGTCAACCCTTTGGCTTACAAGAAATTAGTTAATTAATTGATCGGCGATGTATTGTAAGAATGATATTCGTATTGATGTGCATGATGCATTAGTCGTCATTCTCATATAGGGAGGAAGCAATATAATTGCGTTTATCCTTATCCATAACTTTATCCATATATAATGTTAATGGACATGTCATTTTGAGGTGTTCCCAATTTGATCGCATCGGCATCGGCACCGGCTGTCCAATGAGGAAGTGCTTCTGCATCAGCATCTATTCAGAACACAAACTGGATTATATATGTATATGTATATGTATAATGTATGCATGAAGTTAGGTCCATCGATCCAATTTATTTAATATATATATATGCATGAACATGATGGACGAGGTTTATGTATAAATATAGGAGCACATCCGCTACCCATCTTCCTACACATTAATTGCTGCTCTAATGGGTAGCTTGAAGAAGTTCTCAATCCTATCATTCCTATGGCTTATTGTCTGCCTCGTGTTTGCTTTTAAATTTGCAGGGGCTGCGTCTCATCCCCTGAAACCTATCACGATCGCGAGACGGGGACTTGAAGTTGAGTTTCGAAAAGGGAAGTTGAGCCGGAGCAGCAACAAGTGGCCCGACAGAACCATCCCCGGTGGCCCTGATGCACATCATCATCTTCGACGCGGATAATCTTGGATCAAATTTGGAGTTTTTTTTTTTAATCTACATGTATCGTGTAATATATGGCCAGAGATTAGTGACCTTAAATTTTGTGGTGTTTGTGCTTTTTGATGAATCGTTGTAAGATTTACATTGCTCATCGAGTATAAATTAAAAATAGTTGAAAAAAAAATTCAATAAAAAAAATAATTTCAACATATGATACACTCTCTTACGTTGCACTTGATGGTGTCCTTAAAGATCATTGAGAGTAAAGATCGTTAAAACAAGATTAAATGAAAAAAATAATTTTAGTCCATGATATACTCTCTTCTTTTGTGTTTGACGTTATCTTTAAAAACTTAAAAGTATTCATTGGGCTAAATATTTTTTGATTGGGAGACAACAAAGTGACAAATTAAGAAAATCCTAAAATAAGAATAAAATGAATTTAAGTATACTATGGAGAAAATAAGGGAGGGAAATAATTTGAACTTTCAAGAGTTTTCGTTGATTCAAATCCAATTTATTATGTCATTCTTGTTTTCAAATTCTTGTGGACTGCCCTTTAGACTATCCATTGTTTTTAAAATAAATAGCTTTAAGATATGGGGCACATTTGAGACTTTGGAATCCATTTTTGTCGGCAGCCTACTAATCATTTCGGACAACTTATGGTAATATATATCTATTATTTTCTGGAAATAATTGTTCCCACCAACCTTCTTCATTTGTTCTTGTCACTTTTAATGATTGGTGCAATATATATAATCAAAGAGTGGGTTTATTTTATTTATCAATATATGAAAAAAAAAATGCATTCCTTCGACCTGTATCTTCTTCTTTCTTAAAAAAAAAAAAAAAAAAACCCAAAATAAGGATGCAATAAACTAAAGATTCCAGCTGTTCTCTTGCGCTGCCATTAATTTATTAAATCAATAGTCCACACGCAATTTTAAGTAGTTCTAACAAACAAATCATCAGTTTAATCCAAGATTTAAACCCATTTAATATTAGGGTGCCAAGTTGGCTTCTTTGGCCACTGTAAGCATCTATTTTCTTGGATAAAACCCTAATCTTGATTTGATTTATAGGTGTCGGTTGGCCCCCATTGATTGAGGGGTGAGTTTTATTTTATTCTTAGAAATAGTAACAGGAGCTTCAGACAGCCCCAAATTATGTCATGTCGTGATGCCCCTTTCGTAGCCCTCTCTCTATTCTTTGTGAGGTCACCAGCCGCTGGGCCATGGCAGATATCCGTCGAGCTACCCACTTTTTGTTCTCTCCTTTTCTTCCCTGTTTATTTCCCTTCTTCAATCATGTACATATATAGCTTCTTATTTCTTCTCTTTCACTCTACTTTTCCATCAATACTCTCATCCTCATCACTGCGTAACTTGCTTCTCCTTTTTCTAGGTATTTATTTTCCATTTGCCTGGAAGTTCCTTCTGCAACGCCGGAGATTTTGAGGTTAGATTCATCTCTCTTGTTTCTACCTTATTAAGGTTGTTCTTCGATGTTTTTAAGGTCTCAATAATTTTCTTTTCATTCTTGAAAGAAATAGAGATCTCTTGGGAATCTAGCCTATGCCCTATTCCTGTTTTTTTTTTTAATAATTTTGTTATGGATTTTGGATATCCCATTCTTTCCAAGTTTGTGATCTTGAATTGATCAAATTAATTTTTTATCAAAATTCCAGACTTCAGTTGTCACTTGTAACCTAGCTGTACTACAAACTTTTATATCTAATATTTATGTTCTAGACTAACATTCAGATAAAAATTGAGGGAAAATTCAAACTTTGTCACGTAGGAATGTTCTTTAGAATCTAAAAATAGTGTTGTTTTGAAATGCTTCTTATGCAGGTTTATTATTACATCTATTGAGCATCGATAATGGGATCAGGAGTTTGGTTCAGGAACATAATCAGCAAAAAGAAGACGAAGGGCGAAAAAAAATTGCAGAAATTGCAGGTTTGTTGCTATGGAAGCTTTACCTCTACATTATATTCGTTTTCTAGTAGTCTTGATTCTTGCATTGCTTCACGATGTCAGTAGTTTATCCAATTTCATGCTTCATCGATTCAAAAATAATTCAACCTTTATTGCTCTGCAACTCATTCTTCAGAAGCCTTCAGCACCTGAAAACACAAATGCTTGCGAAAAGGAAATCGGTCTGGACAAAGTGTGTCCTTTAATAGCCATCAACACTGCCGCTGCAACGTGTATTAATCCGATCGGCAATGTTGTCTCATTAGAGGATGCTGCTGCAGCCAAAATCCAGACTGCATACAGGGCTTATTCGGTTGGTCGTGTGTGTTCTTCGCTTATTAATAATTCGAAAGTTTTAAATTCTCGGTAGGACAAAAGTTGAGATTGTCTGCTTGTTTCCAGGCTAGAAAATCTTTTCATAGGATGCGGAGAATGTCGAGATTACAGGATATGGTGCAGCGTGATTCAGTTAAGAAGCAAGCATCGGCGACATTGAGTCATCTGCACTCATGGAGCAGAATTCAGGCTAGGATCAGACAGCGTCGAGCTCATATGGTTACAGAAGGTCAGCTCAGGCAGAAGAAGCTCGAGAATCAGCTGAAGCTGGAAGCGAAGATTCACGACCTTGAGGTAATAACCCCCGGATTAATTTTTCGTTGCCAAAGTTTCAATATTTCAGACAAATTTCACTCTCACAACGGAATGTGCGATAGGTGGAGTGGAGTGGCAGTGCCGTAACAGCTGACGAAGCCATTGCAAGGATTCATCAGAGGGAAGAAGCAGCCGTGAGGCGGGAGCGCGCCATGGCGTATGCATTTTCTCATCAGGTGAGGACACAGATTTGGCATTTTTCAAGGTACAAAGCAATCGAGATTAATCGACAATGTGGTATTGTGTATTGCAGTGGAGGGCCAACACGAGCCCTAGTTTTGGACCTAGCAATCAAGAACTTAGCAAAGCGAATTGGGGGTGGAGTTGGATGGATCGATGGATTGCAGCGCAACCATGGGAAAGCCGTGTTGCGGCAGTCCAGGAAAGCCCGAAGAAAGGACAGCGTCGCCCTCCAAATAAGATCGCGAAAACCGCCGTTTTTCCGGCAAATAAAGCTTTGGATAAAGTTAAAGCAGTGTCTCCCAATGGCAAGATTACCAGGAAAGCTCGGAAGCTGTCTTACGAAGGAGCTGCTGCTAAAATAGCTGCTAAGAAAGTGAGCTCAAATGGTGATGACAGAAAGACTGGCAATGGGAAGGAAGGATCTTAAAATCTTAATGGAGTTTGTGTGCAAAAATCGTTATTTGTTATTTGTTTTTTGTTCATTTTAAGCTTATTGTATATGTAATAAAAATCTGAGTTGCTGTGAGATTGAGATATATTTCGTATTTGGAAATAAATTATGAATGTTTTTATGATATGAATACCAAAGGCTGGTTTGCCTTGTTGATCATCGTCGAATTGATGAATCTTCCAACTTCCACGTGGGCTTCAAGCTTTTAGTTCAGAGATTTATTAATGGATGTACTAAGAATCGACGTGGACAACTGCAAGCTTAAGCCTCCATTGCAGGCAGCAGGCCGGTCCCCAGAGCTTGGGCTCCATTAAAGCAGTCGAAAATGGTGGAAAGTGAAGAGCTTGGTCCATTTTGGAGGATTTAGAGATGTAATATAAATAAATAAAAAAATAGATGGCAGATGATCTACACATTTTCCCTGCTTGATTGGATCCTTCTTCCCAACATTAATGGCGCCCGTTACTTACTATTATGCAGCAGGCTGTAAGCAATAACTCTCTGCACATGCGCCCTATACTCAGAAGAGCCTCGCCTTCTTTATTGTCTCTGCTCCGCAGATCTTTGATTCCATCATTGGCGCCTCCGATTCCTACTTTACTTTCCGCGCTCGCGATTATGGATTCTCGGGCGCAGAACGGTTTGGGGCCTTCTAGAAAACTCATGGTTCTGGCGCAGCAATTGCGCCTCTATAAACCGCCTCCGCCGTCGGACGACGAGGAAGAGGAGGAGAAGATTGAGGAGCGGGAAGGGAAAGTGGTTTCGCAATTAGGGTTTGCGGAATCGGCGACTCCGGTGGCCCAACAGCCTTCCGAGGGGTTCAGGCCCAAAAGAGCGGCGGTTTTAATCTGCCTATTTGAAGGGGATGATGGTGAATTCAGAGTAATTCTTACGAAGCGATCATCGAGGCTTTCTACTCATTCTGGTCTGTTGAATTTACGATTCTCGTCGTTGTTTGGGTTTTTTTGAGAAATTAGGTTCGATTTGGGCGATTGTGTGTGTGAATCTGCAGTTGTCGTTCTAGTAGATAAATCTGAATCCAATGCCATCGATTCACGCATTTCTATCGATTCACGCATTTCTATCGATTCGATATTGTTTAGGGTTTCTTTAAGGAACTAGGTTTTTTCATTCGCAGGTTTAGGGCATAATTAACTTGATTGATGTTAATCGTGATGTTCGATTTAAGATCAACCATTGCTGTTCAGATGCTTGTGAACGTGAACAGAAATGGAGATTCCGCTGATGAACTGTAACTGAAAACAGGGGAAGTTTCGTTGCCTGGGGGAAAAGCAGAGGAGATCGACGCCAGCGATGCCGACACAGCAACAAGGGAAGCGAAGGAGGAGATAGGATTGGATCCTTCCATGGTGAACGTCGTGGCGTGCCTTGAGCCCTTCTTATCCAAGGTAAATCGATCAGTCTATCCTCATCTCTAATCTCCATCATTCTCCACCATAAACTTCAAACGTTCTATGTTTCCTGCAGCACCTCCTCAGAGTGATTCCTGTCATCGGCATACTATCCAATAACAAAGAGTTCCATCCATCTCCTAATGCTGCTGAAGTCGAAGCTGTATTCGATGCTCCATTGGAAATGTTTCTCAAGGTAAGTATCCAATTTTGCATCCTCGCCATTTTCGACTAGTATGGTATCCTCACCACTGCCATTGTCAGGACGAGAATAGACGATGTGAAGAAAGAGAATGGATGGGGGAAAAGTATCTGATCCATCTCTTCGACTACGAAGTGAATGGGAATAAGTACCTCATTTGGGGATTAACCGCCGGAATTCTGATCCGAGCGGCGTCCATCGTGTACCAGAAACCTCCTGCTTTTGTCGAGCAGAATCCGAAGTTCAAAGTTCTTAGAAACGTGCACAAGGATACGACCATGCCTTGACCTATCTGCCTCAAATTCAATATATGTAGAATGCTATCCGATTGTGATCGAGTTGTAAATTGGATGCATTAACTGACCCGATCCACAATGTATAATTTGCAGAAGCTCATCGTGATTTGTGATGTAAGTGCAGAGCAGTTGCTTTGTATTGTCTGTGACTCATCTTTTGACACAGAATAAGTGGCGATTATTCTATAAGCTTCTGTTCGTACGACGAACCGACACTGCGTGATGTGGCTATGGTTGAATTGAATATATATATATTATATAAAATATATTTTGGTTGTTGGATTGAATTGATTTCTCAGTCATCACTGCTCATCAGAACTTCAAGTCATGTCGGCAGGAACTTCCGGGAGATCAGAAACCCTAGCGAAGGTAGTCCAAACGCTCCGTCTTCACCAACCAAAGCACGATTCCGATTTCTCCGCCGGAAGTATTAGCAACAAGGATTCCATAGTTGGAGATTCAGCCAGTGAGTCGGTGTCTAGCCGAGCTAGATCGAGATCCCAACCTAATCGAGCTGCGGTCTTGGTATGCTTATTCGAGGGTGAATCAGGTGAAATTCGCGTGATTCTGACTAAGAGATCTTCAGCCATGTCCTCTCACTCCGGTAAGTGCTCAAATTCCACAGATTGCTACATTAAACTAGGGTTTAACCTTATCTGTTCATTAGATCCACAATTTCAGGAGAAGTTGCGTTGCCTGGAGGTAGGTGGGAAGAAGGCGACGAGAACGACGCAGAAACGGCGTTGAGAGAGGCCAAAGAAGAAATCGGATTGGAGCCTTCAGCTGTGGAGATCATAACCATTCTGGAACCCTACCACACTAAGGTAGCAAGCTTTTGAATCTGTTGCTTAATTTTCCGATTTATCTTTGCTGCAACCTATATTAGGTTTTGAATTATTGCTCCATGTTTAGCATTCCATGCTGCAATTTGGTGTGAAATTTTGAAGTTCATTCATCGTCATAAGCCATCTCTGCAACCCAAACCCAGTTTGATTCTTGTAAGAACGCCGTGACTGAAAATTCAAGGTCTAGATGATCGAATTTCTTTGCAGCGGAATATTATCGTGTATCCAGTAGTTGGAGTTCTGTGGGATAAGAATGGCTTTAATCCTGCCCCAAATGCTACAGAAGTGGAATCTGTATTTGATGTGCCTCTAGAAATGTTTCTCAAGGTGTGGCTTGTGCAGACCATTTTTATGCTTCACTTGCAACCTATATTGAGTTCCTGTTACAGTCTTTTTCTATTGTCATTTCCAGAATGAAAACCGAAGAGAACAGGCAGGGGAACTCATGGGCTATAAATTTACTGTTCAGCTCTTTGATTACCAAACTAAGAACACAACATATGTGATATGGGCTCTGACTGCCGCAATTTTGATCAAAACTGCATCAGTTGTGTTTCAACGACCACCTGCTTTTGAAGAGCGTGCACCAGTATTTTGGGGTAGAAGTCGCCATTGAAAGTTTCAAACTCTTAAGGTATGTATGTATGGAAGTGGTTAAATTCTTGGCAATTTTCTTCCTCTACTGATTCATAATTTGTCTTAATTTATGCTGAAATACCATAGTTGAGCCCCCAAAAGATACAGAATTAATTCCTTGCCATGATAGCATGAACCACATAACTAGAAGCATTTGTGCCGAGAAACCCCCCTTTCAGTTCTATGCATGCATAGTCAATGGAATAGCGATGAAAGTGAGATATTATATGTGTTTTTCCTATATGATCATTGTAGAATGCTAAGCAATTCAGGCCCTTACAGGAAAGGTTAATCTAATGTATGAATCCGATATCAAAACATCTGAATTCGTGAAATCTGTGAGGAGTAGAAAACTGTATAAGCACTGGAACAGTTAAAATTATATGAAGCATGATACAAGAAGGCCTTAGTAGTATTTTAACCTTCAGTTTTATCCTTCCTGTCAATGTTAAGATAATCTAAAATACATTAATAGAAGAGCCTGCATACCATGTTGATTGTGCCAATTTTTGTCATTGTGCTTTCTACTGCATTTGAGCAGAGTGAGGCGTAGTTTTATTGCTTTTGTCATCGTCGTTCATAAACAACATTCTTCTTTGAAAATTCCCCACTGTTGGCTGTTGGCCATTCTATATTTGGTTATGAAATTCACTCTCATCATCAAGTCTATCATTCTCCTCAGGAATTGAGGATGTGCATTAAAATGGCATCCGGTTCTTCGCCACCAGTGTTCTTCCAAGGTAACTCACTCTAATTCCCTAGGCAAAATTGATGATATTCAATCCAAGGTAATTCATTTCAACTGGCCTTAGAGGGGAATGTGTAAGGATTCTATAATACACTGTGAAAGTGAAACTAACGTGTTGTGGTTTGCAGTGCTGTGTGTCCATATTTTATGTCACAGTAGGTCTCACTTAGTATCATAATAGAGATCAATTAAGTTATGTCCCGTTCCTAATGATGTGGGGGTAAACTAGATGATCATGAGTTCAAACCCGACGTCTCTAGGTTATCTGTCACATATGGTTAGCCTAGTGTAGCTTGTGTTGTGGGACTTAGTTCGCAGGGTATTAGTACTAGATTTGGCATGGATTTAACCAGCAGTGAATTCACACGTCATTAAAATAAATAAATAAATAATGAAGATACGGTTGCTTTCGATTTCGAGAGGAATTTGTTGCAGTAGATAAGCTTCACTTTTCCTGTAATGTAAATAATGTGTATTGTTTTCCAAGGCTATATAGGTTGCTCCTGTAATGTAATAATGTGTAGTGTTTTCTTAGGCTATATAGGTTGCTGCTGTTGTATTCTCGCCGGCACTATTTTGTAAAGCATTTGCAGGGGCATCTCTGGACCAAGTACACACTAATATAGGTCAAAGAAATGATATTTTATTTTAATTTATAATTTTTATGGGGCCCAACAAAGTATGGGCTTATATGGGTAAGCCCAGGTGAGGCCCTTGTTCACTGAGCCCTGGTATTCAGTGCCACTGAAATGGACTCGCCTGATTTACCGTTGAAGGCTAAATTCTTCAATAGTAAACTGGGCTGGAAGCTGGGGCTCATATAAGGACTACTATGGGCCGAACTTATCCAGCTCACTTTTTCAATTGCCAAACAGTTGCAAGCCTAGAATTGTATTGGGCTGAAGTTAACTGCCCACATTCGTAACCACCGTGACTGATTAGCTAACCAAATTAGCCAAGCAAATATTCCCTCTGGACCCATAAAGATTATGCCTGTCAGACCTAAGGCCCATTTAGCGGCCCTAGTAGCAAATGGTCACTGGTTGGGCTCGGCTCAATATCATACTCATGTGGCCGCGATGAATACGACGGACCAAGACACACACCGATGCGGGCCTCGATGAATGGGCCGAACTTGCACATACTGACGTGGAACGTTCATTCGGCCCTGCATCCTGTCAAACGGGCCAATGATAAATGGGCCGGACCATGACACATATCGATGGAGGCCTTCGATGATTTTGGGCCGAACCAGACCAGAAATTGGGCCCTACAACACCTGTAAAACGGGCCTATGATAAATGGACCAGACCCTGACACATACCAATGTGGGCCGCGATGAATGGGCCGAACTTGACACATGTGGACGTGGACCATAAATTGCGCCCTAAAACACCTGTCAAACGGGCCTACGATCAATGGGCCGGACCGTGACACATACCGATGTGGGCCTCGATGATTGGGCCGAACTTGGCACATACTGACGTGGACCATCAATTGGGCCCTACAACACATGTCAAACGGCCGTATAATAAATGGGCCGGACCAAGTCACATACCAATGTGGGCCTACGATGATTTTGGGCCAACCAGACACATGCTGACGTGGACCATCAATTGGGCCCTACAACACCTGTCAAACGGGCCTATCATAAATGGGCCGGACCAAGTCACATACCGATGTGGGCCTACGATGATTTCGGGCCAACCAGACACATGCTGACGTGGACCATCAATTGGGCTTATAACACCTGTCAAACGGGCCTATCATAAATGGGCCGGACCAAGATACATACCGATGTGGGCCTTCGATGATTTTGGGCCAAACCAGACACATGCTGACGTGGACCATAAATTGTGCCCTACAATATTCTGTCAAACGGGCCTATGATAATTGGGCCGGATCCAGACACATAACGATGTGGGCCTGGATAATGGGCCGAACTTGACACATGCTGACGTGGACCATAAATTGGGCCCTACAGAGCCTGTCAAACGGGCCTATGATAATTGGGCCGGACCCGGACACACAACGATATGGGCCTCGATGAATGGGCCGAACTTGACACATTCTGACGTGGACTATAATTTGGGCCCTACAGCATATGTCAAACGGGCCTATGATAAATGGGCCGGACCCAGACACATACCGATGTGGGCCTCGATGAATGGGCGAACTTGACACATGCTGACGTGAACCATAAATTTGGCCTTACAACCTGTCAAACGGGCCTATAATAAATGGGCCAGACCCTGACACATTCCGATGTGGACCTTCGATGATTTTGAGCCGAACCTGACACATGCTAACGTGGACCAGAAATTGGGCCCTACAACACCTTTCATATAGGGCCGTAGATCAGCCATCATTTAACGGGCCATCTCATAATGGTAGGCTAGCCCAAGCCCGTACATATTGGGCTGCCTATCACAACTTTTGGGCCCACTGCTTGTTACCCGCATAGCAACTTGACCTTAAATGTTGGGCTAGAACAAGACACATACGGATGTGGGCCCTTCATGATTGGGCCGAGCCAGACACATGCTGACGTGGAGCATAAATTGGGTTCTACAACACCTGTTATAGGGGCCTTTAATAAATGGGCCAGACGAGGCATGTCTAAGGAAATTGGTCCCCGTTCAAAACCAAAAGCCCGTAAGTGTTACCATATTTGGGCTCATTGAAGCACGGCCTTGTTAATCCGGCCCAATGATAAAGCCATTCAAGCTTGCATGTTTGAGTGATAATTCTGGCCCATACAATCAGGGGTTCCTAGGCCCATTTTAAAGGCGCCTACAAATATTGGGCCAGCCCAAAAGCGAAACATCGTATAACAAATTCGTACAGATAAAGATATGGCCATTCAGTACATTGGGCCAGATCATTGCCACAGCCCATACAAGGCCGGCCCAGACCAAAGGCAGCCAAAAGGGTCAGGGTCTGGGTCCGGATACGAATCTGGGTCCGGATCCGGGTCCGGATACGAATACGGGTCTGGGAGCCCCCGTCGATCTCAAACCATGCCAGGGCAGCCGAAAGGGTCGGGGTCTGAGGTCCGGGTCTGGATGCCCCCGGCGTTCTCAAACCACGCCAGGAACCTACCTACTTACCTGATCTGTACAATCTAATCTCTCCATGGAACAAGAAGCAAGCATATACATGCATCATGCACACAGATACATACATACACTTACAAAGGCCACTCATGATGCAATGCCATTCACCTCATAATAATAAACACACCACGAAGACTCAAGTTACAAGATAGAGCAACACCAGGGATATCTACTGCGACCATAGCAACGACAAAGTCACAAAAACCCATCCAACGATACAACATTGCCCGGAAGCTTGTAAGAATGTCATGCAACCGCCACCAGAACTTGTGGAAACCCCTCCGCTTCGAACAGAAACTAAGTACGATAGCATGCGCTCTATGGTATCTTGCTCATGAAAACACCGGCATAGATCTATGTATATTACATCACATAAACAAGCATCTCCTCAGTAAGGCATGCATATATATCATATATGTAATGAATACTGAAAAGTACTGCAATATTTTACAGGAAACATACCCCATAAGGCGTTAAAGAAGTAGATTTCTACGACTCTTGAGAGGAGCAAATGGATTGAACTGCAACTCTGTAGTTTGTAGCAAGGCGTATGGCCCAATTATGAGAATGAAAGACTGATAATTAAGTGTCGCAACTGCTGCGAATTGATTTTATTCTGCACGGCGCCTTGTACTGTCAAAATGTTATAGAATAATGTGTATACAAATAATTGGATTGAACTTTGGAAGAGGATTTGTTTTACCTGAGGTTTGTCCTTGGTGATCTGTCCATCTCCGGAGATGTCAAAAGATGCCAGGATGATCTCTATATTCCTTACTGTTTTCCAAATCACCATCATCAATCTTTAATCCCAGGAGAAAATTCTGAGCAGTCAATATAAAGAGAAATGACAGATGGTATGAAATGAACAAGTATGCTAGTAAGAGAATTTACACAAAATTACTTACTAGCTACGGCATGTACATTATTGATATTTTGCGACCCCAAACCTCATCCTTCCTCGTATAGTGCACAAGATATCCTGCAAAACAGAAAACCAGTGCCGAAAGGAGAAGAAAAACTAGTGGGGGATGGGAAAAGAGAGGAAAGAAAGAAAGAATCAACATTGCCTTGAATAAGTTAAATGTCAAAATCCAAGAATCAATCTCTTCCTCTCATCAAAACTAAGCAAATACATTAACGACGGAGCACAATGCACATCTTGTTTAATCACTCAATTCAACTCTTGTATATTATGGTCTGTGGGAAAAACTCCTTGTCATAGGCTGCCTTAATGCAGAGAAACAATCAGAATGATTGCCCCCTTCCCCTTCCCCTTCCTCTTCCTCTCCTTCCACCACCATAGCTCCGGCCTAGACCTCTGAAGCCACCTCTCTTTCCATAGGGCAGACCCCCATAAGCATTACCCGAAATTGGGTTCAAACTCCCTCCAGCCCCACGTCCCTTTTTTGGAGGGTTGTTGCCAAATTCATTTGGACGCTTCACCCTGTAGATTAAATGTTAAAAAAATGTAAATTATGGCAGGTATCATTTACAAAGTAAGACAGTATATAGTAAGTGCTATAAGGAGATAGTGAATGGGCAGAAATGTTCAGTTAAATTCTCAGATTCTGGAATGGTTTGACTAGTTACAACTTCCACCACTTTAAACTAAGCTAAATCTCTTCTGCAGGCCTGTTTCCTAGCAAAAATTTCTTGAGTTATAGTTCACTGCACTTGTTCGCAGATCAGCATACTTCATATGTACATCGCATCCACAATCACCTGCTCTAAAGATGTGCCAACCTCTTTTGTCCTGCCAACCACAGGTGCTCTCTCTATGCCCCTGTCTTTCATCGATAATAATCAATATAATCTTTCTGAGGCTCTCTCTTCGAAAGAAATCCAATGGGATCCAACGAGAACATGCCTTCATCCATTTCATGAATGTACTGTACAGTGCTATATAATAATAAATTAAAATAAAGTGCACTCTGAGAATATATAGCTAATTTCACATTATAAGTTGTGCCTGGGCAATGCAAGTTCAATGTATTATGTATGCACAAATAATCACCACAATTACTCATTTGGGCATTTCCTTAGCATCAGATTTTTCATTAATATATCTTTGTTAAATGTACAGAGACAAGTTCATAAATGAAATATTGCAGTGCTAGTGAAGGGACATACCCAGTAGTAGAAGCAGTTGGTGCTGGTGAAGGTTTTGCAACCTCTTTCCAAGATAAAGTGACCCTCTTGTCTCCAATAAATGAAGGTGTCTTGGCATGCAGAGGCTGAATTATGCAAATAAATATCTCAATAAATATAAATAAAATGGTGAGGTGATCAAAGAAAGGAAAATGTATATGTGCAATATTTAAGGTACTTCCGCTTGCCTGAGTCATAGCCAGAATGTTGTTGCAAGTTCGTAGCCCATTTGTAGTGTTCTGTTTCTGTGTTTTCTGCAGATTGTATGGTCTTCTAAATCCATCTACAGAACATATAATAATTTTCTAAGTAGAAAATAGCACATTCATTGTATTACAAACTCACAATGTCAGCCTTTGCTTCATCAGACAAAGCAGCTGCCAGAGCTTTATTATTTGCTGTCATTCCTTGAGTTAACTTTTTTATGGCCGCCCGAGCTAAGTCTTCAACACAATTTAATCTGTTTCAATAACCAAGGATTTTGGTGTTAAACTCATCCGCAAGCACTCCGATAGTGCAAGGAAATAAACAAGAAACTAAACCACCGTGTTAAAAATACATGCATAAATCTTTAGCTAATTAATTCTGTAAAATGGCTAAAAACTTAAGCAATTCACTGTGCAGGACACACCTCTCAGAGAAGTCCTTTGATTGATCAGAGAAGTCCTCTCCCAGCCTATCTGAGGGTTGCCCCGTCACAATCTTGTACCCGCATAAGCTATTGGTTGCATTTGGTGCCTGTAAAAAAAAATGGAGACTTTTTGGACTGCAAGCATACATGCATTAGAACAGTAGGAGAAATAAGAAAAGGCAACTTTAATAACCTTGTCGGATAAATGGTGGAATGCATATAGCAAGCACTCAACATAAGTAAAGTTCATCTCTTCTCCAACTTTTCTTCGAGGCATGGTTTTCTGAAACAACACCTTATAATTATCACGAGGAATAGTGTTTGCAATGTTAAATACATTGGCATGTTTAAACAAAAATAAAATTCCATAACTCAGTGGGATTGAGTGAGAGAGAGAACAAAGGACTTATCTAGAATGTTTCCAATAACATACGCTTAAAGAGGATAAGAACAATCAAATCCCATAATGAAGATAGTATACAAATAATTCAACTTACATAACCTCCACCACTTATACGAAATACTTTGCACTGAAACCATTTAGCATGTTACATTTAAATGATAAAGGTGCTGTTGATATGCATAACATTCTTTGTGCATATAATATGGTTCTTGCCTTCAAGAGCATAACAATAGAGGGGAGAATTTGTCTTGAGTCTTGAGGGGAGGTATATGGTGAACTCTCAGCCAGGTTTTTGAGCAGGTCCACTTTTCGTTCTTCAGGGAGCTGAAGTGCAAAGAGTATTTTATTATTAGACTCAAAACAATATCTGAGTCACTTAGGACACATTGACACTTGACAGCAAGTTAGGACATTCAATAATGAAAATGAACAGAAGTCTGACTTTCAATAAATTATGTTACACAAATTTAGTTTCCATTAACCCAGTGTGGACTCCAGTCCATGCATCAACATAAAAGGCGTTTTAAGTTGTCTAAGACAAACAAATGCATTAATATCATTCCCATAATACATACACAGCCTATAAAAGATGCACAAGGAAAAATCCACTTCCATCAATACAATGAGCACAACACCTTATTTGACTACTAGAGCACAAGCCAGACCTTAATCATTTGATACAATACTTCGTAAAATACCATAAGCTTTATTCACCATGCTGCTCAAACAAGTTTATGTTCAGTAAAAATTTACTTTTTTGATAGCCAATATTTTCTCTTAATCATTCAAAGTAAGTATGGAAACTAGCAGACTCAAAGTCTAATAATATTGTACTTAAATTGTATATTTAAGGGTGTGTTTGTTTGGGGGTTTGGATTTGAAGTTGGGATTTGAATAGTAAAAATTTTGAATTTGAATAGTTGTATGATGTGATATAAATAGGTGTTGATGTGATGTTTTGAATGTAAAATTTATTTTTAGTATAATATAAAAAATAAAAAATAGGTGTTTAATTTGATGTTTTTGGGGGGAAAAAATGGGATGAATAGTGAAAATCTAATCCAATCCCCCAAACAAACACACCCTTAGTATACAAGTCACAATGAATTGCTACAAAACCAAATGAAAATGCTTTAAACTTCTTTTTTGGATCATAAAAATAAAAAACACACAATGGACATCTATTGAAGAAATTAGGGATCTAAATGCCAAAATTGTCCAGAGCATTCTAAAAATAGTATTAGAAATGTACCATATCAAAAACTGGAAATATGTGCTTGTTTAAATAGTTCCAAAACCTGCTATTGGATGCACCCCTCTGCAAGTAATAAGCGTGTCAGCTAATAATACATAACATTAAATTAAAAATGAGCAAATAAACTTGAGGGTATCCGAGAGTGTTCATGTGAACCTCAAAAAATGGAAGAGCCATAAAAAGGCAAGAAATAAGTCGATCTATATGATCTCCATCATCAACCTGCAGTAACACCCAATTGAAAAACAAAACGCAAGTGGTGAGTAAGCATTTTTTTTTGCTTCTTTTGCTTAAAGAAAGGCATGAATCCTAAGTTTTTCATGTTTTTATTTTTTATTTTTTTAAGAGATTACTGAGGTACATAATAAGTCGATCTATATGATCTCCATCATCAACCTGCAGTAACACCCAATTGAAAAACAAAACGCAAGTGGTGAGTAAGCATTTTTTTTTTGCTTCTTTTGCTTAAAGAAAGGCATGAAGCCTAAGTTTTTCATGTTTTTATTTTTTATTTTTTTAAGAGATTACTGAGATACATAATACCAAGTGTCTTCATAGATTAAGAATGTGACAACAATGCAAAAGTAATACTAGTATTTTATTGTATTGATTTATAATAGTTCCAAAAAAACTTATGATTTAAGACAACTATTTTTCCTCCCTGATAAAATTAAAAAAAATAATAATAATAAATGAAAGCCTCTCATCAGCACACAATAATAAGAACACTCACATTAAATTGAGCGTCCAAATCAGCTTGACCTTCAATAATTTCAATAAGTTCCTGTATTCTCTCTGGAGGAGCATCCTTACCAAACATGTTCAAGCTTTTCAAGAAGTCCATAAACATCTGAAATTCTGCTCCAGTGACATCTTGAAGGCTCTGCAAATTTAATTAAAATAATCATGTCCAGTATTATTAAACAATCATATGACCTGAGATCGACAGTTTTACCCAACTTATTTTTAATTCCACGAGGAAATCACAGAACCCAGTGTCATCGTGTAATGTGAAAAAGTGAAGGTGAACTGCCTACCTTTTTAATCAAATCTGTTATATGCCTTTCCATTGGCCCAGGGGGCTTTAACAGCTCAGATTTAAGTGGAAAGACCTGAATTAAAGATCTAAATTAGAACAACACGCAAGAAAATAAAGTGAAGCCAGGACAATGATCTACTGTTTCAAATTCAAGAAAATCAAATATTTGTCAGTCCTCCCACCTTGTCTCTAACAAAAAGTAGGGTCCTCTCCCGTAGATTTTCATCTGTTATTTGTTCATCAACGCTCTCTATATGCTTAAACAAGGCAGTCAAAGATGCTGCAAAAACAACAAATCAACTACTTGAATTTTAAAGAGAACGAGACAATATAATGTAATCAAGCACTGATTCTGAACAAACAAGACTGCAGTCATCTTTCTTTAACATAAGAAATTAACCAAGAGCTATAATTCAAGGCAAGCAACTCAAACAAAGGAATCTATTGTTCAAGCATATTTGATCATACCAAAAATACAACGCTATGGCAACATTAACTAGTTTGCATGGCAGTAAGCTACAAGTACTTCTTTCTTCCAAAATAATCATTGCCATTACATCTGCCACTTTCAATGATGTATTTATCAAATGACCAAATCACAATGAATAAGACTGACAGAGCATGTACAATGGAATCAAGCCTTATAACAAATATAAGAACCACAACAATGGATTGATGAAGTATGACAAAGATGCAGAAACTACAGCATGATGATGTTGAATATCTTGCTGAGAACTTATAGAACCTACATCCAAGTCAATGATAAGTAGAACTACCTTTAACATCTTGCCTCAGTAAGGACAATAGCGCTTTTTGTACTGCATCACGTTCTACATTTTCCTCTACACAAAAAATAATAGAAAGAAATCACAAGTATGTACTTTATGAATATTCCCATTCTAAAACGCTACTAGGAGCAAAATAATACCAGCTGTGAGGAGTTGCGCTAGAATGTCAACAATTTTTGACAGATGTTCTGGAGTATCCTTGCAGAAAAGTGGAAGCCCGCGAATTGCTTGTACCCGCACCTGAAAAACAAGGAATGCTGAAAATTTAGATTAGTGTACTTGGCAAATACTGCGGAAAATGCACGTTTCTCCAAACAACAAGCCGACACTTAATTCAGTCCCAAACAAGGGTTGAAGTGTGAAGCTTCATATGCAAAGAGTAATCAAATAAAAGAAAAGAAGCAGACCCCTAGCTCCTCGGCTTCACACAGATCGAGATGCGCATCAACTGCATTAACCGATAGGCTTGGAAAATACTTGAAGAACCTGGGGATTAGCTGCGCAGCTAACTGCCTCGCTTTCACACTGCTACTCTTTGCCGCCTTGATTATATTCTCATAATCCTCAGCGTGCTGCTTACACACCACCAATTACACTAATTGAATTTCAAATCAAAAGTAGGTCTCGCACAAATTGAGAAATTAGAGGTTAAAACCCTACGAATGAGGAAAACCAGAAGACGCCCATGCAAAAACAGATAATTGAGAACCTGAGACTTGTCCTTGACTTCGTTGAGACGCTCTCCATATTCGTAGAGCTTCTCGATAACTCTGGCATCGTCGGAAGCCTCCGCCATTGCCGATGGAGCGCAAAGTCACCCACGCTGTCCGTGCACACACAAATAGGCTGTCTTGACTTCGATTTTCCTCTTTTGCCCTTTACATTATAATAATAATTCCAGAGACCCCAATGTCTAAATTCGTAATTTCATATAAAATTATTATAATATTTAAATTTAGCATAATCTAACAATTTTGTTCCATTCAAATATTCAAAACAACCAAATGGTCCAAAATTATTCCATCAAGACAATACCAAGGTTGGTAATGGAAAAACCAAAATATTACTACAATGTGGGCGTCTCCAAAGCCTGAAGAACATCTCTAAACTCGAATTCACGAGGCTCTTTGTTGAATCTCTCCACGAGTTTGTACCTTACATCGTTCAGGAAGAATGATTGTGCCATCTCTAGAAGCCATTTCGCCTCGGAGTCGCTCAGTTTGCTGGCGAATACAATGTCGCCGCGTATGAGCACCAAGTCTTTGCTGTCTGCGAATTCTTTGTAATAGGAAACAGTCAGGTATGGAGAAGCCTGGGTTCCTTTTGCCTTGTAATCTTCGAGACCAGTGATCACCATGTGAGGCATCTGAACTGTGAGACGAAGACATTTTATTCATCAATAGAGGTTTTAAAGAACAATCTGTAGCATCATGTTGCTCGGGCAGATGTAGTAAATTCAGTAGGAAGTGTACAATGATTAAGAACAGGAATCATTCCAGAACAAATATTTGGTAAAATGCAAAACAGGGAAAAGCCTTTTCATGGTGGGATGCTACAAAAACCTTGCAGAAACATTGTCGTGTAGCCACTCCCTTTCCACAATGGGATCACGAAATAGCGGCTGCAGACAGAAGGGAAATGCCAAATTCATGAGGATTGTAAAAGATGAAAGCTAATGAGTTAGGGCGTTACCAATCCGCAGCTCGTTGCTCCAGGAGATGGTACAATTTTGCTTTCATTGATAGGCCAATATGACCCCTTCCCAAGTGAAACTAGGAGATATAAATGAGCTCCTCGATTAGTTTGACAAGCAAATACAATTCAAAACAGCACGAAGGAGTGAACTAGGAAGGTGCCGCGATCATAAGAATTTCATTGGTAATCAACAATCGAACAGTTCAGCCATAGCACATATAGCACAGAATGCAAAAATAATTGAAAAATGAAAGCCTGTAATATCACGAGTGGAACACAATGAATCAATAGATAAGAAAAAACCCAAGCATTGTTTCAATTCCTTGCAGCCTGTTCAACAAGTGATTAGTTCATTCTTGAACAAAATTATCAGAATCTCCTAAAGATTTCAGTAGCTACAAATTAAGCCAAGAACGCACTAGCAATTATTCCACAGGCAACATCGAACACTATATCTTTAAAAAGTTAATTCTCAGCAGATTTGAGCCATTTGTTCATTCTTGGAATGAAGAGGAAACTTACATCATCCCAAATGTCAGCAAGCTCCTCAGCAGATTTGTCCTGGGCTCTTTTCAAATCAATAATAGATTCCAAGGGCTTCGGCTGCAAGGGTGCAAACCCAGAGGCAAAGCTCAATGACCGGAAGAACCCTTCCGATCCCAATTTAGTGAAATTGCTAGAAACTGCAGGGTTTTGTTTACTCTGGAATTTTCTTTGCAGAGCTGAAACGGTACAAAGGTGATGCTTTATGACCTTGGAAGAACATGATCGATTGCGAACAAGACCTTCCACAGAAGGCAAGGCCTTCTTCAAGACCTTGGAAACCAGACTATACATAATACAGTATTTTCTTCTGCAATATATGTAGAGAAACTGTTAATGTACAGCTAAATTTGTGAGGGATAGCATAATCAGACCACATACACACATTTGCCGGCAGACAATTTTAAAGCATAATGAAAAATTCCACAACGGAAGCAACTGTGATCCTGAATTAATCAAATGCCTGTCAGATATCACAAATTTCTTCAACGGTATAAACCTAGCTGTTAGGTAACGAGATTTCAGGAAAGACATTTATCGAACAGTTGGAGATCCTAATTAATATAAATCAGACGAATTCACATTCAAGACACAGCCATAAAACAGATTCATTATTTAGCTAGAATTTAAGCCCAAAATATGAAATGAAGCGCACCTGATCTCCCTGTCGGAGGGGAGTAAGGATTCGTCGGTAAATTCAAAGATTTAATGTCTTCGAAGAGCCAATAAAAACGAAGACTGCAGCTGCAGTTTCGTCTTCTCTTCACCCTTACTGCAGATACACCGGAAAAATGAAAGTGAGAGGACACTGGCAGTAAAAATCCAGAACAACGACGGACGGTCGCAACGAAGACGTGTGGCGTCGGCGTCGGAAGTTTCGGTGGTTAATTATTCGTTAAGTTAAAATAAATAAATAATTGTCCCTTGAGATCATGGTTCAAATCCGAAGTCTCATGGACAAATTAAAACACTCAGTTGAAAATAGGAACAATAGATGTAGGTGAAATTGTCCAATAAGCTGGCCCCACCCAAATAGGCCCATTTTAGCCGGTCTGGAATTAAATATTTTAGAGTGTTTTTTAACACAAAATCTTTTAAATTTTAGAATTTACATTATGTATTTTTCAATAAATATTTTTTTTTATAAAACATTATTTTGATATCAAATTTTTTCAAATCAAACTAAAAAAACGACACTTTATCGTTTACATAGAAAATAAAAGGCTTTTAAATTTACGACAATTGTTTATTATTAGATAATATATGGATTTGTGTGCTTTTGTATTATTTATATCTTATTTCACAAGTTTAATTTATGTCTCAAATATTTTCCTGTAACATTTTTTTTTGTCTCAAATATTTTATAATAATCATTTCACATAAAAAGGAAAAATTCTTTCAAACCCTAAACACAAAACAAACACACCCTAGGTGTATTTTGTATTGTATTTTAATTTAAATTATAGTTAAACTGAATATTTTATTAAAAAAAGAAAAAAGAGAGAACATAACATGCTCATATATAATACACAAAATATTTATTGGGGCCTACATTACTCAAAATTTGAGTATCATGACTAAAGGATATGCAATATATGATAAATCTTTCTGCTAAACCAGAATCATCATCACATAATACGAGTTCAATTACCATTTGGATGTAACTATATGCACATCAACATTATCAATTTATCACCATACCTGGAAATTTAATGATAACAACTAATTCCTTTAGGATTTCGATGAGAGGACAACGGCAGCCGTGACCAGTGCTTCTTTGGCATGGGAAGAAAATGAGGATAGCCTGATTTCCAGTCATAGAAGTTCAGCATCAACATCTGAATGTCGAAAACAAGATACAGATAAAACCAGAAGCTATCTCACCTGTCTTCTTGCCTGAGACAAGTGAAAGCGGAGATCAGATTTTTGCAGATATTTGCTACATTGTCACTTTTGCTTTTGACATCTTCCATTGAATCTGGCAGGCCTTCCAACAGATGCTCATTGGATAGCACCAAATAGGCCTGGAGAATATAGATTATTTTAGCTGAGGGAAGAGATGGTATTTTTCTACAATTCAAACTTTGCATTGACATCATGCCATTACCGAATTGGGATGGCTGGATGGATAAGCTATTAATCGATGAATAATATTTGCTACAAACTAAAGTAGTTGTTGAAGAGGCAATGGCAAGACGTGAGGGCAGACCATAAGTGATGAAAAGAACTCACCTGCAGACCATAAGCCAAGAGCAATTGAACTATCTCGGGGATAATCTTTTTAATGACATTTTTTGTTGTGTTTCTGTTTGATAAACACTTCAAAATTCCACTGAAATTCTCTGTATTGATCACCTCACTCGATCTCCTAGTTTGAACAGAAGACTGTAAAATAAACAGAGATTATCAAACCATGCTGAAGAATACCCAACACCATTTCCAAGGATGATGGCATGATGCAATGAGCGAGAGCACATATGAATAATGTACTTATGCAATTATATCAGCTACGATATGTAACATACCTTAGGAATATACTTCTGGAAATACTGTGTAATAATTTGAAGCTTCCACTTTGGATCGAAAACCTTCAAACAAATTCAAAGTGCAATCCTAATTAGATACACATTCAGTTAGAACAACTGGAAAACATAATGAAATGTGTAGAATATAAAAATAATGAAGAAAAACAAAAATCAGCATAAGAGCAAATAAGCTTAAATACAATTTAGATGGCTATAATATATCATGTTTGTTTCCGCCTAGTACCAAAACCCTCTAGTGTGACAATTCACACTTGCATATTGACTTTTTAGTATTTAGAAGCTTCTACAACTTCAAATGCATATAAAGTTCATGCATATCACTTAGAAGCTTCCACCAATTCAATTATGTATCGAGTTCATGTGCAGCACCAAATATTCTATAACAATTTCCAAACGTGCAGTACAAAGCTCCAACCAAAATGCTAGCATGAGTTATATTATCTCACAGATTTTGTCCAAGTTCTCGGCAACAGGGTTCAATTTTTGAAGAGAAAGTACCTGAAGAAATGGAAGAAGTGTATCATTGTTGTAAATGAGTTCATCCAAAATTATCTCCATCACTGGAGTCCTGCAATAAAATGAGAGAGAATGTATTCCTTTACTTTAAATTTCAGAAAACAAATTAGTATTCTAGAAAATAAGCAATGTGAAGCACCTTACACCATCTGCCCTTGTGATGAGGCCTTGCTGATCAGCAATTCTCCGTGATGAATCTAGCTCCATAGTCTGTACAGTATCAAGTCAGGATCATGAAAACAGCATTTCAAAATTAATCAACACATAAACCAGAGAAAAATGGATTCACCAACACAAAAAGTTTCTTCAGGGCCATGCATGTAGACTTTTTCACTTCAGGTAAAGCTAACAGCACAGCACCATTTGATTCGTGTGATATTTCCTCCAAACTGTTATCATGGTTGCTAGTTTCTCCAGACACAGTTAATTCAGACAGGTCACACATGAGTGACAAACAGTCTTTCATTAATACTTTATAATTTATTTTCCTTGAACCCTACAAAAATGTCCTAAAGATAAGTCAATGCCTGAAGAACCTCCAAAAAGTGGAGTAAAACAAAGTACATATAGTTTGCAATTATAGAAATAGCATATTGTTAAGCATACCAGAAGCAAATTCAGTGTTGATTCCCTTACAATGACCCAGTTCTTATTTTCTGCAATAACATGAACTTTAAACTACAGAAATCCAAAATAATTCACTACGAGGAAAATTAACAATAAAAAATAAAAAAAGCAGTATGCTACCTTGATATGCAAAATTACGAGGACAAAAATCTCTTTCCAGAACAATGATAAGATATTGAAGAAGTATCATATTCTTCAAGAACTGAAATAAGAACATTGCAGATAAAATGGGTTCTGTAAGCATCCGCACCAAGCCAAAGAGTGATAGAAGTCAAGAACATACCATTAAGGCATAAAAAAGAGAAAGAAATGAGTATGGGTCCATCAAAACTAAGGTTTTCACAGACCCACAACGCTGTGAGGGTCTAACTCATTGTGGATATAAATTATTGGCAGGTAGAAATACAATGCACTGGGTGACCAACATTAACCCAGTAAGTCTTCTGACATAGAAACATATCTCTTGATCACATAGGCCCTGGTAATCTTTCCTGGGCTCAAATGCATAACTTGAGATTTGTCCACATCAATTGAACTTACCACTGTTTCAACAGCATTAGAACCCATCTCCCTAGCTACCTTGGCAATCTCTTGTACATGAGTATGGAAACCCTGGAAAATCACCCAAGCGTACAAATAAATTAAGCCAAAACACACACCATTTTCAGTAGATAACAATAAGGAAAACACTTGGCAAACACTTCATTCTATTAGTATAACAAGCTCGGTAAAAGAACTTCCAGATAACCAGACCACAGAATCCACCAAGGTTCCAGAATGATTTGTAGCTTTTCCATGGTTGTTGTCCGATGCAAAATTGAATGGTATCCAAGACTGGGATACAGAAGCTTAAATGAACCATCATCACACAATAAGAATAATCTACAACTCAGGATGAAAATATCAGGTTGCCAAATAAGAGATCACCTCTTCAACCACGACTAATTCAGAGAGCATGCTTGTTGGTGAAGATGAAACTGGTTCTTCTTCTTTGGATAGGTAAACCCGAGGAAAGCACTTTGTGTAACAGAAGGTATTAGTCAAAACAAAAGCTCAAATAAGGTACAAGTGGAAAACAAATTCATTGCCTGTAAAAAGATTCAAATACCTTATCTAGTTCGACAAAGAGCTGGTAGCTTTCCATTATTAAGTCAAGTGAATCTGCATCCATCATGATATGAAAAATGGCCTCTAACATTTTTCTGTTCAATCAATTCGAAAAAAGAATCAGTATGAATCATAGTTCCAAATCCAAACACCTACAGAATATTGGTTATGTTGTCTTATTCAGTTTAGCGCATGTTTCACTTGATTGATGATGCTAAACCACAATAAACACACAACACACACACATATAACGATAGCAGTGCAACTGTCCAAAAAGCTAAGAGAAAAAGAAAATAATTAAAAGATTCCACATATTAAAGAAGATTCTCTTACATTTCCTAATATTCGGACACGAGCTTCTGCATGTATAGTGACCACTTTCTAGGGAAAACTTTTCACAAAACTTGCTGACTGAGTTTTATTTATATCTTTCGGAACATAATCACATAAAATGTCAGAATTTAAATGGATGATGTTTGAACTTCGATTCATTCCATTCTGGCAAACATGCCAATTATTTTTATTTTTATTTTTTTTAAAAGGTACAAAATCAATTGTTAAGCCTGGAATAATTTGGATACAAAATGAATATTTTCATATTTGAGCAGGAATTAAAATATGTTGAATCATAATAAGATTATAAGAGTAACAAGTAGTTGAGATCACAACCTTGGCATTCAGATGTGGAAAATCGATCAAAGTTTTTTCACAAAGTGAATCAAGAGCTACAGCAAAGCCGATCTTATCCACAAAAAGAAAAAAAAAAAAAAAAAAAGCCCATTAGAGCTTTCTACTAAGTGTGTGGAGCATTTTGAAGGGGTGACAGATGCTTAATCAATTATCATTCTCTCGTCTAAAATTATAAAACACAGTTGGGAGCTGCAGATCGAGAGTAGTGTTGTGAATTCGTGTATACCCCTTCATGATGGAATCAGACTGTGGAGGACAAAGGGCAGCTTTGTTCAAGCCTAAAGGAACAACTGGGGATACTTGAGGAACCGGTAGGGTTTGGGGTAAGTTAGCCTAAATGGGGATGGATTCCTTTCTACAGGCATATGGTTGGCCTGTTTAGTTGATTTGGTCTATCGTAGAGAAACAGAACTGTCTTGCCATCAAGAGGAAGGTAATAGTACAAAACTACGTACAAGGTAACCAAAACAGAGCCATTTCATGTGCAGTTCATCAGACTTTCACAAGACCAGGAAGACGTTGTGAACCACAAACATTTTGAAATCAAGACGTTTCCCAAACCACTAATTACAACCAATACCCAAAAAATCGTTCGTAAACACCAAGTGCACAAAGCAAGAGGATTACGTACGGAGTGGGCGAGCTTCCGCTATCTGGAAGAAGACAAGCAGTTCGAACAGCTTCCAAATAAGCAAGCCCTACGAAAACGAAAAAAATAAAGCGAAAATCAAAACCCTGGCAAGAATAAGCAAGCAAACTGAAAAATCAAGCACAACACGCACGATCATCGTTGAGGTGGTGAGCAATTGTAGAACTACTGAAACCGAAAGTATCAAGAATCGCCATCGTGTTCTCTTCCACACCCCGATTGCCATCTTCTCCCCCCACTCTCCGGCGCTTCTCCATCTCTCTTCTCAATCCAAACCCTCTAATTCAAAACCCTAACAATTAAAGAAATGTATTAATGAAACCCCCTCTTCTATCAAATATTAATACATATTCCCGCCAAAATACCGCCCTTGCATCTCGCATTATTATTGGTCTGTCAATCGAACTAAGTCACCGCCCTAGGGCCTTTAAAAAAAAAAAAATTATTCCATCCCTTTGTTGGAACTCGCATTATCATTGGTCTGTCAGCTAACTACGTCAACGCCGTATTCACGTTCTAAAAATATCCGAAACCGAAATTCCGTTGCCGGGACTTGAACCCGGGTCTCTCGGGTGAGAGCCGAGTATCCTAACCAACTAGACTACAACGGAGCTGTTGATATTCCTACCTATAAAATATTTATCAATATTTTATAAACCGACAATTTTTTTAATCTTCTTCCTCGTATATAAAAACAAGCATCATTGCTTGCGTACAGAGTAGTTTCTAGCTCATCAATGGCGGCTTACAATTCGTATACATGATACGAATTCCCAACAATATAATACTAATTAACACATCAAATGAATCCCGCCGACTAATTACTCTCTAATCAAGCCATCAATGACAGGCCGGAACGCCTGGACCATAAGATCATACGACTTCTCGGTAGGATGAATGGAATCCCAGAAAACGTATTTTCCGGCGTCGGCGCACACCGGAGACTTCGGATTGCACAAAAACCCCATCTCCAGCAGACCCGTCCCGCAGCATCCGATTCTCAATTCCTCGAACTCTGTCAACAATGGAGGTCAGTGTGTCAGCACGAATTGTATACATTTACGCGACTGTATATATATATATATATAAAGAACCATTTCTGTTGCCGGAGGTCATGTCCTGCAAAGGACTGTAGGAGTCCAAGTAAGCAATCCGAGTACTGCCATGGAGTTCTTGCTGCAATGATCTGAGTTCGTTTTGGAGCTTCTGGTTGTACTCTACGGCGACGGAGGAGAGGTTGTTGAGGCAGTCGCGGTTTCCGATCGGGTGGTCGGAGAAGAGCGTTATCACGACGGGCAAGCAGCCAATCGGCGGCAGCCCGGCGACGGCGATTCTACGAGCTCCTTCGCCGATTAATCCCTGGATCAGAAATTAATAAAGGGTTTTCATCGATTCGATCAATTGGGATTCAAGATTTAGGCAGATGAAGACGATAAGGAAAATTAAAGCTGCAGAGAATCATCAATGCCACGACAAGTTTCTGGTATTTCGATTCAGACAATAAATGCACATGTTTCATATTAAAAGATCCTATATTTCCCCTAAAGGCATTGCGCTGTTCTACTCCATGAAAGGATATGTTCCACTTCCAGCAAATGCTGCAGGATCAGTCAATTCAGTGTAATTAATTAAGGCAATTTGCAGGCCATCGCAAACCCTAAATTAAAATCCGTATGAACACGACGACGATGGATCGATCACCTGCAAGAACTGGCGAGTGTTGCTCAACACGAAGTCCATGTAAGCCGGGACAGTGTAGCCCACTCGTCTCAACGGAAACATGAAATAATTCGCCACGAAATCATTGGTGCCTGCACTTACAAGGAACAGTGCATTTTCCATTACCTCCATTGTCTTGTCCTTACCAATGGCTGCCTCCAGTTTCCCTCTGTACTCCTTCAAATACTCCACCTGCTTCGCCACTGGAATCACGCTCTGAATTGAAAAACCCATCGAAAATTACACCGACAGACAACCTCAATTCAACAATTAAAAGCAAAAAAAAAAAAAAAGTATGTAAAACACGATCAGTAAATTAGGGTTTCGAGTGGGGAAGACGAACTCCAATGGATGACGTAAGCGGGTCGAACCCGGATCCGGCAGAAGCAAAGCTGACACCAGTCATGAGTTCTTCAGTGCTCAGCGTCGGATCCAAATATGGAGGAACATAATCTTTTATGCCAATGTATTTAGCTGAATTGAATTAAATAAAATAAATTTCTGCATCTGCAGATATTATAGGAGATGAAATCTAATGTCTGCAAATTTTCAGCTCACCAATATAATCATTAGCAAGGCGTCCATTGGAGAATCTTCCTGTGGCAGTCTGATTGACGAAGTCCTTTCCATAAGGGGAGAAATTGCCTTTGAAGGCAGTGCCGATGTAATTATTATTACCGGAATCGGCCGTCGAGTCGCCGAAGACGAGTATCGCCGGAACCGGCGGCGGGTCGACGGACCTCAGCCGCCGTGCGCCGCCTCTGGAAGGTGCAAAGAGAATAAGAAGGAGAAGAAACAGCGCCGGAGAAGACAAGAAGAAAGGCTTGAGAACAATTACTGCTGTAAAGCCCATTCTTGTTTTTAGTGTGTAGTATTGTCTTAATAAGACGAGAATATCATCATCGTCATCAAACACTTAATATAATTAAAAAAAGAAGAGTCGTGAAGTGGGATAGAACTCTACAGGGGTTTGATCGATTTGGTTGGGAAGACCAATTCTTTGTGCAAGATTTATGGGTCTCAACTAACCTTGTAATTTTTCACAATCACACACACATAAAATATCTATGGAAACTAAAGACGACAGCTAACATAATTTAGGTGAGAAAAGCCCACAACACTTCAATACGACAGATCATATATGGAATATAGTGACAGTGGTGGGAGGGGTAAAATAGGGATTTCCAGTTATGCCATTGCCAATCATTATTACAGCAGTAGTTTTACCTCTCTTTCAATCTCTTCTCACACAGACAGAGAGTCGGCTGCGCCAAAACCATATATAAATATAATGGTCCCTTGCCTTTAGTGCGTTATTTATTCTCAATGTCTCTTCCAGTTTGTATGAGTTAATTTTGAATTTTAATTTAAATAATTTTGATATACTATTTTTTTTAATACAAAAATTTCGAGAGGTAGAAGATTTAAACACGTAATCGAGTCACTAGATGATCACTTTGTGAAGTTTTTAGACATACATTGGAGGTTTGAAAATTTTGTGTTTTGAGTTTTGATTACTTAATATTTTTAATATAAATAATTATTTGATACGGCGTAAAATATATACATATGATTATATCAATTCATTGTTGTTATTAGTATTATTTTTTGCCATGTTTTGGGAGAATTTGAAAGTTGATCAATATTAATTTTGAATTGAAACATGCAATGGGTGTGAATTGAAACAAAGTATACATTTGTTTTTAGCTGTTGAGTAGTTAGAAGTAATTTTAAACAATTTCCTTTTTACTTTTTTTTTTTTTTTTTATGAAATAGAGTATTTGTAAAAAAGAAAAAAAAAAAGTATTTAACAAATATATTACTTTAAAATTAGATCATTTAAAATAAATATATATATATATATTTTTGATGGACTCAAAGAGTATTACAAATAAATACACATATTCCGTACAAGCCCATAAAATTTCAGCCCAACAACATATTAATATTCCAGGCCTACTCGTGGATATGAGTATTTCAATAATTCCCTGTAAAGATAGAATGTTTATTTTGTTAATTTCTTAATTTTGTTTACTTCGCAAAAATATTAATTTCTTTTTATTTAAAAAATATTATATACAGATTTATTTTACGTTAAAAATATTGTATAAAAAATTTAATTTAATTTAAATATTTACTATTCACAAGCTTCACATCATAAAACATCATATCTAATTAATATTTAAATACAAATACAAAGTCTAGATATTACCTCATAAAAGGTGCATGAATCAATAATAAATTTAAAGGCGCATGAATAAAAGGGTTAGTTTTTATTAAAATTCGTACCTAAAAAATTTGAGTATGTATTATATATATAATTTTTTATTATGGTAATTTCTATATATATAAATAAATCAAATAGTATACTTAATCTTTTATTATGGTAATTTTTATCTTTTCAAAATTACAGAACTTCCAAACTTTTTATCTAAGTGAAACCAAAATGTTTTGGAGATTGAAAAGATCTAAAATAATGAGTTCTATACTTTAGACTTTAGAAGGGTGTGTGTTTGTTTTTCAATTATTATTATTTTTTTAAAGATACAATAGCTAATGTGATACTTTATTAAAGAATATATTGTATTTTGAATTTAAAAATCATGATTGTTACATAGTAAAATAATTGAAATCAAATTAAAAATTAAACTGAAAGATTATATGAATTACGGTAATGACATATCATTTTTATTACTAACTTCAAACTTTGGAGGTAAATCATGAGTAAAAATAATTACAAAGTAAGAATAACGGATAAAAATAAAAGTTAATATTGAACGATTCAAGTTTAACTTACAACTATTTTATGTTTAAATAGACAATTATGAAAAAAGAAAAGGAAAATGTTAATTAAGATGGAGTTGATTATACAAAAAAAAAAATAATAAAATTTATGATCTATTTGACTACAAATTAGAGCGACACTCTACTTTTATTTTTATTTTTATTTTTATTTTTTCATCTTAACTATGTTAACAAAATTTTTTAAATACTATTTTCTTTAATTTGTTATTTTAATTCTTTCTGAAATAAATAAATATATTTATATTTTTTAAAATTAATTTATGTATATCATGTTTAAATATATATATTCATATTGAATATATCTATAAATTTTAAATCATTCAAAATATATTTTAATTTTATTTTTAATAAACTATATATTATATTATAGCTCAATTATCAGAATAATAATAATAATAATAATAATAATAATAATAATAATAATAAAAAATAAATAAATAAATAATAGAACTTTCAACCATTGCTCTAACTATACCAAACTTAATTAGGTTGGTATCAATATTTAATTTATACTCAAATTCGTATTATAACTTACATTTAAGTGCAAAATGCATGACGTCATAATTACAGTTAATTTGTCAAACAGGCACAAGAAGAAGACCAGAGATAACAAGAGAAGTCTCTATCAGTCGCAGGTCCGTGGACCCCAACACCCGACAGAATCCGTAGCCGTTCGTAGAGCCATCGACGGCTCGGATCGACCAGGATCTAGGGCTCCGACAGACGCAGCTCCTGAGAATAAACACTGATAAAATCCCTGCAGGTCCTCCATTTTTGTAGCAGACAGAATGAAAGTAAAGGGAATTAAGAACGCAAGAAGCTGCAAAATTAAATGCGATAGAAAGAAGAAGTAAAGGCTGACATCGGTAATCAAAATCGAAGGCTGATAGAAGATCCAAAGAAGAAGAAGAAGGATAAATTGAGTTGATTGATTTATTAAGAAGTGGTGCCATATCCAGCAATGATCGATCATGGATTTGATCAGAGATGATGATGGAATTGAAGCAAGACTGGCGATGGTGATGGTGATAGGATTGTTTCTGTAGCTTTTCCATGATGCCTCATTGTCAATTCTGAGTTCTGATTGCGCTTTTTTCCCCAAATAGTTGAGCAAAGCTTTTTGACCTATCGACGAACAAACCCTAAATCCCCAAATTCAATTATTGCTCCACAGATATATAATCCGCTTTTACGTCAATGACATTTTTACGGGCTGTTTGTTTGTGTTTTCTACCTAATTTTATTAACCAATATACTATTCATTTTATTATTTTACATTTTCTAAAATATATTCATTTTTTAAAATTTTATTGAAATCTGAGATACACTCTATCTTTAAATTATCGTTCTATAACCACTACAGATGTTAAATAATAGTCTTTTTTTAAAATTATTTTATAATAAAATTTATAAAATAAATATAAATAATAGTTTAAAAGATATAAGTGGTTTTTCAAATATACTAATAAAATTTATGTTTTATATACTATTTTTAAGTTACGGTAATATTCACAATAATTTCTTTTAATAAAAATAACATAAATATCGTTTTCTTACAAAAATATGGTACCAAATATTCAATCTTTTTTACTATTTTCAATATTTTCCAAAAACTTTAAAAAAATCAGTGTGTAAACAATCTTAGTTAAATTTAAAATTAATTAGAGCTTTTAAATTTGTATTTTACTTAAATGAAATACAATATTTAAAAAAAATGAAAATTAATAGTTTTATATTAAACAAAGTTGATTAATATGGTAAAAATAAAATTATTATATTATAAATTCAATTTAAAACATTAAACTACACATCAAACTCTAATCAAACAATTTTTTATACTATTTTTTTTTTCTTATAATCATTAAAGATTTATAACATGTTGTAAATTAGGCAGTACATAAAATTGTTATTATTATTATTATCTGTTTTTAAAATTTATTTTTATTCAAATAATTATCCACTAATATTTTTAATTAAAAGAAAATAATTTATTACTATCTTTTAATTTTAATTTTGAATAAATTATTTTATTCTAAATGTTTATTAAAAATTATTTATTTATCTCCTCAATTAATGAAATAGATAAGAGTCATCTGTATTTCATAAAACTCTGAACAGATTTATATAATTTTAAACTGTATTGAAACTTGATATACACTGTATAAGAAATCTGTCATTCAAAGTATACTGTAATAACTGCATTAAATTTATGTTCAATTTTACAATATACATTTATAGTATTTTAATTTTTATTTAATCACAACAAAATAATTTATTATTATTATTTTTTTATTATTGAAAATGAGAAAAATAACTATTTAAGCATGAATGAATTTGTTGATGGTGTGTGTGTTTTTTAATGCATGTTTTGTGTTTGGTAATTTCTAGACGATTTTATATGTTGGTTTTTTATTTTAGTTATCCCAAAACTATCCTTACAAATTTTGTATATTACAATGTTTGATTTTGAGAAATATCTTCCTAAAAATTATAACCAAGTTGTTTGTACAAAGTACATGATAATTGGCTAACAAAATTAAGATGTAATTTCAATTCTTTCTTAAACTTGATCATACTTAAACTATTATTTTTTAAAATAAATAAATAAATAAATGTCACAAAAATATAATGAATTGGGGATACGATTAACTAGTCAAATGAAATTATATGATATGTCTATCATTTTTATAGTTTTATGATTTTAAAACAATAATTGAATTAAAGTCTTATCCATTGTTATAATAGTTATTTTGATGAAAAATGAAAAATTACTCCTCGACTATCATAACCCTACACTTAAATGGCTATTAATTATGGTTGTTTCTCCAATGGCACACATGCATACACATTATTATTAATAATTACGAATTTATTTTGACAATTTTAAGGATAATTATCATCCGATTTCAAATTAGAATTGAAGGTCGTCTCTTGAATTTTCCCCTTTCAATTTTCCAAAATTATATATATATATATATATATATATCTTATAATTAAAAATACTAAGGGTTGTTTGGTTTCGTGGATTTGGTGGAATTTCATGGAATTTGGATTTTAAAATCCAACGAATCCATATTTGGTTATAAATTTGATAATAGAATTTTAAGTGCAACAGTGTACCCTGTTACTTTAAAATCTCACGTTATGCATTTTTTATTTTACTATTATACCCACCGTAAAAAAAAATCATATTTCTTTTCATTTTTAATATTAAATGTATATAAATATATATTTACATTTAAATTATATATTATTGGTTTTATAAAATATAATATTATATTTAAGCATACTATTACAAATCATATATTTATTTATAAAAATATTATATATATTTAATTCCTTTACTAATGATAATTTAAATAAATTAATAATTTAAAATATCAATTAATAATTTAAATTTATTTTAATGGTGTATTAATTTTGTATTTTAGTTTAAATTGTTTTTGTTATATTAAATATGAGAAAGAATGTCGATAGTATAAAAAATAATTAAATTGTTGTGTTTTTTAGTGTATAAATTATATATTATAGTATATATTTTGTATGAATATATATATATTATATCTTTTATTATTAATCGTATTAAATTTTTTTTATTAGAATACACTAAATTTAGTAAAAAAAAAAGTTTACGGAAAAATAATAATAAGATGTAAAGTTTAATTTATCACAATAAATAAAACTCGTGGAAGGATAATTACGTCAAAAATCAAAATCCTTCAACCAAACACCCCCAACCAAATACATTATAGGATTCCAAATCTAAATACAATAAATGCTATTACATATAAATCTTACTACAAAATCTCAATCCCATCAAAAAAGTCCTTAAACCAAACAACCCCTAAGAGTTTTTTTCTTATAAATTGGATTTTAACGTTTTTCATAAGTTAAAATACTGAAAGAATGTTACAGAGCAGGAAGACTTAAGATTAAAGCATGTTGAATTAATATACATACCAAAAAATTTATCAATCTCTCTCGTAAACATTATAAATTAATATTCACCAAAAAAATGTGCCACGTTCATATCACACGTTACTAACATGTCTGAAAAGGACCAAAACCCAAGTACAAAAAAACTGATATAGTATATGTTTTAAAATAAAGAAAAAATACTTAATATTAATTACGAATTAATTAAATGCAGAATTAGACCACAATGGCATTATATTCTAACTTTTCACATTAGTAATTAAATTATAATGCATCTGGTCAATAAACAGCATTGAATACAAACACGTACATAGATTCAAATCTAAGAAATGTAGAGTATTAATTTTGGGTATTTAAGGAAGATTTTGAAAATTCTTTTGGACTTTCTCGGATTTCCACAATGGCACTTAATTGCCCTAACACAATTAATTAATGGTTCAACATAAATTAATTTCACTGCATTGCATGGCTGAATTAATTAATGTTGTTACTGTTCTTTTCAAGCAGCAGCAGCACAGCAGCTGCCACTTTTTTGTTGGCTGTTTAAAGAATTTTTTTTTTTTTTTTTAAATATGTTATAATAAATAATAATAATTATTGTTATTATTATTTTTATTATTATTAGTATTATTTACCATGCTGTTTATATGACTTAATATAGAAAATGTACTTTTATATGTATATATACTTTTACAAATATTGTAACACTATTTAGATGCAATATACAAAAACCAAAAAAAGAAAAAACATATCACTATATATATATGACACAAATTCATATATACTGAGAATAATGTCATTGTTGTTAGATGAAAATAACAAAAAAGAATAGAGGGTGTGTTATTTTATAGATTTTTTTAAAAAGATATTTTAAATATAATGTAATATTTTTGTAAGAAACAGATAATGTATTTTTATTGTAACAACTATGTAGTAGAAATTTGAAATTAAATTAAAAAAATCGACAATTATATAATTTATAATTTAGCAAATCAAATTCGATATAATGTTATTTTCCAATATTACAAAAATTCTATTATGTATCGAGAAAATCTTATTATGATAAAAAAATTATTTTCCGTTTTCGTTCATCTTTTCGGGTAGTCAATGTGCGTTACAAAACCTTTTTCGTTTCACACCGAACAAACGGCTCTTTACAATGTTATATTCTAAAAAAGAAATCGAACGTTTCAACTATTTTTTTTATATAGATATACTTTTTTACTTTAAAAATAATTATTTAATATATATTCTATAATATATTTTTATAGCTAAAATGATAAAATAAATATCTACACAAATAGAAATAAAAACACAAATACAGTACCTTTTTTATTTTTTATTTTAAAAAAATAATGTTAGAATTAGTTGTAAACTAAAATTTTAAGATATTATACATGCACACTCGTTATATTTCATCATTTTAATTATATTCAATTACAATAATAATATAATAATTATATATATAATGATAATAGTATTATACAAAATTAGTAATAGGGTTACACATACATGTAATCTTGCATTAAATTCTCTTCTCTCCCCTTCCCCTTTATTCTATTTTCTCTCTCTCTCTCTCTATCTCCTCTATAAAAACCCTCCCCATGCCCAACCTCCATTCTCTGTATCTCTTCCCCCCCCCCCCCCCCCCCCCCCTCTCTCTCTCTCTATATATATATATACATATACATATATATATATATATTTCTGAAACCAAGAGGCGTGAGGGGATGATCAATTGCATCAAGCTTTGTCCATGGCAGTAAGCAAGGGATTTCTGATGAACATTCCAATATAAGCCCCAGCATCTGTAATTTCTTCCAATATATATATATATATATCTGCATCTGCTGCTGCTGATTTCAATGCCATTTGGGTATGGGGTGTGTGTACTGTGTGCTCGATCTTTTTTTTTTTTTTTTTAATATATGCATTTACTGCTATTCCTCTTTTGGTTCTTGTCTTTGCAGGAGCTTCTGGTTGTGGGTTTCTGCCTTTTGCCTTTTTCATTGATTGATCTTCTGAATGTTCTAACTCAATTTTATTTAACAGGTGGTGCTGATCTGATCTAATCTGCAAGACGAGTGTTTGTTTCGATTGATTCAGACTGACAGAATAGAATTAAAGACCTTCACAATTTCGATCATGGCTTCCTCCAACAGACACTGGCCGAGCATGTTCAAATCCAAGCCCTGCAACAATCCTCTTCATCAATGGCCCCAGCACGACAATGGCGGTTGCCACAGAACCTCTCACTCATCAGGTACCTCACTTTAATTTTTATTCACGCTTTGGGTAATCTAATTTTCCCAATGAAAGCCCTAATTGCAGTTTTTTTTGTTTTTTTTTGAAAGGTTCTGGATTGGAGGAGAGGACGCCGGAGCCGAAGCCGCGGTGGAACCCTAGGCCGGAGCAGATCAGGATTCTTGAAGCTATTTTCAATTCAGGAATGGTTAATCCTCCCCGCGACGAGATCAGACGAATTCGGATTCAGTTGCAGGAATACGGCCAGGTCGGCGACGCCAATGTCTTCTATTGGTTTCAGAACCGGAAATCTAGAACCAAGCACAAGCAACGCCAGTTGCAGAACGCCGGAAAATCTCAGCTTCAACAATCAACTGCCGCTCCTCCGCCGCCGGCCCCCGCCGCCGCTGCCATTATCGCTGCTTCATCCTCTTCTTCCTCCTCGTCGGAAAAATCCTCTCACAATAGCCCCGTCGAGAACCCAATTATCTCCGCCGGCGGTGTTCCAACTCCCTCCGTCGTCGATCTGCTGAATTCCCCGTCGCCGGCTTCCATCAATCACCAGTCGGCAGCGGCGAATGCGTCCTTCTTCCAATCTCCGACTGACTTTCTCCCTGAATCGTTTCTGTTCCCTGCAATGCAGCAAAACAACGCCGGCGTAGAATCGTCGCCGGAAAATCTAGCCAATGGATTCTGGTTCTCTGACATGCCTAACGCCGTCGACGATCAGAGCTACGGAAACAGCCCAAATATCTTCCTGAACGAACTGATGCTGATGAACACACAATTCCCTTCCAAGAAAGATCACGATTTGGAGAAGACGAAGCCACCGACCCCCGCCGATCAGAATGTTCTTCCTCCACCCCTCCCCTCACTCCCCTCTCTCCCAAATCAAGGTATATATTAATCAATTAATCTTTTTTAGGGTTTCATGCAAGGAATTAAACATCGATCAATGAAATTCCGATCGGCGCAGGTGTCGTTAGCGAAGCGTGCCCGGCGAAATCGACGGTGTTCATCAACGACATGTGCTTCGAGGTGGCGGCGGCGCCGTTCAATGTCCGGGACGCGTTCGGCGACGACGCGGTGCTGGTGCAGTCGCCGTCGGGGCAGGCGGTGCTGACGAATGAGTGGGGCGAAACGTTGCAGCCGCTCCAGCACGGCGGCTTTTACTATCTCTTGCGCCCTTTCACTTCTCCCTTCGACGAGTCCGCCATTGATATGGTAAGAAACCTTCATTACTTATGCATACACGTATATTTATATGCATATATATATATAAATTCTTATTCTGTTGGTTTTATTTTTTTATTTTTTATTTTTTCTTGGTGACAGATATAATATAGAAGGAAGTGATGAGAGAAGGACTGAAGGAAGGGGAGTGAGCCGCCATGTCTGCACAATGTTAAATTTCGAGATATATATATATATATATATTTTATCTGATCGATCGTTTTCTTTATTTATATGTTTGATAACTACATATGTTTATGCTGTTAAAAAAGTTGTTTGTCTTTGGACGGACCGGACCATCAATATATCATCTTATCGTTTATATATTATTTACCTGTTTGTGTGTTTTACCTAAACTTTATATATACTCCATTGATGTGTCTTCTTTGTTTCTGTTACTCACTGTTTCTGTTTGTAGATTTTCTTCTTCATTATCCGCCTCCTTCAGTGTGCTGTCATTCACTGGAAGAATCCAAATCCAAAATTCCCAATCTTTCAGTTTCTGCAACTTGCGTGTGTACTGTTTATTACCACCATTTGATATCCTCTCTCCAATGATCAACTGTTGGTGGTGTTGGGCGCTATTTTTTCTTTTATAAACTTACATATATATATATCTATATATACAGCTCGTCGTTGTATTTGCAGACACGACAGCAGTCGGAATCCATAGCACCAGATTTGGGAAGAACAAATGGAAGTCAGGAGGAAGGAGCAAAGTGTGATGGATAGATAGGTAGATCGATGATGGTTTGGGGATTTGGGGTTGAGTGGTGCAGAATGATTACTTGCAAAAAGGATCATCATCAATCCATAACATAACATAGCAGCAGTTTTTGGTGATTGATTTGGTGATTTGATTGCAGAGGCAGATCTGATCTGATCAACAACTGCAAGAAATTCCCTTTTGTTCCCAGAGATAGCGGAGACAGAAGCAGCAAGGAAGGAAATTAGAATGAAACATCACATTGAGAAATGACAGCAGCAATCATACTCAAGAAAATCAAAATAAAAATGGATGTCCTCATTATCATTGTATATGCATCTCCTTTTATGGGTTTTCTTTAATTTCATTAATAGCACTTCACAGTACAGCACATCTCTCTCTCTCTCTCTTCTCTCTCTCTCTCTCTCTCTCTCTCTCTCTCTCTCTCTCTCTCTCTCTCTCTCTCTCTCTCTCTCTCTCCATGAGACAAACTGCTGATTTTATTATATATACATACATATATATATATATCATATTTCAATGTGGGCATTTCATTAGTTCTTGAATGAGACAACATTGCAAGCAACAAACTTGACTTGATGATTCTTGTTTTATGTAACGTATTTTTGTCAAAATCATGACTTGACTTGCTATTTTCAAACTATTTATATAACCTTCAAAATCAAGACTATCCCTGCGATCGTATACAGTGTTTCAAAGTATTTTTCTCCTTATGTTTCCTGACTTGCTTTTGCATTACCTTCTTTTCAGAAAACATTTACTACAAAATTTTCATTGAAACTATTTTTTTTTATCAATAAATCTTAATAAATAATATTCCTACCAAACGATTATTTTCAATTGATTTTTTATTTACTATTATCAAACCAATTCAAAATTTCAAGATATATGTGATGATTTTGGGCCTGTGACAATTGGAGGCCCGGAACACTCAAATCCGACTTACCCATCCGAAACCCAGATCCAGTACCCGCGACGCGACCTGATTATGTTGGATGTGAAGGCAGCCGTTGGATCGAGGGAATTGATCTGGGCCGTTGGATCTGATCTTAAGCCTTATATGGGCTCTTCTCTTGAACCAGGAACCGTCTGTTCCTCTCGTCGCGATATGTCTCTCTCTAAAAACCCTACCCTCACGAGGCGCTCTTCGATCGATCTTCCTGGTGTGCTTTTCTGGTGATCTGACCGGAAAATCTTGAGCTTCGATAGTGCGCTTTGACGTTCGACGTGTTCTAAAGCTTTCCATCGGTTTGCTTTCTTGATTCGGGTCTGTTTTGGTTGTTCGCGGTATATATTGATTGTCCGTGATGAAATTAGACCTAGAATATTAGCGTTTTCATAGATTGTGGTTTGGTTAGCGTGATTGTGTGTTTTCGTGGATGTCGTTTGTGGTTTGGGTCGAGGTTGAGTGTTTGCTTTGGTTCGATTAATATATTTGGGTATAACTGAGTCCGAGCTTCTTTGATTTCGATATAATAAAAAATTCTTTAGATTCGTTTAATTACTAAATGTCTTTGAGTGAATTATAAGTGTTCAATTCGTATATAATTTCACAACAATATATATAAACACAATCTTATTATTCTGGTTTATTTCAAATTTAATAAAATTTGAACGAAACATAAGGTTTGTACATACTTTATGAAAAGTGGTGTTTTAAATAGGAAAAAAAAAAAAAAAAAAACTTTCTTTTCTACTACATATTTTTATTATTTACATATAAAATCTTAAATTAAATATATTTCACATTTAAAATAACATATCTAATACTTTGTTATAGCATTAAATATCTATTTCGATTCATATTTTTCTTATTCAAAACCCAAAACTCAATTCTAAAACATACGACCCAAACACACCCATAAACTGTATTATAAGCATTTAAACTCCGTGGCACCGTCCATCCTGCGTGAGCATGATTTCAACCTAATTTTGGCATAACACGGCCGTGTTGCTTCTGAATGTTGGCGTGTTTCAATTCAAAAGAATAATTCCTTTATGCATGCAAGTATGCTGTATGCCCGTACATAGGTTAAACACGACCGTGTTGTATGTAGAATAGTATGTAGGCTTACAGACTCCACTCCTCTCCTTTCGTATACAGTCATTGTAACTTCTCCATCATACGCCAAGTAGGTGTGTATATGCACGTGTGTAAAAAATAAAATAAAATAAAATTCCACAGAAACACTAAATACCACCACACTAACAAAATATAATTAAAAATGAGATCAAACAGCATTATACCCAAAAGAGTAGGATCAAAGATCCGGTAAAATACAAGATCCTTGTTTCCATTAATAACCAAGTCAAAATGAAGCATGCAGATAAACATTTCATAGCCAGTCAGATAATAATAACCATATAATCATAATAAGCCCAAAATAATTACATGTCACAGTCACAGTCACAGTCACAGTCACAGTCATATTTGTTGAGAGACAGGCGTGAACAAATTATACCTGCACCAAGGTTGCACCAGCAGTGCATCATCTCCATAACAACCATGGCTCAAATGAAGCCAACCAGGTCGAAACCACCGGCGACCACCCGGCTTCGCTTCCGAGTATCTCACCAGCAATCAAACATAATGTGCAACATATTAGTAAGTAAGATAAAAGTCAGCTCTATGCACTGTGCTTCAGTGACAACGAACTATCGACAACCAAAACCTATTTCTGTATAAAGATGTGATGATACCGGCTCCGTCTTGATAGGTCGAGGACAGAGACAAGGATGAAGGATATTAACTACAGCGCCGCCAACAACTGATAGCCTTTTATTCGAGATGCATATGAAATGCCTTAATCATGTCAAGTAATATCCACTGATATTGTCCACAAGATAGTCGTACGGTTCGCCTGCCACGAAATCAAACCCTTCGCCAGGACTCGGCACTGCATTAGAAGCAGCATAAACGTTCCCGGTTACATTCTTCAAATTGAGTTTTCCCCTTCCCTTCACCACACGCTGCTTGTCATTCGGGAATTCTGCAGTCAGCCTGCCCAATTTCTTTTGCAGATCGGTTACGGAATCGTTGCACGGTTTCCCTTTCGGGGTCTTCTTCCCATCGACGCGCTTGACTTCCAGCCGGTACAATGCGCAGGCGTCATACTTGTTCAGTTCATATTCATAGAGATGCCACTCAAAATTTTCCATGGGTTGGGGGTCCATGTAGTAGGATCTCTTCAACCCTCCGAATTCATTCATCACTTGTTTCCTTGATTCATGCCAGCCTCTTCCATTGTAATCTGGAAGAGAGCGTTGCTTTCGGTTTCCACTTTCAAATGCTCTGCGAGGCTTGTCGAAAAACAACCACTCCCTGATTGTTTCACCTTCCAAGACCGTAAGATCAAATAGTTCTGTTCAAACATCAAGAAAGAAAATCAATGACACATTCATCGAATATTTACCAGGTACAGAAGGCAAGGAAGAACAACACACTCACCAGGAGCATTCCATGGCGACTTTGCAGTGGCAGCACCCTCACATTCTGGAATTCCAACGTCTTTTCCTTGAGCTTTGGCATCAAGCGCAGAAAAAAGTAAATTGTCCTTTAAACCAATGCCGCCAGGGCGGACAACTGGGGACCGACCAGGATAGCCTTCAGCTGGTGCAAGCCCCGCATGATAGATACTACAATAATCCTCAGACTTTTGCGACCAGTCTAGCCCAAGTGCTGGTCTGGGGCAATCCCAAAGGGCACATTTGGGCCCCAAAAATGCAGAAGGTGGGGGACAGATGCTCTGCGGATAACCCGATATCTGAGGAATACCGTCCTTTCCAACAAAACCAATTCCATCGAAACTAGACATGTATTGTTGCTCAAACTCTGGTTGGAAATTATATGAATGATAATCTAATTGTGTAGCCAAAGTCATACTATTCATTCCCATATTGTTGACACCTATGCCAACACTTTTGTACTGATCGGTCAACTGGAAGCCTTGAGGATCATTGGACATGTTACCCTGCTAATCGGATAGGACAAAAAAAAAAGGGAATTAGTAAGATGCCACTACTTCACAAAGGGAAAATGAAAAAAAAGAAAGAAATAAAAAAGCAATAAACTTATGACCAATAACATTGCACATGCAATAGACTCACAAAGCATGTGAAAGGGACAACATATGTTGGCAAACCAAATAAAAGGAAAGGGCACACCTGGTAACGTGTACAATTGTACATTATTATTTAGTGCAGGCACATAGAACACATCACCAACCAAAAGCACCAAGAACAAATTAATGCAGATCAACAAATCACTTATCAGTGAAAAGCATGTTTTCGAGTCTAAAATTCAAAATAATTAAAGGCAAGTCCATAGAGGGTTTAATGTGTATTCGTTAGTCTCAGCTATGATCTGTGAATCCTAAATCAATACAATATAAATTTGGAACTCAATCACATGTCAGGACAACATGATGGAATAGATTAGCCATATTTTCAAACTTAATATTTATCACTTCAATTTAAACAGTCTCCCACAGTTACACTGACATCATACATAGAAGATAACCAGAACATCCTCTTATAATCTTTTTAAAAATCATTCATATGTTCTGGTGTATTTGATTCAGAGATCATGTTGATTAGATCAAGATCCACTCACAGGGCAAGCCTTGAGAATAGTGGAAGTTAGGCAAAACTTCCCATGCTGCCTCTAATGCCAAACCACAGCTGGACAACCATCAGGAGAACAAAACGCAATAACCACAAAGAGAAGGAATCATAGAGAGTTCAAGATGCAAGAAAAGAGGACAATGATCTGGCTGAATATTAAGATTAAAATGTTCTTGTTCAAAATTGAAGTTATCAGTACTGATCACCTTCCAGCACATCTCTTGCAGCACAGTCGAAATGACAGATTTTTTTATGCAAAGTGTGGGGGAAAAGGAAACATAAAACTCTCAGTTGGGATGTAGTTTGGAGTTCAGTTCTATTTTCAGATTATTAGGCCCTACTTTCAGCTCTAATTTCTATCTCTCTGTTTGTTCCGAAACTCAGAGTGTTCTATTTCCCTACTTTTAACTCTCCTATCTTATGTTTTACAAATCTTTCCCAAAAGTAAATTATCCCATCGACCTTCTTTTTTCCTTTCCAAATAGATCACAAGTCAGTTTCTAGATCTACAGAGTGAAAATCCAGGAAGGAGATCTGACATGCAACACTTCAATCTCACACGAAAAAATGACCAGAAACTGCCACCCCCGGCATTTCAAGCTCCAACACACAAGTACAGCTTAACTCACTAATTCCACAATTCAACTGCAAACTCCTAACCTCTTTAGAAGTAGAACCATCCACAACCTTCAGCGCATCAGGATCTGGCTTTGGGGCAGCTAATGCACTGGTTGCATCATCCTCCTCCTCACAAAGCTGCAGTAGCCTACAAATCTCTGCCGAAAAGCCAAGACTTCCTCCCTGCACAACGATTCTATATTAATAATAAAAACTCAACAATGCAACCACGTCGCTTATACACCACAAACTTAACAAAATTTAAAAATAACAAGGAAAATATGTTCCAAATATATATACAGTAAGTTAAAGAACATATATATTAACTTCAAATAGGCACCACCAAATACGCATAGTGCAGAACCATCAGGGTGAGAAATGCCTAACTCATGCTTCTTGCTAATGACATTTAGAATTTACCCAAGGGCAAGCAGACTGCCATTAAAATCAATTGTGAAGTTCCATTATGCAATGTAAAGACGATTACAGTAAATGCATTATCATGAATTCGATTGCCTGCTGAAGTGATGAAGCAGGGGATGGCTCATTGAGCTCAGCCTTCCATTCTCGAAGCATCTGGTGAACTTGCTCTTCCAGCAAAGCTACATCAATAGTCCTGCTTTCCTTTCTGGCTGATTGAAGATCACTAAACATGCCCTGCAGATCATCCACACGATTCTTTGCTCTATCCTTGAAGAGCAGATGAGATGATGATTTGCATGTGCCACTTTTCGAACCCTTACCCATCCAATTAATAGCAGAAAGTTTCACCCGGAGTTCTCAAACCCAACTGAAAAAAGCAAAGCAAGTTATATGAAGACAGATCCCTGCCAATCTTATGAGCACAAAGTCACATCTCACCAATCCAACCCCAGAAGTAAACAAAACCAGATCATGCAACTAAAATTGCCAACGCAGAATCAGAATCCCGTGATTACCAGAAACTTTCCCAGAAAACGAACTCAATTCTAAACATCAAGTCCAGAATCACCGTCAAAACAAGAGGAATTTCTCGATATTTCAAATATCGCTAAAGGGGAGCAGAAATCTCTAACTAAAGAGATCAAAAACCTAACACAAGACTGCAATTCGGAGTCCGTATCCGAGGCCGATATCAGACGATAAAATTGAATTAACACAAAATTGCATATCAAAAAACCCCAATTCTTAGGTCAATCAAACCGCGCTCACACGAACTCCACGCAGTCGGAAACAGAGATACAATAATCAATAGTCGGAAACCAATAGAAACCCAAAGCGATCAATTTTACTAAATTAAAGCGACGTACGGCAAAGGCGGACCCAGATGAAGCAAATACAAAACGGGCGCTCGTTCATCTACCCAAGAAATTGATGTAGGCGCGAGGTTTACCTGTTGGGAGTGTCGCCCGGGAGAAGGGGAGAGATGGGCGCAAATTTACTCGACGATGGAAGGGTTGTTTGTGTGGAAGAGGATAAAGTACAGACGCTTTTTATTTCTTTCAAAAGTGGTACAATTAATTGATTCCCTGCGCATTAACAAAATCAAAATGCGATCCATGCCTTTGATCCCTAATCAAGACTGTAATAAATATTCTCTCATTCCCATTAATACAAATTCGCATTTGCCGGAGAAACAATTAAAACCCCTTTAAATTAATTCATTTTTAACAGTGTTTCGATGGCATTTTTGGGGCAAATGGTTGGCCATGGTGAAAGAGGGAAGCGAGTATGGGAAGAAAGGCATAAAGGGCAGAACCCACTAAAACCAACAAAGATTCTTGGTGATGAGAGAACAGAATTTAAAGCAGAGACAAATTGTGCAATGGGCAATACAATACAATACAATCTTTGATGATAGAGGATAAGAAGCACCTTCCGTTGCTTTTCCCTGTCTGAAACATCACAGCATCATTGAAATTTGAAAAAAAAAAAAAAGGACAAATTGGTGTGGTGTTCAATCATCACCAAGCACCTGTCCAAAGTATACATGAGTTTCTTGAATTGATTAAAAGCAAAATCATGCCAAGAATCCTGTGCTAAGGGCATATTGATTCACCAAAATTTTGTAAGATTGATCTTGTAGTTTTATTCTCTCAAGGAAAAGGGAAAAAAAGTGCAACTGAATCACGGCAGCAGTAAAGCTGACGACAAGAATGGTCGATCATGTATTGCCTAATCTTTGGTAGACTATTTCAGGTTTTGGATTTAATCAAAAGATGTAGGCTTGGCTTCTTCTATGGGAGCATTTCTGAGATTGAACACTCCGGCGAGCCCACGCCTTCTGGCCATCTGTTCAATCTCTGCTAGCCTTTGCTTCATAAGCTCCAACTCTTTGGCTATCTCATCATCTCGTTGCCTCATTCCCTGGATGTCATAGTGTTGTAAAACAGGGTATCTATTTCAGCAAATTGGAGATGTATACAAACTGAGAAAGTTACCTCCATTTCTTGTCTACGAAGTTCCTCCTTTTTAGCTTCTGACCGAGCACTTCTTTGCACCTCAAAGATCAGTGCAGCTACTGCCACCTGATTGATTACATAATATGAAACAAGGGCAAGAAATCAATACTTTGTTCTTTGGATGATCGCTCTCAATAAACACATAACAGGAACTAGTTCAAGTGTGTTCGATTTAGGAAGCCTGCTAGGATGCGAGTTTGGCTAAGGTAATGATGCAGCAATAACCATCATATAGATTTCTTTGATCAGTTCAACTAGTTATTCTACGGATGCACCAAAATATTTGAATGGTTATCAATATATCAACACAAGGCAACCCTTGTATAAAATTGCACATATATACACATACAATTATACACATGTATGTACATCCGTGTGAGAAATCTTGATCTAGATATATAACAGACAGCAGGCTGGTATAAGTCATCCTAAATTGCCCCGCCAACGGGAAAAATGTTTAAAGAGTAGAAAGGTTGTCTAAGGGGGTGTAGGTTTCTTGACCAACTTGTTCAAACAAAACATTCCAATAAATGGTCAATGAACGGATTTTCACAGAATTGTCGTTCTGCCCTCAATCTCAAAAAATATTCGAAACAAAAATAAAGCAGGTAAATAATTGAGTAGATGATGAAAGATTAGGGAGTACAGAGAAGACAAAGATCTCCCCCATGAGATCTACTGCAGCTTGAACAGCTTTTTCCTCATTTAAAGGTCGAATTTCAACGTCAGTTGCATGACCATATATGCGCCGTTGCATGGTTGTTGTCATCCGGTGATTAGCCTAGCTCCACCAACAGATGCAAATACAAAGCATGATGATTACATATAACATAGATGATAGAACCAGACATTCAGAACTGAAATTTAGATAGTCGAAACAAAGTGTGCTAAGAAGATACAGAATGTCTGACAGTCTAGGGATGCTTAGAAGACACAATTAGAGTAAATCTCCATTCTCCAACCATATAATCACCAAATCTTCATATTTCATGTAATGTATCAAATATGACATAAGCGTGCAAAGGGAAATCAAAATATCCTCAACAAAGAAATGTTTATCTGCCTCAAGAAAAATACACACATACACACACTCATATACAGGGTTTGAGAAAAGAAGTGAAAACATAACATGAAAGATAGTACAACAAAGATCAGGGCAAATCAATAGGAGAAGAGAAACCAATAGCATCACAATTTTACAACCAGTAAAAAAAATTTGCAAGAGGTAATGTTAATGCAGCTGTGATACCAACGGCTATGAAACTCTCTAATTAATATTCCCTGCCCTAGTTGGCTACCAAAAGCATTTTACATGCGCATAAGTACAAGAACAAATCCCCACATAAGAAAGCGGATAGGTTCGACCTCCATGAATAGGCTTGACATTGAAGCATTATTTTCTATAAAATTGAAATCACGGAACCACAATATCATCACTCGACCTAAATCTGGTGCAAACGTAATATACCTGAGCGATGCTGACTATGAAATTTCTGAACTTGGGGTGGATTCCGGCCTGTTGTTTCAGCCTAGCGGCAATGGGTTTACTCAGGGTTTTTAGGGCTAGCGTTCCGAGTTTCAATAGAGGAAGAACCATCACTGATCTGTCTTCTTGCCTTTATCCACCAATTTCTGATTGGTACTTGAAATCCGAACTTTTTCACAAAAACACAACGAAAAACTAACCTCTGTATGTATGTATTAAAGGGAAAGTTGACTGGTTCCCATTGAGGACTTTTTTCTTGAGGGGGAAGGCAATAATGTTTCTTGGACCAGACGAATCGAAATCCTGAACGATATTTATACTCATCCCTCTAAATAAACAAAAAACAAAAAAAAAACCGCAGCCCAAATTGTTCCTTTAAATCGATGATCGGAAATATGGGGCGACTTCACAGTCCACTCAACTGCTTCTTTGTGCGGTCGTTTGGAGGGGGAAACGCGTTTTCGGGCAATCTGAAAATTTGCAGACACAGGAATGATCTTCAACTGTGAGGACTGAGAACTGAGAATCTAGTAGATGATAAAATGGTGAATTGAGAGCAAACGAAATTGGTATGACCTTGTTGGGATTGGATCGTGTAAACGATGCAGGGAAGCAGTGAAATGATTTTCCTGGCCCAACACCAATGCACATTTTCTGCGATCCTCCTCCATCTGAGCCCTGAAATCTTGACCGTTGGATCTGCCACGAAATCGAAGGCCACGTGTCTTCAGATTTCTATTTTACATGACGATGACGATGGCAGAATGACATTTCCAGGACCTCCTGGTTCAAGCGAACCATTTCTCAGTGACAATCAGAACCCTGACGCTTGCTCCCAATCAATCATGTCGACACTGATAACATCGTACGGAACGAAATTGCAAGAACAGGTAGAACGGTCCGCGCCATTTCAGAAAACCTTTTGTTCTCTCTGCAACAATCAAGATTCCATTTTTTCCTCGAAACAGCAAATATCATAAGCGATCCTTCTTCCCTGAAACTGTAAACAATTTCGTTAAAGCAAAAACAGACGCGTAAAAAAAAAAAAAAAAGAAGTCCCACCACCTCCCTCCCGCGTCCCCACATTGCTTCCATGGAAGACGGTGACGGCCAAAAATGGCAGCTTCCTTGTAAAGGTCCGAGCTTTCTTATTAGTCGTTTATCTGTCAATGTCACCGTCGCCTCCACCTCGCCCTCAGCTGCCAACAATTACAGTGATTCGAGACCACCTCCTTTTTACCATGGCTGAAACGACGCTATCGGTTGTCGTATTGGTGCGCCATGGCCTTCGTCTACAGTGGGTCCGTCGAGTTGACGGGCGTACTTTTCTACTCTATACCGCTTCAATGATTTGACCTTCTGTGTTGCCTTTTATAAACGCACCACAATTTTCTTCTGTTCTAGAAAAAGTCATTTTTCTCTGATTTCCGTCTCTCTCGCAGAAAATTTGATATGGCCGGAGACGGCGGCGAAGAAGGTCAGTCGATTCAAACCACGCCGACGTGGGCGCTGGCGACGGTTTGTTTCGTGCTGATTTCGATTTCCATTCTCATCGAGCACGGCCTTCATCTCCTCGAGAAGGTTTGGATTTGGGAACTCTGTTCTTCAGTTTTGATATAAATTGTCAGTCCAATGTTGACGGTTTTAGGGTTTTGGTGCAGTTCCTGGAGAAGAAGAAGAGAAAAGCTCTGATTCGGGTTCTAAACAAAGTTAAATCAGGTGAGAATTTCAATTTCGCTTTCCATCCATGATTGAATTGAGGTTTGTGCTTGACGAGCTTCGTATTAATTGCAAGGATGCAGACTTGCTCCTTTTAGGGTTTATCTCCTTGCTGATTCCTGTGTGCGAGAAAATAATACCCAAAATCTGCATACCGGAGGGAGTTGCCAAGTCGTTTCTTCCTTGCAGCGATTCCGCCATTGACGAAGAGGTCGTAGCTAAATGCCTGAAACAGGTAAGCCGCCATTATCAACAACAACTACTACTACTAAAATAAAACAAAAAATCATCACGATCGAACACAATTCCTCAGATTCCAATTTCGTTTATCTCAATTTCATGTTATGGAAACAGGGGAAGATCTCCTTGATGTCTGCAAATGGTTTTCAACAGCTTCAGTTACTGATATTTTTCCTTGCGTTCTTCCATGTTCTCTCCGGCTTCCTCATATTCAGCCTCGGAATGGCAAAGGTATATCAAACTACTACTTCTCCATAACTCCATTGCTTTCGTCTTTATTCATTCATATGATCACATTCTGCTCTGTAGAAAATATCTTCTCCCCTCTAAGTTACAGGCTATGGTGCTTGAATTCCATTCTAGAACTTTCAAGTCCACTAGTTTTTTCAATGTCAAAGCTCTTATTAAACAATAGGGGACTTATGTGGAGATGATTCATCTTAGACTTTCTATCACCATAAACTGTTGACCTAACTAATCATCGACATGAAAATTCCAGATGAAGCAATGGCAACACTGGGAGGCAGAAACCAAAACTCTCGAATATCGATTCGCAAATGGTAAAAATGTTGTGAGATTCTGTGATCTACAATCTAGAAATTGTCTTCTTTTTTATATGATCGACTGTATATCTCATCTAGATCCAAGACGATTCCAGTTCATCCACCAGACATCATTTGGGAGGCGACACCTTAAATCTTGGTCGGAACACAAAGCGCTGCGTCTGCCGGTGATCTCTACAGCCCTCTCGACTTTGTAATTTCCATTAGAATAAGTCACCTTATGTTTGACATATCCTTCCAGGTTAACTTTCTCCGGCAATTCTACGGATCAGTCTACAAAGTCGACTACCTTACACTTCGCCATGGATTCATCGCAGTAAGAGATGATTAGATTCTCTGAGCTAATGCAAACATCACATCTCGAAACTACATATGCTAGTTTGATCATATGGCTATCTGTCCAGGCGCATTTCTCCGAAGATAGCAGCTTCGATTTCCAGAAGTATCTTCTACGAGCACTCGACAAAGATTTTACCATGGTTGTCGGCATACGGTAATTTTCCATGTTCCATCTGAGCAAATGAATTAATTCGAAAACTAACAGAAACTGTACTCTTCCTTTCTCAGTCTTTGGCTATGTGTCTTCTCAGTACTCTTCTTCTTCTTCAATGCTTATGGTAAGATCGACGGCTTCAAATAACCGACATTTGAACAATCTTCCGAGCAGATAAAACTGACCAGCACCATATGTGTTTCGATGCAGTGTTCCATGACTATGCTTGGCTTCCTTTCATCCCATTTGTGGTAAGGACTTATAATTCGCTTTCTTTTAGTCCCACGTGCCACAATATTTATGAACGATATTGCAGATGCTACTGGTAGTCGGGACGAAGCTGCAAAGTATCATTACAAAAATGTGCTTAGACAGCAGCCAAAAATCCCATGTTATCACCGGAACTCCCCTCGTCCGCCCCAGCAACCATTTCTTCTGGTTTGATCAACCGCGCCTTTTCCTCCACCTCATGCATTTCATCTCATTTCAGGTATTTTTCGAGCCTCCTTAATTCTTGCATCTGTTGGAAAACTATATAATAATATAATCATTTTTAACGTACTCTGTTTACCGTTTACAAGTATTTTTACCATATGTAAACTAACTATAGCTACATTCTCTTCCCCGGCGAACTCAGAACTCATTCCAACTAGCATTCTTCTCGTGGTCTTGGGTAAATCCGTCTTCCCTTCAGACAATCCATCACTTTTTTTTTACCATTACTAACACGACGCCGTGTTCTTTCCTTTCCATCAGTACAAATTCGGGCTGCGATCATGCTTCCACCATACCACTCTAAGCATCGCCGTCAAGCTAACGATGGGAGTGATTGTGCTCGTTCTAAGCGGATACGTTACTCTCCCTCTATACGCCTTAGTCACTCAGGTAAACAACAAATTCACAACCTACTCATCGCTCGATTCAATCGACATCAGTCGTAACTACTTGTTGTAACAATGATAATACACATACAGATGGGCACTTCCATGGCGGAATCCGTGTTCCCGGATGGAGTAAACCAAGGTCTAAAACGATGGCGCGCCAAAGCCAGGCGCAACGTCGCTGTAAGAAGCAACAGGCCATTGCTAGCTTCCGCGAACAACGATGCATCGGTCGAGTCTCTGTCTTCTTTAACTACACTGGATGATGCCTCTGCCTCTGAAGATGGAGATTACTCGAGTGATGAAAGTGCAGAATGGAGTAATGAAGAGATCAGAGGTGAGAGATACAGCCAGAATTCAGAATCCTTCCACGGCTTCGACGTGAGCAAACCAGAGCATGCTTCATAAGGTGAGAACCAATTTTTAGCTGTATATATATATATACATGCACTGTCATCATCTTTATTGTGAAATCAAATTGGGTGTGTATCTTTAAAATATTAATTTATTTATTTTTAAAATTGTCTATTTATGTTAGGTCAATTTACTCAGTGTAATTGAGATATTTAGGACCCGTTTGAATTGACTTAAAAAATAAGCAGAAGCCAAACAGAAGTAGAAGCAAAAGTCAAAAGTCGAAGCATTTCGATTTTGTGTTTGGATAAATCATTATAAAAGCAATTTTTTTAAAAAACTATTTGGAAGTTATATAGTTGAAAATATAATAGTATTTTTTTATAACACTTTTATAATTTAATTTAAATTTTATAAATTATATCTAAAGATATTAAATTAAAGTATAAAAAATGTACTTTTAAATTTTGATTATTTATATTTTAAAATTTTAATTTTAGGATAATATATCAATTACATAAAATTACAATATAATATTAAATAATTTGTATTTTATAATTTATTTTAAAATTTTATAAATTATATTTAGTAATTTAAGTATAATTAAAAACTTTATATACTCCTATTTAAATTTGGTATTTAAATTTTAATTTTAATCCAAATATAATATATATGTTATTTTTATATTATATTATATTATATTATCGTATCGTATTTATTATTATTAAGGATAAAGCAGTAATTTTAAATTAAAAGTGTTTTTGCTTATTTCAGAAGCTACCCCTAATGTGCTTCTGAAAAAAACACTTTTCAGCTTCAAAAGTTGCTTCTGCTTTTGGACAGAAGTCAATACAAATATATTGAACTGCTTTTTTTTAAAAAAAATAGAAGCCAAAAACTCCTGTTAGAAGGCAATACAAACGGGACTTAGTATTCTAAGATATATTATGATCATTTCATAGTCACTTTATAATGTTTATTCAACTGTTTAGTGTTTTCTTTGCTGGTCTTGAGTCTATTTATTAAGTTTGGTCATATGTTTATTCATACGTTTGTGCATTCCAGCGTCATAAGAAAAATATAATAATAATAATTATTATTATTATAATATAAATAAATAAATAAGTATAGTGTGCTTGTTTTCTTTTTTAAGGAAAAAAACAAAGAAGAGAGAGTAATAATGCCCATTACATGCCACACTGCAATCACATGAAATGTTCTGATGGGTGTACCTATTTTGGGTGCCCTCTATATTTTGATATTTTTTAAGAAAATGATAAAAATAAATATTGAAGATATACATTAATTGATAACGAATTAAATACTCTCTCTGTCCCCATGTAATATGAGTGTATTACTATAGACACGAAAATTTAAGTACAATATAATTAGTAAGTAATTAAAAAGTGTATTAGTAAAAATAATTATTTTTTGGTAAAAATAATTATAGATTAAGATTAAAATAAGTAAATAATTTAATTAAAAAAAATTTAAAATGCGATTAAAGTATATCATTATATTTTCAAAAATAAAAAGAACAACTGAACAAAAATAGAAAATATGAATAAATTATGTGGGAGGAGGGAGTAGTATTTATACAAAGTTTTCAACTCCAATTTTTTATATAAAATATTTAATTGCTATTTTATATCATAGTAGTAGTGGTAGTAGTAAATTTTCAAAGATATATGAACGTGGGAAAGTGGAACCAATAACAAAATTAAAATACTTTGGCGTATTTTTCCGACAAATAATTTTTCTGATTAATAGTATAAAAAAATACAATAATTCTATATATTCATAAAATATAGATTAAATTGTTTTTTTCTTTTTCTTTTTGGACGATATTAAATAATAATAATAATAATAATTATTATTATTATTATTATTATTATTTTCTTATTGGACAACGAGATTAAATTGTTTTCTAATTGGATCTATAATGTCATGCGAGTAATGCAATTTTTTAAACATTTCTGCAAATTATATTTTATGTGGTATCAAAACCTTAATTTCTCCGGACAAAAACCAACTAAGGATGTATTTCTTCGAAGGATTTTTGACAAAATTCTACTAATATATATATATATATATATACATTTTACATATATATTTATATTTATTTTAAATAGTTTTTTTTATATAAAAACTTATATTGAATATAGTATTTAAAAAATATACTACAATTTTTTTTAAAAAATGTAAATAAACAGTCACAAACTCATTTTTATCATATAGTTCCAAAAAAATAATTAAATTTCAGCTAAGTGCGTGACATTGCCTACCACTGCTACTAAATCAACTTAAACTAGTACTTGCCAAATTTCATATGCCGTGCTATGATTTGTTTCTCGCAATTTTTCATAACACACCAAAAGCAATAAACACACACCCATAATTTCTTTCTTTTTGCCTCTTTAGTTTCCCAAATTTATGCAATATTTCTTGTCTTCTTTTTAACTTTTACAGTTTTGGCCAACGAGTTTCATGAACCTTATAACTTAATTCAAATATAATATAAAATATCAATAAATATTTTCCACAATTCACTTAAGTATTGTGGGGCCCACACTGTCTACGCATTCATCGTCTATGGACTCCAGTCCGCCTCTTCAGATGACGTCATCCTCCACATCTTAACATATTATTAAATAATTTAAAATATATATATATATGTAATAACCGCGGCATGGGCTACCGTGTAAGATGTATTATTAAGCGCAACGAATGAGTCATAGTTCAACAAATTTGACTTAAATCTCCTGGTTCTGGAATTTTGTTTAATTCTTTTCAATTATTCTTCTACCTACTATTTATTTTATTTTCTTATATATATGGTAACAAGTTTTTTGAATAGCCTTCCATTTTGAATTCCAATGGCCCCATTCAACAAGAAACGTATCTGCAGTCAATTGACCCTAATTATGCCAATTCATTAATATTAATTTAATTAACATTTAATCCTCGTAATTATCCCAAATCAGCATTGATAACCTCACCGCCTTAAACAGTAGTCATCATTAATTTAACGGCTGCTGACCGCTTTCGAAAGCCGTCATCTGACGGACCGTGACGAATTCGAATCTGCTACCGTGACGTCCCAGACAGTAACTGTGACGTTCAAACTTACGTCACGGTCGTTGACGCTAGCGAACCTCTCCCTTTCCGTGCTATAAATACGCTCCTCCACCGCCCCTGCCTTCTTCTCCCCTCTCCCTTTCTCTCTCTTCTTTCTTCTCTCGAATTCCGCTGCACCATGCAGAAAACGATCCTCTACAGAGATTGCCTCCCCGCCGCGGCGGCGGCGCCGGGCGGATCGGGCGATCCGGCGGCGAGCGGCGCCAAAAGCGCGAGAAAAGTGGTGGAGGAAAATGCGGCGGTGGTGTTCGCGAGGAAAGGCTGCTGCATGTGTCACGTGATTAAGCTGCTGCTTCACGGACACGGCGTGAACCCTACGATTCTTCAAGTGGATGAGCAGCGCGAAGGCGAACTCGCCGAGGAATTGACGAAAATCACCGGCGATTCGGCGCCGGTGTTGCGGTTTCCGGCGGTGTTTTTCGGAGGAAAACTGTTTGGAGGACTGGAGGAGATCATGGCTGCTCATATTTCGGGTGAGTTAGTTCCTAGATTGAGAGAGGCTAGGGCTTTGTGGCTGTGATTTTCGATCTGATTTGCTAATTCTCGTATAGTTTCGGATTCGGATCGGTATGTTCTAGAAATTTCGAAGAACAATTGCAGAAATTTCCTTTGCTAGTTGCTGATTATGTGAAGAAAATTCTACTCGGTTAATTAATCTGCATATGGTTTTTGTATTGTTTATCTGTGTTATCATTCCAATCAACACATACATATCCATAAACTATTTCATCATCAAAATTTCGAAATTCAACACATCAAAATTTGTCTCGTCTGATTTGCGTATGTATTTTGGGCTTTTCCATCTTTGGTGCTTCGTGTTTCTCGGATCCCCTGACTCATCCATCCATCATTTCCCATAAAAACATGCTATGCTTTATGCTCATCACTCTCACTTATCTCCAATTAATTGTTCATCCATTTTCCATTTTTGGAAGAATCTCTTCACAATTCTCTTCGATTTTTCACTGTACAGCTTATTAACATTATCAAGGTCTAAAAACATTTCGTTGATTATTTTCTTTAATTAAAAATAAATATAACGTCATAAAAAGCACAATTTCAAGAAATACCCCCAAAATTATTCTAAAAACGAACACATTTTCATATGCGATTGTTTGTTGTTTAGTACAGAAATAGTCAGTCGGAACAGCATTACATCAATTTGTTAGCGAAACGTCACATGATTTTGTTGTTTCTGAAGTTGTAATCGAAATAAAATTTTGAAATTGAATCGAATCAATAAGTTGGTGTGAGTGATTGATTGATTGATTGATTACTCACCACGCCCACAATTCTCATTCAATCTTACATATCCACTTCAACAGTAACTCGTAATGTTAGAATTAATATTATACTCTATATGCTGTATTTTCACTTAATTCTTATTTAAACTTTTTTTTTTAAACATATTTGGAATGAATATATATATATATATATATTGGGAAGTTTAATTAAAAGTAAATATTTCATTAAATACTTCAATTTTTTTTACAAATACCATCCCATCATTATTTTTACACTAAAAAATAAGAATAAAAATATTATTATTTTATTTTTAACTATTCACTATAATTAAAATATTATTATTTTTTAAATATTGCGTCAAGTAATTGTTTACTTTATGTGTTGACTGATATAATTTTTTTTTAAAAAAAAAGTAAAAATTAATAAATTTTTAATAACAATTAAATTTTCATTTGAATTCCTGTCTATTTTTTTAAAAAAGTAAAAATTAATAGATTTTATTAACAATTTTAAATTGTAATTAATTCAAATTAATATGTCATGTGTTTCGTTTATTATTTTTAAATTGAAGTATCTTTTATATTAATATTAAGATGTGTGTCTTTAATATGAATATGAATAGCAATATTTTTTATTAAATTATTGTTTTTTTTTCAACTGTGAATGTGTGTTATAGGAGTATTATTATTTTTTTAATAATTTAGTTTTAATTATAGTGTACAAATATCGAATTACCAAAATACTATGCATAACATACCCAAAAATACTAAAAATACCAAAATTTTGGTAAATTTCAATTTTGGTATAATCAATCTTTTTGTACTGAATCTATAGTATGATAGTTTAAAAATAATTTTAATTATGATATAATTTTTAAAATATTTATTTTTTTAATTTTTTTTAAATTATTAATTTTATAAAATATTATAATTTAATATTATTAATTAATTAAATATCATTCCTATTAAATGAAAATATTATATATTTTAAAAATTAATTTAATATTTTAAATAAATATATATATTTAATTTAATATTTTCGATTATAAATAAATGCCATGATTTGAGGATATTGATTCATCTCCAATCCCAATCCTAAAGCACAGCAGCAGCCATGGCAACTATCATAAATTCTCTTCCTCTTCCTCTGATTCCATATTTCCATTCCAATGATGAAGAACTACAACTTCATTATCTTCATCACAATCCTCTGAAATCGATCTCCTCAAAATCCATCCATCACCCAATTACTCTTTGTTCTAATCCTTCCTGTTTTTTCGATTCAATGATTAATTCTTGATACCTGTGCTGTGTGTATATATATATATATATATATGCATATGTGTATATTGATGTCTCGTCATTTTTTAGTAATTAGACAATGCACATTTTGGCGTTAAACTGCAAATTTATTTGAAGACATTTTTTTCAAAAAAAAAATTCTGTTGCCTTCTTGTGATTCTTGAGTTTTTTTTGTTGTTCATCTGGGTTTCGTCTTTAAGAACTTGAACTTCATAATTATTTTGAAAATTGACCGTTCGTTCCTTGTTGGATTGGATTGGATTTGCTTCGGAACCAAGCTGTCACTTTTGTTAATTTCCCAAAGTACCCTCCGCCTCGGCACTATTGTAATTTTGTATTCTGTGTTTGTGCTTTCTGCTCTGTCCAAACTTCGAACCCTCTTCTTCCCTTTTCCAAAATCAAAATTCAAAAAGCGACCACGCTCTCTCTCTCTCTCTCTCCCAATCTGGGTTGTGGTGTTTTGTTGCGCGGAGAAGTGAGGCTGGAAGGTTGAATCTTGGTGAATATGATGCGGCTCTTCGGCAAAGGCTCTGCTGGCGAGTCTCGGCACACGGCATCTCCTCCGACTCCGCTTCCGGCTGTTCCGTCCAACATGTCGGCTGGGCCGGCAAGGCCGATTCGGCTGGTGTACACTGATGCGGAGGGGAAGTTCCACATGGATCCGGAGGCGGTGGCGGTGCTTCAGTTGGTGAAGGAGCCCGTCGGCGTCGTTTCGGTGTGCGGTCGTGCGCGTCAAGGCAAGAGCTTTATATTGAATCAGGTAGATTGGAGGAATCGAATTTTTTCTCTGAGATGTCTGTACCTGTATATGCGCATAGGGTTTCGGAAAATTTAGGGAATTGACTCAGCAATTATGTCTTAGTGATGGGTTGACTTCATTGATATCTATTGTGTAGTCGATCAAAAATTCGGGCCTTAGGGTTTTGGTTTCGTTAATTTTTTTTTTTTTTTAATTGAAATTAGGGTTTCAGACTTAATGTTGATGGTTGATTAGGTATTTTATTGCCTTCTTTCTGTTCAAGACCTGTGGGCTGTTTCAAGGAACTGTTTATTGTAAAATTTTAAAGAACATGATGTAGAATTAGAAAATTTGATGAATACAAAGAGCCTTCTCTTGCAATATAACTATTCATTTAGTTTAAGGAGAATTTACCAGAGATTTTTTATTATGACATTGTCGAGCATTTCCTTTGATGTGTATGCAGCTTCTGGGGCAAAGCAGTGGATTTAAGGTGGCATCTACGCATCGTCCTTGCACTAAGGGACTTTGGTTGTGGAGTACTCCTCTGCGAAGAACTGCACTTGATGGAACTGAGTACAGCCTTTTACTCTTGGACTCAGAAGGCATCGATGCCTATGACCAGACGGTCTGCTTTTTCTTGCACTTAGTTTAACAACCGTCTCTTGTTTGTAACTATCGATCCCTTGTTAATGTTACCACCACTTCATCTTCTATGCTTCATCTTTCTTCCATTGAACTAGACATTTTTTTACTGTTAACTGTTCTTTGTTATTGTAATCACCATTTTAAGTTTATTTCCAACCAAGTTTGATAGTATCTTTTAGTAGCCTTTTGTTTAAAATTTTATCATTTTCCTTATTACTTATTGAAACATTTTACAGGGAACATATAGCATACAGATATTCTCATTGGCTGTACTCTTATCGAGCATGTTCATTTACAACCAGGTAAAAAGGCACACCCATTATTTATTGCCTAATATTACCTGTTGGTGTTACATTCATCACTTTCTCTACCATGTTCATTTTCGTTATTGTAATGAAATTGTCCAAGTACTCTATGGTCACTACAAAATAAATGAGTTAACGGATTCTTTGGTTTAGATGGGTGGCATTGACGAGGCTGCCCTTGATCGCCTTTCACTCGTGACTGAGATGACCAAGCACATTCGTGTCAGAGCTTCTGGGGGTAAAAGTACAGCTTCAGAGCTTGGGCAGTTTTCCCCAATATTTGTTTGGCTTCTGAGGGTAATTTGATATAAGACATATCGCTTGTACATGGAAACAAAAGTTTAACAGCTTGTATGCATTTCTGTTATCAACCATAATCATAACACACACTTAATTGCAGGATTTTTATTTACAATTAGCTGAGGACAATGGAAACATTACGCCACGTGAATACCTAGAGCTTGCATTAAGACCAGTTGAGGGAGGAAAAAGGGATGTGTCTGCCAAGAATGAGGTTACTGTTGCCTGATCTTTATCATCACATAATTATACTTTATATATATGTGGTGCTCTAAACTGTATGTGATGTTTCTTCAATGTATTTAAAAAAAAATTAATTAATTAATTGCTGATTGAAAATTCTTATTAGATTCGGGAGTCCATTCGTGCACTATTTCCTGATAGAGAATGCTTCACTCTTGTACGGCCTCTAAGCAATGAGAATGATCTCCAGCGACTCGATCAGATTCCGGTCAGTAGATGTTTGTTTATTTATGTTTACTATGTCATACCACCATATTGGCATGTCCTCAGTAGTAGTTATGGTATGAATATCTATCTCTCTTGCAGCTGGACAAATTACGGCCAGAATTTAGAGCTGGTTTAGATTCGTTGACAAGGTTTGTTTTTGAGAGGACGAGGCCAAAACAAATGGGACCAACAGTGATGACTGGACCCATTTTTGCTCGAATAACTCAGTCTTTTCTTGATGCTCTCAATAGCGGTGCAGTACCCACAATAACTTCTTCATGGCAGGTCAGTTACTTTGTCCTTTGTGGCCATTTCAGGCTTTTTTATTTCATTTTAAATGCATCTAATCTACTAATGCTTGGTGTTAGTTATTAGGACACAAGAAACTATGGTAGATTCTGAAGTATTATTGATAATTGATACTATTTTACTTGATTAACTGCAATGATAATAGTATAGCTATATAGAACGTTATCTCTACCTACTGATCTATAAACTATTCTCGTTTAAACCCCAGCTTGTTTTGTTACTTATGAGTTATGAAAACTCTCAAATATTACAGTCTATTGTTGCCTCCTCCTGATGAATATATGCCTTAATTATTGAATTAGATGTGATAACTGTTCTTTGTGGTTGATCTTAAGAGTGTTGAGGAAGCTGAGTGCAAGAGAGCATTTGAGTTGGGATCTGAAGAATACATGTCTTCTTTTGACCGTTCCAAGCCTCCAGAGGAAGTAAGTTCTGTTCTTGTTTGCAGATTTGTATGTTTTGAATTGTTTGCTAATGATGGGATCGTGTAGGCTGCACTTCGCGAGGCACACGAAGATGCATCTAGGAAGGCAATGGCTAAATTTAATGATACTGCTGTGGGAGCTGGTTCGACTAGGCAAACTTATGAGAAGCGTCTTCAAAGTTTAATGAAAAAAGCATTTGAGGTAAAAAAAAAGAAAAAGAAAAATTCCATTCTATTCTAATATATGAGTATTTATTTCTTGGAATTGAATGCCTTGCCTTAATCTTTGGAGAAAAAACTTCACTTTCTTTCATTAGTTTATAGTGTTGTCAATGTGAATTTTTTTGTGACTAGTGCTCAACTAGTATCTGTTATCATTTAACTAGCATGATTATGTGTGAGCAGTTATGAATCCTGCAAGGTGTTCTGTTATGAGTCGGGTCTTTTCCAAAATTTTACACCACCTATAATACATCTCTCTAACATATGATATTCTTAAAGAACACATTGCATTCGACATTCAGTTGTGTTTACTAAAAAAATGTTGTAACACTCACACAAGCACATAGGATATATATGCACAATGAACAAGCAATTGTTCTACATTCTCTATCCATTGTAAGATTATAGGAACAAATTGAAGAAAGCATCTAGGTATACATATTTGTATAATGCCCTCGTTGAACCCAATACATGTTTATGACTAATGGGCAATTTTGGTTTCTGCAATTTCAAAATAAAGCCACTTATTGAACTGAAATGTGGGCTATATTCAGAATTTTCATACATGTATTCAAGAAAGGCTATCATTCTTTCAGCTTTAACTATATTCCTCCTATTGTTACTGCTCCAGAGTTATATAACACTATTGGATATAAAATGCAGGACATTAAAAAGGATGCTTTCATGGAAGCAAACCTCCAATGTACGAGTACCATAGAGAGCATGGACAAAGAGCTGAGAAAAGCTTGTCATGCTCCTGATGCAAAAATCGATAGTGTTTTAAAGGTGGGTATTAATTGTTGTAAAGTGATCACTTTTGATGATTTAGTTGTTAGGCGATCATTATAGTTTTGGGGGATTGATTATGAGCATTCTTGGAAAGGTGATATATTGCTATTGTTCTTACAGGTTCTAGATGGGCTTTTGTCCAAGTATGAAGCTACATGTAAGGGACCAGATAAGTTGCGAAAAGAAGTTACATTTCTACAACAAAGGTTTGTGTTTAAGATCTAATTCTGTAATATATAGTTTGCACCAATAGTGTATCTAATGCTACTGAATTTCCAGTTTGGAAGGTCCCCTTTCTGACTTAATCAAAAGACAAATAGACCAGATCATGACAGAGAAAAGTTCACTGACTCTGAAATATCGATCAATTGAAGACAAGATGGGTCTACTTAACAAACAACTGGAAGCAAGTGAGAAGTTCAAGTCCGAGTACTTGAAGCGCTATGAAGATGCTATCAATGACAAGAAGAAACTTTCTGAAGATTATATGAGCCGTATAACGAACTTGCAGAAAAAATGCACTTCTCTGGAAGATCAATCCTCGAATTTATCAAAAATGCTTGATGCAGCGAAGCAGGAATCCCTGGATTGGAAAAGGAAATACGAGTTACTCCTATCGAAGCAGAAGGCTGAGGAAGAGCAATCCAATGCAGAGGTTACAATGCTTCGATCCAAATGTTCAGCTTCCGAAGCAAGATTGGCTGCATCTCAGGAGAAGGCTCAATCTGCTCAGGATGAGGCGGAGGAGTGGAAACGAAAATATGATATTGCTGTCAGAGAAGCTAAAAATGCTCTGGAGAAGGCTGCAGCTATTCAAGAACGCACAAGTTATCAAACACAGTCTCGGGAAGCTGCCCTAAGAGCAGAATTCTCAAGTACTTTGGCAGAAAAGGTATGTGTGTAATAATTGCATTGTCATGGATTTTACGCAGATTCTTGAAGATTCATTAAAGGTGATTTTGTCTGTATGAATCTGCAGGAGGATGAACTTAAAGAGAAGGCCTCGAAGATTGAACAAGCGGAGCAGCGATTGACTACTTTGAGTTTAGAACTGAAGGTTAGATCAATTACTTGCTACTTCATCTACAATTTCGCTCTCCAAACATTGAATTGTGTACTTATGTTCCCTCTTATTTGTCTCCAATTGTGGTTCCCTCAGAAAAATTTTCTAGAATATTATTGAAGTGAAATGTGAGTTTCTGTTCTATTAAATTCTAAACTGGATTTGCTTGCATCCCCACAGGCAGCTGAATCAAAGCTTAAGAACTACGATGTGGAGATGTCAACGTTAAAGATTGAAATCAAAGAGTTACTTGAGAAGTTGGAAAGTGCAAATGCTACTGCTCGTTCAGCTGAAAGCAAAGCTAGGATACTCGAACAGGAAAAGGTTTATCTAGATCAGAAGTACCGATCTCAGGTTAACCAACTTGAAGAAGTGCAGGAAAGGTGCAAAGTAGCTGAAAAAGAGGCTAAACGAGCCACAGAGGTGGCGGATGAAGCCAGAGCTGAAGCTGCTTCTTCCCAGAGAGAAAAAAGTGAATTTCAACGCTTGGCAGTGGAACGACTAGCCCAGATTGAGAGAGCCGAGAGGCTTTCTGAAGCTTTGGAGAGGGAAAAAGTCGATTTAGCCAATGAAGTAGAGAGGCACAGGGCAGCCGAAAGAGATGCCTTGTTTAAAGTGGAGATGTTGGAAGAGAGAGTTAGGGAAAGGGAAAAAGAAATCGATTCACTCTTGCAGTCAAACAGCAGCCAGAGAAGGAATTCTGTTCAAGTCCTCGAAAGTTTACTGGATAGTGAACGAGCTGCACGAGCTGAAGCGAGCAACAGAGCAGAGGCCCTCTCTGTTCAGCTGCAAGCGACGCAAGGAAAGCTTGACGAACTATCTCATGAAGTGACTGCTCTGAGGTATGGCGAAAAGACTACACTGGACAGTAAACTAAGGTCTGCTTCCAACGCCAAGCGCGGCAGGACAGAGGATTTTGATATGGGGGTAGATTCAGTACACGATACAGACTTAAACGAGAGGGCTGTGAGAGGGAACAAAAGATCGAGGAGCGCCGCGAGCCCTATGAAGTTCACCAGCACTCCTGAAGACGGCGGCTCTGTTTTTAGAGGCGAAGACGAGCCAAGCAATAGCCAGCAAACCAACAATGAGGACTACATGAAGTTTACGGTACAGAAACTGAAGCAAGAGCTCACCAAGCACAATTTTGGCGCCGAATTGCTGCAATTGAAGAACCCTAACAAAAAGGACATTCTTGCACTGTATGAGAGATGTGTTCTGAAGAAGTGATACCATATGATAGTTTAGAAGATGAAGAACTTTCTTTGTGCGGCGGCAAATTCTACGACGAATTTATAGACAGCCAAGTGACAAATTCCACTAGCTCTCTGTCTCGTTGTTTGATGCTCATAGCCTTTTCTATCATCAAACAAAATCCCTGATTGAAAAACTGATATTAACTCTTGTTTGCTGTGAGGTTCTTGAGGCAGGTAAGCTATGTGAACATTGGACCATCTATGTTGTCTGTTTTGAAAATTTTACTGTGGTAGAAGTTGGGAGTTTGTTTGATTGTTGATGTATTGTGTATTTGTTTCAGTGGTGTTTTATGACTTATTTTGTAAACAAACTTGTGGTTGCATTTTTTCTTATTTACTACTGCTGTTTTGAACAATTCAAAATAAATGAAAGATCAAGAAAATGAAAATAGAGTCCAGATTATATTTGAATTATAATCCTACAGCACTAAAAATCTCAGATACTATACAACGTACCGAATGATCAAGAAAATTAATTATACATATATTATCATATCATAAAGCCTGAATCTTGTAGACCAATTAAATACCTTTTTTTTTTTTTATTTTATATTTCTAAGCCCTTTTCCTGTTGATATTTCCTGGCAAATCTTAGGGCATTTTCACCAACAAGAAGCATCAATAACCCGACATTAATTGATCCCTTGTAATAACCTCACTTGCCTTTGCTTCCACCTGAAGGCAAATGAATAAAAGATGATCCATCGCCATGGACAACGAAATTGTTTGCTGCTGCTGCTGTAGGTATCATCATCTGAGGTAAGCTGTCTGTGTTCATGCTCATACTCATGGTCATATTCTGATTCCCGACATTGTAAGAAGAGACAAAGCTGGGGGGATTGTAGTAATCACAAAAGCTTGCACTCTTCACCAAATCGAGGCCGCGGCTGCTTTCGCTCGACTTGTCAGCAACTCCTCCCTGATCCGATGATCTTGATCTCATCATCACCATAGTCCCTGAAGAACCACACTGTCTGGGCTGTGTTTGGTAGAAAACTTTGGAGACAACCAATTCTCCATCTTTCTCCTCCTCGTTGTCGCCTAAATGGTACTGATGCATCACCCAATTAGTCTTCTCCGGCTTCCTCTGCCGCCCGTAGTTGGTGTAGAGGACGAGGATTTTCTTGTAGCCTTTGACATTACCATTCGGCGTCGAGACAGGCCGTGTCTTGCCTGTCTTGTGCCACCTCGTCTCCCCGCCCTCGGCGTCGCTGTGGACCTTCCTTCGCTTCCTTGTCCCCGTCGTGTATGCCTTTGATGGCCTGTGGAAGAAATGCCTCACTTGCCCATCCTTACTTGCTCCTGCCATTAATTATTGCCACATGTTCATATTCATCATCGAACAAACCCTTAATTGAGCATACAATAATGATGGTCATAAAAATGAATTCGATTGATAATTAAGCACCTGGAAGCTTCTCTGGATGAGTGTAGCAAATCCCATTTTCACCCTCAATTGTAGGGATGAATTCATCGATGAGGGGATGGAGTTTTCTTACATCAGAGAGCACTTTGGCCTCCAGGTGCTGCAGAATTTCTTGATCTGATGGATCGAACTTTACCCCTGATGGTAATCCTGGCAAATCTTGGACCCCTCCAGCCTGTAGTTTTATTCAAAATATAAATATACATTTACTTAATTACATACATATATATGTGTGCGTATATGTAGAAAAGACCTGATCTTGGAGCTGAATGGTGGTGCCACAGGAAGGGCAAATTACTGTCCTAATTAGCTGATCGGCTCTTGAATTAGCTTCTTTGTTATTACCAGTTGGTGCTGTAATAAGCTGGAGAGACGATGTTTGTCGATCACTACTGGACCATGTCATTGCTCTTCTTCTTCTTCTTCTTCTTGTTTTATTTTTTTAATTATTATTTTAATTGCTCTTATGCCCATCCCAATTGGGGTTTCTTCTTCTCCTGCAACTCCCACTCTTTCCACCTGATCTCAAACCACAGATCGATATTTTACCAAATTAATCAAAAACAAACAAACAAGAAAACCATATATAATTCAGACAACCGGAAATCTACCTGTAATCAATAATAAATTAAGACATATATATATATATGCTTCTAATTGATCACTTATTAACCAGACAACCTTCTTCTTCTGCTACTTTTTCTCTCAATTCTTGGCTGCAATAAGTAGTAGCAGTACACAGATTTTTCTTCGGGTTTTTCTTCAAACTGTTGGCAGGCAGATATAAAAAAACTTGCAGAGAAACCGGGAGAGGATCCAAATCTTTTTCAATATTATCAGAAAATATAAAATAAAAAAATAACAGGAATTAAATGAATAATACTACTATATATTGTTGCTGCGCAGAAAAAAAAAAACAATTAGGGTTGCTTGGACGTCAAGAATGTTTATTTGTGTTTTGTGTATTGTACACACATACATATATACCAGAATAGTCATCAATTAAATAATTATATTAAATAACAATAATAATATACATTAATTAATTAATTAATTAATGGAGAGGAATTAACAGTACTGTGGATTCAGAATTAAGGGTAGAGTGGATTTAGGGCAACACACCTGATTCCATGTATGTATTGTATCAATATTGTATTGTATTGAGACATCTCACCTCTTATTTTACCCCTAAGTCTCTATCTGGAGTGCACCTAAAGCTTCTTCATCTCCAATTCCAGATACATACATACACACAGTGTGTGTATATATATATACATATACATATAGGAATTCAAATACATGAACATACCAACTAATGTGAAAGTAACAGTACTACAAATATCTCTGAATTACGAGAATTTTGTGATGATGCTTTTCTGTGTTCTTTTTTTTTTTTTTTGAATATTTTCTTCCCTTTTTCTTTGCGTAGACTTCTCCTTTCAAGTAAGGCATATATATTTTTTACACATGTATCTGTCGTTTGGTTTTACTCTCTCTTTCACTGATTTACTGTATTATGTATTATTACACACTTATTTTATTATCTTATTTTTAACAGTAAATTAAATGAGATTTGATCATAATCAGTACGCATATTGTGAGCCACAATGCTTGGCTATACATGTATATATATATATATGATTAATGGGATAATACCACTTTTTCCTCTTTGAATTTTTACCCTTTTGCAATTATTATATTATACAAGCTAGTCTTCTTATAATTTTTTAATAAAATACTCCAATGATTTTCATATGATTTCATATATATATATATATATTAAATTACAATTTAAAATAAAACTCAGAGCCGACATACACATACTTGAAGAACAAGGATATATAATATTTATATATAGAATATTAAAATAGGAAAAAACAGTGTGTAATTAAAGAAAAATTGATTGAAATTTTTTTGGTTCATCCTACATAAAAAAAAATAATAGCAATTTATATATATAATAAATACTTGGCAGTCATTTTCTTGCAATATCTTAGCAGCTTCCCATGAAAGTCACGCAACAGAAATCTTCACAGGGAAGCTTCAAATTTAGGGTTTTTGTCTGACTTCTGGTTTTAATTTTAATTGATTTAATTTAATTTGCAGATAAGGTCAAATTTAGAAATGAAAGTCGGCTGATGCCTGGCAGTGGCAGTGGCAGTGGCAGTGGCACCCATTTCTTATCATTGCTCAATAAAACTGCATGCATTCCTCTTTCCATGGTTTTCTTGCTTTCATTACAACCTTTTTCGTCTTCACGCCAAAAGTCTGTCTTTTATATATTTTCATCTTTTAGAGTTTTTAGTTTTTATGATGAATTTTAATTTATTGTCAGGATTCTTGATTGCATTTTAGAGGCCCAAAACGTGAGTTTAGGGTTTTTAATTCTTGCATCATAATATATATATATATATATAATAAAATATTGATCACGAAAGTTTTACAATTGCATGACATCACTTTTTATTTTTATTTATTTATTTATTTAATGTTTTAGTTTCATGCAAGATTTTGGTGGCGATGATAAGCTCGTTGGTGAGTTGTGTAATGGAAACTCTTTACTAATTTTGGAAAGTCGAATTATTAAATAAAGGTTTCCAATTATTTCAGATTACATCATTGTTATGTAAGAGAAGTGAATCTGGTTTGTGTCATCGTCAATGAAGTTAGAGTCGTATAAAATATTAATTTATAAAGTTTGGAACCAAATTGTACAAAAAAAATATTTAGGGCTTCTTTTTACAGCCCATTTGGCCCAACAAAGAAGTCCATTTATTAATTTATATGATTAAAATAGCAAGTGTTAGTGTTGTATATAATATTACGATAACAGATGAATTCCATTTTTATAGAATATTGAGGGTGTGTTTGGTTTGTGTTTTAATTTTCAATTAAAAATATTATTGCCTTCATTCTGTTTAATGTACTATTTTATTATTTTTGAAAAAAAAATTAAAAATTAAACAACTTTCTAATAATAAACTAGTATTGTTTTTTAATTTATTTTTTTAAAAAAAAAATAAAAATAAAAATGAGATGAATTAGATAGGGATGGGGGAGCATATTTTTACAAAGAAATTATAGAATTATATAGTAAGAAAATGAAAAAGAAAAAGAAACTCGCCACTTCTCTTTCAAGCTTGGCTTCAAACATACTCAAATAAATCTTCACTTGAAAGTATTATTGCTTGTATTGTATTGTATGTATATACGATGATTATACACTGACACATAAGTCATAAACATATCAAGATCATGTACCCGACACGTGGCAATGCCATTCAAGAACCCTAATCAACATCATATTTATATAATTAAGATATGATGATGGGATGATGAAGCTAAGTGAGAGTGATCCCCCCAGTTTGAGTTTCTAAAGTCGACAAAATTGCAGCAACCTGCGACATGGATGGCCTGTTCTTCCTACAATTCCCGACGCAGGCCAAAGCAACTCTTGCCAATCTCCCAAGTGGGCCCACGTCACTCGGAATGGCTAAACTTGGATCCAAAACTTGCCTAAGTTCCATCCCTTTTATCAATGGCAATGCCCATCGAACAAGCTCCCCTTCCTTGCTTCTCTTGCCGCTTAACAGTTCCAACAGAACCACACCGAATCCGTACACGTCACTTTCCTTTGTCGCAGGTTGTCCTCCGCCGCCGCCGCATTGTTTGTCCATCCAATACTCTTCGTCGACGTACCCCGCCAGGCCGCGCCGCTCGTTCGCCGCCAGAAAATGGAGCCCGTAGTCGCAAACCCTGGCGCAGAACTTCACGTCGATCAGTATGTTGGAGGGCTTCACGCAGCCGTGGATGATCGGCGGCGCCGCCGTGTCGTGGAGGTACTCGAGCCCACGCGCTGCGCCGGCGGCTATCCGCAGACGGCGGCTCCAGTCGAGCAGCGCCGCCCCGTCGGGGTTCTGGTGGAGGTAGAAATCCAGGCTCAGCATCCCCCCGAATTCCATCACGATTATTCTCTCTCCCGGCGCCTCCGCAAACCCTGCCGGAAAAAAAATTTCAGATGACCGGAATATTCATTCGTGATTAATAATTTAATTTAATTGTACCGGTGATCGGAACGACGTGGGGATGATCGGCCAAAGACAGCCACTTTAGGACCGACGAGAACCCGAAGCCGGCGTGGCTCAGCACCAGGCGGGGGTGGATTCTCTTCACGGCGGCGACTTCGCCTTTCGGCATCACGGCGGCGTAGACGGTGCCGATGCGCCCTTTTCCGATGATCCGGCGGTGGTTGAACGAATCCGTGGCGGTTTCGATTTCCATCAACGCATATGCCGCCGCCGCCTGCTTCGCCGCCGGCAGGCCCTCCTCCTCGTCCCGGCCGGCGGGCGGTTCCTTCTCCTTCTTGCAGAGGAAGAACAAAATCACTGCAAAAACCGTCACGAAAATCGACAGAACCACCAGACCGGCGTCGTAGACGGCGGTGACGGCGCCGTGGGTCATTCCGATCGACGGCTCTGCAGAATTAAGTTGCTCAGAAATTGATCGATCGATCGATTTGAAAAGTAGAGTTACATCGGAAAAGGGGAAAATTCAACAACAGTTTGGGACACGATTCGATTGCACAACAACCTTAAATGGGATTGAAATTTGAACAAAAAACAGGAACTGAAAAGGATGGCAATCTGTATGTATTGAAAAATCGGGTTCTATTGGTAAGAAAAAGGTGGGAAACTAGCAATAGCTCCGTTGGGCGTACCGATTCTTGGCGACACCGGGGAGCCTAACTCCCGAGTCAATCCACACCGTCCATTAATTGTCCACAACTTAGCTAATCTGTTAGGTTAGTTTCAGCCATCCAACTTGGTTGCTTCCTCATTCCATTATTGTTACTATTTTATTTATCATTTTTTTTTATTTTTCCTAAATTTCACAACATCATTGAATTTGTTAATTTATTTTTAAATCAACTTAACAAAAAAACAACACAATTTCCCAATTTGATTTGTTAGATAGGGCATCAAATCAATCGTGACCAAATTATTGCATCCCGACATGTCCACACCCTATACACATAACATAATTAAATTTTAAAATTGTATCGTATATTTTTCTGTCACCACCTTACCCTGTGTTGTAATTTATTTCCTTTTTTGTTTCATCTCTTCAAACACGTACACATTACGGTACTATTTTTTTATTATTATTTTGAAAATTATTTATCTAACTTGTAAGAAAAATCCAGCAAAGAATATAGTGTTAGATAATGGTGACAATAATTGGATTAAAACAGTTGTAGAAACAGTCCATCTAACTTCACCTAATTCAGCTCAAAAAAGGAATTTTTAAAATTTTTTATTTTATTTTATTTTATTGTGGGTTTTTGGTGTTCTTTGTACTAATTAATTGTTGTAAGTAGTTGTGATTTCTGCAATTAATTTTTAAGCATAAATATGGGCCACTCTTATGACAATTTTGATCATTATTCATTTATTCTTTACGTTTTTTAATGTTTGGTGGGGTATTTGTCCCAAGTACTAAAAGCGTGTTTAGCACCGACGATTTATTTGTTTTGTTGAAATATAACTAGAAGGGGATAATGCAAATTGCAAAATAGCCCTTACTAGATTGGAGTTTCTGTGAGGCTCCCTATCATTAAATATAATAGCATTGTGGTCCCTCAATCTTAGGATGGCAAAAATTAACCCGATTTGATAACCCGACCCGAACCTGACCTAAAATAGTTGGGTTTGGGTTGAGATTTTCGACCCAATTAATAATTGGGTCAAACCCGTTTAACCTATTTAATTAAATAGGTCAGGTTAAGGTCTACATTTTCGACCTGAAAATAATTCGTCTAACATATTTAATTAATATTATTTTAAATTTAAATATAATTTTTAAATTTTATCAATACAATTCAATATTTATGTCCAATTTTATAAAAATAAACAATAAAAAATAAAGGATTGTGTTGTGTAGGGTTTGTTAATTCAATTCTTGTAATATCGGTTTCATGATATGAATAAATAATTTTTTACTTTAATATGTATATATTATGCATTTAAAATTTTTGTTAGTATAAATTTTAATTTTAAATTAAAATTTAAAATTTTTAGATTAAACGGGTTATACGAGTGAGATTCAAGTTGATCCGATTAATAAAAAATAGGTTGCAAATATCAACCCATTTAATTAAATAGATCAGATTCAGATCAAGAGTTTTGTAACCCGTTTAAGCTGATCCAAACCCAAACCCGATATCTGTTTGCCAGCTCTACTCAATCTAGCACCGGTGAAGCCTATATAATAATAGTTCGTAATAAGTATCTCCACCTTATAATAAAAAATTAAAATAATTAAATAGGGATTGGCCGGAACATTTCATACGGGACAACAAATTTCTTTTTTTTTTTTTCCTTATTGCGAACAAATTGAAATTAATAATAATAATAATAACAATAATTACACACGATATTAAAATGGGCCTCGTTAACAATAATATAAAGAATCAATATAATAATGATATTATACGGTTTATTTGGATTTAGTTTGAGTTCTTTATTTAAATTGATTTAAATAGTATTTTATTTTAACTTTTTATTAAAAGTAATATATATTTTAATCACTCTAATTATTAGTTTGTTTCAAATTCTAATTTTAATTTTAATTTTAACATCGCAATGCTTTATTTCGTACTATTGTTTATACAATATTTTTCAATAAAGTAAATTATTTTCAAATTTTCAAAAGAACTCCTTAATTTTTAATTTTCCACGTGGCAGCTAGTAACAAAACACTAGCACACGCTTTCTTAACTCTCTGTCACGGGTTATGAATTTGCATCTTCAGTGGGGTTCAACATTTATTTTGGGAAGGAAATGGAAGGGGAGATGAATTATGAACAAGTACTGTAACTTGAATGTCTGAAGTTGACATTATAATCCTAATGAATACTGTAGCCGACAGATAAATTTCAAAATTTCTGCATTTAAGAACCTTAAAAGAGACAAACCAACGAAGTGTGATTGATTCCATTCACTCGCCGGAATCAGCAGAAACAGAAGCTTCCACGTCCTACAAATAAATGCCCGCCTACGACAACATTAACCCATGCAATAAAATTAACCATTGTCAAAGTTTCTGCATTGCTTACAAAATCCGGCGGTTCGATCAGGCCGCGCTGCCGCCGCCGCTCCCGTGTTCCGATGGTTCTTCACCATCTTCGTAGTAATACGGCGTCAAGTTGCCATCCTTCCCGGCAGCTTTGTGGCCATTGTGATCGCCTATCTCTTGCAGCATTTTGACAACACGTCTCATCGAAGGCCGGTTGATAGGCAACGGGCTCGTGCAGAGGAGGCCGAGGTTGAGGACTCGGCAAATTTCATTCTTGAAGGACAAATCGAGCTTCGGGTCGATTGCATGGTCGACGCCTTTTTGATCCAATGTTGTCCGAACCCATCTCACCAAGTCCTTCTCGCCAAACTCAGGATCTACCGGAAGCTTCCCGGTGACGAGCTCAAGAAGTACGATGCCAAAGCTGTATATGTCGCTCTTCTCGTTCACCCTCATCGTGTAAGCATATTCTGCGACAAAAATTAGAAATTTATTAGAAAATGGCGGCATTTAAGACAATGATCGAATGTGCGAACGAAATGAAACGAACCGGGTGCGATGTAACCGCATGAGCCTGCAATGACGGACATCGACTTGTCGCCGCTGTTGGCGTTTTTTCCGACAACCTTGGCTACGCCGAAATCTGCAACGCGGGCACTGTACTCTGCGTCGAGCAATATATTATTTGTCTTGACGTCTCGGTGAACGATCGGAGGCGCGCAGTCATGGTGCAAGTAGGAAAGCCCCTCGGCTGCATCCATGGCTACCTTAAACCTTATAGGCCAATCCAACAGGCCACTTTTTGTGCTGTGAAGAAGATCGCCGAGGCTGCCGTTAGGCATGTACTCGTAAACCAAAAGCTTGCAATCTTTCGCCGTGCAACAGCACCACAGCTTGACGATATTCTTGTGCCGGATCTTGCCCAAGGTTTCGACCTCTGCCTCAAAACCGTCAGTTTGGAGAGTGCCCTTTTCGACATCGTCGTCTGCAAGCTTCGGACGCCCCCAAAGCCTTTTCACGGCGACTGTCTCGCCGCTGCTCAAAACCACTTTGTAAACTTTACCGGACGAACCACTGCCGATGATGTTGTCCTCGTCTAATGCATCGAAGATTTCATTCTCACTGAAGCCCAGTTTGTGAAACGACATCAATGTCCATTTCGATTTCTCAATCGATCTATCCGCCTTCTTGAATTGCCGGTACTTGCGGTAGAAACATGTGACGCCAACAACAAACACCAATCCAGCAAATAGAAACAGAGATCTCAACAACCATACATAGCTCTGGTTTTTGAACCCATATCTTGAATTGCACAAGCCATCAATGGCGCCACACAACCCTGGATTCCCCAGAAAGCTTTCTCTATACATTTTCTTGGCATACAATGGAGGAATGTCGCCGGAAAGATGGTTATTTGACAAATTGAGTTGATTGAGCTTCAAATTCTGTAAACCAATTGGAATCTTACCAGAAAAGTGATTACCTGACAGATCGAGATAATTCAGGACAGGCAAATCCCCAATTCCATCTGGAATCTCCCCTGAGAATTCATTGTTTGCTAAATTAAGCTCATTTAGCTTCTTCCAGGCATGAATCCCGCTCGGGATTTTACCAGAAAGCTCGTTGTTATGAAGATCAAGCTTCACTAGCTGCTCAAGGTTCTGAACACTTCCCGGCAAGGACCCCATTAACTTATTATCGCTCGCGGAAATCTCCAGCAATGTAGCCACGAATCCAATCTCCTCAGGTAAATCGCCGGAGAAATTGTTACCGGACAAAATCAAACGAGATAAGTTGGATGCGCCGGCTATATTTTTAGCTATTCCACCGGATAACAGATTGCCGGAGAGTTCAAGCAACGAAACGTGAGGCAGCCCCCAAAACCCCGCCGGCACCTCGCCGGATAACGCGTTGTGCCCTAATCTCACGCGCACCAAGCTCCTACATACCGCCATGGTCGCCGGAATTGAGCCGGAAAATGAATTTTCAATCAATAGAAGCTCTTCAAGCGCACCATTCAAACACAGAGTCTCAGGTATTAGGCCCGAAAAATTATTCGTCGAAACATCAATCCACCGCAGCGGCGAGGCTTTTCCGAGATTCTGAGGTAATCTTCCAGATAACTTGTTCTGAAAGAGCCTCAGCTCGTACAAATTCGGAGAGTTCGCAATGCCATCAGGCAACTCACCCCGCAGGTTATTTTGGTAGAGATTTAGCGACTCCAGCGGCAAATCGCACAGTTCGGCGGGGATCGTCCCCGTCAAGTGGTTCATGGACGCGTCTAGCCGCCTCAGCGCTGTCATGTTCGACCAGCCATGGCTGGGCAGCTCGCCGATAAACGAGTTGTTGTAGAGCTCAATCTGAACGGCGTTCGTCAATTTAGTAAGCGAACTCGGTATCCAACCAGTTAACCAGTTGTACGCCAAGTCCAAATCGGTGAGTCGATCGAGACGACCGAGCGAATCAGGTATCTCGCCCACCAAATTCGTCTCAGTCAGCCACAGCACCTCGAGATTGGTGAGATTCCCCAGCTCCGGCGGAATCCTCCCCGGAGAAAACGGATTGTAGGACAGATTCAGCTGCCTTAGGGTTGAAACGTTTCCTAGAAACGCCGGAATTGTTCCCTCCAACAAATTTTCCACTAAAGAGAGTACCTCAAGCTTCGAGAAGGCTCCGAAACTGTCTGGAATGATTCCGGAGAAGTTGTTTCCAGTTAAATCAAGGTACTTCAGGTTGGGAAGATCCGCAAGCCTTTTCGGAAGCGCACCGGTGATGTAATTCTGCGCCAAATCAAGGTGCTCCAGCGACTTGCACAAGCCGAGGTCGTCTTCCAATAAGCTGGAATTGATAAAATTATCGTAGAACGAGATGAAGGACAAGTGTTCGAGGCGGCAGAGAACGGCGGGAAAGGGGCCGGAGAGGCTCGAGCTGGACAGGTCTAGCGAGAGAACACTTCCGGCGGCGGAGTCGCATACGACGCCGTTCCAATTGCACGGCGTGGCGTCGCTAGGGTTCCAGTCGGCGAGGACGGCATTTGGATCGTCTAGACCAAGCTTGGCTTGAAGAAGGAACGCGCCTTCTTGGTTTATACATAAAATCAATGAAGGATTAAGAATAACAGTAATGAGCAGTACAATGCGGCGGCGGCGGCAAACCATTTTTCCGGCGGCAGGGGAAAGCAGAGTGGGCGGCCGCGGCGGCGGCGGTTTTAGAGTGACGGAGAGGGCATGTTTTCGACGTTTGAGGGAATTCAAAATTGAGTTGCTCTTCTGTTTATGATATATATAGAGAAAAGTTCTTTTTCGGAAATTATTCTTTTAATAAAAATATATTTTTACATTCCATAATTTTTATTTGTCAATTTTATCTTTTCACTTACAAATATTTATTTTAAATTATAATAAAAATAATCATATATTAAAAGAAAAAAAAAATTAATTCATATAAATAAATATGTGATACAATAAAAAGAAAAACTACAAAACCTACCATTAGTATATTCAATTAATTTGCAGTCAAATGCATGAATTGAATATGAATTAACTACTCAGTGCACACATAAATGAAATGGAATACAAAATTAATTAAAATTAAGATTGATATCTCATCATCATTCCAAATAAGCATAACTGTCAAATGTACTGCTACTGCATTTATTAATTAAATGAATTTTAAAATTTAATATTCTTGTATGTAATAGTATTTTATAAAAATATATATATATATTATAGGCTATTTATTTGAGCACTTCATTTACCACCCAATTATGTTACAAACATTTAATGTCCATAGTAATTAATTTATCAAACCAATTTCGAATGGGTTGATGAGAATTAAACTCATGGGGTTGTTCTTGAAATGACTGCCCTCATTTAATTAAATTAAATTAAATTAAATTAAATTTGACTGATCAGTGAATACACCAAACATCATTGATTCACATACCCAACTTCTTACACATAATATTAATATTTTTCAATTAATTAATATTCTAACTAATATATTGATTGTCCGTTGCAATTTCCATCCAACGTTTGCTAAACTGTGATAAATTCTCAAATAACGTCCCGTTATTTATGTCCGCACAGTCAACGTTCTATGAGTTTTAGAATTTTTTATTTTTATTTTTATTTTTATTTTTATTTTGAGCATATTGCTTAGTGATATAGTGATTATAACTGATTAATAATCACATGACAAATTGAAGAAAGGGACAGTAAAAAAATAAAATAAAGTAAAAGGGGAATAAGAAGATAGATGAGAATTAAGAAAAAGTGCAATAAAGCCAAGAGAACATGATTGTAAGAGTACTTCATCATTCTATTCTAAACTAAACTAAACTATACTAAATTAAACTAAACAAATAGTGGTCCAAAGGATGGCGGCAATTGCACACGCAATCATTACATACACTTATATGCAATATATAAATAATACTCCGTCCGGTCCAAATTAAATCGGCATTTGGACTTTTGTAATAGATTAAAAAATAATAATATTTTATTAATTAATAAAAAAATATTTTGAATTGAAACTAAAAAAGTACTATCTAAACCTCAAACTTGATTCGACCCGCCCCATATAGTCTTAGTTCGGGATAGATTCGAGATCCGATTAGGACATAACTCATTTATTTGGGATCAAATAGTATATGAGCCTGTGAATTATCATTGAATCAGGGTCCAAGGATGAATCCTATTCGGGTCTAAACAAGATCTGATTAATGTGTTAGTAATTTTTAACAATATAATTATATTAAAATACATAAAAAAATTTTAAATTTTGCAAGAGTATATCAAGTCTATCTAATATAACTCGGGGCATGGTCTAAGACCCGATCTATATCCGATCTATAGTCAACCTTAGACATAACTCCACGGATCTGATAGATGAAAAAATTTATGTAAATTTAAATTTAAAAAAAAAAAAACTTAAGTATGATTTAAGAATCAAGGGCATTAATAATTATTTACTTTTTTTATTATTAATTTGATTAACTTCGTAATATATTAATAAATTATACATATTTTAAAATTAAATTTTTAGATAAAATAATTATTTAAGTATAAATATAGTAGTAGTATATCATAAGTACATACATAATAATATCCCAAATAGCTTTGTACTACTTTACAACTTACGTATTTGGTTTTGATTATGTTGTTGATGTGCATATCTTTGTGGGGGCCCCGTTGATTTAAATCTAAACCCTTTTTATTACAAAATTTGAGGCAATAATAATAATAATTATTATAGTAATGGTGGACGAGCAATAAAAATACTAATTATTAATTAAATTATAATAAATTGTATCGATAATATAAAATTAATAGTTTGTATTGAATATTATTTTTTTACAAAAAATATAATTGATATTATATATATTAACAATTTTATTTTGATTAGACAAAAAAAATCCTCAAAATTTTAAATCAATCCATGCCAAAGAAGAAACACGCTATTTTACAAGTTACAAAATTCGGTCGAGATTTACCAATAACGCACCCGAACGATTGAGGGTTATTGGGTTATAAAAGACACACACTATTTTAATTATTTTTATTCAAGAGTAATTAAACAATATTGAATTCACCATCCACTGTTCTATAGTAAATATTAAAAATATTTTTATATTTGTATAATTTTTTGTACAATTGTCTTATAATAATAATATTATAAGTCATTAATAGAAGTATTTTGTTATTTTTACTTAATTTGTATTATATTTTTATATAATTATGTATAATATTAAAAAATTAATATGTAAAAAATAAATAAGAGATTTATAGTCGGACGGTTACAATATTATTTTTTTGATAACCATATTTAGGTATTTATTGTGAATGCATGTTGTGCATTATTTGGAAATAATAATAGAGTCCCATGATTGGAATAAAAAGGAAAAGAGAAATATTCCAAACAGAGGCTACAAAATTTTGCACGCAAGGAAATAAATAAATAAAAATCATTCATCAGTCAGTCACTCAGTCACAAGTGTTGTCACCTTTTTATTTGTCTCAACAGAAATACATTCATTATCTATATATATATATATACATATACATACATATTCTCCAGCCAGCTGTTGCTAAAACCCTACCTGTTTTTTCTTTTTTTATTTATTTATTATTTATTTTCATTCTAAAGACATTTTTAGAGATATCAAAAATTTGAATGAATAGTCTAACGGTTACTCTACCTTACATCATCAGATCATGCTTTAGAGAATACCGTACAAATAATTTTGAACATGCTTCTCATGGACACGAAAAAAGTATAATGGTTCAAATAAAAATAAATGTAAAATACATTATTATATATATATATACAAGACGTTAAATATCAATTTAAAAATATATATTTTATCATAAAAATTATGTATAATAGAAAAAATTAAATAAAAATTCACAAACTGTTGAAAAACTATTGAGCTTATTATGGGACCAAATACTAAAGCCCATGACAAGGAAATCAACCAAAGCCCAAATTAGACAGTCACAGTGGACCGGGCTGAGATTTGAACTGGACCGGCTTGGCCCGGTACTGTAAGTCCATCTCTTCTCGTCCGTCTGTAACTGTAATTCCCATTTTTTATCTTCAGGAGAAAAATGGCGACACTTTCCAACCTTAAAAATGTGCGAGGGAGGAGAAGTTTATTGATAAGGAGATTGGGGCTGTAAGGATTGGACACGTCAACTTCTCAGAGCTCACGGACATCTCTCTCCCACGAAGATAAGATAAGGTCGCCATTGCCAGTGCCCCACAGTAAAGATACCAAATTTAATTTTTACTGCAGAAGTGGAAGTCTGAAGACGTCTCAGAATTCTGTGAAAGTGCACAGAAATTGAAAGTCAAATAATAATGGAGAAATCAGAGAAAACAAGATATTTGGAGAAGATGATGATAATTCCAAGAAAATCCAGATAATATCAGCCGTTCAATTTCATCAGCCTTGTCCGATCCGAGGAGGCGCCGTTATTATTACCCACCCACCCCGACACTCTCCTCGCTCACTCTCTTCCTCTGAATCAATGGAGTCCCGCGTGCTCTCCGGCGCCGCCGTTCGCGGCCCGGCGTTCCTCCCCCGGCCGCCACGGAGGATCGTCGGGAGCTGCAGTTTCCCGGCGGTGAATGCGCCCGTCGTCGTCGCTGGCCGGTGGGGGAGGCAGCTTCGACCGGCGGTTCTTCTTGAAGCTTCGCCGGTGACGGCGACGGCGAAGAGGGAGAGTTTCCGTCCGTGCTCCGCCGCGGCTTCTTCGCCGGCGGAGAGCAGTGATTCTTCCGGGTAGGGTCCGGTTCATGATTCTAAACCAGTTAACCCGACCCGGAATATCCTTGATAGTATTGTTTGTTTATATTCTATTCGCAGGGGCGCTAAAGTCGGGTTTTTGGAGAAATACCCGGCCCTTGTCACCGGGTTCTTCTTCTTCATGTGGTAGGTCACGTGGCTGTCTCGTGACCTTTGTCCGTCTTTGTTGTGGAAAATGACTAACTTGCCCTTGCACTCTACAGGTATTTTCTCAACGTGATCTTCAACATCCTCAACAAGAAGATCTACAACTATTTCCCCTATCCCTAGTAAGCCTCTTCTGATCACGTCGGGAACGCCGATGATCGATGAAGATATATGTCTTTTTTTCCGGTGTAGAGCGATTCTGTACTGTAATTGAGATGGAAACGTTTGGTTATTTGTTCTGGCAGTTTTGTGTCAGTTATACATTTGTTCGTCGGTGTTGTTTATTGCTTGCTCAGCTGGATGGTTGGCCTTCCTAAGCGCGCTGTAAGTAATCCTCTATACAATCGTATGTGAGCTCACCTTTATTCGCAGCAATTGTTTTGTTTTTTGGATGCATCAGTTGTGAATTTGTTTATTCGTTCACATCTGATCGTATATTGATTATGCTGTTACTGAAATTTTCTCTGGCTCGTTTAGTCCTGTTCTTTTGGAGTATAGACTGGTCTTGTGAAGAGAAACGTAGCTCTATTTCATCGTGAATTGTCTCATGTGAAAGAAACTCATATTATCTGCTTGTAGATCCACTTTTACAAATTAGTGATGTATTAATGTTGTACATTTGATGTGTTTTTGTCTCTAGCCAATTGACTCAAACATCTTAAAGCTGCTCATTCCTGTTGCTGTATGCCATGCTCTAGGGCATATCACTAGTAATGTGTCCTTTGCTGCTGTTGCCGTCTCATTCACCCACACCATTAAAGGTAATCATGTGTTCTTTTCGACATTTTTAAATTTGAAAGCTTTTGCTTGAAACTAATGTTTTGCTCTCCTCATTTAGTATGCATTAACTTTCAATACTTATGTTTCACCTTGGATCAGCTCTCGAACCTTTCTTTAATGCTGCGGCATCACAATTCATTCTTGGACAGCAGATTCCACTGACATTGTGGCTGTCATTGGCTCCAGTAGTTCTTGGTGAGCGTTGATACAGTTTTTAACTGGAGTTTTAGTAGGCCAAGTTTCCCTTATACAAGAAATCTAATGAGTCCTTATTCTTTCTCTCTCTACAAAATGATTGTGTTGAAGTAATTCTAATATTACACATAACATGCAGGTGTTTCAATGGCATCACTGACTGAATTGTCTTTTAACTGGATTGGTTTTATCAGTGCTATGATTTCCAACGTTTCATTTACTTACAGGAGCATATACTCCAAGAAAGCTATGGTTAAGTGGCGTCCCTACTTTTACCATATTGCATACTTCCATCTAATATCGAAGCTTTACATCTGTTGTAAACGTTGTCATCTCTCCCTGATGAATATTGTTACTTTGCAGACAGATATGGATAGCACAAACTTGTATGCCTACATCTCAATTATCGCCCTCGTTGTCTGCATTCCTCCAGCCATATTTGTATGTCACACCAGATCTTTAGCAACGTTTCTCCCTTAATTTTTATCCCTTTCTTATTCTCAACTGATTTTCCTATGCATGTCATACAGTTTGAGGGACCTCAGCTGTTAAAGCATGGATTTAATGATGCAATTGCTAAAGTGGGAATGACTAAATTCATCTCCGATCTTTTCTGGGTTGGAATGTTTTACCACCTCTACAATCAGGTAGATATGATTTTCATGTGTTTCACTTGTTTTCAGACCATACATACATATTATGTTCGACAAACTTGCAACAATTGCCTTTTCTTCTCCGACCGGACAATTGTAGTAACACAATTCATTTTCCCTTCCTCAGCTTGCAACCAACACTCTAGAGAGAGTGGCGCCGCTCACTCATGCAGTTGGTAATGTGCTGAAACGTGTCTTCGTGATTGGCTTCTCAATTTTGGTATTTGGTAAGAATAATCCACTCTACATAACCTCATATATGTTAGATAGATGTGAATTTAGTTTTGATATATTTGAATCCTTGAAAAAAAAATTAAATAAATAAATCAGGTAACAAAATTTCACTACAAACTGGTATCGGCACCTCCATTGCCATTGCTGGAGTTGCAATCTACTCGTACATCAAGGCCAAAATGGAAGAAGAGAAACGAGTAAGCTACTCCTGACCCTTCTTTTGCAATCAAATATCCATTTTTTGGCAAACAATGAAAATAGCTCTTATCTAAGCTACTGTTTTGATGCTTAATACACGCGAAATTAAATACAAGCAAACTGTTTCTTCCTGTTTTATCCGAAGAATCAGTGTAGGAGATGGAGTTATTGTTGAATGGATAATTAGATAGAAACCTCATTTAGCAATTGAATTAATACGGCATTGTGTTTTGTTTTTGTAGCAAATGAAAGCAGCATGAGCGCGGAAAGTGCACGGAAGAATTCTCGACTCAAGCTGTTCCATACTATTCGCCGAAAAAGCAAAATATAGTAGCCTTCCTGAGCTCTTGCCCGGCCATTGTGTAATTAATTTGATTCAACTTTGTTTCTTCATGAAGTAGAGATGTCTTGTGAAGTGTTCATTTACTTGAGATGGATGGCATTGTGCATAATTTGTTATTTGTCTCTCATTCTTGCACAGGAAGGCTTGCCTTGCCTTGTTCCATCAATATTTGATGCTGTTTTTTACAGTAATGTAAGAATAAGATAGTTCAACACAAACGGATGATTATAAATAATATGTTATGTATAAATTTAACAGCATAAAGTAGTATATGTTTATACAGTACAAATGCAACACACCTATTACAATTAATCTCAAGACAACAAATATAAAATCGAATTTGCTGATTGAGACAATCCATATGATTTTGATAAATCTTTGGCATCCTAACCGAAACGAAATAATTGATTATCTGATTTACAATTTTTATAATAATACTAACGTATTAATTAACAATAATATGTGTTGTATATATGATTATAGAGTACTGAATAACCCTAACTAGCACTATAATCAATCCCATATAATAACTAGACAATTTTATATAAGAAAAAAACATATGTTTACAATAAAATTATAATAATGAGCAAAAACTTTGATTATATTTTATTATATTCATTTTTTCTAGTCAATTCTTCTAATATCGAATATTTTAACTGTAATCAATTGTAATTAAAATAATTCAACATTTGATCTTTCCATTACTATCACAACAATTTATATGTTATTAGGCTTGATTAAAAATTTACTCACACTCAAAACAATAGCGATCCAGTTTTTTTTTTTTTTTTAAAAAAAATCAACATTGAAATAGTCTGAAATCCACACAGCAAAACATCAATTGTGCCTTGCTATGGGCCATTCGACCCATTAATAATTGGGCCTAACAGCCCAGCCCAATATTAGGACCAAATTGGTTGAAGAATGCCCTGGACCCTGTGATCCTCCCCGTATTACTGCTGAAGCCACGAAAACAAAAGATTACAGGTCAAGAAAACCCAAAAGTACCAAAATCTCCCAGAACCATCCAAGAAAGTCTCCAGCTTTTAACCTCCTCCTCAATACCCGCAACCTAATTTCCTTTTTTTTTTTACACCCAAAAAAAAAAAAAAAAAATTGTTTCCAAGAGTCGAGAATTACGTGGTTGTTTGTAAGAAGCCCTGAAGGGTGGGAAAAACCCAACCAGATTATGGTTTCACGAAAGTATTAAATCAAATAAGACACAACCCCTTCCATATAGCATTTTCTTTTTTATATTTTGGGTTTGGAAAAAGAAAAGAAAATTAGGGCGGGTTGGGGGGTGGGGGGGTGGCAAAAGAGAAGATGGAAATTGATGCAACCAAGAGAGGGATAGACTATTTCCATTACTATCACAACAGTTGTTTTTGGGTTGCTTTTAATTTCATCGCTTTATTAAGTTTATTAGAAATTCGTGTCTGGATCTCCAGTTGCCCTTTGGTTGTTTCCTTGTTTCTCTCTCTAATTCGATTACATATTAATATTATTCTTATTCCAAATCGCTCGAAATCGCACCCGCCTCCATATAATAATATCCTCTATGTGGTTGTGGTTGTGGCTGTGGCTGTGGTGGTGTTTTTATTGCTATTGTTACATGTCCGTCACATGTGCCTCAGATTCCTCTCCTTTTACGCTTCCTTTCCTGCCCAGATAGGGATTGGGATTTCTGTTGTTTCCTTCTCCAAGCCCTGGTTATTCTTCTTCGGGGAATCTTGATTTCTAGGGTTTGTTTCTGGGCTGCAGATTGATCTGAGATGGAGGCAGGTTCCGAGGGGGAGATCAATCGGAACACGAATCAAAGCCCCACGGAGGGGGCGAAGAGGCCTAGGCGTCAGATGAAGACGCCGTTTCAGTTGGAGATGCTCGAGAAAACCTATGCAAGTATGTTCTTTCTTCGTTTTTCAATTTGTTTTTTTTTTAGGTTTTCTGGATGATTTCGTCTCTAGTTATGCTATGTTTGTGAGTTTATCTATTAGGATTAAGGTATGGAGTTTGGGGGTTTATTTTTTTTTCTGGCAATTTGATACATATGAAGCCGTCTGATTGTCTGTTTTGGAACTAAAGTTTCAGTATTTATTCAAACCTTCGAATGAAATTGTGCTATGGTGAAGAAGAAGTTGTTTTTTGGGGATTATGATAATGAAAATAGGATATGTATGTTGGTGTTGGCATTAGAACATAATGTTGTGCAATGACACTTTGTTGGCTTTTCTTTGGTTTCTCCGCGCAGCCGAGAAGCATCCATCGGAAACGACTCGTGGCGTGCTGTCTGAGAAATTAGGTTTAACGGATAGGCAACTGCAGATGTGGTTTTGTCATAGACGATTGAAGGATAAAAGGGAGGCATTGTGCGAGGGCACCACGAAGGCGCGCAATCCTGGATCTGTCGGGAGAAAGGGTTTGGTTGAATCCCCGAAAGAGGAATTGATGACTGCTAACCCTGTCATTGGAACAACTCTGGATTCTGGTTCTTCATCTGACTCAGATTCAGAGTCGAGTCAGTTTGCCAATGGAGATAATTCTCCATTGGTGCAGACGAGGTATTATGAGTCTCCTACGACCATCATGGAGCGTAGAGCGATAACTTGCGTGGAGATGCAGTTGGGAGAGCCTTTGAGAGAAGATGGGCCAATTCTTGGGGTGGAGTTTGATGAACTACCACCTGGTGCATTTGGTGCCCCCATAGGTACAATAACTCTTTATTGATTGGCGTCGTGGTCATACTTTATAATACTTCTTATTCTGTCACATTGAGCAGATACCTATGAAATTATAATAATGAATGATTTTGTTGATGTGACCTACATATATCTAGATCTTAGTTAAAGCAGGCGTGGTCTAGACACGAACAAGTGAACCTCTGTATTCATTGTATTGCAAAATTTATTTTTGTTTAAAATCTGAAGACATTCCACTTGTTAGTAGAATGTGCTTATTTTCTGTTATTTTCAGATAGAATAAATTATGGATTTTCTCTTTATGAGATTGTGTATTAACCAGATATTTCCTATAGGAACTAAGAATAAAACTGCTTTCTACAATTCATTTGGGAATAGAATACTTAAGCTTTTTCATGTTCTGAATTGCAGTGTAGATTTGATGTAAATATGCTATAGCCTATACGCAATAACTCATTTGATTCTTATTTTACAGTGCCAAGCAGACACAGAAAATCTTATGATGGCAAATTCTCTACAAAATATGATGGAAAGCGTATGAAGGTTTGTCCCTATATGATATTGAATTCTAAGTCTGTTAGAATCTGAATTTTAAAAGAACTTGCATGTGATCAAGGTTGGTAATTGATGGGATAGGTTGTTAAAATCAGAACATGTTAACATAGTTTTCACGAGCATCCTTTTTTTCCTCCCTGAAGATCATGCAATGACTTGGAAGCATTACCTTACTTGCAATGTCATCATACTTAAACCATGCTCTCTAAAAGTAAAGAAAACAAAATCAAGATTCGTACGGTCGTGCCCCCTTGAACATGCACAAGAGGGATATAATATCTATTAATTTAACATTTGGGTTCATTTTGAAAGCAGTCTTAAGTTACTTAGTCCAGCCATGTTTATTCCAGTTAATTATATCACATGGTATGTCTGGAAATTTTTTTATCTCAGGCTTCTTCTGTTGATCCTCATGAAGTAGAAGAATATAAAAGTCGGAAGGATGTGTATGGTCAAGCTGCACCACCCTGCTTCTATCACTCTCCTGTTGATGGTGCTTCGTCGAAAAGTCCATCTCTTGTCTATGGAAATGGCTATCTGCCAAAGGAAGATGTTGAGGGTCAAATAAAAACCATGGATATATATTCTCCTCCAGTCAGACAGGCGTGGGCTGCCTCATCTCCCATGAATACAGATGTGGTTTCTCACAGTGAAAATAATTTGCATAAAGGAAAGAAACGCAAGGTACTTTGCAGACTATTGATATTTTGCCTTCAAATTGTTTTAGCAAATTCTAATATATACAATTTATTATTAATCACCTTTTGTCAGAGCAATGATGCACCGTCTGAAAGAGAAATCCAAGCACGTGAAAAGAAGATGCGAAAAGAATTAGAGAAACAAGATCTTTTGAGGCGAAAGGTTTGAATTCATATGATTTTTTGCTTTGGTTTCATTGAACATATTGTTTATTATTGTGATGAAATATTGATACAATATTATTTTCCCTAGAGGGAGGAGCAAATGAGAAAAGAGATGGAAAGGCAAGAACGTGAAAGGCGGAAAGAAGAACTACGACTTATGCGAGAGCAGCAAAAGCAGGAAGAGAAGTTTCAGCGTGAGGAAAGGCGTGAAATGGAGCGGAGGGAGAAATTTATGCAGAGGGAGCTTTTACGGGTATATTAAACCTACAGTACTGTTACTCTTTGCTTTCCCTGATATGCTAGTGTCTTATCCTCTAAACCTTTAATATGATTCCAGGAAGAGAGGAGGAAACAGAAAGAAGAGAGACGCATGGAGAAGGAAGCTGCAAAACAAAAGGCAGCACTGGAGAGAGCAACAGCTCGGAGAATGGCTAAAGAATCCATGGAGCTAATCGAAGATGAGCGCCTGGAATTAATGGAACTGGCTGCTTCAAGCAAGGGGTTACCTTCAATTGTTTCTCTTGATTACGACACCTTACAAAATCTTGACGCATTCCGAGGTTGGTGCTGCTTGCAATAATCATATGTGTGAAGAGGTTGAAATAATAAACAAATGAAATTTATCACATGCCACTATATTATAACTGTATCAGTGTTACTACATGTATAATGTCCATGATGCTGTTGAGATTGCCACTTTTCCAGGCTTATAGTAACACTTAAAATTTGTGATTAATTGGAGTTATAGCTTTCCCTTTTTACTTGAAATACTCTATAGACTTATAAATTATGTCACATCATGCTTTCTTCACCTATATGATGCTGCCCTAAATAAAATTTTCTGTGATTCAGAATCTTTATGTGAGTTCCCACCAAAGTCTGTTCAATTGAGAATGCCTTTTGCCCTTCAACCGTGGATTGATTCAGAGGAAAATGTTGGAAGCCTCCTGATGGTATGAATCTGCATAGTTTTCTTCTTTTTGTGCATATGCTCTCTTTACCTTCCTTCATGGTTGCTCATCAAGTGGATATTTTCTTCTAGAAATACATATGGGTTGATAGTTAATTAACAATATTTTTTTCAGGTTTGGAAATTTTGTGCGACATTTGCAGATGTTATTGGACTCTGGCCTTTTACCCTTGACGAATTCGTACAAGCTATTCATGATTATGTGAGTATAGTATCAGATGCATTTATATTCTTTAGCTAGTTCACAGCTAGCTGACATCCGTTCTACTTTTATTACCTGGCCTGTAGTACCTTTTCATGGTCTCAGAAAATGCATATATAATTATCTATCATATCCATTATTGGTCTTCCCTCTACTTTTGGGTGTGAAGTTCCTTCATTATTCTGGGATTTCCTTTCGCCAATTTCAGTGTGCAATTTGTTTTAAAATTAATTTTGTAACGTTTACATACATAGCTTTCAAACATATATATATATATAGTTTAGTATTCATTTATCCTCATCTTCGGAATGGAGATTGGATTGTTTGTATCTGTAGCATTCAGGTTTGCATTTATTTTGCAGGAGTCAAGGTTGCTTGGTGAAATTCATATCGCTATTCTAAACCTCATTATCAAAGATATTGAGGATGTTGTGAGAGCACCTTCAGGTGGACCAGGCACGAATCAATACACTGCCATTAATACCGAAGGTGGACACCCTCATATCATTGAAGGGGTAATTATTCCGTTGTAATGCTCATTCATTGAATTTTTTCTGGTCATCTGCTTGTTTGCTGGAAGTTATTTAATCTTTCCTGTTGCATTGGCAGGCCTATATGTGGGGTGTTGACATAAGAAACTGGCAGAAACACTTAAATCCACTGACATGGCCGGAAATTTTAAGACAGCTGGCGCTTTCTGCTGGTTTGGGACCACAATTGATGCAAAAGGGAATTGATCCAGTTCCCTCGAGCAATAAAGACGAGGTACTTAATTTTTTACTTACTCTGTTATGTGATTCTGGGCGGAGCTGATAAAATTTGATAAACCAAGAATTCTTGTATACCCCCAATTACACTATCATTAAATTTGCATATTTCTTCAAAAAGTTCTAATATGTTTTGGCTAGCGGATCTCTATTTCATCAAAGTGTAAGCATTTATAACCATAATCGATGTTTTTGAGAATATTACAGCATAACTATCATCGTATTGTATCTTTCCCACCCCCCATATTATACTTTGGCTTTAATATTATCACGTGTTTTTGTAGAGTAAAAGTTGTGAAGATATAGTGTCCACTTTGCGAAATGGTTCAGCAGCTGAGAATGCAGTTGCACTTATGCAAGAGAAAGGATTGTCCTTGCAACGCAAATCAAGACACCGGCTGACTCCTGGAACTGTTAAATTTGCTGCTTACCATGTTCTTGCTTTTGAAGGAAGCAAAGGATTGAATGTCATTGAGCTTGCAGAGAAAATTCAAGTAAGTTTTGTTAGTCAGAATTGTGTATGAACTTGTTTTCCAATTATCTAATTGCGTTATCTTTATAGAAATCTGGGCTTCGTGACCTGACTTCGAGCAAGACTCCAGAAGCATCTATATCTGTTGCCTTGTCAAGGGATCCAGTACTTTTTGAAAGAATTGCTCCATCGACATACTGTGTACGGCCAGCTTTCAGAAAAGATCCTGCCGATGCTGAATCAATCATTGCTGCAGCCAAGGAGAAGATACAGCGCTACGCAAATGGTTTTCTCTCTGGTCAAAATGCTGATGAGGAGGAGAGAGATGAGGATTCAGACAGCGATGTTGTTGAGGCTACTGAAGCGGAGAGGTCGGCTACCCCTCTGAATACCATAAAAAATGAAATGATCGAAGTTGGCGGCCCCTACTTGGGAAATGACAAAGAAAAGCTCCCTCCCAGTGTTGGTTTGGAGAACGGAATTTGCAGCACTGGTAAAAGTTGTTTCATTTTGTTCCTTGCGGACATAACCTGTGTTTTCTTATAGTCTGTAAGGTTTCAGGGCTTCTTAACTGATCAATCAATTGATGCTTCTAAAGGTATAGATGAAGGAAACCCTGATGAAGGCATTGTGGTTGATGAAAGCAGATCAGGTGAGCTTTGGGTCCAAGGGCTCACCGAAGGAGAATACTCTGATTTATCCATTAAAGAGCGTTTGAATGCCCTAGTGGCCTTGATAGGCATTGCAAATGAAGGGAACACAATTCGAATGATTCTTGAGGTTTGGCATTCTAATGATAATCAAATAGTGAAATGGGATAAACAATCTCTTTTCTGCAGCATTTCCTAATGAATTTTGTTGTTGCAGGAACGGATGGAAGCTGCCAATGCTTTGAAAAAGCAGATGTTGGCGGATGTACAGTCGGACAAAAGGAGAATGAGAGAGGAATTTATTACTAAGATTTGTGACCCTTCCTTTCACACTGCAGCCGAGGGTGGGTCGAGTTTGCAAGTAAATAAAATTTATGACCCATCAGGAACCATTTCCGGGAAGGATGATTCTTCTGTTGTGGGCGGTGATGTTAATGCCTCCATTGATGTTCCAGCTCAGGATACATCTATGGGTCACTTTGTCCCTCCCAGTCAGCCGAGCGGACAGATGAATGAAAGGTCACGGATGCAACTAAAATCTTATATAGGCCACAAAGCTGAAGAACTGTATGTTTACAGGTCGTTGCCTCTGGGCCAAGATAGAAGGAGAAATCGTTACTGGTACTTTGCAGCCTCGACTTCTTGCCTCGATCCTGGTTCAGGCAGAATATTTGTTGAATCACCCGATGGCCGTTGGAGGCTTATTGATTCCGAGGAGGTAATATAGTGCGCATGTTACGCCCACACAGCTCTCTATATTTTATTATTATTATTTTTCTGATCTTGGAAATCTTCTAGTACAGCTGTAAGACTAAGGATGCTTTATAGCGCCAAATGCTAGGTTTACATTAACCGTAAATGAGGGTAACTGAAATGATAGTTTGGGTGTTCAGCGGCAGTAGTTATGTGAAAATGTTAAATTTCATTCTAAAGTGGAGAGACATTTCTGGAGGAAGATTATTTAGTTATGAGTTAGCCTAAACTAATACCTCTAATCATAACTCAGATTCTGTCAAATCTTTGTGCAGGGATTTGATGGTCTTTTAACATCTCTGGACACTCGCGGCACTCGAGAATCTCATTTGCATATAATGCTTCAAAAGATTGAAGTCTGCTTCAGGGAATGTGTTAGAAGACAACTCAGTGGCAGACAAGGTGTTGCTGAAGCGAATTCTCCCGGTTATTCAAGTCCTGATGCACCGGCAACATCAATATCGTTCCAAATCGATATCGGAAGGAATGAAACTGAGCAAAGTAACTTCTTGAAGAGATATGGAGAATTACAGAATTGGATGTGGAGAGAATGCATCAACTCAACCACACTCCGCTCCGTGGCATTTGGAAAGAAACGGTGCTCACCAGTGATGGGTGTATGTGATGTTTGCCTTACTATTTACGATGGTAAGCAGGAGATGTGTACGTCGTGCCTTCAGCATCGCCATACGGAAGGAAATTTCTCGAAGCAGTTCTGGGAGGGAGAATATATTATTTTGTCAAACTCATCTCCTGTAAGAATCAGACTAATCAAAGCCATTTTTACTCTGCTTGAGGTATGCTACTGACCAATTTAGCAACTTCCTGCATTTTGAGGAATATTTTCTCCATAGCCCGATTCAAATTAATTATGTTCGCTTTATCTACAGGTTTCTGTTCCACATGAAGCCCTTGATCCTTCTTGGACTGATGAGCATAGGAAAAATTGGGGCTTTGAGATTCAAAAATGCACATCCGTCGATGGACTTCTACAGGTTTAATTCTGAATGAATGATTATACTTTTCACAATTCTATTGCGAATACACGTTCCGCTTAAATTTTCTTCATGACCTGCCTTGACATACAAGAGACTAATACGGTTTTTTAAAATGTTTTTCAGATGGTGACTATGATTGAGGCTGCCATAAAACGTGACTATCTGTCGGAAGATTTTGAAACAGCCGAGGACTTGGTTCATTACTGTAACTCCTCAAGAAATGAATTTACTTCTGCAGGATCTGTCCGTCAGCTTCCATGGATACCAAAGACTACTTCTGCGGTAGCTCTGAGGCTTTTGGAGCTCGAGGCATCTATTTTCTTTACCGAAGAACAGAAGGCTGCGGCACTTGACGAAAAGAAATTGCAAATTATTCCGGTTCATTCTCCCTCTCTCTCTCTCTCTCTCTCTCCCTAGTAAATATGTTATCTTAAATCATATATTCAGGCTTATAACAATTTATACTTACCTTGTTACCTTGTTTTACGGCATCGTGCAGAAGTTCGCTTTGAGGTATGGCAACACAAAGGACATTCAGAAGGCCAAAGCTATGGATTCCGATAGACATGGATCTGCCAAAGAAAACCACGCGCACGATGCTCCTGGTAGCTCCCGGGGTGGGCAAGGGGTTCGGAAGCTAGGGGGGCGTCCTTTTGGGAAGTCGCAGAAAGTAGTGAAGAGATCAATCTCACAATCAGGTGGCAAGCGAGGTACGAAAAATGGTCGGACTTTGAATCAAATTCTTTCCCAGCAGGGAGTGGGAAATGCTGGACAGAAGCACGGACGAGGTCCGAGAACGGTCCGGAAAAGGAGAATGGAGAAGCAGGTTGTTGCAGAGACTCCGCAGGATTACTTAAACGACGACGATGAGGAGGACAAGAATGTTCTTGAGGATGCTATCGAGGATTTCGGCGCAGATAATTATGTTGTTGACAACAATGGTAGCAGTAACAGCATGGAAGCTGATGATTCGGACGATGAACATGCCAACATCGACCCGTTTGCCTATGCAAAATGGGGTGCAGCCTCGTTCGACGAAGATGATGATGACAATGCTCCTAATAGAAGTGATGGAGTGATGGCGGAGATGAGCGAAGACGACGGGGATGACAGTGAAGATGTCGAAAATGGCTATGACGAAGAGGATGGCCGGAATTCGAATGGAGATGGAGGTATGGAAATCGGCGACGGATCAGAGAGAGACGAGCAGAACGGAGACGAAGGTTCTGATGATTCTATGGCTTCTGGGGATTCAAGTGACTGAGGACTGATGAGGCACATTTTTGGGTAAACCATAATCACATACATTACAATACACTACAGTTTAGTATTATAAATCTTGATTCTTTTTTAGTATTTTTGGTAGTAATTGGAGAAACCCATTGTCTGGGCTGGGCTGATTTGAGTTTCAAGGCATGTCCTCCCTCTAAGATTATAGAAAATTTATTAAAACATATTTAGTACTGGATAATGTTCATCTATCTACAAATGACATATAAGAAGAAAAATCCTTTTTGTATGTCACACAAGACAATACTCATTTAAATTACATATAGAAACTGAAGTACTTGCACAAAATTCCAGGGTTTCTTGATCTACAATGGGTATTGTGTTTATTCTCATCTAACTGCTACAATGCTCCCTGAGATTGATTGTCGAAAACTTACTGAGAAAGAAGTTTCTTGATTCCAGATTTCTGCTCCGCCGTGAGCCGAGTGGGGAACTTAATGTTGAACTTGATCCTCAGGTTCCCTCTTTTAGTGGGTTCTTTAGGAATAGGCATCCCTTCTCTAGGCACTACTTCTTCGTAGTTGGGATGGATCACAGTGTTGATAGGAATGGTCAAGCTCCTCCCATCCAACGTCGTGATGTGTGCCGTGTAGCCTGTAAGTGCTTCCGCAAGTGATATCTTCTGCGTTACGAGAAGATCATTCCCATCTCTTGTGAAGACACTGTGCGGCTTCTCCTCTATTATGAATACTAGGTCAGCTGGAATCACATTCGGCTGCTCGTGTCCTTTCTCTGGGAATGTTATCTTAGTTCCCCTTTTCCAGCCCGGTTTAATGTCAATGGTCAGAATCTCCTCCACCGGTAAAGTTTTCCTGTTTAAAGGGAACAACCATTATTAGATAACAAGCTAGAAAGAATGTGCAATTGAAGTATATGATGTAGATAACATCATTATTTTTATCTTGAAATCAACTCTTACTAAAGAATCCATCTTACTAGTATCTACTTATAATGTATCTCCATAGGAAGAGGATTCTTAGTTATAGAATTTAAGTATTAAGAAAACTTTCCCCATCCAACCATACTTCTAACTATCGGTATGTAGAATCATCAAGAAAGTATCTTTTCAGCCTGCACATTATGATATTACCCTTCTCAGTTACTTCTACCAACTGAATCTAAATCCTTATAACTACAGTTGCAATACCAATTATCTTACCATGATTTCAGCAACACAATTGAATCAGATATACAACTAAAGCTACAGGGCAGGGCAGATAATTCTATAGCAGAAGAACAACTTACCCACTGGCATCAGCTATCTCTCTAGAAATCTTCATCTTTTTTGTAGTTCCCTTATATAGCTCTTCCAAGCTGCAGGGTAATTTTTGCTCAATGGGCGGAGCCTTCCTAGGACCCGAACTCATCGGTCTGCTGTCGGCGAAAGAGCTAAAGATATCATCTCCAAACATGGAGCCCCCTGGAAACCTGGAACCTCCCCTCATCCCACTACCACCTCCCATCCCTCCAAATGGACCACCTGAGAAACCAAAGAACTCTGCAAATATGTCGTCTGGATTCCTGGGATTGAATCTGAACACATTCGGCCCATCTCCTGTATGGAAAAATGTTGCTCCGCCACCGCCAGGACCGCTGGCATCAGGCGGCACTTGACCTTTCAGGCCTTCTTCACCGTATTGATCATAGACTGCCCTCTTCTGGGGATCACTCAGAACCTGCAACAACAGGCCAAGGTGATGCTCAGAAGCAAAATTACAGATTATACAAACCCTAAATGATTCATCACAAGAACAAATTAAACAACAGAAGTGACAATGCAGGCAGCATCAACCATGTCTCAGAGCCGAACATTCAAAAAACTCCCCATAACGTAATCGAGTGATTATTGATGATAATCAATCAAATTCCATCAAAATTCAAAACACCAAACGAAAAAACTCTCACATGATCTCTAACAGCTAGTGGAAGATGATTACACGTTCAAACACACGTACGAAACAATATAGAACAAAAAATACATGGAGCTAAATGAAAAAACGAAACCATACATCATAAGCTTCAGAAACCTCCTTGAATTTCGCCTCGGCCTCTTTCTTATTGTTCGGATTCTTATCAGGATGCCATTTCATCGCGAGCTTACGGTAAGCTTTCTTCAAGTCCTCATCTTTCGCGTTTTTATCTACCTGCAATACCTTGTAATAATCCACACCCATCTTTTCCTCCTTCCTCTTCCGATCAACGCCTCAAAACTGAACAAAATATCTTATATACAATTCACAGTGAACGAATTGCGAATTGTGGAACCACTGATTGATTTTTATTAGTGGCGTTCCATTGCAGCATGGAGAAGGGACAGGTCAGATGACTCTGGAACAACTTACCCGAAGAACATGCTAGAACCACGTGGAACTTTCCAGATCCTAATTGGGTCTAAGCCCAAATATTCATGGGCCCAAAAAGCCCAATAAAAAGCCTTATCATAAGCTCATTAATCTTCAGAGGTCCGGGACCACCAACTGCACTGTCAAACCTTTCCTCCTCCTCCTTCCCCAGGGAGCTAGGGATTTTGATCTTATCCAAATTCCGAACCAGGAGGTTGTGCTAATGGAGGACACGAATTGGGAGCAGAAGCTCCACGCCTTGACTCACGTCATGACCAGTCCGACAACATCGCCACCGCTACACAGCCAGGTTTTCATATCCACGCAGATCCCCTGCTACCTCGACTGGGACTACCCGCCGCTGCTCTGCCGCCGGCCCTCCGCAGGCCTCCGGTGGGGCGTCTCCCAGTTTGTGAAGAGATTTTCGAGATTCGGGCTCCCGGAGACGTCGTGGCGGTCGAAATGCCCCTACCAGGTGCCGCCGCCGGCGGTAATGGCGAAGGGCGTGGAGGAAGGACGGTGGAGCGAGGAGGAGAGGAGGAGATACGTGCGGGAGAGAATGAGGAGGAAGAGACTGGGGAGCGACGTTCATCCATTGGTACCAATTGTTATCCCAAATATGATGCTGTTGGCACTCCTGGTTTGGGATCCAGTCCCCATAGACGACACCCCATAGGCCATAGCATAGAAGATTTACTGTCCAATTTTCATTTTCATTTTTCCTTTTCTTTTCTGGAAAAATTAGAAATAAGTAAATTATAATTAATAGACTATATTTTTATTGTAAACTAGAGTATAAAATAGCAGTAATACAACTCCTACGCTGAAAATATAGTTTCCATACTCTGTCACCTCTCATATAATAAATGGTTTCAAATTAAATTTATTCTTTCAAAACAACTTGTATCAAATATTTTTTAACAAACCATTAAAACAAATTACTAATTTATTTTTTTCCAAATTTTTAAAAGCCTCAAAAAATTCCTATCTAAACGAAACTGTCGAAAGAGAGCAGACGTGGCTGAAGCCTGAGGGGGGCCTGGTCCTGGCAGTGACATACAACTACATACTTTTCCAGATTTTCTGAAAAATATTTTAAATTACTTGCATTATATAAAATGCCAAACCTTTTTAAATGTATGCGTAAATAAAACAATGGATTTATTCATTCAATATTTTTTTATAATTTTTTATAAATATTACAAAAATATAATATATATATATTAATACAATATATAATATAAAAATATTATATTTACTCATAAAAAAATAATAGTAATTCAACACAAAATATATATATATATATATTTTTTATATTAATGGTGGGGCCACTGCACATGGGCTTTAACTAGTGGGCAAGTCCAACATTAAAGACACTAGAAATTATTATTTCTTTCTTTTAATTAAAATATTTATTTATATTTTATAAATAAAACTATATAAATCAATAATTAAATAAATAAATATATATATGTAAATTCTAACCCACCTCGAGCACCAATTGTAATTTTATTTTCTTTATTTCATTACACCGATGTTACATTCCGCCAATCTCGCAAGAATTTAGCTAAGCCCGAGAAAACGGCAAAACTAACGGCGTTGACAAAGAAACACTTCAATAACTAACCATGATTCCGTGATTGTTTGGTTTTAATAATACTTACTTACATTTGTTATTACACTTGTAATTTTATCTACATATAATTTAACTTTTTATATAACTTTTATTAATATACCGAATCAATTTGAATTTCAACGTTTTATTTAAATAATATTTTAATTTAATATTTGGTGATATATATAATATGTTTATATTAAGAATCATACTTGAATAATCATGTTTTATTTCAAATGTATTATTAAAAAAAAAAAAAAGCTCACCCCAAACGTACAGCAAAAATGATGACGTAATGGGTTCTTTCTGTATGAATTTTGACAGTGATTGTCTAGATCAGTTTGTTTAGTTGGATTTGAAATTGGATTTTTTTATCTAAATTTTAATTAAATAATATTAAGATATGATATTTTGATGAATAAAAAAATACATTTTTATTGAAAATTATACTATTTATAATTTTAAATTTGAAATGCAAAACAAACACACTTTATATTTGATCTGAAATAAATTTTATTGTAATGTTTAAATGAAATATAATTTAGATAAAAAATAAATAAATATTAATGTCGTAATTTTATTCTCTAGCACGATAAATAGCAATGAGACAATGAAACCATGTCCAAGAATGCCTTTCTCATCTTATTTTCATACTATTATATACACAATATATTAAAAGCTTGCCTTAATTTTATTTGATTTTACTTTTAAAATTATATATAAATTTTATTAAAATCCAACAATAACTTTGTTCTATATTAGGTTTTTTACTATATAATTCTCAATATTCACTCTAAAAATTTATTTCACCTTATTACAAAATATATAAAATTCAAATTATCATTCAAAAATAAATTTAAAATAAATTTTTTAAATCAAACTCCAAAAGGCCCCATCTAATCTTATGTATATACATATATATATATATCTAAGTTATTAACTTTTTTTTTTTAATCATTATATTAAAGTATATAAAAATGTTTATTTCAAACAAACCCTTAAAAACCTCTATAAAAACACACAAACCCCGAACACTAGTACTACTCCACACTCACCCTACCCCACCCCCCACCCCTGCAATGGCTTCCTTCGCCAACCAACTCTCCATCGTCTTCCTCCTCCTCCTCCCACTGTTCTTATCCTCTCTGCACACCACAACCGCAAGAGACACCCAATTCTTCAACAAAGTCCCTTCCACCACCAACAATGGCGTCCCTAAAAATGAACTCCCCCAAACTCAAGATCCCAACTTCCAACCCAACACCGATAACAACTACGGCCTCTACGGCAACTCCGACGCCGCCACTCTGCCGCCGTCAAAGTACCTCCCCAAAAACTACAACCCCGTTGCCTATGTCACCGTGCCGGAGACAACTAACGACGACAACAACAACAACGACGACGGCAACAAGTTTTACAGCACCACCAACGGCTACGACAATGGCGGCCGCCAGAACTTCTACGACGCCCAGCAAGAGGAAGAAGATCAAACGCCGTACAGAAGCTACACCAACGCCGCCGCCGAGTTCCAGCCGCAGGGACTGAGCGACACCAGGTCCTTCCAAAACGGCCGGTACTTTTACGACGTCGACGCCGAGAAATTCAGCGGCAGCCACCCCTACCAGAGCCTGAGAGGTGGCCGGAGGAATTCCTACGACGCCGGAGCCGGCGACCGGTACGGCCAGTTTAACGGTGGGAACGCCGTCGGAGAGTTTCGTCAGAGCCAGAACGAGTTCCAGCCGGAGGAGAATTTCAATGAGCCATGAAAATTATAACAAATATTTTAATTAATTATTATTAATTAAACTAAAATATATTATAGGGGGGATTGTTGTGTTATGAATTGAACCACATGTTTAATTAATTATGTGGGTTTTTATTTTTGAATTTTCAGCATTTTCATGCCCTTGCGTTTTTGGAATTGTGGGATTTTGAATTTGTAATGGTCTGTTGATGAATTTTATTTATATATTTTTACGATGTGCTTTTTTATTTTTGCCACGTCTTTTTTTAAAGCAATAAAGTGTAATAATTGGACTTTATTAAATTGCAGCACCATTCACGGATTAATCAACGGATTTAATTTGCCTTTTGGACCAAACTACCATTTCTTGATTGATTTTTCACAAATATTTAATTCAATCACTACATCAACATGTAACAATATTATACTATATTTTAACAATATAAATAAAAAAAATAGGTAAATAGTCCAATGTTGTCAGTGTCAGTGTAGCTAGCGGAGTAGTGAAGTTTTGGTGTGCAGTTATGAATCGGGTAGCCATCATCCTCGTCATAACACGATTTCTATTATCTGTCCTGAATACCAACAAGAATCGTGTTTTCAGATTTAATTTGTTCTGTGCTTACGCTAAAGCCAAAAACCAGCACTTTTTTTTTTTTCTTTAAATATTATTATTAAATGGTGCGAATTAATTGAAGAAGGATGGAAGTCGGATTGTGGCGCAGATGTCGGGGAAGTCCCGGCCCTCTCTGTAGGGGCTTTTAACTTTTGCCCTGACTTACGGTTCAAGATTTCATGTCTGCCTTTCCTTGACTTTAAATTTTCAGTTGTGGGGCAGTTAGTCATAATAAATGCATACCCTTCTTTTACTAAGGTTACTTTTTATTTAGATATATATTTTTAAATAATAATAATTGTATATATATATTAAAAAAAAATAGAACCAAAATGGCGCCACATTTATTGGAGCTCCCGGATCTCAGCGCTGCACGGACGTTTAACATAAATAGGAGCGATACGGATTTGGAGTCCCGGGTGTTATAAAAAACCAATCCTTTTATTCTTACATATGTTTCCACAACCCGGGTACTCTTTTTTTTTGTGTGTGAATTATTTTATTTTATTTTTTTTATCAACAATAGTTAGATATAATATTGAGATGCCTATTTACGTTTGTAATTTCATTTTTTTATTTATTAAAAATATTTTAAATCCTAGTAAATAATTATTTTTATTTAAATTTTATTTTAAAATTATAGCGACTAGGCTGAATAATGCCAAAATAAGTGAATAAATAAAAATGATGGGCAAATATCAGGTCAGGTAATTATGAGAGTGGACCATTTAAAAAGGGTAACTGGGTTTACTATTATAATTTGCTGTTCAAATCATATGTACATTTATAGGTAAAGACAAGATTGGCAACCACTCTTTTAGAATCCTATGCTTTCAAATACTTATCTTTCATTGATTTTTTAACAGAGAAAAAATATTTTATTAATAAATGAAAGTATATAAATTTTTTTAACAAATTTATCTTTACAATATATAATAATAATATATTTAATTTATATAAAAACTAAATGTATTTTTGTAATAGTATATTATATGAAAATAACAAAATATAAAGATTTGATTGCACGGAAAGAGCATAATTATTAATCATATTGTATATATTTTATTTAAAAGAAAATTAAAAGTAACGATTAAAATTCCAACGGCGTTGTTCTCAATTCTCTGTTGGACTGGTGTTTTGGGCTACTCTATTTGGGCCTTGTGGGCTTGTGCATTTGATGAAAATGAAGGGTATTTTTGGCAATGCACGATATTTTATTTTATAAATGTTTTAATTTAATTTATTGTCATTATTGGTTGAATTTGGGGAAACCAGAAAAGGAGAAGAAAAGGTTAAGCAAGCGTTGGAGCTAAAACCTAAAACCTCAGCCAGAACCCTAACCCTAATCCGCCGTGCATTTGAATCTGCTATGGCTGCATTCGCCGCCAGGTCCGTCATGCGCTCCGCCGCTACATCGGCCAGGGGGGCGGCCGCCAGGTTATCGCCTGGAGCGAAGTCTAGGACTGGTGGATCTCCATTTCGCGTCTCTGTTCAGAAGCCGCTTTCTGCTCGCATTTTTAGGTCGATTAGAATGGAATATTGTTTTTACTGTTGATGACTATGGTGTTTTATTGCGGCAATTTGAATTTTTTTTTTCATGCGCTAGGTCTCCTGTGGAGATGAGCAGTGCTAGCGCGTTGTCGATGTTGCCGTTCCATAGTGCTACCGCCTCGGCGCTGCTTACTTCTATGCTCTCTGTTTCTCCTCGTAGCCACGCTTGGACTCTTGAAGGTAATGTTTTATATTCTCGTCGATGTTTCTAGTCATGAAACCAATGCTGTTACTTAGTCTGAATCTGGATGGCTTCTAATTAGCATTTGCAGATAATTGTGATCCTTAGGTTGTTTATGCTAACGATTACTTGAAAATTTTAATGTGCCAAACACATTAGGTGTTTGTCACTGATAAGACTTTAGAGATTATACATGAATATGGACTTTTAAGGCTAGTTAGTTTCTGTCTGAAGACATCCTTACTGTTAGTTTTGTTTAGCAAGATGAAATCTCTGAATAATCATTGATTTTTGTCCTTCATAGGTAGGATTATTTGTTTTCCCCCTTGTTTGTCATTCTTTTGTTTGAGGTATTCCAACAAACTTTTGAAGTAAAAAAGGTGTATTCTTTTTATCTTGTAGGGCAAAAACGGACTAGATGAAGGTCATGAAAAGGAGGTGAAGTGATTTGTTTCTTCATCTAATGAACATAATAAAAAACATGGCATTTATCTCTTCATAGATGAATTTGTCAACCCTTCATGTAAAAAAGGACCTTTGCAAGAGCTTCATTGTACTAGAAAAAACCCTCTAGGTGTGCTGTATCTATCTCCTTTTATATAGGTTCAACCTGACATTTTGCATGATTTTATTTGAGGTCTCTCAATTTGCTATATTGATAAAGTTCATGGCTAAATGAAATCATAGATTAATCCTGGGGGAAGCCCCCTCCAAATGTCTTGAGAAATTTCTTCACACTCCATAAGTTTTTCATAGCTTTGGTGAATGGAACTTTAGTATCATACGACATATTTCATTTGAGAAATCCATTATTGTTTAGAAATATGATAGTTTTTTCCTCCTACATATATAGATCATACTAATACTCCATGTTCATCAGATTGCAACGATGATGTATGACCACAGTTGGATGGTTCAAGTGAAGTTTTATTTTACATGTGCCCTATGAGAATGCTTAATAACGGTCACACATGAGCTGATTGCAAGAATGCATCAATTTCTTGTGTTTGTCAAGAAGGATTATTGGTATTTGTGATACACTTAATTCTGTGATAAATGCTAATCTACAGTTGAAGCATCATTTTTGTATACTTTTAGTTTCTGATAAATTTAGTAACAAATTCTTGTACAGTTTGCATTTTGTTCATATTATATTAAGAATTTGGTCGATGGCTAAAATTTCCGACACTGCGACATGGCCTCTTGACTCGGGCTTTTCTTCCTTTATAGGGTTGTGATATCTGCTCACTGGCTGCCTGTCTGTTGCTTTGAAGATACTCCCAAACTTTCACTTTTCCCCTCTTAGCTATTCTGAAGTTGAATTCTGAGTAAATAGTTATTTATTAATTACCTCTCAGAATCAAAGATTTGCTTCTGCTTTTGCTCGAATTTTACTGCATGTAACAGATATAGCTATCCACTTCTATTTCTACCAATAAGAATGTCTTTCTCCTGTATTGTAGATGGATGGTTATTCTTCCATGGATGTTATGCAACCAATGGTTTTTCTGCTTTCTTCTTGTTCAGCTGACTAACTTATTGTAAAATTCCAGGAAGAAAAGGATTTTGAGCATTGAAACCTAAGAAGATTTAAAAAATAAATAAATTCGTTAAGATGTACAAAGCCGATGCGGCCCAATTCATCCGCATTAGATTATTTGTGATTGATGGGCCTTTTTAATACGGCCCAAAGCCCAATTCAATGATAATAAATTTTATTTAAAAAATCGAATAGTCTAAAACATTTTTTCAACGTCTCTTTCCTCATATTAATTGACATTAGTGAACAAGTAAAATAGAAATTATTTTCCAGAAAAGAAAAAAAAATATTCAAAAATAAATTATCCAGAAAAAAAATAAATTATTGTTTTGTTTTTTAAAAGAAGCCTACAGCAACCGTTGAGGCAAAACCAGTGAATTTGCTTCAGATCAACGCTGTAGAATATATCTGGAGCAGGAGCCGATTAAGGAGATCAGCTTGTGGAGTTCTCTGTTGCTGTATTCGTGGTCTTTGCTGTGATTTGAATTGTTGTTTGGAATTTCGGTGTAATCATGGACTCTGATTTCTGGATGACGCGCCTCGCCGCTGCGAAGAGGCAGCTGAATATGCAGAGCGGGAATCATGTCGGCCACAGTGCGGCGAGCTCTCAATTAGGTTTGTGTTTTTACTCTACTTGATGTAGTTTCTGATTGATTTGGATGTTTGTTTTGTTTGAGAACACTTGGTGCTGGTTGTAGACGAATTGGATGTGGAGGACGAGATCCGGTCCGATTATCCTTGTCCGTATTGTTATTCGGAGTTCGACATAGGATCGCTCTGCTCGCATCTGGAGGATGATCACTCCTGCGAATCGAAGCCTGCAGTGAGTTTCTAGTAGAACCGATGCGTTTGTTTGTGTTCATCTTTTGCATATATGCCTCAGAAATCGAGTGGATTTTGTTTGAATCTGGTGATGCTCGCCTCTGTGATTAGGTTTTTGCTTTTGCTTTTGGTGAATGATGAATATGCTTATTAATATTATATTCACTTTGTCGAACTTGTTCGAGCTTCATGATGATGCTTTATTCTATTCCTCTTTCAATTATTCGTTCTGCACATTTGTTCTTCTCCTATCCACTTTTGAAATTTCAAATTCCTCAACTGCTTATACAAAATAGGCAAAGAAGGAAATGATCATAGCCTAGTAGATCAAACGTGGTTGTTTATTCATTTTCAAATCGAATCAATGGTAACTCACCTTTCTTGTTTAGTTAGTTAATAATCAATCATCTCTAGCAAAGAATTCTCACTAGTCTTCGAAGAAGTTCTCACTACCTAAGATTGCAATGTGAATTCCAAAGTCTTTACCATTTGATATTTCCTCTTTCTTTGTAGGTTTGTCCGATTTGCTCTGTTAAAATCGCCCGGGATATGCTAAGTCACATAATGCTGCAGCACGGGCATCTGCTGAAGATATCCTTGTCTCGAAAATATATTCGATCGTAGACTCTGATATTTGTTCTCTTATGATCTTGTCTGACTTGTGCCGCAGCTATCCTTAACTTACAATTACTTGCACCGCCATCGCCGGGTGCGAAAAGCTCCGATCCCCACCAGTCAGGCGCTGTCCCTGCTGGGGAGAGATTTGAGGGATGCCCATTTACAGGTGCTTCTGGGAGGATCCAGGTCGAATAATTCAACTGCAACTACTGCCATTACTGATGGTTTTTTCTCGTCTCTCATCTCGACGCTCTCTGCATCCGAAACTGATGACATTTCAAAATCTGTGATGTCAAGTTTTGATGAGAATTCATCGAAGAACGCTCCATCCGACCATATATGGACTTCAAGGTAGCTAACTTAACTTGCTCATATCATTTTTACAACGCAAGATTTCTGAGTAATGATTGCGCAACATATTTCAATGTTAAATCTACATGCAGTTTACTATCTTCGCTCACGCACGAAGAGCGCGAGCAGCGAATAAAACAGGCGACTCGTAGAGCCATATTTGTCCAAGATCTGCTTGCGTCGACTCTATGGTTCGACTAGGGCTATAAGAACCCCCAGGTGTTCTTCTAGTTTTCAAATTTGTGATGAATTCCGTCGCATTTCTTCATCAAGGCTTTTTATTAATTGTCCCTGCTGCCACCGTGCCTATTGGACGTAAAAAGAAACTGTAGGTATGTCTGTGTATTTGGATTTTGGATGATACCAACAACATGAACGAAACAATGAAAAATCCATATATTGTGTTAAAGTTGCCATTACAGAGAAACAACCCTTTATTGTCACAAATTGTGCTGTTTGTTTCTTTCTTTTGTGTTTTCAACAATATATATACATTTAATGTATACTCCATTCGTCTTGTTTAATCATTTTATTTTTATCATTTTTGTCTATCAATTAATTATAATAGAAGTAATCATATCTAAATATATATTTTAAGGGACAAAAAGAAGTATTATTTATAACTTACATGTACGTTTTGCTTATGTTATTTACTTTATTTATATTATATACTTATTAAATAACTTTTTAATTTGAGATTTTACTAATCTTACAACCAATCTTGAGACCCATAAGAGTTATTTATTGGATTTTTTATCTTATATTTTTGTGGTATACAATAACATATTTTTATGGTATTTATTCATTTACTTATTATTGTTATTATTATTTTTTTACAATAGACTTTGGTTGCACATGATGCCAATACAGCAAACATCAAGGTACGTTGGGTCGCAGGGTTGACTCAACTCATTATTCGTTTTTTAACAAATATAAACTATTTTTCAGATTTTATATTGCATAAAAAATTTCTTATATTTAAAATATTATATCAAATATTTTATTTACAATCTATCAAATAGCTAGTCAATTTAACTTTTAATTTTTTGCAAATCTAACTCAAAATACTAAGTATAAAATACATTCTCACCTTCTTTCTTACAAGTGAAACATTATTTGCATTTTTTTTAAAACTAATCCCATGAATTGCTCTAAGACTATGTAATATATACATATATAATCATGGGATACAATTTGATACAATTTCATAAAATTGATTGCAGAAATCTTCGATAAATAAGAATTGAAATCTAAAATCATAATTATTAAGACAACTTACCAATTGAAATTAAGCTATAAAAATTTGAAATCAAGATGGAACAAGGATTTAAAATGCATTGAAAACTAAAAATCATAATTAATCGAATAATTTACCTTAAAATCGAATTTATAACCAAGAATAATAATGCATTAACTCTTAAAATCACCCATATACGGCTGAAACTCGAATATTGAAGAAGATGAATAATTCAAGATGTTTTAGTTCATAAAAAAATGCAAAAAATAAGTTTATTACAAAATTCGATTATATGTTGACCGGTACCATCACTCATAACCTTGACAGAGAAAACCTTATTTAAATTTTATACAATATTTTTAAAATTACTATATAGATTTATAGGCAGTGGCGGACCTAGGATTATATTCGAATGTGGGCTATTTTTGAAATTTATAAGATAATATATTTTATTTGTAAATATTTATTTGTTATCCGAAAAAATTATCATTCTGATTATTATATTTTGAAAAAAATAAATACAAATAACAAATTACAGTAATAATAATAGTTATACACTGTATTATAAATATTTTTTTTATATTCCTTTTTATTCAGATAAAATATACAATTTTTTAGTATTTTTTTATTTATCTATTTTTTCTATATTATATATATTTATATAAAAAGTACATAAATTTTAATAAATAAATAAAATAAAATAAAAAAGGGTGGGGAGGAGGGCTGCAGCCCACCCTTGTCCGCACCTCCATCCGCCCCTGTTTATAGGAATTTTGTCTATAGATAGAAAGAATCATTGGGCCGAGCAAACAAATAGCAATAATAATATCCACAAACGGAAATAGTGTAGCACGTGAGCAATATAGAGGCGCGTGTGCATGAAAGTCGATCCAAAGCGCGTCGGCAGTGAAAAGTAAAATGATGGATTGGTGGCTTTAGGTTTTAGCAGCCGCAGCCGGGTGGGGTGGGGGCAATTTTCAGACCAACACGCTTCCGCTGAGGTCAATCCACGTGGCAGGCTGCTATTTGAGGTGTGCTTAGACCTACACACTACACGCTACACACAATAATAAATAGCCTTACCAATATGTATACGTACATGTGTGATTCCAAGCGTAATTTGAAAACTGTTTTCATAACAATCAAATAAATAAATAATAATTTAATAATTAAGAGAGAGTGCCGCCAAACAGGCCCACTCATGGACCCCACTCTACCGCCGTAGGGGCTAGGGCGGCTATTATATTTGCTTCTATTTAATCCCTTCTCTTCTATTCTCATTCACCCAATCCATCACCCTACCCTATTTTAATTTATCATTTATTTATTTATTTATTTCTCTCTACACCTGAATTATCCTGCCCGTACACGTGTCCTCGCGATGGCGCCGAAGGTATGGCCCTCGCCGTCGCCGGCGGCGGACGCTTACCGACACGAACTGCGTTTCCGGGGAGTGAGAAAGAGGCCGTGGGGGAGGTACGCCGCCGAGATCCGGGACCCCGGGAAGAAGACGCGGGTGTGGCTCGGCACCTTCGACACGGCGGAGGAGGCGGCGAGAGCGTACGACGCCGCCGCCCGGCGGTTCCGCGGCCACAAGGCTAAGACGAACTTTCCGCCGCTGGTTTTGATGAGTCGCGAGAATAGTAACGAATTGTTCGGCGAGAGCGCCGCCGTCAAGCCGTCGCGCCGCGCGGCGGCGGCGGCGCCACCTCCGCCGGCTGCAATAGTCGTGCAGGATCTCGCAAGTTTCGAGCTCGTTTTCGGCCGCCGACCGATGAGGTTCCCGTTCCAGAACAGTCTCCGCCGCCGCGTCGCTGCGACGGCGGCCGATTGCTCGGCGGAAGAAGCGGCGGTTATCGGCTTCCGGCCGGAGTCGCGGCAAAAAATCGCGGAGGTGATGAACAAAATGCGTCTCGTGCCTGTGGAATTTCGCGGCGGAGACCGGTGGGCGGACCATTTGTCGCCGGCGGCCGTCGATCCTCCCAAAGGCATAAATCTTGATCTCAACCTGCCTCCGCCGCCGGATTTTCTATGATCCGGCGGCGGAAACTGATATGATCTCCGTCTTGTTAAAATTTCCGGCGGCATTTACTGGTGTTATCGGAGCTACGATTTTCCGGCAATATTAACGGCGAAATTACGTCAATGTCTGTCGGCGTTGGAATCTCTGATATGATCTGACGTGTGGTTTTGTCTGTTTTCGGAAAAAAGTGGATTGGTCGGAAAAAATGGACCGGAAAATGTAGCAGTTATGGCCGTCGCACGTGGGACCCATGTCTGTACGGATGCCGCCGTGTCTGTATATGTAAATCTAATTAAATTTTCTTGTTTAGTACCAAATTTTTATTTTACTGATCATTGCAGGCAATAAAATCTAATTAGTTAATTAATGTATTTATCAGAGGGTTTTCAATAAATTCCCATTTCCACGGGTGAATTAATTGGTCAATAAATAAAGTTGATATAAATATAATATTCATTAAGAGTAAATTTACAGTCAAAAGTCAGTAAGGTTCGTACATTGTACAAAGCATACATACATAAATAACGCTCCAGTATTAGTTGGTTGTATTGTAATAAATTGTAGACTTTTAAAAGATTTGGTGTTGACTGGTCAATTGCATTTCACTGTGCTGCAAATAATTCAATTTTAAAAAATAAATTAATTAATTAATAATCTCACATATTTTAAAATGAATATATAATAAACATATATGTATATGTCTCTCTGAAATGAGTCACATTGCGAATCTTACAAAGAAGGACCATTTAGATTCGGTACAATCCACACCGCCGCGTGGCGCTAATTAAATGCTCATTCCGCTTACAATAAATATATTCATTTTCTTTTAAAAAAATAAAAATTAATCATTCCGAATTAGGACTAAAAGTACAAAGTTTGAGATGAATATTTAATATTATAAAAATATAATATTTTTTTATTTAAGATAAAATAAATAAATAATGTAAAGGAGTGTTGATGGTAACCGAGACAGCCAATTTAATTATGATGGCCGCCCAATTCCAAATGCCCTTTTATTACCGCTACTTGATCATCATTGTTGTCAACATTGTCGTGACTAAGACATTATCAAAATATTAATTAACAGTTTTTTTATTTTTAAATTGACTATTGGTCCTTGTCTTGCAAAAGTTATTTCAATCTCTGTTTAGAATTTACACTTAGTGTGTGTGTTTGAAGGATTTTGGTGGATTTCTACTGTTCATTCAATTTTTTCCCCCCAAAAATATCAAATCAAATACTTATTTTTTATATTATACTAAAAATTAATTTTACATTCAAAACATCACATCATACAACTATTCAAATTCAAAATTTTTACTGTTCAAATCCCAACTCAAAATCCAAACCCCCGAACAAACACACCCTTAATTCATTCTGCCTACACGTACGAATTCTTGAAATTACCGTCGTTATTATTATTATTATTTGTATAGTGCAAAAATACGATTAATTATTGTTAAAATATATATATATATATATAAATATTTAAAGCAGACACCATTAATTAATTAATTAATGGACCATTAAATTCTATCTGCAAGCAGACCCATTAGGTGTGACGTCTCAAAGTCTTCTCCGAACCTTATCCATCACAAAATTTTCAAATCAGGACACTCAATTGTTGCCATATATCAATTTGGTCCCCCGCGTTTACAAAACATCCACGAGGGTCAGACTTCATTATTGTTATTAAGTCCAAGTATTTTTTAGTATGATTTATAATTTTGTTTAGAATATTTTAAAATGATAATATTTATGAGATAAGATAATATATTTTCATTAAAGAAAATGTATAAAGTGATAATAGTTATACTATATTAATATATAATTGATATTGTAATTTGTATATTGTCAATTACTACCAATGCACATACACACAAGATTTTAAAAGTAGCAAAATAAACAAATAATATATATTAATAAAAGTAATTATATTAAATTTTAAATACAATCAAAATACACAATCACTTCCTACAAAAATTATATAAGTTGGACAATAAACAGATTAGTTTGAAATGCAAATGAAACAATCCCAATAGTTTTCCAAATTTGTATGAGAAACATCCAGAAAAAAGAAAAAGAAAAAGAAGCAATTATTCACAAATATTAAACTACTTAATTAAATTCCAACGTCATCATTAGAATATTTTAACAATCGGAAATTTAAAAGTGACGGCGGCCTACATAGATATCGGCGGCGGCGGTTCATTTAAGTCTATACCCAATCCTCGTCTTATAATTCCAAAATATTTCGGCGGCGCATCGCCGTCACTCGCCCCTCCACCGCCCGCCGGCGCCGGCGCAAGTCCTCGATTCCCACCGGAGTCAACACTCTCAAGCACCCCTGCGCGGAGGAACTCGCCGATCAGCCGCGACCCAGGAGCCGCCGCGGTCCACCGGCGGTCAGACGGCAGGTTGAGATCGAACGACGGCGGCGCCGCCGCCGGAAAATTAGTCTTAGCCTTAGCTCCACGAAGCGTCCTGGCGGCGCCGTCGTATGCCAGCGCGGCTTCCTCCGGCGTGTCGAACGTCCCCAACCAGACCCGCGTTTTCTTCCACGGGTCGCGTATCTCGGCGGCGTAGCGCCCCCACGGCCGCTTCCTGACGCCCCTGTAGTGACCCTCACGCGCCGACGCCATGGAAGTCCGTAGAGAGAGAAAAATAGCTGAATTTGTAGAGTGAGAAAATTCGCCGGCGGGCAGATCAGACATGGGAAATGGAATTCTGGCACAGCGCAGATTTTGTATAGAGCCTAGAAAGTTCGGTGGGGCCCAGCCAGGCTCCCGTAATCGTCGGCCGGACGGCTGCTTTTAAATTCAGGGGAATTATCTCCTGTGGCTGCGGCGCAGGGGGAGTTACCGTGTGGGCAATAAATTGTTTTGGGGAGCGCTTTCACGAGAAACTTGAGGGAACCGCAGGGAACAGAACAGTAGAGACAGGGACATGTCCGTGTGGGGTTGGAGGGGGCAAGCAGGCAGGAGCCGCCGCTTCGTTACACGTGTCGGGTGTCATTTTGTCACGTGACGGCTCTCCACTCCACTAAGGAAATTTTATTAATTAAATAAATGAAATAATAATAATAATTACTCTCTCCGTCCCATATAATATGGATGTATTACTGTTGATACAAGAATTTAGATAAAATATAATTAGTAAGTAATTAAGAAATATATTAGTAAAAATAATAATTATTTAGTAAAAATAATTATAAATTAAAATTAAGATAAGCAAATAGTTTAATTAAAATTAAAAAAGTTATAAAGTTCAAAATTTAAAATGTTTAATTATATTTTCAAAAATAGAAATGACAATTAACGAGGGACAGAATATGGGACTGACGAAAATAGAAAATATGGACAAATTACGTGGACGGAGGGAGTATTAATTAAATGAAAATAATAAAATGGTTCTTTATTAGAGCAGCGGTGGCTTCTCAACAAGTTTTCTCTACTAGTGCTTGATTATTTATTACTGCGGGGGGACAAACGTTAATTAATAGCCGTTGGTAAATGAGGAGCTGGTAATTAATAGCCGACGACTTTGATTCGATTTGGATTAGATTAAATGGATGGATGAGATGAGAATATAAATCGATTACGTGGTGTTGGAGACTAAGGGAACAGGGTGCAGTGCAGTGTACAGAGGTAACAATTGTAGTAACTATTATTTTATTATTATTATTATTATTATGATTATTAATTGTTGCATTGGGATTCAACCAGAGCCGTTGATGATGGGGCCAGGTCAAATCGACAGCCACTTTTTGACCGTGTCATGTCATTTCCTTTTCTCTCCTGTTACAGTGTTGGATTCATCTTCTACTCTTTTACCGGTGGTAAAAAATCTGGTATTGGTGACGTATGCTTGAGTGCGGTGTACCGTTTACTTGTACGTTATACGCATGGTCTGCATAATTGTGTTGGAGGTCCCGGGACCAGAGTGATTCCTCCAGTACGTAGCGTTGGTGATGGAATGGGAGCGGTGCTTTGGTGGACCTGAGGGCCTGTGTTCTGCCTCCCTTACGTCCTTTTCACTCTCTACTCTACTCTATTCACCATCACTTACACGCAATCCATGCGTCGTGTGTACTGTGTTAGATTTCGATATTTGGAGCGTCTTTGACTGTGATTTCGAATCAAAATAAATACTTACTCGGTCCGTTATTTAATAAGTTACCTATTTTTGTATTTTGATTTGTCCTATAATAAATATTTATTTATTGTATTATCTATTTAACTTTACAAATACCATTCAATTTACAATATATTACACAAATATAATTATTTTTATATCATAGTCTTTTTTTTAATTTTTATTTCTACTCCATTTCAATATAATATTAATATTTTTAAATATCCTTATAAATAACAAATTGATAGATAGATATGGATTAGAGAGTATTATTCTTCCATTCAAACTCAAAGTTGATTCTTTATATAATTTTCGTCCTTCCCAATTTAAACTATAGTCAAAGGGCAAAAATATCAAAATCAATAAAATATTATTATTTTTTTATTTATTATAAAATTTGAAATATTTCTTGATCTATTACAAAATTTTAAATAACCAGTTTGAAATATAATATCTTTTAATCTACTACAAAATTTCAAATTGCGAGAAGAAGGAAGAAGTATATAATATACAATATAAACCTACTAAAAAAATATATTCAAAATAAAATATTTTTATTTATGCTACTGAGAATGTTTTATATAAATATTTCAAATTCAAAACTCTAAAACAAGCACAACCTTGTATGTGGACACAAAGGTTAACTCTTGACAAACAAGTAAAGAAAAATGTTGAATCTGTTGACAAGAATACCCTTTTGGGGGATGATATTGACAAATATGTATCATAGTAAGTAGTAGTAATACATACGATTATAAAGTTATGAAGTGGAACTCATACAGAACCAATAACTTGTACATGTCTGATGTTTCAGAGCTGCCAAAACTACAGCAATATACAGTTCCTCCCTCCCTCCCTCTGCAACCAATCAACATACCTACCTGTTTCCAATCTCCAGATAGTATAGATCTTTTGAGGGAAGAGAGCGAAATGCCCTATCTCTCACTGTCTGTCTGTATAAATAATCGAACACAAAGACGACAAATGTGTGTGTATTGATCCTCCATTCCATTACTTTGAAGCAATTAGGCGAGCAGGCTAGGTCCGTTCTCAGCTGCAGTTCTGGAATGCTCGTGGGAATGATTTCTAGTCATCTGTACGTCGCGGTTGAAGTGTGTTCGGGCTTTTGCATATGGGGCATCTCGCGCTGAGTGGGGATCATCATAGAAATGAAGTATTAGTCGAGATATAGCTAAGATAACAGAGCGTCACCATTTATGTATGTTGTGTATTTTGGAAGAGAAATGATGCTAATATTACCAGAAATTCTCTGGGCTCGAAGAATATTCTGCCGCCTCTTCCACCAACACGTCAGGCACACGGCAAGGAGTAGAAATGCAATGCAGGCTCCAAATCCAATTCCAATTTTAGCACCAGCAGAAAGATGCGTGCCGCATGGAGGTAAACCAGGGATGCCGCAGAGACCAGAATTATCAGTAAAACTGAACCAGCAACAAAAGTTTTCAATTAAGTGATCAATAGAGACCATCCGGAAAAGATTGAAAAGCACATTATATATATATGTATGTATGTATGTATGTATTGTTGATGGGATTTGGTGAGAACATACTTGAAGCTAGCGCCGTGCAATAGCCTTCCTCCAAGTGCAGCCGGGACCCTTCCAGATAAAGAGTTGCCATTAAGGTCCCTGTGGGAGAGCAGCACATTAATCCAACATCATGTTGTGAGTTTTATAGCCAAGTTAAGTCGTCGATTCTTACAATATCCGTAAAGTGGTTAACTGTCCGAGGCTTTCAGGAATGGATCCGTTGAAAGAATTGAATGAGATATCCCTGACATTAAAATCGTGCTTCAGCATTTGTCGAATGGATCAGGCAATCATTTGATTATTAATAAAACAAAATGATCATTACAAAAACATTGCGACGTATATGTATACACCAGAGATTAAATGGTTTGAACTTCACTCACAGTATCTCCAGTCTAGTAACCGATCCAAGTGAAGATGGGATGACACCGGATAGGCTGTTTCCACTCAAATTTCTGTAAATAGACAATTGAAGTATTAATATTAAGCAATCCATATGAGATCAAACATTGATGACACTAGAAACAGCTCACAACAGCAAATGGAAATGCTTGTTCTAACTTATTGGCTTACATGCTCAGGAGATGACTCAGTTTCGATATATCATTTGGCAAGAAACCCTTCAAACCCTGGTTGTCTAGCCCTCTGACCTTGCAATCATAAATGAAAGAAAGAATAAGTAGTAATAAATAAATGAATAATCCATAACCATCTCTTGAAATATACAGTCAAGGGAGATCTATTCTTGAAATAAAATCGGAATATACACTAAAACTGAGAAAACTTCCATAAAAAATCTTTTCTTGAACACAGTTCCTTCTGTCTAGAAGATTCTGACAATAGTTATATGTATACATATATATATATTTGATTTCGAGCACAAAAAAGATCTTGCAAGAGATTCAGAACATACATTCCATCAATAACATATTTGCTGATATTTCTGTCATACTGACAGTCAACTCCACTCCATGGATGTTGTTTAGGAACACATGGATCACCATTCCATCCAACACGAAGGGGAAGACCAAGAGCAGTCTTCAGCTTTTGCAATGCTTTAACTATAACGGGAGAGTCAACCATTAAGATTCTAAAAGTGTTCTCAATATTAAGTAGATATAACATATAAGACAGTGAAAGAAACAAGAAATTCCAGGAACACTAAAAAAACGAAAAGACTTCCAAACATTTTCACCTGCTTAATATTGAAGGAAAAAGGCATACTTAAAAGTACAGAAAGCATTTCAGAAAAAAGAAAAAATGCTTACTTTCATCTGGTGATGTTTTGGATTCGGCCAACACAAGCTCTAAAAGTTCGATACCGCATATTATGGCATGATTCCCTTTTTTAGGATGCAAAGCAATTGTCAAGCTCCTGCCGCTAACAACAACAGTTGTATTTAATACAAGAGCACTGTTTACGCCGCCAGCCATACTGACAATGTCTACATCTTTGAACATAACATCACCATTAATTAGAATGTCAAACACCCTTTGTCCTGCACCAGTGACTGAAGGATCTATTTCTGCAAAATGTAACCACAGGGAGTAATTTCTAGTAGGTTCAACCTCCATGGTATACGCTAACTCCGGTTGAGCATCCGTACTAACAAGGGCATTTAAATAAAGTGCCTCCGGATAAAAATTGGGTGCTTGTGAGGTTTGTGTAATTTTCTTTTGGGTAGATATGATTCGATCAGAGCCCTGGCCAAACGTTGGAAGGGAATTCCAGAATCGATCCCCACCCCAACGGTCTGCGCTGTAATCAGCACCAAATTTTGGCCTTTGAGAGCCACAACTAAACCTTCTGTCCGTCCTGAGAATCGTGCCTTGACCATAGCCTTTACCAAAATAATATGCTCTGTTATCAATTTGAAGAATTTCGATTGCTAGTATCGCCGGATCTCCATGTCCAGTACTATGGAAGCAAAGAGAGGCAGTTCCATCCTTCAGAAATATAAGGGCTTCAACATATGCTTGCTCATCGTCATGGTTGCTCCAACCAGATGGCAAAGAATAAATTAAGGTTCCCTCGACAGACACATCAAACAAAGGTTCATTGTCGAAGCTAGGTTCCGCAAGCAAGCCAAAGTATATCCTCACAAGATAATGACCATGGGGCACCCTATTTATATTGTAACAATTTTCAGGACCTTCATTGAAAGGAAAGTACCGGAGTGTGCTAAGTTTAGGGCTGATGAAACTCGTAAAATTCGCATTAGCAGGAATTCCGCCTGTGTAAGCAAAGTCCTTGTGCCAGCGAGTATTTGAAGGAGCACTAGAAACATCCGTACGAGCTCCACAGCTTATTCGCATAGCATATGGTGCTGCAAGAAAAGCACCAACAATAGAAAAAGAAAATTACTTACTACATTGGAAAAATAATCTGCAGAATCGAATTACCCTGTACATCATTTGAAATAAAAGACAACTATCATTTAAGCCGGGAGCTTGTCTCACCAAAATCAACCCTCCCTCCCCCTGGCATATATACTTCCTTATAACGAACATTTATCAGCATATGGATTCCGAGTAAATTTTTAAATTTTAAACTGTTATCCAACCCCTAGCTTCTTCAGCTAATGTTAGCAAAAGAAATTAATCGTAGCATAAATGGGATCAAAACTTTTGTCGACTATGTTCCCAAATTAAAGAACTGTAAGATGGTGGTGATCCATAGATACAGGAATTAGTTTGAAGTGCAAATTACTCTTACAAGCTCACTATACCATTAAGAACCTTCCTGGTAAGAAGTTTAAGCAGATTCTCTCAGTATGACGATGTAACCCAATGGAGATTTGAGACTTTTTAAAGAAATTTTACCAAAATTGGTTTATTCTTCTCAGCAGAAACAAGAAAAAAACAGAAATCAGATCCATTCTTTCGCATCCTAATTCCTAGCCAAAAAAGCTATAAACTTTTCTAGCACCATCTACAATTCAAATCCAATGAACAAACCCTAATCAAATCTTGCATATGATCCAAAACAAAATTCCTTTCAGAAATCACCAATTTCACCGACACTGCCATGGCTTCCCCCTAAAAAACCCAAACATAAACTCATAATTCCCAATTAAACAGTTCGACACCATTTCACTCAACTAACCAGCTACATAGGCTCAAATAAACTAAAAGTACACTATCGCTTGGAATCCACGCAGCGAGAAGCTAACCTCGAGAAAACGACGGCCTTGCAGCAAAGCAGAGAGCAAGGAATAGTAAGAACAGTCGTGCTTCCAGCATCGTGGGTCCAAATCTAAGGTTGCTGCCACAGCACATTTTTCTTCCTACTTTATCCGATCTCGTCTCGAACCCTAACTACACCTGCTTCCCTGAAGTGAAAAGGCCGACCACCATTTCGGCTCCAGATCTTTCCTAACCCTTTCGCCTGGCTACCTTTAATTATGGGGAGAAAATGCAATTCCCGAAGGCAGTCCAGCACAATAACAACGCTCTTGGGTGAGGAAGTGTAGTGGACGTGCTGTGCAGGTAGAAAACGGTTGAATTTATTTATTCCGCGTCTTCATTAACAGCCTCAAGCTATGTCATCTTCTTCGTCTGCTCGATATTGACTTCATGGTAGCTAGTGCAGATGCTCCGGTGTGGATCTCCTGCGCCCGTGGTACCTACACCCGTCCGCTCTCAGCCAATCAAATTTTTTAGAGAAAAGAAAGACAATGTCCACTAATTTAAGCCGTGGAAGGCGCACTGTAGCAACTAGCGACTGCATCGCACTAGGGTGTGCAATTATCAGTTGAATGTCAGCCTATTTAGGTGACAGATGCTAATAATAATAATTTTTTTTTTTTATGACAATAAATTATTATTATAAATATGGGTAGGAAAGCAGAAAATTAATTTATGTGTATGGTCCAGTACTACTTCTCTCAATAAATTTGGGATTTATATAAATACTGACCCTTAAATTGCAATCAAGCCACATAAAATTAAGGGCTTTTACTTTTTAAAGCATTAGGTACTGCGTAATCGACGGGACCCGATTACCCGGATTCGAACCCGTGTCAGGCCTAGACAACTTCGGGTTTATCTATTGGATCCAAAACTGGTTTGATTTGAGTCTATTCCCGTTCTCTCTTTTTATATAGTCATCTCCTTCGTTCGATTTGAAAATGCTTTTTAGATTTTATAATATATTAAAAAATAATAATATTTTATTGAATCGTAAAAATATTTAATAATATATTTTTGATTAAATAAAAATTTAAAATAATCTAATATAAGTCTATGATTACTTTTAATAAAAAAATTCAATGAAAAGATAAAAAAGAAGTACAAGAAAATATATAAATCATTCTATAAAAATACAATATTTAAATTAAAAAATTAATAGGTAATTCAAATTCAACACAAATAAAATAAATTCTTTTATTTTATATATTTTTCTTAGATATTGAATTCAATATTCATTTTCTATTTAGAAATAAAAGTATATTTTAGTGAGAAAGTTTTGTTTAGATTTTAAGTTAAATATATAAAAATACTAATAATTAGAATTTTTGAAAAAATTTCAATCAAACACAACTTAAAATTTTAGATTGAACTTATGAACTCGTGATCATAAGTTTATTCAATGCCATCAAGTCATTCTTTATTAGAATTTGATTTTTTTTTTATGTAAATATAAATAATCATATTAATAATATAAAAAATATTAATATTTTATGTTAAATATAATTTTTTTGTGAAAAAATAAAATATAAGCATATATCGAGAATGATGAATTTTAAATTTTAAGACAACCCTTATTTTTTATACTTTTTTTTTCTTTCAAAAAGTTTTATGTTACAGTAAATACAAAATTTGAAGTAAAATATAATTAGTAAATACTTTATTCAATTCACTTAATTTGTCAAATTTATATTTTCGTTACTCTACATAATTTGTTTTTTATTTTTTTAAAGTATAATTATACACTTTCATCACATTTTAACATTCATAATTCATAACTTTTTATTTTAATGTCTAAACTAAATGAAACAAATTAGTTGTGACAGATGAAGTAACTAAAAATAATTATTGTATAAAAAAAATCAGTATAAATTAAGATTGGAATAACTAAATAATTTAATTATAATTAATTTTTTTTTAAATGATCAAATTTAAAATATAATTATTTTTTTTAAAAATAATCAAATTTAAAATATAATTAAAGTATATAATTTATATTTTTGTTAAAATTATATGAAACCGATGAAAAAAAAAAAAACTTTATGGATTGAAGTAAAATCAGACATACATAAGTATGTATATAATTATATACTCTCTCATTAAAAAAGGTATTTTATTGAAGTTAGACACGAGAACTAAGAAATCAAGTAAATTGTAAAAGATTAAAAATATTAGTTGTTTTTTTAAAATTAAAAATAGTAAATTAAATACTCCCTCCGTCATTAAATATTTTATTTTTTTCTACAAATACTCATATTTTACATCATATTGTTAATTAAAATACTATTATTTTTTAAATTTCGCATTTCGCGCTTAAAAGTAAATATATACGAAGGGATTAATAATTATGAATAATTTTAAAAAATAAGAATAATTTTGTTACAAAATTAATTAAAAATATGTAGTAGCAAATAATAAAACAAAATAATTATTTTAAAACGAACGAAATTCGAGAAAGGAAAGACAATTTCTTTTTTACGGAGGGAAGGAGCATAAAAACATTTTAAAGGGCACACATCGAGGTAAACGTCGACGGGAAAATTTCGCAAACCGAGACCCTACCACCACCACCAGAGAAAATCGCTCGCAGACGCGGCGTTTTCTGCTACCCTAAAGCCCTGATGGTCTCATCCGCGCCGTTGGTCTCGCCGCTACAGCCTAAATCCTCCAGTCCGGACGGGGACGACGCCGAAGAGGAGATCGAGTACGAGGAGATTGAGGAGGAAATCGAAGTAGAAGAGGAGGTTGAAGAAGAGGTAGAAGAAGTGGTGGGTGATGATGATGACGAAATTGGGCAAGATTTAACTCCAGTGCGCCAAGAAAATCACGAACATGGTTAGTTTTCCAATTATCGATGCCCAGGGCTTTTTTGTTTGTTTGTTTGTTTGTTTTTTTTTTTTTTGGTTTAATTTCAAAGGTTATTTTTTTACCCGATAATTGTTTTGCTGCCTCAGGTATTATAATTTCCCGCAGGTACATGTTTTAATAGTTACTAATTATTGGGAACACTTGCATTCTTTTCTTCACCCCTTCATTTTTGTGCTCCTTGAAGTGAATGACCCTTACTTGTTGACTTTGTTCAATATTTACCACCTCTTAGTTGTATTTATCTGATTATAGGCTTACTGTACTGATTTTTTTGCTAATGTTTATTGTAATGCTCTGTGCTCTTAACTTCCAACAAAAAAAGGTAGACTTATAATTGAATGCATCTAAGATATCCACATTCATAGTAGCTGAGTAACACAGTTATGATCCCTAAGTTTACAGTTTTAGTTGTTGTTGGACATTTATAGAGTTAGTCTGATTTTTCTCTACTGTAACCCAATAGGTGAAATATTGTTCTACATTTTGGGTATCCACGAAGATATAGTCATGAAGTGACTATGTATCCTTTTAAAATGGGTGGAGTGCTCGTAACCTTTTCAACAGGATCCCTTTTTTCTCTAGACTTATTAAGTGAACATTCTCTTTTTGAAAGGACCGAAGATCTTCATCGTCCTTAAAGTCCTTGTTACCATAATAACCTAATTATTGGTTAAGCTAATATAGATAATTTTTAATGGAAGAACTCGTTTTGACCATACCTCTGTCAAAATTAAATGATAGTATCCATAATTATCAACAGCATGAAATGGCACACATCATTGCTTCTCTTGAGGGTGTGGCGTGTGCCTCTATGGAGACACTGATTTATTTATTTAAACATGTAGGCAATCTTGGGCAAATTCTTCTCTTCAATTTAGTAATAGTAACTTAATTATAACCTATCATTTAAACAATGTTAAGATAATTTAAGTGTTTAAAATTGGGAACCTAGTTTTTTTTTTTTTTTTTTCCCAGGAACATTTGAACTTGGGTTGCTTTTTCTAAATCACCTGTGGGCATGCATGACTGAACATGTGCAATTGTAGTTTTTTGCTATAATTGGACAACAAATCTCTATATATACTAATTCAAATAAGAAAATACCTCTCTTATTATCATGAGGTAATTATAAAATGGTGTTGATTAAGGACTTGCATGACTTGCAATTTAACAAGGACAAGCTAGAAAACTAAGGACAACTCCTCTTAACATAGTTAATAATGGTTGCCGAAAATAGCAATGACTTTCCAATGTTAGAAGGAGCTTAAGAAGCTCCATGCTATGACTGTTTTACATCAAGTAGTAAGACCTTACCTTCATTACCTTTACCAATTATATATTTATCACAAGATTTTGTATGATATTGATCACAAAAAAAAATAAAATAAATAAATAAATAAATAAAGATAAAGAAATAAAAGAAATCCAATAGTTTAATTTGTGAGTTGATCAAGAGCATGTGGCTTTAAATTAAAAGAGTTTTTTTGGAAAGCTTGAACTCCATGGTGATTAGGGATTATAACATCACCAAGATCCACCAGTGATAAAACACCACTTGTGATAATAGTAAGAAGGGACTTTTGGGATGGACCATATAGAAGATAACAGTGCAAGGTGTTCTACTTTTTGAAGAAAATAAATGCCACTTGTGATATGAAGGCTAAAGCCAATAATCCACTTCGAAGAAAATAGTGCAAGGTGTTCTACCATGGTAGCCGTGGTCAAATGAGATGAATTTTTCATATAGTCTTCTTATTATTTATTTTAATAAAGTTGCATTTAGCATATTCATCGTTGATATGCTGATTGTAGGTATAAATATTGAGAATTGTATTTAAGCCCATTCCTTCGTGGATGCCTTGATGTTCTTACTTTATGGTATCTAGCTTCTTATTATAACATTTTTGTTTGCCTATTGTTGTTGTACATTTTTGCTATCTTTGCTAATAAGGGAAGCAACTTTTTCAATCCATATAGATTTAAACCCATCTAGATAGCACCTACGTTTTTATCAATTAGGAAACAAATTGAAAGATAAAATAAACTATAGAGGATTTCGTTGTCCAAAGTTGTAGCTTTCATATGACATTAAATATGATATCTTGTTTAAACTTAATTATTGGACTGGCTCAACTGTTAAATGTGATACCCAACCTCTAAAAAAAGTATGAGATTGAATGTAAGGTAAAACGATACAATGAAATGATAAACTTTATTGAGGATTCAATGAATTAATCTTGTAAAGGAAAATAATTTCTCCTTGTTACCAAGCCAAAACCGTGAATTTATCTTGTAGAGGAAAACCAATTCTCTCAGTTACCAAACCGAAGTTGTCATTAATCAAAAACCTAATGATCTCTTATGGCCTAGAAAACCCTTGTATATATTAGACCTAGATGGACTTATATAGATTTGTGCCTAACATTATATTAGTCCTTTAAACCAAAGATTTCTAAAGAAGACATAAGGCTGACTAACATCAATGGGAAGTCTTAAGTGCTGTGAGTTTTCAAAGTTGCCTTTTGCACATTTGATGGGTTTGTAATCATTGGAATTATAACAACTTTGTCGAGTTCCTAAGAGTGTACAGAGACTTCCAACTTCATTTTTCTTCACAAACAAGCTTGAGACTAGTGAACAAACTCATGTTGAGCAGATGATTCAAACTAGTAACATATCATTGACTAGTTTATTAGTGTTGTTTTAAGCTTAACCATAGCGGCATGGGCAAACTAAAACTAGTCTTTCCATTGCATGTAGTTCTATATAATGGTTGATGGGTTGTGAGGCTTGCCATCTCTAAAAATATTGTAGAGAATCTCTCATCTAGTTGCGATTTCTTTTTCGGCCAAAGTTGATCCACCCCGAGGAGAGCAACCATACAATGTTCAAACCATTGTCGTAAACTTAACTTTTAAGATATGAAACAATGTTCAAGGTTCCTTTTGTGAATAAGATAAGGCCTTCCCCACCAACTATACCTATTTGTTAGCCTAAAAAGTCATAGCCACAATCATAAAAGTTTCTTCTTAGCTATGTGATTCCTAGTATAATATTATGACTTCCTAAGGGAAAAATGTAACAATCAACATATAATTCTTGTTTTCTAAGGTGGAAATGCAATTCCCGACACGACACTTCATACTCTACCCCCTTTCTATCTTGTAACACCACTTTGAACATGTTTGTATGTTCTATAATTCCTAGCTTAGTCATGATTATGTACAAAGTTATGTTGGGATTTGTTCCACTATTAACAACCTTATCATTTTCTGATGTTGGAAAATGCCTTATATGGCCTACTAAGGTTATGGCTTTTGTGTTTTGCATATAAAGGATTTGCTTTGACAATATGACGTTGGTTTAGCAAGAAGTGACCTCGATAAGAGAAGTGCAATTGCGATGTGTTTGCCTATATGGGTCCTACGATCTAATGGGATTCTAAGTGGGAAGACATTGTTGCTTTGTCTATTACAAAGGCCTAGTACGTAAAGGTGATGTGATTAACACAAGCAAAAAGATTAGTGGGGGAGTTTCTTATTCAATTAGGGGGTGAACAAAAGAATGGCATTTTTTATAGTGATATTCAAAGTGCCATTTAGTCGGTTAAGTATCCGATTTTTAGTTAAGGACTAAGCATGATGAGTTGAAATACCATCACAAATGCCAGCTAATTGAAAAGAATGTTTTTTCAAGGACAAGAAAATCCCGTAGCCATGTTGATTAAGGTTGTTTTTGGGTGGATTTTGTGTCTTTGCCTTGTTTTTTTGTTCATAGTGAAAAAAATGGTTTGGCATTATCCTATGCTTTATCTTGTTTCCCTTTCATTGCTCGCCGCATTGGGAGTCAAAGGTTGTCCAAAAAATGCACATGAAGTGTCTTTAGGTCTCCGTTTGATTTGTGGGTTATTTGAGCTAAATGTACTATTCCATCAATGGATCTTGCATACACAACCACTCTCACGGTGGTTGAAGAAATAATATTTATCTAATACTCTCTCCGTCCTACATAAAGTGTTCATATTTTTTGTTTTCGTCCGTCCCACATAATTTGCCTTTTCTTTTTTGTAAATATAATTATCAAGTTTAATCACACTTTAAATTTTATAATTTATAATTTTCTTAATTTTAATTTAGTTATTTTAATTTTTATTATATAATAATTATTTTTACTAATATACTTCTTAATTACATACTAATTATACTTTACCTAAATTCTCGTGTCTACAGTAACATGGACACTTTAACTGAGGGAGTAGCAAGTGACAATTGGCAATTTTGATTGTTCATTTTTAAGAATTTGCTCATTTAGGCGAAATAACCTTAGCACTATGCTTCTAATTTTATCTTTTTTTTTTCCAAATATTATATCCTATGGGATCCATTAATTTTTTTTATTTAATTTTTATTGCTTTTTTCAATAAACAAATATATTTATGTACATTCATTTTTTTTATAAAATTAATTTATGTTAATCATAAATAAATATTTATATTTTTTTATTCATTTATATTATATTAAATTTGATTCTCTATAAAATGATATTCATATTATATATATTTTATTGAAATATAGTTTGTAAAACATACTAACATATTTCAAATTTCTTTTAATTATACACATATTACATCATAAATTAAATATTAATTAAATAAGTTACTTCCAACTTAAAACCTACCTGGCAGCCAAACACACCCAATTTGTAGTCGTGCTCCTTAGGAGTTGAAAATAGCAAGTTACATAAATAAGGTGCATGATTGTTTAACTGGGTTATCAAGGTTTGAGGAAAAACTTGCATTCTTATACCACTTCAAGATTGAAGAATATTTTTTGAAAATTTTGTAATATTGAGTTTAATATTTTAACGCCTTAAGGCATAGAGATTATCTAATTGAGCATATGGTAAGCATTAAAAGCTACTTTGAAGGGAATTATTTAAGGAATATGGGCATATATAGATAAACCAAATTATGGGTGTGTTCACCCAATCCAATTTTTTTACACAATTCCTTATTAATATTACAAAATAATGCAATTCATAAAGGACCACATCTTATATCTAGCCGCTATTTATTTCTAGTGTGTATATGTGATGGGAGCTTAGGTTCTTCTGCACAAATGGTTGTGTAAATCATGGAAAAGAACATGGATTAATTTATGAAGTGGTTACTATACTCATTAAAGTTTTATATATATATATATATACTTTTTTTTCTTTTTCCTTTTTAATGAGTTGCTATGAGCCCATGATTCAGTGCTTTGATGTCTGTCTACTCATTCTTGATGTTACTAAAATGATCCTTATTTCGAGATTCAAAATTTTGTTTCTTTCCTTCCTTTTCTTCAATAGAGTTTCTCCACTCTTATACTACTTAAAATAGCATAAGTCGGCAATCATCATGCCAGAACTTACCTCAATTTACCTCTTAGGGAAACAAGTGTTAAGGTGTATATAGAAATCAAATTAGTATGGGCTTGGGCCTTAATTTGCACAAATATCCAAGTACTGAATTGATCGTGATTTGTTGTAATTTGATAACGTGGGAATATCATATCTTGCCTTTTCATTGATAACTCTCTGGAGAAACAGTTCTATTTTTTTGTTTCAATTCCTGCCCATATAAACACATAGAAACCAATTTTGAAGTTTGATACTGAGAACCACAAGTATGAACTTATGACTGTGGGGTTCTTGCAGGGGAAGGAACCTCTAGAGATAGTGGTCCAAAGACTCCCTTTCATGATAGTGGGGAAATGAACCGTGCCGGAAGTTCTCATTCTATTGCAGGCGTTGATGCTGCATTGCCAATGGATGGTACTTGTGAGAAGAATGATCCTCCAATAGCTGTAAAGTCTGGAACGAGTCAGGACAGCGTAGATGCTTTGGGTAACCTAGGTCAAATTTCGCCAAGGTTAAAACTTTTTTACTCAATCCGACTTTAGCATTGATTTAAGTAATTATACTTATAGTGGCACCTTATTACTTTTGGTTGCTGGAGTAAGTCCTGATGACAACTAGGATTTTCAGGTTGCACCTGCCACATATAAGATTAAGGGATCCTTCCTCTAGTGTTGAATATGGCGGACGGGAGATCAAAAAGTTGGGTATTGTTTGTGAGTTTCATTCAAAAGGATGGTGTATTAAGGGAAATTCTTGTAGGTTCCTTCACATAAAGGATAAAATAGATGCTTTGGATAGGAGTAAAGCACTGATGGGAGAAGGTAAGTAAAAAAATTCCATTTTTTAGATGTAGACATTGAATCTTCTATGATTCTGGAAATTCTGCATTTAATCTTCACTAGATCTAAATGAAAAATTAGCATGTTTTTCTTGTGGCAGCTTCATCAAGTGCATGTGTTCCTACACATCAATGTGGTGAGAACCAAAGAATGAATAAGACAGAAAAAATGGCGTCCTATCAAGATGGTGCATTGGGAAGCTTTCCGTTAGTGGCTGGTGTAGGAAGCTATGGACATGATCGGTACATGGGTAATCTGAGCTATTCAGCCACTCCTTTTGTCAGAGGCAATCTAATTGAGAGGTATAGCACAAACCATGATGCGTCTTTCGGTTTTCCTGCAGTTGGAACAGAAATGGGGGGTACGAAGGATGAAATAGTACACAATAACTACCACTCCATGAAGTTGCCCTATTCTTATTCTAGGTCACCCTTATCTTTTGGCTCTCCTTGGAACATCAATTCTCTTGGAACCCAAAACTATTTGAAGAGTGGGCTAGATCATCACACTTTTGTATCCTCATCCATACAGCGTGGTGTGTCACCACGTTTGGGTTCTAACTCAGAAAGTCTGTCCTGGAATCATGCAATAAGTAATGGACAACCAGTCAAATATAAGGCTACAATATCTTATGATTGGGAACCATCTGTTCCTTTCCGACCTTCCCATGTGATAACTCAACATTTATTAATGAAAGAAAATCTCTACGATTCCATGAACAAAGTCATTGAACTGAAAGATGCTGGAGATGAGCTTGTGCGATTTTCATATCCTGACCGAGGGTCATCTTTTAAGAATGGACATCAGCAGCCAACCTGTTTACCGGAACCGGAGATGGTTTTGAAGTCTGCCCAAGTAGGTGATACTGTAAAAGATAGTTTGTGGAGCTTTGGTTCTGAGAATAAAACACGATTAGATCAAATAGTGCATGGAGCAGAGCTGAATGTTGACAGACATGATAAAACTGAAGTTAATTTGAAGAGAGATGGTCACATGCAAAATGAAGTTAATGGGCCAAAAGCTTTGAAGTACTTTCAGGCTGCGCTCATAGAATATGTGAAAGAATTGGTGAAACCAACGTGGCGGGAGGGCCTTTTGACAAAGGATGCTCATAAAATAATAGTTAAAAAGGCTGTAGACAAGGTTATTAGCACAGTGCAGCCTCACCAAATTCCTGGCACAAGTGAATCAGTGAAACTTTATCTGATTTCATCAGAGTCCAAACTTACTAAGCTAGTTGAGGTTAGTATCTTCACTAATTGATGATTCGTACTGCTATCAACATTATTCCCTTTGTTTGATATCTGGTCATTATTATTTTCAGGGATATATTGATAAGTATGGGAAATTTTAGAGATTGCTGAACAATCTGCCCTTGTTTCACAAACTCTTCCTGTAGCTCCCAAAGGAAAGTTCTGAACCCTTCTTTATGGGCCTTTATTCTATTTATTTTCTTGAGACATCTAAGAACTAAGACATGGCTGGTGAAATGATGGATGCTATGTTGAACATTTCCTTTGCTTCAAATTTCCAATGTGAATCTTCTGAATGAATTTCGGTGAGATGAATTAAACAATGTTGCCTATAGAATTAAGCTGCAATCTTTAGCTGCCAGCACTTTACATGTACTTATATTGGTAAGTCTTTATGTGTGTATGGGAGTTCTCATAAATTTATTCTAACCATTCTGCTAGGTAAGTGTGTACCTTTTGAAGTGTAGTACCCAGGATGGAGCTGCAAGTGGATTTTCGAAATGAATTTTGGTGAATTGAAGTGAACTATAGTGCATGTGTTGAACTGCACTATTTAGGTGGAAGCTCATTAAAGGCAACTTTTATTGTTGAGGCTTTGTGCGTATGGGTCAAGTTTATAAAATTTATTCTAACCACTCCACCGGGCAAGTATACCTATCAAACTGTAGTACACAGGGTGGGGCAGCCAGTGAATTTTCACAATGAATTTGCTAAATTGAATTAAATAACACTCCTTATAGTTCAAGATTCAATATTTACGCACCAGCTCATTAGAGGCATTCTTTTAAGTTCCTCTGTTGTGTAGTTTTGAATGCACTCAAATTCATTCTTACGACTCAACTAGGCAGGTATACCCATTGGCTTGTATTGCATTATTGAGTGGTGAGTTTTGAATATATAGTGACCGAAAACAATATTATTTACACCTTGCATCCTAAGTTCAGCCTAGCCCAATTGATTTCATTAATGGTCAACGAGTATGAATATGACTATAATATTTAAGTTGAATAAAATACAAATAAAAGTGAGAAAGTGAGCAAATAATAGTTAGAATCAAGTTTTACGGATGCTAGACTTCATGGTGAATCTTCCAAATTAACATGCAATTGATTAAGTGAACACCAGGGGTCTGTTTCTTTAATAAAAATTTTCCAACACATTTTCTCCAAAATATTAATATACTACAAACGTTCATTATTTTTATATTATCTACAAAATTTCTTATACCCCACGTAAAAAAAGAAAAAAAAAAAAAAATCAAACCAAAAATCAAAACAAACACACTCCAGATCATTTTGATGCCCCTAAGTTATGTTATTCCTATCTGGAGAATAGTGGTTTTCCATAACTCTGAAATTCATTAATCAACATCATTTCCTACTTATATGGAGGACTTTAGATTAGGTATGGTTCATTCAATTTAGACTTGCTATTGTCCTTTTTTTGCCCAAGATGCAAATAAGATAATTGCACATATAGAAGTGTGGATATTAACAAACAAAAGTAAACATGCAATACTTTGACTATCAAAACACACTAACATTGTTATCATGCATTCTTTAGGATACATCTCTTTGGGAGTTTGGACTTTTGCTCTTCATGAAGCCTAGAGAATTGTGTCTTGGCAGCCTCATTGATCTCTATTGAAAATCTTTCAGTGACATTCCATGTTAAATAATGTTTGTCTTATCAACTTTAAAATTTTATATTTTAAAATGATTAGAAACAATGTGGATAATTCTACTATATCCCAACTTTCAACACATAATATTTCGTAGTAGTGTGGTACATATTCAAACAGATACGTAACATAACATTATGTGTGGAACCCAGAACCAGCACCACTAACACTATAGCAAACACTTCCACAAGTTGTCATCTAAGTGGCCCATCTTATAGGTAGTCGAATTTCTTTCCACAAACAAGTGCTATCTCAAAGTATAGGCCAATGCTCCATAACACATGCATAATTTTATCTGTCAGACCAACAAGTTAGATTGAATAGGATTAATTGTTTGGCTTCTTATTGTTTCACTATAGCCAATGGTCAATTATGCAAATAACAACACATTTCATTTGGCATTGGGCTTTGCCATGAACTATATATTCTACTAACCGATTAGCCTCTCTAATGTAACCATAATAGAAACTTTATGGCTATGGTGGGACATACAAATACTTCACACACATATATAGTTGTAATAGAGGTAATAGATGACTATATATATGGAAATGCATTAGTGGGGCTTATGTGCTCAACCACCTCAACTATGTTAACTTGATTGCAAATAGTTGAGAGGGGAAAGTTACATATATGCATCACAAGATGGTATAATTCTTTTCTTTTGTACAAAATCTTGCATATGGTTATTGATAGTGTTTTTAAAGAAAATGTAACACATAAGGTTATATGCATGATGTATATTATTCTCTCTGTCCCATAACAAAGTATCAATTTTTCCATTTTAGTCCGTCCCATAACAAAGTATCAATTTCATTTTTTTTTAGTAACTCTACTATCTATATAACATTACAAATACCCTTACAACTTACAATATATTACACAAATGCCATTACTTTTATATCACACATACTAATAAGGTTATTTTAGTCATATCTACTTTATTTCTACTACATCCCAATATAATACTAATATTTCTAAAACTACGTGCAAAAAGCAAATGGATATCTAGTTATAGGACGGAGGGAGTACTATATTTATTATGTCTTCTCCATCATTTCAAAATATATGCTACTTATCACATTAGTTGATGAAAATTCTTTACTTAGCATCATCCATATGGTGTGAAAGCATTATTAAAAAAGTGACATGAACTAACCCTTTTGAACCCCTTTCCGTTCTAGTCTAGGCCCTCCTCGACTTGGTGCAAGTAAGGTAGAAGAAGAAGCAATATGTGGAAAAGGTAGGCTATTGCTTTTCCTCCCAGTCTAAGCACTTCTTTGTGCATAATACGCCCCATTGCCCTTTCACATCATTAAGTCTTACATGCACCATGCCTACTTTCTAGTATGAATTACATGAACATTTTCCATTTTTCATAACCAAATAAGTGTCGTCCTGGCAATAAGATTCCAAATGCACAACGCATTACTTATATGGTATTGCTAGTTCCTCGTGCTAGCTACTCTTCTGCAACATTCTCATCACCACACTAGACAAACACATCTCCCAATTAGACTTATCTTTAGATTGCAAGCATTTACACGTCTCTATGAGTCAATATCCAAGTGACCTAAGGATGTACACACCGAAGACTTTCCACAACATGGAAGCACACTAACACGCCCAAGCTCCCTATAAGCGTACTTATGGCTTAACAAGCCTTGCAACCCATCCATGTAATGAAAGATATGACATACTAGCTTTTGAACCCTCCGACATGCACGCCAATGTTAAAATCACATTACCGCCCAACCTTTCTTGTGATAGAACAATGGGCTTCATGTGAGGTATGTCAATTTGTTATATTTGACCATTTGAACTTTTTTGGTATTGGTTCTACAAATACTCAAAATCCCTCTCCACGCTAACCCAAGCACTTTACTAAGCTAGAGAGTGCAAGGGAAGCCACAAACGTTGCCAAAGGCAGACCGTGGTACGCAAGCCTTCTAGAAAAGTAAGGGGTTTGTTTGTTTAGTGTTTTGGTTTGAGATATATTTTTTGAGGTATAGTGAATTGTATAAGTAATGCTACCTTCGTCCGGCTCTTTTTTGCCGTGTTGATCTTTCAATATTAATTATTTTATCAAAATATAGTACAAGGAATAATGGCAAAAATATTTTTAATAGTGTTTTATAATATTAATAGAATAATATTTGTACAAAAAATTATACAAATATAATGATATTTTTAATATTAAATACAATGACGCAAAATGTAACGTAATCCTAGAGGCAGACGGAGGAAATATAAAAATAATATTTTATGTTGAATGTCGATTTTTGTGAGATGATAAAATATATATGTATATATTGGGAATCGTGTCGAAAAAAAAGTGTTGGAAGAACATTTGTTAATTCAAAGCATTTTTTAGTGTAAACAATAAGTTAGGTCGACTTTCAAGATTCTCCTTACAATGCTCCTCGTGTAATTCAAAGCATTTGTTGTCATTAATCATTATTTTTTTAGCATATGATCCTATTATTTGTGTATAAAAGTTGACCTAACTTATTGTTTACACTAACGTATGGAAATAAGGAAAAACATGGGTTAAGAAAGGGTGCAGCCATTCTCTCCTGTTGATACTAAAATTTGGAATGAAAAGTGGTAATGAGTAATCATGATTCCATTATCATATACCAATTGATACCTAAAAACACTGGCATTTGAAGGCAGTATTATATTCTTTCCCGCAGAACATCCATTCTCTCTCTCTCTCTCTCTCTTCTTTTTTTTTTTTTTTGTTTAAAGAAAAAAGTCGTTTCTAACAGTCAATTTCCATTCAAAGCATTATATCTAACAACTATTTTTCATATTAAACCAAAAATATGAGTAAACACACCTTGGAGTATCTACATTGCTTAAATTAAATGAATTCATGTTATAGTTCTCTCTATATAAAAATTATGCTTTCTACTGATAGGAATTTGAATACGTAGCAGATGCTTTAGAATGCTCACCTTACACACCCCCTTACGGGATGCCATGTTCTTGTAACAATATACCAACACAAAATTTGAAGCATCATAAAAAATAGAAGAGACATGGAAACATTATAGAAGAGACATGGAAACATAAATGTTGTATATAAAATTAACGGTACATCTTAAGCATTCTAGTGCTACTGCTGATTTAGGATTTGTTTGGCAATGCCACTTGTCACTAACGTTTAGTAATTTAGACTTAATAACATTGAGCCCATTTGATAATTAAAGAGTACATCAACTTACTCCATTAGGTGGAGCTCAATGCCGCTCACATAAACTGATCACTGGTGACATAATACTAAACGAGAGAAGTATATCACTTTATTACCTGACAAAAATACTTAAAAGCGTTTTCTTAATCTTATTAACTTTCTTATCTACAAAATATTTCATTCTTATAAAACTACTGCATATATATTAAATATAACATTTAATTTAGTTAATATAGTCACAGATTTTATTAATCAATGTAAAAAAAAATAAATCATAAAATGGTAACTTTGAAAGACTAAAATTTTCTATAATGGTAATCTCTAGAAGCAGTTGAAGTAGAACCTAGATATTTTTGTACCAATTTAGATTTGAAAGGTAAAGAAATAATGAAGCATGCTATTGCCATAAAAGCATGTGAAACACACATCCACTGACAGATATGAAGACTGGTTTTGAATTGAGATAAAAAGTTTTCCTAGTTTGTGATACAAAGATCATTTATTCATATTAATGTTTGCATTTATTAATGAGAAATAATAAATCATACATAAAACTATATCAAACCAGTGAGATCACAAACAACAAGTTAAACTTGAATATTATGTTGATCTATCCTTCTTCAACATGTACTTAGGTATAAATCCGTATTAGTCTTATTGCTTTGTTAGATCTATGGTTTTAAAAGCTCTATAAATGCAAGTAACCAAAATGTAAGTATTTGAAGGACAAATTGTTATTGCATTTCGAACCAGCAAATCCTGTGTTTGGGTTTTTACCAGTTAATTTCTGCTATATTTGAATAATTGCTGTATATTACTCCATTTGAAATTACATTGTGTATCACGAGCATTAAATTACTAGTGCCCCTTGTTTGGTCGTGTACCCATGCTTTCACTCAACAACTTATTAGAAATGAGCTGCCATTACCTCCACTAAAATGGAGCTTCTTCAGTTGCACCTTTTACAAACTGGATGTTCCTACCTTAAGATTAACAATTGATCAAGGTTATGAAAGAACATTCCTTGATGAAGCTTTGTATTTTTCAGATAAGTATGAGAAGAAATACCAAACAAAATGTATAAGATATTTTGAAAACATAATATGATTATGTTGTAAACTTAAGTCTATATTCTCTGAACTTGGCATCTGGAGTTCATCAATTTTCATTATTTGAGATTAGCTGATATTCGTCAAAAACTATTTACATTGTATCAAACTATGGGTCCATGGAGATTCACATGTTGAAATCTGGCTTACTGCCAGTACGAGCACGGAGTTGTGCTATTTACAACAGTTTGTTATGTCATATATATATGAAAACTGAAACACCCAAGGGAATTGAAAAATATCTTATACCAATCCCATGAGTGATACTACTATAATTTGTTACTTTGCATGCAAAGTATGGTCGCGATAGGGTTCTGAAAAATGCTCATGATATCATGTACTGTGGCAAAGTACATGGTATTCAGAATTCAACAAGGACTGTGATTCATGGCTCTAGATGGACAATTTTAATTATCTTATCGATAAAATGTTCTGAAATGTTTCTCGTAAGTGATGGAAGTTAAATAGAAAACCTGAACTTGTTGACCTGAAGATTAATATAATCGGGTAATGGTGGAATAAATGAATTATTTGTGCAGGAATGAACCTCCTTTTGTTATGTAATGTTGGAATGAGGATATTTAAGCCTGATTTTCTGTCGCCCTGTCCTTGTTCAAGAGGATGTTGTTTGATGTGTAATATTGTGAAGGATGGCCAGCATTCTTGTTTGTTAAAATGTTTTCTTTCGATATGTAATGTTGGAATGGTTAAACTTAAGCCTGATTGTTTTTCGCCCTCGTTGCCAAGGATGCGGATTCAAGTGTGGTGTTGTTAAGGATGTCAGGCATGCCTGTTTGGTAAAAAGGGCTTTATTATGTGGTGTGTTTCTGCTGTGTTTAGCTACAGAAACTTGCTTCTTCTTCCACTTCTTATATTTGGTTGTGCTTCTCTTGTTGCCTGGAAATGGTTATGACTAGTCATCTGCATTTGTTTGATTTGCATGTGTACAGATTGTTGCTGGTGATTGTGGGAAACTTTATCTGATTGTGGCATTTTCTTCTCTATGTTAATGCTTCATTTTGGTAGCTTTGTAAGAAACAAGTGATGGGATTGTCACAGTGTGATCTCCTCACTCTTACCCAACAAAGGTTGGCAACTATGTCTATGCCATGACAGAGGGGCTCTCAAGGTGAAGTCTGAAGCTGCATCCAGTTAAGATATGTCGGAGCTTTCACAATCAATGCGCGACAACACTGTTTGATTTCTGTAAATAAACTCCAGCTCGATTCTTTGTAAGTTAATACTGTGCATATGCATTAGATTCCTCTGAATTTTGTATAGCTTTAATTTATTCATCTATTAATGTTTGGGTTTCTTTTATATGGTATGTGTATTTGTCCATTCTATGCTTTCCCTTTGCCAGATGAGGTCGCAAATAAATGATAAGCATGGTCGCAACCATTATATGTGTGTATATATTTTATGTTTGCAAATCAGACTACAAAATGTTTTGGTAGAATCCCAACAGTGCAAAATCTCAGTGTGTCTTGCATTGCTTGCTAATCTAGTATAAACACTTTAGAATATGAACTGGGCCATATAATGCCAACAGAAGCTAAAAATCCCAAAAACAGTGCACATGCACATGCCTTTAAAAATTATTGGAAAGTGAACTCTGGGATTGGTACAAAATTGATATGGTTAACTTCACGTCTGGCTTGCTCTTATCCATCCCAAAATAAGTTTAGAATTAAAGAATTTGGGGACAATCTTATCTTGTCCATATGTTTTAAGTAGTAACGTGTTTTTATGCCACTTTGACATTTTAAACTCCAAAAAATATAGCATCAAAGCCCATATTAAACCTAAACCCGAATTAAATTTATTAGTAAAGTATATTAAAATGTGAATGTGAAGTTATTTATAGTATATATATATATAGAGAGAGAGAGAGGGGGGCATATATCATATGGTCATATCCAAAGAGAAAAAGCAACCTCACACATGGACGACAATCCGCACCTTATTCTCTCCCCTTCCCCTCTCTCTCTCTCTCTGCTATATGTGTGTGTATATATATATATATGCCCACCTCAATTATCAAGACAGACAAACTAACAATCATCTTCAGAGGAAGAAACAATCAAGAAAGCTAAGGCAACCAAAAATGGGGCTTCTGGATCAACTATGGGACGACGTGGTGGCCGGGCCACAGCCCGAACGTGGCCTCGAACAACTAAAGAGGCCAATCGTCAGTCCCTTGGACCTCAAAGGTATCAATCAATCCATCTTCTATCTCTCTATTCAACTTCCCAACAGACATTAACTAAACACACTTTACTTTTTACCTCTCCTGTATGTATGTGTACCTGTGTTTTCTCTTTTCGTCTCCAAAAATAGAGGTGGGAGGAGGATCCATGTCGGGTCCAACCAGTCCTGGCTCGCCAAGTGCCAGCTTGTCCCCCTCGGCTGCAAAGAGGGACAATGTGTGGCGCAGCGTCTTCAACCCGGGAAGCAACCTCGCCACCAAGAACATTGGCACCAACTACTACGACAAGCCAATGCCAAACTCGCCCACTGTCTATGACTGGTATGCATATGCCACTTTACAGTATGATAAAACTATCAACTGTCAAAGGGAATAATACCATTAATACCAAGATGATCTTTTCTTGGAGCAGGCTTTACAGAGCAGAGTCGAGGACCGAACACCGCTGAAAATCATGGAGCCAGCACCCAGCACGCCTTTTCCCTACCACACCAATTGCTATTCTAGTTTCATCTGAAACTCAGTTAGGATAGGTTTTCTAAAAGTATAGGCACATAATTTCTGAGGAGCTGATCTACCATGGAATTGAACCAAGCTGTAGATCATCTGCAATGCTATCTTTGTTAGTTGATTGTATGAACAAATAAAAGGGGATGCTTATTTACAATAGTCTGCACCGCAATAATATGATGCATGCTCACATACAAATTTATATCAGAAATTGAGTGGAAGCAACTACATATAATGTGCAAGAAGGCTAACATACACGTAACCAGAGTTGGGATGACAAACACATCAGAAAGGGCTAAGGCAAGACAGGAAGATCACCAAAGAACAACAGAGAAAATGTGAAAAACAGAACATCAAATATATGCAGAAGAATACACGAATGGAATTACATTAAATAAAATATAAAGAGATAAAAACAATGGCAAAACAAAATAAGTTAAATTTTAGGTAATTATAATTGGGTGTAATTTAATCCTAGTTTGGTGTTGTACCACATAAATCTTCGCAGATTTGTCAAAGTAAAGATGTGAAGACCAGCAAACAAATATATAAAACTATTGGATGGGGAAGCCATCAACTACTTGTAGTTTCTAGTTGCTTGTATGAGTATGCTCTCAAAAAACGACAATCTCCATATTTTGTTTATACGCCGGATCCGACTTACAATTGCTTCATGATTGAGCAGCTTTCTTTGGCGAAAGGGCGCCAGCATTGCCAGTTGCAGTTTCCTTACCTTCAGCCTTTTTCCTATACGCTAGAACCTGAACAGATTACTAATATGTTAATTGCGCACAGGAGAAAGAAGCACAGGTGTTTTCCAAATTGGAAATATTCTTAATTAAGATTTCAGATATGGAGTCTGTCGACTAGTTGCTAAAGGTTTCCAACTAATTTTCTGTTTTTTAGGTCCTCCTAAGCTATTGGTAGTGACCAAAACAAGGCAAAAGCATTCTCCAAAACACTGGACTAACTTTGTTGGAAAGACAAAGGCATTACAGGATGATGATGGAGGAATCAGTTTAAGATTTGCCAGGGAGTTTCATTAGCAGCCGATTAATCCATAATCTCCGAGAAGAAATATAAATGGGAACTTAATTTTTTTAATGCATCACAAAGTAATTATATCATACCAAATTCGGCCGAGTGAAACTCCCATGAATTTCCTGCATCGTCTGGTGTACATTCAAAAGCTGCAACTCATTTTCGCTAAGGTTCAAGATCCCATGATTGTTGTTGAAACTGGAACCACTGTTTCCAGGTTGGAAATCCTTTGCTATTAATATCTCAATTCCACTAGCATCCATGGATGTCTGCATGGCAATATACTGCAAGAGATGTTGGATTTAGAATCATTCAGAAGCTATATCTGTTTCTTTGTGAATTATGCTCAGAGACACATAATATAAAGATTAAAGCAAGTGAAAATACCAGGCATAAGTGTGCAACTGTGAATGTTGGGCTGCAGCAGAGATAGGGTCGCTTCAGGCGGGGTATGTTCTCCTCAAGTGAAACTAGTGTGAGGCCGATGTTGAACTGAGACAAGAAGATGACCTCATAACTCATATGTTACCTTAACAAAACAATCAAGCACATAACCTCAAAGTAATGCAAGAAATCAGATTTAATGCAAAAAACAAAACCTGATTATTTTCCTTTGAAGATTTCAGATGAGTAATTAGCTTTGAGATTTGACGATTCCTGGAGAAATTGCCATTAGCCCAACTGGGGCCGGCATGTCTGGTGTTACTACGCATACCACCTTTTCCCCAGGGTAGAATTTCTGAATTACCATTTGGTCCTTCTGATTCATTATCAACATAACTTCCATCTGCATTGGATCCAGAAACTTTCTGTGAAGCCCGAGCTGTTCCCCATCTTTTGCTTCTTCTTGACTTAACTTCAGGGGTGCGTTCGTCAGCAGAAGATGAATCTTTGCTACCATCATGCCCATTTGCTCCTTCTTCCCCATCAGACCCTTGGTGTTCAGCAACCCGATGGTTTCTTCGACCTCTCAAGTTTCTGTAATTGTCCTGCCTCCGGAGATATGAAGCTGCAGTGACTCTGGATGATGTTCGCTTCTTTCCTAGTGCTTCAGCTTGTCGACGGAATGTCTGGGCAATAGTAGCTTGGATCTGTTTAGAAGTAGAAAGATTAGGGTATGTCTACTTTCGCTACAGGTAAATCATAGATAGAATGCCAGCAAGAACCATTTTGTCGTCCTTTCGCTGTAAAAAGATACAGCAGTTCCAGCACTTATGGCATGTTTGTGGAAACATAAATACAAGGTATAGAATAACTATGATGCATAACTTATGAAAAGAATAAATCTGAGACCATTGACAGAGATATTACTTGCTTATTGCGAGCCTGTTCCTCCTCATGGAATGCTAATTCCTGCAATGACAATAAATTTCTCAATAAAACAAGGTAGATTTAATATGTTAAATAACCCAGCTGAGAATAAAACTGTTACTACTACCTCTTCTTCATATTTGTCAATGTCAGGATACAGGGCGGCAATGAGAGCATCATAGTTTGGATCATCTCTTAGTGATCGCCGACTGGCACAATGTGTGCGACAAGCTGGACATTCATTATTTCTGCATTGAAGTTGATAGCTATGTTAAAAGGCCAGAAATTCTGTGGCTAGTCAATATCAAAATGCACAAGAAAGAAAGTACCCTAGTCGCATGGATTTGTCAATGCACTCTCTGCAAAAGCGATGCAAGCATTCCATGACTGTCCTTGTCTTCCTAATGATACCTGTTTGTGGATATATACCCATGTACCATGGAATTGCTTGCATTAAAAAGAATGATGATATGTAACTAAAGGATTCATTTATAATATAGATGACCCCCCCCCCCCCCCCCCCCCCCAATCCCTCCAACCCAATTCTTTCTAGGTTAGTAAACCATTGTGGCATAAACAAATATGTGCAACAAACAACAATCATACCTAAACATATTGGACACTGAACTTCTTTGCGTATTTCCGCCAAGTTCACAGAAATGAATCTGAAATTCAACAACATTTGTAAGTCATTTCTCAAGCATGATATGACTGAGGCCAAATTTAAAAAGCGAAAAACAAATTCAAGGCTGCAAAACACAGGGAATTTATTGACACATGCTGATCGCAAACCGAAAGTAGAATAAAACCCATACTAAAGCTAAGTATAGGTTGTAAAAAGCCATCCCCACTATAGATAACCCATTTATAAGAGTGAGTATGCATAAATATTTGCTATTTAAGTCAACTATTTTGACCTGATTCATGCTATCAAATGACTCGCGTCTCAAATGATATTCCAAATTTGAATAGGAATCTGTATATATAGTCGATACCAATTTTACACTAGTCCAATTTTTAACAAAAGGCATGCTATATATGTAGGTATTCAAAAGAATGAGAAAGTACTCAAATAGCCACACAAATCTTTGAGGGAAACACTACTAAAACCACTGCGCAACTAAAAATTATATTCGCCAATCAAATATCCTATATATCCTACCACCCAAGATCGTTAAATCACAAGTGTACAACATCCCTATCATAACAGTACAACACATCCTGTTGGGCCATTTCAGATGGTAATGTCCACGTGGAAGAAAGGCAGAATATAACAGTCAACTATGTGCACCGAAAGTCCAGTACATACATTTAAGTCATCGATCAGATACGACAAGAACTGAAAAGGAAACTTGTAACAGGTGCATTAAAAACACCGATTGCTCACACAAACTGAATTGATCTTAAGTTTGCTTCCTATGATCATATATTACATGGAACTTTCTGATAAAGCTCTTTTCCAACTCTTAGCATAAACCAACACAGGTAAATGTTACTTGCTCACCATGATAACCTAACCAACTTAGATGTTAAAGTGTAGTTTAAAAGAGAAAAAATCTAAAACTCGAAAATAATGCAGTAGTTCAAATATGAAATGAACTAACACTTGTTGCATGATAGAAGTACCAGTTACAGGAATGGTGGGGCACTTCAAAATGCAACAATTCCATTATCAAGCTACAATGCACAATAATAAATTCAATTCAATTTGGTTTGTCACCTGTGTTACTACTGAATAGGCCAAGATTTACACAAGACAGACATTAATGATCAAATACGTGAATACATTGGAGAAATTAAAGTATAACTCTATAAAATATTCATACCGAGTTCACAGCCTTCACCAGACAACCAAAGATGCTTAGAGAATTTCAATCATTAAATCTAATCCCCAATGCTTCAACAAAAATCAGAAGAGCCTTCTCCAACAATTTTTTTTTTTTTTTAAAATAAACGACTCGCATCGCAAGAGAAAGCATGCAGATCTCCAGCAATACTTTTACTCACCCACACATCAACTCATCAAGCCCCCACAAAATACACGTAACTAGTTAGAAATTATTCAAAAATACATACATTCGATTTACATGCGGGCTAGAATGAGCGTACGTGTTTGTGTGGGTTACTGTAGGAGCGTCTAAGAATGTAAATCAAAAAGACAAACGGAGAGAGAGAGAGAGAGAGAGAGAGAGAGAGAGAGAGAGAGAGAGATGGGAAATACTCTTCATTTTCGCCGTCGCTAGAATCGTCACTCTCGTCAGAATCTGAATCAAACACGAGTAAATTTCCAAAATCATAAGTTCAAACCGAAAGGAAGACGAAACACAGCGAAAAAACAGATGCCGAACACAAGTCGAATTCCGCGCAACAAAAACAACTCGTGCGTCCATAAATATACATAAATAACTTCCCGAACCCATACCGGCGGCGTTCTCAGTTTGATTCTCGCTGTCCTTGAGCAAATCATCTGGCTTCTCCTCCTCCGGCGGCTGCGGCGGCGAAGGAGGAGGTGTCGGCATCTCGAGCGGACGCTTTTGCGCAGGCATTGAGTTCAGTGGGCGGCAGATGGAGTTGGCGTCGAAAATTGAAGGGTCCCCTCCGGAAGGTCGCGGAGGAGATACAGAGGGACTCAGCGAAGAAACGAAAAGAAGGCAATTGAATTGAACGTGTCCTCGTTGTTCCGCCTGCCTGCCTGTATGTATTATATATATATATATATACACGTGTTTTTGTTGTCTACGGTTTTATCTCTACAGTTTCTAACAATTTCAATTGCTTTCAGTACGAAATTATTCCCTCTACGGTTTTATTCCATTTCAATTACAATAGTTGCTCAAAAATCGTGTTTCCCAAATATGTCGTGGGCTTCTAGAATTGACACAACAAAAAAGCCCAAAATAGGGTTTGTATTATATTCAAGCGGTTAAAACATTTATATAAAATTTTAAAAATATTTTGGATGGTTTTTAAATAGTAATGATTTGATAATATTTTTATAATATAATGCATTTATAAAAAATAAAGAAAAGTGTGTTTTTTATTTATTTTTTATTTTTTATATTGGTAAACATATAAACACTATCAATTTATAATATTATTTTTGTAAGAAATACAAATTTATATAATAAAAAAGTTTTAAAATGAAATATAATATCAATATATTACTATTATAAATTATTTTAATACAAATCAAGATATAGGTAATATATAATTATATTTGTGTAATATAATATAATATAATATTAGTATCAGTATTAATATTAATAAATGGTAGGCCCACTCATTATTCCTTAATGACATACCGTTTATAAAATATTATTTGAATTTCAATTTAAATAAAAATTATATTATCTTCGTCCACTAATTGTATAAATAAATAATATGATCATAATGTAAATGTATTTGTAAGAAAAAAAAATAAGAGAAATTTTTTATATAATTCAAAATAAAAATATCTTAAGTTACCAGAAAAAACATTTATTTACTATATAAATCTTCAAATGTTAATATTTATTTTCATATATATATATATATAATATTTCACATAATAATATATATGTATAGTCAACAATGATTAAAAGTTGCCAGGTCTAAATACATTATTGAATTATATTGAAGTAACCAAATAAAATAAATATAGGTCCAATGGAGTCGAGTGAGTCAGATTAGGTATGAAATTGTATTCAATTATATCTCATTTTATATTTTATAGGTTACTTGCGTTTAGTTTGAACGAATAAATAAATTATTTTTATAGATTTAATAATCATAAAATTAATTAATATAATGTTTACTTTATTTAATTAGACACAAGATAGCAAAATTTTAGTATAATTGGATAAATTAATCATATCCATTTCGATAGGATTAATTATTCTTAATTAAATACCTTACTTCCACATATACGGTAATATTTTTTATTTTGATTTTCACATATTTTATAATATTTTAAAATAAAAAATAATTAATATAGTTTATCTCATAATATTATTTCAGTAAAAAAATATATACATTTATCTCTTATTATATTACATAATTTTATTTTATTCTATTTATTTAAATTTTTGTATCCGAATAAAAATATTATATAAAACAGAAAGAGTATAATTTTTTAATTTTTAAATTTAGTAAAAATATACTATTTATAAAACATTATTTAGCCATCGGTCGCTAAAGTGTATTTAGCCTTATAAGGTGATGTTTTGTTTAGACAACATCACTTTTGAATTTTGATATTATTTATTTTTAAAAAATTATTACACTAAATATATTTTTCTCACCGATAAAATTTATGTTAATAAAAAAAAAATTGGCGACCCACCTGAGCCCGTGGCACGGCCCGCCCTGTCAACGGGCCTCCGTAGCCGTAGGTATAAATATCATTTACTGTGGACGTCTATGTCGGGGAGTCGATAATGGAAAGAGAACTGAGCATCAACGAAGGACTCCAAGACAGAAAGAACTGCGGCGGAGCGGAATATATCGTCGTCGATTCCTGGTATGTCTCGCGAATCGGGAATTATGTATTTATAGATTTCACCAGATCCATTTACCGCGCTATCTTGTGGTGTGGTTAAATTTGTTGACTGGTTGGTTCGAATCCCTAGACAAGAGGCGTGGTGGTGTTCAAGGACTGCTTGCGACTTCGTCGCCAAAGTCCTGTGGGCGAATTTTCCAGCTTGTCAGTATGGGTCTCCCTGAAGTTGCTGATTTAGCCAGCAATTTCGCCGTGATGGTCAGAGTTCAAGGCCCCGTGAGTTTCATCATTCGTACATGTTTTAGTAAGTTTCCATATGCAATTTTAGGGTAGCTGAAGGTTTCATTGTTTTTGACCTTGCGAGTCAGGTCTCGGAGCTGTGTAATTATTTAGGTTTCTTGTTTTTCGTTCTTTGTTTGCATAAAGCTGTTCGATCACTAGATGTGAATTCCATCATTAATCTATTCGTCTTTGGTGATATATAACTGCCTCTTTTGTTCCTTCTATTATATTTGAAGTTTATTGGACGCTTTGAAGGTTTTCTTTATTTTAATCACAATACTGAAGTCTTGAAGTTATTATTAGCTGATACTGTAGGATTATGAGGAACTGATATATTGAGATTTGGGTATGATTTTACTATGTTATTTCCCTTGAAGGTCTTCCTGATTACTACATGAACTACTAATTTATTTTGCGGCAATGGTAATTTGCTTTTTTTTTATTGTTTGCAGGACCCAAAGGGTTTAAAAATGCGAAACCATGCATTTCATCATTACAAGTAAGTCATTAATGTTTACACACATTGGTCATAGTTTTACTGGAATCTATTTGTGGTGTTCCAAATGCAAATTTGTTGGCCAGAATTATGATACGCCAATTGAAGTAAAAATCAAGTGTTTGTGCATCTTGTAGTTCTGGCAAAACTATGCTCTCAGCCTCTGGAACAATTTACCCGGCTTCCTATGGAACTGCTGCTGTTGATAGTGACAGCAAATTAACACCATCGGAGTCTTTTTTGGTTTTGACAGTGGCATCTGTGATTGAACCATTTGTATCACAACCAGATCGGGAAAGCATGTCCAAGGTTTGATTCTTATTGTTGGAAAAGATATAATGTCCCAACCTGTTTATTGTGCTATTAATCTCTGTGGTAGGTTTTCTATCAATTTGTTACCCTTTAATTATTGCAGGTACAGGACAAACCTCGTCTGATACCAGGTGCTCAAATTGACATACTGATGGTATAAACAACTATCGGAGAAACTATTATCTAGGTAACTGTTTTTATATGGTAATATGATACTTATATAGTCTATGATCTTTGATTTCCAGGGAAAATCCATGATAGATGGCGACGTGGACGCTTTACCCTGGCTGCCTGCTGAACTAATAAAGATGGTAGGCAAATAACCAGAGCAGTGACAATGCCAGTTTTTCATCATTTGAAGTAAATTTAGAGTTGTAACTGTGAATATATATGGGAGGGGTGGGTTCCTTGCCTATTTTTCCAGATGGCGGGTATATTATCTTGGATTGTATAATTTTATTGAATTTGATAATTTTTATGTTTATTAAACTTTCAAATAATGGCTTTTACAATGCCTGATGTATCCGAAGGTTAACATTCCCCAATCATCAGCTGCTGTTCAATCACTCATTGAAGCATCATGTGGTTCACTGGAAAATAGTTGGGAAGTTGGTTGGTCTCTAGCCTCTCATAGCAGTGGTCCTCAGCATCTGACAGATGGTTCTCGTGCCCAGGTAATAACCCACCTTTTGGTTGATTTTTTATTTTTATTTTAAAGATTACACTTAATTTGTCTGTTATCTTTTAGAATATGAAATATTGGCTTGTGTTGTACTTGGTTTGAACTCTAGTAGTCTAGTGTTTGCTACATTTTAAAATATGTTCCATGTGAATGTCTAGTTGACACAAATAAACAATCCATTAAAGTTCCACTAGGTTGTTCATTTTATGCAAATAAGTATGCTGTGAGGGTAGCATCATCTGTATGCTTTTCAATTTTGATGTTCTTCATGGATATTAAGATTGGAACTTATTAAAATTGACTGTTTAGTTTGAGTTTGGTTCTGTGGATTAAAGATGCAGGACAGGATCACCTTAGTTATAGAATAAACATGTGCAAGATTTTTTTGTTAATGAGGACTGCTGCCTTCATTGCGCTCTTCTGTCCATATGTTCTTAGCTTTTTATATCCTTTGATTATTTACAATTACAACTAGTTTGCTCTCAATTACTTTATTCTCACCCAAGTGCAAGTTCTATAGTTATCCTAAAAAGACCAAAGTTGACTGCATAGGTGGTGTGTTATGTAACAGGCACTATCAACTGATGATTTCAGGTTATTCAATCATCCTTTCCGAACCGCTGGCCATTGGTGAGGATGGAGTCGAGCAACCCAATCCTCATGGGGCAATCAGCTACACGGGTTGCACTGCTGGCAATTCCGTCAAAATATGTTTTGGTACTGCTATGATTTTCTTCTACTACCTTCACTTTTATAAATGATTTATGGTAACAAGTCACATTTATTTCTTTGTGTTGATATATTGTTTCAAACAAATAATACTTGGATTTTTTAAATTACAAGTCAATAAATTTATGGTTTCCAGGACTCCCCAAAGTTGCAAATGTCTATTCCAAAGAGAGGAGATCTTCTACTGGCTATGGGTTCTCCTTTTGGCATACTGTCACCTCTACATTTTTTTAACAAGTAACTCTTGCTCCTTCAGACTTGACTGTGGTTGTCTATGCCATCATTCAAATTCATAAATATTTATTGCCGTAGAATTATGTTCTCAAGCAATTTTTAACCTCCATGGCAATTAAAGTGGCTTGTATGTTGTTATCCTCTTCTCCAGCATAATTATTTCTTGACAGAAGTGGTCTAATTTGAACTTCTATGGCTTTTGCCTTCTACAATAGATTATCTAAAACTTCCTTTAAATGCAGTATTTCAGTGGGTTCAATTGGCAACAGCTACCCGCCTGGTTCTTTCACAAGATCTTTGTTGATGGCTGATATTAGGTGTCTTCCTGGTGTGAGCAACTAGCCTGAAATTATATCCCTAAATCTTGTATCTTGCTGATTTTGATAGCATTTATCTTTAAATCTTTCAGGCATGGAAGGTAGCCCAGTTTTTAGTGATCAATCTGGATTTATAGGTCTTCTGACAAGGCCACTGCGGCAAAAAATTAGTGGTACTGAAATTCAGGTGAGCGAGGTGGTCATTCTTCCATATTCTTGCTGCATCATACTTAAAAAATGGCAGGTGCATTTATTTGATTTTTTGGCGATCAAAATCTAATTGAAGCATGGAAAAATTAGCCATAGGTGGGGTTACCGTTGCTATTGGCAGAATGCATATGCATATGCAAGTTGACATCCGATGGCGAACTTCCATAGCACATCACCCTTGTCTAACCCTATATGTGCACGTTTTGTGATAAATCAGCTAAGAGGAAAGCATGTATAGCTAATCTAAATTGCAGATCATGCCACACAAGGACATGCATGGATTGGGAATACTGGAATTTGTTGCACTTATCCTTTGATGGCTTGGATAATGATTTCAGAAGACTTCATAATTTGGCTATGTTTCTGATTAGAAATAGATAATTGATTTTTGAGGTATTAGGTGGACTTGTTTAGAATTTCATCTGTTGTTTGACAAGTGTTATGAAGGGAGGGATGTTTATCCGCTTAACAATATATCGGAGAAAACTATTCCCTCCTAATATAGGATGAAAATTACATCTTGTACACACTTTGAATACTACTTTTAAGTGAAACATTCATACGGTCTGACATATTGGACATAATAGTTAAAATGCTGGTCATAATAGTTATTTATTTATCTGGATTGGGATTTTACTAAACCAAACTTCTTTAGCTTGAGATATCCTCGGGTATTTAATACATTTCCTTTGGATGATAGATGGTGATTCCCTGGGAAGCCATTATATCGGCTTGCAATGACTTAGAGGAGCCTGATGTTGCACATAAAGAAAACAATAATGATATTGGAAAGATGAATAGTGGAGAAGAGAGTTCGAAAGGTCTTGTGTCTCCTGTAGAGAAGGCAATAAACTCCATCTGTCTTATTACTACTGATGATGGATCGTGGGCATCTGGTGTTTTGCTCAATAAACAAGGCTTGGTTCTTACAAATGCTCATCTCCTTGAGCCATGGAGGTTTGGGAAAACAGTTGCAAATAGTGATAGAAACGAGACTGGTCAGGAGGCTGCCACACTTGCAAACATACATTTGAAACACGAGACATGTAGTGGCATTGAATTGAGTCAGAATCTTCACCCAAAAAATGTTAAGGCTGCAGACAACTCGATGAGCTGTTATGCACTAACTGGAAGGAGCTCTTCCAGTTTAAACCATAAAAACATACGTGTGCGTTTAGATTTTATGGATCCTTGGATGTGGACTGATGCTAAAATGGTTTACATTTCAAAAGGCCCCTTGGATGTTGCACTACTGCAGCTTGAAGTTGCTCCCGATCAACTCTGTCCCATAGTTGTTGACGTTCATTGCCCCCCGCCTGGATCAAAAGCATTTGTAATTGGGCATGGACTGTTTGGACCTCGATGTGGTAATAACATTCACCTGTTCTCATGTCTTTCCTTTAGATTTGATGCATAGCTTATGGTGTATACCACATTATATTTCTATTAAAATTTTCTCCTATGTATATTTTTTGATTAAATAAGATGGGTGAAATATATGAAAGCAAGAACTATGCATTGACATATCAAATGTTTTGTGATAGAAATTCTCCTACTAAACGTAAAATTCACTCAGTGTAAAGGTTTAGTTTACTCAATTAATACCATCTCCACTGAACTCATTACTGGCTACTATAATCACTACATTAGACAAAAGTTCTCTTTTGAACACTAGTTGGATGCATATTGAGCTTAGGTACTTAGGAATTAACCGCTGTGATGAATCTTGTTGGTAAAAGATGTATCATGTATTTTATTACCTCGGTCCCTTTTGGTGGTTGGTTGCCTTTTCTTTATCATATCTTTGACATCTGTAATTTTCTCAGATTTTCTTCCGTCAGCCTGCCTTGGTGTAATAGCTAAAGTAATTGAAACCACCCGATCCAGCCAATCAGTCGAACGATTTCCAGCAATGCTGGAAACAACTGCAGCAGTCCATCCGGGAAGTAGTGGTGGTGCTGTTGTCAACTCAGACGGATGCATGATTGGTCTTGTTACAAGGTAAAATTCTTGCCATATTATGACCCCTGAAAGTGTTATTTGGATATCACTGGGATCATATTTACAAAAATTCTGCTTCTCTTAATCTTAATACACATTCCCTTTATCTTTCATATCCTCGTTTTCTTTTCTGGAATTTCGATGGCTTAATCCCTTACCTCGGAATCGTTCCACAGCAATGCTAAGCACGGTGGAGGTACCGTCATACCACATCTGAACTTCAGCATTCCCTGTGCTGCTCTGGAGCCAATCATGAAGTTCGCCAAAGGTTGGTTGTTCTTACCTTTCCAGTTTCTACTTTTGTCATCAACACGATTGATGAACCCTACCTGTCTGATCCAGACATGAAGGATCCATCCTTCTTAGAAGAACTCGAAAAACCCAACGAAAACCTTTCTTCTGTGTGGGCATTGATGCCCCCCCTCTATCCGAAGCCGGCCCCTTCGCCCCAACTTCCTGCAGATGGAGACAACAAAGGTCCAAAGGGCTCTCGCTTTGCCAAGTTTTTAGCTGATAGAAATGCATTGCTGAAATCGAGCAGCGCGGCGACCGGGAAGGATCATTTATCCAGTAAGCTGTGATTGTCTATGAAGTCTCTGCCACAGCCAAATGTATACTTGAAAGGAACACAAAGAAAGGTATACTGCAAAACAGTGTGAAGATTGATTGTTGTATCTTTAAGATGTGTATTTCTTCTCTTCCCTAACCCTTCCCCCCACTCAACTCTCTATTATATATACACACCATCGGAGTTTACGTGTGATTATTGGATTTGAACTTGGAGTTTGTTATAGTAAAAATTTGAATATTTTATAGATTCTATTGCTTTCAATTGGATATATATATATATATATATTCTCATTAATTTTTTTTTTTAATAAAAATAAATATGTGCGTTAAACATGTATATATATTTAGATTACAAGTTATGTTTATTTTAAAATTTCCCGAAAACTCGGGGCTTACATGTACTCTTATTTAAATTTTTTTAAGAAAAAGCGACTTACTATTATAAATTTAGATGAAAAAAAAAAAAGGAAAAAAAAAGTAATCTTATAAATCTCCAATAGGAAAAAGGTGCTCTGAAGTCTTCTTGTTTCTAGTGCCGCCGCCCTCCTCTGCCTCCAAAGCTCCAGCGCCGCCGTCGACTATCTTCTCAGACGAGAGATTCTTGGCCGGGATCCGTGGTTTGGGGCACTTCCTTGATACAATTGGACGCACCATGTTGTGGATTAATATTTAAATTTCGAGAATTCGGGGAAAATATAAGAGAACACACGAATGGGGGAGAGTGCGGGTTTCGGCGCGATTTACAAGGAGTACGTCGCGGGTATGCTGGCGGGAGTTGCTACTGTCATCGTTGGTCATCCCTTTGACACTGTCAAGGTCTTTTTCGAAACCTATCTTCGACGCTTAGTATTTTGATTTTTGGCTGTTTTCTATTTTTTGGATGTTCGGTTTTGTGATTCTGCATTAATGAGTTTATAGATGGCTTGGTGATTGAGAATAGAATTTTCTATACATTGAAGTCTGAATTGGAGCTATCGTGATAGTATATATTGCTCGCCACATTGTAAATTCAAGTGATTTTCTCCCCCCCAACATCAATGCCTGTCAAAAAGAAACATTCCATTGTAATGTGATAGCCAAAAGTACCGAGTGTAGAAACTATCAGTTGCTCTTTCCCTTTTATTGATTGTGTATTTCATTATTTTTCCATTTGGGACAGTGAACACTATACTACTTCTCTACGGTTGTTTATATGCATCAATATTTGTGATGAACTTGTGACCATGGTGTGCATGTACATATGTTCATAGTTGATTGCCTTTACTTATATGAGAGATTCTTCAATTAATATACTAGAGATGAGGAGTTTCACGGGACACATTTTCTTTTCCCAATGGATGTTGTTATAGAGGAAGAAAGACTTAACTTTTTATTGGTGCTGAGTTTTATACACATGGCTGAAGGACAACTGAGACTATAACTAGTACTTAAATTAGTGAGATGCTGTTGTTTCATTAATATACTTGTATGCGATCTTTGGAGTGGATTCTATTGTTAAGTTTCTGAAACCTTTTTTATATTTGAATTTTAATCCATAATTTAGGTGAAGCTTCAAAAACACAACACAGAAGCTAATGGGATGAAATACAAGAATGGTTTGGACTGTACTGCAAGAATATTGAAGATTGAAGGAGTACGCCCTCAACTCCCCTTGAGACTTCACTTATATATGCATGCTACTTAAATATGTTCATTCTGATTAGGTTATGGAGCATTGTTCTTTCTTTATCCATCACTGCTACATACTAGGAATTCAGAAGTTAATACCATTTTATATAATTTATTCTATGAAGAATGGAAGACAACACAAGTGTTATTATATTTTAGCGAGAATTTAATATACTTTTTGACAGGTGAAAGGTCTATATCGTGGTGCAACATCATCTTTTGTTGGAATGGCCTTTGAAAGCTCACTTGCATTTGGAATATATTCCCAGACAAAACATTTACTGCAGGTGTGTTTCATTGTGGGCTGAGTGCTTGATAGAGATCATCATCGCGCTGCTTTAACACGTTTTACCTTGAGAAATACATTTGTATCCAACATTATGGTTGCTCTAATCTAAGGTTTTCAATCCTTTAGTAGCTTGCTCATACAAGTATTGCTTTGTGCTTTTCTAGGGAAATATAAAGAGTGAAAAGCCCCAACCTCTTGCAATAGTTCCTTCAGCGGCTTTTGCTGGAGCTGTTATTAGTTTTATACTCTGCCCATCTGAACTGGTGAAAGTAAGTGAAATAGAAGCTTGGAAATTCTTGTTCCAAGATGCTCATAGACTTTGAATGAGTAACAGTGTGGTTTTCAGTGTAGGATGCAAGTTCAGGGTGCCGACTCAGTCACCCCTAGCTCCACTAGATACAGTAGTCCTATTGATTGTGCTCGTGAAACTATTAAATCTGAAGGGGTGAGAACCACTACTCTCCATTAAATTAAATGCTAGAGTACTTCTTAGCTCATAAAGTTTCTCCTCATAGTTTTTTTTTTCTCAAATTACACTTCAGCTTGCAGGCATATTTCGAGGAGGCGGTGCTACGCTGCTAAGAGAATCTCTTGGAAATGCTGTCTTCTTTAGCACGTATGAGCATGTGCGATATTACATGCATCTACCGCTGAGAGATTATACCTCTAATCTATCCTATTTTATTGATGTAGGAGTTGGGATTGTTAGTGGTGGCGTTGGTGGGATAGCGGTGAGTATTACAGTTTATACAAAAAAGGCTCCATAACTGCACATGGCAACTTTCACTCCATTCTATTTATTAGCACCTATATACTCTATTCTAATTTCTATTTTGCATGTTTTAGTGTTGGTCTGCTGTTCTACCAATAGATGTCGCAAAGACCATAATTCAGACATCACCTGATAAAAACCATACAAGAAATCCATTTCAGATCCTACAATCGGTATTCCATTACTATCATTCAATATTTAACTTTAAAATTTGCCTTGAAGTATACAGCTGAACCCTGACTCTTTCTTCATTGCTAGATTTACAGGAGATCTGGAATTAGAGGTTGCTATACAGGTCTTGGTCCGACAATAGTTAGAGCTTTTCCTGCAAATGCTGCTGCCATTGTCACATGGGAACTGGCTATGAAAGTGTTAGGGATCAAGCGTGATTGAGCTAGGCCGATGGCGTTTATGCAGACTTTCTTGAGATCACTGCAAAGAGATTGTGTAATTGTTGGATGCCATTTTGGTGATTACATTTTGGACATGAAGCACAATTGTGCCTTGACTGATCCATATATATTTTTTTTGACTGATCCATAATTTAAAGCATCAACCTCAGGTTATTGATAACCAAAGAGTTGTATGGGGATGACTAGCTAACTTATTCTTAATTTTAAGTTGAATCACTTCCATTTGAGCCCTTAGTTCTTGTTACTTTTCTGGTTCAAATATTCGAAAAAGCTTTAAGCTATTGAGCATTTTAGTGTGTGGAAATTGTTGATAAATTCAATCATGAACTTGTATGATAGCTACATAACTTCTTCCATAGAAACTTTCTGATGAAATAACAAATAAAGGGCTCAAAAGGTATAAGATGGAATTCTGTGGGGCATTATAGATTGCTGTGCATATGTCTGACAGACCAAACACCAAATAATCCTTAAGATTTATTATGCAGATTGGAAGCTAGTTTCTGAGACTGGGACAAAGCCAATGTTCTTTGTTAACAGAAATCCAGCAGTTGACAGAAGATAGGGAGCATTCTTAGTGATCAGAATGGTAAAGAGCTTTATCCTGGAAGGCCATTCCATTGTTATCATCCCTGATAGGGACATAATTTGCAGGTGGCCTTAATATTGATGAAATGACTCTTAGCTTGTTAGTGAGAATCATAGGAGCTCTTGCGGCGCCGCTCATTATGTCCAGCCAAGCGCCTGCGACAGCTTCTTTTAGCTTCGTCGAACTCAGATATGTCATGGAACCTGTAGAACATGTTAGCCGTGAAAGCAGATAGTGAAATCTCAATGTGGAGGACTCCATTAATGCATTCCTTACTAAAGTGCCAATATGACATATTGTGTTTGTCTGTTGCTTTCCCTGTCAAAAGTTGAAAGCTTTGTCTGTATGACACACACATATTATACAGTTAGCCTGACAACCTTGTTTTCTTACAGGTAATGCATCCATGTGTGATTAAATATCCCCAGAAGCAGAAAGCCTCAGCTAAACACCTCAGTATCATCATGCTGTATCAGGTACTTACTACATTATTAGCCTTTGCATATTTTATCATTATCAGTGTTTCTTGCACATATGATGTTGTATTTTGTCAGTATCAGTGTTTCTTGCACATATGATTTTGCACTAGAATATTACATGTCTAAGATTCTAGAGATCAAATTTGAGCCTGATTAGATGTCACTTATTATTCCCTAGATTGTATCTCTATCTTGCCTCTGGTATGCAGTGCTGCATTGTCTGATCATTATTTCCTAAGTCCCTTTACAAGAAACTCAAATCAAAACCACTGAATTCACACTAGAGACCACATGAAGTAGCAATAGCAACGAAGAATTCGAGCTGATGAATGGTATTAATTATCAAACCTGCTGCACTGCTGACAGAAGCGCTGGTGCTGCCCAGCCAGGAGCACCACAGCAGCCTTGGCATGAAATTCACAAACCTTGTGCCGGCGGTGGTACGGCTTGGCATCCGCCATGTCGGCCGTGCAATCCTCTACCTGACAGGACCGCTGTGCCGACGATCCTCCACTGGAAACCCTTCTCTTAGACAGAGTCAACGCTTTTTTCTTACTGTCATCTTGGTCTTCCTCAGCTTCCTCCTCCAATTCCGACACCTGCATGATGCTCTTGCCTTCCTCTTTCCCTGTCTCCATTCTTTTGTTGCAGGTGAGGAAAAGTTTGAGGGGAAATTATTGCAGTGGAGAAGATGGAATTGAAGTTGAAGTAGAAGTTGAAGTTGAGGTAGAAGTTGAAGTTGAAGTTGGAGGGAGGGAGTAATAGAAAGCAGGGATGATGGATATTAGAGGACCACAGGTACCATCCCATCCTTTTTTTTTTGGTGGTTTGTTTTTTTTGGGGTTCGAATCAATGCCTAGTGTTATAGTGGACTCTAGGATTTTGATGTGTTTAGTGATGGTGATAAAAGTGGTGTAACTCTGTAAGGGTCATTCTTGATTTAGGAGGTTTAAATAATCAGGTTTTAATCCATAAATACTTCAAGTATACACAACCTTGTTTAGAAAAAAGAAAGCTGTGGCCATTTTCTTGATATATAATAACAGTGATTATATATATTTATACAGAGATCCAGGGAGGGGTGTGTCACTTTCCAGGCATGTTTTTATCATGACTTTTCATTAAATGAAGAGCTTTTACAGTTGCTGGATTTAAATGATTCCCCAATTTCTAACATGTATATTTCATGATGATGATGAAGAAGAAGATGAAATTGGGAATGGGGGGTTTTGCTTATGCGCGCGCAATAATTTGCTGCTGGTTTTGGAAGTCCTTGTCTGAGGGGGGGGCTGGGGTACCCAACCCAACCCACTCCCCACCATTTCACTTTCAAGATTCTTGGCTGGAAAGTGAAAGAAAAGAATCAAGATCCAATCTTGGGCCGCCACGTGTCGGGCCCTGATGAGGGCAAAAAATCTTTCCCCACATGAATTGTTTGGATGCCAGATTCACTGCAGCCAATGGGTTTGTGGCAAAGTGGGCACTTTAAGCCTTGGACTGTGAAAAACTGCTTCTGTGTTCTCTTCTCTTCTGTTCTGTTCTATTGTGTTTGTGTGTGTGTGACTAGACTAGACTAGACTGTCTTCTCTCTCTCTCTCTCTCTAATCCAATCAATGTTTTGGTACGAATAACATTAAATTTTGTTCGCTCTTTCTGTTGTAGTTTGGTCCACATCTGTACGAGGACAGCTGTTCGTTTCAATGATGTTCCAACGACAGGGGAATGAATGCCTTATGCTTCTGCCCATTTTGTCATCCATTCAATTATTCCTTTTCCTAATAAATTTTATTGCATTGCATTATTTAACCTTTCTTATCCTAACCACTTTTTTCGTTTTGCCATTTTATGCCATATTGCAGAAGGGCTTTAGGTTTCCCCAGCTACACTTCCAGTTTTTGGGCTACATTTGTAATTCAGTTTTGGGCCGTTGCAATCTACTGGGTCCAGATCATACTCAAAGTCTACAACTGCCCAGCCCAATACATATGGTCAGGCCCAGATAATTGAAACGCACGTGGCTCGGTCCAGATTACAAGCCGGATTCAAGTATGTACGCCTGAGAAAATACGGGTTTGTTGTTTTGGTGATATTTTTTTTTTCGAAAATTTTATTATTCAACATTTAAGATTTATTATAAAATATATTATATACCTCATCAAATATTACATTCAGATTATTACTCAAACAAAAACTTCCAAATATAGAAATAAACAAAAAAATAAAATAAAATCATAAGCCAAACACGCTAAGGTAGTACTGCACTTAAAATGTATTTTTGGAGTTTTGAGGATAGTAAAGAATGAGATAAAAATTGGGTATCCCATTCTTTACGTTCTTTGATAACAATTTACATACAAGAATTTGAATTATTTATAGATGAAACTTTGTATCTATATATATAATATTAAATTGACGACAATGGAATTGTGGACAAGATGAGATGAGATGGTCCCTTGACTTAACAATGTTGTCCACTATAACAGCAGCAGTATACATCAAATTAATTTTCTGATATATGTATATATATATATATATATTTATTTATTTATATATATAAATAGCTTGTAATGAAAGCATGCATTAATGGTCCTACAACTCCATCTATCAATTAGCTTTGGTTACCACTAATTGACAAAAATAATTATATTAGGTCTATATCTATATATTATTACTAATGTGTTGGTTTACAATTAGGGAGGTGTAACTTATAAGAAAAGAAAATTATAACTGTATTAATTATTTATATTTAAACAGATAGAGATATATATGTAGTTGCAATTATTGTAAAATTAATTAAGTGGAATTTGATTTGGGTGATGATTAAAATCAATATTCCCTCTTTATCCGTGAGAATTTTCTCCACTGTGCCTTAAATTTCGCAATAATGTCGGATTCTTGGGAACTCCCGGGCGCTCAACTCCCGGATAAGTTGTGATGGTGTGGATAACTCGATATCCATTTTTTGGCCTTGAACTCCATGGAGCTCCCAATAATCCCACCCTATATATCCCATACATCCTCGTTTGTAATAAAGATTGAATTTTTAATTAACATCATTATTAAAATAAAACAAACGGCAATTAATTTGCAAACAGCCCTCATGAGTCTTGACTTCACGTGAAAGTTAGAAACCAAAACAATTAACTCCCTTGTAATAATCAATCACAATTATTCTGATATAGTCTTCTTCTCCACAATATCTATATATATATATATATATATTCAATTGTCTTTTAGCTGTTGTCGCAGAATATCCGTATGATGTGTAGCTAATTGTTTTGCCCTAAAAAGCAAAAGCAAAAGCAAATATGCAGCAGCTGCCCATCATCATCTTCTTCAATTTAATTCCATCAAAAAATTAGTTTCTTGTTCCTTCGATCCATATGGATAATAAATTAGCCGTTGATCCTCCTCTCAAGTGCCCTCGCTGCGGTTCCTGCAATACCAAATTCTGTTACTACAATAACTACAGCCTGTCTCAGCCGCGCCACTTCTGTCGGGCCTGTAAACGCTACTGGACCCGCGGCGGAACCCTAAGAAACATCCCCGCCCGCGGCGCCTCCTGCCGGAATCATAATTACAAGAACGTTAATCCCCGCCGGCGCCGTCGCCGCCCCACCCCCACCGCTAATTTTACTTCACCTGCAAACCCTAGCAGCTTCCGGCGGCTTTTCGATCTGCCTTCTGCAGCTAATTCCGGTTATGTCTCAAATAATCCTTTCTTTCCTTACCTCACCGCGGCGGCGGTGGAGGAGGAGGATTTGATCCATCTCAATTTCCCGTCGAGTTATTCTTCAGCTAGGGTTTTCTCCGATGAGATGAACAATTCTGAATTAGGGTTTTCCACATTTTCCGGCGGAAACTCCGATCTTTCGGTCGGTTCAACAATGGCGTCTTGCTTAATCGGTTCAGGTCCTCAGAAATCATTCAGTCTGAAGACGATGACGGATATTCAACAGCCTACAGATATCACTGCAGACTCAATTCCGCCGCCGCCGGAGAAAATAGACGGCGGAGGAGTTTGGAAGGCAAGCCCAGTGGAACAAATAATTTCTTCTTCTTCTTCTTGGGATAAGCATGAGAATTTTTATACGACTAATTGTTACAACTTTGGTTCTTGGTCTTGGACAGATCCTTCTCCAATTTAGCTAGCTATGTATATTGTTCAAATTATTTATATATATATATATATATATATATTTAAGCTGCAAGAAATTTGGGTGTTGGATTGGATTGGATTGGATTATTGGATAGATCTCACAGTTCATATGCTAATAGACGACCATTTTTTCTTTTTATTTAATTTTTTAAGCAAAACTTCTTTTCTTGATGATGATCATTACAACTATATATATATATATATATAGTTGCAAATTTTAATCTTTGCACAAATTTGTGGTAACTATTACGAGTTCATGTTAATTATTCAATATTTATTTATTTGGCTTGATTCTTGATATACATGTGTAGTGTGTGTGTATATATATATACATATACATATATTGATCCAATTAGTTTCTTGATATACGTGCTTCTTCAGGTATATTCGAAGAAACCTCGTATTGTGGGGAAAGAATTTTTTTAGTCAAGATTTAAAAAATCTTTTTAGGGTTTGTTTAATTGGTGATTGATTTTGGAGCTTGATGTTTGTTTTAATAGCGGGTTAAAAATGTTTTGTGAGAAGATATATTGGGTTTTGTTTATTTGATTTGATTTCAAATATAAATTAATATTATTCAATAAAAATATATTATGCATTTTTATACAAAATTCAAATAAAAATTCAATTTCAAATCAAAGTCAAACAAACCCATTATGCTTTTACAATAAATCATAATGACGATTGAAAATTTAAAAACAAAAAAGAATCACTAGGTAAATAAAAGCTAAACAATATAAATATGTCATATGTATATTAAATGTTAATGCTTAAGATAGTAATCCATACAATATATATCGAAAATTTGTGAACATATATACAAAATATTTTCTTAAGAACATCATCTCTATGTACATAAGAATGAATTTATAATAAGAATAAAATATATATATATATATATATAAAGTGCATATATTTATAAATAAGATTTATCAGTGTAATAATATGACTTCCAAAGACCATTTTGGGCTGAATAATAATGTAGCCCATTTAAACCCAAATAAAATTTGGGCCGAAGGTTGATATGTTAAGAATTGCGTACGACGTCGTATTGTGGCGTGTCGCTTTCAGTTAATTAGGTCGGCTTTAGACATGCACTATATGGCCAATTTTTATAGTTTCGATTTATTATTATTTTCTAAGATTATATGTTTTTGTTTATATAAATATTTTTTAAAAATTTTGCCAATATTTTTTGTAGTCTAGTGTATATAATTGTTGCACATATTTCTCTATTATAACGTTTGCTAATTAATTGTAACACGGCCCACCACACGTCCTTGGTGAATAATTTCTCCACTATATATATATATATGTCTTATTCCAACATTATATGTAAATTGCAATAACTTTAATCATGCATGGCCCCAATAATAATATAATAATAATAATAATAATAATAATAATAATAATTTGGGTGATGTGCAACTTTTGTGGTCAAAGTTCAATTCACTATTTATTGACTGTCACTGTTCAACTTTAATAATATATACATGCTTTAAAAGTGAATTAATTAATTTGATGTTAATGTAAATGTAATCATTTTATTATATATATATATATAATTAAAATTCATCTGATTTCATGAACTCAAAAATTTCAACATTGTACTAGACAATATAGAGCTAAATTTAATTGAAACTACTACATTAAATTAAACAATTATTTGCTAAAAGATTGCTACGTTCATAATTTATAATGGTATGTTAAGATTTGGGTACATATATAATTAAACGTTTTGAATTTAAATAATTATATATATATATTGTAATAATTATATTGACTACATATAATCATTAAGGTATATAAATGATATATGCATAAATGAAACTTAGACTCGAAGAATTTTTAAAAGCCATGACACGTGTGGTTCGACACAATCTGCCTTTTCTAAAATATATTTTACTTTATCATCATTTTATAATTGTTGCTATATTATCTAAAATTAACTGATTAAATATATATATATATATTAGAATAATTACAAGTAACACACCATATACCACTTTTATTTGGTGATTTATTTTTATTTTTAGTTTTAATTAGTAAGAATAAAATTAAAGGTTAGTGTTTTATAACATGGAAAATTTTTGTTGCTAGTTATTGGAATTTGTGAAAGTATTTTAGTAAATTATGATTTTATTTTGAGTGTGATCATTTTTATTTTTTATTAAGAATAATATAAACATTAAAAAATTTAATATATAAATATGGATTGGTGGGGGTAAATTAAAAAGTAAAGTACATATATAGGGCAAGGACAAAGAGGTGCATAATGCATGCATGCATGCATGCAATGGTAGTGATAAAGGCAGACAATGGATTGTTCTTTAATTTCTTCATGCACCTGTCACCTTGCAATAAATCCCCAACCACCTTTTCTTTTCTTTTCTTTTTTTTTTTTTTTCATAATTTTTAACAATATGAAGTATTATTTTTGTTAATCAAAATTAATATTGTCATTTTTTTAAAGTTGTTATTAAAAAACGCTTTCATTTATATTTTCAATAAAAAAATATACCAAGTATTTGTAATTTTTTTTAACTATAAAAGATATAAATTATTACTTAATATTATTAAAATTTTGTAACTAAATATGTGAGCATATATTCGATGATGACGGGAGAATTACTATTTTTTTTTTATAAAATATTATTTAAATTAAAATTTAAACTCAAACATAAACCAAATAAATTGTGATTTTAGAAACACTTTTAATAGTATAATTTTTTTTAAAAAAATCATATAGAAAACCTATATTTCGAAATATATTTAAAAAACACATTGAACACTTATTTTTTTAAAAATTATTTAAAAACTTTTGCTAAAATTCTAACACACTTTAATTTCAATATATATATATATATATTTAAATTCGAAAGGGAAGATGGTAATAATATACAAATACATATAAATAAATTGATTAATTAATAAATAAATAAATCACATCCCTCATATCTGCTGCTTCGTAGCTTTTCCTTTATTCTTAGTTTGACTGTCCCACTAAGCACCAAGCTACTCACTCCACCATCTATTTCATTTTTACAATTATTATTATTATTATTGAGAGTATATATATGTAAATGTTGAATTATGTTTTGTGACACGATTTCATGAATGAATTAAAAATTAATAGTCAATAAGATAGTATGCATGTAGTATAATTATATCTGTTTGTGGGCTTAATTGAGTAAATAATAATTTATATGTATATTTATATATTATTGTGTAACGAAACCAATAATTATAATTATAGCTACCACTAACATCTATAATTTCTACATGCATGCATGGCAACATCATCAACTCCACCAACAAATATTCATATATATATATATATATATTCCTTGCCTGGTTTGGATAGAGTATTAATTTTAATTTTAAATGCCCACTTTTTTTATATTTTCTATATAATAAATTCAATTACAGTATATGTTATATGAATTATTGTCGTATAATATATATTGTTAGCATGGTACAATAAATCAAGATTGAAATAACCGCCAAACATGCATTTTTAAAAATAAGACAATTGAAAAAAAAAATGTTAATTATTACATAGATTATATGTTAAGAATCCTAATCCTAATAATAATAATAAATGATAAAGGTGTGTTTCTTTTGACTTTGATTTAAAAATATTTGGTTTAAATTTAATATTAAAATAACATAAAATAAAATGTTTTGTAATTTCTTTTTTTATAAACACAGCGTATAAATAGTATAAATAATTATATCAAACTTCTATCTATATCATATTAAACATTATATTTCAATAATTTAAAAGTTTACTATTCTCGATCATAAAAACTCAACCAAACAAACAAGGCATATTCAAAATGAGTATTATATATGGTCATATAATAAATTTTTTAGGAAATATTTCGAAAAATATTGTAATAGACATAATATATGTCGAAAATATTTCCGAATTGCTATATTTATTCAATTCTCTTGTGGTTTAATCATATATATTTAATTTTTTGATAATATTACGATGATATTCGACCCACAGAAAAGAGTAAGTTACAAGCTACGCGTAAATTCTAAATCGAGGATAATCGTGTTCCCATTTGCAAACGTTCTCGCCGAAGACTACACAACTGTTCTCCGGCACCTCGAATTATCTCCGATGATGTCTTTATTTCAAACAAATATAATCTTTAATTCAACCTCATAAGTTAAAACAATATATACATATATAAATATTTTCCATCAATTAATTAAATAAAGTGTTATAGTCACCTTGGTGGTGAAGCACAATTAGCAGAATGATTATATATTTTTAAATTGAGGGTTAGAGAAAGTTAATTAGGTACAAGGAAATGATGATATATGTGTTTAAATTAATTTATTATTATAAAGCAAAAATTGAAAACTATGGACATGGATTAATTTAATTTGCAGCTTTACAGTTAGATAATCCATTGACACATTATTCCCTTTTCATTGCCCTAATTAATCAACTGACCATATATCGACTTCATCATCTTTATCAGATCAAACTTTTCACACAGCAACAAAACCCTAATTTTTAACAGAAGACGACGACTGCTTTTCATACTTTTGATAATTTTTTCTTCTTTTTCTGCAGGTGCTTGAATGGCAATTCGAAGGTATATGTGGTTGATTGATGACAAATTATTAAGTGGCAAGTGATGAAGAAATTCAACAATGTCGAGACAGAACTAAAAGCAACAAAAAGGCATAAAGCATTAGCATTAAAACTCTCCATTTTATAAACTTTTGAACCAAAAGTTGCAAGAACCAAACCTAACCCCAATTACATTGAAATTTTCGAACTCTCTTTATGTATATATATATATATATATATAAGAAGCTTGCTAATATATATCTCCTCGTCGCAATTAATCATCGATCCAATCCCAATCGCATATATATATATATATATATATCTGCAGCAAAGCAAATCGCAAATTTATGTCTGTATAAAAGATTTAAGCCATAAAGACAACCCCAAACATATATCTCTTCGAAATGAAGAAAAACCTAAAATATAGAAATTCGATTTTAGATTTGCAGGCGCCGGAATCTATTCAGACGGATTGAATCCGGTGGTCTTATCCGGCCAGCGGTGGTTGTCAGCGAAGGAAGGTCCCGCCTGAGTGTCGCCGTCGGTGGTGGAGCCTCCCCAGAAGCCGCCGCCCCCTTCGCCGCTTGTGCTTGACGGTGCGGCCCCGCTGCTTCCGCCGGCAAAGTCTCTGGGGATGAATCCTTGTGTCCATGATTGCGGCCTTGCCGGAAAATTGAAGCTTTGTTGAGTTGGGAAGAAGTCGTTCTGAGTTGGGAATTGGAGAGGCGCCGGCTGTTTCAGAGTCGCCGGAAGGTTAAGCCCTTGCAGAAGGGACATGTTTGCGCCATATTGGGCGGCGCCGGAGATGGAGAAATTAATCGCCGGCGAAGGAGTCATGAGGCCCGCAGGTAATGATTGTAAGGTTCCGAGAGAAGACAGAACCCCACCGCCGGCGTAGAAAGAGTTGCCGATCGCCGGCGGGATGACAGGCGGCAAAGATCTAATCACCGATTGACCAGAACCGATCCCAGCCGTCAGATTCAGCACGCTGGGAATCGACGGCGGTGATAGCGCAGCCTGAGTCGTTGCAATCTCGCCGCCGGATGAGGGCGCCGACGCGACCGATTGCTTCGGCCGCTTAGTCTTCCGGCAGCCGCCGCCGACGGGGACGTTCCTTAGGGTTCCGCCGTGGGTCCAGTACCTCCGGCAGCCCTTACAAAAGTAACGCGGCTGCGACAGGCTGTAATTATTGTAGTAGCAGAACTTGGTGTTGGAAGAATCGCAGCGAGGGCACTTCTGCGGCGGCGGCGGTTGGTGGTGCTGCTGGTTGTTCGCCGCGGCGATCTCCGACGACCTGACCCGCCTCGGCGGCGCCGGCGGCTGTTGCTGACCCTGCTGCCAATTATTCTCCTGGTCAGATCTCCCTAACTCCATTTCTGTCTGAAAATACTGCATACAAACGCCCCTATATATAACAATCAGAATTAGGGATTGCAAAACTCTCAAATTGGGGATTTCAGTGTAGAAGCTTTAATTAACACCGATTCTGGATAACTTGGGAGATAATTAAACCCTGCAATATATATACAATATATAAATATATTTACCAGATTTATATAACAAATCAAGGCAGTCAGTTGGGATTACGAGAATCAGAAATTCAGTGAGCAAACATACGGCAATGGCGTATAATCAGATCGTTGATTTCTTCTCTACCTACCCCGAGAGGTAAAACCAGGAGCTAGGTCTGTTTGTTTGAATTTTTATTTTTTTTTCTTTTTTTGTTTTTGGGGTTTTTTTCTTTGTTATTTTTTTCCTGTAATCTGAAAAGGGTTGAGCATGCTGAATTAATCTTTCTTGCAATATCAGCAAAATCTGGGCAGATTTTTGGTGTCCTAAATGAAAGTTGAGGAAAGTAAAATTAATTAAGACGATGAGAAAAGGAAACGAAAAAGTTTGAGAGAGAAGAAATTAGAGGGCCACCTCAACCTGCCCCTTTCTTGTTCAATTCACCCAAATAGTTTAATTAAAGACGACGATCGAAGACAGCATATAAAAAAGAAGGGCTGCTCTTTGTACGTACGGACATCACAAATCAATCAAACCCTAAAAGATTGGAATAATTCATGTAAGGATTAATAATCAAATTAAACCCCAATTAATTTTGAAGAACCAAACCCTAATTATCTGTGCATTTTGATCTGGTCTCGATATGATCAAATTTCTTCCCACTTAATTATTGATTAAACGGCAGAATCATACATATATGCATGAATGTTGAAACTAATTAACAAGCCTCGAATCAGAAATCACCTGGAGATTAAATTCATGTACTGGAAATAAATTTCACTGCAGATCAAGAAGACGACAGTATAGCTTTGAATATTGCAGGTGAAGTTTGGAGCAGGAAGATGAAGACGACGGCGGAGGGCTGCCGGCGGCGGCGGTGGAAGCTAAGCTAAGCTGGGTGATCAGCTTTATTTTCTTGGTCCTTGCTTTGATGGCAACGCTGTCTCTCTCTCTCTCTCTCACTCTATCACTTTTTATCATTATAATTTTCTCTCTCACCTTCTTGTGCTTTGATTTAATTAAATTTTAAATTAAAATTTTCTTGATTGCGATTCTATTATATTCCATTTAGTGTGTATTAAGTGGTTCTGACATATATCAGTTGACGCGGTCAGTTGGACACCAAACTGGATTGTCCTTTTCTGCTCGCACTACACTACTACTTACGTAGTAGTATAATTCGATGATGAATTGATTTAATCAATAGAATAATTCATTCTTTTTGCACTAGTCAATGAGAATGATTTTGAGTTTGGCAATCCCCATAAGAATTTCATAACTACTTTTACTTGGGGTTTGCATTGCTTACACCTTTGGAAGGTTTTTTTCCTATATATATATATATATATATGTATCCACCCCCAAATTAAATTATAAATTATAAATTAAAATTCTTGTGGGAAAATAGAAGCAGCAGACCAAACCCACTATATATATATATATTTATTTATTTGTGTATGTGTGAATCTATCTGATCCCATATCGTATTTTTCCACTGCCACACCACACCCGATTATCCAATCCAAGACTTCAAAATTTTGACATTCCATTCTCAATATAATCACCTTCGTCGTCTTCATACTGATATATATATATATATATGTGTGTACAGGATTGCTCTTGCTGATGACACTAACTAATGATTATGTTTGGAACAGATCGAATTCTGTTCTTGCATTAAAAACAGATCCACCGACGTCGATCTTTGTCGAGACAATATAGTAGTTGCTGCTGCAGGCAATGTCTTATATTGGATTATTATTATTTTATTTATTTTTACACAGAATTTTAAAATGTAGTAATGTATAATATATTTTATATGAAAAGTATAATTACTTAACAAATTAATATATTTTAATTAAGAAATGTGCGTATTTTCTTCGTTATTATATAAAAAATGTAATTTGATTTTAAGTATTCGTTTATATTATTTTAATTCGATGTTTTATATAAAATATATATCTTTTTATTCAAAATGAATTTAAATAGAAGTGTTGAAGGAATTTTAGGTGGCTCATAGAAGAGAGTCAAGGAATTTTAGGTGCCATTGAGCGTGTACTAGTAGACAAGACGAGACCAAATTATAAACTCTTTCTATGTATTTTTATTGAATTAATTTATTTTTCACTTAATTTTTTATTAATTTACTTTTTACAAGTAAATTAAAAATTTATGTGATAAATTTAACTATGTAGAATTTATTGTCTAGGAAGAAAAATAATTTAGTAGTAGGTATTCAGAATTTAAATTTGAGGTACAATAAACTCTTTCAAACAGTAATGAAAAGAGTAAAAAATGGTTTAATAAACTAGAGTTTTGCATAAACTCGTTTAGAGATAAATTAATTATTATTATTATTATTTTTTTTTTTGACGTGAAACCCATTCCCCGAAACTTCCCCGAAACAACCCCTTCCGAGAGTGCGCACGTTTCATGAGCTGAGGCGTCGGAATTTGAACCCACCGAAACTTATCCCTTACACTTATCATTATTATTTTTATTATATGCTCCCTTTAAGAAAAAGCCCTCTCCTTTATGGGTTAAACAGCTTAGTGGGCTTTTGTAAGCCCAACTTATCGCATTGGAAGTTTCCCCAATGATCTTTTGGGTATTTTGTCAAAGACCCAAAAAAATCTCAACACCATCAATCAATAATTCAAACAAATTCCTACCCATCGATCCATTTTTCTCACAGAAAGTCAATATGCTCATACATTTGACTTTTATTATTTTTCCCTTACACCAAGAACTTAAAAAACACATTAGGTAGCATAGGCATAGATCCCCTCAACTCCCACCCCACCCCACCCCACCCAATCCACCACAAAAAAAAAAAAAAAAAACTATTAATAATTAATTAATCCTTAATATCGCGGCGGTCAGATTCCCTGACGTGATCCTCCACGTAATCCTCGGCGTCGGATGACTTTCCGACCACCGTTTCCTTGATCTTCTGCGTGGCGTCCTTCACCATCCCCGCCGCCCCCTCCACCGTCTCCTTCACCTTCCCCGCCGCGCCTTTCCCCGTCTCCTTCGCCTTCTCCGCCATGTTCATGGTTTTCTCCTTCGTCCCCTCCGCCATCCTCTCGGCGGCGCTCTTCGTCTTCTCCCCCATCTCCTCGGCTCTCTGCTTCGCCTTCTCCGACGTCTCCTGCATCGACCCCACCGTCCTTTCCTTCGCCTCCTCCGCCTTTCTGGCGGCCCTCTCCTTCATCGCCGCCGCGTTCTCCTTCACCTCCCGAGTCGTGTCAGCGGCCGCCGCCTCCTCCTCCGCATTGTACGAGGTGCTGTAATCTCTTCTTCCATTGTCACCGCCCGCCGCCTTCCTTCCCTGTCGGAAAAATTACAGTGCATAGATCATTCAAAAGAACACACACACATATATATATAATTAGTTAAAAACCTCGGGATCGTGTCTGGAGGAAGCTGCGAAGCAAACCCTAGAAACTTTGGAGCGGACAGGAAGAGATGTGGTGGTCTTCACGGAGGACTTGGAGAGGTTGTAGACAGCAGATTTGGACAAAAACATGGCGGCCATTTTTAGGTCAATAAAGAAATCAAATTCTGCAAATGTCCTGCTGATTTAGATTTTTTAATTTTGGTTTCGCTGATTTTTGCATGAGGGGAAAGATGACGATCGCTTTCTTATAGGAATAGGGAGGCTACGAAATCTTGACACGTGTCGTTGAGGCGCCACGTGCACATTAGTTATGCTAGCTAGCTGTCTGCATGGCGGCGCTCTACCCTGTCGGTTGGATTAGGTTTTTGCAATATAGGGTGTGACGTTGACACGTCAATACTTGGGGAAGTACAAATTAAAGGATGGATGAAATGAAGTAATTCCAAAATTGTAAATTAAATATAATCTGAAAATGGCATTGCAAAATTTATAGATAAGCTAACAACACGAGAGCCCATTTTATTAGAATAATCGACAATATAATGGAGCAATTTGTTTCAACATCATGTACATAAACCTGACTTAATTAGAACATTTGATTTAATTTCTTCAACATCGATGTTCTTCTGAGCTTTTGGCTATATATAATTATTACAACAATTGAAATACTATTGATTAAAGAGAGGAAGGCTTTTCTTCGTCGATGGGGCGACGGTTGACGTCCATGCCCTTATCTTCATCTATGGGCTTTCCTCCAACTTCTTTCGACAGTTTTTTCTTCAAGTTCTCGCCTTCACCGTCGCCGTTTCCGATTTTATCGTTGAATGTCTTCCATTTTTTGTCTCCACAGGTCGCTGTCTGCTCATCCTAAATCATGTAATAAAGATATGTGTGTCTGAAAGCATTGTAGTTAATGTAATTAAGATCGATCTTTGAGAGAGGTGTAATGAAATTAAATAAATACCTTGTTATCGTTATGATCAGAGGATTTGGAGTATAGTCGATGAATAATAGCAGCAGCAGGACGAGAGAGAGAAACAGAGACAAGCCTCGACAGATTCAGGAATATGGTGTTCTGTGGTAGAGCCAGAGCCATTGTTGATCCTTCTTCTCTGCTTCAACACTCAGTCTCTTACTCCTAAAATTTTTATTAGGGCATTTGGCAGCACAATACAGCCAAGCAAACAACAGGGCAGATCGACACGTGGACAGATCTGGAGATATGAAGGGCCCACATTTCCCTGCACCGAACAACCAGAGTACTATGTTTGGAGCCGTTACTGTACTAAATTTTATAATTTATCTCAACAAGACAAACAACATAGGGTTATATAATTCAAATGCAATATATGAATTAATAGCATACTCCATACTATTATCTCAGCACCAAAAAATGTCTATACTACAAATGAAATCATGTATGCCTACTGTCTATTTTTTTATGTGCTGACTAATATATATTTGTAAACTACAAATCCAACACACTCAAAATAGAAGAAGCCATTGATAGGGAAGTAATCACAGCCAAGAAATGTGTCAATCCACCATACCAATGAGCATTGAAAGAAATCCAGAGAATGCATTGCACAACCAAAAATAGCTGATGAAGCATGCCTACGATCTTATGAAAAATTTTAAGACAGGATTGAGGTAAAGATCAGCATACCACTTCTTGACGATGATTTCATCGAAGGAAGCAGTGGAAAGAAGATATTCCAAGATGACAATGAAGAAAGCTAGCAAATGAAATCCTGCAATTATGATTTCATCTTAACATTGTATTCACGCCAACCATTTATTTCTCAGAAGATATTCCAAGATGACAATGAAGAATTATAGAAAAATGGATAAACTTGCCTTGCCTTGCTGCCATGAAGGGCTTTTGATGTCTTCATCCATAGCTTCATTTGGACAAAAAGTTGCACATTCACACTCAAAAGTTTTGTTTATTCTTCTCTTTCCAATCTGCAACCCATATATCAAACCAAACCGATCATAACAGAAGCAATTATAATGTATAATGCTTCCGCACTTAATTCAGAACTTACAGAAAGTGCACAATTACATTACCAACTAATACGAACAATTCGAACGTTGAGTTGCATCCATTTAACTTACCTGCAAGGTCTCTTTTGTGCAGTTACAAATCCAGAAACAAACTCGCATTTGGCCCTAACTTTTACAGAGCATGAACTTTTGCGGTTGCGTCTCTTTGGAGACTGTTGGCAGAAGAGAGTACCTGACCAAATGAAGATAGAAAGAAAATAACTGGAATCCAAGCATGAAAGAAATAGTAAGATTTATTTAAGAAAAAAAAAATGAAACAGAGAACATGTAAAGAATCCAGTTTGCTCACCTGTTGAATCCTTGGCCGAGATGAGAATTAATCAAGTTTTGGAATATGTTTACGCACTATTCATTATATAGTAAAATTAAATTTTCCTCTATTAAAATCATCACATTCAATACTTATTTTCTATTTAAATATATATGACATTCAAAGTATCATATTCAATATCTAATTTTCATATAAAACATCACATCCGACATTTATTGTCAATTCACATTTTTACTATTCTAAATCACCAAATCACTCCCAATACAAACAAAAGAAACACACCCAAACTTGTATATCTAGAACTGGTGTCGAAAGACACTGTGTTCAAGAAGTCTATCTCTCGAAGGGGCGATAGAGAATCAACAGCAGAATGTTAGGCCTGAAAAGAAAATAAACAAGAATGAAATAAATAAAGGAACCCCAAACACATCATGGGAGGAATTAGAACGATCTGAGATGCAACTCACAGGTAAAGAACACCCTTATGATGTATTTTGTTCGCCGACTTTGTCCTATCCTGATATATTTAATTTAAATGGTTAGTCCCAAATATAGAATAGTGAAAAGGCGCTACGTAAAAGAGGAACTAATCCATTCTCATTAAAATGAGCATTAACAAGCAAGAGACATCTACAGCCTTGATTTTAATAGACATATCAATGCACTGGAAATCATTTCAAGCACACTTGTTATTCACGGCACTAACAAATGGCATGTTCCATTGAAATTATAACATAGCTAAGCAATATTATTAATCACTCATAAGACAATGCTGTTTCCGAGAGAAAGCAAACAATGGATGCCATCCAAGAAATTCAATCATTCTTCAAACATTCTATCATTTCTGTATATGAAAACAACAAGTGAAACACGTCTTCGTGCGTATGCATAAATTTTGACTAATTCTAAGATTCCCCTCGTATGCTCTAACGACAAAACAATCTTGTTTTGTTGTTATTTGGTTTAAATAATGCTCCCTCCGTCCGCCATATTATGCTAGGTTTCTTTTTTTGGTTGTCCGCTAAACTTATACACAATTCATTTATATTAAAACTCTTTATTTCATTCATAATTTAATTATGAGTACTTTAACAAATAATAACCAAATTGCCACTATTTTATCTAGTCACCTCACTACTTTCTTATTAACTCTTTAATAAATTTCTCATAATACCTCACTTTACTTTTTACCTCTCCACTTTTATATTAAAATACTATTGTTTCTTAATCTCAATGCGAAACGAAACAAGAATAAGCATGGCGGACGAAAGGAGTACGTATTGTCGAAAACATATTGCATAGTTCATGGGAGGACCAAGATTTCATTATCCGTTACAAGCAACAAGGAGTATCTTTATCCTTAAGATTGGCATGAGCATAAAAATTTGAGAAACATAATTGTCAACATGTGTTTGGATGTAGTTTTTTCCCATACTTCACTATTCATCACTTTGTTCTCTTAAAAAAACATCAAATCATATTATTTTTTTTATTTAAAATATTATATTAAAATTTATGTTTTCATTCAAAATGTCACATCATAAACCTATTTATATCTTCATCAAAAATCTCATTTAATTCAAAATTTTATTATTCCCAACTTCCAAACTCACATCCAAACACACCTTTAGATTTTGGCACAATGCACATGCTTTGGCACAAATATATGTGTTACAATGAAAAGGTCATATTTCAATGTCAGGGACTCATTAATGAGTTGATTTTACGTTACGTGGCCTAAAACATGATCCATTATATTAATGTATTATATTTGTTAGCCGATTACAAGCAAATTCTATGAAGTATGAACAAGAAAATATATAATATAGATAAGGATATTTTGCAATGTTAGGAAACATGAAAGGTCATAGCATACACTTACCAAATGTACTTTTTCAGCTCATGGCCTAAAAACATGATACAATGTCTTAATGTATTACTCCCTCCGTTCAGGATGTTTATGACACTTTTATTGAGCATAGAGTCTAAGAAATAATAACATTTTAATATAAAAAATTAGGTAAGTAAAAAGTAAAGTGAGGTATTATTATTAGAGTTAACTAAAAATAGTGAGGTAAGTACAAAAAAGTAGTGACAAATTGGTTATCATTTTTGAAATGGAGGTAATAAAATTATAAATGGATAAAGTTTATTACTTCCTCCGTCCGCCTCTAAGGGTCACATTTACATTTTGTGTCATTGTACTTAACATTAAAAATATCCTTATATTTGTATAATTTTTTGTACAAATGTCCTTCAATTAATATTATAAGACACTAATTGAAGTATTTTTACAATTTTTTTTAAATTTGTACTACATTTGATGTAATGATTAATATTCAACACACAAAAAATAAATGAGACCCTTAAAGTCAGACGGAGGTAGTATTATAAATAGATTATGCAAAGTTTAGCAAACAATCAAAAAAGAAAAACTGACATAATTATCCCAGAGGGAGGGAGTATTACTATAAGTCATTTACAAACATGCTCCATTGACAAGTATTTTGTATACTTCATATGGGTAATCCCAAAGATCCTTAGAGATTGCAAGCATGATTAAATCCATCGTCTTAGCAACATAGAAAATTCCTATCAAGATTGTACCATGTTGTCTATATATATTTTATAGAACATTTTTATATTTTGTTCTCAAGCATTTACTATGGATCTCTTCGGTAATGGTCTTGTGTTTTTCTTTGTACATTAATGGTATTGTAAAAACACCATATGCATTTTTGGAAAGATTTATGCATTTTAGGACAACTAATGTGTCCATTTATACGGTGGTGGCTTATTTCATATTTTTCAAGTGATAGTTGGAATAAGTGAAATAATGTTCTCTTTGTTGCTTTTAAAATCTCTTATAAGAGTAATTATGGAAAGAAAGCATTGTCATATTGTTCTTCAAAAGAATCCACCTGATAAAAGGACTCGAATTCGGAGTGACAACTCAAATTTAGAAATATCACACTATTGTGATCTCTATGGAACTCATTCCATCCCAATTGTCATTTTCTTCAAAATGATTGTTTGCATGGAAGCAAGTGTTCCAAAAGGTTTTCCTTATCTACATGCAAAAAAATTAGGACACCATTCAATTCAAAACGAGGTCAAAACCATAATTTGAAAGCATATTTCATATATTAAATATTTTGGTGAGTGAAACACCTAAAGATTTGAGACCAAGCACGCTCAAACGTCTATATGCAATGGTCGTGACCCAGCACTACCCAACCATTGTATATTTTAATTCCAATGGCATAACACTTACATCCAAACATTGTTACAACCATAGAGGGCCAATACTCCTTATTGTTCTTAGCACTAACACGGTACACTTGGTAGATTTCTGACTAAAGAAATTACTAAGAGAGAGTTAAAGTCCATTGAACTTCAAAAAATATTTGAATCCCTTCAAGTACTTCACCATTCTTTCTTCAAAACCTTCACTTTGTCTAAGCTTTGGTATTAGCTACACAAACTCAAGTTATCCTTCCTGCTTTATCTAATGGGGTATAATTCATGCCACGTAATTCAAACAGAAAAAAGATAAAAACTGATATTATGTATTCCAACAAGAAGATATGAAGAAAATGTAGCTGTACAGATTCATTTCATATTATGGTTTTGTGACAAGTATCAAAACTTTTCCACACATGGAAATTTAAAATTTTCCAAAAGAAACTATATGGTTCCTTAAGTCAAGGCCGGAGACATGATTCAATCCTCATGCCATTTCATTGGCATAAGGTCTTCAACTCAACAATTGGCATCTGAAGGCGAAAGAGAGTTGGAGCTCATGGATGATCCTAATATCATGACAATGATGATTATCATTACTAGTTTCAACAAATTCCAAAACAGTTGGAAACTATCCTAAACCACAATGCCATAGCCATAAAATCCAAGGGTTGCGGGGAATAATCATTGCACATTTCCTTTCTCAAAGTTGCAATCCTTCAACCAAGTGTCAGCACAGTCCAACACTACACAAAATTTGCTAGAACTCTACTATTAAATTAAGTAAACCTGTAAACTTTACATTATTAGCCATACTATCTTTTAGAGCTGTATATTAAATTTCCAACTGCTTCAAGTAATTCTATGGCATCTTCAATGCAAGAACAAAAGATATTCAAGTATTAAGCATGAAACCCCCACAATCATTTTACGTAATTGCATAGAGATAAACCAGCATCTAAACAAACCTGTTTCCTCATGCTCTGGGTCGTTTGGCATTGCTTGAGGTGGAATGGGCGGCAGAAGAGGTGGAAGAGGAGGCAGCCCAGTAGGGATTGATGACATCCAGCTAGGACCAACATTGTTGTATGTTAATAGCTGAGGTGGAAGAGGAGGCACCTCAGAAGAGGTTGTCGCCACCCAACTACGATCAACATCACCATCCTGTAGCAAAGTAGCAAACCAAGTTGATTTTCTCATTAAAAAAGCTTTCTGTGATTATACACAACCAATTATATGAAAGGTTTTACTTACCCCGGCAATAGGAAATGGTAAATAGTTATTTGTATTCATTGACCAATGTCTGCATAAAAAGAGATATTGTAAAACAGATTAGCATATCCCAGTGTATTTATAGTGAAATAAATATTGTCGCTTGGCAAATACATTAACAATGAATATCCAATAAAATATTACCTAGTGCTGCTTGAAGGGTCCATCGTGGGAGCATTTTGATCAAGTAGCATCCTGGAATTAAGCTCTTCGGTTTGTTGTGCAGCAGCTACCATGTGGCTCATTGTTGTTTGCGCATCTACACCAAGTATCTCTGGATCGAAGCTAATCCCAAACATTGATGTTGGAAAATTTTGCCACATATTATCCATAATTGGTGATGACATTATTGGCAAGCCAACAAGATTTGGTCGACTTGAAGGCCCTGGCATATCTATCAATGGATCTGCCCCCTGTATTATACAATTCTCATGTGCTATGGAAACCAAAGGATTAACACTTTGGAGCATATTCCCTTCTTGCATGGGAACAGAAGTGTTAACAATTTGGGGAGGATTTTCAGTTGTTTGATTGTTGTTATTGGGAGTATCCCCTATGTTTGTTGAACCTAGTATACCAGAGAAAAATAGATCACATAAATCAACTACAAAGATCTTGCAAGCTTACCAGATCTTTTTTTGCAAGCTTACCGCAGTAGGCATCCCAGAATAAAGACCACCACTCAGAGAGAAATCCTTCAGGAAGACTGACACCTGCCAAAAATTAAAATATATATGTAACATATCGAGATCTATGCTAGAGCTCATCAGCTCATGATTAGCGATTTTTTATACTACACGGGTATCTGAAATTTGGAAATTTTAATAATGCACCATTAATTACTAAAAAAAAAAATAAACTTAGAGATAGAGAGAGAAGAAAAGAAAAAAGAAAGCCTTCATCATCATGAAAGACAACTATATATAGTAACATCATCGGGACGAAAAAAATTAAAAATCACATGATACACAATCGAATCTCACTTCCCTTTTTTTTCTCTTAATCGGTATTTATATTATTATTTAAATAAATCCTACCAGCTTCTTTTTTCTTTAAATTTCTTTGATCTTCTTTTCATCAACAAAGTCTTACAAATTATGTTTAACAATTGAGTTATACTTCTGAGCCAGAATAAAGAAACATTATCAGAATGTTACCATTCATGCAAAAGAATAACTCTTGGATGAATCTATTAAAACTCAGAGGTAAATTTAATAGAAGCACACATACCAACAGGCGTCACAGTAAGATTAGCTTCCCGAGCAAAAGTCTCAGCAGATTGGAACATGTTGTGCTTGATCAAGTAGTCGTAGACGTACAAATCCAGGCTGAAAAAATCAAAACCCACAAACATCAAATTCACAAACCTGCATACCAAAAATCAAAGAGATAAAACAAAGAGACCACAAAAGCCATGGAGGTATCAAAGACCGCCCACAAAACTCACTAGTTCATCGCAACTTTGTTATCCATGATCACAAAGACAAACTTTTCGCTTCACAGAAGCAAAGATTGAAAGGACAACAAACTAAGAGACACAAAGGATTCAATCTTGATTAGCAATGAAATTATATAGAGAAAACTCAAGCTCAAGGAGAAAAATCCCTTTGATTTAAAGCAAGAAAATGAGGAACATTCAGGGTGTGAAATAGGTGAGGGAGTGAGGTGGTGGAGGAGGAAGAGGAGGGATGTGAGCAAATGAAACTGGCACCCAAAGGCCATGCAAATGTGAACCTCTGAAGTAAAACAAGACAATCTACAAATTTACAATAATGCCCCCATTACCACCGCCTAGTCCTACTGTTTCACAAACCATCATCCTGAAGACGACAATGGACCCCTCTGGAATTTGCCCTCAATACAACTTTCCTTTACCCTAATTTTCTACCAAAAATAAGATTCTGTTCCTTGACTTAGATTTCCAATGCAATATATAATGAATTATTACGATGATCAGATTATCCCCTCTGACAATCGGTGAAATTAATAATTGCTCATCCGGAGAGACTACTAAACCCCTAAAAAAAGTGCTTTTTCGAAACGAAACGGACAAGCGAGTGAACAGAAACTCAAAACTGGCCAGAGCAGATTTGTCTTTGCTCATGAGAGCTGTAATTTCACAAGCAATCTACAAATTTACAAAAGGTATATATAAAGCAACGAAAGTAAAGGAATCACCATGAATTTACGGGAGAGTGTAGGAGGTTAGCGGTGGCAAAATGTGACAGCTCACGATTAAATCGAAACCCATCCGAAGGACGTCATGAAACTCATCCTCATTCACAACTGACTCTCTTCTCCTCTGGCCATGAAAACCCTCTGAATGCACAATGCCACTGTCGTCTACACAGTTCGAGTGATGAGAATGGACTCCGCCAGTAAAGAGTCTAAAGACTATACGTCACAAATTTGTCCTTTTTTATTATTTTTAAAAAAAGAAAATAAAAAAGTTCGAGCGTTCGATACACTCGACGCTGCAGAGTCCACAAGCCACGTCATCACTGACACGTGCCGACCAGGGCCGGGCCGATTCTTGATTCATTCAATGGGCTTAATTGGGCGGGCCTGTGTTATCGACCCGACCCGGACCATATTGTAATGATCTGAAGACTGTTCGATTCATTCAAACTGCTCGTCCAAAGTCTAATCATATCGACATTTGAAACCATTCTAAGACATTACAGATTTCAAGTAATGGCGGAATCAGTCAGTTGTTCCCGGTGAACGTAGGGTTCCTCAGCTGCGGGCCTGGCTGCATCTGCACCTGCCTCTCCTTCTCCTTGAGATACTGCAGCAGCGATGGCTGATCGGAGTTCATCTCCACGCCGACGCCGCACACGTACGGAAATGGTCTCTGGTAGCCCAGGAAGAATTTATCCCTCTTCGGCTCTTCAGCGCCGTACGCCGCCGGTGCCGGAGGACTCGAATAAATCTGCGGACTTCCCAAATACGGCATTGGATTCGGCACCAGATGGTTCCCCCATTGATCGAACAAATCGAAGCTCGAAAGCTCGTTCGAGTGATAAGCAGGAGGAGCGTTGTAGTGAATCGGAGGGAGGTGATTCGCCGCCATGTTCTGGCTGTTTCTGTAGTGGTACAGCCATTCTGATGAGCTCATCCCGAGCAGCGGCGGCGGGTAACCATCGACCAGGCCTGAAAGAGGCGGCGGTGAGTAATTCACCGGCGGTCGAACTGCAGCACGGCTAATGTAGCCTCCAATTGGAGCGGCCCCAAGAATTCCGTTGGCCTCATTTCTGGCGACGGCTAATGAGTTGCCTCTCAGCCATGCTGCGTCGTCCGGTAACAGTGGAGCTGACGGCGTCGGAGTCATGTACGGAGACGACGGAGGCGCGTCGTGAATGATTATCGAAGCATGCGGCGGCAGCGTCGAATTCTTGGCTTCGTCGATTGCGAGATCGGAGAATGACGTCGAGGCCATTTCGTCGATGGGGCTGAGTTTCTGTTTACTGAAGCCGCCACGGATTTTCTCCGGTGGTGGTTCGACATCGGAGCTTCCTTGTGTGAGCACCCACGCGCTTAGTGAGGGCGGTCCGGCAGGGTGCGCACCCGTCGATAAAGGATCGATCGGTTTTGGCGAAGACCGGCTGAGTACGGAGCTTGTGTAGAAGCTGAACGAGTCGGCGTCGTCCACCGTGTTCTGGCCAGTCGACAATGAAGTGGCGCGGCGCAGCCATTCATCGGTAGCCGATGTTTGTGTCTGAACGCCTTCCGCGCTGACAGGATCCTTAGCCGGCTTCGAAATGTAGAGCGGCGCAGAATTACGCCGGGTTATCGGCTTGAAGAGGATAACCTCTTCTTCTTCGACAATAGGTTGGAATTTTGCGCTTGGCGTCGTCATTGTCGTTGTCTCCTCCTTTTCAGACGTAAATTCCGATGTCTTTAACAATCTCTCCCACGCGTCACTCGGAATCCATTCCCGGCGACATTTTCTCGCAGCTTCGACAATCCTCGTCGCAGCGCAAAGTAGGCGCCTCACGCGACACTCGTTTCTACTGCCGTAGTCATTCATGCACTCCAAATGCGTCGCGAAATCCATCGTCTCGTGAACGCGAATCAACGGATCGAAGCCCCTCAGCTCATGATCTTCCCACAATGCGGCGTAATCCATACGATACCCTCGTCCATCACGACCTATTCGATCTAAGAGATCTGCGAGCGCAGAAAAGAAGTAACCCGAAGCAGTCTTAACCTTGGAGTCTGTGCCGTACGCTTCTACCACATCAACGGCACCAACCAACCATTCGACAAACACAAGCACGGCGGGCAACAGCGGGCAACCGTCGCTGTGATTGACGTTTCCCCTCAGACATCGGTCCGTGACACGGCCCAAGCAAATGAACATCGCTGCAAACGCCAACTGCGTTAGCTCGGAACGCTTGTTGCCAACCTTCTCTCTCGACTCTTCCCGTTCGGAGCTAGTCGTTAGGCTATGCGCCACAAAGATGAACACAGAAACGAGCTGGATCGCGCGGTGAGGACCTCTTCTCGACGAGTCCATGTTTTGGTAAGACTCCAAAATAGCTCTAAGTTTCGCATCGTCGACAGACAACACCGCCTCCAATCTGTTCACCACCGAAGCAAGTGTGCTCGGAAACTCCTCCAAACTGAACCACAAGCGTAACATCGACACATTACCATTACTACATCGTCGAAGCAGTACATACACACGAGCTAACAATCACAATACGACTAAAATACAAACCTCGATTCGACGAAGAAGAAACTTATCGTTCGGACAATGACCAGCCACAGCTCGAACTTCTCAGAAGCATCATCCAAAGAATAACTTCGTTTCGAAGGATTCAAGAAATCGAACGGCGCCTGCGAAGACAGCGCCGGCAACGTCGCAGACCTGTTCTGCAACTCCACAAGACAAATGGAAAGAACAATCAACAATTCATTCCAATCCTAAAAGCCAACAACATAAACATCGATCCAAAAACACACAAAAATCATCGTTGTACCTCTTCGAAAAGTAACATAACGTTCCTCCACGCATCCAGGAACGGCTCCTTCACAGCCAAGCTCCTCGAGCAATGGTACAACGCAAGGAACGAATCGCCGACATACGTCGCCAGCAAGGCCAACTGCAAAACACGCTTGAAAAACGTTAATTCGCATCGATAAATTGCTCGCGCCAACGACAAAATCGACGCTCGACATCGCAGCATTACCTGATTATGCGGATTCCCGCTATCAGGCCACGTCCGAGTCGCTTCGAGATAATACTTCGACGCAACCGACCAATCACAGGCCTCGGATTTCTTAACACTCTCGAAATACCGTGAGAGATCGCCGAGGCAGATTAAGAGGCGATGGCACGTGTGCTGGCACGCTTGCGATTCTGCGGAATTCGAATTCGACATGGGGTCCTTATCGGTAAGGAAGATTTCGGCATCGAGTCTGCAGCTCGTCCTGAGCTCGACGACCAGCCTTCGATAGAATTCGGTGGATTCAGACAAGAACAGCCTGAATCCTTCCAAGGTTTTGTCTATATTGCTCTGCAAGCTACCATTGTTGTCCGAATGAACGCCGGAAGAACGGTGGCTGCCGCCGATTCGCTTACGGAATTCATCGATCAGCTGATAATGCAGCTTCCACAAGTGATATTCGACTTCTTGCTGCTGCGACATCTCACTGTTGGTGTTCAATAGGATTTGTTCATACTCTGTTCGAATTCTGCGGTATAGTTCCATTACATGGTCGTGTAAAATGCCCTTGGAATAGATCGACGCCAGCATCTGTTTCTCACTGCCGACAACCTGCGGTCGAACAAAAATATCATATTATCATTTTTTTGTGTGCGATTGGAGAGGAAGAAATCAATTGGATCACCTCATGGAAGGTCTTGTTCTGATCCATTTTCAACTTTATTAGTAGTTCGATTATGCTACACCGCCTGTTGAAGAAACTACGATATCACTGTAAGAAAATGGACATGATTGAGGTGTAAGAGAATCATATGAGCAGAAAGCAAGCAGGAAATCTGTAACTGTTCAGTCTTAGGTTTTCGGGCATAATTAATAATTTAGGGTTAAAGAACAAAAACAGTGAAAGTAGTAAGCTGGCAGGCATGATCATAGAGCCCTGTATAACTTTAAACCAAACAAACCCAAATAAACAAAACTCTGATGAAGAAGGTTATGCAGAACATCATCGATCATATAAATTTAATCAAAGAAAAAGACTGAAGCTTTAACCTAGATGGAAATTACTGTCCGTGCAGTTCTTGATCAGACAATCCAAAGCTCGGACTTTGGGGAAAAAGGTAAGAAACGAAAGCATCAAGAAGAAGCAGAGAGTACCTAAACGAATCGAAGAATCTGAAGAGTGTTGAGAGAGGAGAGCTAAGGATCAAAAGTGAAAGATACTCTTTTGAGTGTAAGAAAGGCCAGAAAAACTGCTTCCCAAAAACTGGTAGTAGAGAGAGAGAGAAGAGAGAGAAAGGAAAGAAGGTCTGCGTTAGCTCATCAAGAAGCCCAACAAAAGATTTTAGTACCGCCCCTTTCTTGCTGGCAATTTATTTGATGTAATAAGACAACTAAAAATATACATATACACATACATATAATATATATATATACATTGAATCACATCTTTGTCCCAAAACCAAAAACACACATCATAAATCAAACATACAAACATATATATACATATATACATTTTTCCAAATTCCAATCAGAAAAATATCTTGAGAGAATCAAATCAATCACTTGTAATCCAAGCCAAATGGGGCCTTCTCCCTCTTCCTTCTTTCCAACACGCTACTGATTATATTACTGATTGCTTTTCTATTATTTATTTACAGAAAAAAAGAAAACCCTTTCTTTCAGACAAGTAGAGCTGCTGCTTGGTGGTAATAATAAAGACACCTCTTTTATTAGGGCAGGCAATTAGAGATATTTTTACAATGTATGATTAATTATTTCGATTTTTAGTGCCCTTTTGAGGGGGAACCTTCCACTACCAAATGCTCGAAAAAAAAAATTGTTCGTGGGGCAGAAAGAAAGCCACTGACTGACTGGGTTCAGATAAGGTCGTCGTACACACGAAACTGATGAGGAATTTTTTATAAAATTAATGAAGAAGAAGATAAGAGAGGGTTTGTTGTTTGTCGTAGTCAAACAAACAAATGTAAACAAGGGTAGCTATGGAGGAGGGTCCATGTAGTAGGTGTTAGATACAGCATTCATTGAATGGACGGATGGGATTGATCGTCTGCGCCCGGATGCATTTGATTGGGTTTAATCTCCGCCGTTGGATTGTCCGGCGACTCGACAGGTGTTCGTAGGAAATGGATTCTTTGGAAGGTTCTGGGACTTCGGAGGCCAGATAGATCCGGACCGTTCGTTTTGTGTGTGGGTTCAGAAACGACACCAAAGTGATCCAGACCATTCGCTTCATGAGTGTCGGTTTTGGGATCCATCTGGAGCTGGAGTCCTGGGATCTGGCGAGTATTTTTTCACTATTTGCAATGCTGCTGCATAAATGTGTGTTTATTTTTTTGTCAACTAAAATAATTAAATAAATAATACATATATTTATTTTTTTTCCTTTGAAAACTGTTGTTAGATGATTGGTGAGTCGTGACATGAAAATAAACAAAGACTAGGGACCAATTTTAAAGCTACAAGGAAACGTAGTCAAGATTTTATTCTTTAATTCTTGTCTTGGATTTGATAACACATATACATATATATATATAAATACAAAATACATACATTTTTCTTACCTATTACTAGTTGCCAATTAGCATTCATAGTCATAGCCATACCCACGTAAAATTAATAGTGGTATAATTTACAACACTCCACAAAAAAATCTAATTATTACAATCTCAATTATATACATATATAAAACAAAACAATAGTCAAATTATTTCACCAAATAAAAAGAACCCACTTACTAATGTGGTCAATAGAAAATCTTTGGGTATGGTTTTATAACTTAGTTTAGGTACGTGGCATTATTGTACTTTTTCATCTCCTAAATTCAATATGAAAGATTATTACAAACCCTTATTTTGAACCAAACAATACAAAAAGAAAATCACAGGAAATCCACTGAGATAATCTTCAAGATGTAAAATTTATAGATATATAGACAATTATTTGTTGGGTTTCTTTTAATTTGGAGTTTAATCTTAAGATTTTCTTTATTATACATAAATATATTATATCATGTAAACATTATATTCAAATAACTATTCAAGCAGAAAAAATTAAAATAAAATCAAGATCCAACAATACTTCCATTAAGTTAAGTTACTATATATAAGAACAAGCCCACTTCTTGGAATTTAAGAGAATGGACTTTCTGTTAAGTTACTATATAAGTATATAAATTTTTACTTCTCCCACTGACCTTCAACACTGTTGGGCTTTTTCTTGAAAAAAGATATATCATAGTGCTTTTTTTTTTTTTTCCTTTTTTTTTTTCGGGTCAATTTTGTAAACTCTCCAAATGCAATTGGGAAAAATCCCTCAAACTTTCTTTTTTATTAAGATAAAGCAAAAAAAAAAAAAAAAAGTATAAAAGAGTCGAAAATAGAAAGAAATAAAGAAAAGATAGCAACAAGAACTGTGGTTACCTGTCAAAGAGTGGGGCCCATTAAAAATTCAAAAAAGGAAGCACCAACACAGCCCGTGAGGTTTTACCTGAAATCAACAATTTTTGGGAATACTTTTTACTCTTTTATAAAATACTACTATCCTCTCTTTATTCTTAATTGTTTTTGCAAAATTCTATTTTAACCTAAGAAAACAACAAAAACCCAAAACTTAAAAAACACACCAATAGTGAAACATGCCCTAGAAAGAAATGGATGATTGTAGAGAGGGGATCTTTCTTTTTAAAAAATTCTTGTAGAGTTTGGTTTCTTTGGTTTGATGATTATGATGATTGATGACAAGTAGCACCACTAGTCTAGTCTAGGTCTAATTTTCTTGCTTCATTCCCTATCCAAAATCCCATGTTTGCTTCACTATTGCTAACCCTATTCCCATTTTCATTTTTTAAATAATAATTTTATTAAAAAAATAAAGAAATCAGTGTGTTATGTGCCTTGGGGTCAAAAGTTTGGTTGAGTGTGTTTGGGACAACACAAAGAAAAAGTAGGAAGGAAACCGCCACCTTTCCATGATATTTTTTCCAAAGTGGCATTTAAAGAGCCCAAACCAAATTCAAAGGCCAACTAATTTATTTAGGCCCCATTCAACCCCACCCCCCACCCCACCCTACCCTGTGGATGTATAGTGTACTTGTGGTGGACCCTTTTTCAATTATACATTTTATACGTATATATATATTATCATCATCATCATGTTTGCCACTCATTCTTGTTCATTTTGATCAGGAGCTCCCGGACCACTCCAAGATCAAGTGGCGAGGGCCTGGACCTCCCAAGAATGTTGATCATTTTTTCATGCCATGAAGACTCCTGTTATAAGTTGACCTCTTTTTTTCTCCTTTTCTTTTCTTTTTTTTTTTTTTTTTTTTTTCTATCGAATTCGATCCCAATGTTTGATTGAGTGTGGGGTAAATTCACATCATTCATTCATTCATTCATATCAGAGACGTTGAAGCAACCAAACAGTTGTCAGAAATTTTGAAATGTAAGAAGGGTAGGACAGTGAGTTAAAGAGCATGTCAACGTAGGATCATAAATGCCATTGAAGATTTACAGCCGTTGGATGAAATAATAATAATAATAATAATAATAATAATAATAATAATTTAAAATAGATAGACACAATATATACATCATCAACATCAGCAAGGGTAAGGGTAAAAGAATATAGAAATCAAGCCACAATGATGCCATTTCTTGAATTCAAAACCACCAGAAAAAATTAAGATTGCACAACTCGAAACTCAATTATGACAACATTGATGAGGATATCATTTTTTTATATATATAAATAATCATTATAATATAAAATCATCGATTTCATATTTTTATATTTATATATATATATAATAAGCTTTTTCTCTGTTCACTTCACATTTTGCTGTTGGGCTATGATCATGTGCAGTGATAAATCTGAAGAAGATTGGAAATATCGAACTGGGGGAAGGAGTTTCGTAGGAGCACCCGGGACTCCCACCGCGAGCTCAGTCCACACCAGACAGCGTACACCATTCACGGTGCAGATGCACCTGGTGTTGGGATCCACGGAGCTCCCAAGAATCATCCCTCAAACAACAAGCCCTGTCCAGATTTTAGTACAGCCAACAGTTTTTTCAACTTCAAAAGAACCCACACAAAAATAAAACTTATAAATCTACAAATCATTATTATTATATTTAGTATGATTAGAATAATAGAAAGGCATGCAAGAACAAGAAACAAAAAAAAAACTCTCCTTTCATTTTTTATTTCCATTGCATGTAATAATTCCCTAGCACTACCAAAAGTATCTCCTTCCTGTAACACATTTACTTACAACAGCACTTTGAACAGCACCCAAAAACAAAATTAAAAAATATATATACTCAAATTTATTTGAAAGACACACATCAATCAGATCATCATTTATTGAAATTCTTTTCGAACGAGAGAGAGAGAGAGAGAGAGAGAGAGATGGACTCTGAAGAATATGTTCTTAGAAATAGCCCTCAAGTTTATAGGGTATTTATTAATTTGTGGGCATCTAAGTTAATGCAAATAAACAACAAAAAGAGTCAAGATTCCTTGCCCCTTTCTTTTACTCTTCCACTGACAGCTAACCCCATTTCCTATTTTCTATCCCCACTTTTGAAATTATGATAATCCTAATTCTAAAATAAATATCTTTTCATCTTGACTATTTGTTAATGCCCACTTCTCAAAGATTCATTTTTTTTTCTTTCCAATCCCTAAATATTCTATCATCTCAAACCAATGCCACCGTTAAATAAATGTAGATTTCATCGAAATGGATCCATGGAGGCTTTTGGGTTTCATCTTTGTGCCACTTTGTTTTTTTTACCTAATTGCTATTACATTAAGCATTTATGGCATCATAAGATGGGTTGACTCAGTGAATGATCCAGCTTTGCTTTTACAATATCGAATATTACATAATAAAATTATTTAAAATAAATTAAAAGCACTGCTACAGCTACCCAAAAAAAAATAATCATTAAAATTAAGGGAAATTAAAAATAAAAATTAAAACTCACTCAAGATTCAGCGGCGGGTCGCGGCGAGGTCACCGGAAAAAGTGGCAGCAGTCGGGGCTCCGATTCCCTCGGAGTATTCGCCGGCGAAGGATGCAAATAAAACCCTTTCTCTTTAATGGCCTTCTCCTCCGCCACCGTGTCCAGGTGGCTGGTGGCATTGGCGGCGGAGGACCCGCGGTTAAACGGGTCGGGTATGAGGGGCGTGACGGGGCTGAGGACCAGCGACGGGAAGTCGAGGATACTGGGGGAGAGAATCTCCGGCGTGCCGGTCCGGGGCGAACCGGAGAGTAAACCGGACCGGGGGCTGACGAGGGCCGGTCCGAGCGGGCTGATCTTGAAATTCTTGAGGCTGTTGCGGCGCTCGTAGAGTTTGGCGGCGGATTTGTCCTTCCGGGGGCCGGTTTTCATCGGCGGGATGGGATTCCGGTGGTGGTCGGGGCGGGCAGGGGCGGAGGCGACGCGGGCAGTCTCGGCGGAGCCGGTCAGCATTTGGACGACCTGCTTGAAGGAGGAGGTGTCGGCCTGGACGAAGGTGGTTGGGTAGGGGTTGTTGGGATCGGATCTCGCGATTGGGAGCGGCGGCGGCGGAGACGGGCGGCGGGGGAAGCCATTGCTGCCGCTGCTGCCGGAGCTGTGGGCGGTGGGCGACGGATTAGGGTTTTCAGGGAGGGGATTTGTTATGGTGTCCATTGGAGGAGGGTTTGAAGTTGAAGAAGAAGAAGAGTTATGATTGTTACAGAGATTATTTTTCGACATTTATAAAGTGAGACTGCGCAGACAGAGAGAGAAAGACTCAGAGAGAGAGAAAGTAAATTTATTTTTATTTTTATTTTTATTTTTTGATTTTATTTTTTTGAAAGTCTTGTAATACTACTACTGTTTACTTCGCAACTTTCTATGGTTTGGTAAGAAACGCTTAGTTGTCCACCTCGAGTAAGCTCCACTCGCGCTATAGGCGCGTCGACTTATTGACGTTTTCATTTTTTTATTTTTATTTGTAATTATTGTTAATGTTAAAATTAAAATTTACGAATACAAGCTTACAACAAAAGGTGTTTCAAGTTTTACATTTTTTCTAAAAAAAAATTGTTTTATCCGTTTTATGTAAAATATTTTTTCTTATTATTTATAATTTATAGTTTAATTAAATTATTTATTAATTACATTTTACCTAAATAAAACTATATGGTATATAGTAATAGAGATATATTATTATGAAGAAAAAATTATGTTTTTATTAATATTATAAAATATATGTACTTTATAAACTATTAGCCAAAACATTTAAAATAAAAATAAAATAAAATTTTAATTATTTAAAATTTATGTCAAAACAAAAATAAATATTCAACTAGGATAGAGATAATTATTTAATTTATTGATATTTTATTCCGAGTCACAAGTACACACACCTTTAATTTTTTTATTCAATAATGATTAGATAATATAAATGTATTTAGTTGATAAGTTTTTCGGAATTTTATTTTCTAATTTTAATTTTAATATAGACTATATTTTTGTGAGAGGAAGTAGAATTTATAATCAAATCAACTAAACTTTAAATTTATAATCATAATACATAACAAATTAGTGATTTATATTTTTTTTTAAAAAATAAATTATAAATTATAAATGAAAATTGTTATATCGATAATCTGGTGGCGTAGGAGTTGGACTTGTGACCATTAATGTGACTTTTCTATCGAGTCTGATTTGCAGAGTATTAAGTTCAACCTAAATTTACACGTACTTTCGAATAGTCACTGAGTTCTGAAGTTCAAATTCCTCGAAGCTACTTTCAATAAATGCAAAGAGATCTGAATTCAGAATTCTGATCCTTCCCATCAATTTTTTAATTATTATTTATTTAGTTTTTTACAACAATTATTAACACAATAAATAGGGAAATCAACATAAATCAATACAAAATGCGACTAAGTGGAGACAACATTAGCGTCATGATCCACGTGGAAAGCAACCATTGGCCACCATTAAACTATAAAATAAATAAATAAATAAATAAAACAGTAAAATAATTAGGGACACTGAAATAGTCAAACAAAGTTTCAAATATTTGAAATTTATATCAACTGACCATTCAATGCTTAACCATTATCGCCACCAACTTTTCTTTTACTTTAATTTAATAACTTATCAAGAAATGTTCTCAATTAAAAATAAATAAATATATATACTAAAAAAATACTTCTACTTTGAAATTACATAAATATTGTAATTTTACTTTGTATTGTATAATATATCATATTTTAGTACAAAATCTATTACATAAACTTCCTTACATTTATCTATAATATGATTGTGATATGTAATAAGTTTATAATATATAGAAATATTACACAATAAAAATTTAGTAAATGAGATCATTATATCATTAAAAAAAAAATTATATTTTCACCTAAAATTGCAGCATACAGCAATAAGACAATAATTTATTTCAAAAAATTTATCTATTGTACTTTAAAGTGCATTTTAATATGTGTATGCACTATCTATTAATTAAACATTAAATATTAGTATCTCTTAAACATTTTAAAAATGTATTGAAAATATGAAAATGATGTAATATTTTAGTGTAACTTACTTTATACTATTATCTAAATAAATAAACAAGATCATAGTAAGTACAGTGATAAATTATAATTATAATTATAATTATAGATTCAACGTTGACAGCTTATAAAATGTTTATTTACAAAAATTATATATATATATATATGTATTTGCAAAAAAACTGACAATGATAGATTAATTGCATTATAAATTTAATCAATGGTCAAAATTAAATGGTCAATTAACCACTTGAAATAAAGAATCTATTAATTGGAAGTTTCAAGAAACTATTAATGCCCAACTCATTAGGAAATTGAATATTTGAAATTAAGCAATTCAATGACTAATCAAGATTTTTAGGTATTTTATTGAGAAAAATAACACTACTTTGGTGGCTACACACCAGTAATTCTTGAAAGCTCCTGGATCCCTCAAATCTGCACCGTCCATCTTGCGGAGCCCACAAGAAGATGAACGGCGTGGATACATCCGAAGAAACTTTCCCATTTTAGGGCTCTAAAATATTTTTGCTAAATCTGTAGGCTTTGTCACACAAAAAACTATACTCAAATTTATTTTATTTTTATGTAAATAAAAGGGTTCATTTTAATCATTAGTTTTTGTCATATTTTGGTGTGCAGAAAAACTTCTTGCATGTGATGTGACTGTTATTGTTATTTATTTTGAGAAATATCCTTCCAAGAAAATAATAATAATAATAACAATTATTTAGGAAGATAATACTGAAAAATTTAAAAAGTATGGAATAATAAATTGATATGAGAAAATTGTTAAATTAATTCTCTAGTCTTTGAATATATCGCCTGACGTACTCAACAGGCAAACTTAATACAAATTATTATTATTATTATTATTATTATTATTATTATTATTATTATTATTAAATGTGGTTATTTTTGTCTCTACGTTGAAATATACTACTATAATAAACCAAATCTCAGCTTCAATAAATTATTTGGGTTTTGTTTGTTGTGTTTTTAAATATAGGGAATATTTTTAGTCGATTTTTTTATATAATATATAAATAGATTTAAAATATGGCATTTAAAGAGAATAACATTTAAATAAAATAATTTAATTAGAAACCGGATCTTAAAGTTCATAATCAATACTTCGTCGTTTCACTTGACAGTTGTACATCTAAATTTGCACGGAGGTGATAAAATACAATTAGCACTCTCATAATATTATAATACTATTTTCGTCTGATTTTAAGAATGATATTTATTTTTTATGGGTTCATTTTAAATATGAATTATTATATTAAAACGATCAAAATACTTATGACTTGTAATACTAATACAATTATATTTGGACAAAAAATTAAACAAAGATAAATATATTTTTAATATTAAGTATATTTACTCAAAAAATAAATGTAAAATTTAATACTGACGGATGGAATAATATATTGCAGACAATGAATCTACGGTATACATATCAAATAAAATTAACAATATATGTTAATATTTCATTCGATATGTAATTTTTTTAAATTTTTGTGTTTTAATTTCATTAAATTATACGTTGTAAGTTTGTAAGGTATTTACAAAATGTATTGTTGTCAAACTTACTCAAAAACATATATATATTATGTATTTGAATAGAAGAAAATAAAAATATATATATACGTTTCCGATAGACTAAATGAGTAAATTTTTAATTTAAATTGTATAGTATGAAAAAAAAAATGAGATAGCACAAAAAATTCACTTTTCTTCATTGAACATTTCGGCCTTTTGGGCTGACAAATTTCTTTTGTTGCAGTTTGAATAATACTTGGGCTACAACCCATAAAAATATTATAGGGTTTGCTATTTATTTATTTATTATTATTATTATTTGATCGATATAAAATTTGTTTAATTATAATTTGAAATGGTGCAGTGATTTGAGTTTATGGTTAAATAATATTTTGATAAGATGTTTTTGGAGAAAAAATAATATATTTTTATTATAGATTGTACAAAATAAATAATTTTAATTTTAATTTAAAATATTTGAAAGAACAAACTCTATGTTTCCTTCAATTTTATCCACCTATTTTATTATTCATTCATAATTATTTAATTTTTTTTCTCCAAATATGATATCATAAATCTATTTTGTATTACATCTATTTGGAGAAATATAACAACAGTGTTACCTTATTTAGTTATGCCTTACAAATGTATTTAAAGTAATCATGTGCTTTCGTACAAAGTTGAAAGAGAAATACTTCATTCATTTGGCTAAATTTATGTTCAAATTGTCTTTAAAAAATGTTGCTGAAATTGTACCACTTTTTTTGCATATACATTACATAATAATATTTCATTGAGTAAGTATTACAAATAATTTTTTTTACATTTCCAAATACATCAAAAGAAATTACTAGAAATTTATAATCTTGATTGGTCTCAACTAATACGAAATGCTAACTCAATTAACTTTGATAAACACAACACACAACACACTTGATGGTCAATATTATTACAAGAAGAAAGAAAAGAAAGTGACGAACAAGGCATCTTTATTTCAAGAAAATTTGGGAAATTATTCATCGATGATATGTTGTATCTCTACAGGAAAACGAAATCGAGTGTGAACCTTGGAAGGTCCTCATCTCGAAACCCATCCTGGATCACCATAATCATATCATTCTCGCAATTTGCCATTTCACTTCTTCTTTTTCCGGCGGTGGGGACTGGCCGGGAGAATGAGATTACGAGGTTGTCATCACTTTTGCTGCGGAGAAACTCAGACAAGAGAAGAACTAGAGAGGCCATTTCTCATAAAATAGATTTGCTGATAAAATAATGGTGAATTGGGATCTTTATATTACATATATATATATATATGTGTGTATGTATGTATGTGGATATGTGTGTTCTGTTGGATGAATGTTGGCAGGAAAAGTGGTTGCTGAGAAATGGGATTTATAAGCAGTGATAAGTAGTTGAGAAAATTAATTAAAACCTAGCAAGTATGATGAGAGAGAGAGGAGAGAAGAGAGAGAGAGAGAGAGGGATAATGCCATTGCCCAAGAAAGCCAAATTTGCATGATACCATCCATCATGTTTTCTTTTAATTTTTCAGTTGGAGAAGATAAATTTTTTACACCTAATTACCAATCTTGTTTATTTATATATATCCATGTTTCATTTAGTCTTATATATATCTTGCTACCTCTACTTTTCTTTAAACACTGTATACATTTTTCCCAGGAAATTGATGATGCTTGTAGAAACACCCAATCTTTTGATTGTAACTTGCAAATTGTGTCAAATTAATTTGTGTGCTTTCTTCTATCTTATTAGTTATAAATATTCTAATGAAAGTGGCAAATTGGTTTTCATACACCCTCTTTCCATGTCTATTTACTTACACATTGATCGCCCCAAGTTATATTATTTAGTCTCACAAAATATGACCAACGGTGACGGTCCAAACCAAAATCATGAGAAGTTTTGTGAGGCAGAAATTGATTGCCGACAAAGTAGGTTCCCACACCAACACATTAAACCTATGTTTGACAAGCTATCGATCACACAAAAATAAATGAACCAGAAGAATTCAATAAAAGAAGGCAGGCTATGTGTGTGTCCATGTGAAAAGGATGGACAACAGCAACATCAATAAATGATCACTCAGCATCTCAAATCCGTAACCACAAAATTATAGCAAATGAGCTTAAATCAAAACCCAAACAAGAAAAGAAATGTTTCTCAGTATGTAGAAGGACATACATTCCAACCTATCTTCCAAAACAAAAATCTTGCAAATACTCTGTCAATACCAGTATCATTTTGCCGACATAGTGTTTTAGATGGACAACAAAGACTAGAACAAAAGGGATAAGCAGCAGATTAATTAAGGAAAAGAGAAAAAACCGGCAACTGAGACAGTTGGATTGCTGCATTTATAAATGGTTGAAGAAAGTTTTACTTGATGCAGATCACTTGCTTCAAAAGTCGTAGTTACCTGAAACGAAGGAAAATATAGTAAATACATTGTTCACGGAGGAAAATGCCAATTGCCTGTTCTCATTGGATATATAAATGTTACTAAAAGTTCAAGAGAAGGCAACAAGCTTAAGAAACCATGATAGCAAACAAGTTCTATAAACCAGAACTAATAAAAATGTGATTTTAGTTTATATATAAACAGTTGAGAAAACTCAGCTTCAAATCAAAACATTGCCAGAAGTAAATGGAGAGGCAAAAAATTTCTTCACTGAGAATAAACACGTTTCCACAACCCAAGCCATTAACATGTAGATGGCAAAATTTGAAGTATGCAATGGACATCCAAGAATTGAATATATCATCCCATACAACTGCAATATACTAGAGAATAAAGAACATGGAGTTCTGACGGTCACATGTAATAGTTGCTTAAACTCCCATTGAAAGAGAGAGCATATTCTCACCTGATGCAGTTTTGGGCTTGCAGCAACCACAATGGGAAGTTTTTTAATTGATATGAGGAGACAATAGATAGGTCACTAATATATATACACACACAAAATAAGCCAGTAGATCTTGAAAACATGCTGTTTATGTAGTTACGTACATCTAACATACACTTTGAGTAAAATTATTTTCATATAGGCATGTCATGCATGTATCATGTATAGGAAATATACTTACGCAGATTAGCTTTAAGATTCTAGTCTAGAAAAATCATCACAAGTAATAAATATGAAACTCATATGATATATTACCACATTATTATGATGTAAAGGAACTCCCACAAAATTCATACTAACACCAAATAACACAATAGAAATCTAGAAGCAATAGTTCAACTCCATAATGATTAGCAATACAAAATGGTAAACCAATAATGGGCATCAGTGAGAAATATACCGATTAAGCAGCTTCATCACTTATCTTCTTCTCATTTACATCACTTGTTATAGCTTCTGCCTCCCCACCTTCAGCATCCTCGGCAGGAGGTTGAACCTGTTCGTCTTCCGGAAGTGGCTCCTCCACATAGTCATTGTCGAATGCATCCTGGGGGACATCATATATTCGCACCTGTGGCTTAGATGGGTCCTTAACCAGTACATATTTTCCTTCATTCAATTTCATGCACAAGTCCACAATACTCTTTACAATGCCCCACATGTTAGATGTGTTCAGATTGATCTGTGTGGCGAAATCCCTTGGCTTATATCCCACAACAGCCAGAATCACATGATTATAGTGATCTCTTGGATGAACTCTTGAGACATATCCTAGTTTCATCATATCAGCGCCTGCCAACAGAGCCTGTGCAGTCCATTTCGCCATCTTATTTGCATTGTTCTTCAATTCAGTAGCCAACACTGCACCCCTCTGTGTCTCCAGCTTCTGCCTCCAATCAACACCTGAATACTTGGGATCAAACTCATTCAGAGCATTAAGGGTCAAAAACGACCTCTGATTGTTGATATCCACCACACTCTGCACTTCACAACGAGACACAAGATACATATTATCATCCAGTTTCCACCTCCTGTATCTATAGGCAACTGAAGCCACCTCTTCTCCTTCACTTGCAAATGGATTGGCTTCCTCGAATGTGAGTTTGTTCCCATCCCTAATCAAAACCTGCTGTGAAAAGTTCTGATTAATGTAAGCAGCCTCTACGCTCAATGAATGAGCAGAATTAATATCATCCTTCACATCAGGAAGAGGCTCTTGTGAAGTCTCGTGAACCGAAAGCAAATCCAACTGCGATCCATCTCTCTTATCGAAGAATAACTTATTCCCCACACGCTGAACCACAATGTCCCATGAGTAAACAGACCTTGGGGCGCACATTAGTGTAGACAAAATGGTATCAGTAGCAAACACAGTAGCTTTATCCTCATTTGCCAAGCGCCTAATGACTGGATCATCAGTTGTCGTAACTTTGAAGAAATTCCGATTCTTGAAGCGCTCCAACGGGCGGCAATTCTTCGGCGACGTCCTATCATAAGACCTGTCGTAAAACTCCAGTCCACCGCAGATCAGTAAATCCTCGGGATCAGGTACAGAAAAGGATAGTTTTGAGAAGGTGGAGAACGGAATCTGATCAAGCATGTTCCACTCAGGCTGGATATCAACGGAAGATTTGAAAACAGATGACTCGCGGCGCTGCCCAGCCTGCGGACGGTTGAGATTGTACAATCTATCCCGACGCGCACGCTCCTTCTCCTGTTCGCGCTTCTTTGCCTCAACTTCTTCATCGCGGCGCTGAGGAAGCTGAGAGCGAGCGTTGTGCGCATTAAATCTCCACCTAGGGTTGAACTTGGGGCGATTGGGGTTATAGTGGTGGGATTTCGCGGAGGTATCGACGAGGCGAAACGACGAATCCTCATCCGCGGCAAGAGTGGCGAATGAATCGTCCCCGGAGAAGTCGAACGCAGAATCCGACGGATGATGACCGCCCTGCTTCGAACCAGGTCGCCCCTGGTTGTTCATATTCCGCGTCCAATCAGCGATCCTTCCCAGCTTCTCCGACCGAGAAAATGGTGCGAACGGAACGTTCGACGGATGGTTCGGAACGGAGAGCGTCCCGGCGGCAGACGAATCCGGCGGACCCCAGCCATCAGGATTGAACGGAACAGCGCCAACTTCGAATCCCACCATTTTCACTCTTCGAAATCTGAACTAGGGTTTGTTGGTTTGCGAAGCACTGCGCTCTGCAGCGGAAGAAAGAACAAAAAGAAAACCCTAGCCGATGACTGACTGGGGGTAACCTTAAATGGGCTTCTTATTAGGCCTATTGGGCCCATGTTCAGCTATCCAGTAATCATTTGGGCCTTAGAAACTATATTGGGTAATACTATATTTTAAATGAATAAATTGCATCACTTTTTTCTGACTTTAAAAAAATAAAAGAAAAAGAGACTTGCTTTAAGATGAACACGACGTGTTCGTTTTCAGACCACTCGATCAGATCAATCAAATATTCATCCTTTTGTCCTTCGCATATCTTTTTTTCGACACTTGTCCTTCATCCTTCACATATCTATCTATTTATATCTATCTGTTTGGTTTTTTTTACGAAATTAAATATTAGTATGATATAAAAATAACAATTATTTTTGTAATATATTGTAAATTAAATTGATATTTATAATATTAATAAATAGAAAATAAAATGAATATTGTTACGGAGACAAGAGAGATATCATATAATAGAGTTTGTGAAATACATTCGTCAAACAGAAACATGCATACAGATATCCGAGCCCATGATCAAATCACATCGAGGGCTCAATTGACTTCAAGAAATACAATATTGCTTCGATCGATTAATTAATTAATTGATGATGTTGTTCCCATGCACAAAACTCCTTAGTCTTTCAGAAATCCTTGCAGCTAATGATTCTTGGCTGTCCTCTCCAGACCCATCTTCAATCTGCAGAAATTCAAACATTTTAAAATATATATATATATATATATAGAGAGAGAGAGAGAGAGAGAGAGAGAGAGAGAGAGAGAGAGAGACGTTTGCATAAATGGTGTGGAAGACGAGGTGGGGAGTGACTGAGTAGGAAGCAGTGAGGATTTGTGCAGCGGCTTCTTGACTCAGAATTCGGAGAGCTTCCATGAAGACGGAATGATGGCTGTTCAAGTCTGTCATCAAAGCAACCTTAATGACGAAATCCGCGTCGACGCTGACGTCGACGTCGATGGCCGCCGGAATAATTAGTTTATTATTATTGCCGGCGCCGGAGACGACAGCTGTACTCTTCTGAAGGTCAGTCTTCTTGTTCCTGAGCATCTCCACCTTCTCCTCCAGCCTCCTTATGTAGTGCGTCGCGCTTTCCACCTGGTCTTGGATCGAAGAAACTCCACAACCTTCCTGCAACACCAAATTAATCCAATCAAATCAAAATTAATTAATTGATTAAGAAATTGGTGGAGATGGAATAATTATAAACCCTAGACGACGATGTGGGTGGATTTGGGGGGACGATGAGAGAGCTGAGGCTGGAGCAGAGGGATTTCATGTGATTCCTCCTGTTTTTCTCGACGGTCTTCCTGTCGGCTTTGGTGACGGAATTAGGGCTTCTCTCCGACTCCATGGATGATCTCTCTCTGTAACAACTAATTAACCTGACACAGAATTAGGGTTTTTGTTGGACGAAGAAGAAGAAGAAGAAGAAGAAGAAGATCTGTGTGTGTGCTTTTCTTGAACCATGAAAAAAGGCCAATGCCAGGCCAGCTTCTCTTTAGCTCCTTTTTACAAAACTTAATGCAAAATCAATTTTTGTAATAATAATAATAATAACACTAAATATTTATTATTATTGTAGGAATCTCACTGTAGGAATCTCCGCAAACAGGTACAAATTTTCATTCACACTGATATACGAACAAGTCAGCGGCTACATTTTTCATGTGTTAATTGAAACAAATCAACAATAATTGGGATGATATTTGTCTTGTGCCTATTTATCTTCAATCAGTACATTAATCATTCCATTGACAATATCTTACATAACATAATAGCAAATACATAAAAACATCACGATATATGCTATTATGAATTTTGGTATAAAAAATTAAATTCGTATAATTCACTTGTAAGTATAAACTACCAATATATTTTTTTTGTTGTTGCATTAAATAAAATATGTAACTTTAACAAATAGATACCGTAAGTGTAACCATCATAGAATGAACACAAATCGGACAAAGTGGGCTTCCATGTGATTCCATACACGTCACCGATGACGTCGCCCACGTGACGCAATCATTCTGACGTCGCTGCCTACGTGTTTTAATTTATTTATTGGTATTTCAACTTTTTTTCTTTTTTTTAAAAAAATGAAAGTCAAAAGTTTGAGTATAATGTTGTAAAAACGTTAGTATGTTATTGGATCAGTATACAGATATTAACGTAAATTATATAATCCAAAATTGCACATAAAGATACAAATTATCAGGCCATGTGTTTTTTGGGCCGGACAGACCAAGGAGGCCCAATATGTTGGTGTGGGTTCTCTTATTGGGCCATTATTAGGCTATATTTTAAGGTTTTATTAAATATATATATATATATAAATAAAAATAATTCAAATAGGTTTGGTGAAAAATCAAAGAAATTGTCTGAAATTGTCACTTTTCTTCTGAATCGAATACACATAGTGTAAAGGCACGTTAAATATTTGTTATCATTTTAGTTTTCACATTAGAGATGCTATAGCTAATCAAATGTGGTTAGGTTACGATCGTGATCATTTAGATGAATAATATGCAGATCGGTTATTATATATATTATGTATATGGTGTTTGGTTCTTTATAATATAATTTTTGCTTTATTATATTAGACAAAGAAATTTTATGTCATGTTTTATGAATAAATTAATCAAAGTTTATTAAATACTTTTATTTTTCTTTATTTATATAATATAGAGACAAAATAGTAAAATTATTCTATTTTCCTTTCTTTCTCTGTCCAATCAAACACAAAAATATTATTTTTCCTCCCTTCGCCTTTCTTTCCTGCCATACGAACCAAACACGCTATAAAGCTACCGTTCCCTTTCAAACATAATAAATAATAATAATAATAATAATAATAAATTATGATTAAGTTGATTGTAAAAAATATTCTAATTCAAGTGGGTAAGTTGTTAAGTCTGAAATTTGATATAAATATATATTTATTGAATCAAGTCCACGTGCTTTTAAAGTATGTCCAAATAGTTTTTTGTCATTGCAATTTAAATGTGATTGCAATAATTGAGATTATTAGTAACAAGCCTCATACATGTCTTGTCTGTTAATGATTCTTCCAAAACATGTCACACGTTGGAGATATTTTAATTAATTAGTCCATTCGTCCCATATATAATTTGTCCCTCTTTTCTATTTTCGTCAGTCCCATATAATTTATCCTTTTTATTTTTGGAAATATAATTATGCACTTTAATCATATTTTAAACTTTTTATTTTATAATTTTCTTAACTTTAATTAAATTTTTTACTTATTTTAATTTTAATCTATAATTATTTTTACTAATATACTTCTTAATTACTTACTAATTATACTTTACCTACATTCTCGAACCTACAGTAATACATCCATATTACATGAGACGGAAGGAAAAAGTTCTTAATAATATATATTTCTTTGTAAACTTTACCTATTGGAATTTAGGGCCCATTCGGCACTAATTATAATTTATTACATTATCTGATGCAATAATTTATGTAACCATTATTGACTTGTTATAACTTTCTGAGTCATCAGGATAAAGATTGCAATGTATATCAGTACAATAATATATATTACCGCACCAACTTGCATAGTTAATTATCACTTTTACATTTTTTATTATCAATTTACAGCATATAAAATTATTATTATTATTACTTTACCAAGCAATATTTTACAAGAGTCATTTTCAAAATATAAAATAAAAGACCTTTTATTGAAAAGAGTTGTTTTAAACTAACATATAGGAGTATATCACTAATATTTTATACTTCAAGGTCATTACAAAGTTAAATTAAATAATTAATTACTACATTTTTAGGCTACGTATTTTTAGGCTTTTTTTTTTTTAAAGGTACAACTCTATTATTTGTAATAAGAATATACATTATTTTCATACAAAATATTACTCCCTCCGTTCACAAATTAATATCCTATTTTTTTTATTAAGAACGTTCAACAACTATTGTTTCATTTCATTTTTTAAACACAAATTTTACATTTTTACCCTACATTCATTCATTACTTTTAATCTTTACCATAAACTTAAGGATAAATTTGTCCATTCATAATAAAAAGACAATCACCTATAAAAAAAACCGTACAAATATACTTTAAAATAATAGAAATTGAACGTTTATATTTAAAAAGAAAAAAGTTAAAAAGAAAAAAGAACATCCCAAGACTATGTTGTTGAAGTAGTTGGTTGGCTTAGTTGTAATTAGTTTTTTTTTTTGTAAAAAAAAAAAAAAAGAAATTAAATTAATACTATAAATATATTATTTTATCTTACAAAATATTATATAAAAATATTAAATCAATTTTAAAACACAACCGAACAAAAAATATTACTTTATCTTACAAAAATATATATAAATATTAAATCAATTTTAAAACACAATCAAATTAATTCTTGTTTTAATTTTCTATTTTGTTCTTTAAATTTATCAAATGATTATTTACTACAGTTATTATTATTATTATTATTGGACAATATTTTCATTATTTCAGCCCATTCTCTTTGATAATTGAATTTGCATAGCTAATTGGATACATACTTAATTGTAAAAATAACAAATTAAGTCGGATACATACTTAACTGATAGTAATGATTAGTAATATAATAAAAATAATTATAGTCCAATCCCATACTCGAATTAATAAATAATTAAAAAATATATATTTTTTATTATTTGTCTGTCTTTCTCTATTTAACTTTACCTCAAATATATAAATATATTTTTTAAAACATCAAACCTAGATATACAAGTTTAGTTTAGTAGCAGTACTTATTATTTTCATTTTGTTTATTATATTATTCTTTACAAAATATAATAAATTTATTTAAAAATATTCTATCTGTCCGCAAATTATTTTATTTATTCTTTCAGTCGGTTATATTTATCTCATTATTAATTATTGCAAAGTTAACTAATTAATATTTAATTATTATCCTCTATTCTAATACTTATTTACAACAAATACCACTTGACTTTATTATATTCTCTCTTCATTTTATTCAATTTCTAATTAAATTTTCAAAATTATTGTCAACTATCTATCACTTTTTAATAAAATATTAATTTTTCTTAATATATGTGTCAAACCAAATTGTACTCATTTTAGTGGACGGAGGAAATATCACATACACAACAAATTTTTTAAAGGTATTAACACAAGTACAATATATACATATAATAATAATAATAATAATAATAATAAAACATCGTCGGTAAAAGATGATCTGATGGTGCTGGAGTGAATTTGTGACCGTAAAATTATAAGTTTAAATATATTTAATAATATTGAAATAGATTGTTGAATATTTTCTAAAAAAAATGTAAATTATCATTTTGTTTTCTCAACACTATTTTTCAATTGTGATTTTAAAAAAATTATAATAAAAAAACAAATTATTTTATAAAAAAATCAAAATACTTATTCTAAAAATAAAAAAAAATCATTATAAAAAATTAAAAAAAAAATTATATTCTGACAAAATTTTCTATACTACACGTAAAAAATTATTTCATTCAAGAATGCTGTGCAAACATTCAAGAATGCTGTGCAAACAGAGTCTATATTTGTACAAAAAATGGACAAAGGCAATGACTTTGAGTAAAAAAATTACAGGAATTGAATACATACATACATAGTGAAGATGGTGCATGTGGTCGAGACAGTTAAGCCAACGTTCCACATAATTTATCATTTTTATTTTTAGAAATATGATTATATATTTTAAATTATTATTATTTTTTAATCTTAATTAAATTATTTAGTTATTTTAATTTTAATTTATAATTATTTTTATTAATATACTTATTAATTATATTTTATCTAAATTCTCGTATTTATAGGAATAAACTCATATTCCACAAAAGCAAAGTAATTGTACCAGCTGTACATTACATAACGTACCCTTCCAATTCGATCCAATCCTACCCAAAAGAAATTGAAAGGTATTCTTTTAAAGAATATACCAAAATTTCTATAAAGTAAAATCAATAAAATTGATGGAATATATTATATATGTATGATTCCGATTTTTTTATTATCAAATTAATAAAAAATTTAAAAGTAACGTCTGACATGGACTGAATAATTGATAGATAATACAGACACTGGAAGCTCCAACCTTGATTGACGAAATAATTTGAGCGCAGCGCAATGACGAATTTACCCCTCGGCGTCTTCCAATAATTCGCATACCTTAACGGGCATATTAGGAAATCTATGTAGAAAATAAAACTCGCGAGCCTAGCGCCGCGTAAGTGTAGCAGAGTGATGTAATTATTTAGGTAGTACAGTAACCGGGCCCCACCTAATCGGATAAACTCGGAATATTCGACGCCCGAGATCTTGCCACGTGTCATCGGCAGGGAAATGTGGTGGTCCACCGTGGCATTACGATTAGGTGATGACGTGTATTTATTTATTTTTTAATATATTTATTTTTTGAAGCATAAATATTTATATTCGAGCATATCCACATGTTTGGGGAAGCGACGGAATTATTGGGTGTGTGTGACGTGGATCAAGCTGTCTGGTCCACCGAGTTGGACCGGGTTCATGTAGTCTTCTTCAATCTTCATTTTTGCCACGTCGGATTTTTGGTAGGCCCCAGTATCTCTGAAGCGCTGGGGTATTTAAAGCCGGCTTTCGGAAATCTCCTGCCACCGGATTGTTCGAGACGCACTGAATAATGTCTAGGGTTCGTAATCATAACCGGATCCTCACCTGCGACGGCCGGGAAATTGAATTTTCCGGCGAGTCGGCGATTAATTTGTCGGACGATACTGTGTTTCAGTTCCTGAGTGAGGAGTGTGAGGGATCATCGCCGGTGAGTAGCATTGACGGAGTTTCGAATGATGAGGAGGAGACAGGTAACGAAGACGAGAATGGAAACGAGGATCGAGGAACTGAGGTTGATAATTATTGGGAGACTCAACACGAATTGTTGCAAGTAAGTAATTGCGGTGTTTTTTCGCAACAATTTTGAATTGATTTCGGTTGACTGAGCAATTCGGAATGTTGCAAAAATGTATCGTTTCAGTTGAGGAATTAAAAGCTTGATTAATTGAAGCATCGATGTTTCCTGGCCATAGTTGTTGAATTTCGCATACTTAGGCAATTCATAGCGGATCTTATTTAAGATTCTTTTGTTCTTCTTCCGATGCAGTCCACAATATGCAGAACAAGTGCTTTAGAATCAAGGATCCGAAATATAACAAAGGAAGTGTTAAAAGAAGCCGGCAGCAAAGTCTGTTCCTGCAGCAGAGCTGCGAACACCGGATGCAGAAACTGTCTGATGGCAGAGATTTGCTGCCGACTCCAGAATGCCGGTTTGAATGGAGCAATTTGCAAGTCCAAGTGGAGAAGCTCACCCGATATTCCATCAGGTACATCATATTTTCCAATGTTATTTCATTAATCATAACGTATACAGAATTAGAATGGTTATATTTTGTGAGATAGATTGGGTTAAATGCACATTTGTGGAACATCATAATGTCAATGGTTATTTTGTCTTCATAGTTCTGGTATCTTGATGAAAGAATGATTTCTTAGAACATTCAGGAAACTGCTAATTGATTGGAAAGGAAGCCTAATTCCTTTAGATTTGTTCCTAGGTCCAGTTATTTTGCTATTTCTCTTTTGGTTTGAAGATCAGTGGATGCAATTGTGCCCAAATTGGGAAGAACACAGCAGATTAGTTACATGTCTGTGTCCAATATCTAATTTCTCATAAATACAAGAGACTCGTGCAGACTTCTTTATATGACAAAAAAGTCAAGTTGCATTTAGATTGAATACTGAGCATGAAAAATCACTATATTATTTATATGCAAGCCCTTTATTTATTTCCACCACGATTTCTCCTCCAAGCAAAAAAGGGAAAATATCATGATATTATAATTTTGTTACCTTTCATTCATTTCTTGTGTCAAATATCTTTATCAATCAAAAGAATCAATATCTCAACTAATTAACCCTTTCTGCAGGGGAACACACATTTGTGGATGTAGTGGACAGCTCAAATCCAAAAAAAGGACAAGTTAGAGTGATCATCGAGTTGAATTTTCGGGCTGAATTCGAGATGGCCCGAGCAAACAACGAATACAACAAGCTGATCAACCGCCTGCCGGAAACATTCGTAGGCAAAATAGAAAGGCTTCTGTCACTCATAAAGATCTTATGTGGAGCTGCCAAGAAGTGCATGAAGGAGACAAAAATGCACATGGGGCCGTGGCGAAAGCAACGATACATGCAAGCCAAGTGGCTGAGAACCCGCGAGCGGATGGCCGCGTCTCAGCCTTCGTTGTCCGATTACTCGGCCCGTCCGGCCCGGCCCAGAATGTCGATGCTGACTGTCGACTTGATGGAGAACTTCTCTACTTTGCATAGACCCACAGTTGCTGTGGTGTGAAGTTTTGTTTCAGCTAAGTTATGCACTGTGTGAGCTGAGCCTTTTTTCAATTATTAGCTTTGGTTGAGGATTTCACGGGAAATAGATGAAAAAATCCTCTAGCCCACTATAGTGTAGCAGCAGTTTTGTTCTTGCAGTACCAATAATGAGAATGCAAACCAATACTATATAATAATTATGGTAAAATGCGACTTCGATATTTTTGAAATTAATTTGAATGTAGTTTTACTATGTACAAATTCCAACTGTAAAGCCATTACATACTAAATCCAAGAAATTACAACAACGTAATAAACAATATAAACACGCCCACGATGTAACAATTTCCTCCAAAAAAAGAAAACACAATCACACTTGTTGCAAGAATGCTTCATCGATCACCTACCATCAACAATGGTGTTAGACCAAGACAACGACATCGATGCATTCAATCCCTGTCTAATCTCTTCAAACGTAGGATGCGAAGAAGACGACGAACCACTCGTAAACACCATAGCCTCCATCCTCCACATCTCCGAATTCCTCATCTTCTCCAACAGATAAACATCGGTATCCTCCGACTCCGTCTCGTCCCCTTCCGCCCTCCCTTCGAACACCTTCACAACTTGTCTCATCGTCGGCCTTGAATTCGCGTCCGGGTGCGCGCATAGCACACCCAAATGCAGCACTCTCAGGACCTCCTCGTCGTCGACGTCTTCCATCCGTTTATCGACGGCGGCAATCAATTCCCCGCTCCGCAATCGCTCCCATACCCACTCGACCAACGGCGGCTTCCCCTCTTCGATCGGCCGTCTCCCGCATATCACTTCTAAGATCAATACTCCATACCCAAACACGTCGGTTTGCATCGACGCCTTCCCGTTTCTTACAACCTCCGGCGCCAAGTATCCCACCGTTCCAACCACGCGCGTTGTCCCCGCGGCCTTGTCGTGATCGTGCATTCTCGCTAGCCCGAAATCGCCTAGCCTCGCGTTCATATCTTTGTCGAGCAATATGTTGCTTGCTTTTATGTCGCGGTGCAACACCTTCGACTCCCATCCGTAATGCAAGTATTGCAGCCCCGACGCAACTTGCTTTAAGATTTGTATCCTGTCCCGATAACTCAAAAGTCGACCCTTTTCGCAGTCGAACACCCTCTTGTCGAGACTTCCGTTTTCCATGTAGTCATACACCAAAATGAGGCTGCCCTTCTCCTTCTTGCACCAACCTCGCAATCCAACCAAATTTCGTTGCTTCAATCGACCTAAGCTCGATATTTCCGCCAAGAACGTTCTTATCCCTTCGCTACTTTCGTGCGAAATTCGCTTCACCGCAACTTCGGATCCGTCGCGGAACGTCCCTTTGTAGACTCTCCCGTTCCCGCCTACGCCGATCACGTGGTCGTCGGAGAAATTCCGCGTCGCGGATTCGATTTCTTGGTATGGGATTCTGTGAGGCCAATATTCCAATTCCCAATCCTCCATTTCCTCCCTCTCTCTTTTGAGCCTCTGGTTTCTACTGATGAGTGAGAAAGTCAGGGCAGAGCAGAGTATGATTAATAGGACGGCTGCCGCCGTCACGGAGGCGATGAAACCTCTGGTTTTGTGCAATGGAGTCTTCGGAAGCTCGAACGATGGCAGACCTACGGTGATCAAATCGTTGCTAAGAGATGCATTCGTGTTGCTGAAGCTCCAAGCTAAAATCTTGTGGCTTTGGACCAGAGCTCCTGTGGAGGAAGTGAATCCGACGTACATTTCGTCTTCGAAAACTCCGGTGATGTTGGCAATGGCGGCGCTGAGGAGAGGGCGATTGGGCTTCTTAATTCCGGCAGGCGCCATGGTGACGTTGACGACGCCGCCGGCAAAATCGATCCAGACTTGGTAATTCTTTCCGTTGTTCAGAGTCAATTCGTCGAACACGTCGTCCTTATGGCCGCCGTCCGGCCAGTACCCGGCGGCGTGAGAGAATTCCGAGGTTAAGGAATCCACGTCGATTCCGACGTGATTGGCGTCAATATCGTGGAATTCCTCGTTCTTGAAGACGTCGAATTCGACGCCGAAGACGTGGTTGTTAGGATCGCCATTGTTGGTGAAGTTGAAGAGCCCGAGATTCTGCGACGCGCTGGTGCCGTCGATTCCGGCGTGCGGCGTGAAGAGGAAGACTATTCCGTGGCCGGGGAGGACGCCGCGGTAGGGCGCCATGGCGAAGATGAAGGAGACGAAGAAGGGGAGGACCGCCGGCGAGTTAGGGTTTTTGGTCGGAATTTTGGAGGGGTAAAGGGCGCGGCCGACGGAGAAGCTGGTCCGATTGGTGAGTGTGAGAATGCGGGAGGAGTCGACGGTGGCGTTGCCGTACAGGGCGACGTCGGAGGAATCGAAGCCGTTGAAGATGAAATCGACGGCGGCGGCGATTTGAGCGAAGAGGAGCGGCGCTAGAAGCCAGATTGGATGGGTCTGGTTCTTCTTCTTCATGGGAGAAGGAAAGTGACGGCGACTCTCATGGAGGAAAAGGAAAAATGCAGTTTCAGTTGCAGGCTAAAAGGGAACGACACGGTCGTGTCAGGCGCCGTGTTTAGTTATGCTGCCGCTCGCAGATTTGACCAGTGTGTAGGGTTTGACTTCCGCTGTCTTATTTATTCCCTTTTTGCCCTTTCCCTTTCTCGTAAATTTACTATGGGTGTCAAAAATTAAATCCGACTCGAAAAATCGAACTCGTTCGACATGAAAATTTTCAAGTTCGGGTTTGACAATTTCGAGTTTGAAAAAAATTGAATCGATTTGAATTCCAAACAAAAAAATTTTGTTTTGTGTTCGGGTCATACTTTGACATGATAATCCGAAATATAAAATTAAAAGTAATAATTTATCTTTTTTTAAGTTTTCGGTCTGTTTCGTGTTGAGTTGGTTCAAATTTCGGGTGACTTGAAACTAATTCACGTCAATCTGAACCAGATTCAAAAAAATTCGTGGCGTTTTCGAGTCTAAAGTTTCAGGTCAAATTTTGGATTCGAGTCAGGTTCGGATCGATAGTTTTTTCTGTTTATCCCATAACTCAACCCAACACAAACACAACCCAAAAATACCGAAAATACGAATTGACACCTCTAATTCTCTCTATTTTCTTGTACTAAGCATATATAGGTGGAGTCGGCGAGGCAGGGTAATTTGGGAATTTGACATTTGAGAATGGTCAACGAGAGAGGAAGTTCCATCTCTACCCCTAGAATCTACTGTTCTAATGATGTACATATAATAATTAATTAGTGTATTAAATATAGAGATATGCAAATTAATTGACCGCCTTGCCTAATTATTTTATAGTGATGTTTGACATTGAAAAAAAAATTTACAATATTTGTGATTGGTTCTTGTTGGTGGACTGAAAATATGCCCCGATTATTTTGGCGTATAATTTCAACCATGACGTGGAATTACAATGCAATTTGGACTTTCTATGAGATTTATCCTGTTATCTTCTTTGACCGTTGAAATTATAGTGTGTACATAAATAATGTTGGAGATTTTTAGGTTAATGATTGTCTTAGGATTTATGATAATTTTTTTTAGTTGTTATTCTATTAGGTAAATTTTTAGTCGAATCTAATATCCTGCAAATCAGGTCTGACGGAAAAATCACACTGGGCGAATCATACGTGACAGGTGACTTAAGGCGTCGGACTTTTGAATCCATAATCTCACGGTCACAAGTCCAGCCCCTACACCACCGTACCATTTCTTACGGGACTAAGATTTATGATAATTAGTAGAAAGGGTTATGATAATTATACTTTATATTTGTTTTTTTTTATTATTATTATTATTTTAAATAATTACAGATGTGATGGGCCACAGCTCTATAGAGAGAGTCGTAATGGGCCGCATAGGTCAATTTCTTACAACAGATCAAAAGAGTTAAAGTCGCGTTTTCCAGATGCTTCTGTCTGCAGCAAAACATGCCTAAAGTCGCTAAATCTACTTATATCCTATTAAGGAAATGTCCAAACCACCCTTATCTGGAAATAATATGACGATCATACCCCCGCCTGGCAACTGCAGCATCAGTTATAATTTCTTACACTATTGTTTGTGTACGAAGAACTAACGCCGTGTTTGGCAGACCCTTTTTCAGACATTCTGGGTTATGCATGGATATTAAATGCTGTGGTGAATTTGAGATTACAATCAAATAAATGCATCCAGTGTCTTATTCTGTACATAAATTTCTGGATTTTGTAAATTTTTATTTTTATTTTAAACATATTTTTAGGTGTTTTGAATTCAAATTATGTATAATGAAAATTATTGCACACAAAATGTAAACAAACGCACCTGTAGATGTGATCCACTGCCAAACACGGCACTAAGTTGTAGTTACAAGCGAATGACAACTATTACTAAAAAAAATAAAAATAAAAAATTGCAAAATATTTAATTCATTAGCTGGAACTTTATATTTTATAGCGACATCTGATGATGACGTTGTAACCTTTATTATTATTATTATTATTTTATTTTATTTTTTTTGTTTTTACAAAGTTGACTAAATCTTGATTAGTCTTAATAGTAATTTTTATTTTGGGGACTGTGCTTAGTTGTGTTTTAATAATCTTTTATTTATTATTACGAAATGTGATGCCAAGATTAAATTACCGACACTTATAATAAGTTAAATATCACGGATAGCATATAATAAGTAATTTATATTAACATAACGTAAATATATATGATAGTGTATATTAACATTGTATATAATATTATTGATTTCAATACATACAATACACTATCATACTATAAATGCTAAAGAATAACTGTACTGCACCTAACATAATAAATACCCTTACAATTTACAATATATTAAACAAATGTCATTATTTTTATAATATACCATGCTAATAGGGGTATTTTGTTTTTTTAACTATAAACTAATACTCCCGCCGTCTTACGTTGGATGTTTGGATCACTGTATACACGAGAATTTATGATAATTATAATGAATAGATAATTAAGAATGTATTAATGAAAATAATTATTATATAATATAAATAATTATAAATTAAGATTAAGTTAACTCATTCATTTAATTAAAATTAAAAAAATAAATTAAAATAATGTATAATTTTTTTTTAAAAGAAAGTAACATGAGATATGTGGAACAAACGATAATATGGACATTGTAAGTGGAACAAAGACAGTATAGTATTAATATTAAAAAATTTATAACAAAAAAACAAACAGTGCTTCTATTTCAGGAAAGATGGAATATAATATAACAAAATATATAAAATAACAATACATATCAAATTGTTATTTAAATATTATTATCTCTTACTTTCTTTTGAAAAGCAAATGTATATATTGTTAGGATAATCCACACAAATTTCAATAAAATTGAATAATAATAATAATTATTATTATTATTTTTATAGTAAAAAATATAATAATTATTATTTAAAAAAAATAAGAATATTTTTTGATAAAAAAAAATGAACATATATTTTGGAGAATTATTTTAATTTGAACATTTTAAACTAAAATAAAAATTGGATTACTCAAATCCAACGGCTAACGATTACCGAAAGACAAAATCCAACGGCCAATAGAGGGTACAACCAAATCGGTGCGAAAAATTTTACGCGCCGCCTATACAGCACACCCGGCGTATTTTAGCGGACGGCTCCGCTGGTTTTCGGCCAGAGATTTTATTGCGGTGAATCGTCGTATTATTACTACAGGTCTCGTATTCGGACAATAGAACTTCTTCGCCATAGCCCCCATCATCTCATATTCATACATATAGAGATAAAAGAAAAAGCTTTTTTCATCGAAATAGATACATTCCCCAATTAAAGTCGCTTCGTGCATCCTGATCTGTACAGATTTGTAGAAAACCCTAGAAAATTTTAATCTCCGCCAATCACACCTCGATTGCAGCCTGGATTTCTCTTACATCACTTATTGATTTTCATTCTTCTGTCTCAACACCCTCTGCTCTTATCTCGTGCATTCTGAAATCACTGGATTGGACTTCGAGTTGAATGCCGAGTGTTAATTCCTGTCTGGATTTGCAGAACGACATCGGCTGATTGGGGGTGGAGAGTATTTTTATTTTACTTCAGCTTAAGTTGTCTCCACGATTGATTCCTGATTCGATTCGATTCTGTATGTTTTTTTTTGTTTGCTCTGTTGTTTGTAAAGATCTTCCGGACATTTTCGGAGGAATCGAACTCATGTTAGAGTTCTAACATCTTATTAATGCAGTAGTTTCTGTTTGATTGATTACCTGCTGGTTTCTATACTGTTTTTTATGATCTTGTTTGTTTGGGAATTGGAATTGAATGGGAATAATTATTGAGGTGTGGGTGAAAAAGGGGAGATGAGATCGAGAGGTGCGATTTCACGATTTAGGGTTCAGCAATGACTACAGGGTCATTAGGTCTTCGATCCTCCGGCAGCTATGGATCATTACAGCAGCAGTTTCAGAACGGCGGCGCATTGCCGCCGAATCAGGGCACGCCGCCGCGGAAGCCTGGGAAGATGCTAAAGGATAAGGACAAACTTTTGTTCCCCTGGATCTGCAAATCAGCTCCGAGGAACAAGGTCGGAATGCTGCTCTTGTGCCTCGTCTCCGCGGCCGTTTTCGGATGGGTTTTGTACGTTGGCAAAGGTAGTTTAGCTTTGTCCTATGAACAGTTTGATTTTGCTGTAAGGTTATTGTGACATTGATTGAGATCAAGGTAATGTACTAATGTGGTCTGTGTTTATGTAATCTGTATGTTTTTCTGATCAGGGGAAGATGCTCAGGACACCATCGATCGAAGTATAAGTATCGAAACCCGGCCGTTGGCGATATCCTACTTGTCCGAAGGCTTGAATTTGACGGCTCCACCGGCTGCGCTTTTTACCGGATACACGCTTCCTCCGGGGAATCCTTGCGATGGTTTTACATTGCCTCCACCGCCAGCCGATAAGAAAAGGACAGGCCCTCGCCGTGAGTTCTTTACGAGCATTTCTTTATGCGAATTGGATGTATGTTATTACATACTCTTTGATTTATAAGGTGTTGTCTGGTGCTCTTACAGCGTGTCCGGTTTGCTACCTTCCTTTGGATGATGCTATTGCTCGTATACCGAATGCGCCTTCATTCTCACCGGTAATTCAAAACTTGACGTATGTTTATGAGGAGAGTTTGTCTAAGTCTGAATTTGGGGGTTCAGAGTTCGGCGGATATCCTTCGTTGTTGCAGAGGAACGAGTCGTATGATATCCGTGAATCAATGACTGTGCACTGCGGGTACGATAGTTGTCTTGGTGTGATTTGTTTGTTCGAATTATTTAAGACAGTTATGTAATAATGTTTGTTTGTGAACTTGTGGAAGGTTTGTCCGAGGAGCGAAGCCGGGTCGTAAGACAGGTTTTGACATCGACGAATTTGATCTTTCCGAGATGGAGACTTGTCATGGGGTGGTTGTGGCGTCGGCAATCTTCGGTACCTTACCCTTCACCCGCTCACATTATTTTTATTTTTTCGTCATTAATTATTAACGTTGATGCCGTGTTCTTGTCAAGGCGCCTTCGATGTAATAAGACAACCGAAAAACTACAGCGAATATTCGAAAGCGAAAGTCTGCTTTCACATGTTTGTCGACGAAGAAACCGCGGCTTTTCTGCAAAACTCGAGTGAGATTGGGAACGATAAGAAAGTCGGGCTGTGGAGAATCGTCGTTGTTCGAAACTTACCTTATTCTGATCCGAGACGCAACGGGAAGGTAAAATGATCGTATCCGAATTTCACTCATTTACAATTTCGGGTTCGAGCTGAGATTTGCTAGTCGTCGATTTATCGACAGATTCCAAAACTTCTACTTCATCGCCTTTTTCCCAATGCTCGCTACTCATTATGGATCGATGCAAAACTTGAGCTGGTCGTGGATCCGATTCAAATTCTTGAGAGGTATAAAATTTGACATACGTGTTTCGGTAGTTCTATAGATTCTTATGTTTTACTGTAAGCCAAGTCGAACATTTCTGTTATGTAAGGTTTTTGTGGAGGAAAAACGCGAGCTTTGCAATATCAAGACATTATAAGCGTTACGATGTTTTTGAAGAAGCCGAGGCCAACAAGGCTGCGGGAAAGTACGACAATTCTTCCATAGATTTTCAGATTGAATTTTACAAGAAGGAAGGCTTAACGCCGTATTCTTTAGCGAAACTGCCTGTTACAAGCGGTATGGTTTCGCCACTCGACGTTTTTTTCTTGCATATACATTACATTAAGTATACTCTGCTACGCTAGATTATATAATTCAGCACAGTAACTATAGTCCGAATAACGACCAACGCTCCTGGCATCCCGTTGTCCAGATGTTCCGGAAGGATGTGTAATAATCCGGGAGCACATTCCGATCTCGAACCTCTTCACCTGTCTATGGTTCAACGAAGTCGACCGGTTCACCTCCCGGGACCAGATAAGTTTCTCCACCGTGCGTGACAAGATCCGGTCGAAGACTAATTACAGTGTCAACATGTTCTTGGATTGCGAACGGCGCAACTTTGTCGTCCAGGTACCGATAACAACTCTTCTTGTCTTACATAAGTTATGTCACAATCCTAGGTTGTCAACCGGCATGTCTCGACTCTTGCAGGGCTACCACCGGGACTTGCTCGAGCAGTTGCCGCCGCCTCTGCCTACCGGCAGCGATGCTGATATCCTTCCTCTGCCGCCGCCGCCGCCGCCAGCGGTGATCTTAACAGGACAACACCGGCGCAACCCTGTCCCGCGGCGAGGCCGGGAGAGACGGCCGCGGCGGCACCGGAAAGTTATTACCGGTTATAGAGATGGTAATAATATTACCAATTAAAAGGATTTTAGTGAAAGGCAAAGGTTACATTGTCGAAGCTGTTCCTTCCCTGTGTCTGAGGGGTTAGGAAACTTGCAGAGTGTTTATAGTTATAAAATTTTACATTAAAATTAATCCTTCGTTTTTGTTTTTATTTTTGCTTACAGATGTATTAATTTGTCTATTTTTTAAATGTACATACGAGATTATATGGTAATTGTTGGATTATTTTTCATTGTTACATCACTTGGGTTTTTTTGTCTTCATATATTAAACAGTGTTGATTTTGTATTTTAATTTTATTTATTTAGATTAATAATGATTTATATATTAAAATTTGAAAAATAATACTAGTATAATTTTATAAAATTTCAAAAATACTTATTTAAATTATTATATAAATAAAACTTTAATTTATAATCACAATCAAATTCCAGAATAAAAAATAAACATATTGTAAAGAAACAAACATAGGCACCCAATGACGAAATGCGGTATCGCCACGAAAATAAAAGTGCTATTGCATTAAACGCGACTCTTAAATTTAACTGTAGAGTGTAAACCCTAAATCGAACGACCGCTCAAAACCCTGCGGGCGTTACCACAAGCATCAATGGCGAATCGACGGTGTGTTCACACCCTAACGCGCATACTTCAATCGGTAAGGACAATAGCTCCTTTGTCCCAGGGTCTGAACCCTGCCTTCGCGCAAGGCCAAATCTCGGCGTCGAGACAGAGGTTTTGTGTTTTGCGGAACAATGCTGATGTTTATCCCCAATGTGGTGTATTCTCGCGGCACTTTTGTTCAAGGCACAGCGATAGTGAAAATGATGATGATGGTGAAGATGAAGAGAGCGAAGGAGAGGAAATTGACGGGCAAGACGAGGACGTCGTTTTGTCGCCCGAGGATAAAGTAAAAGAAGCTGCTGAAATCGGGTACAGAGTCGTTGGTCTGCTTCAGGAATCAGACCGAGTTGTCAAACCTTACGAGCCTGTATTCGCAGTTGTTCAGGTGACGATCCATTGATTTCTGGTTCTCGTTTCGTGTGTGCGTTTCTTGTATTTAACTAAGATTGAAGTAGTTTCTGTCTTTACTTGAAATGTTTAGATTGGATCGCATCAATTCAAGGTGAGCAATGGCGATTCAATTTTCGTCGAGAGGTTGAAGCACTGTGATATCAATGACAAGGTCAGTGTTCTGTGTTGCGTTAATTATACTGAGTGCCAAATATAATTTTACTGATTACCTTTAGAGTGTGTTTGTTGATACCATTGGAAAAATTCATAAAATTAAAGTCGAAACCCTCTCAAATGTACACCAGGCTAGCCTTTTTTACTGGATGTTTCTTGTTTACATATTATACTGACAAAATTCATGAAAATGATATCTAGAAAGCTTTGAGCTTGTATATTAGAATTCTTGTTAAGTGTTTGTTTTTATCATCGTGATGGGGTTTGGCTTTAAATCGAAGCACCTTTAAGTTTTCTTCTTGTTGAAAACTTCTCCTAATGACATTGCTTAAGTTATTTTACAAGCTGTTTTCATTCTATAATCAATTGTTTCGTGACGATTCAGCTCACACTTTACATGTTTTCATATCAAGATTTCTTAGTGTGTTTACATATATAATTCGCAATAGTAAATCACCATCTATCATGTCAAGGAACTTTGTTTAGAAATTCATCATCTATATCCTTTTGTGCATTAAGAATAATCATGTCTTGGCGGTTATGGTATCTTCTCAGACATCTATATGTTTGATTAAAATATTTGTTATCTTGTTAGTGGTAGGAAATGTTAGTTACACACGGTAAATGTGGATTGCTGCTACTTAAACTAACATCTTGTGTTTTATTTCTTGCAGCTGGTTCTTAATAAGGTTCTTATGCTAGGTTCACAGACACAGACAATGATAGGTCGTCCAATTTTGCCTGATGCAGCTGTTCATGCTATTGTTGAGGAGCATGTAAGACAATTTAAGATTGTTTTTTATGCTTAAACAATTAGGTTTGGTTATCTGTTACTAAGTATTTTCAGCTGAAGTAGTTCTTGACTGCTGTGATTAGACCTCCAAATGTATGTATTTGATGGACAGATAATGTGTGTCGGGCTTAAGAAGTATCAATTTTCCACTTGCCCCTCTTGCCATCTTAGAATTTATTAGTATGTTCGGGGTTCAACTATGAAGATCTTTATTTGATTATTCTACATAAAAACCTTGATTAATGGTGCTTGAATGGTTCTGGATGGAACACTAGTTTAATTTTCTGTAATTCTAATGACTCCACTCTGATCTACTTTATGCTCTCTTTAGACCGAAGTTTTGGAAGTTTGGTAGTTTTGGATAAGTAAAAAAATTGTAGTTGCTACGATAGTTTTTAAAAAGTTGTTGCAGTAAGTTCGTAAAGTATCTGTGTAAATAGAGCTATTATGGAGACATTTGAGGAAAATTCCCTTCCATCGAGAACCAAAGCTTTTGTGATTAAGAAACGTTTCTTTTCCTTGCAGGCATTAGATGCAAAAGTGATCATATTCAAGAAGAAGAGAAGAAAGAACTATAGAAGAAAAAAGGGTCATCGACAGGTAATTGAGATGAGTGGCATCGGTTTCAACTTCTTACCAACTTTCGCATCCTTTTTCCATCAATTGATTAGTTCACAATGGCTCATTTTCAACCATTTACAAATAAATTGTCTTCAGGAATTAACCAAGTTGCGGATAACAGACATAGAAGGGATTGAGAAGCCAAAAAGGACTACAGTCTCAAAGACGACTAAGAAAGATAAGCCCGACAAAAAGATGGCTGTTGAATCGTAACAAAAAATTCACGGTATCCAAAATTCGACATCTCTTGTGTTCAAATTCTCCAGGCTCCCTCCCACTGCATTGCATAAACAAAGGCAATGCACCTTGGATACAATTTGAAGGATTTTCGACCCATTTTGTTACAAGGTTACAATTAGCAGTGGAGGTGATTTGAATTCTCTGCAATAAAATCATTTTTTCCCTGAAAAACTGCACACATATTTATATACATATATGTACTTAGAGCTCAAAGCTGTCTTAGATTTCTGGTTCATTTTATATTTCATGTAGGAGGAACAGATTTATGCAGCCCAGTTTTGGCATGTCCAAAGTATTCGTATTTGCTGTCAGAAATTTGTTTTGAGATTGTAGTTGTGTAGAATTTGGTTCGGATTTTGTCTAAGTTTTTTTTTTTATTATTTGTTTCATTTTAAAGTATTCTATCTCTCTGGTAAAAATAATCACACTCTAATAAAATATCATTAAATTTTTTATTATCTCTTTCGGTAAAAATAATCACACTCTAATAAAATATCTTTAAATTTTTTAGCTAAATTACAAATGGGGGGAAGAAGTATATTTTATTGAAAATTATATCCAATGAATGGTTTTGATTTTAGTTTGAAATATTAAAAAAATAAACCCTAAAGTCTCGGTTTTTCTTTAATAAAAATACAGTAGTTATTAATATACAAATTATTGCATTTAACACATCTAAATTATGTGTATGTTTTTTTTTTCAATATAATTTTTTGTTATTATTATTTATTATGTAAAATAGCAATTTCAAATTCCATAAAAATACTTATTATTTTATACAAAATACTTTCAAAATAAAAAATAAAATCAAATTGCCGATAAACACACAATTATCGCATTGTTTCCGATCCCAATTCCAATATGGAAACTTCCCTTCAATACAAAATCATTTCTAAATCTGCATGAAGGCGTCCAGGCCCACGGCCACCCACCCAGATAATTTGGGCAGAGAATTTTCAGGAAACTTGGCGGAAAACGCCACCCCACCCCACCCACCGACACATCGATAATCCTCCCCACCCCGTCGCCTTGCTTTTCTTGATCATCATCATCAGGAGCAAGTACGTTCGAGGCTTTTTTTTCACACGTTGATCAAACCTAAATAGTAAATTAGCTCGGTTCGTTGTTCCAAAACAGTGTGCTTCAGTTGCGGTGCCGACGAATGAGAGAGATTATGAGGCGGAAGGTTCATCCACCGAATGGGGGGAAGCTCGGAAGGGATGAATTACCACCAGGTATTCGAATGTAAATTTCCTCCCGCTCGATTTCACCCTTGCCGATGCGATTTCGCTGAAAGCTCAGATTCAATCCTCTTCACCTATGGAGATTCTCTTCACTCCACCTCCTTCACGGAGCCCTATTATCTCTGCCAGAACGCTCTCCTTTTCAATTTTCCCCAAATTCGCCGCAATCGTCTTGTTCCTCCATTTGCCCTTAACTTGCTCCTCCGACGAAATCTCGTATTCCGATCATTGTAGCGCCGTCGTTCCAGATCCGCCGTCGCTTCCGGAACCCAACCATCCGATTGACGAGCGGAGTTTTCTAGATCTTCGAAATGCCTACGTTTATCTCAATGGAAGCACTGCGAAGCAGGCCAATTCCGTAATTCCTAGGTCTCTCTCATTAAATTCCTACAGAGCGTACAGGACCGGGAAAGACGCTGTGTTCAGAATCGAAGCATCCTTAAGCCTCACCGGAGTGCAGTACTCTCGTAAAATTACTCGCAGAGGTTTGCGCCTTGTGCATATCCGACCGCCGAAGATACCATTGAGGAGAGGCAATTCCTGGAATTCGATAAGTTTTATGGTAAAAGGAGTTTGGGATTCGATTGCAGGGAAGCTCTGTATGGTTGGGTCTGGGGTGGATAAATTGAGCTCTAGCCATGTCGTATTGAAGCTTGATTATATGAATTCTTCGAATATATTCACTGCTTTAGTCAATGGGACATTGGAAAGTGTAGGTGCAAAGAACAAGAGTGAATTTAACCTTGATTTGATTTCTATACTTGGTGTTCAAGGTAGGTATTATGAGTATGGTTTGATTGATAAAGAAGTTGAAAGCAATGGATTTTCGATGTTGGATGATATGTCGAATGTTTCTTTCGGATTAGAGGAGTTGGATCAAAAGATGTGTACATATATTCAGTTTTCTGGCACAATTGAGTTGGAATACGAGAGTGATTGCTTCGGTGTGAGTTGCAATATTCTTGGGAGAGAGAATGGTAACTTCACACCAAGTATGATGTACTTTGATGTAATAGAATGTTTAGATGACGGTAGAGTGAGGGTTCTTTTAGTATTTGGGGATATTGTGCATAATGTGTATCGACTGCCATTTCAGCCGAATGTGACTTTGATTAGCGAAGGGATTTGGGACGAAAAGAGAAAGAGGCTTAACATGGTTGCCTGCCGTATTTCTACTAGTGGAGAATATGGTTTTGTAAGAGACTGCTCTATCCGGTTAAGTGTGAGATTTCCAGCAAGACTGACATTGAGAGATAGGAGTGCCGTAGTCGGAGAATTGTGGAGCAGTAAGAGTGCTAATGAGTCGGGGTATTTTGGCAGGGTGTCGGTGTTAAGTACGAAGAACAAGAATACTAGGTCTGGTCGATTGAAGTATGAATACACAGAGATTGAGAAAGCGGGCAGAGCTTGTGCGAACAAGACAGTACAGAAGGGAGGAGGGGTTTACCCTGGTCCATATTCATCTGATATGAGATTCGACCTGGATGGCAGGAACAAGAAAGTGCAGGATCTATGGGGTTATGCTTCACCGTATTTTGTGGATAATTGGTTTTATAAATTATCTTCAGCTTTGGCGAGGGAAGCGGATCCTAATTGGCAAGGAAAACAGAACTTAAGTGATGTGACAAATATCAGCTATGTTCTGAGCCTGTCGTATCCGGTCGATTTTGAGCTGAGCCGGGAGCATAAACAGATCAAGACGATTGACATTTCTGCTGAAGGAACGTATAACTCTAAAACTGGGCATCTTTGCATGACGGGGTGTTTGGATGTTGTGTTGCCTATTGGAACAGTACGTCGAAAGTCACTTTTGGATTGTAAAGTTCTGGTCGACATCCATTATTCTCCGCTACATGATAAAAAGCGAAATTCTATAAAGGGGACGATTGAAAGCACACGGGACAAGTCTGATCGTTTTTATTTTGAACCTTTTGCCATCACTGCAAATTCTATTTATGCAGGGCAAGCCAAAGAAACGATATGGAGAATGGATCTTGAGATTGCCATGGTTCTCATCTCGAGCACTCTTTCGTGTATTTTCACAGGTTTACAGCTGTTGCACGTTAAAAACCATGCAGACGGGGTGCCGTTTATCTCAGTCGTAATGCTTGTTCTTCTCACTACGGGACATCTGATCCCTCTGCTGCTGAATTTTGAGGCCCTCTTCATGAACAGCCACAGCAACGTAAATGCCCGTATTGATAGCGACGGATGGCTTGAAGTAAACGAAGTTTTTGTGAGGGTAATAACCATGGTGGCTTTCTTGCTGGAAGTTCGCCTTCTCCAAGTGACCTGCTCTGCAAGATCCGGTGACAGAAACAGGGAGAACCTCTGGAAATCGGACAAGAAGGTTCTATATCTGTCTTCGCCATTATACATCGGCGGTGGTTTGATTGCGTGGTTTGTACCCATTTTAAAGAATCGTTCTCTTTGGGGCGGCTTTAAATCCTACGCCGGATTGATATTAGATGGGTTTCTGCTCCCTCAAATGCTCTTTAATATATTCTCGGACTCGAATGTTAAGGCTCTCGCCACTCCCTTTTATGTAGGAACTACACTTGTTCGCTTGCTGCCCCATGCTTATGACCTTTACAGGTCCCGAAGTTCCATTCTTTCATTCAATTATATATATGCAAATCCGAGACTGGACTACTATTCTACTGCCTGGGATCTTGTCATATCGATCGCTGGCCTAGTGTTTGTTGCCGTCATTTACTTGCAGCAACGATATGGTGGGCGTTGTCTTCTACCAAAGGCACTATGGCAGAAGTTCTCCTATGAGAAAGTACCAGTATCTACTACTGTATAATATCTAAAGTGGATTCTTCCTCATTTCTCCGGCAATGAAGATATGATTTAGCACACTGCCGTGGCTCAGGTTTTCTTGAAATTCTGTTTCTAATAGTTTTTACATAATCTAGTTTCCCTGCATATAGATTCTTGGTACTTTATGTTGTTAAGAAATGAAAGGATTTAACTTTTCTCTAATACAATTTATTCGAGTTTCTTCGATGTTCTTGGTGATTTGTGTTGATCTTTAACTTTTGCAGATATATTTGCTTTCATTCATTATAGGATCTTACAGCCCTAATCCTTAATTACAAATGCGAGTACTATGATTGGCTTAACATAACATCCATGTCTAGAGAGTGAGAAAGAAAGATCTTTTGTGATGATTCTTTCCTTACATTACTCGTATAGGAGAACACATAATAATATCATGTATCGAATACACAAAGGTGAATAGATGATGAATTCTCTAACTAGTGACACTGAAAAGATTCTTGACATTGTGAAGTGAGTATAGTAGTATGAGGAAGTAAACTATTGTAGCCACAAAGGTTGCGATAAGGGCACCTCCGACATGATCACAGAACTTAGGAACTTGGTCACAGATTGGCAGCCATCCGGCGTGGCTGTTCCCGTTCTTCCCCACTTGCCCTATAGCTAAACACGCCGATATGCTTGAATCTAGCAGTAGTGTTATAATCTGGAAATAGAGAACATGGCTAATTAGATTACAGAAGAGTATGGATTTCTGATAATTCAAAATGGAACTGCTTTACCAAATCTAGAACCAAGATGTAGCGACCACATGAAGTCTTGGATTGGAAAAAGAGCACGATAAGTGTGTAGCCGCTAGATATTGCATTGATCACTATGAAGTATCTGTACCACCATAACAATCTTTAAACTTGGAAAAAAAAAAAAAAAAACTCTAATGTGAATTAATGTGTGTAGTTTTGGAGAATTGACGTACTTGAATGCAGGCGTATTCGAATACTTGGCTTCAAATTTCATGTTGAGAACGGTAGCAGAGTCATGGCTGGTGACCATGACCACTATTGCACACACAGTGGCACTTAAGGCTAAGAACCTCAGCACAAACAATGGAATCCTCTTGGACATACTCATCCTGTGCAGGATTACTGTCCTCTCTCTCTCTCTCTCTCTGTCTGTCTGATTATTATTGAATCAAATTGATGTCTGGTCTGGTTTGTAATAAAAAGAGGGGTAGAATGTAGAAATAGATGATGAGTTAGGGATGACAGATGAAGTGGGCTGTGTTGTCTTCTTCTTCATGGTGTTGGTAACCTACTGAGGGAGGGATCTGCCCTTTTCTCAAACTCTTCCATCACTCACTTCCATCTGTTGTCATTATTATTATTCTTATTATTATTATTGCATTAATTGTGGTTTTAGTTAACTTTTAGTATTGTTTGAGATGATTTTGAAGAAGGGTGATATCATTGTCAGGTGTTACAGCTCAGGCAGAATAGTGGCAGAGCTGCAGCAAAAACAGGTCTCCTATTGTATCTGTAAGTTCAACTACTTAACCACACAATACTTTTGTAAGATCTTTCATGCGGTATGATATGGTATGGTTGATTTTCTTTATATATATAGTCCAAGGGTTAGGTGTAACATCAAGATATTTTTGAAATGAAAATGCACGTGTTATGGTGATCATCATTTATTTATTCTTTTATTATCATCAGTATTCTTCTTGTTGTTGATTAAAGTCTCAAAGACATGTATGTTTATATTTTCAGGGATACTTGTTCCATTCTGTTACACTTAAAAAAAATTGGTAACAAAGTATTTGATATATATGCGCACACACACACATACACACACGGGGTTTTCCATAATTTTGTATTGAATTTGTATTCGTGCCCAAGTAATATATATTAAATGCATAAACACTTTCTAACCACATCAAAAGGATGGAGAGTCCTTATCTTTGATCAAATCAAGCCACTTATCTACCCTAATTTTGCCCACATAACTTAAGGACATTAGGGACTCTCTTACCTCCTCTATCCTATCCCCATTGCCATTTTCGACATGATCCAAGCAAGAAATCAGTGTCTCCTTATGAGATTTAAACCTTGGGGGGCATATCAAAATTGCCCTCTTCAATGCATCAATTGCTTGATCCACTTGATTACTTGCCAAATAACCTCTAGCCAAATGACCCCATGTCATTACAACCGGATCCCCGCCTTTCGACACTCCATCGTCAAACAAAGCTTCAGCCTTCTCCATATCACCTTGCGCGCAATACGCCTCAATCAAGAAGTTCACAACCCGGAAATCATAATCCAACCCACACGACTCCCACTCCTCGTAGATCTTCTTCATCCCTTCAAAGTCACCAAACATTCTAAGCGCATACATCATTTGAATGTAAACTTTAGTAATTGGTTTGCTACTTTTCTTGTAAAGATCCCAAACCCGGTATAGCCTGTCCTTGCTTCCAGCTTCGCCGTATAACTGAAAGAGCATAGCAAACAATATGCGTTTAGGCTTACACACCAATGCTTGCTGCTCTAACATCTCGAGTATGGCCAAAGCTCTGTCCTTCGCGCCCGCTCTCAAGTAACCCTGCGCTGCTGTGATGCGTGTTCGCCACTGCATTATGGATCCTGGATTCTGATCCATCTTCGCGACAATTTTATCAAGTCCTTTAGCATCATGAGACTCGGCGCAATCTTTTATACACACAGAGAGTGTGAACTGGTCATAAGGAATGCCATTTTCAGCCATTTCCTTCAGAAGATCCCTCGCCTTTGCTGTGTTGCCGAGTCGCCAGTGTAAATCCATAACAAGGTTGTACCATATTGGTTTAGTAGCATACCCTGAATTCCGAGCTTTCTCCATAAGGGATTCTGCTTTCTCAACAGATCCTTCAATGGTATAGCAGTTGAGAAGGGCGAGATAGACATGGTAAGTCCTCAGATTTTCTGGTATCTTATTGAAGTAATCCTCGGTCTGATCCAGACCAAAAACTCTGTGTATCAATTTCAATCTTGTAGCAGCATCAAAAGGAGCTAGAGTGAGGCTTCTTTTATTAGTCATCCAGAAAGATACCTGAAAAAAACAAGTACTGAAAAGCCGATTATCTACATCACTACGAATTGCTGAGTTCATGTGTTAGTTTAACCAGCAAGCACTTGCGCAGGTATCCTAACCCTAATTCGAAGAAATGAAGGAGCAACTACGTATTATTATGCCTCAATTTCATCATCAACTCGAGAAATGCCCTAACTCGGGAAACAAATCGCCTAAGGTGAAAGAGAGAGAGAGAGCTACGAACCTCGAGTGCTTGTTTGAATCTTCTATGACGGAAAAGATCCTGAATAATTTCCCGTATCTCCGGTTGGTATGCACATTTCCCTTCGGCAATCCACCGGTCAAGCGCCGGCACCACCGACAACTTCGGGTCACCCAAATGTGAGATTCTACTGAACAGATGGTCCGTACCTCGCCTTATCGTCGACGAACGGGTTGAATATAAACAGTGTTGATAGACGTGCATTCTTCGATAAAAACTATGCGCCTTTGAATTTAAATAGCAAGAAATGGAGAAGATCTTCATCGACGAGACGGCGGAGGAATCACACCGCCGGTGACGGTGAAGTAGCGGCCGATTTGATTTGGGACCGAATACTGGGCTTTGTTACATTTCAAGGATGGGCACCATAATTGTTGGGCTGAAATATTGGCCCAAATATTCTATTGTTGGGCCAATGTGTGGCCCATTAAAAAATATACTCTTTAGTCCTTCCAGGTTTTCTTTATTAGCATTTCAACCCCGATGGAGTCATAAACCCTCCGAAAAACCTCCCGGCGAGCAGGGTCGTTAATCTCCTTCACAAACTCTCTCTCATTTGGAAATTTGCAGAGGTTGAAATTGGATTCGATTTCCGATATGCTGTCCAGTGCGCGCGAGATCAGAGGCTTAATTCGAAGGCACGTTGTCGGCGATCACTGCTACTACACGAATAGCAAGCAGAAGAGCAAGGCATCATTATACGGGAGAATCAGCCCCATGGGGAGCCCTACCGTGAATGTAACTCCAGAGCTAGAAAAATGGGTTGAAATGGGAAATAAAGTGCGATTCGCGGAGCTTCAGCGCATAATTGTGGACCTCCGAAAGCGTAAACGTTACAACCAAGCGTTACAGGTACTACACTTCGATTTGTTCATTTTTGCCTTTTCTGGCGAATAAGTCGATGAATGGTTGAAATTTGAAGCATGTTGATGCTATTTGGTGTTTTCCCCCATATTCTAATAAATGGATGTGGCTTCTGTCATTTGTGGTTACTGTTTTGGTTCTGGCTGTTTTTGCATAAATTAACATTCTCTTATTGGTTTGCTTGCTGCTAGTAGATTTCATCACGGATTGCTGAGCGAAGTGATATTTTATAGTAGTAATTTACATCTGCATATAGCTCTGAGTTTGAACTCAACTGGCTGAGCTACAGAGAACAAGCCAACAGTCTCTAGGGCTTTGAATTTTCTTGGTTGTTTGCTCCCTAATATTGTGAAATGCAATGCAGGTTTCCGAGTGGATGAAAAATAGAGGTTTTGCATTTACCCCGGTGCAGCACGCCGTGCAGTTGGATCTGATTGGTAAGGTTCATGGGTTCGAATCTGCAGAAGACTATTTCAGTAGCTTGAGTGAGGAAGACAAGACTGACAAGGCTTACGGTGCTCTGTTACATTGTTATGTCAGGCAGCGCCAAACGGAGAAAGCACTGGTGCATTTTAATACCATTAAAGAGAAGGGTCTTGCTTTATCTTCTGTAGCTTACAATGACCTTATGTGTCTCTACTCCGATATTGGCAAGAACGCTGAGATCCCTGAAATCTTTAACCAGATGAGAAATAACGGTTGTCAGCCTGACAATTTGAGTTATCGAATCTGCATCACTTCATTTGGTGCGAGATCTGATATCAAGGGATTGGAGAGCATCCTGAATGAAATGGAATGTGATGCCAATATTGTCATGGATTGGAATACATATGCAGTCGTGGCGAATTTCCTTGTTAAAGCTGAGCTCAAAGACAAGGCAAATAGCATCCTTGAGAAAGCCGAAGGTATGCTGGACAGCAAAGATGGACTCGGGTATAACCATCTTATCTCGCTCCATGCTCGAATGGGAAACAGAGACAAAGTTTTGAGTTTATGGTGTCTTGAGAAGGATAACTGCAAGAGATGCCTTAACAAAGATTACCTAAACATGCTGGATTCCTTAGTAAAGCTCGACGAGCTTGAGGAAGCCGATAAAGTGCTTAAAGAGTGGGAGTTATCCAGAAATTGCTACGATTTCCGGGTGCCCTCTGTTGTCATTGTTGGATACATCGAAAAGGGCTTGTGTGGAAAGTCTGAAGAATTGCTTAGAGACTTGGTTGGAATGGGGAAGGAAACAACACCCAATATTTGGGGTAGGCTGGTAATAGGTTATCTTGAAAAAGGCAAGATGGATAATGGATTGGAGTGCCTAAAAATGGCCATATCTTTATGCGAAGCCTACAAAGGGGCAAAGATTGGTGATAAAGTTGTCACAAAGTTACTAAAATTGGTTGGTGAGAAAGGTAGACTTGATGATGCTGAGAAAGTAGTAACTTGGTTGAGATCAGCCATCCCATTGAGAAGACATATGTATAAAACATTTCTGAATTCCTACATTACCAGCGGTGGTGAGGAGAGAGAAAGAATCCTAGACATCTTGAAAGCTGATAAATATGAAAAAGATGAAGAATTCTTAAAGATTCTTGAAGCAGCTTAGATAGTTTAAGTGATGTTGCCATTTGTACACCTTTCAGGTACCCTTCTAAGTGTTGGATTAAATTTTGTATAAAGTGGGGATCCATTTCAATGGCAAAACATTTGCAAAGACATCTGAAAATTCTCATAACCACAAGCAATAATGGCTGAACAAAACCTCACACAGAAGCACTGGCCATGCGTTCATAAGTTTTGACAGAGTTCTAAAATAATAATCTCACCTATAGATGCAGAAATTACCTTGGCTGTGTCTCAAACACAATCCATTATAGCTGTCAAGAGGATTAAGTCTCAATTCTGGATTTACTCGGAGAGGGTAGACTTCAGCTCGCCATTACTTTGAAGCTCCAGCACAATATCACAGCCTCCGATGAACTCTCCCTTGTAGTATAATTGTGGAAATGTCGGCCAGCTTGAGAATGTCTTCAATCCCTGCCTCACCTCCTCATCAGTCAGAATATCGAAAAATCCAAATTCGATACCATCCTCCTTAAGGGCATTCACAACCTTAGAGCTAAAACCACATCTTGGAGCATCCGGGGTCCCCTTCATAAAGAGCATCACAGGAGAAGAATTTATCAACCGATTCATGCGATCCTCAAGGGTCTCACCAGAAGAGATCCCTTTCTCAGTCAGAATCTTTTTAAGTTCTCCACTCTTTTGCATTTCCAAGACGATGTCTGATCCGCCAATCAGTTCTCCACCTATATATAGCTGAGGAAAACTTGACCAATTTGAATACACTTTTATCCCTTGGCGAACTTCATCATCTGAAAGAATGTCGAAGCTCTCAAATGGAACTTTCTCCTGTCTAAGGATGTCAACAACCTTGCGGCTGAAACCACACCGGGGCTCGTCAGGCTTCCCCTTCATAAACAGCACGACTGGTGCTAAATTAATCAGGCCATGTAATCGATCAGTCAACGCTGCACTCAAGCCGGAGGCTTTAGTGATGCCGCCCTTTCCACTATCAGGTTCGGCTTTCTTTCCATCATTTGAATCAATCGTCTCTATTCCATGATCTTTAAAAATCTCAGCAAGTTCTCCACTTTCGTGCATAGAAATTGCAATGTCACAGCCACCGAGCAGTTCTCCCTTACAATAAAGCTGAGGAAATGTAGGCCAGTTTGAAAACTTCTTCAGTCCCTCACGAATTTCATTATCTGTTAAGATATCGAAACTTCCAAAGTTAACCTTTTCTTTCTTCAAGATATCAACTACTTTTTGACTAAAACCACATTTTGGTGACTCAGGGCTGCCTTTCATGAAAAGCATGATAGGCTGAGAATCAACAAGCTGCTGAAGCTTCTTCTTTAGCTGATCACCGACACCAGATTGTGACTGGCGATCATGCTGAGATCCACCATTTACCATGGCAAGCTCCTTGACTGTTTCGAGAATGGTGGGCCCTGCGGCCATCCCAAGACTCGCCGGAGCTGCAGGCTCCTGGGAACTAATTCCGCCTGCAACTTTAGCAACCTTGTTGGCCAAGCTTGAAGGATCAGCTCCTTCTAGTGTATCAACTGCTTTTCCATCCTAGTAAAACCATAAGAGGACCTAAATTAGAGAGACTGCAGATTCTATAAGCATGATAAAGTTCTTTAATGTCACTACAGTGCACTGGACGGTAAGGGTTTCAGAAGGAGGTCATTTAGATACCATCACAATTGGTGAATCTATAAAATTGTCGTAAATAATTCCATTCTTTGGATTTGAAGCAAGAAACTATTGAATTTATTTGATAGGTGGCAGATTTCATGAAATAGCTGTGCCAAACACCAAAAACAGAATATTGCATTTTGCTTGGAAATCCCTGTCGATAAGACAAGCAGTGCGGAACATGTTTGCATCAACCATACCTTGAAGAACACAAAGAAAGGCACAGCAGCAACTGAATATGCATCAGAAATTTCAGGTTGTTGTTCAGCTTCAACCTATATTATCAAAATGAAATCACTGTCAGATTCGCAGAAAGATGATGTAATGAACAAGGCATCATCTTCACTTCCTGTATTCACGTATCCAATAACCACTCAATGCTATGCTATATATAATCAAGATCGTCTGTCAAACTGCAACAAAATAAAATCAATCCTCTCAGTGCACAAACTATATATCCCCCAACTTTAACAAGGCCATTGTTCCCTTTTAAGCATCAAAAAACAACTTCTTCATCCTCCAGTCCCTCCTTTTGGAACTAATCTAAGTTTCTAAGACACCTTTTATTTTTTGTACCTTGTGAGTTCAATCTTGTTCCCTAACCCTGTAAAACGATTCAACACAAGCTATACTGAATCGTATTCAACTCGTAGCTCTAAATTATCCACACTCCACTCGAGCATCCATTTCTCGAAAGACAAAAAAACCTTAAGCAACAGGAGCAGACAGTATACCCAATCAAACAATCATAATTTCACATTTTGATCTCCCCTATACCCTTATTAAATCCCCATACAGATCTCAGAACAGCACACAAAAACCGCACCAGTGTGAAATACAACGAGAAACACAAACAGACGAAGAAAAACCAACAAAAAACACAGATATATACCCTAAGGAAGCGAGCGAGAGGGAAATCGGTAGCGAGGTGCGAAAACACTTGATCCATGTGCTTCGACGCCTCGCACCACGACGCCCAAAAGTGCAAGACCACCGGAACACCCTGAGCTACGACGGCGTCCAGTTCCGCCTTCGATTTCACATCTCCTCCACCGGCGGCCGCCATCCGATTCTAGAAACTCCCTCTCCCAATTCAAATCCGCCCTGCTCTTCTATATCTCTCCCCACCCCAACCCCCCAGCCCTAATATATATATATGAATAAGTATAACTCCCCTCCTCCTCAATAACACTAACTAAAGTCGCGTTTAACACAATCAAAGTCGTGGTCCATCTCAAAAACGCGATCTTTTTTCTTTATATCCGAATCACGACTCTTCCTCTCTCTCTCTAACGGTGAGGGAGACAGACAAATCCCACGGCGATTGAGTCAGAATCTAACAACACGTAAAATATAAGCAGCTGCTTATTATTACTACCATCAATGATGAGGTGAGTATCTCCGATCAAAAAAAAATAATAAAGAAAAAAATGATGAGGTGAGTATAGTGACACCTGTGCAGCCGCCCTCCTACTTTATTCGTAGGATGGATCGAATTCGATGCCACGATTATGATTTGGCACGGCTCCCCATTCTCTCAATCATCTCATCTCAGACAATGAAACACCGCTATAAATCGTGTTTTGTAATTATTACCACGAGCAAAGGGCGTCGTTCCCACCAACATAGCACGCGCCACGTCATCCTGTTAAATAAATAAATAAATGGACCAGGCCCAACTTATTAATAAGGGGCTGTGTAGGCCCAATTTGGATAACGGGCTTTCGAGGCCCAGAAGTGAGGAGAGGATTGGATGTCTCCACCTCAGCCTGTTAAATTAATTGGAAAGGCCCAATGTATTTAATAGTGGGCTGGGTAGGCCCAATTTGGAATAACGGGCTATCGAGGCCCAGAAGTGAGGACAGGATTAGATGTCTGCACGTCAGCCTGTTAAATAAATTGGAAAGGCCCAATTCATTGAATAGTGGGCTGTGTAGGCCCAATTTGGATAAACGGGCTTTCGGGGCCCAGGAGTGACGAGAGCAATGTATGGATGGTTGGAGAGTTACGGGGGCTGTGGCTTCGTACTGCTGATTTCGCGTTTAATCAGAGCGTACGGTCTCGGACTCAGGCGAGGATATTGATCGGAGTGAAGAGAGGAAGGATGCCACCGCAGTGGGCGCCGCCTTGCAACAGCGAATGTACCAACAAATTCGCTGCTCTAACGCAGATTCCATGTATATGTTTTTGCCTCTTTTCGCATCCGTGTTTGTGACGATGATTTTTGTTGATGTATCTCTTGCTTTTATGCGTTTTTGTTTCGGAATGGAGAAATAATTTTTTGTTTTTTATGGCGTATGTGGTTGGGCCCGTGTGGAGGTCTGCTTTTGTTCTGTTATGTGGCGTTAAAATTAAATGAGTAATCTGACGCCTTTCCTAACTGGAAGGATGGGTGCTTAAAGATCTGTTTGAATTGATTTATATTGTTTTACAATTTATTAACTCGCTGCTGCACCTGCATGACAGTTTACGTTATAGGAAATATTGTGTATGATTTCCCTTATTTGAATGGCGTTTTGTTTCTGAAATTGCATCAAACTGCTATATCTGATTTTTGCATTTTTGTAGGGAGAGTGTTTTGCAAAAAGGGGTGTGATGCTGATGGTGATACCATGGAGGAATGTAAGTTCTAGTTGGCATGTCATCTGTCTATTTCCAAACAAAATGCAACTGTGAAGTTTCATTGTATTCTAGTGCATAATCTCTTGTGTTGAATGTAAACATGGACAGATGTGCCCAATACTTCTATATCATTGCATGCAATATTGTTTTTTAACGATACTAGCGATGTGCAATAAGACGAATTCTAAGCTTTGTTGTCTAGCATGTTTGGTTCATTGCTTTCTAAATGCAAATAGAGAATCCGTCACTTGATTTATTTTCGAAAGTAGTGCTCATGATTATACATTGATAAACCATTTACTTATTTGACCAAAGTTTAAGGTTTCTTGTTTACATTGAAGTTAACAAGGAATACAATGAAAATAACTAGATGTGTATATGATATTTAGGCGTGGAAGAGTGTGATGGGATATGCTACAAAGACCCAGTTCTTAAGGACCAGCAATGGAGTGCTTATATCGATCGCTCTCCTGGTTCTGTGACCTATTCAGAGGTTTATTCAATTTTGTTGCATCAATTTTTGTTTTCTCTGCTTGTCGTATATTCAGCGGGGAAAACTATTGCAATATTTGGTTCTTATTTGTCCAAATAAAAGATTTTTGGGTTTCTTAAGGATGGTTATATTAGAAATTTCGGAGGTGTGTACCTGTAGTTCTCCTTGATTTTTCTTTTTAAAATAAGAAAAAAATCATAACAGAAGTTTAATAAGCAGAGTGTTTTTCTGTTCAGGCTCTATTATGCATTTTGATGGGGACGAAGATAGTAATGAACTAATGATGCGGAATTATTTTATGTGAGCAATGAATTTGGGTTTTTTGCATACAATTATAATAGCCTTGTTAATGTAGTAACAAAAGAGAAATCCTTTCAGAATGTTTGTGGTGTGTTCTAGACTTTGTTCTGTTTTAAAAACAAGTTTGAGAAGGCGGACCGAAAACTCCATTTATGTTAGAGTTTGATTTCTTGTCTCAATAACAAATTCCATTGATATCAATTCTTTTGTTGTACTTGACAGGAATGCTTTCGTGCTTGCGTAGCCGGATGTGGGTACAGGGTAAACAACTAAACAGCTGCTTACTTGCTTTGTCGTATGTTATTTGAATTATGTGCACATATTCATGTCTGAGAATACATGAAAGACAATGGTGGGTCATGACCTTTTAACGGAATGCATAATAGCTTTTCTGAAGTGCGCAAACTTTCTCGGCTCCCTGGCTATATTACTATTACACAAACTTTCTTGACTCATTTGAATCAATGGACGTTTTTAAACTGTCTCATTGATTTTCCATACTCCCGAATGTTTCATATTCTTGAAATATTGATATTGTTCGATGCATGTATATTGGGAGCATTCAAGTAACATATACTCATTTGGCAACAGTTTGAGATACCCACAGAGAAAGTTAGTCAAATTCAAGGACGACCACCAAAACCCCCACCTGAAAATAAACCAGACACACCCGTCGTTGATTCCAAGTCCCGGGATGCTGAGCGAGATGGGATGCCTGGTACTTCTGCATGAAGAAAGCATCAACACTATCGTGGCTCTTGGCTAATAAGTTTTTTCTGCTGCCCAAGCTTACCTCTATCGGCAACTCAGCCAAACTGTATCCCGCAAAGGTAACTGATTGTTCCATTACATGACCTTTTTATTACTGTAGATCGTATGATTTTTTTGTGGATTTACTTCCCTTTGAAAGGGTTTTTTGAGGATATTTATTGCTGATAAGAAGAAAGTAGTCTGAAATGACTTTGTAGTATTTATGATCTATATATACATTTATCTTATTGATTGTATTTTGGATTCGTGAAACTCACTCATGAATGTAATGAATTTTAAGAATTGTAATGACCATAGCTTCCATTTATTGCTCTTAATCATTATTACAATTATGGAGACCTCAAGATTGGTATTCATTCTTCTTGATAACTCAATGCAAGAAGATGATCTAAACCCCCTCCCCCAATGAGCAGGTTCAACTGTTCTATCTCTATACTCGTCATCCCTAACACATCACTATCACTGAGAAGCTTCTCATTCCTGTCACTTTCTAGTTATAAATCATGTACTTACCTGGCCCAGTAAGTGTGAAGTCTCTTTTTCGAACACCCCTCAGTAGTTTCTTGGAAATTTCCTCTGCACATGATCAGCCAAGGAGCATATATTATCAGCAAAAGAAGACAGGCACTGGTTGTGCAAATTAAGCTCACAGCGGAACAGGAAGAAGAGTGTGTGTGTGTGTGTCTGTGGCGGATACCTTAGGGTCAAATGCGGAAATGGTGCAGATATGGCTCAAGTCATCCCTGAGAGTGTTCAACTGCATCATGGGTTTGGGGGGCGTCGCTGCAACCGCGTATGGTGTTTTGATGATCAGAGTTTGGCAGGTGGAGGGGGAGGATTCATCTTCGCATTCCCATCATGTTGCTGTTCCATGGTAATCTCGAATGTACCATAACTTGTTCATTTCTTTGATGTAAGAGAATGGGACAACAAACCTTAACAAAAAGTTTATCCATTTTGCAGGTTTTTTCATGCCTTTCTTGGGGCCGGTGTTGCAATCTGTGCGATCGCCTGTCTAGGACACATTGCTGCCAACACTGCAAATTCCCTCTGCCTGTCGAGCGTATCCAAAGATATCAATAGTCTTTAAATAAAACTCACAAGAAGATAAGAATTCAGTTGAAATTTACCTAGCAATATCATGGATTGGATGGCCTTAACGAAATCACAGTATATGATTATTGTTCTGCTACTGCTCCTATTGGAGACGGTGACCGCATCCTATGTGTTTGTGAATCCTGACTGGAAAAAGGTTAGCGCTGTATTACTCCGATCCTCATGAAATCTTTCTCTTGCATATGTTTCTACGACTGCGCTCATCTTTGCCGCAGGTGCTACCGAAAGACCTGGCTGAAAAGTTAGAAGAATTCCGGGACTTTGTGGTGTCGAGTGGTGATATCTGGAAGTGGGCAGCCTGCTTGATCTTCCTAACACAGGTAAAAAAAAAAACTGAAAACCATCAAAAAAGATGTCAGGATGTGTGTCTCTAGTTGGTTCTTTTCGAAAATTGCAAGAAACATATGATTGTTTATCAAGTAAGTTATAATGATGAGCAGAGCAATGCAGGGTGTGTGCATATTATTAGCGACTGTTGTACGGAGTGATGCGGCGAATGAGGTAGATATCTACGAAAGTGACGATAGGGTGATGGAGGATGAATCTACCGAGCACCTGGTAGCAGGGGCGACCATTGTCTGAAAAGTGATTCTGGAGTGTATGTATACTGTATGTGTGTATATGTATCAGTATCAGACAAGCCATGAAGAGATTAGATTAGATTATAATAAGTGGATCAATGGCAAGTGGTGGTATATTACAGCTGGGCCTACTCAACTCAAGGCTCATTTCAAAGAGATGATCTTCTCTATCAACAAAAATAACATAAAGAAAGAACACATTTCAACTTGGAAACCCTAATCTGAAAATATAAGAAAAAAAAGCCTCACAACTCAACTAACTGCACGCACACACACACACAGTACAGTACAGATATACTCTTGAGTGAATTACCCTAATAATTAAAGTTGCACAAAATTTGGGGGATTGAAGATCATGAATGAGAAGGCGAAGAAGCGTGAGAGAAGATGGAGGAGAGGGAATGAGCCAGTCCCGAGACAATCGCCGCCTTGACTTGGCCTCTCTTGGGAATCGTCCGCCGGTACTCCATACTCCGCCACGAATTTCCATTCATCGCGTCTCTCCGACCTCCTGACATCGCCGCCTGTAAGTAAAAACTGTTTATTTCTGCTCTGCCTTTGTTTTTGGTACGGTGATGAGATGGTCCATTGAAGTCGGCAAGCCCGCCCTTATATACTGCTCCATTTTCCAAAATACCCCTCGATTTTGCACTTATTTACAACCTTTTTCAATGAAAACACCCGCGTTTCCCAGGGCACCCGGGAAATACTGTCCTCCGTTTAGCTTTTGCCAAATAAGAAATTTTTTGACTTGAAAAAGACCACGTGGGAAATAACCTTTTTTTAAAGTTAGTATAAGTGGATGGGTTCGTGTCCACGGACAATGGGCCATTGTAATAAGTTATTATTATTATTTGTTTTTAAAATTTAAAATTTTGGTACACTGAATTAGTGTGTGAAGTTAAACACAAGATCTATAGATAGAGAGATAGATGTGTACAATTGATTTATTAATTTGATGAGATTCTTTTCTTCGTGTTCTTGGAGCTATAGTTTATGTATGTTGTTAGTATTTTGTGTTGCAACTTGTGGGTCTTTTTTTATTGTGTGTCTCACAATTAATTATCAAAGTGGCAATTAATTTTATTAAATTAAAATAAAGCAAACTCAATGATATGGGCATCTTCTTGTTGGGTTCACACTTCACACGTTCCTAAAGAATGTCGCTTTCACACTGGACGGAAATTGTTTTTTAATAATAATTATTATTATTGTTGTTTATTTCATGGTTGTGTCTAAATGTAACAATGATAATGATATAATATTGTTTGTTATTTTGAATTTGTCATTTTCAGTTGTTTGTTTCCGACACTACCACTACATTCTATTTTTAGTAAAGATTATTAATAAAATTACCAGTTTGAATGTAGCCTAATCAACATATTTTATTTGTAGCTATAAAAAAATTAGTTACAATTACTTAAACTAAGTGTAATAAAGAAATTTTCTGTAATGGCACACATATTATTTTTTAATATTGCAAATCTCTCTCTCTCTCTATATATATATATATATATAGATATATATTATATTATATTATATTAAATCAAGTTTAATAAAGTATATCAATATAAAATGATTTCATATATAGAGTCAAATTTTATAAAATATATAAATATATATACATATTAATTAGTAGGATCACAATTGTATTGCATAAAAAGTTTTTCACCCAATTCATTTTTTTCTTCGAATATATTTAAAAAATAATCTAAAAATAACCCCTAATATATAATGCATGTCTATCCCCTCAATTGAGATAACGATACTCATAAATAATTTCTCTTCTTCTTCTTTCAATAACAGTTACAGTCAGTTACAATTGCAACTACTACTTATTTACACCAGTGGCGTAGAAAGTCCTAGGATCCCCCAAGGAAAGGAACTCCCAACACCCAACCACTCATCCTTCTAACTCTTATTAATTGCTAACAACCCCCTTGACTTGTATTTAATCCTTTATTCGACTCCCCAATTCACCCCTCACTCACCATTTACCAAAGCCATAATGAAGAAGCTCTCTATCGTTGTCACTTTACTCCTACTCATTGCCGTCTCCGCCGCCGCCGGCGACGACAGCTCCGGCATGGACGGAATAATCTTCGGGCCGGGAATGGGGTTCGGCGTACCAGGCTTGGGGCCCGTAAGCGGCTTCGTGAGGCCCACCGTCGTCTGCAGAGAGAAAGGCCCCTGTTACCGGAAAAAGCTGACGTGTCCCCGCAAATGCTTCAGGTCCTTCAACCGCTCCGGCAAGGGATACGGCTACGGCGGCGGCGGCGGCGGCTGCACCATGGATTGTAAGAACAAGTGCATCGCTTCTTGCTCTAAGTAACTCAATCAATTAACCTCAATATATATATATACATACATACATATACATATATTATATTTACATTGCTGAAGTTTCGATCATTTCCATAACATTACAGAGAAACATTTGAATAGTGAAATTGATTCGAAATTGCTTTGGAACATGAACGAGATGTCTTAGACAGACAATGTATGTTCACTAAAAAAATGGTTGCAACAAAAAATTATGTCCTAACACGAAGAAGAAATCGATCACTAAGCATCTATATGTTATTGTAAGAGTCGAAAATGTTATATGATCGCCGGCAGCATTCTCCGGCGTTACGCCGCAGCTCTCATGACGCCGCGGGCAGCTTCGCGCTTCATCTGCGCCGCTTTGCCGCTGCCTCGGAAATAATTGAACACTTCCTACAAATTTTAGTTCCGTTTAGACAGAAGTTTTTGGAAATTTTGAAAATAGTAAAAAGTTAGCGCATTTGGACCTGTATGAGCCAAATGCTTACGAGTGCCTCGACGCAGAACAGTCCGAAGCCGATGAAGTAAAAAATCTGCGCGAGCAGCCGATGTTTTAGCAGAGTAACAACGTATGTATTTTAGTATGAGTCCGCTCGGACAGGAACTTACTCCGACTAAAGAATGATTGCCTACGAGATCTATAGCCGGCAGGATACCTCTGTAAGAAAGGCGATTTGTAATAAGATGCGATCGCGAAAAATTAGAGAGATCGAATGAAATCGATGCGAATGCTTACGAAAGAGATTTTCCTTTGAAAACTATCGGCGGCGCGACTGCAGCGAAGATACAGAAGCCGATGTGAAGCTGTAATAAGAAGCGACGAAAGGCTGCATATGTTCATTCAGTCGAAGACAGGAATACGTATCGAATATGTAAGCTAGAAATTTACGGGGTAAGCCAGGAAGAACCATCCGAACTTGAAAGTGCTTTCGTTCCTGCGATTGATAAAGATTAGACACAGTTTGTCGATTCATAGCACCTATTGAAAACAGTTTTGCGAGAAAAAACGCAGACCTGAATGCCTGGTAAAGCGGGCGATACCATAAAACGTATCCCCCGGGAACTCCCGATATCAAGTAGATAACAGCAAGAAGCCAAATTGTTGGATCTAGCAGACATATAAAGAGGTCAGGAAATTCGACAACAACAATAGAAACAAACGTAATTATAAGTATCGATTACAACCTCCGAGTCTAATCCATGCTGTGGTCACGGCTACGACGTTCCATAGAAGCGTAAATACAAGCCCTGATCGATCGCCAACAGGCAATGTGTCACCAGTCGTGTTTATGGCGCGCAAAATACTCAAATAATTATAATAATAAAGCTTTGACGACAGATTGACATACCTAAAAATGTACCGAATGCTACATACTGCATCCTCTGAACATGGGAAGGTATTTCGTTCGCAATATCGTGATGAATGATAGGGAAGAACGGAGGCCAGTTTTTGTCCTCTAGAACTATACCGGCTGAGAACAAGCGAAGACTTCGAATAAAATGTACACAAAAACTGCGAAGTAACAGAAAGATCAACTAAGAAAACAGAGCACCTCGAGCAGCTGCCTCTTCTTTCTGCTTTATCTCCTGCAAAGAATCGATCATTAGTATGTTCTACATAATCAATGTGCACAAGACGAGTTTGCGCAAGTCTGTTTCGAACTAAATTCTACGGTTTATGCTAAATAAGTAGCAAGTTTACGCAATACGATTACTAAAAGACTTAAAGGAACCATCAAGAATTACCTGTTCCCTCCTTTTCAATTCGGCTTCCTTAGCCTGCAACTCTCTCTCCTTCCTTTTCAGGTCCTGTATTCGAAACTTTCTTGATGAAGATGTTATGAAAGTGACAGAATATATAGGAAAATGAGGGGAAAAAACATCGCATACGGAATATTTATCTCGAGAGATATCATCTGCAGCTGTAGGATTGCGAAAATCAGCAGGCTCCGAAGGAAGGGGTGAAAGGCTTGAGGTAGTCTGAATCGACGTAATACAATCAAAGTTACATGAAAAGAATAACAATTGTGAATTAAAATTCAAATGTATCTATAGATATTAGAAGTGAAATTTGATAAACAGAGTACTAAAACATGTTTGATTGTAGGAAGATACTTACTGTGGTAAAAAATGAGCCTCCAGAAAACTTCGACTGATTGGAGGATTCTCCTTTCGCTCCATCCTGGATTCAGAAAAGTGTTTGAAGATTCAGTAGCAGGCTACAGATCAAAAACTAAATGCCAGGAGATTTCCAAAAGAGAGTTATATTAGCAGCTTCGAGTTATGTTTGCACATAAATTGTCATGGCAATGTTGAAGAAATTTTTTCGCATCAAACACCAACAATGATGCTCAATGATAACCGCAATTCGTCATGAAAGTGAATATAACTTTCCATGGATTCGAAGAAGGTTTATTCTTCATCAGCTAGATTTTTCTATTATGCTTTTATGGTAAAAATCCAGTAAGGATAAATGATCGTTGATTTCGAGCATGGATGTTGTAGAACTTTAACGAAAGCATCCTTGTTCTATGAGAATCTAGAAATTACGTATCGTGAATCCAATTAGGTTAAAAATAAAAACAAAAAATCCATGGCATGCAATCGAATTGACAATAGGAAAACAATTTTAGGCGAATGATCTTACAGAGAAGGGATTAACTTCATCTCCTCCATCGAAAGGGTTGGTATCGGAACGGCCCGCCATTACAGTCACCTCGATTGGATTGGATTGGATTCCTTTCCACACACAACAAATATAAATTTGATAGATATATATCCTGAGATTTGGATACTGCAATTGGAATATTGGTGTAGAAAATCGAGGATTTGAATGCAAAAAATGAGATATTCTAGAGAAAGAAATTCGGTATCAGAAAAGAGGATCGAGGAGTGCGTGCGATCTCGCCAGCTGCGAACAGCCAAGAGTTGCTAAGAAGGAGATGAACGACGTCATGAATTGATCACATTCCGCATATGTTGCAAATAATAATAAATAGAAAATAAAAACCAAATAAAATGGAGAGCATACAACGCTTTCATTAGACCTAAAAATGAATATAAGTTATAGTATAAAATCTATTGTTGAGTTAACTGCTTTTAGTAAAGTTCATCAAATTTATTTTTTAGTAATTGAATATATCAATTAGAAGAATAAAATATAAATAAAATTTTCAATATAATATATATATATATATAGAAACACAATTCCTTCGGCTGTTTTCTTGTTTTTTTTTTAATAAAAAATTAAGTTTTATTATTATTATAGATTTTCACATACTAATTATAGTGTTGCTTAATTAACCTCAGTTAGTTCGTTACAGCAGTGTACTGTTAATTATATATTATATATTGTTTTTTATTAATATAAAAGATGTCTCTGTAGAAACTATTATTATATAGCTAAGTTAATATTGTTATTTGTATTGTATTGAAATAAAATGTGAACCATTGTCATCTCTAAAAATCGATTAATTACATTATATTACAGTGACGAATAAATTCTTAATTTCTAAATCTTTTTCGCTGTCTCGAATGAACAATTTTATGGTGTGTACCGACCGGGAGCAGGTCAGTCTTAACCTTAACCTCACCCACTCTTTTCACACCTTTCTTAACATTAACTAATGAATTCACTTCACTAGTTTCAGATTCACATGGTGTTTCTTTCAATTTTCGGGCAGCCCATTCTCCGGACTCAGGTCGAAGACAAGGGCGAGGACGAGGGCGTGCACTTCTTGGCTTCACAGGAGCGTTGAAAGGCGGAAGAAATGGCGGGGAAGAAGCTTCTTTGCAAGATTCCATGCTGCAATGTTGTCTGTATTCTTCCATGACCAAGTTTCGGAGAGCGAATGCGGATTTGTATTCGCGAGTGCGTCTCGAGTAGAACACGAGGGCATTGTTTGCGAGCAGAAGCAAGTCCCGGAAGAGTTCCTTCACACTTGCTATCGATTTCCCGGCGATTTTTGATCTCACTGTGTCCATGTCCAAATGTTGCTTGACGACCCGTCTGTACCTCGCGCGTTTCTGTGTGTCGAAAACATTTGTATACGTAGTTTGATTAGTAGAATGTAGCTCGAACTCGAAATGGCTCTTGGTCTTGTATTAAACGAATCGGATAGCTTGAGAGTCAAACTGACTTGAGATTCGTAACTCGTTACGGACAACTCCAATCATACACTAAATATGAAATTTGGTGCACAAAATGGAGATAAATTTCTCAAATGCACTCCATATTTAGTGAAAATGCTACAGTATAACACCAAAAATTGTATCGTACCGTAGCATTTCCATTTTTGGTGTTATCTTCTGTTTTTTTTTTTTTTTTTTGAATTTTTAAAATTTTTGTATGTTAATTTTTTTAAAAAATAATATTAATTGTAGATTTTAAAAGATAATTTAAACTAATATATAAAATAAAACATTCGAAGAATTTTTTTTTGGAGTAAAAAATAGAATTGTTGATTTAAATAAAAATAATATAACTATATTTTTAGAGTTAAATTATACAGTTGGTGGATTGAAAATACCTAACACCACTATTGAACTCATTTTTAGAGAGAGAAACAAACTGAACTTAGATTTCAAAAATTATTATTTTTATAAAATCGGTTGAGCTGGTTAGTAATGACATATTTGTATCATTTTATATATTGATATAATACACTCCCAAATAGAAAAAAAAAAAAGTAAATAATATGATATTTTATTTTAATAAAGAAAACAATTTTTTAGTAACAAACAAATAAAAAATGTTAAGCATATTTTTTTATATCAAAATATTTAATTATAATAAATTATGAATAAAATAAAATATGAAATTATATTAAAATATATATATTATGTGTAAAATTTGATTGAAGTTTTGAATTCTGAGTCTAATGAGCCCGAGCACAATTTTAGCTCAAATCCTAAACGAACCGAGTCGAATGTGTTAGTACACGTTCGAGTCGAGCTCGCTCGGCTCGTTTACCAGCTCTAGTCCGTACCTGGCTGTCCATTCGATGCCGGAAAACTGTAGCAGCTTCGCTGCTCGCAATCGACTTGAATATGTCCCTCACGGCGGGTTCTTTCGCAGTTGCCTTCGGTGCAGTCGATGCCCCGTTAGATGGATCGACAATATCGCTCTCCTCGATGCTCCCGTCTTCGATGCTCGGAATATTACAAGGCCTAATGTTGTCTTGATTACGACTCTTCCTCTTAGGAATCGGAACATCCTTTGATGATAGAATGTTGTCGCTCTCTCGGATATCTCCTTTAATTCTCTTCGTTTTTAATTCACTTCCAGAACACCTACTGTTGTCGATCTTCCTCTTGACTGCCGGATTACTATCTTTCCTGTTGTCGATCTTCGTTTTGATTGTTGGATTACTATCTTTCTTGTTGTCGATCTTCCTTTTGGCTTTCGGATTACGATCTTTCGTTTTCTCATTAGACGTACCGTTGGAAGATGTAATGTTGTCGTTTTTTACTAACCTTTTATTGTCGTCCTCCCTCTTCTCAGTCGATAAGTCATTACAAGGCTCGGCCTTGTCAATCTCCGCGTCGATCCCTTCTTTCACCGTCTGATGACATATCTTCCGCTTCCTCTGACTTCGTTGTTTTCTTCTTACAGTTGCATAACTAGCGACTACTCCATTCTCCAAGCTGAACTCTTTGCCCTGCTTCGAAACATCAGGTTTCGCATAAGCCTCCACATCACGGCGCGCCGGAAGACAAGCTGTTGTTGTTCGGAGATCAGCAGAGGTTTTTTCATCCTTTGATGTCTCTTTGCAGACAGACTTCCTGTTGTCATCCGAATTCAACACAGGCCGAGGCGATTCAGTTCGTCTCTCAGCCTTCAAAGACTTAATTTTCGACTCAAGTGACCTGAAAACACAGTCGCGTTAAAAATTTTCAAAGCAATGGAGAGACAAGTTGCGTTTAATAACAAAAAGAAAACAATTACGACGAGGACTTCAACCAGCTACAGCATAAGTAATCAACAAACTTAAGTGCGCACAGATGTTATACATGAAACTACTACGAAACATTTAGTAGGCTAGAAACTCGGCAAAATCTTGAATAAGAACAAACTCAACAAGCCTGATTTTCAAAAATAGTGAATCCCAAATTCTCAGACCATATCTGTATACGAGGATGAATTCGAGCAGGTAAAACAAAACCAGGCAGTAAATTTAGTTTCATATGCTTTTTGCAAAAATGTTCATTTGTGCTAACCCTATTGAATCTTCAGATTTCGCGAGTTCTCGCTTCAGCTCAGCCACCCGTTGCTTTTTCAGCTCTTCAAATAGGCCCCTGAGGTATTTTTCAGTTGTCAATTAACTTCACACAACCTCAAACAAGCGAAACGAAAATAGAGAAAAACAGGGAGCGAAATGGAGAAGAAGAACATTTTAAACTACTCTAAACATTCGGGAAGAGAAGGTGAAGTCTTAGAAGGATTATCACAAAACTAGTCTTATCCAGACATAAAGAATGGAACTCAAATTGTAAGAAAGCCATATAAAACTTACGTCGAATCAGCATAACGCTTTTGCAGATCCTCGAACTTGGCTTTACACCTCTGCAAAATTACAGCAGGATTTTGATATTTACCAAACATATGAAAACTGTACGACATAGCAAGAGTAAACAGATCAAGAAAATATGCACAAGCACAAAATCATTACACAATTCTTAGCAATGTTTGGTTTCACATTCGTCTTTACAATAAAAAAAAAAAAGTGAATCTATAAAACAACACTTGCCATTATAGCAAATTAATCATCATTAGTACTTTTGATCCCTAAAAAGCTTAAAATCAAACATATCCCCTCATCACATATTGTGACACATCAAACGCAACAAATTTCATAACCACAAGCCAAACATCCTGCCACAGTGGTCCTAATATAGCCACAACATTCACACGTATTCGTATTTAGAAAAAATTTCCCTAATCAATCATTTTCGCCCTTGCGAACAAGACATCACATGAAATCGATTTCCATGACCAACCCTAACTACAATACCAATTCACAGCCATTAAAAAAAACAGAAGTAATAGGCAACAACACCCCACCCCCGCACCCCACCTTTCTCCCTCATCAATGCCTGCCATATAGCCCAAAAGAAAGGCACAAGTTCTTGCCAAAAGATTGACAAAGACAGAGACCAACCAACCCCTTTTATCCATTAATGAATCCACACAACTCCAAGTCAACCTAATTGGGATCAAAATCGAAATTATGTCGACGCCATTTATGTACATCAATTCTCTCATTTGAAAAAATACATGTGGCAATTTGGATATGATTTTCCCCAATTTTTCCCATACGAGAGCAGACCAAAGCCCTAATCCTCAAAAGGAACGTAACTCTCCTCCCAATCCATCATGCATGCATAATTAGCAGATTTTTAAATTTCAAACAAAATTACCAAATGTAAACACACAATACATGTGCGTATAAAATAATCGATGCATTAACTAAATGAACCTCGGGGGTGAAGAAGGAATGGGGATGAAGGGTTCGAACACGAAGCTCCGACGCGACCACGTTCCAATCTCGAGTGCCGTGCCTCACCACAGCCCCGCCCAGGATAAGCTCCTCCCACGTGCCCCACGCGTTCGCCGGCACCGCCGCCGCGGTGACCATCGCCGTCCACGTGTACGGAAATATCGGAGGGGAAAAAAGTGGAATTGTGGGTTAAATAGGAAAAGGATGTTCTAGGTTTTTTTTGTTTTATTTGGTGGGTGGTTTTTTATGGTATTACTACGAAACAATAGGGGAAAATCGCGAAAGGTTGTATCGTCGTTGATTCAAACGATTCGGGAGACAGAATAAAAAACTGTTCGAGAAGGGCGCGGAGAAAAACGAGGAGAGCAGAGAGGATACTTTGAAGAAATTGATGGGATCTGCAACAATGGCGAATTACGTGACGTCAAAAACCCAAGCGCGAAAATCGAAGAGTGCGCGCGAATATACAAATTATATATATCCATCCAAGAATATGGTACATTTATAATAGATATATATAGGTTTGGCTTACCTTAAATCTCTCCAAATTGTAAAATCCATATCCGCCATGGAATAATATCCTTATTCAGTTCAAATACTGATTCTGCAGATTAAGATTATATTTCTAGGGCGGATTATTGTTTCTGAAAGGGCCCGGGACCAAGACTCCAGATCCCACGTCATTAAATTAAGTGGGACCCACTTTGGCTATAATTTAACAACACGATTATATATGAATTGAATTAATAAACACGACTTCATACGATACATTAGAACCGATTTCATCTCATAATAATATTACAATCGATCTCATATTATTTCAAACAATTCTCCAAAATCTGAGGCACAAAAATACATCAATCAATAGAATCTGAATTTAAGATATAATTTAGCTGCCAAATTTTTTCAGAGTAAAGACAGAGACATACATACAACGGCAGATAATTTACAGGGAAACCTGCTGCTCAAAATGGACAACAATGGCTGCATTATATGTATCTATATATAGATATATCTCTATATCCAACAACACAGACAACCTTAAAAACATCCAGCATGACAAAATTTCAGTATGCCTGATGTAAATCTAATTAGGAGAAGACGATGGATCGAATACCGAATGCCGAATTCCAATCGCCAGCCCGTCGCTAAGCTTGTTGGAGTACAAGGTTTAATTGTTGCGCGAATCTCGCTATAGAACCTCCCTTCCTACAATGCCGAGAACATAAGAGTCGTTAAGGACGAAGAACGCTGTTCCTGTGCTTAGAAAGAAATGTTTATACTCACTCGACAAGTTCGGGGAGTTTTTCGCATATGTCCTGAAGGTTCGCGTAGCACTGCTTGCAGCATTCGCGCCTGTGACGAAAGAAAACAACAAACTTTTCAGAATTAGCGCAACATATGGCAATTCGAATACTGATTTTATATGTTCGCAAAAGGACATCAGTACCTCTCTTCTGCATGAAGATCGACACCGACTCCCGGAGGTGCTGAAACCGTCGAATAAACCGTTGCGCCGAACACTGCGACCAACTTCAGAAGCATCTCCAAAGAAACGGTAACGTGCCTGCCCGTAAAAACATTTTTTTTAATACCCCGTTTCCCATTTATTGGTAAATAGAGGTGTTGTCCGAATATTAGAGAAAGTTACCGTTCGACTTTGCTTTCCAACAATCGTAAAAGCACCGGAAGTATGCAAGAAAATAGGTCCAATGTAATCTTATCCAACCTTTCGATGAGAATGCCAACTACGTCAGTCTGTACCTGCTTGAGCGAAAACATGTAATGAAAACTTCGGTTGTAATGAAATTATATGGTCCGAAAATGAGAAATACCCACCGAATGGTCAGGCAGTTTCTTCACGGCATTTACAGCGCCCTTAAGATCATTCCTCTCCCAAAAATGCCGTACGACCTGCGCGACAATGAGTGTAGTTAAGAAATGTATTATTACAAAGCGCAAGTAACAGCAGCCAAAATTAACCGAATCACAGCTAAAGCACGTGCCGATAGAATTTCCACAAAAATTACCTGTAACTTTGTCAACCGGGACCTAAACGTGCTCAATAGCACATCATGATTTTGCATTAGATTCTCGATGACGTTATCATCATTCAGCGCCGACTCTTCCCTTGCTACGTCACGATTCTGCATAAAATGATCACGTCTATATCAGCTTAAAGCATTTTAGGTAACATTGTCGCCCGGCATAACCAAATTGATCGCGCTTCAGTGTGTATTCGAAAAACTAGTTAAGATAAAGATCGATAAAAAGAAAGATAGATTGTTCAAAAGTTCAGTAACCGAGATGAGAAAATCAGGCAATGCAGCGAAAGTAAAATTCAAGAAAGTTCTACCTGAGACAGCGGAGTTTCAAAAGCAGATCCATTACCGGTCTTTGGAGTCGATGGAGTCTCTGGAGATTCGGCGCTCACACGAGATCTTCTATCAGGCTTTTGAATTCGGAGATTTTCCCGTAGTTCGGATCTTATGTTGGGCCTCGGAATTCGAGGAGTTTCCAGAGGTTCGGCGGTTGCACCAGATTCTTTCTCGGTCTTTTGAATCGAAGGAGGTTCCGGAGACTCGGGAGTCACAGTAGTATAAAGCTTTTCCTTCTTTTCGAATCTTTCGACCAAACTGCGAGTCCTTCCATGCACAACAGAAACTGCCAGTATCGAAGCAAGTGAATAAGTACAAAACCATTTCTTATTTACGACAAGAAAACGACATTAAATAGCAACCTCCATTAACAACTTTCACGGGATTCGCCACCTCATTGGAATCTGCAGCCTGATCGCCTGAAACGAAAACTAAATCAACACAGGGACTTGAACGAATGAACACCCGTATTAAATCAAAGAGGGTAATAACTAACGAATTTGCATACCAGATGCTGTTTCTGATGATGATGTATCTAAAGTTTCTGCGACGTCTTCTATATTCGATTGCTTCTGCACAACAGGTCTGTTCGACGGTTTCCCCTCGGATGATTCCTTAGCATTTTCATTGGCAACCACTCTATTATGGATGTCTAAATCTTTCTTAACACCTGAATAAGGTTTCGAATTTTCAGAAGGCAAAGAGTCGAGAGAAACCGACATCCTATCCATCCCGAAGCGGGGCCTTCGGCCATGAGACAGCCTGGCAGACATTCCACTGCTGGCTTTAGCTGGGGCCACGGATTCCCGTCGAGACCCGACGGAGTCTTTTCCATCGGGACTGTCGCGCGGCACAATGTTGGGAATAACGAGAGATCTGTTCTTTACGGTTGCATTTGCTTTCACAGGCTGATTTGTAACAGCGCCACGCTTCTGAATTGCGGCGCTAGTGACATCCTTGGAATCGGAGGAACGTACAACCTTAGGAGTATCGACAGGGTCGACAGTCTTTGGAGAAACAGAATTTACGCCTGCAACTTCACACATGTTGAACATTACGCGTAGTGTCGAGTTGAAAAAATGATGCGAAAAGATGAAAGCGACATGCATGTATAAATACTCACGGTCAACGTATATAGTTTTAATTTCCTTGGACTCACTATCTTGGGCATCGGACTGGTCGTTTGACTTTGACTTTACGCAGCTTTCGTCGCTCTCCAGAGGACTTTCCTCATTATCGCCTTTCTGCTCGGCGGGGTTATGTTCGTCGGTTGCTGATCTTGTACCGTATGGCTCGATAAGCTAACAATAAAATGGTACTTGAATGAATAAGGAATAGGCTTCAAGAATGAAAACAGACAAAAAAATCGAAGAAAAATAAATGACAGTGAACAATCAAAATACCGAAACATCGGCCACCCAAACTGCAACTGAATTTTCATAATATGCACCGCCTAAAAGTTTCCCGTCATGTATGCAAAGATCTCCGAGCGAAGACCAGCCCATATCAACAGAATCATGGCAAATTACAGGTTCCCATGAGTAAACCTGGAAGTCGAGATAGATTGGTCACTGAAAAAACATTTTCGACAAAATGGAAAACCAAAGAAATTTAGGGTTCAAAAAACGACCTTTAGGCTGTCGTCTAGTCCACAAAAGAGTGTTCTTCCATCCGGGTGAAATGCAATTGATCTTACACCGGTAGCCTGAGCGAGGAAACGTACAAATTTTAGAAAAATGGAACACTTCAAGAGCAATAATCAGCATACAATAATCGTGTAAATGCAGCTTTGAAATCATACGAGTGGAATCGAGTAAATTCAAAATACCTCTCGTCTGGCAGATCCAATCATCTCGAATGTCTCCAGATCCCAAAATTTGACTGTTTTATCTGCTGAACCTGTCGCTAATAAAAACTCGAGAGGATGGAATTCTATTGATCGAATATGTCCTTCATGGAATTTAAAATCGTGCAAAAGTTTCCCAGCTGTCAGGTCCCAAACCTGTGCAAATAAAAAAATGTTTTACAACTGAGCAGGGCGTAAAAGAATGAATTACAGTTATATTGTCCAAGAAACGGAGGCAGCAATACCTTCACAACATTATCGAAACCACCAGAGACTACCCAACGGCCATCAGGAGTGAATCTTATAGTACTTATCCCTCGAGTATGACCCTTATACGTATGGATGCACCCTTTCTTTCTGATATCCCATATCTTCAAATTAGTATCCATGGAACCCGATGCAAAAAACTCACCAAATGGATGGAATTCAACAGCAGTGCAATACGATCTGTGTCCCGTAAGAGTGCGAACCACTAGAGTTCAAGAACATTATCAGACAGAACGATGTTGTCATCAGTCGGGCAGAGGTCATAAATAGAAACATAGCAAATGAAAATCCTAATTTATACTAACAAAAGAAACCACATTTATATTCGTCAAATAATATGCATTCGAATTTAGTAAATGAACTTACTTTTTGTCTCTTCCAAATCCCATAACTTTATGGCTCCAGAGGAAGATCCAGCTACGACCAAAACCTCCGCGGAATCAAAAGCCGCAGACTCAACTGGACTCGTGTGGCCACACAGGCTCTGCAATAATCAGAGGCCAAATCCTTTAGTTTTACCCAAAAAGAGATAACAAAAGTAGTCGGTAATGATAAAATATGCAACGGAACATTGCAACAGAATACAAGTGCAAAGATAAAACCGAAGTTGACAAAGATTCGCATAACGAGTGAAAAAGGTCAACTCTTATTTAGCAAACAGCAGCGATTTTTCGTGTCCCATTAAAACGATAAATGGCCATAAAGAATAAAATATCTCTCATTAATATTCACATTCTGCCATTTCACTGCTCAGAATGTGAAATGACAAAAACATTCGGTAATTACACATATTAATAATACAAGATCATTCAAGATTGAACTAGCCACGTCGCTCATCTAGTAACAGGCCTTTTATACAAGTAGTCACAACGGCGTTTACTTAGTAACTAAATTTGCCAGATATTTATAAAGATATTTCCTCTACGTTATCGGCCACGTCATTTAATATGGCACAGCCATTGACAATTGCATCACAACATAATCTACAAAGCTCGGAGGATCTTGATTGGTTAAACTAAACTACATAACTCCATATTTGTCGGTAGCGCCAAAATAAATGCTAAATTTCACAATGATTACTGAACTAACCGCGACAGATGTTGGCTTTCCAATAGACCAAAGATTCACTTTCTGATCATCGCCACCTGTAATGAAAACTCGACAATTCTTTTTCCCGAAGCTCAAACAGTTTACATTCCCCGCATGTGCGACAAATTCCTCTAAATCACACTGAGTCAAAGAAAGAACAATTTGCAGGAAGAAGAATAATGCAAGATTCGACAAGAAATCTCCAACATAAGTTCAAGAAACTATCATCAGCTAAGTATGAACAGATCCACCTAAAACATAAACAAAGATTCGAAAAATATAATGCAAACAATAAGAGGCAGCAATCCCAGAATGAAACACATATATCATCATCATGTCACATTGCAATTACCAAATCTAACTGATGTCATCAATCATAAACCAAAAATCTTAACAATAAGCATTATGAGCTGAAACTCCCAATCAGCCATGAAAGTAGAAGAAGAAGACGACTTGAAGAAAGGAACAACAATCGTCTTCTTCTTCCATTTCTGTATTGCTAATTTTCTTGCCATTCAAACAGAAGGGCACAATCTCAGATCTCTGCAATTCAAACGGAAACCCTAACCACGCAAAATTGAGACCCGATCATCAAAACTGCATCACATTCCACGCACAGAGAGCAAATAAACAAATTAATGGATTCAATCATTTACACAGCTTAAACCCCCAAAATTCCATCAGAGGATACGCAATTTGTAACCACGCTTCGCCATTCTCCCCAAACCAACGCCGGAATCTGCGAACCGGAGTCACGGCGTCGTCGGTCGGTGACCCCACCGAAAAAAACCGAATCCCGAAACCAGAGCGCAGCCACAGACGGACAGGACTACCACAAACAATCTCCACTTCCCAAAAATAGATCAGAAAAAAACCCTGCGAGAAAAATAGGTATGTCCCAAACGGTAACCGCGATTAAAAGGGGAAATGTTTTCTCAGAGCGGAGGAGGGGAGATTTCAACAGTGGCCATCAAGAAAAGAAAGGTATGGCGAAAAGCAGCAAAAAAAATAAAATAAAATACATTAAAAAAACCTGGGACACGCCCACTTTTTTATTCCGCTCTCTTCATATCCTACACAGACGCGCCATGGGATTACATCTACATTTACTGCAGTGATTGACCGACATGAATGCAGACAAAATTCGAGTTATCCCTTCACTGCAATGAAATTCCCTTTATACTGTTTACCCTCTGTCTGGATACGGCCCCCGTTGCAGCATTGCAACAGCTATTTCCAATCATCGCCAGCAATGATTTTCACCCCTCCCGACAAGAGTGCCAAGAATCAATCTTTACACTGGAAAATGGTTAATTTATTGCAACAAGGGGTTTTGCAATTGTCTTTCTTTGCACCCATGACCTGCGGAGACATTCCAACCATGTAAGAAATGTTTATAGTTTACCCTCACTCACCCCACCCAAAGTAGCCCATATTTATTTTATTTATTGACATTCTAATATTTTAATAAATCAATTGTAGAAATTTTCTCCTTTGGGAGATGTGGACAGCTCCACAAATCAAAATTATAATCTGCAACAGACTAAATTATACTTACAACTATGACCCAGCAAAGAATTCTGAAATTAATGCAGTGACTAAAGAAAAAAAGTTGATTTTAAAATAAAAATGTGTTCTTTATTGCAGAAGAGTGTTTGCAATAGGACAAATGAGTCTGAAAGGAAGTTGATTGAGGGAAGGCACTTATGAAGACCATACATCATGTGCACCACAATCTTGTACATGTTTCTTGTCCACCATTAGTTATACTTCAAATTTTAAAAAACACTGAAGACAATGTAACGTGCACCACGATTATATTCTGGACTAATGATTAATGTAAAATGAATAAAATGGCAACAAGGGTTTTGAGCAGAAGTTATTTCTGGAGTGACACAAAAAAGAACAGAAGTTCTTTATACAAAACAATGCTTACAAATGAACTGGTTTTAACATCTGAAGAAGAAAGGCAAAAATATAATACACAGAACAACTGCAGTCATAAAATTGTTCTGAAATTTGGAAGAAACAGAATTCTGAATAGATGATAACAAATCCATGGCTGTTTTCTTTGCAATGTCTTATGTGGTCAGGAATCTCTCTGGACCATTTGTAAAAGCTTCTGGACAATCTCGGACATTGGTGGTCTGAATTCAGCCTGAGGCTACACAACAAAATACAAAAGAACATCATCAGATGTGTTCATTCAATGGAAGATTGAAGATGATAAGATTGAAGACGATTGTCACAGAATAAGATTGAAGACGATAGAGGAGAAGAGAACCTGAATACACATAGAGATTATGTCTGCAACTCGTGATAGGGACATCGACGAATACGTGCCGTTGAGTGAAGGATCAACCATTCTCGACAGTGAGTCGATATCGTGCAGCTGCAAGAACGCCCATCTCGCAAGATTCTGCTCTGATCGTGGACGAGACCTGAGTTTGAACAGCCGGAGGAGTTAATGGAAGTCGTCGTAATAAGCAACAAGGAATCGTATTCTAGAGGTTTCCGAACCTGTCGAGAGATTTCCGACCCGTTATGAGCTGCAGCATGACAACTCCGAAACTATAAACATCACTCTGCAATGAATAACTCCCCTGCTCGAGTTCAGGAGCGCCATAACCCGAACCTTGCAGCTGATGAAATCGAAGGTTAAGCCAGCATTCAAGTCATTCCAAAATAAAAAATTTCGTACGATTGTTAAGACAGGATTCACCTGAGCCATGGAGTACGGTGGCAGCAAAGGAGCAAGTCCGCAATCGGAAATCCGTACGGTGAGATCATCTTCGAGCAGGACATTACACGACTTGAAGTTCTGGTGCACGACCGGTGGCCGGCACACCTCGTGTAGGTATCTGCAAAGGGACAAGGGAAGTGAGAATTTGGTGGCCTATAAATCGAAAATTAACAGGTAAAAGTCGACGGCACGGGACAGGACATACTCGAGAGCTTTCGCAGCTTGAAGAGCCAAGCGAAGACGGGCATTCCAGGAAAGCCTCTTATTGATCTCGTCATCGCAGTTCAGCGCATCGTCAAGCGTCCCATTCCTGCAAAAATTGTAGACAAGGAGGCGTTGTCTGTGCTCGAGGCAATAGCCGACAAGTTCGAGTATGTTTTCATGTTTGAATCGGGAGATTCGCGACACCAGCTCAAGGAATTCGCTATCGCTAAGATGCCCCGAAGCAGCATTATCCAGTTTCTTGACAGCTAAAACCTGGACAAATCGATTTCTTCTCACCGTACGACTTTCGATTCCTAATGCAACGCAACAACACGATATTTATCGAAAATCGAGATGCGGCATTTACCTTTCCATCGGGAAGGCGAGCGCTATACACCGCGCCAAGCGTGCCTTTCCCGATGAGATTCTCTTGAGAAAAGCTGTCTGTGTATTGCTGAAGAGATGCAATAGTAAAGAACTTGGCAGTTTCGATCATCTTCGACGAATTTTCCCCCAATGTTAAAGGCGAAAAGGTAGGATTAGCAACGATCCTTTCAGACGGAACAAGCGGGAGGGGTCGAGCACGAGGCGGGTTTGCAACATCCAACATTGTCATGTCGATATTGTGATCTTTCCCCGGATTTAGAACGGTGTTCTTCGCCCGACTACCAATCACGGGCTCAGAGCTCGATTTCTCCGTAGCTGCTCAAAGACTTAAAAAAAATCAAGAAAAGCAGCTCAAATAAGCATAAATGATCGAAATGCGAAGGCATTCATATCGGATCACCTTTCTTCGCTTGGTATAACGGGTTTTGCTTCGGCATTGTCTTTGGTGGGGCGTCAGTTGTTTCGACCCTCTTATCGTTGTCGCTGGTTACAGCTGCCTTACAGCATCTATGAATGCAGAGACACGATACCAAAACGAGCACAATTACAAGCAAGCCTGCAATACTAATCCACACGAATTTATTTGCAACGACTTTCTTGCTCGTTTTGTTTCCCGAATCCGGGAATGAAGATGGTGGAGAATGAGGAATATCAGCTCCTGAATGAGGCGAAGGAGCAACGGAAGGGGATGAAGGAGATAAGGCCGGCGGCGACGGTAATACGGTAGTGTTAAAAGGATTCCCATCTTTTCTGCACCGTACGTAAGGAAGAAGTTAGCGAGTAGTTCGGGAACAGTTCAACAAAAATGAATGTAAGATTCGAAATATGTCACCTGAAGCTGGGAATACTTAGCAGCTTGTCGGGTATTGGTCCGGAAAAAAGGTTATTTTCTATGTTCCTGCGAATCAACCGAAACCGAACAGCCGTATGACATTAAGAAACTACGGTAGAAGAGTAAAAATCTCCTCTAAGTGCATAAAATAGAAGAACCGTACAGCTCTGTAAGAGGAAGATCTTGAAGAACATCAAGCAATCCTGAGAGCTGATTGTCCTGCAAATGTCTGCATTCGAACAAAGGAATGAATCATATGTAAGAAAAGAAAAGTTGCTACCAGACTCAGTCACTTACAATGTGGTAAGAGCAGTCAAATTCCCCATCGAGGAAGGAAGCGCTCCGGTCAAGTCGTTGTTGGATAAGTCCCTACATTCATTCAAATTTGATCATAAGTCTAACCTTAAAGTAAATGAATTTGACCCAATGTCTTCTACAAACTAAAAGCACCTACATGTTAATCAAATTAGTAAGCGGTAGAAATGAATCAGGTATCGGCCCGATGAGCTGATTGTGATTCAGCGACCTGTGAAAGAATCGGTAAAAGGGAAATCACTTCATGAATTATAACAAGAAAAATCGGATATGAAGAAAAGGAACAATTCGAGCTCACAAATCGGTCAGCTGGGCTAATGAGGACAGAGTATCGGGGATGCGCCCCGTGAAGTTATTACTCGAAAGAAACCTAGAAAACAGAGTGAATCAAAGAATAATTCTTCTCAAAATCATTACAACAACATGTCTGAAAACTTACAAGCTCCTTAGAGTGATCGGCAAAACTGTCGGCAAACTGCCTTCAATGTGATTGTTACTCAAATCACTACATTACAAAGATTATCATACATTACAATGCATATTTGAACATTGGATAATTTGACAGCTGCAAATCGATTTATCGAATTCGAACAAGACTCACATCAAGATAATCGAGGCAAATGATCCCAAATCTTCAGGCAACACACCTCCCAAATTTGCACCACTTAGCTTTCTAACATCCAAGAACAACACAAACACAATCAAAACCAGGTAAAACCTTAAAAAAATGAAACATAAATCAATCCAAACATACACAGCAGTTATGTTCTCATTCACGCACTCGACCCCCTGCCAGCTCGGCGGCCCACAGGGGTCGCCGCCGGGGATCCATCCGGGCAGCAATGGCGAGCCGAGGAAAGCATACAGCTGAGTTATTGCATAAACTGGAAACAAAAATCAGTCCAAATAAACCAACAATTTATTACACAAATTTGAAAAAAGACAGACCAAGACATTAACAATCCATCCTTACCATCACGAGGGTCTGTTAATCCCCAGGAAGAAGAAGAACATAAAGCAACCAGAAGACAAACTACAGGCATAAGAACTCTCCATCTCAAACACGCCATCATCGACGGAATTATTACAGAGTATCCAAATCAAAATCAAAAATCAAGAAATGAACGGACAAACAGATAAACCCACGCTTTGGCTAAAGCAAAAACAGCGAAGAAAAGCAACCAAGCAACTAAGCGCAACCCCCAAGTATAAATTTAGTGGGGAATTCAAAAGGCCTCAGCCTTCAAGACGACGCCTTTTACCAGAAACAAATATTACAGAATATTCAAATGCCCCTTTCTCTTTTCCCTTTTTTTTCCTCAAATTTCAGGCAAAGCTAATGAACGACTGCGATGTCCAAACCACAATTAGGAAGAAACTGCAGACAATTTTGTGTAAGGATTATTTGTGTATATCCACAGGAGCTATAAAAATTAAAATAAGAAAAGATTGCGGCTTTGTTTGAGATGGATGCAGCCCAGAAGATAATCTCAAAAATTTTTAATCTTTTTCGTTGGTAAAGTGGAGTAATTATGGAGGAGTGCGTTGCTGTTTCCCAATTATTTAAATCATTAATTTGAAATAATAACCACAGAGAGTGCCGTTGAGCCATGCTGCCGAAATGAGTGATTTCAAAATCGGGTCTTTAAGCCTTATTGGAAAAGATATATGGTTAGCCCATTTATTACTGGGGTAATTATTGATTTTTAATTGAGATTTTTTTACCCTTATTGATGGATTGTATAATTGAAAGGTTGACTAAGTTTAATTTCTTTCCTAAAATAATCTTGCCTCGTAAACAGTATCTGAAAAAAATAAATTGTGTGTTTTGTTTTGTGTTTTTATTTAAATAACATGTTTTTATAAAATAAAAATAAAAAATATATATATAAAAAAAACATAGATTATATTGTTCAATTACATATTTATTTTTTATTCCAAAAAAATATATATAAAACTATTCAACTATTATTTTTATTTTAAAAATATAACACACTTTTCACAAATTATATACATATAATTAACAAAACATATAAAATATTGTAATAGAATAATTGGATAGCGCTAATCAATAGATTATTAATTAAAAGTTTCACCTGATACATTTTCTAAATATACGTGTGCATGTATTAACATGGTTACTGTGTTTTGAAAGTTATTATTATCATTATAATAATAAAAATGCAATTATGCTTTAAAAAAAAAAAAAAAAAGAACTCCAATATAGATTTTTTCATGAAAAAAAAGGAAAATTAGTCTTTATAATGAATGATCAGTTTATAAAATATAATGTAGTTTTTATTGACAACCATTTTATTATTTGAAAATAAAAACAAATATATCCCTTGATTTTCATAAATAAATAGTGCGTTGCTCTTAATTTTTATAATTTCATTGTTAATTCATTTCATAAAATATATTTTTTTAAAATAAAAAAACAATAACAAATACAATTTCAATAAATAGATAAAAAGATTCGATCATTTTTCTAATCATAGAGGGAAAAAAAGAAATAGATATAAAACACACACATATATGACCGTAAGTTACATTATTTCGAATTTAATTATCGAATTAAATGACCAATTTAATAAATATATTGTGAAAGGGGAAACTGATTTTATTGATATCTATGTTAGGGCATTTACTTTACTGTTGACCAATGAATATTAAATTATGTTAGAATTATACAAACAGATTTATATAAGCAAAATATTTATTAAATTTACTTCAATTGATATTGATTTTATCAATAATAATTTTTTAAATAAATATTTGACTTAGATATGAAAAAGAATCCAGCAATCAAAGAAAATATATATATATATAAACCATAATCTCGTGAAGCGTGAATCAAAACAGACGATCCAACGGCTTGATTTCATTTCAGTAATGGCAAACGTGTAATCTCAGCCGTCCGATGGCAGCCATACACAATCATGGAATTCGAGGTTTTCTAATGTTGTATGAGTAATTAATCATTCAATATTTTTAATATAGGAAAAAGGTATTTATTAAAATAATTTAAATTATGCTAATTATTGAGTACTTTTTAATATAGGGGAAAAATATATTTAGTAAAAGAAATAAAAAAAGGTAACAAAGTTGAAGTGTCGTAATCAAGATTGCAAAAACAATACATTAAGGGGCAAATTAGTAATTTGGTATGACGCAGTATAGTTACCTTTTTCTTTCCACGAAGACCTAATTTAGGGATTTGGACAAGTGTTGTTTGTTACATGTCCGAAAGCTGTTGCCCATAATTCCATTTTTTAAATAGCAATATTACTATTTAAATAAAAGTAAGAAACGTATTACGATTTAATAATAATATTAGCGTGATTTAAAATATTTTTAAGATATTATGTTAAAATATATATATATACACACATAAAATCTCTATAATATATATAAAGCCCATCAAGATTATGCATAGTGTTGGGCCAAAATAAAATTAGCAAAACATTTGGGCCCGGATGAAGTAAATTAATGGTTGGGCTACAGAAAATGAAAGTCATTAAGAGAAGCTATAGCCCATAATGCTGTAGGCCCATTAATTAATTATTCACATAAGTTATGAATTTGTTCGGACGCAATTTTTAAAGTGTTTTAGAAAATAATAATAATAATAATAATAATAATAATAACATATAAACTTTTATTTGATTTAAATACATATTTAATAGAAATTTCAAATAAAATATATTTTTCCATGCAATAGTTGAAGTAAAAATAATTATTTGATAATATATATATATAGACTTTTAGATAAACATATATCACTCCACTTTAGCTAGTATTCCGGATACATACAAGAGCATATTTCTCATGAAAATAAAAAGAAAATAAATTTATATAGAGGAATAATAATAATAATAATAATAATAATAACGAGCATGGGACACGATGCATGTGGTATTAGATGTCTGCAGGGAAGTTTGCCAGAATTGTCATTTTGTTCTTTGAAAAATATATACTATAATTTTATTTTATAATATTTTAGAATTATTTTTTATTTTATATATTATATTAAATTCATATTTTTAAAAATATATATATATGAATTATTAAGAGTATGTTTCTTTTGATTAGTTTGGAAAAAAAAATTTGTTGTATGTTTCATATTAAAATAAGATTTAATGAAATATTTGTGAAAAAGGAAAATGCAGAATTAAAATAAGTAAAAAATTAATTTTGGGATAAAAACCCACGAGTGAATAAATCTATATATATTATATATTGTATTAACATACTATTATATTTATCTTAATAAATATTTTTAAAAAATTATATATAAAAAATAAATAATGAATAAATCAAATTATTTTTTATTATATAAATTGTCTAAAATATTTATTGAACCACATTGATATTTTATTTATTTATTATTAAAAAAAAAGTGTAGTTAAGCATATCACGGGACGGGGCAGGGTGGAACGAACAATAAAAGTGGCGTGAAGCACAAGGTATATATATATATACTCACATATTTGAGTGAGAGTGTAATATTGACAACCTACGTGAAGGGTAATGAACAAATTAATTAATTAATTATTTATGGCTGCAATTATCCACCCACCGCCACTCATTACATCATTTATTTTCATTACCCTTACTCACATGACGCGCACGTGCCGCATGTGGTTTGACCGTAGCCACACCTACACACAGCTAGGCCAATAGCAGTTTTTTTTTAGGATTAGTGCATCCTTCATGTGACTGATTAATGGACAACACACACAATCATCAACCTCGACAAGAGTTGACGCTCCCAGGACTAAAGCTCCCAAAAACTGCAAGACTTGGACCCCAACTCCCGGGACTGGCTAAAACGATCAATTCCTTAAAAATAAAAAAACCTTTTTCTATTTTAGTTTCCAGTCTTTTCCGAAATACAAAGTGATGGATAGAGACCATTTTCACCTGTCCAAGTAAATGGACGGTGACGTGTTTGTTTTGCTTCGACAAAACAGCAAGATAGTGAAACAGAATTTACTAAATTACTCTTCTTGTCCGAAAATACACAAAGAAAGTAAAAATTGTCTGAACCACTTTACATACACAAAAATTAAAAAAGATGGGTGTTTTTATTCTTCTTCTTGGACATTGGAAGTTGCAGAAAAATACAAAAAAGAAATTCTGATTGGAGCAATTTTGATCCTATAATTTAGAAATAATAACGAGAGTCGGGGCGTTGGAAGGTATCCAATGGTCCTGTCAATGTCAGTGTCATAGCAAGGCATGGTCCCAACTGCAGAGAAAGCCGCAAGTTCAGTCCCACCCAATCTATTAAATACACACACGCAGACATAAACAAAATAAATAAATAAATTGAATCTGAATCAGCTAGGGTTCATGATTTCCCACCTTGTGTTTTCAATTCGACTGCCAGTGCCAGGGCAGCTTCTTGATGAGTATAATTATCCCCATGTGGTGGATGTGATGTGATCCTTCTTGTTCAATTCTTACAGCACCAATTTTGAATCTGATGGGTTGCTGTCTGAGCAGAGCTTACGACGAGAAGAAGAATGGCCGAATCGGGAAGTCGCCGCCGTCGGGGAGTCCGAGGTTCGAGGAGGAAACGGTAAAGGAGGTGCTGTCGGAAACGCCGGCGATTGCGCGGCCGGAGAAGATAGAAAGCCCGTTTATAAAGATCGCGCCGCTGCTCGATTTCTCCGGCACCGTCGTCGCTCACGACCAGCGCCGCCGGAACGGCGCCGTCTGCAAGAAGCCGTTCGCCGCGTACGGCGGCAACGAGGAGGAGGTGTCGGAGGATGTGTCCGAGATTTGCAGCAGCCTCAGTGAGAGCGTGAGCGCTTCGACGGAGAAAAGGGGCAACAGAGGCGACGAACTCCGACGAAGGCCGCCGCCGGCGAAAAGCCGGTCACTTTCCGGTGAGATTAAGCGAGAGAAAACCGTGGGCAGATCTCCCGGCCGGAGATCCGAATCATCCCCAAATCGGGCCATACCCGGTCGCGGATCCGGGTACGCAAGGAAAAGAGACAGTGGAGAGAGCTCCGGGCGACGGTCGCGGTCTCCGGTCACGCGCTCCGAACCGACACCGGCGAGATCCGCCAGGAAAGCGGGCAGGTCACCAGGTCGGGTCGGGTCCGGGTTGGGAGAGAGGGCCCGAAATCCGGAGATAGCCGGAGATGACAACCCTTGGGCGCCAAGCTGCAATAATAATGAGTTGCTGGAAAACCCACTTGTGTCCTTGGAATGCTTCATCTTCCTCTAGCCATAATCCAGAATTCTCTAGGGGTATCTTGGTCTTTTCACTACAACAACATATAGCTTAGCCTTCAGATCTGTAAAGTAAATGACCACAACGTAGTATCCCTTGGAAGGGAATATTTCCATTATTACAGTAGAAGCTGCACAGAATTCAGAACAAGGGCAGCTGTAGCATTCCACTCTTTCACTTCCCATTACTAATTAATGTGCAATTTTTACGAAATTCAAGCAGTTCTACAGAGATAGTAATTTTCTTACAAAGCATATACCAAGCTGAGAACGAGAGCACATACTCACAGCCTACGGACCAAAAAACAAATGAGGCCTAAGCTTCATGTTCTAACCACTTGATCAATAATGTTCGATCTGATCTATACATGTTTTTCTTACCCTCCGAAATTACAATCCTGGTTCGGGGTTGGATAATTAAGCCCCGACAACTGGTTCAATTCGAGCAAGTGGGCACCGGACCGTGTAAGTTGGGTAGCTGTTGCTGATGAGGCCACTGGATGCGCTTCGGGGGGCAAGGTAGGGGGACCGGGGCAGGGTGCGCGATGAACGTTGGGATGTTGTTACCCGGCATCACCACGGACACTTCTCTAGCATTGGTTGGTGATGTCTGAAAGCAGCAGAAAATGTTAGAGAGACAGATTTTTCATTACCATCATGTTAAGGTTAAAATGAGTGATTTATGTGCATTTCCAAGAGTGATGATATGTTATCCATCTTTTTTCGAGTTTTCGATGAAATCTCCACAACTTAAAAGTATTATGAGGTCAGAAAGGATAAGCGCTGATAAGCAATCCAATTGAGGAACCACGACTTGTCGAAGCAAGACATCCTAGATGAGATACCAGAACACAAAACTTGTCTAACACCCGACAACATAACTGAAATTCAATCCTACATGACAACTATAAAGAATTCCCGGACAGCGGCAAACTCTACTAAAACAGCGCATTAGCTATCGTTCTTGTCTCCAATATTACATTCAAAGCACATAACGAAAAAACTTAGACAATTAACCAACGCCATTAATATGATATAACCTTGAAACATAAAATGATCCATTATTATACTATAACTCAAGATTGGCAGCTTGTCCACAATCAGTAAACACTATCGACAATTAGCTTAAAGGGATTACATAAAAGGTGCAGAATCAAGCACAATAGATTAAGCAGCTATTGTTTGGACAATCTTAACATTGGAAAGCTCTAACGTGGTCCAATGGTATCTTTAGCAGCATCATCAATCAAGAACAAAATGAATTGAGAATGAGGGCCAAGAACTTTAAGAAAAATAAAAATCTAACAGACCAATGCAGATTGCAGAGAAGATTCACATTCAAACAAGAAGAGTTGAAATAAATGAAACAAACAAAGTTTGCCATTAGGACAATCATAGCTAAACAATAAAGGAAAACAAAAGCAAGATAAGTCATCAATGGAGGGTGGAAAGGGGAAAAGGTGTGCACTAACAAATTTTATAAAATTAAACAGGCAAATGATGAAATTGGGAAAAAAACTTTACTCACTTTTGGAGATGGATAGGCAAACTTAGGGTTGAAGCCACCGACTCGGTGGCTCTGCGCCTCAATGTCGGAGGCTCTCTGCCGCCCAGCGGACGGCGGCGACGTCGCCCTTAGAATCTTCTCGAAGATCGCCATCACAAGAAACATTGAGATGAGAATGGCCGTCGCGACAAACCCGAACGACACGGCGTTGACGGAGTTGTCGAAGTGCGTCCAGTGATCGCCTCTCGGAAAGTACACCGGAGCGCCGCCAGGCGCCGGCGGCCAATCCCCCAATCCGCCTTCTTCCCCGCCCATTACAAAAACAAATTAAAAAGCTCCAACAACCTTGCTATTTGCTAATTTTAACCTTCGTCCGAAAATCGAAAGCTGCTGCTGATTGGAAATGGGAAAAGCGTGGTCAAGGTTTTCAGGTGGGGCAGTTATGGCGGTTTAAGGACACAATCGGAAACTCCTTTTTCAGCGCATTGTCGTCGCGTACAAGCAGCTGAAATCAGTGTAAGAGTTAACGAAAGCTAGGCCGTTGCGACACACCAGATTGACCTATCCCTTAGGGTTTTCAGACACAGGGACGCCATTGTTGACCACGAAATCTGTATCTCTATTACACTGTAATAATCAATAAAGATTAAAGAAGACGATGGCAGCAGCAGCAGCAGCAGCCTTCACCTTTCAGCTCACACCTCTGCATTCTGTCGTCTACATATACATACATACATGTATCTGTATATATATATATAATTAATTATTATAAATAAATTTAAAAATAGTTAAAATTCAACACTAGGTTTAGGTACTCGGCCCACTGAATTCAACTTTTTTCCAACAAAAGGAAGACACTCTATTCTGATGGGCCCATAGAGCCCACGTGGCTCACTCAAATGGGTCCGGCCCATTAGCAGGTCGACCCCACTGGCTCCTAAATTATTGCAAACTAGTCCACATATATTTTGTCCTTTGCAATGTTGCCCCTGACAAATCCCAAACACTTTGTTAATCATTTGGGGCCACAGTATGATTATTAATAATGCTGCGCAAATACGCAATTATTAAAAAAACAAGTTGGGTTGCGGCTCAAAACATAATTCAGACATGGGTGGGCCCAAATCTCGTAGTCCACTAACTACCAACACGTGTCTAATGTTCTCCTGCCCCTCTAACCATCAACACTTTGTTATTCTCTACATGGATTTCTTTAACTATTAATTAAATTAAATTATTTTTTTATTATTCTCAAAAGTATTTCAATTATAAAATTTAAGATATAATTAAAAATATTTGAATTGTCTCGTCACGTATAGTTGGAATATGTTCATTTTTTATATTGTTGTTATTATATCTACAAATACGGTACGATAACCATTATTAGAATTATTTAATGTTAATTATAATTCTAGGATCCACTGATCTGAAAATCCAACGGCTCCGATCCAACCGCAATTTACAGCCGTCTGATGAGGAAACTCCAGTCAAAAGGGGTTCAGGATTGCGCGTGCAGTGGACCAGAGCGCACGTGAGCGCCGCGCGTGTGGTTTCCACACTTCATTATCAGTGTACAAAGGTGGGGCCCACTTGGCCACTGTTGACTGAACAGTCAGAGGGCGTTGGAATCGATGCCGCAGACGATCATAGCCCACATGCTTCAATCAAAGTCGTCACCTTTCTCTTCTTTTAATGCAATTTATTATTTATTTTTTTAAAATAAAAATTATTTGAATAATGGGCCTATAAATAATGGGCTTTAAAACAGTGGCCCAATTTTAGTGGGATCTTGATCTTCTAATTGATGGGAGAATCTTCTGGAACAATGAGTGGTAATAATATCTGATTCTTGCTTCAACTTTGCACTGTTTGTTGTTAGCTTAAGCAACAATCAAAGCACTTTTAGAAATTACCCACTTAACAAACAATTATTTAGTAATATTATAAATTATCCCTAGTTTGGGTTATGTCAGCAGCGAGGAAACACCATTATTGCATGAGAAATAAGGATGTCTAATCAAACCCTAAACACACAACACAATTGGTTGGTTAAAAGCAGATTAGATTGATAAGACACAATCATTAATAATAATAATAATAATAATAGTAATAATAATAATGCATGGATATAAATATATATAATAAAATATCTTGACTTTTAGTAGGCACATATAATGGTGGACAATTAAAAAGAGACTAAAGACAAAAGAATTCCAAGAAATTAAGAATAAAGGCATGCAAAACATGCACGACATATAATGTAATTAGGGTTTGGTGGGAATTATTAAAGATGGATAGATGCAAGCATATTTCCAAGAAACAACATGACCACCATAGAAAGAAGTGAAGTGATACCCCAATTGGAAGCAGACCATACATCTTATACTATACCTTATATAACACAAATTTGTTAACAGTTGTTTAGTATGTTATTTTTTTTGTCAACTTTTTTTTTTCTTTTTATATGATGTTGTTAAGGAGCCCAACAATAATTCGGCGCTGTATATATATATATATATATATATATAGAGAGAGAGAGAGAGAGAGAGAGAGAGAGAGGGAGAGAGTGATTGCAGTGCACGGTGAAGGTGATTAATAAATAATTAATTGGTCGAGCTAGGATGGCATTTGGACGTGCATGTAATATAATTAGTGTATATAGTGGAAATTAAAATTAAGGTGAATTTGGATTTGCCTGCTTACCTTTTACTCAACCTTTTATTATTAATTAATTATAAAATACTTACAATTTTAGGGCTTAATTCAAACCATTTTTTTTTGTGTCGTTACTCTGCGGAAATAGTTTCTGATAGTTTGCCTGATTCGTCATCGGTGGGTTCATCTCCAAACGGTTTTCGTAACTCTCTGCTGTGCAGCTAAAGAAAGTGAAGAAGAAAGCCCTAAACCACGGGGTATTAGCGGCAACCTTTAATGGGCTTATCATTAATGAGCCTATTGGGCCCAGTTTTAATTGAACCCATCAGAAATTGGGCCGCTTAACGGGCCCAAATTGTATAGTAGTAGTAGTAAATTACTAAAGGAAGAAACAAACAAGGGGAACCTTTTTATTTAGGCACAGGTACATGAATCTAACCTAATCCACAGTGATGTTTGTCAGCAGCAAAAAGGTCACGGAAAAGAAATGAATGACCATAAATAGATGAGGGCCCATCAACATCAGAAACATTAAATCCACCTCATGTAATAAACCCACATATGGATTTTCTTCTTTCGATAAAAATGACAAAACAGTGATCGAGAGAAACAGAAAAAAAGAATCCAACCATCTTCACGACCCCCCTTTCTGTTGCTCGTAAAAATGGGTTTTCTTGATTTGATTCATCGTGGCACAAAACAGTTCACAATACAAAAGGACAAAAAGAAAGTGACACGTGTGTAGAAGAAGATTTCCTTTCTTCTTCCCCTAACCTTAACACAAAAATTGGTAGAAAAAAAGCGTGTTTCTTATAATATAAATAAAAGAAGCACGCTTTTAGGATCCCAACGAATAAAGCGCGTTTGGGCAACATTATGAATGAAAGCATGCAAGAACCAGAGCATTAAATTAACATAGGACCCGAAAGATTGCAATTACTACTGTTGTCTACTGCCACAGACAAACACAGTGATGGGAGCCTTGGATTTTTACCACCATTGTAATTATAGAAAAACACACTTTTTACCTCTGTCGTTAAATAACAATTTTGACAGCGACAGAACCTTGTCTGGGGGAAGGGCTCTTTTCCCCACTATAATACTGTGCAGTCTCTGTATTGTGGAATTTGAGTCTCCCAAGACAATAAATTACTTAATTAATTAATGAAAAAGGGCCATTTCTTGCTGTAGTAACAGTACTCATAGTCATAGCCATAGCCATAGATAGATAGTGTGGATGCAGCTAGCTAGGAATGAATTATATGATGCAGATCGTTCGAGGGCCAAGAAGGGCTCTTCAAATTTATCTTCAGAAATTAAAATAAGAAAAAGGGCCCCCCTCTGTAAGAAACTGTATATATTGATGATGCTGGGGATTTCTTACATTGCAAGGCCTTTCTTGTTTTCGCTGTCTGAAGGTGGGCAAGTGAAGGGTTCTTCTTCATCTTCATCATCTTCCTTTCCTACAAAGCAAGAAAAAGACAATGAGAAGCAACAAGAAATGGAGGAAGCTATTCTGGTGGATGAAAGCAGCAATGAAGAAAAGCAACAACACAAGGAAGAAACGCCAATTCAAATTCCAGTATGATCCCCACAGCTACGCCATGAATTTTGAGGATAGCAGCAGGCAAGAATTCCAGGAGATTGACCTCCCAAAATGCCTAATCTTCATCTTCATCATCATCGCCATTGTTGAAGAAGCAGAAGAAGCTGCCTAAAACTAACCCTTGATGTCCATATTTTACTTCCAAATTCACAAATTTGCTCTTTATTTTCATTATGTAGTACTTCCGCCTCTAACATATTAAGACAAGAAATCAGAAATGCAGAAGAATTAAGTGTTCTTATTGAATCACCTGATCTTCGGATCAAACCGGAGGATCTTCGAGCACAGCAGTAGATAAATCATTCATTCGAGGATACCCCGCTTTCGCATCGAGCTCTTTCTGTGTCCACACAAGCATTTTCAACAAGTTCAGAAGCTTCGGATCTGTTCCAACATCAAAACAAACAAAACTTATAATGTCTCTTTAATTACACAAGATTGATCATTACCATGTCCGATGTGCAAACCTTTTTCTTGGCCTTGGCTGGTAAGAATCACGGCATTCACCTCGCTCGCTATCTTAACACGCTGCAACATATCCAGCAGCTCGGCAACAGGGGATTTCGAGGCATCCTCAAAAGCAAGCAGCGTGACAGCCCTCTCCAACTCTTCGAGAAATTTTTTCTAAAATCATAAAATATCGTATCAAATACTAAATCAAAACGCCGGACAAGATCATCAGAGGAGAGCTCAGTGTAATAACATTTTCCTCTCCTCTTGGGGCAAGTTCTTCTCCGGCAAAATCCAAAGCTTCTTCAACCTTTCCATTCCTGATCAGCTCAATCAACTGTTGTTTTTGAAGATGGAAGAACAATTCTGCGTTCGTGTCCAATATCTGACATTATCAGCATAAAAAATTCCCTCAATACACAAACAAAAGGGTGTCGACAATCTTAGTTTACTACAAGAATTGCACCTCGGGGTTTAAATCATTAACTTTTCCGATAGCATCCTCTACATAACCACCCTGCAAGGCCTTCTTCACGGCCATTCGATCAATGCCCGTCGCAAGGTCGACACCGGCTGTTTTTACAAGAAGGAGATCGCACAATTTAATGTATTCATTTACCATTTTAAAACAATTAATCGAAATCATCAATAAACAACATTGGCAGAAGGAAAAAAAAACATAAGAATGGATACGTTCGGTGCTCGATTCGAGCTGGAACTTTTCAGCAGCATCAAGATAGCCTTCAGTCACAAGAAAATTCATCACTATTTTATTCATATGCTCTTTTCTAACACTAACACCACTTAGCATCTTCTCCCATTCGTCCCTATTTGTAACTTTCTTCGACGACGCCTGCAACAAATCAAGAACGCAGTACAAGGTTGTAAATAAGATGAATCCTCGGAATTCCAGAAACAAATTCAGAAGTTTGATCCATCTCTAATGGCCAAGCAAAACTACAACAAGATGCAGAACCAACGCAAACACCAAATCGAAAAGAATCTTTCTATACTCAGCAAGAAGACAACTCATTGCACAGAAATAACCCCCAAAGTAAATTATCACAGATAGAAATTTGCAGCAGTTTCTGCTTCATAGTCATAAATATAATCACGATCGTTATTTAGATACGCCCACATTGGACAAATGGAGGTGGGGCTTACCATGGCTTCCATTTCACAGAGACGACGAATGAAAATCACCAACAGTCACATCACCCAAATTTATATCCATTAACGGAAAATGCAAATTAAACCCTAATCATTCCGGGATTTGCTCAGTCAAATCAAATTATCAAAGATTTTCGGAAAAGGAAAATGGAGGTTCGTTCGAAGAGGCCGGAGCTTATTTCGGGTTTTGTTCCCAAATTACAAAATCAATCTGCTAAAAAGATTGAATTGAACCTTTTTCATTACCAGTTTAAATAAATAACCTTTCATGGCTGGTCTCATGGTCTAGTGGTCAGGACATTGGACTCTGAATCCAGTAACCCGAGTTCAAATCTCGGTGAGACCTTATCGCTTTTATATTTTTTGCATCAACCAGATTCTTGCAGACCCATGTCAACATGGAGTTACACAGCAAATGAAAACAAGGACGAAGAACACAGAACTATTATTACCGAATCAATAAATCAATCAAGCATGTACATTCAATTCAATTCGATTCAGTTCAACCTCAACACCTGTCCTTCAACCACTTCAAGATATCCCCACGAACAATGGCGATGTTTTCATCAGTTTCCCCGAACAGCAACGAATGCATCATCCCCTCGTAGATCTTGATGCTCTTGTCCGCACTCTTCGCCGATTCGTAAAGCTCCCGGCTCACTTCAGGATCAGTAACCACATCCGCTTTCCCGTGGATCACAATAAAAGGAATATCCACTTCCCCCAATTTCCCACTCACATAATCCGTCACTCTCAGCAGTTCTTGCACTGTCCCCAATCTAGGTTTCCCCCCATACCTCAACGGATTCATCGCCCCAATCACTTTCTTCTCCGAAACCTTAACGGATTTCTCCAACAAATCCGCAGTCGGCACAATCCCCAAAGTCGGCGCGAATTTCGCCACGACCGTCAGAATTTCAGGAATCGGCCACTTCGGCTTCACATTGTCCGAAATTCTGCACATCGGCGCAATCAAAACCGCGCCTCGGAAGAAATCGGGCCTCCTGAAATGCATCAGCAGACAAATCGCACCTCCCATCGATTCCCCGTACAAAAATCTGGGTAGGTTTTCAATCCCCGGATCTTGGGTCAGAACGAAGCTGAAGAACGCCAAACAGTCCGAAACGACGTCGTCGACGCTCGGCACATAAGCCTTGAGACCTTCGGACTTTCCATGGCCTTCGAGATCGAGCGCGAAGCAGGCGAATCCGTTCTGCGCGAGGAAGATCGGCGTGCCCTGAAAACTCCAGCTGACGTCATTCCCGTAGCCATGGACCATACAGACGACGCCGCGCGTCGGCTCGGAATCCAGCGGCCGCCAAGATCTGGTGAACAGGTTTAGCCCTCGAGGCGATGCGTAGAACGAATTGCTCGATTTGATCCCCTGCTGTCTGTAATAATCTTCCTCGGAAATATCTCCCCAGTAATGGCGGCGGCCATGGATTTTAGGTTGAGCTTGAGTTTGACCATTGGCTTCCTCCATTTTTGCCCCTCCCTTATTAGCTCTTACAGTTGGTTCGTAGCTTTTAATTGCAGAGGCAAGTTTTCGAATTGATTCTCGACATTTATGGTTGGGAATGGCTATGGTGGGCATAAATGTTGTGGAAAGTGGCAACGTACGGTACATTTTAGCCTTTGTGTATCTTCCGATGTGGGATTAGTCTAAAATCTACATTTGAATGTAGAAAGCTTTTAACTTGTTCTTACAAAGCAGTACTTCATTGTACATGAATTTTAACCTCACATGAAAGACATGTTCAATTTTGTAGCAATACTATGTTTAACTTGTCCTGCTGCAGCTCTACTCTTTACAAATGGCTGCCTAATGAAACTCACCCCAATCCGACGCGAAACGACGACGGGACGTAGCCGCGACGAAACCTTCGAGGCTTTGTCCGAAGGAATTGGGAGTAAAGGCTTTGCAAACGGCTTCGAAATCGGTTTGCGACTAATAGGAAGGTATATCGCTTTCTTTATGTCTTCAAGCAGCGCGGTTTCGCTGTCGAAAAGGTTTGCCGAGTTGAAGAACATGTTGAACACTTTCATACACGATAAATGAACTTGCTTGCAAGATTTCGGCATATCGTTGTCCGTGAAAACATGCTGTAAAAACTCTTTCTTCTTCGCCTCGATCGTCTGTTTGACGTAAGCGATCGAATCTTCGACGCTCCAATTAGGATTCTCCTTCAAGTGTAGCAACACTAGATTCATTTTCCCATCAGCCTCTTCTTTCTGTAGTTTCGATTCAAAAATAAACGAGGATCGGTTCGATGCAGCATTGCGCGTAATATCTTATTCGTAATTTTTTTAAAAAAGAAAAAGATGCATACTTGATAGCTTTCGATGTCATTCGCCATTCGACACAGAGCCATGAGCAATTTGGTGATTCTATGGTATTCTGAAACCCTGTTTCTTCTCAACAGGGTCGTTGCCGGAAGAGCAATTGTGTGTGCCGCAATCGATACCATCCCGGTTTCAAGATACTCTTCGACAGTCGGGAGATACCCCGTCAAGCTCCACGTTCTCTCCGTCATCCACGCAGCGAATGCGTCGCGCCACTGTTAGGTAAAAAACAGGGGAGTTTACATTACAACATAGTACATGGTTACTAAAATTTCGAACAAACTTACGATATGTTTCAAATTCGACAGCAGCGTCTCAGCTCCTCCTCCGTCACCACAACATTTTCCAGCAACATCCTTCACGAAGTGATCGAGAGCTTCAAATATCGTCTTTCCGTGCCCCCGCAATCCTTCGCCGTCCCATCTGAAAGAAGTTTGAGCAAAGTAATGTTCAGACCGGGGCAATTGAGGTTGTCTGAATGTCTGTTTCGGAACTAATCGACTACCTTTCGACTGCTTCAGTGAGGTCTTCCAGCTCTTCCAAAGAGCCATCCATGTCGTAAAAGTCATCTGCGACGGTGACGATAATCGCCGACTTTGCGATAACCAGCCGCATAATCGAACTACACGGTAAGCACGAAGTGGCAGCCACCGCGAAGTAAGCGTACACCGTCTTCTCTCGACCGAATCCCATTGCGCTCAATCGCCATTCGATCGACCATCTATCGATGATATGCTATTAGTTACTCGAGTTTTGTTCGACTAATTATCGAAGACGTACTACAAGAAAATATCATTTTTGTAACGAGGTTTTTTCGTCCTTAAATTCACCTTTTCTGTTTCTAATGACATTAGAGATGGAATTATGATTGAAATTACGTTAGCTACGTAAATTTTAAAGACGTACGTACTTACTTACCCTTTAAGTTCCTCCAATTCGCGGCAGTAGATCGACTGCTGGTGCTCGAAATTCTGCGTAGCGAGTTGCAATAACTTCTCGTTCGCTGGACCGGACAACCTAGTACTAACAAACATATTCGAGCAGCATCAGTCTCCAACAAACATATTCGTCAATCAATCGAATGTTTGATGATATATGCAGACCTGTAGATCGACGCGCTGGCATTGTGTTCCTCGATCCACTTCCGGTGATAGAGACGATCGAGGCGGACGCTCCACGGAACGGCGAGTTCGTAGTCGATCTGAAACGGACAGAATTAGCGGAGGCGATTCTATGGTTCATGTAAGGATCGACCGTGTGGATACCATGTTTTGGAGATGTTTAGGATGAATGAAGAAGATGCTGTCGTGATCTGTGTTTGAATTGTTGTTGGTGAGCATTTTCATGGCGAATGTTCGTGCTTGGTCCAATTCATCTTCTCCAGGAAAGGATAAATCAGTTGCTCTGTAAACACTGTACATTGCAGTGATGAACTGCTCCCTGTTTTCTTCCATGGATGCCAACATTTCTGCTTCCTTTAAAAACCAGCAGAAGCTTCCTGCATTCAAGTTCTTCATCTTTATTAATTATGTAAATATATATAAAAATATTTATTTTATTTTATTTATTTTATATGTGCCTGGTTTGACATGGTAGCCTTGCATACGAAGAAGACGAAAGGCCAAAGCATCTCTGAATAAGGCAGTGGGGGAGCGTACGGACAATGAATCTTGCTCTTTTTTATTTCTGAAAATTTTAATTAAATACAATTATATGACATATATTTGATATTTAATTTAAGGAATTAAATAAATACCTATAAAGTTGAGAAAGAATTTGAGCAATTTCATCGTGGAAATGGTGAGCAAGACCTAAGGCTTGCACGTTGTCCACCAGCAACATCTTTGTCAGCTCTCCATCATAAGGGTACTTTGCAGGCACTGCATCATTAATTACATTTCTTCATCTTACATCAATTATCAAAACAATTTCTATTACAATTTTTGTAATGTTCTATAGTATTTGTTAATATAGAATTTTTTATTTTCTAAAAGATCTTGTTGTGCCATTCATGTGATCATGTCACACATTTTTTATTTTTAGTAGATATAAAATTTTAAATATTTATGATCATTGTTCATTCATCGTTTGAAGTGTTTAAATCGATTCATTAAACCATTTTATTATTCAAGTTTGTATTTGTGTTCTATTCGATTAAGTTTGTTTGAAGATGTATGATATATGTATAATTTTAATTCATATATATACTATTTTATTTATTTGTTTATTTTATAAATAATTTCATATATATATTTTAACGAACTCTTGCCAACAAAGCTTGAACTGTTCATTAATAAAAAGAACATTCTTATGCTGTTCGACTTTGCTCATTTACATTCGCAAGTGAGCTTAAGTCGAATCAAATTTATGAAAGACTTGTTTGTTTAATAGCTTTAATTGTATCATCCAAGCTACAAAATTTTCGAAACAACCACAAAATTGAAAACAAAAATTTTAAGAGAATTCAACGTCATAAAAAATAAAAGGAATTTTTTTTTTTTTTTTAATAAAAATCTGTTACCTATTTTGTTAATTTTCCTATGCGACATCCATGCCAATAATGTATGTTTGCTTGGTTTAATTGACCAGCTTCTAAAAATAGGAAAAAATTATATCTGTTACCTATTTTGTTAATTTTCCTATGCAATATTCATGCCAATAATATGGGTTTGTTATATGTTTGCTTGGTTTAATTTAACAGCTTCTGTAACTAGGAAATATATTTTGTTAATTTTTCTAATACTATTTTAAAAAGAGATTCAAAATTTTAATTTAATATCAATATATATATTAAGTGGAGTAGTCTTTTCCCTCTAAGTATGAAAGTCCAACATTAATTCCTCAACAATTCAAATGTACTATATTCCAATATTTTAAATGAAGAAATCAATATATAATATATTTTTAAAAAATAGAATCAATGTGATGCAATACAATAATAATAACAATTATTGGCTGCACTCCGCCAAACAAATTCCCACATGACATGAATATTTAATGAAATAAAGAGAAAAGATGATAAACAATAGTTTGATATTTATAATTTTAATTGTTTTTATCGTAATAAATATTTTTTCATTAATTTTTATAATATTTTTAGGAAATACTTGCATAGAGATAAAATTGAACAGATGTTGTGTTTGAACAAGACAATATATATATATAACTAATAGTGACGAGACTGTTGGAAATTAGTTTTGGTGAAATTTCAGATATGGACGAATTTCGAAAATACAAAATCAGATAAATACGAAATCAAATCCGAACCTCCTGGCTTAGACAAACCTCCTCCAAAAGGAAATGGTTGAAGAAGGGAGTGCAGATATGTGAGGCAGTGTGGATTCCCTGTCGCCATGTACGCTCGAGCTGCTGCAATTGACGACTCCACCATTATTGTGTCTTCTTCTTCTTCTTCCCTGAAAGATAGAATTATATATATATATATATGAATTGATTTGAATTGAATGATAATATTACATGATTTGCAGAAGTAGTTGTCGGCGCTTGGCGAAAATGTCGGGCAGCATTGCGGCGAGCCCGTGGGGGAAGTCGAGGTGCAGCCCGGCGGCTTCGGCCTGCTCGATCATCGCCGGAAAAGCCAGCAAGAACCGCCGCGGCAGGCGGTGGAAGTTTAGCTTCACGATCATCTCCGCCTTAGACTTGAGAAAACTCAGCCCTGCAAATACAATACAAAATTACAAATTGAATTAAATCAATCAAAATTGAAGGAATTAGACGATAGGACTGCTACTGATCACGATGGACGGACCAGATTGAATGGGAGCGTGATGGCTCGGATTATTGCCATGGAAATGGAGGACGAGCAAGCAGGCGAGAGTTGAGGTTAGGGTATCAATGGTCGGCATTCCCATTCCCATTCGCATTAATGGAAGCTCCTCCTCGGAGTACTTAATGTTTTCTTGATCTGCTGCTTCCCAATTACTATAATATTCCCAGAAGCCTCCTTCCTTCTGGTTTTCGAGTATCCATTTCAGGCAACTTTCCAACATCGGACTGCCGCCGTGGAGGATGATTCTGAGGATTTCGTTTCTGACATCGCAGAGGAGAGACTCGTGAATCGACGAGGAGGAGCTGTTCATGTTTTTCTTTTTTTATTAAAAAAAAAAACTTTTTTGTTATGGTTAATATTGATCAATTAGTTGAATTATAGGATGGATAATTGTGTAATATTATAGTATTATAGCAAAGCAGCTTCCTATTTATAGCTAAACCAGGTATTTATAGTATTCAAAGTCTCAACATCGGGCCTAATTTGCAGGGTATTAAATTCGACCGGAGGTTTATCCAATGCGCACTTTCTGTAACTGCTGCGAGTTCCCACCATATAAAATAAAAAATACTACAATGTAATAGTCTTTTATCAAGTTGGCCTTGGAATTTCTCCCCATGTCCATTCCAACTCTTTTTACATGGCTTTGAAAGGTCTATTTGTAGAGTGGGGAATGAGTAATAGATGAAGTAAATTTGGTACGTAGATTTCAAAAAATTAACATTGAGATAATTTTAAGATGCATAGTATTTATGAGGTGCGATATGAAAATTAAAGTGTGACAAACGATCCCAAACTTTTAATATATTCAATTTTAGACCTGAAATCCGTATAATAGTTTTCCCAGCCACAATTAATTTGCAGATATCAAATTAGACCAGATAGACTGTATAAATGTCAGCCACTTAGATTCATGTGTAAATCATGCCACTTCAAATTAATACTCCCTCCGTCCCAACCAAACACCTGCAATATTTTTTTTTTGTTTGTTCCAAACTCACTGCAATATTTTCAAATTTAGAAATAATTAATAATATTTATATACATATATTAATATACACTTTATTTTATCTCATCACATCACTCAAATAAAAAAATAAATAATCATTTCTCTCTCCAATCACATCACTTAATATCCAAATTATCTCAAATTATCGTACTTAATACTCCCCACCTAAATTCTCGTACCAAACACAAAGTGTTGAGGACTGAGTATTTTATAATTCATCCTTGTCAGATGAGTTTCAAAAATTAAAATAAATGTATTGTAGTAATTATTATTTATTGCCCCTTGAGTTAATTACTTAGATATTATTAGACTATTAAATAAGGTTACATGACAAAAACAAGCAGTGAAATATATATGATGGCTGAAAATTAATAGTAAAATATGTGAATTGAAATAGTTGTACCATACAAAGTAAATATGTAATATAATATTTTAAATACAAAAAATTTAATTTATATTTTAATATAAAAAGATAAATAATTTTAATATTTTAAACTTTTTTAATGAATAAGAGAAGTCTTCTAATATTATCCAACCAAACACAACGTAAAAGTGAGAGTAGAAAGTAATAGTATACACAAATATATACAATCAAAATTCCAGGGTTTATTTACTAAGGGTTTAGTTTTGTAGTTTGTTCTTAAAATTTGATTTGAATACTAATTTAAATATGATATATTTTTATATGATCCTCAATATATATAATACATAATTTATCATATCACAAAAAATTAATATTTAAATTAATTTTATATTATCTACAATTTATTATACTTCATAGAAAAAAAAATATACCTCAAATCAAAACATTAAATGAATAAACCCTAATACACCACCAAATTTAAGGAATCTTCTTTGTAATTTATAAAAAAAATAAAATAAAATAAAAAATAAAAATTGTCTCTAAACTGACAGATTGAGTATATTTTTGTATAGAGAATTATGATAGTTATATAGTAATAAAGAAACTAAAATAATTAAAATTATAAATACATTAAAACCTTTGTTTAGTTTGATGTCTCAAATTCTTTTAACACTGTGCTACTATACTTTGGAAATATGCTCTCTCAATTTCAAGATTATCATCTTACACATTTTTCTCAACATACACCCTCGATTCCAAAACTATATTCTTAATTGGGTTGGACACGAGATTTAAGGAATATTGATAGTTGATAAAAAGTATAGATAAAAGTTTTTTTTGCCGTGTATTAATGTAAAAAATAGTGACAATTGTTTTGAGATAGACAAAAATAATAAACAAGAATATTGTATTTGATGGAGGGAGTATTATTTCATGGTTCTATTTAAAATTTTATATCTTAACTAAATAAACAAATTTATTGTTTCATTTAAATAATTTTTTAAAAATTTTTAGAATAATAAAAAAACTTAGATATTAATGTGATTTTTTATAAAAATAGTTTGATACATGGTGTTTTCAAAAGTTTTAAAACTATCTATATAAATACATGTTATATTTTTTTATATAAAAAACATTGTATTATATTAAAATTTATTAACTATAAAATAATACGCATATTTAATTTTTATTTGTACTCTTTTCGTCCCAAACACCCATGCAATATTTTTTTTTATTTGTCCCAAACTCACTGTAATATTTCCAAAATTAAAAATAATTAATAATATTTATATACATATATTAATATACACTTCACTTTATCCCATCCCATCACATCACTCAAATAAAAAAATAAATAATCATTTCTCTTTCCAATCACGTCACCTAATATCCAAATTATCTCAAATTATCATACTTAATACTCCCGACCTAAATTTCCGTGCCAAATACAAATATTGGACGATGTTTAAGACTGAGGGAGTACTATTTCGGCAATGCATTTTTATTTTTTATTTTTGAAATTTATGCTAAATTAGAATAGTGAATTTAATCTCCTAAATTATTCTCAGGGCTGTCTCGGACTTTTTTTAGGTCCCGAGCGAAAATAAATTATAGGCCCTACAAATACATGATTAAAATGAATTTTTAATAATTTTTATTTTTTGGCATTAATTGGACAAGAGGTTGAATGTAACTGTCTGGACAATGTCAATTTGAGAAAAGAAGATGAAAGACGATCCGTCTGAAAGTTCGAAAAGCAATAAGGATTGAAAGATGGTGAAAAACATAAGAGAAAAAGTGAGACATGTTTGATTGAGTTGCTGGGGTAATGTGATAGGTGTAAGATAAAGAATGGTAGACGATTAGAAATAAATAAAAAATATATATATGATTAAAAATTAAAATTTAATTTTAAAATTGTATAGGATAATAAAGAAGAAAAAAATATAAATTAAAAGTTAAAATTTAATAATAATAATAAATAATATTTAAAATATAGATCATCTGTTAATTAGGGCCTTGAACAGTTGCTCACCCAGCTCTTGCTATAAGCGCCCCTAATTATACTGATAATAATAGTGTGTGATACACGAAGTGTATGTATACGATGTCACATTTTTCGCTAAATTTATGATACTAAATCATTAAGATAATACATTTTTAATGAAAAATAAAATAAAATAAAACATTTATTTTTATTTGTACGTGAAAGTCGCCTCTATTTAATGCATTTGGAATTATACAACATGTGTTTATCAACCTCGCCACACACACACACATGCGTGTGTGTGCAGCCCCTAGCTAGGCCGCTAGTGTAAAACAACTCCATTTCAATATTTAGTATTTTAATATTACGGCTTTTACAATCCATTTTTAATAAATTATTATTATTTTTTAATTTATCGTTTTAATTAATTGAAAATATTATTTATTAAATTATAAATAATTTATTTTCAATAACAAATAAATTTGTATAAAAATAATTAGATAAAAATTCAAAAATTGTAATTTGAAATTGATTTGAAATAAAAATAAATAAATATTTTTTACTAGAAGCATATAATTATTTTTTATTATTTTATAAATTCACACAATTTTTTAATAAAAAAATACGTTATTTTTTTTATAAAATTATACTAAATGTACCAAGGGGCTTTTTTTCCTTTTTATCCAACCCCTCATAAATGCTACATAGGATGAGTGTCGAAAATATTTAAAAAATCTAAAAATTCCATCCAATATTTAGTTTAAAAATCGAATAAACCCAAAACCTGTCTACCTTTTTGTTTCTTTTGTAAAAAATTTTAAATATATTTTTCTTAAAAATTAATATATTAAATACACTTATTATTTTTATATTATTTATACAATTTCATATATCTCACATAATTTTATTTATTTTTTTCTTAAAATTAATACACAACAAACACACCATTTAAAAAGTCGTATATTACGGAATCAGAATTAAGTTGAAATGGACACCTCATAAAAGTTTCCCAATAAAACGATACGAATGTCAAAAATAAACAAGTATAGTATATGAACAAATAATTAAATGTAGGCTGCTGCTGCTGTACCATCCAATTTATTTACGTATCCTATAGATTGTTTACTGTAGTTAGGGTGCTAGCTGATCAATTACACAATTTAGTACATTACATTTACAATACACGATTTATTTTTATTATAAAACAATACCAAATGACAATGGTCTACATAAAAAATATTCTCCATGCCTATAACTATGATAGTAGCGGAATTTAGTGAATCAATTTAAAATAATTAATAATAAGTTAATTTTTATTTAAATTTAGTAAATTAAAAGGTTTGGAATTAATAATTTTTAATTGCAATTTGAAGTTTTATCATATTTAAATATGTAAAATGTATATATTCTCCACATTTTAAAACTAAGGGTGTGTTTGATACAGAGAAATGAAGTCAGAAAAATAGAAATTGTTTCATTTCTCTTGTTTGTTTGAGTCGGTATGCAGAGAAATAGAGAGAAATGATATAGAGATATATATATTTTTTTAATTTTTTAAAATTTTTTTTGTACTATCTACTTTATATATATATATATATTTTAATATATTATTTTAATTTCACAAAAATCAAATTTAATTTAATGTTAAAGTATTTAAATTTTACGATTTTTTAAGAAATTATACTAAAATATAAAACATCATATATAATTTATAATTTTTTTAAAAAAAAAGTTACAAAAAATAATTTTCATTCGTTATATCAGAGCCCAGTTAGATGGTGAAGTGGATTGGGTGGCATTGGGTATTGGTTTTGGGCTGAGCCCGCATGAATTTATTTTTGAATATTCTCATTAAAAAAATATATATATACACACACATTAACACAATTTATACAATATATATATACTCTATTTATTTACAAAAAAAAAAAAAATAAGAATTAAACAGAAAATATTAATTTATGAATAGTCCTGGTAATTTGTTGAATTATGTGCAACTATATTAAGTCCACAATAAGGATTTAAGAATTGAATAGAAGTAATTATATAAATTAAATTAAGGATTGAGAACAATAATAATAAATAAATAAATAAATTAATTAATTAAAATGGGCTATTTCGAAAAGGTTTGTGCTTCTATTAAATGGGCTTAATTTGGTGTAAGTGGCAAATAATAATAATAATGTTTTTATTATTACAATTTATTATTATTATTATTTTAACAAAAAGGAATTTTAAAGCCCACATTGGTGTTAGTCTGCGGGTTCTGCTATTTTTTCATATATCGATTTTTACTATTAAAAAAATTACAATTAACATTTATATTTAAAATATATATATATATATATATATTACAACAACTTAAAGCACATAAAATAATCTCAAAATAAGAAAAATAATGTTTGATACTTCAAATTTTAAATTCAACACTTATTTTTTTGTTCAAACATATTCCATGCCTAATTTACTTAAAAAAATTTAAATTAAAAAATAAATGTGTTTGTTTGTAATTTGTATTTAAATCATTTGTATACAATAAAATATATATATATATAATTAAAACATATCATAATTAGATGTGTTTACTTGAGGTTTCAATACTAAATTTTCATTATTAAATTTAGAAAATTTTATTTGATTTCACCGTATTTAATATAATTTTTATTAAAAATATTATACTAGTATTAATAACAAGTAAGGTCAAAATAGAGTCTAAAAAAATCCATTCAATAATCAAAACGAAAAGAAAAAAAGAAAGAAGAACTAATGTGAATTTATAGAAATATAATTTGTATGAGAAATTAAAACAAATCACTATTTATTTATTTATTTATTTATTATTACATTTTGGAAATACAATTTGCATGAAACAAAAAATGAATTAATTAAAAAAAAAAAAAGAAAAAGGTTCGTACATGAAAGAATAACGTAACAATGAATTAATAATATATATGGATCGAACATTGTGTTCTCTTCGACAGCTTCGTAAAAAAGCAGCTCTCATATTTAATCAATTAAGAAAGAATTTGTGTATTGTTAGACTCTGCCCTCATTTATTGACTGCAGACTATTAATATTAATATTATTATTATTATTATTATTATTGTTGTTGTTATTGTAATAGGGAGATCTGATGAGGTGAGAATATTTAAATTTATTAATATTATGTTGTTCTTCTTCTTCCACTTCAGCCAAATTCTTCATCACCACGTCCGTAGCACTCGCCAGAAACTCTGCCCAATCTCTGCCACAAACAATTTTATGTTAATATTTATTATACTGAAATTAATAATTTATTATATTATATAAAATTATATCATACGCTATTAAAACATATGTTACTTGAAATTGTATCGTTTAGTGTCAAATTGCTGTAAGAACAAATATAATATGAAATTGATTTTTGTTTTGTGTTCAGGTAAAATAAAAGATTATATAATATTCTCTCCGTTAACATTTATTTAACAATATTTGTTACTAACTTTATTACATATTCTCTTTATTTTTATAATTTAAATTTACTTTCTAAAAATACATTTAATTATCTTTTTACTTTTATTAATTTTTAATAAAATATTTATTTATTTTTATCTGGATGCAAATGTTCTAATTTTTGGGGAAAAGAATAATAAAAAAATGAACTAAGTTTATATATATATAGATACCCTTGCAATGTGTCGAAGGTTAATCCGACGGTGTACTTGGCCTGTTCGAGCGCCGACCGGAAGCGGCGGAGGTCCTCCGCCGTACAGGCGGCGCCGCCGTAGTGGTCCTTAACGCGGAGCTCCGACGGCTTGACGTCGCAGAAGATGGGCACGAGTCTCTTCCGCGCCTGGACCATCAGGCTGAGCTCGTGGAGACAGAAGTACGACTCACAGTACATGGGCGAGAATACGGCGACGCCCACCTTGCATTCTCCGATCGCCACGTGGATCTTGTCGAACAGCTTGTCCCCTGGCTTCATGCTCTTGCTGTCCAGGAAGGCCCGGACCCCAGCGCCACCCAGGTGGTGGTGCAGCAGCCCCGCCACGTGTCGCTTCGTGTCGATCCCCCGGTGGTTCACGAACACCTCGCACGCCCCCCGCCGCCGTGGCTTCGACCTCAGAAACTGCCGCCCCACGGCGGCCACGGCGGTAATCGGCGATCTCTGCATTATCTATATAAATATTATATATATATATATATTTATTCTCCTTTGAAAAAAAAATAAAAGGAAAATCTGTGCATATATATATATATTCTTGATTGGTCGTGTTATTTATTGTAGTAGCTAGTATTTAATGCAGTGCATTAATTTGATGTGAGCTTTAATTTATAGGGATCGAATGAAATCAAAATTAGGGAGGAATTTTCTGGGTAAATTTATTGAGTTGAAAATTTGAACATATATATATATATAATATAATATAAAAAAATTATTACATAAATAGTATAGTGTATATTTCTACAAATTGAAATGAAATCAGAAGATGTGACTGTGTGGGGTTCCTCCGTACGTCTGAAAATTATATGTATGTATGTACGTATGATAATGAGTCAGGTTTTGACGTTTTGAAAGAAAAGAGAAAAAAGAATTAAGTCAAAGGATTTGAATCTGCTGACTCCTTCCAGCTTCGTTAATTACGTAGCGCTGCCTAAGTATCAGTCTTCGCCTAAATCCTTCAAACACGTTTTCAACGTTACCTTAATATTTTTTATTACACCACTTATAATACTAATAATTCTTTCACAATATTGCTGTTATTTGTGTATATATATATATATATATATATAAATCGATTTCATGATATATAGTTTGATGATACTCATATATATATATTTAAGATTTATATATTCCAAAGGGGTAGGTGAATTAATAAGCATCGCATTGAATGAGTTGAACGAATATAAAACCATTCAAGAACATCAAATTTCTATTCAACAAATTATTTTCTTATCTTCAAACCAATGTTCAAAATATATTTAAATTCGAGATATATATATATATTAGTAAAAAAAGTTGTAATTGTTCATTCCTATTGTATGGATTTGGATTGAACATATGCCTATTTTTTTTATTGTTATTATTTTTTTAATTGCACATAATGTGTAATGAAGTGAATTGAAATCCATAATGCCAAAGAACAAATATTGACTGTCAAATTCAATCTGCTCAAGTGAATTCTAGATAAGTTTTAAAATTTGCTGAATATATACATATATAATATCAAGAAATTTGACTCAGAAATTACAATTCATTATAATAATATATGTTTATATTTTCCAATAGAATTGTAAATCAAACTAAATTATACCAATTACAATTTGCTTCCTGTTTTTCTTTTCTTTTGTGTGTGTGGCAATTTTTTGCTTTTAATTATAATAAAATATATTTATACACACATTACTGCTAAAGTTTATTATTATTATTATTATTTTTTAATTTTTTTTAAATAAAAAAAAAATCAAAGTAGATAATTGGAATATTCGTGCTAAAGTTTTTGTTTTGTTTTTCTTTAAGGAACAAAGTAGAGGCACGTGAGAATATAAGGAATGTTTGGCAAGCAAGAAATTTGGAAAGTTATGCCACCATGGACATGGGAACTTTGGACCAATTCAGCTTCCGCCGCCCCACAATCCATTTTAATAATAGTTTTAAAATCATACTATTATTCAATAAATTAGTTGAATCTTAATATAAAACATATCCAACTATATATAATTTTATAAATTTAATGAGGAAACCAAATTATACAAACAAACATAAAATAAAATAATTTATATACATACCACTCTATTGGACTCTATACTGTACATATGAAAGTACTAAACTTGGAGAGCTTAGTATAAAATTTAAATATTTAATAAGAACAATGAAATACAAAAAATGCAGAATAAAACAAAATTTTAAAAATTGAAAAGTAGCTGAGGGATTTACGAAACAATTTCGTTGTAATTTTGTGGTGATGGTGGCGTTTATTTAATTTCTCAAACTCAAGGAAAATGGGAAATAATTTTGAAAATTAAGAATTTGTGTGTTCACTTTGTGTTTTCCATTGACACTATTTTTTTTTATAAATATTATTAAAAAATTAATGTAACTTAATTAATTTTTAAATTCAAAATATTATATTTTAACATCAATACAATTTTTTATATTTAACATACAAAATAAATTCATCAAAAACACTAAGGATATGTTTGTTTGAAGGATTCCAAAGGATTTGCACTATTCATACAATTTTTTTGTCTTCAAAAAAATTAAATCAAAATACCTATTTTTTTATTTTTTATATTATTCTAAAAATTAATTTTACGTTCAAAACATAACATTAATATTTATTTGTATCACATCTTATAAGTATTTAAATTTAAAATTTTTATTATTTAAATGTCTATAAAAAATTCAATCACCGGAACAAATTCGCCCTTCATATTTACAATAAACACCGAATTATTATTATTATTAAAAGCCAGTAAATACAATAGACAATACTCAATTCGCGTCTATCTACGCTACAAAAGGCCCGTAGGCCCAATATTTGGAGTCCGGGGCAATCCACACCGTCAAATAAATAGGATTTACAGAATGAACGGTGAGGATTGCCTTCGGAATTGATCTTCCGGTGTAGTTCAAAAATATCACTCTTTAAACAAACTGTGCCATTTTCATATACTCGTAATAATGATTAATTGCAAGTTGATCTCAATTTAAAGAAATATTCTGCAATTATTTTTATTTTTATTTTTTCACAAAGAAAGTGAAAAAAAATAAAATATCAAATAATACATGTATTTGGTACAAGAGTCAAAAAGCCATGGATTGATTTAACATTATTATAGCTATGATCCAAGAATTGACATGTTACATGGACAAGGACAGTCCAACCAATGTCCCCATTCTTGAAGAAAGAAATGGGTGTCTAATTATTGTATTTTTGTTGTTTTGTAAGAAGGTTTTTTTTTTTTTTTTTTTTTTTGAGATGAAGGGTTGGTTTGGATGCCCCATTGATGTTTAATGACTAATCTTGATTCTTGAATGGTGGTTTAGACAGGTTGTAAATATCTTCTATTCATGGTGGCAAAATTTAAAATTTATTGGGATTAAATGTAATGATAAATGAATCCCCATTTGGGCATCCAAGATTTGATTAGGAGATTAATTACAAAATTATTGAAGGGGTGGGGGAGAGATGGAGACATCATTTTGCCTGTGGGTCCAATCGGAAGATTGTAAGATGTCATGGCGGTTCTTGGCAGGGCCTGGGATCCGGAGTCCGGGTGAATGTGGACTGTTGGTGGATGTGGGTTGTATAGATCGACGGTGTAGGTTTATAGGGAAAAGAGTGGCCATCATAAATCTATCTCCATCTTTTTCACACACTCTCTCTCTACTCTCTCTCACATACACACACAGTGGCACACACTTACCATGTGAGTTGCTCCATCAATTCTCGCTGGATATTTCTAATGTCCAGTTAAGACCTGAAAAAAAAGGGGTTTCAAAATGTCTTATTCAGGGACATGAACTTGCACTTTCTCTCACAAAGGAGTGCTGCAATCTTAGAAGAACTCCTTCGTTCTCTTTCTCTCTCTTACTGAGCAGAAAGAGCGAGAGAGAAAGAGCAGTATGGATCCCAAATCCCTTCTTGATTACGCTGTTTTCCAACTCACCCCAACAAGAACCAGGTATGTCTGCAAATCTCTCATTGAAATCGATTGTTTCCTGATGAAATTAGTGATCAAATCTTCATCTTCATCTTCATCTTCCTCAACTGAATCTTGAAACATTGAAAAAAAATAAAATTTGAATTTAAAGGTGCGATCTTGTGGTGATTTCTGGGAAGAAGAGTGAGAAACTAGCATCTGGGCTGGTGGAACCCTTTCTCTCTCACTTGAAATACGCAAAGGATCAGATTCCTAAAGGTGGGTATTCCATAGCCCTTCGTCCACCCCCCACCGCCGACGATGCTTCCTGGTTCACTAAGGCCACATTTCAGAGGTAAACACTGCATATATATACAAATATATAGTTGGTGTGTTGTTTTTTGGAATCTTGAATCCTTAATGCCTTAGTTGTAAGTGATGTGTTTGTTCTTGTTTGTTTCCTTATGGTGAAGTTAATTAGCTGGATCGATTTGGGAACTGATTAATCAGTTTTGTGGAAAGTAAAAATAAAAATTCAATCTTGGAGAAGGGCTTCGAGTATACTCTGCTGATTTGATCTGATCTGATTTGATTTGATTTGATTTGATTGAACATTGGCTGTCAGATTTGTGAGATTTGTGAGCACTCCTGAAATTCTTGAGAGGATCATACGAATCGAAGAAGAGCTTTTGCAGATTGAGAATTCGATTCAGTGTAGTGAAATTTCGAATGTCGAAGATTCAGGGGAAGGTATGGATGGCAATAACTAATAAGCATCTCCTTGTCTGATCAACATTTTGCATATATATATATATGTTTACAAGAGTTTTCTTAGCTGCATTTCTTTGTCGTGTCTGTCAGATAATCGCCTCGATTTCTTGATTTATGTTTGCTGTTTCTGCAATTTCCAATAGAACATTCAATGTTGCTTTCATAACTAAGTGCATTGTGTCATCAGGTAATCTTTCTATTGGCGACGGGACAGCGAAGAAGTCGAAGGTAATTTTGTATCAATGCTAACAACTTGATCCGTATTCTCGAATTTACCGTCTCAACCAAATTTGGTGTCATGTTTTGTTCTCTTCTGTTCTTTAGACTCCCTCCGAGGAAGACGATCATGGCGCCGAGCCGAGAGAAAATTCCAGGTCTACTTAATGTCTAATTCATCGAATCCCTCGAAATTAAAGGTCCCTCTTTTATTTATAGTTCTGAATCACTGATTTTGATCAGAGTTCGTCTTCAACGAGTTATGGACACCCGGAGAGCGTTGCTGCAGAAAGAACAAGCCATGGCTTACGCTCGAGCCGTCGTTGCGGGATATGAGATGGACACCATCAACGATCTAATCTGCTTCGCCGATGCATTCGGAGCCTCTCGTCTCAGGTGCTTTTTTTTTTTCCCGATATTAACCTTTGTATAACAACCTATGCGGCATTGGTCTAATTCTTACAATATCGATTTTTTTCTTCCATGAAGAGCGGCCTGCGCCGATTTCAAGGAGCTTTACGACAAAAAGCATTCGGACAACCAATGGATGAACGAATTGGCAGCCGTGCAAGCCTGCCCTGTTCCTGACCTCTCATTCATGGGAGCATCCGGAATCATGGTAGCCGGTGAGAATATCGCTCCGCTTGTCCGAACCAACTCCGAATCGCCATCGGAGTTGACTCCTACGAATTCGGACGGGAGCAAAGGTACTGCGCCTTTACATTCTAGAACATTTGATACGCCGTTAACATTTCTTGCCATGTCCTAATGTTCGAATTTGTCTTCGACAGAGAATAATCCGAATGCTCAGCAACAGCTTCCGTGGATGAATCAGATCCCGCCGTATATGTACAACTTTCAAGGCCCCGTTCCGTATCAGGGATATCCTTTCCCCGGTATGCATCCCGTCCCGCCGTATTATCAGGCCCCCGTCGGATGGACACCTCCCGGAGAGGCGATCCAATCGAAAAGTCATCGTCCGTCGAGGAGGAAAGAGAGATCTCCGAATAATGTCTCGGAAGAAGACGAAGAAACTGCGTCTGAGGAGTCGGATGCTGCGACGGATTCGGATGGGGAACAAGAGCACGATAAGAAGTCGTCTTCGAAGGGCCATAAAGTTAAGAAGAACAAGAAGAAGAGTTCGAAAACTGTGGTTATCCGAAACATAAACTACATTACCTCCCAAAGGCGAAACGGGGAAGACGATGAGTCAAATGAAGATTCCTCGGGAGAAGATTCGTTAGTCAACGAAGCTTCGATTAGAGAGGGGATCAACAATGCGATCGCATCGTTGGAGAAGCATTCCAACTCAAAAGGACGTAAGAATCGAGGGAAATACGGCGCCCATGCTCGGAACGCGTCGAACGGCAACGGCGAGCAGGAAATCAGCGACGAAGTCGAAGCGAATAGTGTTTCCGAGGGAGGGAAAGGAGGCAATGCTTGGGATGCTTTTCAGAATCTTCTCATGAGTCAAGAAGATTCGAATTCTAGCGAATTACAGAAGCGTCCCGGAGAGTCAATGGACGGACATTTTGCGATGGAAAATTCGAACGGCAATGTTTCGCACAAAACTGGTGATGTGTTGGATTTCGAAGCTGAGAAGGTCAGGATAAAATCTTTGACGATCGATGATTCGGTTCTTGCGTTTCAGGCTGGTCCGGGACACGGCGGTAATGATCCGACGGTGTATTTCGGCGACGGAGAAAGGAATCCGAACATGAAGAAAATTGTTTCCGAAGGCGAGAATGCATTACTTTCGTTCAACGGATCATCGAGGACTGCTGCGTCGGGAACTCTTCCCGATTTCTCCTCGGAGATGTCGACAGTTAAAAACCCGAGAGGTGAAGATTGGTTCGTCGCGAATACATCCGGAGGTTTGGACATGGCGGAGGCGAAGCATTTGGAGTTCTCGAATCGCAGCTACCTTCCGAAAGAAGCGCCTGTGGTTGACGATTCGTTCATGGTGGAGTCGAGATCGATGGGTCCGGAGACGGACGTATCTCCGTGGAAAGCCGATATCATCGGCGCCGATGTCGATATACCGTCGCACCAAGAAAACGGTGCGGCGCCTATTGCCAAGTCGAGCTCTCTCGAGCCCGACGACCTATGTATGATGCTTGTTCGGGAGTCGCAAGAATTGGGTGCGTCTCGGTTGCCCGATATGGACTATGAAGTCGAGATCTCCTTCAACGAAACCGATAAAAACTCCGCCACTAAATCGAACGGCCGCGATTCTGAAGATAATTTAGCGAAGGACAAAAGTCCGGGCAGCAAGAAAACTCCCGGCTCGACGATCAAAACTCCGGGCAGGGACCCGAGGTCGAGATCCTTGACCGGATTGCTTGCCCGGAGCAAGACAGATATGCTGTCGAAGAGCAAAAAGATGTCGCCGGGCAGCAGATCGATGGGGCAGAAGAGCAAGTTAGAGAGGGTACGATAAGGTCTTATATTTCCGCAGGTTCAATTTAGTTCCGATCGATAATATCGTTTTGTCGTTGTGCAGGAGGAAGAGGAGCGGAAGCGATTGGAGGAGCTCGCGATTCAACGGCAGAAGAGAATTGCGGAGAGGACGGCGGCAAGTGGAACGGCGACTTCTCCGGCAGCGTTGAAGAAGCTTCCTTTAGGAAGTAAATCGGCGCCTTCGAAGCTCGAGAAAAGCAAATCTTCGTCGGTTGCGCGGAGAATTTAAATGGCGAAACTCCGGTCGGTGTTTCCGGTCGCCGGAGTTGGTTGTAAAGACGTTATTTGTCGTTGGTTTGATGTTTTTTTTTTTTTTTTTTTTTTGGCTTTTGAGGATGGTATATATTCATTGATTTGTTTGTTGTCCCTACAATAAAATGTGGATGATTCGATTTATGTTTGCTGAAAGAATGGATTGGTTTTCTTACATAGTTCGAATGCCAATTACTTATGCGTATCTATAATAATAAATTTGATGTCTTTCTCAGCTCTACAATCTCCAATTTTCATTCTCTCACAAAATCTCAAAACACACGAAATTTTACATACTCATAAAAGCCGGATAGCCTTCAAACCAAACCACACATTATATGTCATAATAAACATGACAAACTCTGATTTCAGACACACATACACAACAAACTGTACAAATAAGAAGCTCCATAAAAATGGTTAATGTCAGACCATAATCCAATCTAAAATCACAACACAACCCAACCTTACTACTTGATCTTTCCATCGGAATTTTCGCCGGCGCCGGCGCCGGCGACGTCGAGATCGGCAGAAGTCAGCGCCTCGATGTCGTTCCAGCTCCAGCAATCGGGCAAGTCGAGCGCGCTGCAGATCGTATCCGGGCTCGGCCACGGCGGCCCGCTGCTGCAGCTCGCATTGAGATCGACACTCGTGACGGTCGATTCCTCGATCGAATCGACGAAACTTGGCGGATGATCATAACAAGTGGGAATCATAGAAGCATTAGTCTCAAAGCCTGATGAGAATTCGAACGCGAAATCGAACTCTGCAGAGGGATGACTCTGGCCCATACTGATCAAGCCCGCCGGAGTACCGGCGGCGGCGCCGCCACTCGGCGGTGAAGATTGAAGCAGGGCCTGGAAAAGAATTCTACCCGCCATGCTGTTTTGATCATCATCATCATCAATCGAAGGCAAACCGTTGGAGTGATATTTAAGGTTCCGATCGGCGGCGGCGGCTGAGGTTGTCGGGGAATTGAAGAGCTTGGGACGCTTGTTCTTGCGGCTGCCGCCGACGGGGACGTTACGGAGAGTGCCGCCGTTAGTCCAATGCCTCTTACAGGACTTGCAGAAGTGGCGAGGCTGAGATCGGTTGTAGTTGTTGAAGTAGCAGAATTTGGTGTTCGTGGAGCCGCAGCGGGGGCACTTAATGGCGGTTTGCGACGGCGGCGTGCGCTCGGCGGCTGCGCCGCCCCAGCCGAGCCGGGAATCGCCAGAAGCCGGCTTAGCAGAGAATCCCATATAGAAATGAAGAATATGGAAGTGTAATTAAGAATTGTGATGAAGAATGGAAGGATATGACTAATTGGACATCATCAGCTGTATTTCTGTTTCTCACTCTAGCTAGGTAAAGGTTTGATTAATAATAAGTGTAAGAAATAATGAAGGCAGTAGTGTGTACTGAAGGGTGTACAATGATAAGAGTTTCCATCCGGGGGGGATCATCACCATCACTCGCTCACTAACTGATCACTGAGGGGGGTGGGGTGGGGTGGGGTGGGGGTGGGGGTGGGGGTGGTCCAGGTGGTCAGCATGCATGGGATCAATTAATTAACTATTATGTATGTTTGTATGTATGTATATATAATAGAGTTAGCTGTAGATATATAGATGAATAGGAAGAAGATGAGAAGGAAATAATCGGACATCATTGGATCTCCTCCATCTTCTTCGATGGGGCCGATGTCGCAATGGATTTGCATATACAGACGTACATATATATATATATATATATATATGGTGTGGTGTGTGTGCATGTTCTCTCTCTCTCTAGTCTCTACCTCTCACTCACATGATCCACTCACTCTCTCCATAATTCTGCTTCACTTTTAGGTATAATTGAATCGATACATCATCATACAAACTCTGTCCCTCCACATTCTTCTGTCCACCCCCCCACCCACTCACTCCATTGTCCATAACGGCGTCGTTTGATGAGCTAGAGCTGGTCGGTCGGGGCTAAATAAGAATAGTAAAATACACCGAATATTTGCCGGGTGGGGCCCGGATTGCTAAGAATGATTAGGAACAACTACTTAATTTAGAGAGGGTTGAATTGAAGTGTGGGGTGTTAATTAGTTGTTAATTGAGTTTAACTACTACTGTGGTGGTGAAGCTAACCAACCACGTGTGTTCATAATTAGCGTACCTCCACCCCCACCATTAATTTAATTTAATTTAATCTAATTAATAAGCAATTATTTTGTCCATTTATAGGCTGTCGAAACTTGCATTATATCATATATATATATATTATTAATTATCATTATTTGTTGTTGTTGTTCATATTGTAGTTGGGAGTTTGGAATAAATCATCGACACGTGTGTCTTATGTTTGAATGACCAAGTACAATTGGTTACATTTTAATCGAAGATACATAGTCGTACTATTTAAATATTCACCGCATAGATAAAATGAAAAACTGAGAATGACTTTCGTATTTTATTCAGACACGCATCGTTACGTGTTTTCATATTATATTATAGAACATGATCAATCAATCAATCACCCCTTACGAATATTTCCGAATTAATTTCAAAACACACACATACATACATATATGTATATATTGTCTGTGTTTGGGTGATCTTACAGCAGTGATGTCCTAAAGTTACAAAACGATAAAAAGGGATGAAGTTAGGTAATGAAAGAACATATTGGTAGCTCGATATCTCAATTCTTCATTCATATTAACTAAACCTTTTGGCAGCATCTAAAACTTGAAACTCTTTTTCGATTTGGTGTCTTTTTCCTGCATCTTTCGTTTCCTCTTGTTCTCGTTCTGACAGTCGGTTTTCGATGAATTACTTTCTTGTTTGCACGGAAGAAATATTGGGGGAAGAAGAACGAAAACAAAACAGCAGCATGTGTATGTACCTCGGCAACCATGTCGCTGAAATCCTCGCGCTGATTGCGCAGCTTCTCTTCTTCTCTTGCCTCCTCGTACCTACACAGACAGCATAACAGGGAAATGAGAGTAGATTTGGGGAGGAAATTGAGTCGGGATGAATGAGTTAAAAAAACTGACTTGGCTGGCAAAACATTCTCCATGACTTCCAACTCTTCAGGTGCTAATGTGACGTCGACTTTGTCCGCTTTCTGGCCTCTTAGCAAATCGACCTGTCAGAATATATTTTCCGAATAGCCAGCCAGATAAGAATTTTTAATATGGGTAAGCAATTTTGAGGTAATGACTGAAAAAAATCGGACAGGATGAAATCATTTCATTACCCTTTTAGCACCAGATTTGTCTTGCGTGCCAGTGTTGATCACGTACCTGCACGGGCAATTGACTTGGAATGTAAAAAATATTTGAACCGACTGTATTTTGAAGAAAAGGTAAGACGACATACGTATGGCTCGGTGCAAGCAAGGTTCCTGGAGTTATCCTCTCTTCTTTTTCTTCGAGTACCTGTGCCAGAAAACAAAACATAACAATCTTCATCTCAACCACAAAAAAAAAAAAAAAAATGGCAAAACAATTTCGAAAAGAAGATTCCTTACTTGATAGAGAGGTCTGTCAGGTTCTTTCCTCTGTTGCTTCCGAAGATCAATAACATCAGGAGTTTCAACACCAGTGGGAGTGCTACGACCACCAAATCAGAGTCCAAAAATCAGTATAAATTAAAAAATATACACACGGAAGAAACAGTTATCGGGGACATCGACTGCCAAATCCTGGTCGAAGTTTACCTTGAAAGGCTATCAACAGATTGCATGCCATCTTGCAATTCTTTTTCCTCCAACTGTTCCTCGTCTTCTTCTTCTTCTTCCTCCTCCTCTTCTTCCTCTTCCTCCTCTTCTTCTTCCAAGTCGCCCCAATGTTTAGCCTTATCGACAGGTTCGTCCTGAAAACAGATTTGCTATATGTAAACAAGCATTGCTGGCTAATGACGATACATGAAAACAGAAACAAATCAGAAGGGATATTACAGAATCACAGCTTACCTCATAATTGGGCTGCTCTTGTTGCAAAACACCAAAAACATCTCCATAGAGGGGCCGCCCATACTTTTTCAAAATTAAAACACATGGTATCAGTAAAAAGTGAATAATGATTGAAATATGCTACAATTCAAATGCAGGTAAAAGCTTAAAACCTACTTCATCAACAGGTGGCTTGCCCCAGTCTCCATGTCCATAGCCAAATTTTGCTCCAGGCGGAATAGGGGCGTTAAGGCCAGGAATTTTCAGATGCGGATATGAAGGTGGGGGGCCGTACCTCTGTCAAGTAAAGCAAACCAGCTCAAATTTAGCTCCCTTAATAAAAATTAGGAAACTACTATTCATCTGAACTTTGGAGAGGAAAAAAATTGAATATAGCAAACAGGAGTCATATAATTAACCTGCATATTGATAAGCCAAGGAGGAGGAGCACCTTCAGGCATGCCTAGAGCCTCTTTTAACTCATGTGACAATGCCCCTGGTTTCATTTCTCGTAATTTTACCTGCCAGCAAACAAGGCAAGACAAACGATATAAGTTTGTGTCCCAATGTAAAAGTAGCACTCAATTTTAACTCGGTACTATTATTGCTTCAGGACAGTATGTTATACAGCAGAATGTGAAAAACGTGAAAACCCATGACAGGCTACAGCAGCCCTATCGAGTGATACCATGTAACAAAGCAAAAATACATGAATCTTACATAACCTTGATATCAACATAAAATGAAACTATAGAGGAAGCATAAGTTTGTGAATCCATCCTTTTAAAATGAAGTGCAAAGCATAAACATAGTGCACAACTGTCAGGAAATTGTCGTACCAAATTTCATACCTCAAATTCTTTCCCCTCGTAATATAAGTCACCATGATTGGTCAATTTAGGTTTAGTCTGGTGCTTGAAGAAAGCATCATGGAGTACCTATAAAGTCAAAATGGAAAAACTCCACTCAATAAAACAAAACAAGCCTCAGCAACAACAGTCTCTTCGAATAATAAAAACATGAATTACTGATTCAACACTTGAAAAATTAAAAAGGACCTGATAATCAATGTCCATTTTCCCCATTTTAGGTTGCATCTTCTCACGTTGTTTTTGCTTCAACTTTTTACTATCTTCCTTCTCAATGTAAGCCTGTCACGTACATACAGAATAAAATATGGCAATCTCAGAATATGTTGACATTCTAGAAAATGAATTGGAAAATTAAGCAATGAATGATTATTAGACTAGGTTGCATGAATGCAAATGCATGTAAATACAGAGAAAAATTTCAGTCTCACTTGTCTGATTTTCTCAATTCCAGTTGCAGCAATAAAGTCAGGAAGTTGGAAAGGTTGCTTTTCAATACCTCTCTTTCCCTGCAAAGAATCACAGAAGCTGATGAGATAAGATATTAGACTAGCATGTAGGTTCTGAATAAATACATTCAAGCATGTAAAATAATTAAAATCTCAAAGGAAATAGAGAATTGTAGCCTTAATTGCAATTCAAACCAGCATTTTAATTATAAAGAGATCAACAAAATATTGATATTTGTCAATCTTATATCCACTTTTAACACACCTTATCTATGACAGGATACCATCATTTCTCAATTCCATTAGAAATTTACTGTTAAGATATTACAAATACTTCAGGTCCTAGTCCATTGAAGAACATCAGGCAATATAGAACATATATATTTAATAACATACATATTCAAAAGTTAAAATATCTTATTTTAAGAAAATCCTTCTAAGATGCTACACAAAAATACATGTTTTATCTCTTGATAGGTTCTTTCAAAGGCATTTAACAATAGGCCATAACAGACAGCCCAATATGTAAAGCAAAGTGCACATAATTTTTGCAAGGTTCCCCTTGCAACACCTACATGTCAAGGATCCACAAGTTCCACAGCAGCTCTCCTGCAAGAACCATGTATATATATAAGACAAACCTCATTAACTTAGTGCCTGTCACACTCTTCCCCAATCCCACGATTTAATCAAACCCATCATGCCCTTGGAACATTTCAACATGAACTGCTGATGTAAGGGTCTAATTAACCTACAAGAAGTCAGTTACAGTGACTTGCCTGCAAATACTTTCTTTTCTGGGACCAGTGTCGTGGAACTGGAACAGAATTTCTATATGCTTTCAGATATACCAACAGCTTTGGATCTGCTGCAGTGGCATCCCATACCTAAAATCCATAAAAAATAATGCTCAATTGAACTACCAAAAAGCAAAGACACAAAAGTAGGCTCAACAGTACATAGGATTTGATTTACAGTTCCAAAAAAAAGGATAAAATTCTCATTTCAAAGAACTGATGAGGCACCCCTGATCCCTATCATATGCAACCAGGAAAGCATATATGGGCTATTAATTAAAAAAAGATGCTAATAAGCAGCGGGGTTAAAAAGCATCTAGAATTGATATCATCCATAAGATGAAAAGTTTTCGAGTTTCATGAAAGCACAGCATAAACACACAATATTATTAGTATGAATAGTTTATTTGTTTATTCGTTTAAAGTATCTGGTAAAAACAACAATAGAATGGTATCAGTAAGACCCTCATGTCCTCCCTGAATATTTCAAGATAAGAATGAGAAGATCTAAATAAGCAACCCTAGAGATATGCCTAACTAAAATCTGTCCGCCACAACACATTATTACATAAAGTAGTTAAATAAAAAACAAAACCCACTCATGTAACACATTATATAGATTGCCCTATACCTCAATAATATCAGGCCGTGAACAAATTTCTTTCAATTCAGAAATCTTCATTCTTCGTTGCAGCTGTCAGAGAGAAAATCTTTTAGCCTTAAAATAACCATTGTAATGCATGAGATTGTACATATATTAAATATGCAAAGGAAAGATAACAATCAAGGGCGTGAAAGACCAACCTTTTTCTTTTTGTTGGATATTCCTTTCTCTCTCTGTTGATTAACTTGTTCCTCCTCTTCTGAATCCGATTCAGCCTTTTTCTTCACTGCATCAGGGACAGTATCATCCTTTTTATCATTCTCCTGAAAAAACAAGTTGTGAAGATAAGCAGCTTACAAATTTGAAAAGATATATGCATATATATTAGAAAAAACTATAAGAAGTTCTGAATGGAAAAAAAAAATGTGACAAGTTCATGCGATCTTTCACTTACTTCTGAGGCTACACTTTCTGTAAAAGTAAACTTTTCAAAGACCCTCCTGAACTCTTCGTCCAAAACACCTTCCAGTTCAGCCTTTTCTGGTACATACTCAACCTCTACAGCTTCTAAAGCCTGAAGGTTCAAACAAATTGAAGAAGCTAATGAATTCTACTATTATAACTCTGAAATAAACAGAACATTTTTTTTTTGGGTCCTAGAAATAACAAATAACAAAATCTGTATATTAAGTGGGCATTAATAACCACGTTCCTACTTACCTGAACTGCAAATATCAAAAGCACACAAACTAACTATATGACAACCGGCACTATGCTTCACTCCGAATGAAAATAAATAAGAAGAATAGCCATAAGATTATGGTATCCGTGTTTTTCTATACAAAGTTAACTATTATTTTACATGCAAATCAATTAACACAAAGAACACTAGTGTCATAAGATTCTTTACTTCCAAATATCTCAGGGCTGTTACATTGCTTTGCAAATTGCACTGTGAGAACTCTCTGCTCTAACAGATAAAAAATGAGTCGGCAACTCCAATCTTTTCATTTAAATTGACCGCAGGTTACCATAAGATACAATGGCACTTAGACACACAATATATGTAATAATCTTATTCTTGCTAGTCGCTAAATTGTAAATAGTTAGGTTATTGTTCACAATTATATGTAATATCTTACTCTAGCTACAGCATGTTACAGTTCATTAAAAAACGACATAAAAATTGCCAAAATTTCATCAAAAACCTTGCAAACTAACGTCGGACAATTGATGTGAGCAGATTTATTAAACTTTGCATCCAAAGCAACTATTAGTCACCTGATTTAGAGCTATAAAAAGCGAACAAAACGCACGAGAAACTTCCACCTACCTGTTGAGGATCGGAATTCTCCTTAGAATTGTCATCACCGGCCGCGCCGGCGTCCTTCGCAGTTGCGTCGTTTTCATGCCCCGCCGCATCATTTTGCTTGTTCTTCTTCTGTTTCCGCCGCCTCCTACGCCGCTCGCTCTCCCGAGATTTCTTAGCGGCAGCGCTAGGGTTTTCAGGCTGCAAATCGCCGTTGGGGGGCGCCGTAGTCTCCGCCACGACGACATTCGCCGCTTCCGCTGGCATCGTAATCCCTCTACAGGATATCCAAAATCGATCCAATTCAGACTGGGTTCCGACTCGACTGGCAGAATACCCCCCAGATGGCAGTTGGGGCGGGTCTCCCGAACCCACCCGGACCCTGTTAATGGGCGGTTCGAGTTCAATTTTTATATCAGAGATGGGTTACGCGTCAAAAATGATTTTGGGATGGACTTTTGAAATATTATATTATGGTTCAAAACTCCCTAGATACTCTTACATTTATCCATTTATCGTAAAGCGAGTCACAGGAAAAAAAGCGTGCGGAAATATGGGCTTTCGTATCTAGCCCATCATATAACGCCTCGGCCCGAAAGCCTACATTTTTAGGAACGGCAATGCCGCAATGATCAGATATTCAATAATCCCACCGTCTACCTCGACAGTCGACAGCCTCGTTTTCGCACCATTCTTCTACACAATGTCAGCTTCTTCTCAACCCAAAGCTAAAAGTTTACAGATTCAGAGTAGCCTCCCTGCGCTGTCACTGAATTCCGCAGTATTTTATTATCTTTTAGCAATATTTAATGAAAAGATGTAGCTTTCATGGCGTCATATGTAAAACTCGGAAAATTTCTCCTCTCCCTCCACACCGCTGACCCAAAATGGAGAAGATACAACACAAGTACGTACCGGTCAACGGCCTGAACCTCCACGCGGCGGAGATCGGAAACACCTCATCTCCGGCGGTGGTGTTCCTTCACGGCTTCCCGGAAATATGGTACTCATGGCGCCACCAGATGCTCGCCGTCGCCGAAGCCGGATTCCGAGCGATCGCGCCGGATTACAGAGGATACGGACTCTCCGATCCTCCGCCGGAGCCGGAGAAGGCGACGTTCAGGGACCTCGTGGAAGATCTTCTCGCACTTCTCGATGCCCTAAGCCTCTGCAAGGTAGACAATAAATAAAACAAACAAACAAACATCGTTACATTACACTCAAAGCTAGTCAATACATGCCATTAAGTTCTGTAAAATTTCCAAATCATCTAGGTTTTTCTAATTGGTAAAGATGTCGGAGCTGGGGTGGTATCCATCTTCACACTCCTCCACCGGGAGAGGGTGTTAGGATTTGTAACAATGGGGGTGCCATTCATGCCCCCACACCCTTCCACCTACCATCAGCATCTCCCTGAGGGTTTTTACATTTTAAGATGGCAGGTTTCACTCAATCCCCTGATCAAATTCTGTCATTCTGAAATTCACATCCACCTTTGCTGGATTGGCTGATGGTATTGACAGGAGCCAGGCCGGGCGGAGGCCGATTTCGGGCGGTTTGACGCCAAGACAGTGGTCAGGAATGTGTATATAATGTTTTCAAGGAGTGAAATACCCATAGCTAATGAGGATCAGGAGATCATGGACCTGGTGGAGCCATCCACGCCTTTGCCGGAGTGGTTCTCAGAGGAAGATCTCACCGTCTATGGAGGCCTGTATGAGAAATCCGGCTTCCGAACTGCATTGCAGGTTCCCTACAGATTCAGGTGCTACACTACACTGCACTTTGATCATATATGAAATCTATACTATACAAGTAATATTGAATTCAACTTAATAGAAATACTCTGTAGGTAGGATGGTATTTTGATCTTGGGAGACTGAGAACTAACTAATGTGTTCCCAAACTTCTCTGTAACTTGGCTAAAGTTACAGAATTGGGGTTGGATTCAGGGTAATATTTATTGTTTGATTGTAGGAAGGCTGGTGGTGCGCCACAGATCGATGTACCAGACCCGAAAGTTGAGGTACCAGGTCTGCTGATCATGGGTGAGAAAGACTATGTCTTAAAATTTCCAGGGATGGAGAGGTACATCAGGGAGGGGAAAGTGTATGAATATGTGCCTAATCTGGAGATCAAGTTCATACCTGAAGGGAGCCATTTTGTGCAGGAGCAGTTTCCTGATGAGGTCAACACCACCATCCTCAACTTCCTCAAAAGCATCCAGGATTGATTGTCATTCTGTTTATGCCACTTGTGTTTCTGCACCAGGGTAATTTGACAAGCTGAGGAACATTGTGGGATTTTTGTAATAAGATATCAAACCAATTGTTCCTAGTTCCTATTACCATGGAATTTGTCAAACCCACAGTGAAATATATAAAAATAAGTTGTTTATTTTTACAAAGACGTGTCTTTGTTTTTTTTTTCTTCAAATTATTGTTGTAAAATAAATCATTTATAATGATAAAAAAATCTCGAACCGTTAACCCAAAAATCCAAAATGGAGAAGATAGAGCACAAGTACGTACCAGTCAACGGCCTAAACCTCCACGTGGCGGAGATCGGGAACACCTCATCTCCGGCGGTGGTGTTTCTCCACGGCTTCCCGGAAATATGGTTCTCATGGCGCCACCAGATGCTCGCCGTCGCCGAAGCCGGATTCCGAGCGATCGCACCCGATTACAGAGGTTTCGGGCTCTCCGACCCCCCGCCGGAGCCTGAGAAGGCTGACTTCATGGACCTCATAAATGATCTCCTCGCACTCCTCAACACCCTGAACCTGCCCAAGGTAAGACAGCCAAATTGCACCTTAGTTAATAGTTCCTCTTACTTAACATCAACTCATCTAGGTTGTGCTAATCGGCAAAGATTTCGGAGCATCCGTGGTGGCCATATTCACCCTTCTCCACCGTGACAGGGTGTCCGGATTTGCGACGTTGGGGGTGCCATTCATGCCCCCACGTCCTCCCAAGCACCAACAACGACTCCCTGAAGGCTTCTACATGTCAAGATGGCAGGTTAGTTCCCACTTCTCAAACCAGTTATCGATTCTTCTCCCACCTAGTAATAACAATACAGGTTATGTCCAGGAGCCGGGACGGGCAGAGGCCGATTTCGGGAGGTTCGACGCCAAGACAGTGGTCAGGAAAGTGTACATCATGTTCTCCAGGAGCGAACTGCCTATAGCAAATGAGAATCAGGAGATTATGGACCTGGTGGAGGCATCGGCTCCTCTGCCTGACTGGTTCTCGGAAGATGATCTCCAAGTCTATGGAGACCTGTACGAGAAATCGGGCTTCCAGACGGCGTTGCAGATCCCCTACAGATACAGGTTTTACTTTCCTCTATCCATTGATCCAACTGCTAAAATACCATAAGCTCATGCCATTCTATCGCAGGCCGGCAGGGGCGCCGCAGTTCGATATAGGAGAGCCTAAAGTTGAGTTACCAACACTGCTGATCATGGGTGAGAAAGACTATGCCTTTAAATTTCCGGGCACGGAAAGCTATGTTAGGGATGGGAAAGTGTATGAATATGTGCCTAATTTGGAGGTCAAGTTCATACCTGAAGGGAGTCACTTTGTGCAGGAGCAGTTTCCTGATGAAGTGAACGCCACCATCCTTAACTTCCTCAAAAGCCACCAGGGTTGATTGTCACTATGTTCCTGCATTATATATAGGCATTTGATAAGTACACAGCTTGCTGTAATAAAGAGTTTCAACTTATTTGAATAATACAGCTATTTCAGTACCATGCTTACCATTGTAATGTTGTGCTGCTGCTAAGTTTTCAAGAATGCAATAATCTGTACAACAGTCAGTAGAATAGTTTCTGTATGCAGTAAAAGAATGAACCATATGTAATCCAACAGAATATTGATTGGATTCTCCGAAATTTATAGCTCAACTCGGAAGTATCAACATATATTTATCTAATGTGGATCATAGGAAAAACAACATGACATGGGAAATCAAAATCAAGCTTTAACATCATTTTGTGAAAATGGATTATCTTGGAGCAACCTCAGTGATAGAAACAGGAATCGAACTCATCTGATGGCTAATTGACTTATCCTTGGAGATTTTACCACGCTTTCGATCCGAATCTTCAAAGAAACCTGGAGGAGTTAGTTCCTTGTCATTGAGCCGGACATTCTTACTCAGCATCTCAATAACCTGGTTCATTGTTGGCCTTCTACTTGCAATTGCTTGGATGCAGAAGAGAGCCACTTTTATAAACCTGAGAACCTCTTCCTTTGGAAACTCCTTGAGTTCTGGATCAACCAATTCGAGCAATTTCCCCTGTTCATAAAGCTCCCATGCCTATCAAGAAAATATGTCTACATTAGCAAAACATGAGAAAAGGCTATAGACGAAAGAGTATCGAGAAACTTAAAGGAACCGGACCCATTCAACTAGCAGTTTCTGGACTCCTCCATAATTTGTATCTCCACTGCTTCCGCCACTGACCACTTCAAGGATTAAAACTCCGAAGCTATACACGTCAGCCTTCTTGGTTAACTGACCACCTAACACATACTCGGGTGCAAGGTATCCTCTGCTTCAAAGAAATTCGATGCATCACTTAGAAACAGTCCTTTAGAGATCAAAGCTAACTCTAAAATTTTTATTTGGATGAGTAAGAAATCAGTATATTTTGTGCAAACTATGGACAATGCTGAAAGAGAGATAACGGGGCATACGTTGTTCCAGCTATCCTTGTGCTTATGTGTGTAATGTCATCAGGGAAAAGTTTAGCTAGTCCAAAGTCTCCAATTTTCGGTTGAAAGTCCTGATCCAGAAGTATATTGCTTGCCTTGATGTCTCTATGCACAATGTGGGGCACGAGTTCTTCGTGAAGATATGCAAGCCCTCTTGCAGTCCCCACGCAAATGATGGACCTCCTTTCCCATTCTAATTTTATAGACCTCTTTGAGCCTGTCAATGCATATAAGATGTTCAGAGTTTATTGGAAATGTTTTGACTTTCTCCACAAGTTCTCTTTACCATACCGAGTAGTGCACGATCAAGACTGCTGTTTTCGACATATTCATACACCAAAATCCGGTTAGGTTCATGCACACAGCAACCAAGTAATTCAACTAGGTTTGGATGCTTGACATTGGATATGGTATCTATCTCAGTTAGAAACTCGCGCACTCCCTGTTTTGACTCTGCGGAAAGCATCTTCACTGCTACTTCTCTTCCGTTTTTGAGAATTCCCTACACAACATGAATGGATTGGATAGAAATCACATGGTATCCCATGGATGCAGAACTAAGTAACTCATAATTCGAAAAGATTAAACAACAAAATAGGCCTACTGCAATGTGTTAAAATCTAAAAGTCACTTTCATTGCCATACTTTAGTTAAGGACAGCTCAAAATGTTTTCAATTGCTTGGAAAACATCAAAGCAGTCCCAATTTATAACTTATCCCAATGCAAGATTGATATCCACGTTTACTCGATACCACTAAAGATTGGAAAATATGATGTATGTCAGTGGCTGAATTGCTTATAAGAACTCTAATAATCTATGGAAACGAAAGGTTAAATCGTCGCACAGAAAAGCAGGGGATAAAGTCTATTTAACATTATAATACCTTATAAACTGTGCCAAAACCTCCCCGCCCTATTTTGTTGCTTCGATGAAAGTTATTAGTAGCAGCTCTTAATTCATTGTATGTGAAGTTTTGGGTCTTTGCAATGGAGGTCCCTAGATACAATAGAATAATAAGAATGTCAGGAGGTAAATAAAGAAGAAATACTACAATAACTGAATTGATAAGTAAAGTATCATGTAGAAGCCACCATTGAAATCATATTCCCAATATTTTCCAAGGTCAACACCATAGGAATGAATCCCTTAGACTTCATGATTCCAATTAGACACTAAATTTGAGAAAATGCGAGTTCAACAAAATCAGTATGATGATTCGAAATGAATGAAGCTGATGAGAATCTAACCGTCTTCAGCGAAAAATGTTCACATTCATATCAAGAGTATCACTTGCTCATTCTGTGAAAAGTATTGCATGCATTGGATACTAAGGCATTAAAATTTTCTTAGCTCAAAGCACAAGCAAGAGCAACATATATATAAGAGTGTAAATAAATTCCTACAATAGGAAGCATGATTCTTACAGTAGACCATGGCCCAATGAGACATGACAACAAAATATATGAAAATTATCATATGAATAACTGTGGAGTGAATCACCAGTAAGCAGAAACCTAGAAAGGTAGCTAACAAAATTCTTCAAACAAATACACAGAAAAAAATAATAATAATTGTAATAATGATTCTACCACTCAACATTAATGGAGTGCTTACCCTCTTCATCTTGTTTGGATTGATGAGGATCCTTATCGTCATGTTTCTTCTGGCGAACAGTTGAAAAGCCAAAGCAGCTGCAGTTCATGTCCTCTAATGGTCTATATCAATAATCTCCTAATCCTTGAGTGATTTCTCATCAGGACAGAAGCTGACCAAGACATTTCCATCAGCCATTACCTTCTTTTCTTATACAAAATTCCGCTCCTGTGCAGCTTATCACACCCTGCACACTTTCCAAATGTTTGGGATCGGAGCAGAAGGGGTAGCATTCAAAGTTTTCAACTACTTTATTAAATCAATCTTCTATAATTGCACAGAAATCAGTCTTCTATAATTAAAGACATATTTATGAGTGAAATCAATCGCTTACGTATTCAATACACCAACTAAATTCAAAGTAATATATATGAACTAGAATTTAGAATGTTGAACTTGGAATGTACATCGATATTAGTCATAGAATGATAAAATTTAATACAAATATCCAGCAGATACTATGGCTAAACTGAATATAGCATTTGTCGACAGATATTAATTACCTTCGGCGAAACATGCTTTTAACAATGCATAAAAACCTTTGTTCATGGCATTGTCAGCATTCCAAATATGAATGCACTCTTTATGCACATGAATAGATTTTAAAAGAATACAAGAATCTATTTCTCACCAGCAAACAAACGCATATTCCTGGAAATCGTACTAGTTAACATGCATAAACCCTAACCAATTCACCACACAAACTCAGATCCTTTAAGCGTGGCAATTCATTCACATAACTCAATACAGAATTCAAAACTCGCACATAAAAATTCCGATTCAATCAGTTACATATACACATATACCCTAATAACACCAAAACCTAAGATCGCGGGCGACGAAAAAAACACTCATATACTCACAAATTAATCAGCTCGGTCGACGAACGCAATGAAGTAGAACTGTAGAAGCGTAACAGCACGTTACCGGAATTAGATACCAATCCGAAGGTGCCTGACTGCCTGGAAAAGTAGCCCTACCACTGCGTGAAGTTGCGGTGACGGTGGAGAATGCGAAGCAGGAAGAGTCAAAAGTCATAGCTACACCGCGAAACTTGATTGTAGGTGTGACCTTCGTATACAGATTCCTGCAGGACGTATAGCGTTGATAGCGACCCCTTTCTCCTTTCCGCCTGCTCCTTCCATTAGCTCCACTGATTAGCCGTCCAATTGCATTTTTTCCCACCAACTCTCATTCTTTATTGCACAGGCATTTATATACGTACGCCAACTATACGTATTTCTGCTCGTATATACTCACGTACGGAAACGCTTCCTCCAATGACGATAATAATATAATTTAAAATTAGCTGTTTATAATTATAGGTTTTAAAAAATATTAATTATATTTTAAATTTTAATTTAATAAATGTGTTCAGAGAGTCACAAATTCATTATGATAGAACTTGGAATATTTGTGGGAGGCACATACGGAACTTTTGTTTGGTTTGAGGTTTGACTGATTGATTGATTGACCCACTAAACAAAACAAAAGCCGTAGCTGCATTTATTTCTTCAATAGTGAAAAGACAGAAGTACCCTTCACACGACCCGATCGCCGATATGTTATGCCTTTGTCTGAACTCGATTCAACTTTCACACCCCAGGAAGTTCAATTAAACATTTTTAAGTGTATTGTTTAAATATATACACATATATTTAGTATTTAATTTCTTTTATTAATTTCTAAATAATTTTATGTAATGCAAATAAATGATCAAAATAATACTTTAAGTAAAAATTCATTTATTTAATATATTATTTTAAATTAAAATAAATATTTGATAAATTATACTACCTTCATCGTCTGACTGTAAGGGTCCTATTTACTTTTTACGTATTAATATTTAAATATTAATTATTATATGAAAACGTAATACAAATTAATGAAAAATTATAAAAATATTATTTTAGTATCTTATAATACTATTGTAATGACATTTGTGAAAAATTTTGATATTTTTAACGTTAAATACAATGACACAAAAGGTAAATAAGACTTTAGAGCCAGACGGAAAAGTATATTCTTTGTCCTACACATAATGTCACATTTTCATTTTTGTTCATCCATATATTATGTCACTTTTTTTAAAAAAAATATTATACATTTTAATCACATTTTATATTTTATAATTTATAATTTTCATTAAATTAATTAGTTATTTTAACATGTATAATTATTGTATTATATTATAATTAATTTTATTAATATATTTTTAATTATTTATTAATTATAATTTTCTTAAATTTTCATATATCTGCAATAACAGACTGAGTGAGACGGATGAATTGTTTTTTTTAATGAAATTGTTAATTAATAGTAAAAAAATAAAATTGAAAACTTAAATATACTTCAGTTAAGTCTTAAAAAAATATAGTATTAATAATGATTTAAATTCAACATGCTTCTCGAGTCTCAAGTCTCATTAATTTAGCTAATTACTCTCCGTTCCACATAATTTATCTCTATTTTCTATTTTCGTTCGTCCCATATAACTTGTTCTATTATATTTTTGGAAATATAATTATGCATTTTAATCACATTTTAAATTTTATAATTTTCTTAATTTTAATTAAATTATTTACTTATCTTAATTTTAATCTATAATTATTTTTACTAAATAATAATTATTTTTATTAATACACTTCTTAATTATTTACTAATTATACTTTACCTAAATTTCCGTGTCTACAGTAATACACTCAAATTACATGGGATGGAGGGAGTATTACTGTATATAATGTCATACTCTTCATTTCTTTCTATCACACATTTTATATCATTTTCTTTTATTTAAAAAAAAATATTACACATTCTAATCATATTTAAAAAATTCAATGTTTTTTGGACCCCCCAAAGACAAATACAAGCTAAGGGGCAAGTTACAAAATATGACCCATTCCTAGTACTATGTTTTTTGGACCCCCCAATTTGTCTATTTACATTTTTTTTATATATAAAAAATAAATTATTGAATATGATGTAAGTAAATATTAAATAATTTTTATTTTTATTTTTATTAAAAACTCTTTTCTATGAAACCTTTTAAATAGAGAAATAAGTATCAAGTAGTCATATATTAAAACTTTTATTAATATATATATAAACATAGGCTAATTATAAATAGATATTCTATTATTTTCAAATAATTTATTTAGTTTTTTTTTTTATTTTCAGTCTGTCTTTCATAATTGTCATTTTATTTTTAAATATATGATTACATATTTTAATAAATTAAATTATTTAATTATTTTAATTGAAAAGGAAACTGAAGGGTATGTTTCCCTAAGGTGATTTGGCCCAATTTTATTGTGCACAGTAAAATGGACGCCAAACTATTTTTTTTTTTAATTTAAAATTTTATTTAATATTTATTATAATTAAATGAAAAAAATATGTATACAATATATATGTCATACAAATTTTTTTATAATATAGATAAATAAAAATTTAAATATATATATGTTGGGTATAATATAAATTCATAATCAAATTATACAATATAAATTTTATTAATTAAATTTAATACACAAAAAAAAAAAAAAAAAAAACAAAATTCAAATACATCCTAAAATTCAAATAAGAAAAGCGAAATCAATGCACGGTCATGTCGAGTTAATTTCAGCGGTTCATTTTAACTCGTCAGGTAAGAAAAGACTTGTATCTAAACGTAAAATAATTTAATGAATTTTAAACCAATCGCATTATACTACAAACTTTAAATCTGGCAAAATTACGGCAATAAAAATAAATCAAAAATCAATGCAACTTATTTGCTGGAATAAAAGTCGTTTTTACCTTTTATTTATTTATTTATTTTTGTCGTCGTCCAGAAGCCGCGCCTATAAGTAGACCCTCCATCGGAGCTCCTCCCTCGGTGGACTGCAGACCAGATTTTCCTCTGCCCTCGGTCTCCGGAACTCGAGCATTTTTCTCTCCTCTATCTTGCTACACACGCATCCGCGTTGCAATTGGAGTTTCTCCGTCATTTTTTAATCGAAGTTTTGCATGGCAGTTAGATTGTTGAATGCAGAAGTTTCAGATTTGTGCTTAGGGAAGCCGGAATTGATTTGTGTGGCGGCGAACGCCTCGATTGCGGACGCGTTGGCGAAGCTGAGGGCGTCGGAGGACACGCACGTCGGCGTATGGGTATGTAGCGGAGAGATTGCCGGTGGTTCCTGCAGGTGCGTCGGTAAATTCAGCGTCGCAGATGTGACTCTGTTTCTCTGCAGAGAGGAAAATTTGGCCGATCCTTTTAAGGCTTTGCAGTCTCCAGTTTCTGATGTTTTGCCCAAGGGATTATCGGTCGTTAGGCATTTGGAATCCAATTCTAGGTTCGATTAATCTTCTGCCTTCTATATATTGTTCGTGTTTTTCCTTCTTAGACATTTTTGTTGTTGTTGAAAATTCAAAGCCTAAATCGCAACCAACAAATGCACAATCTCTGAAATTGGAATGATTCTTATTGATGCTAAATCGAGATGATAGATTTACAAATACCAACCAAATTGTACGTTGAGGCAACTGTATCTGCTGATCTGTATTCTGTTGGTGTAAATTTTCAGTTTGTGGGAAGCCATAGGCTGCATTCTAGAAGGTGCTCAAAACCTAGTTGTGCCAATACATAGCCACCTGATAAACAACACCTCAAGGAAGAGGTTCCTCAACCGGCAGCAGTCTCCATCTTCCTGCGTTCACAACAATGGCCGCCTTTACTGCTGGCTCACGCAGGAAGATGTGGTTCGGTTCCTCTTCAACTTCATCGGAGTCTTCTCTCCGATCCCCACTCAGACTGTAGAGTCTCTCGGCATTATCGATCCAGATGTTATGGCTGTAGCCTACAACAAGCCTGCATCCTCAGCACTGGAGTTCTTCGAACGTGCGATCAAGGAGCAGAGGCCGGTAGCTGTCATGGACGAGGAGAATCGGTTGATTGGGGAGATTTCTCCCGTTGCTTTAGCCTGCTGCGACGAAACTGCTGCAGCAACCATAATGGCGCTGCCGGCCGTGGATCTCATGGCGCACATAGACTGCGGTGGGACGCCGTTAGATTTGGTGCAGCTGGTGAAGATGAAGCTGAAGGAGAGTAATTTAGAGGGAATGCTGGAATTGATGGATGAGTTTCGTAACTCCCTAACATCACCTTCATCATCTTCAAGCTGTTCTTCAGACGACGAATCAAGTCCAGGCAAGGGCAGCTGGTCGTGTAAGAGTCGAAACTCGCCTGGAAGGAGGTCTGAGGCTATTTCGTGCAGCCCCGGGAGTTCCCTGGCGGCTGTGATGATCCAGGCACTGAGTAATCGTGTCAGCAGCGTTTGGGTCGTCGAAGAAGACCAAACCCTGGCTGGAATCATCCCATTTACAGGAATTTTGAGGGCTTTTCTCAGCATCCCTCTTGGAAAGCCTCTTTGATCAGGTGCACAAATTCAATCCCTTGTCGATGCAAGGAACTTTGTATCTGCAATTTTACTTAAATTTTTTTCCATCAGATTGACAAGCTAGAGTATAATATGAACATCACTGCTGTTTTCGAATTATCTAGAAATATCTGTTGTCTTGCCATTGGCAGTTCTTAACATCAAACAATCTCTTTTAGATCCATTCTAGCAGGTAAATAAGAGGTACAGATGCTTGAGGGATATCGAAAATAATCTGAAATATGATGTCCACAAAAGATATCTGACAATATACAGCTAGCAAGAATCTTCCAACGATCAAGGAACTATAAACCAAAATACTTAAGCATGACATTTATTGTGGTCCATAAAAGAATTGTGTGGTGCATTATTGTTAGGTGTGTAAAATGACCATAAACTATGAACCACATGTTTTTATTTGTTACTTTACCTTAGAATGCTCATCTGTGCCAATACTCCAGCTCAGATACACAAGATGATAGGGCCTTTTGTAGTTCGGTATTTCCCGTGTCCATGTACAGCGCGTCCTCATATAATTGTCTAGCTTGGTGCAGCAGCTTCACCTTTTCTTGACTACGGCCTGGCCTTAGCCGGGAACGGTGCTGCAGTGCTGCGCCCCATCTGAACAGAGCTGCAATTTAGCATAATGGATTAAAATGGACTTATTTTCGCTGTGCTACAAAGTAGACGGTGCTAATGTGGATGAAATATTATGGGTCGATAACTTATTCAACAGGACAAATCCGATAATGTGTTTATTCTAATTTATATCAGGAGGATCATACCATCAGGCGCATAGTCGTTACTTTTGGACATAATGGCATCAAATTTGTCGATGGCAGCCATGAAGACCTTGTCGGCATCACGAGCTGCAGTCTGTAGCACGAATGAGATGTCAGAACCCGGTGATAACATGAAATGGCAATATCTTCCTAGGATGGATTATGTGTTAGAATACAGAAATTTTACCCACTCGAGAGCAAAACTTACCGGTCCAATATCCGAAATCAACTGGCCACGGAAAGAAAGAGCAAGCCCCCAATTATACAATGCTTGTATGTCATTCCCATCGATCGACAAGGCCATTCTGTACGATCTTCCCGCCTTAATAAGTAGCTCTTCGCATTCTTCGCAGACATTCATAAGAGTCGACACAATCTTGTCTTTGTTTGAAAGTGAATGATCAATCCTATTTCGTGTTCTCCCCACTCCATCAACAGACATCGAATCCACTCTCACAAGTCGGGATCTCAGCTGCCGACTCTTTCTCAGCTTTAGCTCTCCGTGAAGAAGATACGTATTGCCCAATTGGCCAACCGCCAATAAACTCATCGGCCTCATGTCAATCGCTTTCGAGAGTAGTACCGCAGACTTATTTAGAGCATGCTCTGCATTGGCATCATCGACACGACGTGTGGAATATCCTTTCGCTTCTTCAAAAAGATTTTTAGCCTCCACCAGACACCTGCTGAATTCTATATCATTATCAAGTATTGATGATGGAGAAGAGCCGAATCCGTTCTCTTGTCCATTCTGTCGAGCAGCATATGGAGATCTCTTTTCGGGACCAAACTCTTGTAGATCATCTTCTACATTGTCAAGAAAAGCGTAGTTTCTATTCAGGAATTCAGGTCTGCGATTGTGACCGTAAGAAGCTTCAGTCTTTACACGGTTCATAGTTATGCTAAAATCTACAGAACTATATGAATCACTCTGATATGCACGAGTTTCCACTTCATCCAGATAATCATTCAAATGCACGCGCTTATCCCTCGAAATTCTTGATCCCTTTTTCCAATAGTTTAAGATCGTCTGGTCCAAAACTTCACCGTCAGTATCATCCATCTCGACTGTATTCCTTCCCTCATCTTCAACCACCTCACTTTCTATTGCATTCCCACCAGAAAAATTTTCAGCTCTGCTTCGAGTAATGACAGGATCTCTGTTACCTAAATGTCCACCGTGCGCCAATGTTGTCTGATCCTTCTTTTCTTGAACAGATGGTGCAATGATGTTGCCCCGTTTTCTATCATCTGCCTCTGCATCGATCGATGTCATTTTCTTCGGTTTTGCACTACGAAACAAAGCCCCGAAATACTGAGAGAAGTTAAATCCACTCTCTCCCAATTTCTTTCTTCTCTGACCAGACTCTTTATCAGAGCTTCCCTCCTTTCCATGGCTACCGATTGTCATACTCTGCACACAGCTTTCAACAGCAGCTATTGTGTTCTGAAAATTGGTATTTGCAGATTCTATAACATCAATGTAGCTTTGTAAATCAGTCACAGTTACTTGATTACATTCTATGCCTCTGTTAATATCATTTTTCAAGTGCAGAACCTTAGCATTGTACTCCTCCAAATTATCCCCTAAATTCTTCAACTTTTCAATGCAACCTATCAAATTGTCATATGGATATTTTTTCCGATTCGAATTCAATCTCGAGTCAGTCAATTGCCCCCCTCTAGCAAGCCCAACGGAAAACCCAAGGGCAAACACGATAGCGCAAGCTGGAAATACAATAATTGAAGAAACCCTAACCCTAGAAATGGCCAACGCACAAACGAACCCAAACAGATACACAAATGCGTACTTTCTATCACCGATTCCGAGAGAATCCATAACATTATGAAATCGATTCGACTCACCCGAGTCGGCGATGAGTAGATTATCATCCCAGCCGCCATAGCTCAGGGACGACGGAGGAGCACTAGAGCACAGCGTCAGAGTCGCGCCACGTCGGGGTTTTTGGGGGTATATTCTGAGAAAAGCCAGATTTTTCCATGGGACGAAGTTTGGCTGCAGGAATTGAGGAGAAAATCCGATCACAGGTTTCCTGGAAATCAGGATTTGCATGATGAGATCTGGAGAAGAATTAGATGAATTTAACCCTAAGACATGGGAATTTCGATGGAATTCGTCGCTGGTAAACTGAAATGGATATACATCTATGGGTGGTTCCGATGCATATTATATGTCCCATTAAAAAACAATTTATCCTAATTTTTTATTAACAAAAATCTTAGAAAAATATATTATTATTATTATTTTTATTTTTATTTTTATGAAATATTTTATTTAAAACATTATTTAAAAAACATTTAAATTAATGTTCATTATTTTTTGGCATAGTAAAAATTTTGGAAAGCACTATGCAATCTGTATACTAAATTACTCCTATATGACAACACAAAATTCATGTTAACGGGTGTGTTTGTTCGTGGGTTTGGATTTTGGGTTGAGATTTGAATAGTAAAAATTTTGAATTTGAATAGTTGTATGATGTGATATAAATAATAATTGATGTGATATTTTGAATGTAAAATTGATTTTTAGTATAATATAAAAAATGAAAAATAAATGTTTGATTTGATATTTTTGGAGGAAAAATTTTGTGGGAATAGTAGAAATCCCACAAAATCCCCCAAACAAACGCACCCTAATATATGTATAATTTCATGACTCATATAAATTATCTAGATCCACGTCAAATTACATGTAAATATAAATGTAGACAAAAAAAAAATTGTGCTATATTTTTATAAACCAAAAATCGTACAGATTACATTTAATTTAAATATATGCAAGTTTTCAAATAAACTTCGGTGCGTAATGAATTGGTCAAGATTACTATTTACAGATGAGGGTGGTCTTGGCTTCCTTTTCGGATGGTGCCACATGGCGCGTACTGATTGATCAATAGGAAGATTTTATAATATTTCATTTTTCGTCAGATGCCGTTTTCCATTCTTGACGGATTTCATTGTGCACTTTCATTTCTCGCCAAGATCTTTATATCATTGTCTTTTTTTAAAGATATTAATTTATATTAACAAGATTAATTTATTATGCTGCCAAATTTATTATGACTCTGTTTATACACTTAATATTTATACGATATCTTCCATTTTAAGCAAATTTTTGCATTAATTGTTAATATTTATTGTACAAAAATTAACATATGTGCATAATTAAATACCATATATTTATTTTATTGAAATTTTATTTTCTTCCAAAAATACTACACATTTAATTTTTAATATCTATCCTACCAATTAATTACTTCTCAATTTTGGCTACCAATTAATTACTTCTCAATTTTGGCTACCAATTAATTATTTACTAACTAAAAAGTTGTTCTCAATTTTGGCTACCAATTAATTACTTCTCAATTTTGGCTACCAATTAATTATTTACTAATTAAAAAGTAGCCTTCAAAATTTAATTGCAGCTATAAATAAATACATGACTAATACAATAAATTTGTCACATTCGAAAATAGTCTAAAACATATACAATATGATGAAGTTTTCCGAGTCAGCTAAATTTCTTCTCTTCTTTGCTTTATTTCTTGTCAATTTAGTTCCTCACCAAGGTAAGCATTCCAATTTTAAATACTATATAGTTTCATAGATAATAAATAATTTTTTTTAAAAAAAAAAATAAAAACAGTGAATAGATTTTAGTCATGTTTGGTTTACAAAGTTGTATAGTATTTTGTTTGTGCACAATATATTTTCACAGAAAATTACGAAAATTGCATAATATATTTTGTTAGTTTTTTGTTCAACTCGATTTGTTAATTTTTATTTATTTTTATTTATTTTTGGTTTAGAAATTTAAATTATAATATAAATACATAGAAAATTTCAAATTAAATCACAATACTCAACACACTCAATGGAATTAATTGTTTATTTATACCATATCTTTATTTTTATTATTTATAATTAAATAACTTGAGTTCGGATTATTGTTTTTGCTTAAAAATATAACATATATTGCTGTAGGTTCCATGGAGAATAATGACATGCAAGGTCGAAAATTGACGGTGGGCAGTGATCCGTCGTCATTATCGTCATCGAAGTTGACTTTAGGAAGATGTTGGAGTAGAAGTTGTGCTAGTGATCCTAACTTGACATGTTGGTGTTGCGATGCTATGAAAAATTTTTGTTATAAGCGTCGGATCGATTGTGAGAAAGATTGTCCCCATAAATCTTTATTATCTTGATCAATGAATGTGTTTCCAAAGCTATTTTCCGATGACGACGATTCAACAATTGTCTAGCTAATAATAATATTGTGATTATGCAATAAATTAATTCAATATATTGAATATAAAATATATGTCAGAAAATTAAATACCATCAAATTTAATATTTATTTTTATACGATATAGTAAACAAGATAAAAAGAAAAAAAATTAAAATATCATATTAAATACATATTTATATGTCATCAACTCCTATTATAAATTCAAAAATTTTATTGTCTTTAACCTAAACTTAAATTCAACCATTTAATGTCTAAATTTTGTTTTGATATTATTGAATAAATAGAATTATTTTATTTTATTTTTCTTTATATATATTATGAATTCTATATATCATATTTTTAACACATACTTAAATTTATTATAAATGTACATGTTGAGACTCGACGTAAACTCAAATTTCACATCGAAAAATTAATAAAAGAACCCATTAGCACTTCATGTGATAATTAATTATGTGTTCAACATATATCTTTTATTTTCTCTAAATAAATATTATACAGTTTTATACTTTTAATTTTATTTTTTCGAGTAAATTATTTTTAAATCCTCATAATTTTCTTTATTATTTTAATATATTTTGTTGTTTGATCCAATTGAACTAAATTGCAAATACTAAATTTTAATTTAGTCCAATTAATTGAACCAAAAGGCAAATCCATTATATAATGAAGTCTTCCATTCCGAGCTCGGCGTCAATTGCGACCCATTCACTAACACTTCCGAAGATGCCTACTTCTCCCCTATTGTCTTTGTTTGGCGAAAGTTATGCACATTATTAATATCTTTTCATAATATAGCCTCCGAAATACCATAAAACTACGGGTTTTATTCGCGTTCGACCCACGAGGGTTGCTAGTAGTGTTCGACTTAACTCGATTTGTTAAACAAATTTTAATTTAAGCTTCACTAATTAATTTATTAATGTTATGTAAAAATTTAAATCAAGTATAAAGTTATACTTTCTCCGTCCCATATACCGTGTCTGATACACTGTAAACACGGTATTTTGTGAGGGGTGTAATTAGTAGATAATTAAGAATGTATTAGTGAAAATAATTATCCTATAATATAAATAATCATAAATTAAAATTAAGATAACTAATGAGTTTAATTAAAATTAAAAAGTTTAAAATGAGATTAAAGTGTGTAATCATTTTTCAAAAAAGGAAAGTAACTTGGAATGTGAGACGGACATGACATGGTATGTGGGACGGATGGAGTAACTTATAAGAAATTGCATATGCCTTAATTTCTTAACAAAACTATTGAAATGTTTGCAAGTAATTAATTCAAGCTCATTTGTAAATATACTAAACTCAAATGTGTTCTATAAAAACTATATGACAATGCAAATTTCATCTAACATATAATAAAATGTGCATAATAAAATTTTAAAAGCAATATGAAATGTGATGTGCATAATTATATAATTCTTTTTAAGGTTCAAAATGAGATGTGCATAATAAATTTTTTAAAAAGCAACATGAAATGTGCATAATAAAATTATATGGCAATGTAAAATTTCATGTAATATATATAACTTTTGGTCATATACATTATCTTATGATCCACATCAAATTACATGTAAATATACATATGATTACATTTATTCACCAATTAATCAAATTACTAATTAAAAAATAGCCTTCAAAATTTAATTTTACAAATATAAATAAATACATGACTAACACTGTCTGTAAATTTGTCACATACACAAATAACTTCAAACATATGCAAGATTATATTTTATATTACTAATACAAAACTTTCTAACATATAAAAAACACATCCATTAAAAAATAAAAAAACCCACTATGCTTTTCTCATTTAATTAATTTAAGACACGACATATATTTATATATATATATATATATTCTATAATTTAGTTGTTGTTTTGGCAGGTTACATGAAAAATAATAATACAAGTATTGGTCGGAAAGTAATGGTGGGAAATCAAACAAAAATAAATATATTATTTTGCAAAGGATTTCGTAATTGTAGTAGAGGACGATCTAAGTGTTGGTGCTGTGTCGATATGAAAAATTGTTTTAATACGGAGGCTGAATGCCAACTAGTCTGTCGTCTCAAAACGATATCATTTTCATTGAACAACTTTACTAAATCTAACAGTATATATACTTGAGGGTCATTTCGGAATTTAAAAAAGCACGAGCAAAAAATAAATAAATAACATGAAACATAACCCTTATTAATTATTTTTATATAAATAATTAGAATTTTTTTATATATTTATATATTATATTTATTTTTTTAAAATTTACAAAAATAAATTATTATTAAATTTAACATACTTTCTATAGACATACATTTTATAATATATTCATTAGTTTTATCTTTAATGAGAAATAGTTACGGTCTACGTTTGCAATCAACTTTGTATGTGTGCATATATTTGTTGAATCTAAAATAAAAAAATATATATATAATGAATCATATTGTCGAGCAATCTTAAAATTACACTAGTTTTTCAATAAAAATTCACAAGAATATAAAACCAAGAAAATGCATCAGATACAAACACAAGTTTAATAAGGAAATAAGTATTATTTAAATTAAATATATATATATATAATATTGATAGCATGGACTACAGACTGTTACGAAATTACAACATCTCCGATATAAATTGAGACAATTGCTTAATTATGATCAAGAAATAAGATAAAGAAGAAAAGATCTTTAGAGAGGGTCCTGCCTCACCACTCCCGGATGACAAGTTTTATCACAGGCTTCCTTTGTATCCCAACATAAATCCTGCGGACGAATAGGGCAACACCAACAATGAGGAAATCGCGTGCATTTGGCTGGAGCGCAACCCGAAATATTAATTTTTGATTGATTTTTCTCCATCACCTTGTTGTCATTACCTG